TTATGGAGAGAGGAATCACGCGACCAATCTTCTCGATTCACATGCGGTGCAAAAGCTAGAATGCTGTCAGCACGTACCTTTTCCAGCTCGGAAGAAAAACAAGGCGTTGTTTGACAATTGTTTGATATCTATTGAGACGTCGGAGGGTTCTTCTTGCTGAAAACGTGAATTGAGTCAATAAAGAAAGAGAGAAATTCAACAAAAACGGATTGCAAAGAGATGAAGAGGGATTGTTGAGAAATGGAATGCGATCAAGGAGAACTGAACCGATTTTTAGATGAATGAAAAAAGACAGAGAGTGGAAAAATGTTTCGGAAAAGAAGATTGCGGTGATTAGATGACGATGAAGGAAGTGAACGCAGTGGGAAGTTTTGACACCGAAAAAGGAGATAACGGTGGGAAACTGCGAGAAATCGTATCATTCCAAGCCACTGGGAAAGTTGCCGGCGACTTACTGATATCGGGTTACGCGATAAGGAGCACACTATTGTGAGCGAAATTTCATACACAGCTCTTCAAAAAACCGCGTGCTGAAAATTTTTTAGTCCGAATATTGACAAACTGAAGTGTTGTCATAGTTACTAATCGCAAAATTTTTAAGCAAGAAAAATTATTTCAGACGCGGTTACAGTTTGTAGCCCCGTCCTATGACAGGTTCTGGTGACATCCCACAAAACGGGGTGGCAATAGAGTGGTGAAAAGGGGAAAGAAGGGGGGAAAGGGGAGAAGACGGAGGAGGACAGCGGTGATAGTTGGCTGCCAGTAGAACTGCAAATTTATGTGGGTGCGAGCGGGCGCATTCGAATATGAGCGGCCGGGTTAACGACGAAAAAGGAGAAGGTCAGACGAATGAGTGTCGCAGTGAAGAGCGAGGAGACAACGAACGGGTACGACCGTGCAATAGACTGAAAGGCGTCTCAAAGCAGCCAGCTCCCTGGAGGACAGTGTTCTCACTCAGCTTGAGTTGGAAGATTTCCGAAGTAAAATATTTGGAAAATTTCAGCAATGCCTTGATTATCAGGAGGACGAGCTACTAGCGAATCAATTGAAAGTCAAAATATCAGGTTGATCACATGATGGCTCTGAAGTGAGAAGTGTTTCGAGTGCACTGATCGAGAGAGTGTTGGGACAAATAACATTCGACTATTTGGTTTTCAGTTATCGATCGGACACTGAAATGCCGGGGAGAAATGCAAATGACCGCATGCAGGTGTACTTTTCGGAAGGAAAAACGACTCGGATGTTTGAACAGACCTAGGGAGGACCAGAAAGAAAACCAATCGTCATAATGGTCCAAAATAAGGAACTACGTACAAACATTAAAACACGTGTCTCGTAAGTGACTGACCTGCTTCAAGAGAACATCGAGTATCCAGCATGAATCTAGATGGAATCAGCAGATATCGTCGGCAAGGAATGAGAATAACCAAATAGACCGACTACAAATCATTTGCACTTTTCGGATGATGTGATAACCTCTACGATCAAACTATCAGTTGAACAAACAGATCCGGTCACTGGACTTAGTGTAAAACATAAATTGGACGGAGAGGATGACGATGAAATGACTTGAAGTAGAACAAGACATTTTAGAAGATGTGGACCGCCGAGAGTCGGAGAAACGCAGACAACGAAATCGCGATGCCTCAGCAAATAAGGTGACGTGGCACGTTCGAACTCAGTAGAGCTTTGGGACGAACGGAACGAGAAGCTATAAAGCAGACCTGAAGGCGACTGCATAGGAAGACGAATTAGGAGGAACTCGTGGGAGTTGAGTTGGAAGACGAAAGGGAGTCACGAATTAAGTTATTCGGAGGGAGCAGCCAACTTGCGAAGAGCAGCTAGCAGAGAAAAGGAATTTAGAAATAAAAAACACGCCGGCGAGCACTCACACACAACACACACATACACACACGCTCACACACAAACCGAGTTGAGATGAAGGCGATATGTAATGTCAATAAACGGGCAGGGGACGGCTGGCAGGAGGCACAAAAAGAAGTTAGGCCCGGAGAAGAAGAAACAAGACAATATAATATGACGCGTCGTTTCGTTTGTGGATGCGTTGTCGAGTAGGAAGCGAGGAGAAGTCGATCGATAGTGCGTGACGATATAACAGCTGCAATTAGAACTGGGTGTCGCCCATTCACGTCTCGGCTAAGCTATCCGACCACCTCAGGTTGTCCTAAGACGGGCGACCTCCAAAACCCCCGTCTCAATGGGAACTGGCTTTACCGTGCTCACGACGGCTATCAGCCACAGTCGCTGAGGAGACCCCAGGAGTCAGCACTTAAAATTAGAATTATACGAAATTCTTGATTTTAACAAACAATAGTGTCAGAAGGTCTCATTAAACTTACGCTACATGAGAACTCTGAATTCTTGATCGAACAAAATGTTTTTGTACAAAAGCTGATGGGATTTTTGGTGATAAATGTTGACAGAAGTCTCTTTGAAAGTTACGGATGGTGTCTTGATGGGAGATCCTCTCATGGTTTTTCAGTTATTTCGAAAGGTGTTCATCGACTTTTTTTTACAGAAATCAGCTTCTTTGGAGTGATTATCGGTAGCAATCGCTGTTGGGAGGGAATCTAGGAGACGAACTCGTTCTGTGGCCGAAGGCAGCTGGCCAGTTCCGGCAGTGCGAATTTCCAACAAAGAAGAAAAAGAGATCAGAGGAGATTGATATTCCGCCGCACAGTACTCCTTTCTCTCATTGCAGATCAGCACGTCGTACAAAAGACACGTGGCAAACGTGAGCGTTTCTCATCACGGAATTTTCAGATCGAGAATCAGAGAATCGGAAAAAGGGCTGAAAGCGAATGAATGCCATGTGGATTCAAGAAATCAATCAATCAATTGTGCTTATAGAACTGAATTCTGTAAAACAAAAAGGCAAGAAAGAATCGTGGAGCAATGAGAATCTGAATAACTGGTTATCAGTAATTTGAGTGATAAATATAACTTCAAAATTTGAAAGACCAGAAGTGATTCCTAGTTCGGAGCAAAGTCCAGAATGGAGTCATAGTTCATGGCGGCGGGTGTTTGAGGGAAACGAACAAGTAGAAGATGCGTGAGTGTCAGTGTGAGCGGTTTTGAGCGTTGTGTTTGTGTGAGCGGACATAATAAGAAGAGCGAAACGGACGGGAGGAGAAGGAGGAGGAGGAGAAAGTAAGTGGCGGAATGAGCGAGGATGGAATGATTTGGAGGCTGTTGGCGGGCGGTCCGAACCGCGCGGCGACGGGTGCAATAAGGAAAAATAAGTATATCGAAATGGGAAGAGGGGCAACACCAGCCCATTCGCCGCTTCCCTCCGCCAGAAATAACGCTCGACTGATGAGATGTAACAGAGATAAACATATAAATAGGGAACAGAGAAAAAGAGACACAGAAAGTGTCGGGTTTGGTTTGTGTGCTGTGTATGGCCCCTTCGAAAATTTGCCTTTCTTTTCCGTCATAAGGTACTGTCGTGTTGCCGTGACTCACCATAGACTCTAATGAGCCAAACTCGAACATCTTAGCTGGCTAGTGAGCTGATCGTGTGATCAAGCTATAATTGGGTCTCCGGGAAGAACTAGAACAGTTCTTAAAGTCTAATCATTGTTTCTTCCATCTGATTTACAAACGAACACACAAACTTAAGTGTATTACTGAGAATAGTGGAGAGTGAAGCAAGACGGATAGAGGAGTTCCGGGAGTGTGTGCGTTAATGTTCAAAGAACAGCGAATATTTGTGACGTGGCAACGATCTCCACCCAGAAGGAAGAGAAGATGGGCTGAATCGTAGATTCTCTCGGGTTATTAGATGATAAATCGACTGTTTTATGAAGGCTTCTCAAGATTTTTGCTAACAAAATTTTCGAAAAAAAAAGAGAATCGTAAGTCAACTAAAAGAAGGCTTTCAAAACTAATATATAAGATGGGTACATTTTCTTGCAATATCATTGAGCTCTTTAAATTAATGCAAGCATATCGTCATATCGTCAAAATGGAAACGCATTCGAGAAGGCACACCGAACAATTCGTAATGTGAGCGGAACGAGAGAGAAGTGATGTGAGAGAGAGAGAGAGAGAGAGAGAGAGAGAGAGAGAGAGAGAGAAAGGGAGAGAGTTGTTGCGGGAGAGACTGCAAATTCACTCCGAGGTCTGTCTAATAAGTGACGAAAGAGTGATCTAAATCACATGATTGCAAAGGAAAGACAAACTTCAGCTATCCGTCTCTGGCCGGGAAAGAGGAATGAGAGATTATCAGTGAACTTTTCGGAGAGCTTCAGGATCACAAAACACGGAGACATCGAATATTCATGAGGATTCCGCTCAAATTTCATTTCTTCGCTCACTCTCTCTCTCTTTCTCTCTCCCTCTCTCTTTCTCTCTCCCTCTCTCTTTCTCTCTCTCTCTCTCTTTCTCTCTCCGTAGTTTCCTCTTTTTCGACTTGTTTTTATTTTTAAGCCCAATACAAATAAGCGAAATTTGTGAAGGAATTAGAGAAAGATATATCATTCATGGGGAGACGAATTGCATTGGAGGCGCCGCAAAAGACGTATTCTCTTTCAGACCTCAAAAGATTTTGAGAGCAAAGGAAGAAAGCACATGGAGCGAATTTAGTCTCTCAGGCCATGGTTTCACACGGCGGAATGCAGACTCACGTACTCTCCACACTCATCACTTTTCGGTCATTAGTTCAAAAGAAAAGAAAAGCTCCGACTTCACCAGTACATAAAGAACGGGCAACCAAAAGTCGCATATTTCTTAATGTCTCTCGCCTCTAATGCTCTGACGTTGGGACAATAAGAGGTGGTTTGCGTCGTCACTTGTTTTGTTTATTCCTTTTTTGTCGAAGCTGTGTATACTTGAAATGCAATACGCCAACGCAAAACAGAACGGACGGAAGAGAAATTAAGAGGGTTTAAATAGCTTTAAAAGGCTGACACGGCTCCGTGGAGTTTTAGAAATTTAAGTAATAGAATGCACGAGTTACGTGGAAAGCAAAGAAAAAGAAGAACAAAAATTTACATTTTTTCAGAAAACATCCGACTCGCTTCCAAATTTGAAATAGCGGAAAATGAAGAATTACGGTGAAACACCATAGACTACGCAAGGTTGCGGAAAAAAAGAACGTTTATTTTTCTGTTCCATTTTTTAAAAAGCATTTTTCGATGCACATTAGCGAGTAAAACTTTTATAGTAGTAGGAAGACATTCAAACTCTTTAAATACCTTAATTCATGCAAACGCTAAGTGTTATCGATTTTTGCATTTTTTTTGCAGATGTCAAAAAAACAGCAATCGTCTATGTCCTACAAGGACAAGGTAATCATACAATTCCGAAAATGAAGTATTATTTGGTCTTTCAGGCTAATCTTCAATTCGTAGAACAAGAAGAGCCCGCCTTTATCAAAGCGATGAAAGCGAAGTTGGGATATAAAGAGCCGGCGAAACTAGAAGACAAGGTGAGCTTCACTTTTGATTAGGTTATCCAAAAGTTCTGTTCAGTTTCACGATGAAGAAGGACCAGCTGAGCTGGATGACGACGAGACAGATCTGATGCGAATGAAAGAAGAGGACAGACCACAAGTTGTCGTTTTGAATGAGAAAACGGACCTATCGAAAGAAGAATTGGAAAAGGAAATAGTCGCAAAAAAGAAAGAAGAAGACGGTGATAATGTAAACTTAGATAATTGATTTTTTAATCATAAATTTGAAGATAAACTACTGGCCGAAGGAAAGATAACGTTCAAGAAACCGACAAAACGGACTGGAGAAGGTGCGGCCGACGAAGAAGCGGAGAAAAAGAAGAAGAAGGCCGCTCCTGAAGCCAAGGTTCAAAAAGGACTGCTCTCATTCGGCGACGAGGAAGAAGAAGATGAATAATTGATGTTTTTTTCTCCTGAAACTCACAGATATCCGCTAAACATTCATGTAATAAACATTGTAAAATTGACCCAAGTCTCTGAGATTGTTATTTTTGAGTTTGCCATGCGCATCCGGACAACTGTTTTTCAGACCTCACAATTTTACTGCGACGCAGACTTTCCCATTTGATCTACCTATATCGCAAATTCGAGATCAAACTACACACAACTCACCATCGGAACAGCGCGCGCGAACTATCGTTCGGCTTCCGTTTTGCCAATCAGCCTCACTTCAGTACGTCGTTCCTCCACCGTTCGTTTCAAGAATGAACGATGGGGAAAACTACTGGAATGCGTTCCGGTCGCATAAACGCTCCGCCAGCGAAGGCCCGACCCTCGCACCATGGATGGTCACTGCTTTGCAAGCCACAAAGGTATTCGGTCCAGAACATTCCGTAATTCTTTCATTGTTTCAGCTTCTTCTTTTCGCTCTCTGTAACATCGTTCTAACCTTGGGCTCGGTCCTCTCAAAACTGATCGTCCTCGTCATGGCAACTAACATTCTCCCCCGCGCGCATCTCGTCGACAAGTTCTCCCGCAAGTGCTCGCGAGCCATCGGTAACTTATTCACTTCATTCTTCCACAAAACTCTGCCATTTCAGTCCGACGAACCTCCACAACCACTGCCGGAATTTACCTCTCTTTGCTCCTCATTCAATGTCTCCCCGATGCCGTCCGACTCGTTCGTTCCAGTTTTGAAATGTGGAAAGGGGACTGTGGCCGAATGGTCCGATCTCTCGTTCTCCTCGAATCCCTACGTGCTGTCGGTCTTGCCGTTCTAACCTTCTACGTGTTCCCTCAACTCGATCTCGCCAGATGTCTCGTCCTCGGCGCCTGCTTCCCGCTCGTCGCCGTCCTCCAACGATCCCTGATCGCAATGATGTCTGCCGCGAAGACGGGAAGATCCTTCAAGAACCGCCTCGGCCGCTGCTTTATCGCAATTCCGCACGTCCTCATGTTCCTGGTTCTGCTCAGCAGCTGCTACGTCTGGACTCTTCTCGACGGAAAATTCACGGCCGTCATCGCTCTTCCGGTTGGAATTATCTGTACTTCGTTCGGATTCTGGGAGTCTTGGATTGACACGACTCATGCGAATACGACGTACAACGAGCTCTACAGAGTAAAGTACGCTGTTCGTAAGATGAACAACACGACGAAGGCAGCCGTGTCTTTCATGAGAATCGTCAGCACTGTCGGAGTTATGGTAGGGCGAGAGGCGTATTTCTGGCAAGTCGGTCTATTTTTTGCAGATATCTGCTGTTATGATGAACGGACACTCGAAGCTCTACGCAAAACACTTTGCCAAGGCGTTCTTCCATTTCAGCATGCGGCAGAATTACACGTAGTCGCTAATCGTTTGCCCACTTTCACCTTTTCCCTCTTTTCAGACTTCTGCTGCTTCTGGCCAGCGGAGTGATTTGTCTCCACGTCTTCATGCGAGGAATATCCCGTTTCCTGGCTGCCCTCGACCTCCATCCCTTCTCATTCGTCCATCCTCTTTCCATCGCTCCGCTCATCGCGTACGGATTCGTTCGCTACGTTTGCCAGTCCCCAACCTGCTCGATTTCCCGTCGACTCGCCAAGTTCGGACTCCGATGGGTGTGCGATCAATGGTTCCAAAATGTGCAAGGAATGACGTCTCCCGACTTCTACATTTGCATTATTTGGCTGATCGTCGGATGCTACCGTGGATGGCGACTCGTCCGTCAACGCTATTTCGACACTACCGAGGAAATGTAATCGGAATTCCTCTCCTAAACATCCCCGCTCATTTTCCATTTTAGAATCTCATCGATGCCCCCAGTCTGCAACGGTCTTTGCATCGAGCAGTCCCTCGTCATCTTCCAGCACTCGTTGAATCGCCAGGAGAAGACGATGCTGATTGAGGACGAAGACGTTACCGACGAGAATGACGAACTGCGCATCCGGAATGACGAGGTGGATCGTGTGTCGACCGTCTATGCGTGTGCTACAATGTGGCACGAAACAGAGACAGAAATGCGGCAAGTGCTTCGGAGTATTCTGAAGTTGGACGTGGATCACGCGACCCGAATGAACAACAAAAAAGTGAACGAACTGCGCTACCGACTCGAAGGACACATTTTCTTTGACGACGCGTGGGAGGATAACGTGGAGGATGGAATCGAGAAGAGGGAGCCGAACGAGTTTTTCAACATGTTTTTCGAGTTGCTCAACGAAATGACCGGAGAGAAACTGAACGACGAAGGGAAATTAGAGACTCGAATTCTGGTGAACACTCCTTACGGAGGCCGTCTCGTCGTCAAGCTCCCATCCGGAACTCTGCTCTTTGTGCACTTGAAGGACAAGAAGCTGATCCGCCACAAGAAGAGATGGAGCCAAGTTATGTACATGTACTATCTTCTCGGACATCGAATCATGGACTGCCCACTCTCGATCGAAGACAGACAACAAATGGCTGACAACACGTTTATTCTGGCCATCGACGGAGATTCCAAGTTCGAGCCTGACGCTCTTCTCCGACTTCTTCATTTGATGAACGCGAAGAGTGATATCGGCTGTGCTTGCGGAAGAATTCATCCAATTGGAAGCGGAATCATGGTCTGGTATCAGAAGTTCGAGTACGCCATTGCCCATTGGTTCCAAAAGGCCGCCGAACACGTATTCGGATGTGTGCTCTGCGCTCCCGGATGCTTCTCTCTGTTCCGCGCTTCCGCTCTCATGGACGACAACATCATGCACAAGTACACGAAGACTGCCTCGGAACCACGTCACTACGTACAGTACGATCAGGGAGAAGACCGTTGGCTGAGTACTTTGCTGCTCAAACAAGGATACCGCATCGAGTACGCGGCCGCTTCGGATGCGGAGACGTACGCTCCAGAAGGATTCGAAGAGTTCTTCAATCAGCGTCGTCGCTGGACTCCCTCTTCGATCGCCAACACTGTCGACCTGCTGATGGACTACAAACGAGCTTCGGAAAACAACGAATCCATTTCGTACGCCTACATTGCCTACCAGTTTCTCGTAATCTTCTTCTCAATGCTCGGTCCCGCCATCATCTTCACTATGCTCGTCTTCGCACAAGTGGCTGCTTTCGGACTCAACGGAACCGACGTGATGCTCTACAACGGATTGCCCATCGGATTCTTTGTCGTTCTCTGCTTCACAACAGAATCTAATATCCAATTGGCGTACGCCAAATTAATGTCGATCGCCTACGCATTTGTGATGCTTGCGGTGCTGGTTGCTACGAGTAGTCAGATCGTTCTCGAGAGTGAGTGCAGTTCGAAAGCCGCTTCACTTCACTTTCCCTTTCAGCCGTCGTTGCTCCCACTTCTCTTTTCATAGTCACCATGGTGGCCATCTTCTTTTTCGCCGCCTGTCTTCACCCGAAGGAGTTTACGAACATCATATACGGTTTGACTGTTCGGCGCCATCAACATTTATCTCTTTTCAGGTATTGTCTTCTTCCTGATGATTCCGTCCACGTATGTGTTCCTGACGCTTTATTCGCTCATTAATCTGAACGTTATCAACTGGGGAACTCGCGAAGCCGTCGCTAAAGCCACCGGCCAGAAGACGAAGAAGGCGCCGATGGAACGATGGATCGACGGAGTTGTTAGTGTGCTGAAGCAGGGCTTGAGACTCGTCAGTGGAAGAGAACGGAAAGAGAATGAGGAGAAACGCGAAAAGTTCGAGAAGAAGGTGCACAGAATGGAAATGGCTCTTCGGAATATTGAAGTGAGAGAATTACACGTTTTATTTAGAACGCATTATTTTCCAGAACGGAGGGGATATCAAGAAAATTCTGGATGCAGAAGAGGAGAAGGAGAAGCGAGAGGAAGAGACGCAGACATGTGAAATGCCGGTGCAGCAGGAAGAGGAGAAGCAGAAGGAAGTTCAGAAGGGCAGCCGATACGTTTGGATGACGAATCAGCATCTGAAAGTGTGCGAAAGAGGCAAACTGAAGAGTGCGGAGAAGGTGTTCTGGACCGAACTCATAGAAACGTATCTCAAGGTAAAAGGAGGGAACCTCGCAGGATTAGAAAATGCTTTTCAGCCGATCAAGTCGACTCCGGCGGAAACGAAGCAAGTGGCCGACGGACTAGCTTCCCTTCGCAACCAAATCGCCTTCACTATCCTGCTTATCAACACTCTGCTCGCATTGGCCATCTTCCTCATTCAAAAACACAAGAATGTGCTGAGCATCAAATATCGGCCATTCAGCAAGTCTTAAAAGCATTTTCACTAAATAGTTTTCATTTTTCAGAGGGTTTCAAATGGACGAAAATGAACGAAATGACTGGTCAGTTCGAGGAAACGAGCGAGCCACTTAAGATCGATCCTCTCGGAATGGGAATCGTCATGTTTCTGCTCGCAATTTTGTTCGTCCAAACTCTCGGAATGCTTGTCCATCGTCTGAATACAATGATCGGCGCCTTCCAGGAGGTGAAGAACTTGTACGAATACGGCGTGACGACAGCACCGAACACGAAGAACGATGACGAACGGATCATGACAAATGGTTCGAATACATTCTGATGCGGTCATTCGTATCCTCTCCATTTGCAGCTCGATTGATGATCAACGCAACGGGCGTGCACACTGGACACGCCGCCGACGGCTACACGCGGCATCGTGCAGATGAAGCCGACACCGGAAACGTTCTGTACAAGTTGCAGAAGGCTCGGCTCGCAAAGCGCATGCAGAGAAGTGCACTGTCCAATTGAGCCATCTCACTTCGCGGGGATCGTCCCCAATTCTTTATATTTATTGCATCTCCACTCACTTAGTATCGCATAATCTCACCCCATTTCCCGCTATATTAACTTTCTGTTAAATGAATGATTTATTTTGTAACAAATTGATAAGATAATTCGGATTTCCTCTGTTTTCCAGCACTTTCACTTTAAAAAGAAATTGATATTTGAACAGGCGCCAGAAGTTTGGTTGTTTAGTGCGGTGGGGCGCACTTGCGGAGTAGCACATGGTTTCGCAATTTATTCCTAAAATAATTTTTGCCCCCAATTTTCTGCCTACTTTTCGATATTCCTGACCAAAAATTGCTTTTCTGGAACTATCGGTTAAAAAGTCAAAACACTTTTCAGCCGTAATGCAGTCGTTGGACATAAAACCGTCAGTCGGACTGATCGCTTGCTGCGAATGCGGTGTTGCAATCGAGCCGAATCCGGCGAACATGTGCAGCGGATGCCTTCGCTCCAGGGTAGACATCACCGAAGGAATCACTCGCTCTTGTGAGTTTCAACACCCTGATTATTTTTATTTTCAAGTATTCAGGCACAATCTACATGTGCAAGTTCTGCGATCGCTACTTTGTTCCTCCAAGTGCTTGGATGAGAGCTGAACTCGAATCCAAAGAGTTACTCTCGATTTGTCTCAAAAAGCTGAAGCCTATGCTCACAAAAGTTCGTTTGTGTTTTTTCACGTATCAAATAAGGTTGTTCTCAATTTCAGGTACGTCTCACTGATGCCTGCTTTGTGTGGACCGAAGCTCACTCCAAGCGTATCAAAGTAAAGATCACAATCCAGAAAGAAGTGTTCACTAACACCATTCTCCAGCAGGCAGTGGTTGTTGAGTTCACTGTTCACAGTCAGGTACACATTGAACAATCTTTTCGACTAAATGTCTAATTTGTGAGTATATTCCAGCTCTGTGATGATTGTCGCCGTGCCGAAGCCAAGGATTTTTGGCGTGCGTGTGTGCAAGTTCGTCAGCGGGCTGAGTTCAAGAAGACGCTCTTTTACCTGGAGCAGCTGCTTCTGAAGCATTCTGCTCACAAAGAGTGCACTGGAGTGAAGCCAGTGCCGACCGGAATCGATTTCTACTTCGCAAAACAACAAGAAGCCAGAAAATTCGTCGACTTTTTGAATACTGTGCTTCCGTGCAAATACCACTATGCCCAGGTACCTCGATTTTCACAAAAAATTTTATTTATAAAGAATTATCCTTCAGGAGCTCGTTTCTCACGATACAAAAAACAACACATACGACTACAAGCACACTTTCTGTGTGGAGATCGTGCCCATCTGCAGGTTAGGGTTTTCTTCAAGAAATGTCATGTTAATAACTTGTTTCAGAGACAACATCGTTTGTCTTACGAAGAAAACCGCTCAGTCATACGGAAACATGTCGCAAATCGTTCTCTGTCTTCGTGTCTCTAACGTCATCACTTTAATCGACCCAAACAATCTTCAGTTGGTCGATGTCCAAGCGTAAGCATTCTGAAGTCACAATTTTCTCGACTGTAGCCTAAATTCAGAACGAATTTCTGGAGGGAGCCGTTTGATTCTCTTTGCGGCCCGAAACAATTGACCGAGTTCTACGTGCTCGACGTCGAGCCTATTGACAATTTCGAAAGAAAAGCAGGTCATGGATATGTGAGCAAGAAGCACGAGCTCGCCGACGTTTGGCTGGTCAGAAGTGACCAGGTTGGCATGTCTGACGCCCAAACGCTCTCGGCTCGCACTCATCTCGGGCATTTGCTGTCTCCTGGAGATCTTGTCATGGGTACGCATAGGATATTCTGAATACTAGAAACACTCGTTTTCAGCTTTTGACATGAAGAACTGCAATGTGAACAACGCGACGTTTGATGCCATGAAGATTGATAATGTCCCGGATGCCATCATTGTCAGAAAGGTGAGTGCTCGTTTTTCTGCTGAACTATTGTAGATCTGTTCTTCTCAGGTATTCGACAGAACTCGCCGTGCAGCCAAACGTCAGTGGAAGCTGAAGAGACTTGTCGTTGACGGAAACATCGTCGGAAACGAGACGGCGTCTGTCGCGGACGAGTTCCAAGGTTTCATGGAGGACATCGAAGAGGACGCGTTGATGAGAGAGAAGATTAATATTTACAAGGTGGGCAAAGGTTGATAACAACTGACGAGTCTATTCTGGCACATGATAATGCGTCATGCAATAAAAAGTAACCAATAATCGGCTGGATTTCTAGGACGGAGAGAAGAGACCAAATGTGGACGCAGACGACGATGACGACGCTCATCCAGAAGCCCCCACACTGGCCGAGATGCTTGATGACTTGAAGTTCGACGACGAAGAAATGAATGAGGAGACGGGAAATGGCACTGCCGATGAGGACGAAGCGATGCATGAGTGATAAACTCGCCGCCTGCCGCCAACCGATTGTTTTTGTTTTTCTCATTTCTTTTCAGCTGTTCTTCTCTGTTCTTCCTTGCTTCTTTCTCAAAATTACCCACCCAACGTCCTGTTCCTACTACTCTATTGTTGTTGTGTTATCACTAGTTATACTGTTCCTGATAAAATATCGAAAATAGCGTTGTTTCCTTCAATACAACAATGTACTTCCTCGATTTGTGTCCTTGGTCATCACCAGAATACTTTGGTGTCATAATCACATTGCCACACTTTATCGCACGTTATCACACTCGTTTCACACCTCGCTCTTATCTTGCTCAATGCACCGAAATAGGGAAGAAACGGGTTTGTGGGTCTCTGTTTCACTCCAAACGATTCTCGCAAGTTCGCCCGGTTCAAACTTTTTCGCTGTTCAAAGTACCCCCTCTGTGCGCGCCTCTTTTAATCCCCCAGCACACGCGTGTTTCACATGCCTGCCCCATCCCCCCAATCGATGCCTGCTCTCTGCGTCTCCTCCTTTTTCGCACTCTCTCCTCTCTGGCCGCTCTTGCCTTTGGCGAGCGAGGGAGGGACTCCGCCAGTTCAATGCGGTGTTTATCCCTCCGCGGAGCCATAGCGTCAAAACAAGCGGCCGCCCGTCTACCGCTGCCTGAAGACGTCCTCGCCGTGTCCTCGTCTGTTTGCTCCCTTCGTCGACCGTTTCGAACCGCATCTCTCACATTCTGTTTGCCTTCGTTTTGTCATCTGTTTACCGATTCGAACACACACATTACCTGCATTTGACCCATTCACAGTTACTCGCGCCCTGCTGCCATTTCGATTGTTTTTAAGTGCGAATTCCCTGTCAATTACGAGCGGACCGCCAAACGACCTCTATCGTACTGTATTCTCACCACCGTTTTTTGTTTACTTTTTCCGATCGTCGTCACTTTTCCGGCCGTGTTGTTTTTGCATCACGGCCTTTTACTCTTTCTCCATCGCCTCGCTCTTTCATTTTTCCATTTCTGTTCAACTCGAGCTTCTTCCTTCTTCAGACAATGTCTTGGGTCCGCTTCACGAAGACTGGCTTCGCTTTCATCGCCACTTCGGCGGCCGCGGCGCTCGCCCTCGACATTACGAACGAACGCAGATTTCAGAGACAAGTGGTCAGTTTCAATGGCCCGGAAGTAGACGGGAAAATATTGTGTTCTTTCAGAAAGACTATTTCCGAACGGTGCATGCCGATCGACTCGCCGACCTGAACAAAAGAGCGCCAAGTGCTTTGCCAACGAGAAAAGATATCCTTGCTTCGCTGAGTGTTAGTTCTCTTTGTCTTCAATTCCCCAATTATCTCGAATTTAATTCAGAAAGGCGAGGAATTCGACGTTCTCATTATTGGAGGAGGAGCCACTGGAGCCGGAGTCGCTCTTGACGCGCAGACGAGAGGACTCAAAACAGCTCTGGTTGAGCTGGACGACTTCTCTTCGGGAACTTCTTCCCGCTCAACCAAACTCATTCATGGAGGAGTTCGATATTTGCAAGCGGCCATTATGAAACTGGATCTGGAGCAGTATAGAATGGTCAAGGTGCAAATTATAAAAATATTTGAAGCACATTCAAGCTGACAACTTTTAGGAAGCACTTTTCGAACGACACAACCTTCTGGAGATCGCCCCGCATCTGAGTTCTCCTCTTCCGATTATGCTCCCCATTTACAAACTGTGGCAGATTCCGTACTATTGGTCTGGAATCAAAGCTTACGACTTTGTTTCCGGAAAGAGAGTGCTCAAAAACTCGTTTTTCATCAGCAAGTCACAGGCGCTCGAGAGATTCCCAATGCTCCGCAACGAGTCACTGAAAGGAGCACTTATCTATTACGACGGTCAGCACAACGACGCCAGAATGAATCTGGCCATCATTCTGACCGCGATCAGACACGGAGCCGCCTGTGCCAACCACGTTCGCGTCGAGAAACTGAACAAAGACGAGAGCGGAAAAGTGATCGGAGCGCACGTGAAGGACATGGTCACTGGCGGAGAATGGGATATCAAAGCGAAAGCGGTCATCAACGCGACTGGTCCCTTCACAGATTCGATCCGTCTCATGGGAGATCCCGACACGGCGAAGCCTATCTGCGCCCCAAGCTCCGGTGTTCACATCACCCTTCCGGGATACTACAGCCCCTCGAACACTGGTCTTCTCGACCCCGACACTTCTGACGGACGTGTCATTTTCTTCCTGCCGTGGGAACGTATGACTATCGCCGGAACCACCGACGCTCCATCCGATGTGACCCTTTCTCCGCAGCCCACTGACCACGACATCGAGTTCATTCTGCAAGAAATCCGCGGATATCTCTCAAAAGACGTCTCCGTTCGCCGTGGAGACGTTATGAGTGCGTGGTCAGGTCTCCGTCCGTTGGTCCGTGACCCGAACAAGAAGGACACAAAAAGTCTGGCCAGAAATCATATTATCGAAGTGGGAAAGTCCGGATTGATCACGATCGCCGGTGGAAAATGGACGACGTACAGACACATGGCCGAGGAAACCGTCGACAAAGTGGTCGAAGTGCACGAGCTGAAGCCGGCGAGCGGATGCGTCACTCCGGGACTGTTGCTCGAGGGAGCGCACGACTGGAACGCCCTGCAGTACATCCATTTGGTGCAGGACTACGGAATGGAAGTCGACGTGGCACAGCATCTCAGTCAGACTTACGGAGACCGCGCGTTCGTCGTCGCTCGCATGTGCAAAATGACCGGAAAACGCTGGCCGATTGTCGGAAATCGTCTCCATCCAGAATTCCCGTACCTCGACGCAGAAGTCCGTTACGCCGTCCGTGAATACGCGTGCACCGCCGTCGACGTCATCGCCAGACGCATGAGACTTGCGTTCCTGAACACGTACGCCGCCCACGAGGTGCTCCCGGACGTGGTCCGCATCATGGGAGAGGAGCTCGGATGGTCCTCGGCCGAGCAGAGAGCCCAACTGGAGAAGGCGCGCACTTTCATCGACCTGGAAATGGGACAAAATGCGAAACAAACGGCCGTCTCGAATGCGCCGCTGAACTTGACGAAGGACGAGATGCAGGTGGCGAAGGAGCGATTCCACAAACTGGACAAGGATCGAAAGGGACACATCACTGTGAACGACCTTCGCAAATACTTCAGAGTAAGAGCAAAATAGGTAAAAACTGAAGTGAAATCATTAATTTCAGGAACACAACCAGAAGATCGACGAGCGCGTTCTTCACGAACTACTGAACGAAGTGGATCTGAACAAGAACGGAGAAATCGAAATTGCCGAATTCTTCCAGGTTGTATTATTCTTTTCCGTCCATTTTCTCATTCTTATTTTCAGTTGTATTCTGGACTGAAAGGAGGTCAATTGACTGGCAATCGACTCGTCGGATATCTGGATGAAATCCACGGAACGCCGAGCGTCAATCGTGCCTGTGGCGGTATCTAATTTGCATTTTATTATTTTTTTTTAACTTTTATATATTGCCTCTACTTTTGTTAAATTTCTAAATTTGCCCATCTAAGTTAATTCAGAGAAAGAGATGAAGAAGACTTGAATTGTCGTCAATGCACAGTATTTGGTAGTGTTATTGTTGTGGCAGTGATTAGCGAACAGAAACTATCTCGCCTCTCCTTACTCAAACATTGCCGGTTCTCGATTTATTGCACCCTTATAAATTGGTTTTCGAATGTTCGTTTTTGTTGTTTTTGAGACAAAGAAAGGCAGAAAGAAAAAATGCAGGAATACAAAGAGGAAGGAAAGCAAGAATGTGAGTGAAAGAATCCCGGAAAAAAGCACACTGGAAACATTGGTCACGAATCGAATTGAGGGAATTTTCCATAGGAAACAACAATAAATTAGAATGACGAATATCAACAGAAATACAGCAAGAAACGGTTACTGTGTACCCATATATTTACATGAAGAGACTAGAAGAAAACGACTAATTCCTGATACGGAACGGATGCGCTTCCGTATTGAAAACCCACTGATCGAGAGGAAGAACGTCGTCTTCACTGAAGATCAGATACAGATATTTGAAGAGCTCTGCGAAGAGGAACGACTGTTGCACATCGTCCTGCTCCGGAGCCGAATCATAAACATTTCGGATGCCCGAGTATCCGACATTTCCCTGAAAATCAAAATAATCTCTTGTCAGAACTCCTCCTCAACCTTGCAGTGCTTCTCCAGATTCTGTACATGATCCCATGCCCACTGACGGTACTTTTCGTCCTTCGTGGCTCGCCACAGATAGAACCACGTTTCGACGACTTCTGGGCGCAGAATGTAGTAAGAATCCTGACGGCGGTCCGTCTTTGCTTCGATACTTGATGTGAATTGGAATGATTCGGGGCCGATTCCGGTAGCTAAAAATTGAAATTGAATGAAAAAAAACTTAATAAATGTTCTCTCACTGGATCTCGCATAGGATTCATGGCACGTGTGTCCAATCTCTTTGCCGAGGTTCATGTAATGATCGGCAATCGTCTTGTTTTTCTCGTTCATCGCGTGCAACACAACCATTCCTCCAGAGAAACAGGCGAGATGCTCGAATGAGTGCTCCACTCGGTTTCCGTTCATCTTGGCAAAGTACCACAGATTCGACGGTTCCGATTTGAACAACATGCGTTTTTCCATCGCAAAGATGGCCTCTTCGTACTCTCTCTTCGTGCGATCGTCTTTTTTTCCCGTCGAAATCCACTGCTTCAGAAGGTATTCGTACCAACTGTCAGCCATTGCTCCCATTGAAAACAGATCTGAATTTGGAGAGAATACGAGAATAGAAAAATGAATTTGATGCTTACGTTGTCCCCACCGAGGCGGCGATTCTAGAGAAATGTAGATGGGATAGAGTCCTTCCGGCTTTTCCATTGAAGTCAGAACATTACGAATCTTATCCGCCTTCTCGGCAAATACTGGATTTCCAGTAAGGTTGGATAGATAGTCGAATTCTAGTTGGATTGAGCCATACTCCGATAAAATTGCTTTTCCACTCGCCCAACTGTAAGTTTTCGCATGTCCCGATTGAAGATCGATCAACGAGTATGGGATGCCGGTGGGGGTGTCAAAAGCCGGCAGAAGGAGAGTGGAAACTTCTTCTGCTTTCTTCAAGAACATTGTATCACCGGTCAAAGCATACGCGGAGAGTAGTCCTCCTGTGAAACGGATATTTGTTTCGAAAACTGACAAATCGCCCTTCTGAAAAGATTTTTGATGGAATTGATACGGACTAGGGAAAACTCACAGCTGAGGACTTGAAATCGAAGTTGGCAATCCATTCTCTGGCTTCTTTGTATTCTTCTTTCAGCCCGACAATAAAGAGCGTGTCAATGGCATCTATAATCGTGGCGCCCGTCTTTCCGTATCCGAAAATCGACGAAGAGTGTCCTGAGCGGCTATTCGGTCGCAGCTCGTTCTCTCCCCAAGCGAACTTTCGGTATCCATCCCATGCAAACTTGATCATTTGTTTCACAAAGACCCTCCGTCCTTCTGCATCATCTGCTGCCCCAATCTCTGGTTTCGGAATCGGAATTGGATTCGCATCTTCTGCTTTTTTCAGTAACGCCTCTTGTTCTTTCCTCCGCGCTAATTCTCTGCAATTCGAGGGGTGAACTTTGCGATCTCTTGTGACATATTCTTACCTGATGGACGTGTCTCTCACGTGAACTACGTTCTCTTCGTGGAAGTACAGATCGGCACCGCCGGCCGGGAGGAAGAAGAAGGCGGTGATGCAGACGGTGAGCAGGAACATAACGCCGACACAGATGACGAGCTGCTCGTGCGACCGGAGGGTCATCATGCTTCTGAATTTGCCAAATTACTAATTTATTAACGAAAGTGTTGGAAATCGATTAAAACCGGTTATTTTCTTGCAAAATATTTATTTTTGAAACTAACCGAGAATACCCGAAGAGAATCGAGTTGGCCGGACCTTTCTATGGAAGAATATTCTGTTGAACACGTTTTATTTGAAAAAATGAAGGTAATCAACGGATCAATGATGGAATGAGATCAGGAGAAGGTGATAAGAAGAGAAGGGATATCCCGGTTCGGACAAGCACTCCGTCATGAATGTTAGGTTGGAGCGCACTTGCTCACTCCCGTTTGCCCGCGCCCGTGATGTAATTTCTACTCGTTTTTCACCGTTTCGCTTCTGTTTTTCTCGAATACAAACCCTTTTAAATGAAAACTTTTTGCGTTTTCGAGTTTTCCTATTGCGTTTTTGTCGATCTAATCATCAATCACCGTTTCGGCTGACCTTCGTACCTCTGGCAACCAGCGGCAAGCACTGTGTTCCATGATCGCAATGAACGATTCACTCTCGTGACCGATAGTATTCAGTTGATGTGATATGATGTATTAAGTGGCAAAGGCCGCCGACACGCTTTTCTCACAAGTCGCGGATTAGAAACGCACTCTGTTTTATCAATGAAAACGTGTCATGTGAATGATCGCGCAAAAATAAAAGTGGGTGTTTCTGTATTGGTGATTAGGAAAGAAAAATCAACAAAGCAGCACGCACGGAGACTCAGTTTCAGATATAAGTACCTTTTTCTGCCAATTTAGCCCAGTTTCACTCGCAAAAGTCTCTTGCAGAAGCGTTTCCCAACATTCCCAAAATTTTCCGTTCGGAATTCCCTTCCCTTGTTCATTTGCATTTGATGAGATGAAAAGTCAATTTTGGCTCTCACGTAAGCTAGTTCCGGGTTCAAAATCAAATATAGCTCAAAATGAGATGTATAAAAGTGACCCCTTTCATGGAAGCTGAAGATTAACTTCACTTTTGAAATTCGCAATTGCATCATCGTGCAGCAGGGCTTTCCGGTACCCAGGTTGAAAATATTATATTACTGTCTTCTGTTTATCAACACCCCGATCGAATTCGAACGAGAATCACTTCTTCCCCCCTTAATAGATCATCGTCTCTCACTAAAAACCAGATAATAGTTGTGTTTGAGGAGGGACAGACAGGACGGGCGGGAGAGGGAAACCCCGGGCATCGATCGGTGGTGTGCAGCACTGCGCCATCAACAAACTGAGTACTTTGGTCCCAAAAGTCACGCGTGGACATTCCCGTGCCTTCCCGTTTCCCAGTGCACCTCGGCTCGACCCCGCCCACTCTACTGCCTTCCCACAAGTTTACCTCCATTCCCGTATCAAACTCTGTATCACTCGCTCTCTCACTTCTACTCTTATTCTTCTTTTATTGTGCTCAACGTATGGAAATTGAAGGCCGTCGAAGATGCATCGCTCGATCGGGTCCATCAGATTGCTGACGAAGCCAGCTCGTATCGCCGAATTTGCTGCACTTTACCCTAATCGGTCAGTTTCTTTTTTCACGTTTCACGCCGTAACTTTCGAATTTCCCACGTATTTTGTTAGTCAAAATGCATTTTCCCGGGGGAAATCCACTTTTAATATTCTTCTTTTGCTGACCAAAAAGTCAAACACCGATTCGCACGTTTATAACGTGAACACAAAGAGCGGACATACTCTGGCCGAGTGTGTTCCCGATTAGTCATGTTGATTTGTCAGGGATTCTGCGTTCTGATTTCCTGATAAATACAGGTCAACTGGCAAACAATCGTAAAGAAAAACAATGAATAATTGGAAGGGTCGTTCAATCACCCTTCTTATTCCGATCATATTTCGATTTTCTTTCCATAAATCAATTAGCGGTTCTTTTTTTGTTGACAAACTGTTTATAGTGACAACACGTGACAGACACGTGGACACTCCAGACTTCTTCCACACTGAAAGTAAACAAAATTGAAAGTGACGGGGAAAATGTTCTTTGGACACTATCATTCTGGGCAGGTTCCTTCACTACCGCAGTATCTCACCCGGGGGAATCCCTTTCGAACGTGTTACAGACACTGGGGAAAGACAACAAGTGATGATAGTGCACTCTCACTCTCGTCTTATGATTGTCCTGTTTATCAGCTCGCGAACTATCGCACTTTAGTGCAAGTCGTGTAGTGTAGAAACAGGTCAAAAAGAAAAAGATCAAACAACAAATGACGGTTCCAAACACGCTTGTTTTTCAGATGCTCGTGTCCACTCATTCGATGTTCTTCCTCCTCTTCCGGAGATAATGGAAACGACGGAGAGAACGGAGGTGGCGATTTAACGAATGCGCCGCCGAACAAGGCGATCCAATCGTTCGGACAGTGCCGACACTGCTCGAAGCCGCTCAAGCCGTTGCCCACACTGACTCGTGAGTATTTTACCAAAAATGAGGGAAAAGTGACGGGGATCGTGCATTGCAAAAGAAATAAAATGCTGACAGGAAACAGTTTCAGCATCCAATCGATATATCCACTGCGACAGCTGTAACAAATTGTACTTTGCAAACTATTTTGAGGATTCCGCTAAGAATGCGTTTTCAAAGCAATTCGTCCGAAAGACGCCACCCTATCCCACGCAAATTGCCGAGTATCTTGACAAATTCGTCGTCGGACAGAAAAAGGCCAAAAAGACGTTGGCCGTCGGAGTCTATCAGCATTATCGCCGTCTTGAGCACAACATCGAAACGGGCGCCTCGTCCATCTACCAGAACGCACAAACAACGAAAGCCCCATCTGATGGACTGGATACGAAGATGCCACGTGGAGTGTTGTATCAAGACGAAATGCGTATGGGACAGACGGCAAGCAGCGAGCTGAGGAACTCTCTGATTCAGCAGCAGGTTGGTCAGACATTCACCAACTGATCAAGTTCGGCATTTTCAGGGAATTCCACAGCCACAACAAGCCCGACGCGTGCCACCGACCTTCCGAGCTCTTCCGGAGAAAGAGCAAGCCGTACGTCTCGAGAAATCGAACATTCTTCTCGTCGGACCATCCGGAGTCGGAAAAACATTCCTTACACAAACATTGGCACGAGTCCTGGACGTTCCAATTGCACTCTGCGATTGTACATCAATGACGCAAGCAGGATATGTGGGGGAAGACGTGGAGAGTGTGATACAGAAGTTGGTTCAAGCTGCCGGAGGAAACGTGGAGAAGGCTCAACAGGGAATCGTGTTCCTCGATGAAGTTGATAAGATTGCTGCTGCGAACGAAGGACACTCGGCCGCCTATCGAGATGTTTCCGGAGAAGGAGTACAGCACGCTCTTCTGAAGTTGGTCGAAGGGACCGTTGTCAACGTGAAGAGCGGGAAGAAGGGAATGGGATCACAGCAGGATCAAGTCCAGGTCGACACCTCCGACATCCTGTTCATCGCTTCGGGAGCCTTCAGTAACCTCGACAAAATCGTCGGAAGACGTCTCGACAGAAAAGCGCTTGGTTTCGGATCCCAGTCTGGCAACGTGCGCATTTCCACCGACGATTCCAATTCGGAAGTAATGCGAAAGAGAGACGAACTCCTTTCAAAGGCCGATCAGGGAGATCTGATCAGCTTCGGAATGGTTCCCGAACTGGTCGGCAGATTCCCAGTACTCGTTCCTTTTCATTCCTTCGACAAACAGGTAACTCCCTCGTGCGCTCTGCTCCATTTAACTCTCCCGTTTTCAGATGTTGGTGCGAGTGATGACTGAGCCACAGAACTCTCTTCTTGCTCAACTCAAACTCCAGTTCGGAATCGACAACGTCGACCTTTCATTTTCTGCCGAAGCTCTCGAGCAGGTCGCCCACATTGCCCTCGAAAGAAAAACGGGAGCCCGTGCTCTTCGTTCCATCCTCGAAGCCGCTCTTCTTGACGCCAAGTTCACCGTTCCTGGGTCGGATATCGAATCAGTCCACGTCAGCAGGTTTGTCATCTGAATCTAGTCTGCAATTATCACGCACCCTTTTCAGAGAAGCGATTCTTGGCGAGAAAGAAGTTGAATATGCTCGTCGTAAGGCGCACGTCGAAGAAGAGGAAGACGAGACTCAGACTCAGAGAAAGTCAGCCGTCGCATAATTGACCTTTTCGCTCCCTAATCACTATTTTATGGGTGTTTTGTTCCGAATAGCAGCAGCTTTTCGTTTTGTATACTCCTCCTCCCGCCGAATCTCCTCATCGGTTCCTTTTTCTCTTATTGTAGACACTTTAGTCTTGTATTTGAATTTTCGTGCTGCACTGCGCTGCTCCATGTACATAAACTCGAATAATAACATGTCTTCAATACAGACGATAACAACTGATAGAGGGCAAACAAAAAAATCAACAAAAACAAGGAGTTGTAAAAATTGATAGTGAGAGATTAGGAGGGATCGAACAGATTGAGAATGTCATCGACGGAAGCTTCTCCCTCCAGAAGATCGGTCTTCACTTCACGAACGATTCTCTTCTTTTTCGGGACGACCGGAGTGGAACTCTCGCTGTTCTTCTTTTTCCTCGATACGCTCTCATCTTTTGGTTCCCTCGTCGGGCTCTCTTCTTTGGGAATTTCCTCCACTTCCATCTCTTCCTTCTCCTCTTCTTTTTCCTCATTCAAATCGGTGTTTTTGTCGGAAACTGCCACGTCACTTCTAATAGTTTTTTCTTCCGTAATAATCAACGTCTTCTTCGCTTTCACATTGGCAAGATCTGTAGTTCTCGGACGAGACGCCACGTCACAAAGAACACGAAGACGATGGGAATGTTCGGAACGGGAAGAGCTCCGAGAGCAAATCGAACGAGCGATCTGGAGAGGAGAAGGGACGAATTCATTGTTGAGGGCAAGGAAGGCGGCGAGCAGTTGGTGGTAGATGGGGCAGTTCACGTGCATGACGGCCGACTGGAAAAGAACGAATTTGAAGAGAAACATCGAAAAGATAATGATAACCTCGCACACAGCCTTCTGGACAGTAACGAACACTTCTGGCTTGATGAGTGCGGCCGACGATTCGATGATGGTCGAGAGAAGGGAGCCGACGTGCTCTCCGTAGTCTTGCTCGTGCAGCGGATGCTTCAGAGCCGTGAAAATGACGTAGAAATGTTTGTGGAGGGTTGAAGTGACAGGCCCGAAAGCGTTGGAAATAAAGGCGAGAGTCTTGATGAGATCGACGTCCGGAGTTTCCAGTTCGGCAACGAGAGTCGATACAATTCTGCCAATCTAAACGATGACCGATAGTTCGAAGAATTCGAATAAAGTCTACATACCATTGGAATCAGAGAGTATTTCGAGTTGACGCACAGAGATCGGAGACAGGCAAATGCGACCGAACGGATCGGAGGGCTATGAACGCCCAGTTCGATGACACGAATGGCATCCTTTCGGTCGATGAAAAGGCCTGGCTTGGTAGCGTAACCGAGCGAAAGAGCCAGCACTTCGAAGAGGAGAGAAGTAAGCGAAACCCGATGAGCAGTGACACCGAGAGTTCTGAGTTGAAGGATCTCTGAAAGAATTAGATGAGAAGAGAAGTAAATCGGGAGTCTCACCGCTGGAGACGTTCTTTTTGTCGGTGTTCAACAGAATATTCAGCGTGTTCAGCAGGAGGGTAAAGTTCTGAGTGCTGATTCTTAGAGCGAACAGTTCGGCGGAAAGCCCTCTAATCGTTTGGTCACCGGACTCAACCGCCGCATCCAAACAATTGAGGATAATTTTGAACACAATCGGAGAATGTAGCTCTCCGGCTTGCGGGTTGCGAATGAGAACTTCGCGGACGAAAAGAGAGCCGGACAGTTGGAAATGATCGGAAATCTGAGCGAATCGGTTGGCGAGACGGGACTGGACTGCGCGAAGAGTGCCCGGCGAGCATTTGATGATCATTCGGGAGAGCAGAAGAAAACCAAGATCTCGGTCACGGGCAGCACGATTCGATCCAACGAGGTTTAGACATTTCTCGATAACCTGCAAAAGAATCGTAGAATATTCTAGATTTTGAATAATTCTAACCTGCGGTTCATCTTCCGGTTTACTTGAAAGAGTCGCCTGTACAATCTTCTTCACCTCACTCATCTAAACTTTCATTTCTGTTTTGAACTTGCGTTTTGACTTGGCGGTAATTTTGAACGATCAGGACGTTGTCAAATAGAATGATGAACAAAAAACGAAAAAAACTTTATCCGGAGAGGTGAGAAAAAGAAACACATAATATTCACAAAGCTAGTCTAAACCGACACAAAAAGAGGTATCTAGTTTTTAGGCGGTTTCCTTTCGGGTCTGTCTTTGCAAGAGCCGTCTCTCGCGTTCGAACTCCTTGATTCTCATGATGTGGTCTTCGTACTCGCACTTGTCCCAGGCTCCACGCTCCCCGTCGCACGCATGTCCGGCGAACGGCGCGTTTTGAGTCTAAAAAGAACGTTGAGCAAAAAAGCTGACCAAAGTGGTTTGCCTGGCATTTCATTAGCGAAATAAGGTGGTGAGCACAGTAGTCACGTTGGGCCGGCTTCAGCTTCCACTGTTCCATTTCGTCCCAAGTAGCCTTCATTTCGCGGACCTAAAAAAATGTTAATTCTCATTTTTTAGATCGAAAAATGCAAAAACTACCTTTCTCGGCTTCTCGAATCCAAACTGGGGGTCGAAAGTGGGCGGTCTGTCGACGCGCGGAGCAGTTTCCGGACTGTTCGCTCCTTCCAAAGAGACCGACAGTTTAGTTCCCATGTCTGCTGAAAAGGATTGGATGGGAAAATAGAAGAAATCATTCGAGACGTGGAAAGGAAGCAGCTCAATCCAATAAAGTTTATCGGTATCATCTGTTTGACACACTCCGAATAAATGTGCGTAAAATTTTCTAAAATAAAAGCGCTCAGAGCAGTTTAACAGGAATTTCAGAAAAATCGCAAAAAATTGGACGGACAAAAGGCGTGCTAAACAATGTGCGATGGCGTTATTTCGGAGCGTCGTTGCGAGTCAATGAGTGCGTGCGAAACGAGAGTTTACAACGAGATGGGCCTGACCAATGAACCATTAGCCGGTCGAAAACATATATGATCTCATTCTGTTTGTTCCCGTTTTCCCCTGCATTTCTCTTTGTTTTTTTCATAATCGTATACCGTATTCTTGCAGTTTCTCACTCGAAATGGCCGCTTTCCGTTCGGTTCTCACTCTCTCCAACTCGGCCAAATTGGCACTTTCCACCAGAGTCAGTTCCCTCCATTTCCTCACGCATTCGGATCAACCTTTCACTGTTTCAGACGATGGCTTCCCATCCCCTCGCTGGTCTCCTTGGAAAACTGAACCACGTGGCAATTGCCACTCCAGATCTCAAAAAGTCGGCCGAATTCTACAGAGGACTCGGAGCGAAAGTCAGCGAGGCGGTGGTCAGTTTCCTTCCGATTTTCTTCTGATTTCAACGAAATATCTGTTTAGCCGCAGCCGGAACACGGAGTCTACACGGTGTTCGTGGAACTGCCCAACTCGAAGATCGAACTTTTGCACCCGTTCGGAGAGAAATCTCCGATCCAGGCGTTCCTAAACAAGAACAAGGACGGTGGAATGCATCACATTTGCATTGAAGTCCGCAATATTCACGAGGTTCGTCCCTTTTCCTCTCGTCTTTTCGTATCATTACTCTTATTTTAAGGCTGTCACTGCTGTCAAATCAAAAGGAATCCGCACGTTGGGCGAGAAACCGAAGATCGGAGCGCACGGAAAGGAAGTGATGTTCCTGCATCCGAAGGACTGCGGAGGTGTTCTCATCGAGTTGGAACAAGAGTAGAAGACGTTCGCATACGCCACTAGACAGCAGTTTCCCCACTAGCATCCATTGTTCCTGTACCATCATTGCCACACTTTGAAATCCACAATAAACATACGATATATGCAACACTTCTGCCCGAAAAAGAAGTGAAAGTGTTTGCAGAATAGCTCTGTAAACACGCGAATCACACACGTTTTCCAATTAGAAAAAAAAAACGACCTTTCGTTGCGATCGATGCGCGAATCGTCCCTCCCTCGGTCTGTCGCAAGTTGAAAACAAGTTCCCCTGCCCGGTGACTCATCATTTTTCCTCTCCGTTCCCGTCCCTCTCCCTCCCTCCTAAATGCTCAACAATCTCGGAACTCGGCTGTTCAAATCGGTGACAGATAAGGCCGGCGACCTCGGAGACAAATTCGAGGAGGAATTCTCACGGCTCTCGTTCAACATCACCAGTCGGTTCCCCCCGCCCGCCCACTCTCATTTCCCCTTTGATTTCAGCCGAAGTCGATTCGATTGTGTCCGAAGCGATCTCGCTCTCCGCCTACATTAAGGTCGCATTGGTGATTCTTTCGATCCTCCTGGTCGCCCAATTCCTTCCGTTTCTCTTCCATTCCTCCCTTTCCAGATCCTTCTCATCATCCGCTTGTCCGCTTTCGGAATACGATGTTTGGTATTCAAAGCACGTGACTGGATTCATTCGATCGAGAACAAACCATCCCCGCAGGTACCTGTTCCCTATGTCTCTCCGTACATTTCCTTATCCAGGTTATTCTTCTGATGCCAACAGAAGATGGAAAATACCGAAAGAGCTCAAAAGTTTACACAGACGAACAAACACGGCAGATTCTCGACAAACTGCGAGAAGACTCGATAGAGCTGTTCAATGAATCGCTGAGAGCTCCTAGCGTGGTAAGAGACAACATTTGAACACGAACATTAAGTTTTTGCAGGAGTCCCGCAGAACAAGGCCGCCCAGACTATCAGAACGTCCGTTCAAAAACTGGAAAGTACCAGAAGAAGCAGTTTGAGATAAAATGGCTATATAAACAAGATTTATTGATACAGTCATTAAATGCTTAACAACCTAGATACGTGCACATAGGCTTCTAGCCGATAGGGGTTCAAAACCAAAGGATAAGAACACACTGTTGGGCTTTGAAAGGCAATAATATGAAATAAATTAACAACATGGGTTAAAACTGAGTGTGGCTGTTCTCCAATGGAGTGACATCGCTTACAAGAAGAAGAGCTTGTCCCGCAACTGCTCAGCTGAGTCTCCGTGGAGCGACTGAGCTGTCAAGAAGGCAAGTTTGTGGGCATACTGGCACGGAGCTGGGACGCGAACTGTTCCTTGCCAGTTGTAGTAGAGATGGCAGAGCTTGAAGGCAATCTGCTGATGCTTATCTGGTCCAAGGTCAGTGTCGTCATAAATGATGTTGTACGAAACTGGAGTAACAGTTCCTTGGTTCACGAACTGCGGCACCAAGTAGAAATCCATTCTCTCCGGACGAGTGACAGTTGTGTCGACGACAGTTCCTGGGTCAGGGTTGGTAGCCGAGTTCGTTCCACTTTGCCTATAAAAACATCATGCGTGAATTGACTAAAAATTTACTTCTTACTTCAAGATACGCATGTTGACGCGCTTGGTGACAATGATGAAAGCGAGCTCAATTTTACTGTGCTCCTTTCCACTGATCTTGGAGGCTCTCTCTGTGACCTGATCACAAGCATCCCGAACGAGCTTAACTTCAGTGTTACGGATGTATGGAATTTGTCCGTCCCCAGCACCATCTCTGTACAGGATCAATCGACCAGGGAGATTGTTTCCATTCTCATTGTAATACTGCTTGAGAGCTTCTGTAAAATGTTTTAATTAGATGAACTAATTTTACAGATAGTGATTACTTCTGACAAAATGAGTGAGGTTTCCACCCAACTGAGTCGGATTCTCATGAGGTCTTGTCTGAGAATAGAACTTGGTGAAGTCAACAGATGTGGTAGAAACACATGCTCCAACAGTTTTTCCTTTCAGGGTGGAGTCGTGGTACAGATCGTATCCAACTATCATGGTATCTTTGAGCTGAAATGGTACTCAACTAATATAAAACATTCTAAAATCAAACCTACTCGAAGGTTAACTTTCCACAAAGCTCCTCCCGTCTTGCACACCATTTGAAGAAAGATTTTTAAAACAATAGAACCAAAGTTCTTGTTCTCTCCGCCGTCACTGGCCTTTCCAGCAAGAGTGCGTAGATTAACGCATTGATTCGGGATTGGACATTCCACACAAAGATACTTCTTTAAACTGTCGTATCTGGTTTTGTTGTCATCGGTAAGCATGACTACGAGCATATGAACGGTTTCGTTTCCAGCTTGCTTGATTGCATTCTTCACACCTTCCAAATAATCGTTGGGAGTGATTCCATCAATTGGGCACGGGAGAGGATCTCCAATTTTGACCTTGAGAGAATTTCCAAGACGCTGAGCCTCGCCTACAAAAGCAAAATAAACCTTTTAGTTGTCTTCACTCTCACCAATGAACTTCTTGATAAGAACTCCAGAATTTCCAGTGTTCGGCCCAACGACGATCCAGTTAGTCATGTCGGAACCGCGGTAGATTCCGCTGTCCTTGACTCCGCGAGCCCACTCGGCATTTCTTCCTTCATATGTCTTGGTTCCTTGTCCAATCAATGGCTCCGGCCGGAGAACACGAGCATTCACGTTTGCAAGGTCATCCGCCAAGCGGATTCCCCAATAGCTAAGACAAGCCCGAACTTTTTCGTTTTCATGGAATTGAGTAAGAAGCTTTCGGGTTTCGACGAGACGCTGCTGTGGAGACAAGCGGGTGTGAGAAGCAATCTCTTTCATCATTTTGAAGTCTTTTCTCATCTCGTCAGTTAGACCGGTGGGAAAGCACAGTTCCGGGACGATGTAGTTGACCTGTGGCGGCTCTCCTGGCTGCTTCGGCTTTCCTTCAGAGATCTGGAATAAAGTTTTAGAAAGCCACAAGTAAATACTGCCACATACGATGATTGGTTGGTCATCGTTCAAAATGTCCTTGTTGTACTGAGTCTTGAAGTATTGTTTGAGAGTAATAGACTGTCCATCCTTCTCGAATTCAGTCATAGGATTGATGCTCCAGTCAAGTCTGGTGAATCGATGAAGCTTGTTATTATACCTAAAGGAGATTTACAAACAATTTTTGCACAATGGAACCCACAAGGTGATGACAGTGCTTCCACCGTACATCTCGTTCATTTTCTCTTGAACACGCATCCGATTATTTTGGCACGTGCTCATTTCCTTGGCAATCTGAAAACGACCAGAAATCTTTGGACAACATTTTGTCTCACCAAGTCGTACATTGAATCCCTTCGAACCATTTTGAAACGATTCTCAACGCACAACATCAATTGAGTTTCGTACATGCGGATGGCAGTCTCAAAGCCAGGCAAGATGCTCATGTTGTACTCGCGAACAAGTCGTCCGTCTCTCGAATTGAAATAGTGTCGCCCAAGCTGAGTCAGATTCATTTCGTCAAAGCAACGACGGATGATGGTGTTGAAAATGTTGATGGTTTGTGCGTTGTCAAGGAGAAAGCGATTCGTGAACTTGAAGTTCACAGCGATGGGCTGTCCTGTGGTCGGGTGCGGAACCTCAATGGTTTGCTGAAAACCCGCAGTTGAGACTTTTCCATTCGAAACATAAAATCACGTTTTGATCCCACTCATTAGTGATATAAAGAATCATTCCGTCGAAAACGTGATATTCTCCAATTTCAGCAGCAACATTCTCGTGCAGCAGCATTTGCTCTCTGCAATAATTTCTTAACGAGTGAAATAAAACACTAGCAATACCTAGCATGCTTCGAGTCGACAGTCGGTTCAAATTCGACGTGGTACTGATAAATGAAGTAGTCTGGCTTCTCCATTTCGATCGGGATAAAGTTGGCGTAACATTTCTGGACACGTCCAGATGTTCCGGTCTTCGACTCTCCTGCCTGACGGACAAACAGATCAGGTTGAATAGTTCCGTAGTACTCCTGATTCTTTTCTCCACTGGCATTCGATCCAGATCCACGTCCTCTACCGCGTCCACTTCCAGATAACATGATTACCTACAATGCATAGCAACATTAATGAATGGCACAGCGATACAGATAAAAAAAAAACGAATATGAAAAAACACCGTCTAAATAGTTCGAAAAGTGACAAAATCAAAAAAACAACAAGAAAACAGAAAAAAATGGGAAAATTTTTTGAATTTGAATCGTGGCGCCAGCTCACATAGTACTGTAGAATAGGTCTCGAAACGAATCGGTAGGAGATATCTCTAAAAGATAAATACGTGCGCCTTTGATGTTTTGCAGACTGAATGTTTTTCACCTAGTTTTTCGGAAAATATTAATTTTTTGAACAAAATAGAAGATTTTCAGCACACAAAACGGCGATTAAAGATGTTCATCAGCCTGACACACGGAAAAAGCCCTGATTGTCGTCAGGCAAACGCAAATTTGAAAGAAAGACTGGTCAGAGGGAAAGAAACTGAAATTTATAAAGTTTTGTTTTCAGGAAGATTACAATTTTGGAGCGTTTCTCATTGAGAAAGCGTGTTCCCGTTGTCCGAACAACGAATGCGTAAGAAATCCTATTTATGTGCTGTCGCTAATTTCGAAACTTCAGAATTCGTCCTTCATTTTCATTCTGCAAAAGCAAGAATACTTCAGACTGAAGCATCATGTTAAGGTTTGTATTTACAGACACGTCTTGCTCTCACCATTCCACACATTTCAGTTCGATGTTCGCCCGACTTTTCTCGTGCATACTTCATTCAATCAGCTGGTAGCGCTCGATCACAAACTTAGGGATGCTCAGCTCGGGAGAAACTCAGTCGGCATTCAGGTTCTATTTGTAAACTGTGTTTTATGCTCATTATGGTCTTCTCTGCAGGCTGTTCCCGAAATGATCAACGCATATGTTGACGCGATTCCTCCTACCCTGAATATTCAATGTCAAACTGATTTCAAAGTCGGAAAGAAAGATACAAACAGTCAGACGAACATAGTTATTCTCGTAGATGCTGAAAGTCAGGTTGAGTTGAAACCGGTGGATGTCGATACTCAGACCACTTTCACCCCGGATAGAGATGCTGGGCTCGAGGTAAGCCCCACTGTTCCCGAAGTTCAAGAATCCACGACATCGCCTATGATTCGCAGTGTTGAAGTTCAGCAAGAAAATAGCGATGATGATATCGTGGTAATACAGATCATTTTTAATGTTTCGTAACGACAAATGTAGTTCATTGAGGTTCGTCCACGCGATTGCAACGGCCCGCCACTGAAAGAAGTCAAGGTGGAGCCAATCGCAGTTGAAGCTGAAAAAGATGTTGAAAAAGAAACGGAGAGAGAAATAAAGGAAGAGACGATCGAGGAGCAATCTGAACAAAACATTCACTCGGAGCCCTCTCACTCTCTGGTCGAGACTCTTTCTAACGTTTTGTCTTTCACCGGCCTCACGACACGTTTACCAAAGTCTTATTCACTGAGCACGTTTTGTTTTCAGCGACTGTACCTGTGAAGAGAGGAAGTATTACGCAGACACCAGCCAAGAGAATCCGTCTGGCGAATGTGGACATATGCCAGAAATGCATGGATTTGAAGGACTATGCTTCTTTGGAGGATTACTGCAGACATGTTTTGACGCACGTTTCCGATAGAATGCAAGTTCCTTTTAGTTGAGCATTCCTCTCGCAACATGGTTTTGCAGCCACCGCTTCAAATGTAACATTTGCATGGACAAGTTCGTCAATTCGCGTTCTGCCAACTACCATCTTCAAATGCATCACTCGGGACAGTCAGGCGGCGAGACTCCGTCTGCTGCTGATTCCATTTCCAAAGAAATGTATTTTTCAAAGGACCGATTCGTTGCACCTATTAATTTTCAGCTCCGTCGAGCACCTCGTTGCTTTCAAACGCACCGCCAATCAGTGCTGGCCTGAAATCTTCCAAAATGTATCAATCGAGAAGCTCGCCACAATCGTAATGCTCACTTGGTTACAAACAAAAACAATTTGATCTTGCAGATAAAAAAGTTCCAATAAGAAGCTCATTTTTCGTCGCCCCTCACTTAACAATCATCTATTTTTATCGTTTCCAATTTAGATAATAAATTTCCTTTCGAGCCAAGTGTAGTTGCGATGTGGTAGCAAGTGCGCTCTATCGCACTCGATGTCTTTTTTTAAGCTTTCTTATTGTCAAACTTGTTTTGTCTCGTACAAGAAGGAATGTTTGCTGAAGTGTTGTTCCGTTTGGCGAAAGACGTTCAAACGATCGATGCGGATGTCAAGGAATTGGCAGCTGCTGATGAAGCGATTCGGCGGACGGAAAAAATGGGATTGAAGGTATCGAAGTGCGAAGGATTCCATTCAAAGCTCACGGTATCTGTCAGTCGTGTCTGGATTTTACGAATTCTTGAATGGCAGGTCAAAATAGATGCGGCCGTGCAGCGACAAATGACAAAATTAGATGAAAAGAGCGTTGACCTGAACGGGATCATAAGGACTGTAATGTGCATGAGTTCCGGGGCACCGACGACTCACACTTTCGAAGAGGACTCACTTCTCGTTTCTTCGTACTGCTCAGAGGTTCCGATTCCGAGTTTCAATCAAATGTCTGTATATTTCAGCTGAAATCATTTCTTCTCTCCGATCGCACAGGCCAATGTCCGTCGATTACACTTCCAGTCGAGCAGGCCGTTCGACGAATGTCAAACAGTCCCGTGCTCACTTGATTGATTTTCAAATAAATTGAATTTTATACGTTCTACAAACTCATGTTTCTGTTGTTCTCAGCTCTTCCTACTTCTGCTTATCGATAGTTTTGGTTTTCGGTCACATTCCCTTTGAATTTCAGATGTCGGAACCACCTTGCCACGTTCCAAGCCTGGAATTTGTTAAAAAGATGTGTAAATTCAAGGAGAGAAACGACTGGCCTCCCACAATGTAAGTCACAAATTGCTTTGGAATGAAAAATAACTATTTTTTTCAGTAGCGGCGAAGTCGATTATTACCGTTCCAATTATCACAATCAGTACTTCCCGTACAATGGCAAAATCTGCCGTGCAATGTTCGCCGACAAACACGTCATGTTCATCGGAGACTCATGTGCGTTTACCTTTGCATCTCACTTCAATGCTTTTGCGTTTCAGTGGTACGAGCCATGTACAAGGATATGGTTAGCCTGCTGAGAACCGGCGAACTGTGTTCACCTCGAGACCTAAGAGTTACCAACGAAGACTGCTTTCAAGGAGACAAACAAGTGAAGCGAAGCGACACGTTCATGGTACTAATATCCGTATTGTTTTCAGATTGATAATCTCGAGCTGGAGGCCAACCGAGTCTTTCGTCAAGCGCGAGAATTTCAATCGAACCGTCATCTTGTTCAGTACTTTTTCACAAATCGAGCGATGCGAGAGGACCTTGAGAAGCTGTGCCTGATGTTGGAAGCGTCGGACGAGAAGCCGGACGTCGTTGTCGTGAACTCGGCCATTTGGGACATCTCCCGATTCCCAGCCAGGCATTCAACTCGTCGTTCTGAGGACCTCAATAAAGAACTGTTTGAGGAAATCAACGTCGCCGAAGAGTATTTCAACAGAATCGCAATGTTGTGCCGTCGAATGAGACTACTCCTTCCGCCCACTTCCACGGTTTGTTCTCCGCTTTATTCCCCTGCTTATAAATTCATTTCAAGGTCGTTTGGCTCCTGATGCCACCGAACGGAACTCCGGAAATCAACCGTGGATTCTGCTCGTACAATAAGCTGACTTTCGACGAAATCAGAACTAGGCTATTGGATGCAAACGTCCGGGCGGCGCAAGTCGTCCGTGAGGCCGGCTTCGACGTCCTCGATATTTCATTCCACATGAGACATTCCAGCTATCAGGTGTTCCGAATGTCAGTTTTTCCATTTTGTTCCATGCTCAATTATGCTTTTTTAGTAAAGACGGAGTTCACTGGAATGTCGTTGCCACTCGATTCATGAACCAGCTCCTTCTCGGCCATCTCGCGTGTGCGTGGCGTATCGAACGAGTAGTGCAGAAGAAATGGAAAGCGAGCATTACACAAAAGACGTGAGAATTCGTTCATCTCCTTTATTCTAAACGCTTTTCCAGATATAGAGAAACTAGATCGCAGATATTTAAATGTGCTCTCGATTTTCTGAAGAACATGAACAAAAAAAAGCATATTAATGAACGAACCCAGGCACGTTTTGCATTAACTCTGTGATGCCATAACTTTCTGATTCATTTCAGCAGCATGTTCGTGTTATTAGCCTTGAAAATTTCAATCGGTGCAATCCAATGGGAATGTCAGCCACACAGTTTATGGAATCGATGCGAGTGCTTTTAATGTTCTACAAGTATCAGCAGCAACACAGCGACAAGTCCGTCTCTCTGGCGAAGGCATTCGGAGTGGGTCAGCTGCCCCCTGAGTTGTCCAGATATTCGCAGGAAGACATCGTGAAGATCGGCAAAATGGTATGTGAGCCTTTTGTTTGCTGTGTTATCCATTTTTTTTCAGATACATGAAGTCACGAGTACCTGGAGAGACCGTTTGCCGCCGACCCGAATGGGTCATAGACACAAGCGGAAACTGGAGAGAAGAGCTCTTCTGCCCACCCCGAGTGCTCCGCCTGGTATTTCATTCTCGCGAAATGAGCCGCACAAGGTATGTCACTTCGTCTTTCTTCAACAATAGTTATTCTTCCATTTAAGAGCATTGCGCCGGCTGAGAGGAGATATCAGGACCACAGACCTCACAGCAGAAAGAAGCCTCGTTACGAATCTTACTTGCCGTACTCTCCCTAAGCTACAGTGCCTTTTTATATTTTACGGGCAATAGAGTGGTTTTGCCTTTGTTCAATCTCAATCTCATCAGGTCAATGGTGATATCTTGTGTTTTTAATAGTTCCTTGTCTAATGAACACATTTTAATCAAAGGTAATTTCAAAATTGGGTTGTTCATTGACTTCCCGAACTTTCGATATTCGTCTGATTCGATGAAACTGTAAATAAAGCTCAGAGAATGGGGCGTCATAAACTACGATAAGATGACGGTCTGAGCGGCCCCATGGTGGAAGAGGTCTCTGATGGAAGTCGTCTCGTGTCTTTCTTTCGCCGCTTCTCTGCCCATCTTCCGTCGACTACACCGTAGGCTGCTCCCTCCTTGTTTCGCGCACTCTCTCGCCCCTTTCTCTTCACTCTCCACTTTCGCAGTTAGCCACCACCACCGCCGAATTGTCATCATTCGGGAAGAGAGCACAGTAATCGGATAGACGCAGAGACCGGCTACGCGTTCTCTTCGCTGAAATATTTGAGGTTCTTGTGCGGCTGTTTGTCGCGGCGCTAATGTCATCATGTGTTTTATCGGCTATCGATTTTCTAGACTCTTTCCCTTTCTCTGTCTGCGTTCCTCTGTTTCTTCTCCGTCCATTTAGTACACTTTTTGAACGCGAACGGGACGGAAAAGGTTGGAATTACTGAAAAGGACACGACGAGAATGAAGACCGGACTGCTGGGGCGGCGGCGAAAAGTTAAACAAAGTCACGTTCTTGTTGGTGATACCATCTGGCGCCTCTCGCTTAAGATGCAGTTTTGATCCCTCCCGGACGGGCTCTTCCTTCCCTGTCTTCCTATTTTTCGTCTTTTCCGTCCCTTCTTCCGCTAATCGATTCCTCCTCCGTGCCTCCTGCTCATTTGTCATCAATTTCTCGTGTTTTGATGACTCCCTCTATCTTTCGAGCCTCACTGTATGTGTAGTTTTGTGTGCTGACAAAAGCCTCTATCAGTTATTTCTCCGTTTTCAGTTCGCTCGTATGGTCGGATGGGCAACTGGATAACGTCGACGTTCCTCAGATTCGACTCGTACCTCTTCGCCCGCAAACACGACCGCTTCATTGACTTCAACAGAAGAGGTAGGTCACGAAAACTACAAACTTCAGAAACGGCGAGCGAGCGAGAGAAAAAAAGAGAGAGAGAGAGAGAAAGGAAGGCGAATAGAAAAAACGAGAAAGAGATTAAAGGTGAATTGGTTTCAGAGCACCCCTCGAATCCCTTGTATTCCGTTCGAGCGGCCGCCGAAATCGTGGCTCAACAGAGGATGAAACCGGTAAGGAATCCGCGTGTGACACGAACGTATGTTGTGCCCTCCCGAAATGTCATCACAACACAGACTGACTCGACGGGTGGGGAGAGGCGGCGCCTCTGTCTCTGATCGCGCCAATCGTCGGTGGGCGCCGATCGGAGAGACGCAGACGCTTCCCCCGCTTCTCTCGCTTCCCCACTCCTCTATCATTCACTATTTACCTTCCACCCCCATTCTCACTAGGTCCCAATTTCTAAAATAATTACTATACGTTATGCCTTTCAAAAGGAAATGCAATCTGAAAAGAGTAAGTGTTTTCCTGAGCTTCAGTCTCTTAAAAAGTAATGCGGAAGAGTGTGTCTGGGTCTAGAACTAAAGTGTACTCTCTCTCCTTTTTTCTCGTCAAGTGCGAGTGCGTCATCTATTGATTCGAAGCAAAGTTTTCGGCTGTTGTTTCGAGAAAAAATGACTGATGAAATTCGTTCATCACACTAATCAAAAAGAACGAAATACTGCGGCGACGCACTTTTCTGATCAGCCAGTCTCAACTGCCTGAAAACTTGGCATTTTAGACAAAAACAAGAAAATGATGACAAATTCTGCTGCCAGTCATCGCATAATGCTTATTTTTCATCTGAAAATCTAAAAAGCTGGTGGAATTTCGAATAACCCTTTGTGAATATAAAACCCGGATCATCCGGAACTGCTCTTCGGTTAGGGGTGCCCTTCTAATTTAGTATTTACGGTAGTCACTATATCAACGTCTACAAATCCGTAAAATTCTCAAATCGAAACCTAACTACAAACCACATAAAATGGCCATGTGTTCTTTGGAATTCCCTCTCTCCGGAGACCGACTCGTCGATCGGCGCCCGTGATGACAATTGCCTACAGTACTCGTCCGGCCGCTCGTCGTCCAGTGACTCCTCCCCTCCAGTATCTTTCTAGCTAGCATCCCCTCATTGAGCATTCACAAGTAATCGAGAGATCTACTTTGACGCAACTTCCGTCGTCTATTACATCACACCCGAGACTGAAACATTTCCCGCTTTCTCTCTCTCTCTCTCTCTCTCCCTTCCGCGGGCGCTCGCATCACAAACACTACACGAACACTGTCGAGAGGCTGGTTTCCCACCGGGCCATAGAAAGCATCAGATGATTCGTTTCGTTTGCGAAGACTGAAGAACTTTGCACCTTTTCCAGGATCGCAATGGCAGCGATACGGACTTCTCGGACGATGATGACTGCCCTCCGATGACCCGACAGGAGGAGCAGGAAATGTACGAACGGGAGCAGCGGATTGCATTCAGTGGCCGCTGCAACATCGGAGACCCAGAGGTGAGTACAGTCATCACAAATCACAACAAATTCTGGCGAATGTGCCTTTCGCGCGTAGTCTGTAGTCCGCTTCTCACGATTCGAACGCGTGTAAAGCCCTTTGCCCTAGGCCGGCAAGGCCATGATGACAAACTGAACTGTGAACTTTGCTTTTTCGCTCTAAACCAAACAATGGTCGAACTTATTAGAGAACCCAATAAATGGGCGTTCCAGAGCTGCAAACAGCTGCGGACACAAATCATTTCTCGCTGTGGACCCGGACCTTCGACGTCGACGACGCAGTTCCTCTTGAACAGAGACATCAATCCGATGCGGAGGAGCGGCGCGCCGCCAATGAGCGATAGAGAAAGAAGAGCTCTCACGAATGTATTCTTGCCGAATCGGAGAAAACGAGTGGACAAGGTGCAGACGAAAACGTTTTGCGTTCAGTACATCAACAACGGAAGGAAAATCATGGTTTCCAGTCAAGGTGGGCGGAGAGACTAGAGAAGGAAATGTCTATCTTGAAAATTTCAGATGAAAGAATCCGTTTTTACGCGAAGAACACACCACAAGGGAAATACTCGTCGAGATACTTCCAATGCAACGAACTGCATGTGGATTCTTGTAGTTGGTCAATACTCGACACGGCGGTGAACCCGGAAGGAGACCTCATCTGCTATTCCACGTGGAGAGATCAAATATATCTGGGAAAGTAAGTTTTTACGTCTCATTCGACAGTTTTCACAATTTTAAATGTTCAGACTCGATCAACATGAATATCAAAATATGACGTGGCATCCAATTGATCTGGGAGATCACGGACAAAAGTAATCAGTTCAAGTTGCCATGCTCCAAATAATCTGCTCTTTTTGCAGCCAAGTCGCCGTGTTCTGCGTCAGATTCTCCAATAATAGCGAGCAGCTTGTCTGCGGAACTTCGGACTACAGCATCCACGTGTTCGACGTTGAGCAACGTCGCAGAGTTCGAACGATTGTGAACGCTCACGAGGACGACGTGAACTCTGTCTGCTTCGCGGAGCAAGGATCCAACTTAATTTACAGTGCAGGAGATGACGGACTCGTCAAGGTGAGTGACCTGACTGTTTGAAAAAGAAGCAAAAATGTCGGCTGTCAGGTCTGGGACAAGCGCGCGTGGTCGGACGGAGACGTCGAGCCGGTCGGAGTGTTTGCCGGTCATCGCGACGGAGTCACGTTCGTGGATTCGCGGCAAGACGAGAAATATCTGCTCAGCAACAGCAAGGATCAGACCATCAAAGTGTGGGATCTGCGCAAGTTCTCGAATAACGTCGGAGTGGTGAGTTTTGCGGGTGAAGTAGTCTTCGATAGGCCAGATCTGTTTGTAGGAAGCCACACGTTCGTGCGTTCAGAGCCAACGCTGGGACTACCGATGGCAGCCTGCTCCGCCCGGTCTCTGCCAGCCAGTCAACGGAGACACTTCCGTCATGACTTTGCGGGGACACTCTGTCCTTCACACGCTCGTCAGAGCGAAATTCTCACCTGAAAGAACCGGTAGAAGATATATTTATACGGGATGCGCACGAGGCGAAGTCGTCGGTAAGCTACCGTAACCCATATGTCCTGACCATTCTTAAATGTTTCAGTTTATGACATCCTGACCGGAATGGTGAGCCGCAGACTGAAAGGTCACGTCGGAGTGGTCCGAGAGTGTGATTGGCATCCGGAAGAGAACGAGATCGTCAGCAGCTCGGTGAGTAGTGAAACGGAAGCGGTCACAGAGATCAGAGGCCAATCCAGCTGTTTTGGTGTCTTATTTGTCATCATTTCCGTCGCTAACGCCTCTCGTTTTCTCTTCCATGAGAGACCTTAAAAGAGATTGAACGACTGGTCTGAAATTTGAAGAGCGCGCGGTCTCTCGTACCTTTTTGAAAATGCCGCTGAACTTTGAAAGAGACCAAACATCCGAATCATTGCAAACTCTAAGCAACCGCGCACTTTTGTTTGTTTTCACTACCGCGTTCTAAAAGTGCTGAAATTGTGTATGTTATCCAACTAAAATTTTCAGTGGGACGGAATAACGAGTGTGTGGACGTGGGACGAAAGATCGGAACACGTGACCGCTCCGTACGAACACCGCGGAGACTACGCGAAGCTCGGCGACGAAGATTCGTGCGACGAGTTCTACGAGGAGATCAAGAAGCCACCCCGTCGCCAACGGAAACACATGAGTCGCGGCTCCGAACCGTCGACCAGCGCAGCAGCAAACTAAACTCGTTTTTGTCCATTCCCCTTCCCCCTTATCTTGCATTTGTCACCTCATTTCACCTCGTTTGTCGCCCTGTTCCCAGTTCTCAACTTGCTTGTCCCATTGATTACGGTAGGCTTTGATTCGCCATTCAATTCAATTGATACGGAGTTTTGTACATACCCAAACGGTTCCTGTCATCACATCATTTTTACCCCCCTCAAAACTATATTATTTCAATAAATACTTAATAATTATTTCGAAAGTCCACAAGTGTGTGCGCCTTAAAAAAGGAAAGACCCGGCGGGAGGTGAGACTGTTATCAGTCGGCCGAGAAATGAGAGAAGAGGCGCTCGAATCGATTTGTGCCGCCCTTTCGATCAGTTTCTCCGAAGATCCCGCTCATCTCACCCACATTCTCCACCGATTCTCCGAGGTTTACCAAGTGTTGCTAACCGATTTCCAGATGAACCTATTCAGATATTCATCATAAAAGAGCGGCTGAATGCATTGCGAAAAAAGTGCGAAAAGTTTGTGAGTCACTCCGGAATACGTCATTTTATCAAATGACATTTGTTTCAGCAAACGTACACTCTCGAATTGCGACCTATCGGGTCGTGCGCCGAAAATGTGCACGCGTACATTCTAGAGTAGGTCAAGAGGGAAAAAATGGGGAAATGAGATGATGTTCAGGACGGACACGTGCAGACAACAAGCTGTCAACCCATCTGGGATCACTAGAATGTGGGTGAGAATCGACGGTCGGTCACTTAGTTTTGTGATTTCAGAGAAATCAGTACTCTACGGGACGTCTCGCTGAAATTCGGTCTGAGTCAGAAGAAGGACGGACAGAGCAAGAAAGGAGTGTCCCGGTCAGCTTCCCTGCTGAAAAAGTGAACGTTCTTCCTGAAACCGTCACAATCTGCTCTTCTTGTTTCCAGACTGACGTTCTCCGATAAAAAGAACATGGACCAGCTGAAAGTAAGTGTATTCCCACTGGACATTGCGGTCAGGAAGCACATAACACTCGGCAGCGGAAAGAGTGTGATGCTCGAGATGAAACTGATTCGCAACGATCATCGCAGACTCATTCAACACTTGGAATTCGACGATTTCCTTGAAATGACCAGGAGGTTCCACGAGTGGCAGGCCGAGAATAACGAGGTGATCCCACCCTCTTTTGATTCGAATTTCAATTCGCAGGCTGAACTTTACGATGGAAACCTCGGCGATCCGACTTTTGCAATGTTCTACTCGGTCGCATTCTTCTTTGAAATACCTTCTTTTGTACTGAAAGCCACGTGAGTTCCATGGAATTCCTCTCATTTTCCGAATTTGATTATTTCAGAGAAATGACATGCTTTCTTGTTTGGGACGATGAAATGAAGGTTGGTTACAAAGGGAAACGGAAAAGGAGAAAGGTATTCAGAAGTTGGACGAGAAGGCGTTGGTCGATGTGAGTCTGAAGATGTCCGCCTGCGAGTCCGAAGTGGATCTCCATCATCCATTATTGGTATCTTCTGATCATCAGATCCGAAATGAACAGTTTTCTGCTTTCAGAATCCCGCTCTAATCTACCTAAACGACTGCACTTGCAACACAATCCGCTCGATCCTCGAGCCGTTTTCGCTCGAACCGTTCTTCCCGCCCGTCTCCCATTCCCGTCTCAAACCCATTAACTCGGCTCTCAAGCTCATCGCCGACATTTGTGTTCTTGAAGTTTGGGACGAGTTCGAGTCTCTCGCCAGTCCCTCGTCGTTCTTGTCCTCAGAATTAACGCGTCTACTCGAGAACAGTGCAGAGAGATTCGGCGAGACTTTGAAGAAGATGGAGTTCCACGAGCTGTGCCGGTCCGTTCAGAATCTGTGGATGAGTCTGAGCAATGACAGCCAGCCCTATTATATATTCTTTCATCAGTTTGACATTAATTATATTGGTGTCGCCATGCTCAAATTGGATAACGCGGTGAGAGTTGCGCTTGGTTTCTTGAGGGTTTCCATTAAGTTTGTTCGTATTTTTTTCCTCATTCTGAAGATGATTTCCGTCATTTTTAGTCAAAGTTGGAGAATAATTCGGGCTACTGTACTTTCAATTTTTTGCAGCTGGCAGAATCAGTTCGGAAATCTTTGAAAGACCAACTGGATGTTATCAACTTGAGAAACCCGATTGAGCTGGAGAACTTTACAAAAACAACAATGAGGCTGTTCGTGACACTTCGGAATCTGCTGAGCATGGTGGAGACGTTCCGCCTCCCGGAGAGCCAAATTTTCAATTTCGAAGAGTGGTTCACGGATGTCAGTGTGTTCTGGGCGTATTCATGGAGAGAAGTCACTCTCCAGATGGTCGAGAGAACGATCACATTGGACGAGGACGGCGATTCGGTGAAGTACGGAGCGAGAAGACCCCTTCCGGCCGGGTTGTACTCGTTTCTCTGCATTCAGAAAGGTTTGACATTGAACGTATTCTCTTGAGAACTGATTGACTACTGCAGGAATATCGGACGATATGGCAAGACTCGAGTTCACATTCCCTCATCATCTCATTATTTGTTCGGCGTCTGTGGTCAACGTAAGGGTCCGATTCATAGCCAATTTGCGTTATTCTTCCAGATAATGTGCCAAAATATAAACGCATATGCGAGAAAACTGTTCAATGAAGCGATGAGAAGTCATGAAGAGAAGACGTCGAGACTGGTGAGAGCCACCAATGGAATCGAGCAGGCGATGTGCTTTGTGGAGGAGGGATACAGACGGTTCGCACAGTTTCAGAGACTGGAAGAGGTGAGGAGCGAAGAGGAAAAAGAAAAAGAAGAAAGGCGTTCAGTATGCGGATGCAGAAGAGATGACTGCAGTCAAAACGACGGCGACCAGGCTGCTGAAGTCGACGCGGGAGGTGTGTGAGCAGCAGATTTCGGTCCTTCTCGCTCAGTTCGTCGATCTCAAAACAGATATTGTCGCGAAGATTGCCAGAAACTTGTGTGCGGACGGGAAGGAATCGAGCAGTGGACTGGTGAGCTGCAGAAATTGACAAGAGAAATGAGTATCCGTCGCAGAAGTCGTACATGCGGGAAGTGACGTCTTCGGAACGGATAGAAAGTATTCTCGAATGCTGCTACGGACTCGTGGACGACGTCCGCTGTCTACTGCTTCCCAAGTAAGCTGTGAAATCCTCACGCATTTAGAATCTCTTCAGTTGCTTCAAAATATCCACACGCCACTTTGCCAATTCTTTGGAAACTCAAATACGGAAAAGTATACGTCAAAAACAGCCGGCCGAGTACTACAGTAATGTTTATGTGAGTATGATCCGATTGTCGCTTGACGCGGATGTTTGACCCGGGCGAATTCAGATTGCACTGAAGTACATATACGAGTTTCTGGAAGTGGACGATCGGAAGGATATCGAGCTGCTCTCGAACCTGCACCTCAACAGCTTTTCGACGAAAGATCTCATTCTTTCCTACTACGATTCCCTGTGCGAGAAGATCGACAGAACTCGATTCGGAAATGCTCCACACGTAGACGTACACATTTCGTACACAAAGATAGAACCGGAAGACACAATTTCCATTCAGATCAAATGTACTTTTCCATCTGATTTGTCTCAATATCCAGTCGGTTTCAGTGGTGAGGATGTCTCCGATCGAGTGGATCGACGTCCTTTCCGATCGAGTCGACTACTTTGTCCGTCTCGAACTCTTTCCGAAAATCCTCTTCCCATCCAATAAATTTGACTCACCCACCACCAATCCGATGCCGCAATCAACGCGCCCGCAATGGAAACAGCTTTTCGAAATGTTTGTGTTTGATCTTTGCATCTGATGACATCACCCTCACTTCTTGTTTCTCATTACAATCATAGATGTTTTGATAGTCAGAGAGTGTCCAGTTTGAAGATCACCATCCATTTGTCCTTTGTATCATCCGAGACAAGAAGCACTTAAAGTTCTTTTTTTCAGTCGTGTGCCCTTGGAGTGCTTCTTCCTTCGTGGCGCATGTCTCGCCATTTCAGTGTTCGACCACGAAAGGTTCCGTCTTTCCGCCGAGTGCTGAAGAATCATAAATAACTTTTCAGATTCATAGACCGTCTCGTGGGTCGTGGCTTCATAAGTCTCCATTCAGTTCCTCAGGCCTCCGATGAGAAACCAACCCAGAAGATTCAAGTCCCTCTGCTTCCCAACGACTTTTCCGATCAGAATAACGTTTTCTATCAGGTTTCTGAATCGTCCACCCTCATTTCGTAACGATCAAACATTCAGCTCCTGAGGAACCGTTCGTGTCGAGACGCCGTCGCTAAAGAGTTCATCGAGACGCGCACGCGACGTCACCAAAAGATCCGTGCCCTTCAGCACTACATTCGTCGGAACCGCAACCGCGTCGGACACATGTTGTTGGGTTGAAATAAAGAATCGATCTGACTGACTTCTTTTTCTGTTTTGCTGGAACGATGAGAACGGCGCGATAAACGCAGTCGGACGGCCGGCGCCGTGGCGGGCGGCCGGTCGTCGGACATCGCCCGTCCTTAACTGGGTCGCGCATATCACGTCCCGCCGCCAGCCGACACACCGTTTGCCCCCTTGCCTTCTTTCCTCCGATCTTCCACTTCCTACCGAAACCATTTTTTTTATTATTCCTCGTTTTCAATTTGATAGACGAAGAAGAACGTGGTAGAACTTGTAGAAGAAGAAACAACATTCGAAAAGTAGTATAGTTGTCAGCAGCGATGGCCTTCTCCAATAATAAATAACATAGTAATAATAATAGAGGTCGAATGAAACCGGAACTTGATGGACTTGAACTGCAATTTCAGGCAGTCGCGTTCCAACTTTCGACCGATTGGGTGGGCGGCTATCATGTCTCTCGGGCGACGATCCGTCTTGCACTTGTCCTATTTCCGCCGCTCATTATCAAACCGCCGACGTGTCGTCGTCGTCGTCGTTTCGAACAGAAAAAAGAGGCGAACCGAAGGGCACTCCTCCCCAGATATCATCGGTCGGCCGATCCGTTGGCACGATCGATTACGTCGAATCCGACTATCGGAGTGTACCATCTAGTAGATGAATCATGACGTGGCAGCCGCAGGTTTTGCTGCGAAACCATGAACCCGCTCTTCTTCTCATTAACAAGAAGTACTTTGTTTTTTCTTCTTCGTCTTCTTCTTCTTCTGATTACACATTGATTAACTGCCCGCCACTCAGTTAATCTCTTCGATTCTTCTTCGTCCATTAAAAAATCTTGTCCCGAGGAACCTCGACCGTCCGACCTTCTTTTCGATTGGCTATGATTAACCAATTCATCAACTCTTTTTCCTCAAATTTCTCCCGAACATTCGACAGCCACGCATCGCTGACCTCTTCTCTCCCGCCACGTCATGCCCAGCTAATCTCTAATTGCCCATCCCGACCCCCGACCTTTATCTTCGATCTTCCTCCCTGGAAGCGTGTTCTCAGGCCCATATCATTTCGGTAGCATCATTGAGCAACTCGATCTTGTCGAGCCCATCGCGGAACAAAGGCGGAGCACTCGCCGCGCCACTCTCCGCCCGCTGTCTGTTTGTCCTTTTGTCGTCCGCGTCGAGGTGCCCTCCGCCCCTCCAATTGCCAGTCCTCTTCCCTTATCAGAATTCGGTCCCCCGATTGTTTTGTAGTTGTACATACATACACACACACACATACATATATCTGTAGATGTCCCCTGCGTCCGGCCGCCTGGCCAGCCCTCTTTCTTCTTTCCAAACCTGTTTTCGATCTCAATCCGTCTTGTCTCGCCACCCCCATCACCACACTACCACCATCGTCTTCTCACCGTACGAATTGAAGTCGCACTTTTTCCAACCACTGCAATTTTTAGTTATTTGTGTCAGTGCGACGTGGCACTCTGCGTCTGATTCCCCTCCCCTTATCCATATACCGTATCAAATTCATTAATCAGTAAGACAGTCAGCAGGGGCCGAACAGGTTGGCAGATGACCAGCCGCGATTCTCGTGATCACCTCCGCTTTATTTTGAATATCGGTCTTTCTCGAACCCTTCCGAAGCTTCTTTGTTCGTTTCTCTCCGCTCTTTCCGTCTCTTCCTTTCCGAGCCGTTCCTCTTCTAATCCGAACTTTTTTCCAGGCACAGCCTCTTTTCTGAGACCTCTTCTTTTATTCTCCCTCTACTATTCCCCCCAACACTCCGTCAACACCAAATGAGTACCAACTAAACACAATGATTCTGAGGTTGCTCATTTTCACAATATTGGCCGTGACCACGGTCAATTCCAGTACACGGCAAACATCGTTTCACTCGATTCAAGGTAAGATCTCCTCGATTCTCTTTTTCATCTATTGCTCCTGTTCCTGTTGCTGTTGCTGCTTCTGCTGCTGCTGCTGCAAAAAAAACCGAAAAAGCGCTAGAGAAGCGTTCATCTCGGGAAGATTGTGAGCATTCGGTCGTGAGGTCGCGCACTTTTGTCCGCACGCACTGCACGCGCACCCCTAAGCACAAATAGACTAGTGTCTCAATTGTGGGCCGGCCAGTTAGAACAACAAACCAACAAAAGTGGACAAATAATTGATAATATTCGCAATCCGAGAGCCACTAATTGACCCGCTGCTACAAGTGCCGTTTTCACACCTCCGACATTAAAAACAGAGAGAGAGAGAGAGATGAACGCTTGTTGATAGGTTTCCGTTCAGTGTGTAAATTAAAAAATAGGCAGTGGTCAGTTTCCCTCCTCAATTCAGGGCTGGTACGGTAAGCAATCAGGTTTACTGAGCGGTGTTTGAACTCGAAGCAAATTAAATGACGACAAATGCATTAAAATTATTTGAAAAAGTACATTTTTGAGTGAAAAACCAGAAAATTGGCAGAAAAATCAGAGCCGGCTTCGAAAAAGAACGAAAATTTTAAATAAAAATTAAGTTACGTTCTAAGAAAAATTTGTAATGTGTAGAAAAAAAAATCAAATTAAAGCATTCTTGCGAATAAATTTTAATCTGGATTAATTTGCCGAAAGACAGCAAGAATTAGCGAAAAACAGGTCTATTTTGCCATTTATAATGCTTTGTGTGCAAATACCGCTCAGTGAATCAAATTGCTTACCGTTGGCCATCCAAGGCCGGTCATTCTTTTGCCCAGCCCTGTCTCAATTGATACAAGTTTGATGATGTTTACACGGTTTTTCGAACAATCATTCAAATTGGCACCCACACGAAAAACAGGCTTGACCGCAGCGGCGACAGGCCAACACACCGTGTCGACTGTCCTATTTGTTTGGACGTTTTGACTGGTATCGATCTGATCTGAGGAGACTATTGAACAAGTGGAAGAGGAGAAAGTAAATGGAAATGTTTCAGTTGACTCGCCGCCGTCCGTCCGTTCCCGGATCATCTCGGCATCGGTGAACACCGCGTCGGCAGTGTGCAACGAGAACGATTTCCGGTGTAATGACGGAAAGTGCATTCGGTCGGAATGGAAATGCGACGGATCAGGGGACTGCTCGGACGGAGAGGACGAGAAAGATTGTCGTGAGTAAATCGAATGGAAATGGATTGAAGATTGACCAGTTCGTTTCTTTGCAGCTCATCCTGGATGCAAGTCGGATCAATGGCAATGTGACACCTACACGTGGCACAGTATCTCCTGTATCGCCGAGTACCAGAGATGCGACAACATCACCGATTGTGCCGACGGATCCGATGAGAAGGACTGTCGTGAGTTCTGATCCCTTCTTACAAATCCACGTGGGTCTGTTCCAGCTGCTTCGCCAATCGACTGCAGTTCGCCGAATGTTTTCATGTGTGCAGACGGACGACAATGCTTTGACATGTCAAAAAAGTGCGACGGAAAGTATGACTGCAGAGATTTGAGTGACGAAAAGGTCAGTTTCAAGAATATGGTGGAAATACCACGAACCTTGCAGGATTCGTGCTCTCGCAACCACACCGCCTGCTTCCAATATCAGTTCCGATGTGCCGACAAAACCCAATGCATCCAGAAGTCGTGGGTTTGCGACGGCTCTAAAGACTGTGCTGACGGATCAGACGAACCAGACACTTGCGGTAAGATTTTATCTATGTCGTAATGAACATTCATAACAAATTTGTGTTCTAGAATTCAAAAAGTGTACTGCAAACGAGTTCCAATGCAAGAACAAGAGATGCCAGCCACGAAAGTTCCGGTGTGATTACTATGATGACTGTGGCGACAATTCGGACGAAGAGGAGTGCGGAGAGTACAGATGTCCGCCCGGAAAGTGGAATTGCCCTGGAACCGGACATTGCATCGAGCAACTCAAACTTTGCGATGGAGTCAAAGACTGTGCCGACGGAGCCGATGAGCAACAGTGCTGTAAGTGAGAGTCAGAACGATATCAATTAAAAAGAATTGAACGCCTGAAATCCTTTTTAAAAGTTCAAATGGCAATTTTCTCTCGTTTCAAAGTGGTTTTGCAAACAAAGAGAAACACGCTTCAACTAGGAGACTGCCTAGTTAATAAAGCTCAAAGTGCAAAGATCCATAGACATTGCAAAAGGCCATTAAGTCACGAATTACGATTGATTGCAGCGCAAAACCTGTGCCCGTCGCTCGGCTGCCAGGCAGGTTGCCATCCATCGCCGCATGGAGGAGAATGTACCTGTCCGAGCGGATATAAACTCGATGACCGCTTCCACAGAACGTGTTCCGATATCAATGAATGCGCCGAATTCGGGTACTGCGATCAACTGTGCGCCAATCATCGGCCCGGATTCACCTGCTCATGCCTCGGGGACTGTTTCACTCTTCAAATGGAGCACGGACCGGGCAAGGATAACCTTACGATGAGGGGATATTGTGTGTCGAACAATGCGGATAAAATGAGACTGTTTGTGGCCAGAAGGGAGGGTCTGTACAGGCTCAACCCAAAGAATCCAGACGAAGAGGTGAAGAAATTGGCGTCTGGAGAGTTCATCTACGGAATTGACTTCGATTACGGAGACAAAAAGATCTTCTGGACTGATCGTCTTGCCCATTCCGCATTCAGTGCCGACGTGGACGACGAGGGAGAAATTTCGCAGATTAAGTAAGTATTTGGATGGTAAATTCAAAACATAAGAAGGGAGCATTATGTTGTACTAGTATGCTGCATTTCGTAGAAAACTGAGTCTGAAGTCACTGGTCTATCCACGATGCTTGGCTGTCGACTGGATCACCAACACCCTCTACATCATCGAGTCCGGATCCAGACGCATCGACGTGTCTTCGTATGATGGAGACAGAAGAACTGTGCTGCTTGCCGACGGACTCACTCTCCCACTAGACATTGCTCTCGATCCACTCAGAGGGTGAGACTCAACTGGAGTTTACAGTTTTCAGTAACTTTTTATAATTTAAGAGAAATGTTTTTCACGAATCAGCTGAAGATCGAAGCAGCCGCAATGGACGGAACGAACAGAAGGACACTTGTGAACACGCACACTCATCAAGTGTCCGGAATCGTTGTGGATATCACTGCCAAGAGAGTCTACTGGGTTGACCCGAAAGTCGACAGATTGGAGAGTATCGATTACCAAGTGAGTTGTGCAAACTGTTCAAAACTTCTTAATCTCTTTTTCAGGGAAATGACCGTCGTGTTGTTGCCCAAGGAATGAACGTCGTCCCCCATCCGTTCGGTCTCACTATCTTCGACCAATACCTTTACTGGACAGATTGGACCAGACTCGGAGTGATTCAAGTTGAGAAGTTCGGATCGGAAACAAAGACGCTGTGGACCAACACCGAAAACAACGTGTTCCCGATGGGCATCGCTGCCTACCATCCGATGGCTCAGCCGGGTCCCGGACAGAGCGAATGCATGGCCATGAAGATCGAGAACCCGTGCACGAACGCCGATTGTGAGGGCATGTGCATTCTTTCGAAGGATAACGGAGGATTCGGAGTCGGATACAAGTGTGCCTGTCCCATCGGACAGAAGCTGGTCAACGGAAAGCGATGCATTGATTCGATTGATTATCTTCTGTTCTCGAGCAACAAAATCGTCCGAGGAATCTTCCCCGAAATGAATGACAAGGCGCTCTCTGAGGCAGTGCTACCGATCTCGCCAATCTCGCAGAGAAGAATAGGAATGTACTTTGAAGTGGAGTGCGACGTGCACGGAAACTCATTCTTCTATGCTGATATCATGGACAATACCATCTACAGGTAAACATTGTCAACTGTTCTCTAAACCACGCTGTTATTCAGAATCCGTCCGGACGGAGAAGGAGCAGCTCCAGTGCTGGTCACCCACAACGACGGGCTCTTCTCGATGTCATTCGACTGGATCAGCAAGCAGCTCTACTACGTGGACAACATCAGAAACAGTCTGGAAGTGGTCAAGATCGGAGAGACTGGACTGGTCCATCCAGATGAGCTCGTCCGCCGTCAGCTAATCACTGAGCTCCGTGACCCGGTTTCTGTTGTCGTTCACCCATGGAAGGGACTTCTCTTCTACGCAGAAGCCATGCGACCAGCAGCTATTTACAGGTGAGGTTCATTTTCGATGAAATCCAAACAAATGGATGATTTCAGATGCCACATCGATGGAACGAACTGCGAAGTGATCCGTAACACCACCCTCGGACGGCCATCGGAAATGGCGATCGACTTCGCCGAGAACCGTCTTTGCTGGGGAGATACTCTTCTCAAAACCATCTCGTGCATGGACTTTGACGGAAAGAACGTCGTGAAGATCGATGCAGAGACTCCGATCCCAGTGGCAATCACAATCATGAACGAGTACATCTATTACGTTCATCAACGTCCGTACTCGATCCGCAGAGTTCACAAGAAGAACGGAGGCGGTAGCAAAATCATTAGAGAGTTCGGAGCAGACGTAAGCTTGTTTTACCGGCCAGACACCTGGTGTTATTTCTGTTTGTTTGCAGGAAAGATCAATCTTTTCGCTCAAAGCGTGCTCCCACCAGAACCAGCCTATTCCGGACGACTCGAGGGAACACCCGTGTCGTGCCTCGCAGTGCACTCAGTTGTGCTTTGCCACGCCTTCCGAGTCGAACTCGAATGAGCTGGAAGCCAAATGCGCTTGCAGACAGGGATTCAAAATCAACAAGGAGAACAACCACAGTTGTCAGAAAGATCCTACCGAACAGATTGAGCAGCTGTGCACTTCCAACTCAACGCAATTCCAGTGCAAGAATGGTCGGTGCATTCCGAAAGAATGGAAATGCGACGGTGAGAACGACTGCCTTGATGAATCGGACGAAGTGGACGAGAAGGGAGAGAAGTGCTTCCACGAGACTGAATGCGCTGAGAACATGATCAAGTGCAAGAACACAAAGAAGTGCATCCCAGCACAATACGGTTGCGACGGAGACAACGACTGCGGAGACTACTCGGACGAGGATGTCCAGTACTGCAAGGACGGTGCGAAGCCGACGTGCGCCGCCAAGAAGTTCCAGTGCGCCAACCACCGATGCATCCCCGAACAGTGGAAGTGCGACAGTGACAATGACTGTGGCGACGGATCCGATGAGACCATCGAACTGTGTGGAAATGCCACGTGTGCCTCTAATCAGTTCTCGTGTGCCAACGGACGGTGCATACCAATCTACTGGCTCTGCGACGGCGACAACGATTGTTACGATGGAACTGACGAGGACAAGGAGAGGTGTCCGCCTGTCCAATGCTCGGCTCTTCAGTTCAGATGTGCAAACGGAAGACAGTGCGTTCCGCTCAGAAACCATTGCGATGGACAGAGTGACTGCGAAGACGGATCCGACGAAGACTCGTGCGTAGTCAACACCGACACCTGCACTTCCGATCAGTTCAAGTGCGTCTCTTCCGGCCTCTGCATCCCTGCCTCTTGGAAATGCGATGGGCAGCAAGATTGCGATGACGGATCGGATGAGCCAAAGTTCGGATGCACCAACAACAGACAGTGCAAACCGGATCAATTCAAGTGCGGAAACGGAAGATGCATTCTCAATGTAAGCATTCTTTTCTGGAAATTTCTCGAATCTTTCGGATTTGGAAACCCATGATTTTGAATTTTAACTATCAAACTCACTACTCTTTCACGTACCTAGCGTGCGTAAATAAATAAAATGAAATCTATCCTAATCTATCCTAATCACGTTTGCAGAATTGGATGTGTGACGGAGAGAATGACTGCGGAGACGGTTCGGATGAGTCGGCGGACAGAGGGTGCAAGACCCCGATGAATGCCCGCAAGTGTCCGTTCGAGCACGTCGCCTGCGAGAACGATCCGGAAACGTGCATTCCATTGCATCAATTGTGCGACGGGAAGAGTCATTGTCCGGGAGGAACGGACGAAGGAGGAAGGTGTGCTCGCGACTTGTGTTCATCCGACAGAGCCGGATGCTCTTTCAAGTGCCATAACAGCCCAAACGGACCGATTTGCAGCTGTCCATTCGGAGAACAAGTGAGTAATTCCCCCTGATCCCCCTCCGTTACCAATATTCTTGCAGCTTGTGAATAAAACAAAGTGTGAACCTGAGAATGAATGCCTCGATCCCAGCAGCTGCTCGCAAAAGTGTACGGACGAGAAGCACGGATTCACATGCTCTTGCGATGAAGGATATCAGCTGGATGCCGACAAGAGAACTTGCAAGGTTCAGAACAACGGAAAGGACACTCGCATCTATGTGTCGAACAGAAATAGAATCTACTACAGTGATCACAAACTGGACAACTGGCACACCTTCGGAGCAGTCGTCGAGAACGCCATAGCTCTCGCTTGGGACAGTCTGACTGACCGCATTTACTGGTCGGACATCAGGGAGAAGAAGATATTGTCGGCCAACAGAAACGGAACGAACGTCACCGTTTTCATTGCCGACGGACTCGATATCACTGAAGGCATCGCCCTCGATTGGGTTGGAAGGAATCTGTATTGGGTGGACTCCTCCCTGAACACCATCGAAGTTGCCAACCTGGAAGATCCAAGACACCGCACTCTCCTCGTTCACCAGAACATCAGCCAGCCACGTGGAATCGCTGTCGATCCAAGACAGGGAGTCATGTTCTGGACCGATTGGGGACAGAATCCGTGCATCGAACGGGCTTCCATGGACGGAACTGATCGGCAGATCATTGTCAAGACTAAGATCTACTGGCCCAACACCATCGCTCTCGACTACACAACCAACAGAGTCTATTTCGCAGATTCCAAACTTGATTTTATTGATTTTGTGAATTACGACGGAAGTGGAAGAACTCAAGTTCTGGCTTCTTCCAAGTACGTTCAACATCCGCATGCTCTCGCCATCTTTGAGGACATGATGTACTATTCGGATAGAAGGCTACAGAAACTGCAAGTTTATCCGAAATATCCGAATGGAACCACTACAGAGTACCCGAGTCACACGTTCAGCAAGGTAAGTGCAAAGCGAATGACTGAAAAAGAAACGGAAAGTTCCAGGCACTCGGAGTCGTCGCTGTGCATCCAGTTCTGCAGCCAATCATCAAAAACAACCCATGTGGTTCCAATCCGTGCAGCCATCTCTGCCTGATGAACAACAAGAATGTGGGTTTCTAGTTTGGATTCTCGACAACTGGATTGAATCTTTTCAGACATTCACTTGCAAGTGTCCGATGGGCAAGAAGTTGGATGGATCCGGAAAGGAGTGTGTCGATGACGTCAAGCCATTCCTCGTTCTCATCCAGAAAAATAACGTCTTCGGAGTCGAGATGAACTCTGCTTCGTAAGTTTCGGTCGTCGCCTTTCATCAAATAACTAATTGTGTGCAGAGTGAATGCCACCCCGGTTCTCGCTGGAATGGTTCCACTTGCCGGCCTCGGAAATGCCTTCGACGCCGTTTACGATGCTATCAGTGCTGAAATGTTCATCCTGGAGCACACGAATCACGCAAAGACCCTTGCTCAAATCACCACCGATTCGGCCATCTACCGCAGCACAGTGAACGGAGGAAACAAGACCAAAATGTTCTCATCCGCCGTTCCTGATGACGCCTACTGTATTGGATTCGATTGGAACGGTCGGAACCTTGTCGTCGGAAACAAAGTTACACAGACGATCGAACTGGTTCGCACCCAAGGACAACAGTACAGATCGGTGATTCTGTCGAACGATCAGTCTCCCACTGCTGTCGTCACTCCCGTTTCCATTGCTGTCGATGCCGACAAAGGATACGTATTCTGGCTGGACAGAGGTGGAGGCGCCGCAGATGCGAAGGTTGCACGTGCAGGATTGGACGGAAGCAACCCGCTCGTCATCGCCAGCAATGATCTCGCTGAACTCGACCACATCGCTATTGACACCACCAACCTCAGAGTCTACTTCTCGGAAGCCAAAGCCGGAAGAGTGAGCTCATCTAATCTCATCTCAAAAACTATAATTGCAACCCTTCCAGATCTCTTCTGTGACCTACGATGGCCAAGATCGTCACTACGTCCTCAACGACGGCGGAAGACAGCCGAACGGAATCGCCTTCCACGGAGATCGTCTCTTCTATGCCGATTCTGCTTTCGATTCCATTGAAGTGGCCACGATCAACGGTGATTCCCAGCCGCCTCAATGGACCCATTTCAAGAAAGACGTTGAGAATCTGGCCAACATCAAGGCGCTTCAGCCGAGAGCTTGTGAGTTTTCCCTTCTTTGCGTGTCCATCTGACCCCTATCTTTTCAGCCACGAGCAATCATCCATGCCACATTTCGAACGGAAACTGTGACCACATTTGCATTCCCCAAATCTTCGCCAAACACACTTGCACCTGTGCCAACGGCTACGTGAAGGACGGCCAGACTTCGTGCAAACTATACGACGAATCGTTCGTGATTGTCGCAACAAAGACAAAGGTCACAGGATATCCGTAAGTCTCCGAAAAAGGGAAGTCAGACCAGAATTTTTCCAATTTCAGAATTGATGAAACACAATCCAAAGGTGTCGCCATGGAGCCAATCGGCGGAATCTCCATCACTAGTGTCGATTACGACTTCGAATCTAAGACGATCTACGTAGCAGAGGCATCTGGTATCAACAAGGGAATCACTGCGTACACAATCGGAGAATCTGCTCCACGAGCTGTGATCAGAGATACTATTGGATCCCTGACAATCAAGAGTTTGGCAATCGACTGGATCAACTACAACATGTACTTCATCAACAACGATGCCGAAAGAACCAACATTGAAGTGGCGAAGTTGGATGGAACGTACAGAAAGATTCTGTTGACGACCAAGACTGAGACGCCTTCTTCCATCGCCGTCGATCCGGTCGGAAGATATCTGTATTGGGCGGACCAGGGACAGAAGCCGAGCATCCAGAGAGCATTCCTCGATGGATCTCGTCGCGAAGTCATTGTTTCCTCTGGAATCGGAGAGCCGACTGATTTGATCGTGGATGTTGCCAGCAGAATGATTTACTGGTCGGACGCCAAAATGGACGGAATCTACCGCGTCCGAAGCACTGGCGGAACTCCGGAACTCGTCAGATCGGACATCGCTTCGGCTGCTGGAGTCGCCCTGCACGGACAGAACATGTATTGGACCGACAACCGTCTTGAAAAGCTCTTCCGCGCCACATCAAAGCCAAATCAAACATCTCTGCTCCTGTCTCCGACCACAATTGCCGCTTCTCTCAAGGATATCGGCGACGTGGCAATTTTCTCTTCCACGAACCAACCACGCTCCAGCTCCCCGTGCCAGATCACTGATAACTTGAGAAAGAGTCCGTGCACGCAGCTGTGCTTCGCCACTCCAGGCACCCAGACTCCAACTTGCTCGTGTGCTCGCGGAGTTCTCAAAGGCAGAAGCTGCGAGGAACCAGACACTTACCTCATGTTCTCGGACGGAGACAAGATCATTGACGCTGCCATTGAGCCAGACGTCAAAGCATCCCGACCACTAAAGGAACCGTTCAACGAGATCCCGAATCTGCAGACCTTCGATGTGGATGTGAATCTGAGAAGAGTCTACTATGTCGTTGAGTCGCCAGTCGGAGTGAACATCTCGTGGTTCTCTATGAACAACGCGGACAACCCGAGACTCGTGTTCGGAGCCAGCAAACAACCCCATGCTAAGGAGATTAGACACATTTCCGACATGCGCCTGGATTGGCTCACGCAGAAATTGTACTTCACAACTGGAAGAGGAGGAAAGGTTATGGCCATCGACACGGCAGGAGAACATCTCTCGACGGTAAGCATGCTTCCATCTGCTCTGCTGACTTTACGATGTTTTAGATTGCTTCTGGAGACTGGACCTATGCTATTGCAATTGATCCGTGCTCCGGACTTCTCTTCTGGTCGGACAGTGGATACAAGACGAGTGGAGGACTCTACGAGCCACGCATCGAAAGATCGAACCTCGCCGGAGGAAGCAGAAAAGTCATCGTCTCCGAGTCGGTTTCCCTTCCCGCTGCTATTGCCGTGGACTTCAGAAACCAGATGATTTACTGGGCTGATGTGAACAGATTGAACATCGAAGTGGCCGATTACAACGGAGAAAATAGAAAAGTGATCGCCGCCGGATACCGTGCCAAGTCCCTCGACCTCTGGGACAGATGGCTCTACATGAGTGACCCACTCAGCAACGGAGTCTTCCGGGTCGACAAGGAATCCGGATCCGGCCTCGAGAGCGTCGTTTCTGACCGTCGAATTCCGGGAGCTCTCCGCGTGTTCGCCAGTGAAACCGACGTCCGAACCCGAAACCAAGTGTGCAATGCGCTCACTTCGCAACTTTGCAAGACTGACAACGGAGGTTGTGATCAGTTGTGTACTGTAGTCGCAGATGACATCGGATTGGCTGCCAGCAAAGTTCAGTGTTCCTGTAACGACACTTACGAACTGGTACAGGAGCCCGGAAAGGATACGCCGACCCAATGCATACTTCGAGGAAGCAATGCGGAACCAGCGAAAGAATGCTTGCCGCCGTACAACTTCCAGTGTGGAGACGGCTCTTGCATTCTGCTCGGTGCCACGTGTGACTCCCAACCAGACTGTCCAGATGCATCCGATGAGAATCCCAACTATTGTAACACTCGTGCCTGTCCAGACGGATACCACTTGTGCACGAACAGACGATGCATCGACTCTGCCAAGAAATGCAATCACATCGACGACTGCGGAGACGGATCCGACGAACTCGACTGCCCGTCCGCCGTCTCGTGCGCCGAAGGAACCTTCCCGTGTGCCAATGGACACTGCATCAACCAAACCAAAGTTTGCGATGGCCACAATGACTGTCACGACGAACAAGTTTCCGACGAATCACTCGCCACGTGTCCTGGACTCCCAATCGACTGTCGTGGAGTGAAAATCCGCTGTCCGAACACCAACATCTGTATCCAGCCTGCCGATCTATGTGACGGATACGACGATTGCGGAGACAAGGCCGACGAGAATCAGCTGTTTTGCATGAATCAGCAGTGCGCCCAGCACTACGTCCGTTGTCCGTCCGGCCGGTGCATTCCGGAGACGTGGCAGTGCGACGGAGACAACGATTGCTCGGACGGTTGGGATGAGACGCACACGAACTGCACGGACTCGGCCGGAAAGAAGATCTGCGTGGGTGACTATCTCTTCCAGTGCGACAATCTCAAATGCATCTCTCGTGCTTTCATCTGTGACGGAGAAGACGACTGTGGAGATGGATCCGACGAGCACACGAGGCACGGATGCGGAAACAGAACGTGCACGGATCAAGAGTTCCATTGCGCCTCCAATGCGAAATTGGCTCAGCCGAAGTACGAGTGCATCCCGAGAGCCTGGCTTTGCGACGGAGACGTGACGTGCGCAGGAGGAGAAGACGAGTCGAGCGAACTGTGTAAAACGGAGAAGAAGGAGTGCAACAAGGGAGAGTTCCGATGCAACAACCAGCATTGCATTCACTCCTCATGGGAATGCGACGGAGATAACGATTGTCTGGACGGATCCGACGAGAACACGAACTGCACCTACTCCTCTTGCCAACCAGATTTCTGGCAGTGCGCCAACCACAAATGCGTTCCGAACTCATGGAGATGCGACGGAAACGACGACTGCGAAGACGGATCAGACGAGAAAGAGTGCCCGAAAGACTCTCCGGCTGCTCAGAAGTCGTCCAAGTGCGCCAAGGGGCAGTACCAGTGCACTTCTGGAGAATGCATCGATGATGCGAGGGTCTGCGATCGCAACTTCGATTGTACCGACCGATCCGATGAGAGCTCTCTTTGCTGTGAGTTTAATCTATTTCCATATTCAAACTTAAAAGTTTGTAATTTCAGTCATTGACGAGTGTGCTCTTGCTGAGAAACCTCTTTGCGAACAAAAGTGCATCGACCAGAAGATCGGCTACAAATGCGATTGTTTCGAAGGATTTGCCATCGATATCTCTGATCAGAAGAGCTGTCACAATGTCAATGAATGCTTCGGTAACTTGAAAAATCTTTCTTTTTAAATTCCGTTCAATGTTTTTCAGAGGGAATCTCCGGTTGCAGTCAGAAATGCGATGACAAGATCGGCTCATACAAGTGTGCTTGCGTAGATGGATACCAGCTCTCGAGCGACGATCACAGCTGCAAACGAGTTGAAGCGGAGCCCGAGCCGTTCTTCCTTCTGGCCAATAAGCACTACATTCGGAAGATTTCCCTGGACGGAAACAAGTACGAAATGGCCGCCCAAGGATTCGACAACGTCGTTTCCCTTGATATCGACTTGACCGAGAAGAAGGCCTATCTGATCGACCAAGGAAAGTTGAGACTTCTGAGAGTGAACCTCGACGAAATGGATTCTCCGCTCTCTTCCTACGAGACAGTGCTTAGGCACAACGTGTATGGAACTGAAGGAATCGCCGTCGATTGGGTCGGAAGGAAGCTGTACATGCTGAACAGACAAGAGAGATCCATTCGTGTCTGTGAACTGGACGGCCGCTTCTGCAAAACTCTCATCAGAGACCGCGTCCAGCAGCCGAAGGCCATCGCAGTCCACCCTGGAAAGGGATATCTCTTCTTCACAGAATGGTCTCTCCAGCCGTACATCGGAAGAATCGCACTCGACGGATCGCCGGAATTGCAAGATCCGATCTTCAAGCTGGCAGAACACGACCTTGGATGGCCGAATGCCATCGCCATCGACTACTTCTCGGATCGCCTCTTCTGGGGTGACGCCCATCTTAATGAGATCGGATTCATGGACTTTGATGGAACTGGAAGACGTCACATTCCGGCTCAGAGAACCAGTCACGTCTCCTCGATAGTTGTGTTTGATGATTACCTGTACTGGGCCGACTGGAATTTAAGAGAAGTGCTGAGATGTGATAAGTGGACCGGAAAGAATGAGACCGTTCTCAAGAAGACGGTGCAACTTCCAAACGACCTCCGAATCGTGCACCCAATGAGACAGCCCGCCTACCCGAACCCGTGCGGAGATAACAACGGAGGATGCTCCCATCTCTGCCTGATCGGAGCCGGAGGCAACGGATTCACCTGCGCATGTCCCGATCAATTCGTCCTTCTCCCCGATCAGAAGACTTGCGAGCCAAACTGCACCGAAAGACAGTTTGCTTGCGGCGGAGAAGATGCCAAGTGCATTCCAAAACTTTGGTATTGTGACGGAGAGCCCGATTGTCGAGACGGATCCGACGAACCAGGAGAGAGCATCTGCGGACAGAGAATCTGCCCTGTCGGAGAGTTCCAATGCGTCAATCACAACTGCACTCGGCCGTTCCAAATCTGCGACGGAAACGATGATTGTGGAGACGGATCTGATGAACAGAACTGTGATAAGGCATGCGATCCATGGATGTTCAAGTGCGCAGCCACTGGAAGATGCATTCCAAGAAGGTTCACTTGTGACGGAGACGACGACTGCGGAGACCGATCGGACGAGGCTGACGCCATCTGCATGTCGCCTGACCGCAATTGCACCGCAGAGGAATTCCGATGCAACAATAACAAGTGCATCGCAAAGGCGTGGAGATGCGACAATGACGACGACTGTGGCGACGGATCGGACGAGACCCCCGAGTGTGCGCAGATCGAATGCAAGAAGGGATGGACACGATGCGCCTCTTCGTACAGATGCATTCCAAACTGGGCATTCTGCAATGGGCAGGACGACTGCAGAGACAACTCCGATGAAGACAAACAGCGTTGTCCTTCTTGCGACGACGTCGGAGAATTCAGATGTGCGACTACTGGCAAGTGCATTCCACGCCGCTGGATGTGTGACACCGAGAACGATTGCGGAGACAACTCGGACGAATTGGATCCAACTTGCGGAGGAACGACCCGCCCGTGCTCCGAGTCTGAATTCCGTTGTAACGACGGAAAGTGCATCCCGGGCAGCAAGGTGTGCGACGGAACCATCCAATGCAGCGACGGACTAGACGAATCGCAGTGCACTCTCAGAAGATGTCTCGCGGGACACAGGCAGTGCGACGACGGAACGTGCATTGCCGAGCACAAGTGGTGCGACAGGAAGAAGGATTGCCCGAATGCCGCAGACGAACTCCACTGCGAAGACGTGGTAAGAGCCCGAAAAGCATCCAATTCATAAAATTTATTTTTCAGTCTCGACGCGCCTGCTCTCCGTTCGAATTTGAGTGTGCCAACTCGGTCTGCATTCCACGGAAGTTCATGTGCGACGGAGATAACGACTGCGGTGATAATTCGGACGAGACTTCGACGGAGTGCAGAAACGCGCAGTGCGATCCGCCACTCCGCTTCCGTTGTGCTCATACCCGTCTCTGTCTGAACATCCTGCAACTCTGCAACGGATTCAACGACTGCGGACCGAACGACTTCTCCGATGAGCATCTTTCCATGTGCTCCAGTTTCTCGGAATACGGAGATTGCTCGTCGGATCAATTCAAGTGCGCCAATGGAAAATGTGTTAACGGAACAGTGGCTTGTGACAGAAAAGATGATTGTGGAGATGCTTCTGATGAAATCGGATGCGGTTTGTTATCCTTGTAACATGAAAATTATGATGTAAGATCTTTTTTCAGCTAAGCACGGATCAAAGACAAGCTGCGAACAGTTCGGAAATAATGGAGGATGCAAACACACTTGCACTGACGTCCGTGACGGATTCTATTGTCATTGCCGAGATGGATTCCGACCGGACCCAGAGAATCCGAAGGATTGCATTGACATCGACGAATGCGCTGGAAACAACACTTGCACCCAGCTCTGTCTCAACACGAAGGGGTCTTATTTGTGCAGATGCCACGAGGATTACGAGAACAACGTCGTTGTCGGATCGATGACCGGAAAGGATTGTCGCGCAAAGGGAGACGCCGCGAACGTGATGATCGGAGCGGACTCCTCGCTGGTCCAGCTGTCTCTGCATGGATCTGGAACTAACCGGCATGCTGCTGCGAAGGCAAATGACGAAGACAACGATATCATCGGAATTGCATTCGACCCGAGAAAGGAGCTGATGTACTGGATCGATGGAAACGAGAGGACCATCTACCGATCAGCCATTGCCAATGGAAATCAGAGTCATGAAGGACAGAAACTCGACTTGGACTTTGCCGCAATCGGAGTTGTTCCGACGGCAATCGCAGTTGACTACTCCACCGGGAATCTGTTCATCGCAGCCGTTTCTGAGAACCTGGAGACAGGGCTTGCGACGGCCCGCAAGAAGAGAATGTCCGAGCCCATCGACAATCAGAACACCGGATTCATCTTCGTGTCTCTTCCGGACGGTCGTTACATGCGCAAGATAGTTTCGGGACACCTTCAACAGCCAACTGCACTGGTCACCGCTCCAACTGCCGGAAGAATCTGCTATTCGGATGCCGGCCTGCACGCGAAGATCGAGTGCGCAGACATGGACGGTACTCATCGACAGATCATTGTCAAGGATTTGGTCTTCTCGCCAACTTCGATGGCGATTGACGAAGGAAAGGCCAACCGTATTTACTGGGCAGATCCCAAGTACAGAAGAGTGGACTCTGTCAATGTGGACGGAAGCGATCGGATGACAGTCGTGCACGACAGACACATCCCGTACGCGGTCGACGTCTTCGAGAATCACATTTACTGGCTGAGCAGAGAGTCAAAGACCCTCTACGTTCAGGACAAGTTCGGACGCGGCAGAGTGTCAGTTCTGGCCTCCGACCTGGAAGACGGACACACCGTCCGTATCAGCCAGAAGTACGCCAAGGACACTCAACGAGTCGTAAGTGGATGTGAGAGAGCCCAGTGCTCGCACATCTGCGTTTCCCTCCCGGCCAGTGGATTCTCGTGCCTCTGTCCAGAAGGAATCAGCGCCCAAATGGACGGTTCCTGTGCCACTCAGCACGTGGAAGCCCTCGTCATGCCGAAGCAGTGTTCCTGCACGAACGGAGGAAAGTGCAAACTGGACGGAATGTGCGAGTGCACTTCCGATTTCGAGGGAGACAAGTGCGAGAAAGAGAGCAGTGTGAGCAGGAAACTGATCGGAAGGCTCTCCGAGAACTTCTTCGCCTTCCTCCTCTACATTCTCGCATTTTTGGCCGCTGTCGGATTCATCGGATTCATCGGCCTGAATGTTTATAAGCGACGTCAGTTGATATTCAAGAAGAACGAGGCGGCCGACGGAAGCGTATCTTTCCACGGAAATGTAATTTCGTTTAGCAATCCGGTTCTCGAGTCCAAGCAGGCAAGTTTTTCCCTCTTTTTCCTTTGTCTTACATGAATTCTTAAAGGATGCCCCTGGAAGCGAATTCAGTATGCAACAGCTGACTTCGATGAACGAGGACTCGACCACGTTCACTAACCCCGTGTACGAACTGGAAGACGTGGACATGTCTTCGCCACAACCTGCCCACGACCAGCCGTCCACCTCGGCGGCCGCAATGTCTTCCGATATCCCGTCCACCTCCGCCTCCTCCTTTGCACCCCCAACTTTTGAACAAGATGAGATAGAAGTGAAAGTGGCTGATGAGATTATCGGTGATCATTCGTCTACATGAACAATGTCTATTTTTGTTTTTCAGTTCCAAAAGCAGACATCTCGAAGCCCCCGATTCCAGCACGGCCAAAAAAGGAGAAGAATGAGCCGCTGAGAGTGGACAACCCGCTTTACGACCCGGATTCTGAAGTTTCCGACGTATAATCAACAACTTCTCTTTTCGTTTTCTAAAAACTGTGATACGTCTCTTTCTCTCCTTGTACATGTTTTCAGTTCATTTTTTTCCAATTTCTCTCAACTTTGAATGTGCCTTTTTCTAGTTGCTCCGTGATTCCCTTTCTGCCCATTTAGTGTCCCCTAGTACGGATTCCGGCTGCTTTTTCTTTCCTTTTCCAAAAAAACACCACACACCATTCAACCCAAGCCCCGCGTGGTACCGATCACACGTGTAAACCGTTTTCATTCTTCACAGAACTGTCTGAAATTATTATATGACTAGTCTAAAAAATAATAATAAATTATTATATAAAGCCAGCACATGACTTCCTGAAACAGCATAGAAGAAGATAGACGAAATGAGTTTGTACTTTCAGGTGAAACACTTTTTGGCCACTTTTTGGACACTTTTCGTTCATTGGCGAATAAAAGAAGAAGGATATGTGAAGTGCCGGCGATGCATTTTATCCTGGGTGTATCCACGAATTTTCAATCAGGTCAATGCAGTTAAGACATTGGCCAAGAGATAAAGAAGGATCTCTAAAGTCGGAGATTACGGCGTAATGGAAGGATCGCACGCCAGTGCCTCTCCTCGCTGGCAGAGGCTGCCGTCCGAGCGTCCAAGCTGGTATAGTGGAATTCTGATCGGCGATGATTCTGAGAAGCCTGGAGAAGACTTTAGAAGCCTTCTGAACGCAGGAGAAGTCTGTAGAAGGTACGGAGGATTCGATGAACTGAAAGGATCGCAGGTGAGCAGGTGGCGGCGACCAGCAACAGCGTAGAGAAGCTCGGTTTCCGTTGTTTATTTTTGATACGACTTCTGCGGACTTTTGTGGCAGATTGCTGCCCTTTAAGGACATTCCAGCAATCTGAATATTTCCGACTCTTGTGCTCGTACCAAGTGTTCTCGTGTATTCAATTGAGGCAAAACAAGCATAACATAGCCCATAGAAGTAATGGAGACATTTGGGATAACCTGACAGCCTGTTACAGTAGCGGTAAAGTCGGAAATGTCCAGATTGCTACCCCTTAAGGACATTACAGCAATCTGAACATTTCCGACTCTTGTGCTCGGTCCAGGTATTCAAGTGGGCCTAATTGAGTTAAAAGTGAAGAACAATGACAAAAGAAAGATATTGAGACTGTTAGAAGGGCCTAACAACCTGCTACAGTCGCGGTAAAGTCGCAGCCCCTTAAGGACATTTCTGCAATCTGGACATTACCGATTCTCGGGCTCGGTACAGGTATCCTCTCGAATCCCGCCCCATCAGGATTCCACATGGAGAAGCTTGGACGCTCGGACGGCAGCCACTCGGCTCGGCAACAAAACGTCCCGGAGACTGATTGGATGATGGAAAGAGGAAGGACCCGGGGGCTTCTCTCCCATTTCTCTTTTGACTCCTGCCTCACGACGACGCGCATTATCACACCTGTTGGTTTTTATCAACCATTCTCAAGAAGTCCGACCAGGAACCATTGTTTTTCTGAGGGGACCCTTCTTTATTTTAGAGGGCCCATGTTTTTCCTGGAGGTCTGAGAGGGACCTTATTTTCTTATTGTTTATTATTTTTTTTTTATGGGCGGGATTTCACTGTCACTATATAAACCAAGTACAACGTTCATTAACCATCTCTGTCTCTTCCTTCCTCTGACGTTATTGGTATGCAGGAAGTCAGCTCTCTCTCTCTCTCTCTCTCTCTCTCTTCCTTCCTATGACGTTAACGTATAATTATTGCTATCGGAGAGCAGGTAACAGTTCCACGCTATTTTCAAGCAGAAAGAGATTGTGAAGAAGCTGAATAAATTTTATAGGGATTCTGAAACAGTAATCTTGTATTCCTTTCATTTATTTTTATGCTTTATGGCTGTTTTACATTAATTCTCCCTTGATTTTTATTGAAATCTATGTCAAAATCCAACAAATGCCACTTTCTGCTAAACAAGGCGCAGTACGATGCTTCAAGAACCGGCGGGTGTCCGCCGGGCCTCCACAAACGTTACTTAGGTGAGCAGAACGCACTAACCAGTGCGCAAGCCCGCCGTCTTTGACGCAAGACGCTTTATTGACGCTGTTTCCATCAGAACTTCACAGACGGCCTCATTAAAACATCCAATTTTAAAATGACACAGATGAATTTGTTTATAAAGACAATTTATTTGTAATACAGAATAGAAGAATCGTATTTGAATCGCCGTTACATCGGAAACCGTTGTCTGAGCGCATGTTTCGATCCGTCGCTCGAAATTATGCTCCTTGTTCCCCTGCTTTTTCCGTCCGATTATGCTTTGATTTCAGTCAATTTCTCGTTCTAGAACACTGAAATTCTTTCAGCCGACCTCTGGAATCTTCGCTCCGTTTTTGCGCAACTCGTCAAACACTCCAGGTGATGCTCGGATCGAAACCAATTCTCGCACTTTGCCCGTACCTGCCTTAAAGAAGACCGTTCGGTTACCTACTAATCACTAAAGATGAGAATAGCAAAAGTAAGAATCGTCTACTTTTTTTCAAAAGATTGATGGTTCAGATGGTTTCGTCCGAAATGGACACTGCGATAGAGGCGCGCTCGTTGACCACTTCTCCGCTGAGCTCAAAAATCTCCCCGTTGAGCCAAATACAAAAAGACAAACTGCTAGTGATTCAATGGGAACATCTCAATCTCTATAAATTCTATCCGATGGCTCTGTGCAGTTCGTGGACCATCCGATGCATGCTGTACCCCATGTCGGTTGTAAAAAGTAGACTTCAGCTGCAAAGACAGAATAACGTGTACAACGGAATGCGTGATGCGTTCGTCAAAATAATCCGGCAAGAGGGAATCGGAGCATTGTACAAAGTGAGTGGCTCCCGGCTCTTTTTGTGCTGCATTGATCAAAGGTTTTTTGTAGGGATTCTGGATGACGCTTCCTCAGTTGTCAGCTTCATTTCTGTACTCGTCCGCCTACGAGCGTGTTCGAGATTTGCTCCAAACACATCTCCATATCAAAAATCATTCTGTTGTGTCTGCCTTGGCAGGAGGTATTGCGTCTCCTTGTGCACAACTGATTTTTGTGCCCACTGACATCGTGGCTCAGCACATGATGGTTCATAATAACCCAGAAGCATTTGGAGGTAGAATTTATATTGTTGCATTCATTCATCAATTCCTTTAAGGTGGAAAAAAGAACATTGCGGTAGCAGATGCAATAAGAAACGACGGCTTAGAAGGCAAAAGAACGCTGGGTTTGCGAGTGATTCGGGCAGTCTATCACGTGGATGGAATTTCTGGCTTCTACAGGTTCGCGCCAGGTTACCAATGAATCTAACCGAAAATTTTCAATTCAGAGGATTTCTGTCGGCAATCATGTTGTACATTCCCTCGACAATGGTCTTCTGGTCCACTTATTACAATTCTTTAGCCGTATTCCGGATAATCAGAGAAAAGGTACAAATAAACAATGTTCCTGTAAAACGTTGCATTTTATTAGGTCACGGAGCTCGAGTATGGTATTAAACCGACATCACCTTCGGAAGTTGACGATCGGAATTTGTTTTTGGACCAAGCAGTCAGCGGATCTATCGGAGGAGTCGCTAGCGCGATGGTCACAAATCCGCTTGAAATGCTCCGGATCCGGTTGCAGGTATTACTCAATTTCCAAAATGCTCTTTGAAATCAGTTCAAATCCAGGTTCACCGAACAACGTACCGGGAGACCATCATGAGGTTGTGGAAATACGAAAAAGCTCAAGTATTCACCAAAGTAATTTTCATTTGCATTCATTTCAGCCTCCCGCAATATCTGTTTTTCTTCAGGGTCTCGCACCTCGAATGGTGAACAACGCACTCTACTCAAGTCTTGTGATGCTCGCCTACGAGAGCGTGAAACGGTTCGCCGTACTGCCCGAATTCAAGAACAAGATCGTCTGGTGATTTTTTGCCCATCGATTCCATATGTATCTCCCTGTCTAACCCCGTTTCTAGCAATATGAGTAGTCTCGAATTAGTGCGCTTCTTGTTCAAATTGTAAATTTGTGTGCTCATATCACTCCGAATTCCTGCTCTTCTTCGCCCGCTATCCTCACCTTCTGTTCTATGAACTTGTCATTTTTTTTTCTTTTCTGTTTGTTCCTTTCTGAATCCCTCTCATCTGTATTTCATTTTCAGGTTCTTTCTCTTTCAGTAAATCATTACTACTTTCTCTCATCGGATGACGCCGTTAAGGTTTACAAAACCGACGCAACTATTTTCTCTTTTCAACTAAATTCGTTTGTTTTCTAACAATCCGTGGTCAGATGTCCTCTCGACGGGTCGTTTCCCGATTTGATCGCGTGAATCAATGGCTGCAGTTTTCGAGACAGTGGCACGTGATCGACGCCAATCAACAGGTATGTTCCCTATCGATTAATGGAAAGCCGAAAAAATCAAACGAAAACATGTTGTTGATCATAAATGGAAGACTGAACAGAACACGGTGTGAAGGGACATGTTGCAGGACGCGGAACTGCTCGGAGACAAGGTTGCTCGATACTTGGCGGGCAAGCACAAACCCATTTTCCACCCGGAAACGGACTGCGGAGATCACGTCGTGGTGACGAACTGCAAAGATATTGCGATGCACGCATTTGACTGGAAACACACAGTCTACAAATTCAACATGGTATGGTAGTGGTTTTTAAGCTTAAAGCAATTGCAGTGTACCAAGATTTCAGGAGTACCCAAAAAGTAAAGCGGACATTCCGGCTTGGCAGATCCATGAATATGATCCTTGCAGGATCGCTTTCCTGTCCATCTACAGGGTGAGCTTTGCACATGATGTTTGAGTAGTCGTTATTATTTCCATTTTCAGTCTCTCGGAAACAATCTTCTGCGACGTCGTCACATTCAACGATTGCACCTGTTCCCAGATGAGGAAATGCCAGAATTCGTGAAGAGAAACATCGGAAGCCAACTGCGACAAGTACAAGAAGTGGTCAGACGAAGTGACGAGTACACGGCAGGAGAACGCGCCAATTTCCCGAGGGTGGTCAAGTTCGCGGATAAGCATGTCGTCGACTGGGAGAAGAGCATTGCGAATCCAGGCAGACACGTTAAGCCCGTGCCCGGACAAAAGGACAAATAAAGCGGATCTCTAGATTAGGATAGATGTTTCCTTTCGTTGAAACTGTTTTTGTTGAGTTTATAAATATTTCCCACACCCACGATTTTCACTAGAAAATTGAACGTGAAAAGAAGAAGCAAGTATTTAGGCATAAAATCACAATTTATGTTAACACCCATGGCAGCCGATTATATGACTAGTCTCCGGTGCTCTTCATATTGCATAGACTTGAGACTCGGCGACTTGCTCTCGACGGCGTGGTTGTTTCCCACGAGCCTCTCGAGCACCATATCTGCGTCCCGCTCTCTGCAAAGTTCTAGTTTTGACGTAAATTCTCTTCGGAAGACGTACAGAAACTCGTTCCACATTCGTCCGACAATTTCCGTGCAAACGATGTCTCCTGTGTGATTGTTGATCATTTTGAGGATCTGAAGACAGACGTGAAACACTTTATTGATGTCAAACTGACAATGATGATATCCGGAGTGAACTTGTGAAGACAGAACTCGGAAAGCAAGATCTCCTGCTGTTCTCTTCGAAACGTTTTCGTCAGCTTGCGATCCACTTCGTCTTGGTTATCAAGGAATCTGCAAAAGGGATTGCATGTGAATAATCGAAGAGAAAGCACTCACTGCTGGAGGAACTCGATGATTTTCTCTTTGCTGAACATATTGTAGAGCAGGAAGATCGAATCGCACAGAGTGACGAAGAAAACGAGGAGAAACCTGGCAAAAACAGTCGTTCTTCGCTATGCAGTTTTTCCCAATTCACCATAAATACAAGAAAAGAAAGATTTTCTCATTGAACATATTCAGGGTGAGCACGCATTGAATCGAGTATCTTTGCAAGTTTCCGAGCACTCTGACCTAGAAAAAACACAGATCACCGGCAGTTCTGTACTCTTGTCTCCTAATCAAAAAGTCAAAGAATGTCCGTGAGCAAACAGACGGCCCGTGACGTACTCCGCCGCGTTTTGGGTTACCTGGAAGTCGCACATGGCAATTCGCGGAAAGTTGCCAGAGTGTTCCCAATCGGTGCCGTGGACGATGTCGTCGAGGATTCGCATGCCCCAGTACGGATCGTTCTGGCCCAGGAACTTGTTCGTCGAGTAGAACTGCAGGAACGAATTGGTCATGTAGATGAGTTTGGTGACCAGGTAAACGCTGAAAACGGGATGTCCCTTTCGAGATGGGCGAATCGAACTCACTTTGTGATGTACTTTCCGTGCTGCATTCCGAATATTCTCTGAATTTTCGCCAGTTTAGTCGTCTCTTCTTCATTCCTCCGCTTCCGGAGATTATTGGAAATGTGTCTGCAGATGACGTCAATCTGTTTTTTCCTGTCTTCTGACTGAAAACCGAACTGTACTTTGCACAAATTGGCCAAACCGTACCTCTGCTCCTTCGGCTTTCTGAGCAGTTTCCACCAACTTAATGATGTTTATGCCGGACTTCGTGGACAACATACTCCAGAAAATGACGGGCAAATAGAAGAAAGCGGCCTCGATGGCCATGATGAACGGGGCCCATTGATAGTAAATTAGCTGTTGGGACACACGGTCCTCGATCAAAGTGGGCACTTTGTCGTTGGGTTTGACCCAATACGTATTATATACGAAACAGTAATCTTCTGCATACTGTTCCCACGCTTTTGTGAACTACAATATCAATTGGATCGAAAGAGAGAGAGAGAGAGAGAGAGAGAGAAAGGGGGACAGGGGGACTGACCTGAGCGGGAACCCAGCACTGAAGCGGCGATCCGACATACTGCCGCGCCGTGATCGTCAGCGACATTCCCATGATGATGAGCGTCGAGTAGTAGTAGTTGAGACGGTCGGTGCCGAGGTCGTCGAGCCTCGGTTTGACCATCGAGAACATGCTCCCGAGCATATTCATTTTGCCGCCTACAGATGAGTTGCCGTTGGCGCGCGGTGACTGCTTCTTCTGGCCGATTCTAGGGCGAAACGATGGGGGAAAAGGTGAGGATCTATCTACTTTTCCTGTGTTTCTCGAGAGGCTTTTCGAGGCACGGAAGCACTAAAATACACAGATAGGAGAGAGAGAGACACTGATACTCCCGTGCCAGTGATACATGATGATTGGGCAAACAATGTAGTGAAGAGGAGTTCGCGCGGATTATTACCCCTCGGGAGCAGCGGCAGGAGGCCCGGGAGCGAGCTGTCCAATTGGGAGCACTGGGCGCATTGCGGAGGCGTTGGGCGATGGGAATCTTCTTAAGAATCACCGAAGATTCGCGGAATCCGGGTTCCGCAAACATTTTGTAATCTCTTATTCCATTCTGCCTTCCGCATTCCGCAAGAAAGGTTTTTAAAAATTCTGCATTTTGCATAATGCGGAAGAAAAAAGTTCATAAACATTTTCCAATTTTTGAAAATCGTTTTGCTTTTTTGTGAAAATTTTCAAGGTTTTCCTGATTTTCAGATGAGCATTCCGTGAATGTATATTTACACTTTCTCTGATCAGCTTCATCACCGCCTTTTCTCCAACTGCTTCAGAATTTCCGTTTCCCCGTCGAAGTACTGTTTCCGATTGCTTCTTCAAAGAGATCATCAACCAAATCTTTTCTAATTTGCCTCTCCTTTCTGAAGAACGCATAACTAAATATTTGAAACCATTTCGTTTCCAGGCAGAGATAATTTATATTTGGGAATGCACAATAAATGGAGCAAGGATGCTCATTCGCTCCTGAAGTAGTTCACAAAGAATGAAATGACGATTACAGCGAGAAGGGCGGAAATGCAACGGTCTCTGGTCCAAAACGGGCGGTTCTCCCCGAGAATGTGGCCGTTGAATCCGATGAGTTCGGGACTTATTGTCCGGTAGTTTATGAGCACAGAGTCCGAATCGAAGAGCAATTCCTGCTGGAAGAACTCGCAGAGGGCCACCGTGTACTCCTCGGTCAATTCTGCAGTCAGATGGGTCGAAGAGGTGACATCGATGATTGCAAGAGGGTCCGTCAGTTGGCCACGTGCCATCCGCACGTTTGAGTCTATCTGCGACATTTTTCAGTCTTCAATTGAAGAAGAGCACAGAAACTAACCGCCACAAAGATCTGGCTTTCCGGCCGATTCATTACTTTTGCCATGACAACAGCCAATCTGACCTGAAATGAAAAGAATGGATTAACAAGATTCTTCCGATGAACTCACTTCGAATCCATCCGAGACCCTTTTGTGATTAGTTTTCACTTTTATAACAGGCATCTGATCAATTGAGAAGTAGGTAAGAATTTGTATACACTCTAAGGATTTCATGGATTTGTGATTCCAGTTTAGAAAATTTTTTTTTAAAGCAGTAATAGAAATTGTTTATTTTACTAACACGGGACTGATAGTAACAATTTAACATTTAAAGACCACAGAGAGATCTCAACGCCGCCTTGACATCTCCGTTCGTCTCGATCAGCTTGGAGCGGACAGTCGCCTCGGAAAGCTCCAACTCGTTCATGATCAGCTGGAGATCATCTTTCTTGATGTTAATCTGAAGAACATTTATGTTTAGAATAAAAAAATTGTTTAATGTGGTCTAACCTTTGGGCGCGCGGGAGCCGAAGAGTTGAACAAGTTGCCCAGAGCATCAGGGTTCAACTGCAGGTCTTGGTCGTCTTTCTCGTCCCTCGTATCCGAGACCTGCGAAAAATGATTACAAATTTTTTTAATGCAATTATTTTGTTAAAACCGTACTTCGGGAATATAATGCTCATCGAAATCGCTTTCATCACTGTTCGAGCTCATTTCTATGTCGAAAATGCGAGAATATTCGGCGCGGCGGCGAGAGAAAAAGGTCGGAATTGTTACACCGAAACAGAGAGCAGAATGCATCTATTTGCCCTCTCAGTGGGATGAATAGGTTCAGACGATCAGAGCAATCTTCTTACGCGCGCGATCGCGCATGGTTTTATTACAAAAACTCACTTTAGACAGCTCCTCGCTTCCCCAGTTGTGCTTGTCCACTTGCTGCTGCTTCTCGTCCTCTTCGCCCATTTTCTGAAAGAAAATCGATATGTGAATGTGAAATTAATATAATTTTGAAAATAACGATCAAGAGGAAGAAAGGAATACAATTTTTATCTAACTTAATATGAATTCTAGACTTGCAAAAGAAAAAAAAGAAAACGAGGTTCCGAAATAACGCAACGCCCTGTTTATAACGTGCGCGGCAACTCAAAAAAAGGGTTTGTGCGCGCTAAAGAAGGTCCTCCGTTTGAGCGGAGCATCGTTGGGACCTCTCAGTTATTGCGCTCTCCTCGGATGTTTTCTGTTTCTGGGGCGCTTGTTTCCCTTCCTGATGCCATCATTCATCCGTGACATTCGAGCCTCTTTTGATATGGTTCCCCGAGTGGAATATTCTCGCTTTGAGAGCCCAGTAACCGAAGAAACCTGTCAAAGACTTCGCTTTGTCTTTTGTCCTTTCAATGTTCGTTTCCGTCTTTGACAATTATCCGACTTTTACGGAGGAGACCAAAAACAAACGGATTTCTGTTCGGTGGCAAGAATCGCTATTTCTAAAAAGAAAAAAGGCAAGCAAAGTTGGCAACATCCTTGGCCGGAAGACGTATTATTACGCAACGCGCTTTCGTTTTGAAACCACTCAACGCCTCGCTTCTTTTGTGCGAAAATTAAAGCGGACGACGGAATTCGCGTTGACTTTCCGTCCACTTGTGGTGTAATGATGAGTCAGCCCAATTTTTTTGCTTCTTGGTCGTTGCCACCGAATCCGAATCGATTCGAATGCATCGTCGCTGTCGTGACCAGTTGGTTGCCTAATACGACGCCAGACAGGACAGGTTCCTCTCCTTCTCTGTGGGTTATTCCTTCGTTTCGCCCCGTTATACATCGTCCTATCCGAATGACGATTTTTATTGTTTTCTTCTTGCGACCGAAACCCACATGTTTTGAGAAAGGAAATGTCGTTTTCCGCTAGCTCATCCTTTTCACTTCGCAGTCAAATCATAACTTTATCAAAAACTATGCTTTTGACCTGAAGGATGCCTTCGCTTTCATTTAACTTGCGTTGTGTTTCTGCCTTTTCGCTATGATCAGTTGGAATTCGACTCCTTCACTCATCCCAAACGTGAAGCCTAATTAGACCCATCTGTTTCCCCTTCCGTTGTCTTTATACGTCCATCTATTTCTCTTTTCGAACCCGATATTTTATGTGGCTAGTTGTCCGCAGACCTACCAATCGATACCTTCTATTCACATTAGCGACTCGTCAAGGACGTCGTCGTCCAAACAGTCGCCCTTTATCATCGCCGACCGCTCTCCGGCCCTGACCGTTCCGCCCCGCTCTCCCTTCCTCTCGTCGTCTCTATTTCTTTCTTTCATCAGGGGACCCGCAAACATTGCGCGCGCGTGAATGTTTTTGTGAGCACAAGACGAACAGAAGAGTGTCGCAATCAATTTCCTTCGTTGATATAAGAGTCAATATCGTCCAACTTGTTTGTCCTTTCTCTCATCTGACCACCAAAAACGTTAGTGAACCTTTCCGAATTGTTCTCCGTTTAGGTGTGTCCCCAATTCCGTTTTCAACGACACTGCTATCTTGATTTTGACCTCCAGTCGACTGCGGCTATACAGACAAAAACTCAGTGTTTTGCATGCCCCTCCTTCTAAAAATGTATTCGTTAGTTAAGCTTCATAGCCTAAACACCGCTTGAAATCCTGTTGCGTTCGAAATGATATGATAGGTTCTATGGAGAAGAATGGGTGATTAGCAGTTTTCTTTGTGGGTCGCTTCGCGGGTCGCCAGCCCTTTCCATTTCAATCATGTCACCTTTCCCTTTCCTCTGTGATAACCTCCTTTGGAAAACAGCAGCTGCACCTCCGTATTCATGCATTGAGCGGAAATTGAGAAGAGAGAAAGGAGAAGATGGAAAAGCCGTGACGGATGACCGGCCGATCGTCCTCTCCTTCGCTGTCTTCTATTCCTGCCTGCTATTTGCATTTATACTGCTACTGCACTGACGTTGCTTGGTCCTTTGCGGACACCCAGAGTCGTAAATCAGAAGGCGTTGTTACACTGTCAAGCCATATGTGTCGTAAAAAGTCGACATTTTGTCTCGACCACTCGAGCGTTGATATTTTAGCAATGTATAATAGAGCGGCGACCGAAAGTAAATCGGTGAAAGTGAATCAACGCGAATGGAAGTTCACTGTCGTTCGTGCAGGTTTTCCACTTTTTCGTTGTTCGTCGCTTCTCGGATACCGCGCTTTGTCCATATCTAGATTAGGCTAATGATTCATTTTTTCCACCTTTTTTGAAACTGCAGCCACTTCAACACAACAGGTATTTTCCGTCTTCCTTCTCACATTCTACCGAATCGAGAGAAGAAAAGACGGTTTTGACCTTCTCGGTGGCCGCCATTCAGTCACTTTCAAATCTTTCGAAACGAATTGTGACTGTACAATTGGCTGTCTGAACCGATTTTCTATTCATTGAGAACTGAGTTTGTTTTGTGACTTTTCTCACTTTTGGCCAACTTATTGTCTCGCAAATAGGTTCTTTACTTTTTAGCTATGTTCGTGCTGGGCCCACGCTCAAAGTTTTGTAATAATAAATCGTCAGTTCAGGAAAATCCGTTGTTAACTTGTGAGAAACTACTTTTCGTCCTTTCTGCTTCAACCGAAATTGCCACCCGAAAACCAACGCTTTTTTCGTTATTCTCAGTCCGCCGAGACCAGTTGCAGTAATCCGATTCAATTTCCATCTACTCGTCCGTTTCCTTAGCCTTCCTTCTCACACTCTTCTTTTCCTTCCGTCCATTCCTCTCTTTCCAGAATGTCGTCGTACACCCTGCCGCTGTTCCTCTTCGCTCTGGCCCTTCTCGCTTGCGTGCCGACGGTCAACGCCGACGGAGACGATCTGCTCGACTACGTCAAGTCAATTGAACCACTCACGATCAGAAGGAGCCCACTCGCCTGCCCACTGCCAGTCGTCGGAACAGCTTGCCCCGAGGAGAACGTCTTCTGGTACTTCAAGTGCTGCGGAAATATTGCTGACCAGTGCTGCTTCCGTCTCCAGGTGTTGCCTTCATTTTCCATGATCATTTTCTAATTCCATCTTTCAGGACTGGGTCACCGTTCTCCTGCTCTTCCTTGCCGTCTGCACGATCCTCTCGATCATCATTAACTGCGTCAGATGCTTCTGCTGTGCTTAAAGCCCCTTCACTTACGTATTCTTCTCCAACGACATTTCGGGACATCCCCTCAAGCATACATACACTCACCACATTTATATGCAGATTTTCTGTAATTTGCCATACAATGCTCATTATTCCACCGACTTTACTTCAGTTCCATCATTCTTCACAATAATCATTCTTGCCTTTATAACTGATGTATTTACACTTACGAAATTTTGCAATGAACGAGTACTTTTCAGCCTCGTGGTGACAGATGTTTGTTGTGACTAGAAGGGGGAATACATTATGGGAGCGACAGGGATAAACGGGACAGAACATGGAGGGAGCAGAAGGGGGACTGGGAGAGATGGAGGGTAAAGTGACATAAAGCTCAAGGAAAACAGTTTGAAATGGGGAGAACTTAGGCCCAGATACGGATGGTGCAGTCCCAGCTGGCGGAGCAAACGGCGGTCCCGTCGGGCGAAGTTCGGAGGCAACTGATGCGGTTCTCGTGGCCGTAGAGGACTGAATGGCGGATGCATTTAAGCGAGTCCCACACGCCGACCCGGTAATCTCCGTAGCCAGCGAACAGAATTCGACCTGAAGAGAAAGAGAGAGAGAATGAAAAGGAAAAGGGGAAGACGACCGACCGCTGAGACTGAAATCGACTCCGTTCACCGGGAAAAGGATGGATTCCTTCTCGTAGACACACACTTGACGGTCGGCGCGCAGGTCGAACAGACGGCACTGAAAACAGAATACTGAATGGGCGGCATCTTCGAAATCTCACCGTCGCGTCGTCGGATCCTGTGGCGAACGCGTCTCCGTTCGGGTGGAATCTGACCGTATTGATGTCGGCTTCGTGCCCTTCGAACGACTGGACACACTGCCCGGAGCGGATGTCCCAGACGAGCGAATGCTTGTCGGCTCCAGCAGAAATGAACGTGTTACCGGTGTCGCACTTCGGCACGTCGATCGCGAAGACGTCGCCAGTGTGTCCATGGAAGTTCTGTATGAGCTGTCCGCTCTCGACGTCCCAGATGGCACAAGTGGAGTCTCCGCTTCCAGTCAGAATGAGATTATCGGAGCGGAGGAAAGTGCAGCACGACATGTAGGAGGTGTGTGTGGCTACTTGTCGCTTCTTCTGGATGATGTCGTCCTCGAACGATAACGGAACGACGCTGCACTTGTTGTCGAGGCCTCTGAAATTAATATTTTTCGTCTTGAACATCTCATTTTTTAGTGCTTACCCGCACGCGATCATCTGGCTGGACGGTGAGAATGCGCACGCCATGACCCACGTCGTCGGCATCGTCAGCGCGTGCTCCTTGTTCGTGGTGAATCCGTCCCAAACGATGACTTTTCCGTCCTGCGACGAAGAGACGATGTGTCTCTTGTCGAGCGACCAGTCCATGCACAGGACCTTTCCCACGTGTCCTTTCAGAATTCTGCGCTGTTTCACTCCGAGACTTCCCATTCCATCAAGCCGTTCGGCGGCCTGTTGGACTGAAAAACTTTTTTTTTTGGATTTTTGGACGGATAATTGGGCCGGCTTACTGGGAATATCATTTAGTTTCTGCCGCTCCTGGTCCAATTTCTTCCTGAGCTCTTCGGCTTCATTTGCCAGCTGCTCCAAGTACTCTGAGCTGAAATCAAAAAGGATCAGAATGGAACGAGTAGTTCCGTGAGAGACTCACCCTTTCTCTGTGGTCGTCGGATGCGCGTTCTCTACCATTTTGGAAGAGGAAGACGATTCTCCAGCAGCGGTGCTCATTCAAATTGAGATCAAGAGTCTGATTATGCAAAAAGACGTCGAGGGGACGAGAAAAGGGGAAAAGAGCTGCAATAGTGGAGAGAAAAAGACGGGCGGGCGGCTCAGCGGTCGACTCAGATGCACATTTCCTGTAAAAGATGAAAGAAGATGTTGTATAGAAAGGAAAATGAGAACGTCCAGCGGACGAGGCTTCAGAGTAAAGTTATTGAAGCGGTGAGAAAAAGTTGATATGGAATTCGACGCCGAGTACCAATTAGTGGACGAAGTGTGACGTATTTAGCGAGAAACGAAGTTGTTTCGATGAGCAAACTCTTCAGAAGTTCAATTGAATCTTTTGAAAACTACTAGTTCAACTAACTAGTCTAACTAGTAAATATCAACGAAATTAAAAAAAGTTGGTAAATGGTGATGAGCACCAGAATGGACAGGGAAAGCCAGAAATCTTGGTGCAATGAATTCTATTTGTGTGTGCGCGCGCTCTCTCTCTTTTCTCCCTCTCTCGCTTCTCCTTAGTCTTCCCAGTGCCCCGCTTCTCTTTCTCTTTCTCTCTTCCCTTTGCCGTTTCGCCGAGCGGCCCTTCGCTGAAGAGAGTGCGAGGCGGTCGCGTCGCGGCCGAATCGAAAGGGAAAGACGTGAGAGAGAAAGAGAGAGAGCCGAAAGACGGAAGATACTTCCGATAGGTGCCAGACGTGACAATTTATGACTTTATTATTCGAAGAAATGCAGAATATACAAGCAAATAGGGGAAAGAAAGACTAATATCTCGAGACGTTGTAGGCGTCAGGGCGGTGAGCGGGAGCCGGGGCGGTCGAGGAGGTGTAGTATCGGTCTTCCGCTGAGAAAATAACCTGATCGCCGGGCAGCATAACACGAGAAGTCTCGGAATCTCTGGGCGATGATTCCACGCGGATTTGACGTGGTTGATGAGTATTCGGGATATAGTTAGCGTTGCCAGGAATATTATAGTTAATAGGGATCGGAGCTGGAGGAGGCGGAGCCTGGACGACCACGGGAGGAGCTAAACTGAAATGGGAACTGTCGCCCGTCGAGTGAACGCCTCTGAGATTACCTTGCTGCGTCGTCTTCTGAGTGTTCCTCTGACGCAGTCCGAACCATCCGGCGAACCAGATTCCGGCGATGCAGACGCACGGAAGGCAGCAGCAGAAGAGGAGGAGACAGATGCCGACGATGATTCCGATGATTCTGCCGGCGTACCAGAAGTCGTCGCTGCAACAACAACAACCGCTACAGTAACCAGCTCCCCAAGTTCTCCGCACCGACTCACCCGTACATATCGTATCCGCCGTAATAGCTTCTCTTGGATCGATTGACCGCTTCCTCAGAAAGCTGGCAACTGGCCATTGCGACAAAAACTGTTAGTAGAAGGACAGAAGTCAGCGAGGAAGAATCGAGGCGCCACATATTCTGGAAGAGAAGACCGACTGACTGAGTGACAGACGACTGTTTGTTCTTTTTATAGCTTGATAACCTAGGTGTGGTACTAGTTCGCTTCGCCAACAGTACACACGGCCCATTGCGTCTCATTTTTGAGGAGGACACGAGGCTAAATGGGCGGAAGAAGGGTCGCATTGACTGATGACCTGGCAGTCGTGCCACGTCATCTCAACGCACAGCTTCTGAAACTCACTTTGGGGGAAATCGGCGAGAGTGACCCACGAAAATGGCGTATGGCAAGTGTGAAATGTTTCGATTTTCGCCTCGAATCTGTGCGAAGGCGTGCCCGATTCCGGCTCTAGAATGTGTGTTTACTGTGCAAAAAAGCAGCAGCTCGGACGCGTACTGTAGACGACAATGGGCCGAGCGAACACAAGTGCTACTTGAAACGGCGAGCATTCCCGAATAACCTGCTCCCGGGAGAAGCGGCAGTTCGGAAAAAAGCGATGACGTAGCAGGGGAGTACACGTGGCAGACGAGTGTCAGCTTTCAGCTTTCAGCTTCGAGAAGAAGAAGAAGAAGAAGGAAATCCGATACAGGTGGAAGAAGCCGAGTGATCACGTGTCCCTGGGGAGAAGTCTTCGGAGACGTCCCAAGTGCACCGTCCATCCGTCATCGTCCACCCACCAGTCTCAAGCTCTTTTTTGGGAAACCAAAGAAAGGCGGAAGATAAATTAAATTTGAGACTCGAAGAAAAGAAGGTCGGCCCGCCCAAACTAGCCTCTTTCTCTCGTATCGCTTCTCCCAAATTCGCATTGTTTTCCGTGGCTTCTCATACGTTTAGAACTCTCCGAAAATGTCTGTGTCTCTGGATTTTCAGAGAGAAGATGATGTTTTTGTTTTCCCCTATTCCACCTACCACTCGATCTTCACTTGTTTTCGCTAAACTTTGGGTTTTCCAGACACCTCGTTTCCCGCCATTCAATTCTCCCACGCAAAAAAACGTGTGAGCATCTGCTGATTATGCGTCTTTAAAACGAAAAAAACTAGAACGGAATCCTCTAAAATATTTTCTCAGTAGACTCTCTTCTACATCAGCCAATCTTCTAATGCAACCTTCACTTCCTCGCCGACTACTTCCCTGTGATCTTCGAGACTTTCCCCTCCTGAATCCCATTTACCTTCCTTTTTTGTCTCTTCGTTCCGCCCACTTCTTCTTGCTCAATCTTTCTTTTCTGCGAGTTTTTCCCGAATAAAGAGTCCGTTGTTTCCCGGCCGAACAATGCGCTTTGTGCGTGTTCTGCATCCGCCTGATTCGCCTCCGTTCTTCTTCTCATTCTTCTTCCCACGATCGCGCATTGTCCGAGCACTTGCTCCGTCCTCCCGAGCACATGTTCTTCCCTCATTTGCCGCATGATTGTGACGAAGAAAGCGGCAATCTGACCCTAATTGAGCCTATCTACTACTTCGGAAACGACGCACGTCGGGTCATCCCTTCGATCCAGACTTCCTTGTTTTCTCTTTTTTTGGAATTTCAACTATTTTCGGTCCTCCGTGAATCACACGTGGAAACCCCCCCTTGAAGTGCAGAAGAGAACGGTTACCAGACGATCTTCAAGAAAAGCCAAAACGACCAATCATTAAGCATGAAAGTTCGAAGAAAACATGAAAGGGAATCAGTGAAAGTAGACTGCTCACTGGTCGGTTTTTCTGCTTTGAGCACAGTTGTCACGTGGCGAATGCTTCTTCAATTTAGAATTTATGAAAAAAAAGGAGGAGGAGGAGGAGGAGGGAGGACGATGAGTGGAGATGAGTCGTCTGAGTGGCCTCATCGTTTATCCCTTCTTTTTTGGATTCCTCACTGAATCCATTTTGACTTTGCGGCAGCCTTTTCCTAGAATTTTTGGACTTAAAACGATCAATCCTGATGCCAGTGTCCTTTCTTAATCATTTCTTGTCAGTGTTCAAACACTAACGCTCTTTCGAGAATACGCTTTTCCCCCCAGCTGGCTTTGTTTTTCGTAGAGTTCTCTGAACTTCTACCACCAAGACACCAATCCAGTTAATTGTCAGTCTGAGAAGCTTCTAGAAGTTATAAGGGCAGTCTTTCCTTGAATTGAGCAATCAGACATGCTGCGTCCTTCTGACTTGCATGTTTGATCTGCGGTTAATATTCACGAGACCTCTGGAATCTTCGGAAATGCAATCAACTATACGAAAGGCTACTCGTGGCCGATCATTGCTCATAACCAGTTGGTTAGTCAGTCGGTTAACGCAATTTCGGGTCTTGTTTTCTCTCAAGGTGAGCTCCGATTTGCAGAAAGTCGGTGACTTCTACTGCCCCCGAGGGAATGCTCATTTGGCACGAAAACAACATCAGGTGGGCACTCATTCCCGTGATTCTTCCACATTGGTTTCTTCACAGATTCATTAGTCTGAGTGCCTTCCTCTTCTCTGTGCGCCGCCCGTTTCACCCGTCACTTGTCAACTAAATGACTGCTTTAATTTGAACACTCGGCTCATTTCCGCTCATTCGAAAACACTCGACACTTTCCCCGTTTTCCTCGTTTTCCTCCGATTTTCCTCTCGGTAGAAAATGAACGGTAGAAAATGAACATCATAAAATGAACATCATCCCCAAGAGAAGACTGACTAAGATCTGTTTGTGGATCGCACTCATCCGGAATGGGGATATCTGTCTGGTCTGTTCTGATCGACTGTTCCCGTCTACCGTAACCCATTCCAATTCATCTTGCTCCTCGTTTCGATGATCGACTAATTGGTTTCGTTAACTGCTCCCTTCCCCGAATTCGTTAACTCGTCATCTCATCCAGAATCTTCTGCAGGCTGCTCCATAGTTCGAGCAATCCCGTCAATTCCTGTCAACCCCAATTATTCACTCTTTCCTTTTGATTTTCAACCTTTCCAACACCCACTCTGTTATTCGCCAACTTTCAAAAGACGGCCTTCTTGATCAGTCCTTCCGCTCCACCGACTTCGCTTTCATTTTGTCACTTCACACGTCTTCTTCATTCACATCATTCGTTCCGTTTTCAGCCGTTTTCTTCCGTTCTACTCCACTAGTTTATCCCCAATTATCCCCCTTGTTATCGTTGTCGCTTCTCTTCTAATTTTACGCTTCACTATGTGCAATTGGACGTCGAAATTGGTAATGATCCGGCTGGCGAGAGCCGTATTTCTTCGCTTTTATGGGCCCACTCACATTAACGACGGTTTTCGTTTTGCAGCCGAGCTTCAATTCAATCAACAAGGTTAACAGTGCTGAGATCATGGTGGGTCCGTCTGTCGCTGAGGATGCTTCGAGAAGACGTCGTGGATGCGCTCGTCTATTCTGTTGCTGGTGAGTCACTGGGATAGGGTTGAAAGACCAAAGAGAACAGCTAAGAGCAATAACTCATTCAGTCCTTTCATTCTCCATAAAACAACGATGATCTGGGGAATTCGAAGTTTAGTCTTCTGTCATTAGATGCCTCCCAACTTCGTAAAGTTCGTAGTTCGAGCTATTCGATACCAGAGGGCTCACTCTTAAAAGTATGCGCGACTCCTTTGCCCTCCACTTCCTGCACGACGTTTTTCTGCGCTTCCGCGTCGTTCATAATCTTTCACCCCGGAAAAACGACTTCATTGTCTTCCGGTACAGAGAGAGAGAGAGAGAGAGAGAGAGAGTGGAGGACGGAGAGACGCGGAAAAAGCTATAAAAAGAATGATGGTCTGAAGAGCAAAAGAGCCGGATGGTGAATGGGAAAACGGGGAAGGAGTTGTGTGGAAGTGCATTTCGAATCGGAGGGAAGATGGATGATCTTCGCAAAAGACGAAATGCATAATCCCGGAGAAAGAAACCAAAAATCTTGATGATTTGTGCTAGAATGGGCTTCTGGAATGGCTTCGAGCGAGATTTTCATTCAATCCGCGTGCGTACGATGTCGTTGTTTTTCGGTCGAAACCGGTCCATCCAATTACACGTCTTCTTCTGATATTACTCGTCCATCCGTGGTCCTTCTCTCCGTCAACTCTTTCTAATTCTGCCGCAGCGATGGGGCGGGTCTTCTCGTGCGCCTCTCTTCTCTGGAAAGATTCCGAGCTTTGTGTTGGGCCGCCGTTTCTCTCCCCCTCGCGCGCTCGTTTCTTCTTCACATTCACGACCAATTCAATTTTGGAGCGAAAGAGGCCTTCGCCGCCTTCCATTCCAAACCTTTTTCTTTCCTACCTTCCCTCCGATGTCGTTAAACCCTGCCCCATCGTCAGAAATGAACGGGAACCACGAGAAACTGCCCGAGGAGCACGGCCCGGGACCGTCCATCCACGCCGCCTTCGTTTTCGATCACTTCACGACTGGAGTCGAAATGATGTGAGTGGTGGGGCACTTGAGGGAATGCGCGGAACGAACTGCTCAAATGTGATTAACAAAAACCAACGATTGTCAGCTCCGGCTCTCAGCCACCTTATTTCTCCGAACCAAAAAGAAACCAGTTCTTCTGCTCCCACCCCGTCTCGATTCTTGTTCTAAAATGCTGATGATGCTACCACAAGTTTGGAGATTTGCGTGCAGATTTTGGGGGAGGACGGCGCAGTAGTAGTGAAGAGTAAAGAAAGTAATAATAACCAACTTCCTCACCCAATTCGCACCAATCCAATATGCGGGCCCGTTTTTGCAACGTTTTCTGTTTTCCTTTCTCGTCTTCCCCTTCTTCTTCTTCTTCTTCTCCGTTTTTTGCTCCATTCGAAATGACTAATAGAAGTGGAAAAAGTGTGAAATGAATGAGTTCTTCGAGATCCGAAGGGCTCCGTATCTCCGTCCAAATCAGATCATAAAGATACTTCTGGAGGGCCTCCAGGGAGAGAGCAAGCTCTTCGAAACCACACACTCACACACGTCTTCTCGGTTCCAAAATTTGCGATGTCGTCGTCGCCGTCGCCGTCGTCAAAGGGCGCCTGCAGAATGGCCGATATAAATTGAATCAACGTGCGCTTCAGCGCTCACACTTTTAACTTTGCGATTTGTTGGCCGAGCCACGGTCCCTTCCGATTGGTTCTTCGTCTTCAGAAGACTATTCAAAGATCTTCATTGCGTCGCTCCTCCTCCGCCTTCTTCTCATAATTATGCCAATTTGGTTGCTCCCGATGCTCCGTTGAAATCCTAGAATCGCCGTCATTTTCATTCTTTTCATTTGCTTTCCAAAAATTCATAATGTCTGCATACCCCATAGACAGCTGAAATGAAAAAAAAGAGTCCGTAGATCTCTTCTCCAAGCATTTCTTTTATGATTCTATCAAAAGAAGAGACTGAGCCGACCAGATATTTGCAGATACAAAACGAACAGAAGATGAACAGATGCTCACATTTTATTAGTTTCCAGACCGAATCAATATGTACCACATGACTTTACTTACACCTGCTTCAGAAACTCTGAAGAAGCCCACTCTATCCTTTCCATTCCAGGTCTTCCACCGGTAAAAATACGGGGGTCTTCTTCTCTTTCTTCCTCCGCTCTCCACGTCTAAAGTTCATTAAAGTCCATTCCCATTTGAATACCTCCCGTTTTGTGCTCGAGGGATCCTCTAAACGTCATCATTGTGGATGCAAACTCTTCATTTAGCCGACCTTTTTGCTCTTCCTCATCTGCCATTTGAGTACTAATCCATTCAAAAGAGTTCAATTCTTTCTTAACTCGGCTAGACTTTACCACAAAAAGGAAACGAGAAAACCGGGCGCGGGTATTCCCACGCCTCGAAAAGAGCACATTTCTGCTGCAATTCTTTATTCTTGCGCCTCCGCACCGCACCACTTGTCAATTGTCAGAAGTACAAGTGCAACACAGATGAAACACCACTCGGCTCCCATTTCATTCTCGCTTCTTTGCAGGCGCTGTTCGATGCCCTCGCTGTCGAAGATGCCGTCGGCCGCCCGTCAACTCGTCTCCAACATGCTCTCCTTCCTCTCTTCGCCGTCGCCACAGTCCAGGTCAGTCATACTCCCATCAGCCGCCTTCCGATGCAGTCACTGACCGATGGACTCCCTCCACAATCACGCGGAGTCCTGGGAAAAATTCTCTGAATCATTGTTTTCCGAGTGACGCTGCCGGCAGCTCACCTGAGTTGAAAGAAACACGAACTAACAATTAAAGGGAAAGGGAAAGAGAGAAAATAAATTAATAAGGATTTGATCGGCGATCGAGGAGAAAGTTAGGCTTTATCCACCGGATTTGAAAGTTGATATCAGAGAGATCCTGCAGAACTCAATACTCGTTTGTTTGTACATGTGAGATCAGATTATCAAAGTTTCAAGAGGGAGAGAGGGAGTGAGAGAAGAAACTGTTCATACTATAAAAGGGGCTGATGTTTGGTCGTACAGACAAAATTGCACTGTGGTGCGGTCCCCTCCGAATCTATTTGCACCCTCTCTATTGTCTGAACGCAGCTAATAATCCATGCCAAAAACATGTAGCTGTGCCTTCTGTTGTCGTGTTTTCCAATTCGTTTGTGTGCCACTCAACTAAAAAGTTTGTCAAAAAGAAGGGAAAAAGTTTGGCGGCCGGCGGTCGGATGCAGGAGAACTGTGGCGACGGGGCGGGTGGCGCATGCTGCTTTTTCAAATTTCGAATGCAAAGATTTGTGGGTCTCGAGTAACAGCTTCGCCGCCGCCGCCCCGGAGAGCTGGTGGAGCACACAAACACTTCTGAATGGAGGACGCACTGAAAACGCGGAAAAAAACAAACATTTTGTTGCCCTCCTCGCTTTTTCTTCGGGATGCCCGTTTTTCTTCCTATTCTTCTCACTTTTATCGCCGTTTCACGCGCCTCTTCAACCCTCTTGGGAGATATTAGACAACTTCTGGAGCCCGCAGATTCCGCGCCTTTCGCTCGTTTTCCAGGTCGTCTCTCCCGCTCCCTCAATCCTCGTTTTTTCATCTTCTCCTTCTTTTTCTTCTTCTTTTGTTTGTTTTATGACGTGGTACGCCGCTTCCATCCAATTATATTTCGCTGCTGCTTCAGAAGTAAAGAAAGAGAGGAGGAGGAGGAGGAGGAGATGATCGTCAATAATTCAAACATTCTCGTCCGAGTTTGCTCTCTCAACTACGCGCTTCTTCCATTCTGATTTTTTTCCGTTTTCCGCCTACCTTCCGTTGCCACGTCATCTCCGCTCTTCTCATGTTTCATTCGAGAAGGAAGGCGCGAAAAGTGGAGATCGGAAGCCGCCCGGCACATCACTTCCGATTCGCAGAAAACTCCTCCGATTACTGTGAACTTTAGATGGGTGCTGCCAAAGACGAATTTCCATTTTCGAAATGCATCGGATGAGCCACTTTGCAAAAAGTGCATTTCGGAATGAGATCGGGAGTGAATTTACGAATTTACAGTGGTTTCCAGTTAATCAGAGTACTCCTGAAGTGAATTCGAACGGCGGTTCTCAGCATTCCGGAGGGACTCTGTGCATCTTTTCCGAACCAGCCCCGTTTACTCTCATTTGCAATTCGCATTCCCGTGCCACAAAACAACGACTTTCCGTGAGTGCCACACGCGTTTCCGTCTTCGCCGTCTTTCCCTCGTGCTCCGCAGTCGTCGCAAAGCCGCTGCTCCGCACTCTCATCCAATTTCGTCTCATCTGATAACGCTTCGAATCCAATCCATTAGAGGAAGGGAAAGGGAGGCGGGGAGCCTGTCGTATCGACTTCTTTCCAACCTCGTTTTGATTCGAATTAGAGGAGCATCAACGTCGACATTCTGCCCTCGCTCTGTCATTCACTCACTCATTCTTCCGTCCGAAATGCTCAAGACAACCCGTCCGAGATTCATGGTCCATCAACGGTCGCATTCGACATCGAGGTAGGCGGCGGCACTGCAACGCGTGATCGATGACTTCCCCGAGTCGGCACTCGTTTGTTTGCAATACACACACACACTTCATTTTATCTTCCGGAGGCACAACAGATCTGTTGCCGTTGAAAGGAACATGCAAGCATAAGATGACGGAGAAGTCGTTTCCCGAGAGGACGCTTCTTTTCGTTTTGTTCCTCTCTTTCTTATTTCTGTTGACCTATTTCCTACTTTTCTCATGACGTATTTAAACCTCTTCTCACATGCTTTCTTCCGTGGGGAGCCCTTTTGAATTCTCTGGAAGTTTGCCTCCATCCGGAAGCTTTTGTCATGCGGAGAAGGCACTAATGTCTTCATATTGTCACATAATTAATTTTGCGTTCAGTGGAATAAGGCGATAAAGAGCGGCTCTGTGTGGGACGGCTTGTGCCCTTGGGCTCCCTCCAAGAGAAAGCCGCTCCGTCAGAACACAAAAAGCGTGTCAACTGCATAAAATTGACTCGTTAACGAGTGAGACATTATCCATTCACAACTCGCTTTTCCTGTTTTCAAACTCCATCGGAAACTATAGAAGATACCCCCATCGACACACTAATGATTCTATTGAGATGGTCTGACAAGCTTTTCGATTCGTTTTCTGCGTTCAACCCATTCATTCTTTTCAGTGTCTCCGAAAAAGGCGCCGCATTCAGCACGCCGCAGGTGAACAGAAAGAACAAGGTGAGTCTTCTGAGCCCCCACTTTCGCCCCGAACTCCGCACGTTTCAGGTGAATGGCAGCAGAAGAATGAGCGATTCGAACAACGTCGCCTACAGTAACGGCGCCAAAGTGAGTGACGAATCGCGCGTGATTCTGTTCTCAGCACACAATGTTTTCAGAAAGTTTTCGAAGGAAACATCGAGAAGTGGGAGCCGAATGTGTACGAGAAAGTGAGTGTTGCTTGGAGACCTGATTGAGATAAAAAATCCGAAAATTAAATTTATCTGTGCTGTTTAGTACTCCCACCTGCGTAATTTCTTTCTGTTCTTACAATTAGGGTAGCATTGGCATTGGTCACACTCGGAAACCCATGATAAATGTAAATTAGGGACTAAGGAAAAAGAGCAAAAGTGCGGAGCGAAAGGAAGAGCTGAATGAGCAATGAGTGGAAAGAAAAGAAAAGAAGAGGATTATCAGCTCTATCTCTCTTCTGCAGGAACTGCTCCGACGCACGTGGTCCGACGAGTTTGACAACCTCTACGAGCTAGGATCGGCCATCTACTGCTACATTTTCGATCACAATCCGAACTGCAAACAGTTGTTCCCGTTCATTTCCAAATATCAAGGAGACGAGTGGAAAGAGTCGAAGGAATTCCGATCACAGGCGCTGAAATTCGTGCAGGTGATGTGAGTACGAACTCCGAGGGTCTAGCCGAATGCTTTCAGACGTTGGCGCAAGTCGTAAAAAACATCTACCACATGGAAAGGACGGAATCGTTCCTTTATATGGTCGGACAAAAGCATTGCAAGTTCGCAGACAGAGGATTCAAGCACGAATACTGGGACATCTTCCAGGTGAGACCGATTCTTCTTTGTCAGAGTCATCTGAATAGAAGTAATTGCAGGACGCGATGGAGTTCGCATTGGAGAGCCGTCTGAGCAACATGGCGGATCTGGACGAGGCGCAGAAGAAGGACGCGGTGGCCGTGTGGAGGACGCTGGCGCTGTACACGACGGTGCACATGCGGAACGGCTTTCTCGACGGGCTAAAGGGAGTCAACCGGTTCCCTCCGCTCGTCTGAATCTCTCGTGCTCCCGTTCTTTCATTTCATTGACCTCCTCTCTGTGATTCTTTTTCACCGCTTCATCCCTCTCAATTTCTTCTTCTTCTCTCTACTTCCAACAACCATTCCTCTCTTTTGTTTCTGCTCCGTTATCATTTTTATTCAGCCTAGTCAGGGATAATGCTTTATAACTCTGAATTAATCATAAAACCGCTAAATCACCTCAATTTTGTAAATATTATGCTATAATGAAGAATTTTCCTAAATAAGCTCATTTTTTCAACTGTGTTAGCTTGCGAACAAGAGATTGTGATAAATAGAAATGTATTACAGACCTAATTAAATACCAGTACCAAAAACAATGCAAAACAATGTTACAAAACTAGAACGAATGTTTAGTGAGCAGCTTCCTCCTCCTTCTTGAACTTCTCGTACTGCTCTTCGTTCAGCAACTTGTTCAGCTCGTCCGTCGACTTCACCGTCAGCTTATACAGCCATCCCTTCTCGAACGGACTCTTGTTGATCAATCCCGCTTCCTCCTCCAACTTCACATTCTTCTCTGTGACCGTGCCAGAGACTGGTGCGTAAATGTCCGAGGCGGCCTTCACACTTTCCACGGCACCCGTAGAATCGCCCTTCTGAATCTCGGCTCCCTCATCGGGCAGCTCGATAAAGACGACGTCGCCAAGCTGTTCCTGTAAAACACACTCAATGTTGATGATGTCTTGGAGCCTTCTTTTTTTTACCGTGGCAAAGTCCGTGATTCCGACGGTTCCGACGCCATTCTCGACAACCACCCACTCGTGCTTCTTCGTGTACAAACGGCCTAAAATTCTTAGAATTCCCATTTACAGTAAAATTGTTCGACAATAAATTTTCTAAACACACCCGAAGAGGCGAAACGGACCGAAGGCTGAAGAGATGGAAGGACACGACGAAGAAGGCTCATTCCTAAAAAAAAATCGAAGATTGCAAGGTGGTGGGGAAGGATAGAAGACTCGCGGGGAAGACGTTATCAGTGAAAGAAGGCAATGAAACTGCGACAAAACAGCAGTGAACAGAAAGGAGACGGAGATAGTGGATAGGAGACGATCGAGAGACAAAGTACTCGCAGCAAAGACGACATTTCTTGCAGAACTGATCGGAGATTGAGAAGGGAATAATGCCATTGACAGAGTTATCTTGCCAATCGGAGATTTCAATTTTCTGGACAAAACTGGAAACTGGAAACCAGTCAAAGTGATTGATGTACTTTCGCATCTGAGAAATTACTTCGCAGTTTTCCTTCTTTTTACATTCCTTCCCAACACCCCCACATAACCTTCTATTTAGAAGAGGTTTAAAAAACTTTTTTTGCAGAGGTTAGCGAAGGCGTCGTATTGTTTACTTTGGTTCGTACTTCTATAAACATTTTTGCCCATGCCTCATCTGTACACTCATGCTGTTCCACTTATCAAAACATTCACAACGCGCTTTTCTTTCGAACAAAAGCAGCTCACCGTCTTTTATTCACAATCGAAAATGAGTGAATGACCCGAAATGCTCTTCCCAAACACGTGAAAACCGTCGGAGATTCGAGGCCAAAAACTCAAAAGAAATGTAAACACGGCAGCGGAAAGTCGCGGAGGATGTACGAGAGTTGACGACATTCGCCGGAAATTTTCTCTGCTGTCACGCTGAAGTAAGTTTTAATCTTACCAAAAAAGTGTTTGATGTTGATCAGATATGTAACCTTTTTACTTGAAAAGTCACTTTTTTCATATTAAAACAGTCGTGCAGAACCTGATCATCGTAGTGAAACTGATAGTCGCGCTTGCTCATGAATATCTGATTTTGTCGCTCTGAAAAGTTTCTCTCAAATATCAAATTCCAATAAACGCTCGTTTTCAAAGCCAACAGGTGGTTTATTGTGGTCATACTCCGTCCGCTCCAGTCGTCCCTTCTTTTGTGTTATTCTCCATTCACTCCAAACATTTTATCAACGCTGCAAAGCACACAGACGTGCTTGCAGTCATCGCAGTTCCATTTTCTAATTATTTGTGAAAGCAATAAATAATCGAAAAAGAGAGAAATGAGCGGCGGTAAGGAGAGTTATTTATGTTTGATGCTCAGTTCCGAATGATGTACTAAAAATTCGTCAATTAGTTATCAATCGAAACTCCAAAGAAACGTATTATTTCTCTTTGAAACGTTTTCTAAATTATTGTACACTGACAACTGTAAACCTACAAACTCCATATTCTACGAAACAGATAGTTAATCCGACCGGATTTAACATCACTTCAAAAGATTAAAATCGAAAGTATAGAAAGTACATCGAAGAACTGTCACACATACATTGAAATGTTTTCAGAACGTTGGGCTCAACCAGGATCTCGCAAACTCTCGCTCGGAGTCGCTCCTCAAGCCCTTTCCCGGATCGAGGCCACTTCGACACCGTCCCTCGACGTTCCGCAAAAGGTGAGATCATGAGTCAGCGAGAGCAGAAGCGGGGGCCGAATGTATTGACGCCACGTTTGTAAATATAAACGGAGGGAATGGGAATAGAAAAGGGCCTGCTGCCGGCAGAAAACGGTCTGTGCTCACAGAAATCCAACTGACTATGCAGCGAAATATGAATAAGAAAGTAAGTGCGTTTTTAGAATAAGTTGGTAAATACTCGCAAAAACACAATCCTGATCTCGAACCATTTCAGCCTGCGAACCGTCGGTTCTCCCTCGCCGCAACCTTCCTCGACGCGACCAAGTCGAATCGAAAATCGTCACTTTTTGTCGGTTGGTTCATATAAAAATGGGTGATTCGCCGTCATTTTCTTCGTCGCAAATCATGATGAGAAAGGAAACGTAGATAAAATCTGAAAGTTTGGAATTCTGAACGAAAAAAAAGGAAAGAAGAGTGGGCCTTTTCCTTCTATTCCCTCCATTTTAGAACAGAAACGCTCGCCAGCACGCAATCAGCAACATTTCTTCCGAGAAATTCTTGCTCAAAGGAACGGAATTCTTCTTCCGCCAGCCACGTCGTCTGCCACCCCAAACACTGTTATCACTCTTCTTTTATGACTCTTTTCTATGCGTGTCTCCTGCCTGCTATAATCACTCTTATCGTCACCTCACATTTTCCGTCTTTCCATATTTGGATTTAGTCATGCCGACCACTAAACTACGGCACACCGTCTCAATGAAATTCATGACAAAGCCACAAAAGCCGGTTTCTCTCTCACGATCAATGGCTGCTCTCGCGCTGGAAACACAGCCAACGTGGCGAAGAGACATGAGTATTGACGAAGAAAATGGTGGCACGAAATCAGAATATTCTGGAGGGTTTCATTAAATTGAACGTTTAATTTCAGAAAAGGATTACCTCGATCATCGTCCCCGCGGTGCCGCCGAATCCGACTTCGAACGGCCGTTGTTTGGTGAGAGAAACGAGCCGAAAGGAGGACGAACAAACCGAAGCGATTCGATAAAACCGGCGAGAAGCCGGCGAATGGGGAGAGCGATGCGAGTGGTCGTGGTCGGAGGGAAAAAGGTCGGAAAGACCGCCATTCTCAGACAAGTCGCCTGCGTGGAGGACATCACTAACAAGGTACTTTTCAGTCTCATTTCAGTTTCAAGCGGGCAACTTTCATTTCAGCCATACGAACCAACTATTGAGGACACCTACCAAGTGCTCCTGGAGGAGCCGGATAAAGCGAGAGAGATTCTGATTTTACACGACACGGCAGGAGTCTCGAACTTCGGACCGGTTGAACTGAAAAAAGCATACGTGCAGGCAGCCGACGCATTCGTTCTCGTCTATTCGTCGGCCGATTACGAGTCGTTCAATCGAGTGGATTTGCTCAAAAAATGGATAGATCGACAGTTCGGAAAGGATAAGAAAGAGGTAAGAGCGGACGGGGCGGAGCGAAAGAGCCGTTCATCAGTTGCAGGTTCCGATCGTCGTTCTGGCGAATATGCGCGATCGGCCGGCGACTGTGGACAGTGCATTCGCGCACAGTTGGGCGGCCCGCGAGAAGGTGAAGCTGTTCGAGGTGACCGCGAAGGACAGACAGAGCCTCGTCGATTTCATTCATTACGTCGGACATCGGCATTTCCATCCAACCAGTCAGTTTTTCCCGAAAAGTTTAATATAATTTGGAAAGAAATTTGCAGAAGAATCAAAGTTTTCGCTCTCGAAGAAACTCAAATCGGAGAAATCTTCGAATCCGGCCATTTTGATGGATTTCTAAAACTGTTTGCTCCCATGATACTTCTGTGATTTCACTTTCTTCCGGCCATAATCACCCGAGCACTGTGCCTTCTTCTTCTCTTTTCATTGTGATAGCTTTGCATAATGTCTCACACCCAGGCACCCAAAACACGTTGAATCAGTATTCGAGCAGCAGAAATTCGCGCGTTTTAAAGTGTCGGATGCTCCTAATACGTCTGACAGACAAATAAACATTATATGTGATTGTTTGATAACTCCAATATCAGGTTCAGGTTTATCTGTATAATAATAATTGCATGAATAAAACAATTTCTTTTTAATTCGAGCGATTGGTGAATGAGAGAAAACAATTGAACAAGATGTTCGAGAATCTTTGATATTATAGTGCAGATAAAGAAAAAGTGAGAAAGATTATGGGACAGACGAGACATTGCAGCAATTGGGATCAGATCTTGTGTTGCAGGTCGAAACCGAAGTTGTCACCTAAAAAAACAACCATAAAGACTAAAGACGACGTTACTAAAGAGAAGGGAATCGGGAGAACTAACCGGAGAAATGCGGGTCGTTGCCTTTGGCCGGGAGGGAAGGAGCCGTCTGAAACTGGGCAAAACGTCATTTCGGAAGGCTGCTCAGGTTGCATACCGGGATCAGATTGCTCTCTGAGCAGTACTTGACGAAAAGAGCACTGATGACTTCTTCCGTTTTCAAAAAACCGTTGGCATCGAGCATGAAGTAAATGAGCAGGATTCCGTCGGAGCACAGGTAGTTATGCACGAAATTGTAGCGGTAATCGCGAAGATTCGTTCCGAGCGCTTCCTTCTCGAGGGTTTTCTTTATGAGCTTGTAAACCATCAATTCGTTGCTCTTTCCGCATTTCAGACGGAACGCCCATTTGACGATTCCAACGAACGAGAGAGCAGTCAACTGAAACGGGTCTATGATATATGAAGAAAAGAAAGGGAACGTACACAAAGAAGCCAGAAGTAGAGTCCTATGAAGATCTTCTCGTTGATCACGTTCATCGGAATAATGCATTGCGTCTTGTGGCTGACCACTTGGCTCACTGACTCGTGCAGCTGATATTCGCAGCCGACAAGGATTGGAAAGTATTGGAAGCGGTTGTAGTTGCCGTCCGCAATGAGAGAAGCGAACTTCTGTTTGTCCGAAAGGGCGAGGAAGTCGTGCGACCTCACAGCCGGGTGAATGAACTTTTCGAGCAACTGAAAAATGAGCTGTTGTGAAAGCATTCGGGAATTTCGCGTACATCGAATCCCCACGTCCAAGAACTGACGTCCAAAAACTTGCAAACTAATTTCACTTGAATGACAACATTGGCGATGAAAAAGACTTTGGTGAGACTGTAAAGGATGCTAGGGAAAATTGGGCTAAACGTGATCCACGAAAACCATCCCATCTTATGAGCGCGACGGAACTTGAAGTGTTCGTGCATGTACAAAACGATTTTGTCGATTTTCTCTTTGGTTTTATCGAATGTCTTCTCGCCATTGATTCCACCAGCGTAGTCGACGATGAAAGCCATGTCTATGTCTGAAACGAAAGAATGCCACGTGGACTGTCTTGATGGAACAGTACAAATGAGCTTCTGCATGTACGCCCAGCACCAGAACGGGAGCAGAAAGCAGCAAACTTGGAATGCGAAGAAGAACGGAACCCATTGATAGTAGTTGATCGTGGCGTCGTCGGTGTAACTGCCAAATTCGGAAGAGCTGGTCGTGTGGTTCAATTCGTAACGGAATGTCCCGTAGAAAAGACAGAAGTGATGAATGTAGTCCCGCCACGATTTCAGATCTGAAAACAGATTTTGCGGTTCTATTCAGTAGAGCGAAATTTATTTACCATCGTGTTGCTTCGGCAGCATGCAATCGATCGGATTTCCAAAGTGCTGCTTGGCGCCGGTGAGTAGAACGAAAAAACCGAGCAAATAGACGGTGAACAGATGAAGACGGTCGTAGAACTCATATAGTTTCGCCGCTTTGAATGGTTTCGAGATGAAATCACCGATGATCGGGATCTCCCAAATCATTTCGAAGGAAAACTGCGAAAATGACGTGGTTATTATTTTTAAATAATTAACTCGTGTTATCTTACCTTTGTTTGAAGCCGAAGCCCTGCGAGTAGAAAAAATGAACGAAAAGAGAGAAATTGATGACGAAAAACGAAGAAAAGTGACTGCTACCGTATGCTTTAAAGGCGCAGCTCATTTTCAAACTGATTGCCCGCGAAATTAACATTGCATATCTGATCATGACTTTGTGCGTGTAGCAATGGAATTAAGAACAATCAAAAGTACTTAAAATGGGAGTAGGAAAGTGAGAGTCCGACCTATTCGTTTACTGCACACTCAGCGAGTCTCCATCAAACTCCGCGTGTTCTGACTCGATAACCAGCAGTGTGTACGACAATATAGTTAGCTGCTGATAATGGAATTCGTCTGATAACAGTGTATAGGCAGCATATTTAAGTTTTTCGCCCCGGCATCGATTTTTGATTGTTTTAGTGGCTCGAAATGCGGATACGTATAGGCAAACTCGACGTTTTCATCGTCGTCGTCGGCCTCATCTGCATCGTCTTCGGAGTGGTCACGTGGTCGGCGTTCTCGTCGATTTACAGTAGTTTAGTGAAATCGGTGAGTGGGGAACAAAGAGGAGAAAGTGAAGGGGGAGAGGAAGTTTCAGAATTTGAAGTTCTCGCTGAACAAGGACACGAGTGTCGGCTACTCGGCATTCCAGTACACAAATCCACAGATGCTTAATATTATGAAGTTTTACTTCTTCAATTTGACCAATCCAGATGAAGTAAAGTATTATTCAGCTGCTCCGAACTTGGTGGAAATCGGACCATTCGCAGTCATGTAAGTAAGCTTGAATAAGGATTACTGTAGTGTGCAAAATCATTGCAGAGAGAGTGAACAGAAGAAATACATAGACTTCAACGAGGACAAGTCACAAATGTTTTATCAGAATTACAAGAAGTACATTTTGTCGGAGGAGTATTCCTGTGAGGATTGCGATTGGAATCGGAACATTCTTTTCCCGAATCCGCCCGGTTTGGGAGCAGTCGGAAGTATGATTGATCCTCAGTTCGGAATCTCACGGACTGGGAGAGCGATCATCGCGATCGCACTGACACTTATGGGCGAGTATCCTTTTGTGTAAGAGTTCGGAGCACTAATGAGAGTCCTTACTCATCTTTTTCAGTTCTCACAAAGTACGGGAAGTCCTGTTTGATGGATACGAAGACGCTCTTCTTTCTGCTGCTCATTCCGGAATAGTCACTCTTCTTTCTGGAATTTACAAAGGCGAAGGACAAAGTATCGTCCCGATTCCGATACCCGATATGCCAAGATTTGGATATTTCCAAGGAGTAAGCTCTGCAATAGTGTAGTCCGACATGAAGTACTTTCAGTACAACAACTCTCGAGACGAAGAATACTGGGTGCAGACTGGAACAAAAGACATTAACGAACTGGGACAAGTGAAGAAGTGGGCGGGGATCACAGAGTTGCCGGGAGAGTGGTGGAGCACCTCGTACGCCCGCAGCATCCGGGGAAGTGGTCAGTTTTGTATTCCAGACCTTCCCTCCGTATCGCTCACTTTCACAGACTCTGGAAGTTTCACCCAAATGCATTTGGACGAGTCTTCGAGTGCTGACTTCTTCTTCTCATTCATGTGCCGATCATTCACAAAGACGTTCTACCAGAAGAAGACGATCGAATCCATTCCCACATTGGGGCAAGTGACCACTCCCTCTTCCTCTTCCTCTCTTCCTATAATCTCCTTTTCAGTTATCATGTAGGCTACGACGAGTGGGACACAACTTCCGATAAAAACGTCGGTTTCCGCTATCGGAATGTCGAACAGAGAAACTATTTTCCCGATTGGCCAAAATGCCCTCCGTGAGTCATTTTTAAGAAAATATCGTGACATGGAAAACATTTCAGAAAAGGACAATGTCATCAATCGGGTTCCATCGATTGTTCCAAGTCGGTCAACTTCTGTCATGCGTGTTGCGACGGTTCGCATTTCAACGGAACGTACCTTCTTCCTCCCGGAATGTTCCCTCTCGTCTGCTATCCGGGACGTCTTCAACCGACTCCATTCGCCGTCGTCTACTCGCCACCTCATTACCTTTACTCTCCGGACGAAGTGAGGACTACTGTAGTGGGTATGGCGCCAGATGAAAGCAAGCACGAACCAATGATCTACTACCATGAACCGGTTCGTTGTTTCTTCTCCCCTTTTTATCTGAATTGTTATTGTTTCAGTACAGTGGAACAACGCTGAAAGTGGTGAATAGACTGCAAGTGAACATGCCGGTCATCCGATCCCATGATGTTCCGTAAGTGTGCCTCCTCCTCGAACTTCTTGATGATTCTGCTCTTCAGAACGAGCCAGAACATGCCGAACGTGATGATCCCCCTGTTCTGGCAAGAATCTTCGCCCGATCTCGCCCAGTTCATCTACAATGAAGCGTGGCTAGGATTCGTGCTGGTGCCCCGGCTCATGACGGTTTTGCAGTTCGTCGCCCTCGGTTTCGGCCTCTTGCTCATTGTCATTTTCTTATTCATCCAGTTCCGGAAAGGCCAGAAGTCCTCTGCCGTCCGACCGTTCCGACTGAGTCTGATCGACGCGACGAGCAATTGGCTCTCTTCGACATCCTCATCAGGAGCATCCAATGTAACGAGGGGATTGAGGAGATTGTGAATGGAATCAAATGCGTGTAGAATAATTTGTGTTTTACTTGTTATCATTGCATCAATTTAAATGTTTTCGCTAGGTTTTCAATGTTTCTAGTCTCCACAGATACGGCAGTTTTTCATTGAATAACTGGAACTTTGTAGATTTTCGCATTGGCGTATATGGCGATTGACTTGCTGTTCGGATCGTAGTGCACGTTTCCAATCGGCTGGCTCAAACCTGAAACCTCACAGATCATTCAACTCAAATTTCCATCCATTTCATCCGACTCACCCTCCCATTTGATTCTGTTTCCTCGGATGTAGGTGTGACTGTAGAAGTCGTAAACCGGGGAGACGGTTCCGTCGCACTCGAGCGAATAGAGAACGGCGCATCGGACGAACGCGTTGCACAGAGAGGTCGTGTTGATCGAGGGAAGGGTCCAGTTGGAGACGATCTGCATGTTATGGGCGTTCAGACGGCTCACCGTCAGAATGTCTTCGTCTTGGCGCCGATAGAACACCCAAATTCCGTGCTCTTCGGCTTGGACGTCTATTCTTGAAGTGGAATTCGCATAGAGCGGAGTCTGAGAAACACTGAAGCTAAATATTGAAAAGTTTGAAAAAAAATACCATAGAAGTTCTCAAGTTGACGATGTTGGTTTTCTCGGTTTTCAGATTGAAAGCGATCAGTTTATCGTGCTCACTGTAGTACATTGTGTTGTTGTAGACGACGTTGTCCGTACCTGACAATTAGAGCATTCCATGAAAACGAGAGCATTCCAAAGAAACAGTACCATCGAACGGATAGGGCAGGAACTGAACCGCGCGTGTCTCCGAAGTGTTCAGGCGTCGGTTCCCTTTGAAAGTGAGCATTGTGTAGCCGTGCGAGAGCTCGCAGACGTGCCAGTGCCCTCCGTCCAAGTACGCGCATCCTTCCGAATTCCTTCGCTCCCCGACCTGCACCGGCTGCCCGAAACTCGCCTCCGCGGAGCACTCTGAAACACACCAGACTGACGTGGAGCCATGAATCATTCACAACTTCTCTTGAGCTCTTTGACGACTGCAATTCGAGACTGCTCTTTCTTCTCCAATTCGCGGTAATGTTTCAGTGAGTGAAAGTGTTCCATACATACTTTTCGAATGTGTTTCTTCTGAAATTCGAATAGTTTTGTGGGAGCAGAGAAGCATTCATTTACTGATACTTGAGCGTAGATAGGCATAAAAACAGTCGACTCATCGTCTGTCTTCGGAAGCCAATTCGAGGACAATTCTCTTTTGTGCCGTCCAGTCTTGAAAAGAATACTCTCAAACCGATCGAAAAGTTTAACGTACTTGAAGGTCGCTGATCTGGTTATTCTGGTGCCAAATCAGTCCGAAGGAAAAGAGCAAAAGAGACCACGGAACAGCGATTTTGAGACTCTCGAGAAGGAGCTTCATGGCTCCGTTAGCCGACAAAGACTGCCGAAAAAAGGAAGTTTGAGGAAGGGAAGAAGCCATAAATGTGAACAAAAAAGTTGACGAAGAAGGTTGTAAATGGGAAGGAAGAAAATTGGTTTTTTTCGTGTCTTTTAACGTCTTACTCACGAATACTGCATAAAGAATCGTCACGGCGAGGAGCCTTCCGGGCGGCTGAGGGCTCAAGAGGGCTGCCGACCCGATGATACGGTAATCGAGAGAGCATATGGCGGGTCAAGATGCCCACAAACGGGTAATATCATCAGTTGGAGAGCGAGGCCGACATAAACATATTAGCGGGCTTTTCCCGCGACATTCGACACCAACCCATCAGTTTGCACTCATTAGAAAGGAGAAATCCATTACGGGATGGATTACCAAATTCCGAGTGCCCTTCGGTTGCTCGAAATTTTCTGAACAGAGTCCTGTAGAATCCCTCCTCATTCAATTACTCGTTCGTGTTTTCGCATCGCTCCGTCATCATGTTTTGCCGCTAATCTCATTAGCGTCTAATTTCCGGACGACGCCTTTCCGTTCCATGTGTGATCGAGATGACCACAAAATGTTCATAAGTGATAATGGAAATGGGATAGATCGATATGAAACAAAATAAATGAAAGCCATGCACAAGTATCAATGAAATGGATAATTTTTGGCTTCGATCAGAACTTTTGGGATGGGAAGCGATCAGAGAGAGAGAGAGTGAGATAGGGTTTTTTTTGGCACAACTCCAAGGTTGGTCTTAATTGGCTTTGGAACGGGAAAGAAAAGGAAATAAATCGTTTTACGAAATGAGGGGGTTACTTTCGGACGGACAACGACATCCATCCTGAGATAGGTTAATGGCATCACAAATTACAAAAAAAGAGATTCGATCGGAGGTCGTTCATTCTAATCGTCGTCTTCTGCCACTTCGTCAGTCACATCTGCCACGTGGACCGGCGGAGCAGCTGCCGGAGCCTTCAGGGTGTGATTTCCCTGAAAACAGTTTAGATGAAAGACTCGGAAGTGGCGGATGTGTTTTCTGAACCTTGTACTCCTTGCCCAAGTGCTCCGTCGTCCCTTTCCACTGGTCGATCTCCGACTTGTCCACTGCCCCCACACCCAAGTACGCACATCCGATCGTATCGTCTCCAGTGCACGTTCTGAATGCGTTTCATGAGATTCGCCACGTGCCACCACTTCATTACCTCTGAGCATCGTGAACCGAAATGACAATGGAAGTCTGCGCGAGTTCATTTTTCGAAGTGCCGCACAAAAACATGACCGCTTCGTTATAAACGGCGCAGCAAGTACCTGAAAGCATAGTTAATTCGTTCATATTTTCTTTCCAATTCCAACTCACTCTTTATCACTCTCGACGATTTCGTCTGTGTCTTGGCGCCCTGAGTCAACGTGATTTTGACGCACACATCTGCAAAAGGTCGTTTTTCACCGGTGTCAGCGTGAATAATTCTCGAATGTTTCAGATGACGTTTCACCCCGTGGAAGTTCCCCTCTGACGTCTCTTCTGACGTCGCCGTTCCCGTCACAAAACATTTTGTTTTGTGCTTCATTCAGTTCCTGTCTCTTTCCTGTCCGATCTTTGTCTCTTCTCTACTCGATCTACCCGGAGATTAATGCCTTTTCCCGCTTCTTCTTCCACTTCTTCTCCATCGATGACGTCTTCTTCCGCCACGACTATACGACACTCCGTTTGTGCAGTTTGGCTGCTGCTGCTGCCCGTATTAAGATTACACAACTCATTTTTTATTTACGACTCTCTCTCGCTTCCCAAAAAAGAGTCCGCGGCAGCCAACCTCGGCTCTTCATAATTGCCAGATACAACTCGAGTGGGAGGATTCATAAATGGCGGCGACGTCACCCGGCAGCGAACTGATTTCCTATTCATTAGACTCGGTTGCAAGAGGAATTGAGCAGGACCGCCTGTACTCGATTGGCATTCCGCATGACAGATCGGAGAGGAAATTGAAGGGAGATAGAGAGAAAAGGGGAAGAAGATGAAGTGCATGAGTGATGCGGTTGACGACGTGGAAAACGGAAATGCTTGAAAGAGCGGACGGGAAATGAGAAGCCATCTAGTTACAGTATCTCATGGAACACCTACAGTAGCCACCCCGGTTCGCTCTAATTCGACATTCGGACTTCGCCATCTCGTTTGACGATAAATTGTCGCCCGGCCGTCGTCTTCAATTCGTCTTCCTGCTTCCTATTGTCATTACACTTCCTTCCGTCTTCCTGACGGCCATCATTTCTTTTTCTATTCTTTTTTCGAGTGAAGAAGAGAGAATAAGGGGAAGAAGACATTGACAAAAGCCCTCTCGTTGGGGTCTCATTTGAAACGCATTAGTCGAATGAAAAGGCACGCATTATAATGTCGATCGGGCCCTCATCAAAAGTGAAATGAACTGCCATTGAACCCCAACTATACGAAAGAGCTGAATACCTGGAGCGCCGATCAGACCGCATTTGGGCAGAGCGTCCACTTTCTTCAGGTTGACGGTCAGTCTCTTCGAATCCTTCTCAATCACAGATGACGTGTAGATCTTTCCGAATTTCTAAAAGTAAAAGTGAGATGAGAAAAGGGAAAGAGACGGAGGGATTACTTTCGGAACGGGCCCCTTGATCTCCTCGACGATCTTGATCTCCTTCTTCGTGTTCATCTCGCGAATGTCTCGCAACGGCACTGATGCGTCTCCTGGAAATAATGGATTGTTCGCAACTTTCCTTCCCCTTCTCCTTCTCTCTTTCTTACCTATCACGACATCCTTTCCCTTAAGGCCGCCTGCTGCGTGACATGCTGTAATTATCACAATCTTTGTGTCGAGCTCTTCGTGTGTCACATTGTCGAAGAAGAATTCCTGGAAAACACAACGGATAATAAGCGACTTGAGTATGCAAATCGGCCGCCTAATAGTCCCCCTAATTGTTCGGCGCCGCGTCCGTCTGAGTCAGTTTAATAACAAGCGGCTCTCTTCCCCGCGGGGGATTCTGATCTTCCGATATGGACGAATAGGTCGACGTCATCCGATTGCACTCGAAAATTTTAATTTAGTGATGCGAGCATGCTGCCGAAATAGCCTGTCTCCGCGCGCCGCGATTCCTTTCAAGAGGCTCTTCTCGACGGAAATAGCCTCCCGGCTCACCTGATTGAACGCCGGATTCCTGCCTCTCTTTGTCTCCGACACTTGTTCCTTTGCTCCTTTCAACCCGGGAATGCTCACTTTGCACAGTGCCTGAATCTCCAAGTCGGGCTTCAGTTCGCCCGCCAATGCTGCAAATAAGATCTTCTTTCAGTGCGCCGTCGACCTCCCTCTCTTTCAGATTCCCGTCTGTACACATGTATTCCTACGTATTTTTGCTCAACTATGGGGTAATCCGATTGAGCCGGCGCCAATTGTTGAGGAACTCTGTGAGCAACGATCGGTCCCCTCTCTGGCTCATTCATTCGACTGCTAATTCGCTATTCATATGTGCGAGGTGCTCTCTCCTCTCCCTTCCCTTTCTATATATCCAATTGCTTGTTAATTCGAACCGGAAAAAACGCGCTGTCACCTCGCTTTTTCTCCTCTTCTCTCGCTTTTCTTCGTTTTTATAGGTCCCTTCCTTCTTGGTCATAAATAAGCAGTACTGACGAAGTCTGTCTGGCAGTCAGTCAGTCACGCGGTTGCTAGCTTCCTCCCCGAGTTGTAAAACCCAAAAATGGCGGTCCCTTGACGCATCACAAATTGACTATGTAACGGGTTTTTATGGCGTCTCACACATGTACATACAGAAAGGCGTCACAATGACAAAGTGCAGCCACTCGTGGTGGAGTACCTCCTTTTCTCGCCGAGTCATGAATCAAACCGAAAGGTTTTTGGGCTTCTTGCCCTTCTCGGACGCCCTTCATCAGACTGGTTTTTCAGTAATGTGTGCATTTCTAATTAGACAGATATCAGAGGTCGTGTGACATTTCGCAAAGAACCCGGGGCCACGTGGGAATGGACAGAGTGGGCTCTTTGATCGGTGGGAAAGTCGTGCGATTCCCCGAATGCACGACGGCACTTTTCACATGATTCATGTTACATTCCGGAGCTTCAGGGTACCGTCTATGATTGATTGGAAAGCAGAAGAGTGGCGATTAAAAGAGGGAGAGAGGGGAAAGAATGCATTCAGAAATGCCGAACTTGTGAAAAGAAATACGATTCCCAGAAGGTCGTCAATCTATTTTCAGTGCTTTTCGAGAAACAAAAGTTCCCTGTCGTGCTGTCTCCGCTTGTTTTCCAGAAGCCGTCATTTGCCAAACCTCATTCGGTCGTCGGGCCACCCCTCAATTACATATTCGTGCAGCACCAACTCGTCAGAAACATTTGGCTCCACTGGTTTTTGCGGTTCGCTCCCGTGGGATTCTAATCTCGGAGATGCGAGAGAGCCTGCCAGTTCAGCCCGAATGTTTCTGCCCCTCTTTCTCTGCTCTCGGTTTTTGGCGTGTTTTTTTGTGTAGTAGCCACCAAAGTTTCAAAAGAAGACTTGAGAAGAGAGTTGGAGACGCAGAGGGTCAGTTGATCGAGCACTTCACAAGTCTAGGTGAGGGACATAATTGGTGGAGGGCCGAAGCGACAAGGAACCACTCGGAGCACACTCAAAGTATCTTCCGCTTCTCCTTGTCCGAGATTTGATGAAAAGGGTTGCAAAATAACTTGATTCGACGCGAGAGAAACGTCATTTGCATGCACAAAGAACCGCCGCTTATACTATTGTCGGGACAAAAAAGGAGACTGGCATCATAGGAAAAGAGAGGTCAAACTCGCCTTCGATCTTGCTGATAGTGACGCGGAGTCGCTTCCGGACCGCAAAATAGAGAAGAGAACAATGGAGAAGACCGAGACCGGTCGGCTGCTGAGGTGTCGGGCTGGAGCTGGAAGCGACGCTCTGAAATAAAGGAGAAGCTGAGCTGGGAGCCGTCGTTGCGAAGACTGACCGTCTTGTGCACAGCTGTGTTATTGTTTTCAATGATGATCGGGGCGTTCGGAGAGTAAAGTGACGGATCGAGACCGTGGGCAATCGGATCATCGGTGTCAGAGTTCGATTTGCTGGTAATCTGCAATTAGTTCTGACTCAGTCTTATGTTTATTCATGTGGTCGATCAATCTCTTAGATGAGCATCTTCTTCTTCTTCTTCTCCCATTTTTCGTCCCTCTCATATCCGATTCGAATCAAAGACCCATGATTGAAAAGGACCCCCGTATATCAGAAATCGCCGTCGTCAACTGCACTCAAATTCTGCTTCAGAAATCATCGACACACGCATGAAAACAACTGCAAAACAAGTCGGAGAGAGAGAAAGAGAAAAGGAGGGAGAGGAATGGATTGCATGTCTCCGAACGCGTGAATTATACACAGAAACCCCGTTTAGAAATAGCCACGTGGCAAGGAGAGGGTCCCCAGTTTTTTAAGCTGATCATACGACTTTCACCAGTGCCCAAATCAATCCGTCCGACACCAGATTCGATTGTTTTTGAGCACAATAACGAGAACCTAATTGCGGCTGCGTGAGCAACTACAGTATGTCCACAAGGTGGCTTATAAGGCCCCGAAATCAAATTGTCGCTCGTTAGGAAGACGTTTGTTTTGCGACGTTGACCGGACCCGCCCGAAATTTTGTTCGTTTTTTCATTTTATCTGTGAAAATCCAATTTTTGTGACGTGAAAACAAAGCGGGGAAAGAGCAGCCCCCGCCTGCTCCGCCCGCTTCGCACGGCCACTGTCATCGGTCGGAATTTGATTTGGCACGCGTTTTCCTTCACTGAGATTCCAAAGGATGAATTTCGCGGGGCCGCCCCGTCGTCGTCGTTTTGGGTTGTGCAGATGGCATTGCATATGAATGAGGAATGTGCAGTGTCGGAAGGAAAGCGCGGAGGTGGGACAGGAAGGAAGGAAGGAAGGAAGGGACAGCTGGATGAGTGACGAGTCCGCCATTCGATCCATCGGAGGTCAGTACTGACCAGACAGGAAATTAGAGGCTGTCTGCTTGTTTCAGACTCAATCCCTCTGATGCGTCAGCACACAAATCCGCCTCGGGTTCTCGGGGAAAGCCTCTTTTTTCTCCTGCAGGTCCGTGCACTTTCCACCCGCAAGCCCCTCGAAATTACCCGTTTCCGTCAGCGTCTCCCGCTCATTTGCTGCTCGTATTCTTCGTTTCGTGCTCTGAGCGTCGACGCATAAAACTCGAATTAATTTTGCTTCTCTTCGAGGGGCAAAAAGAGCGGCGACGTGCGGCGGCTCCCTTTCTCGGGCAGGAGAAGGAGTTGTTGTGCTAGTGCCCACTTCGGCTCATCATCGGCTGATTGCCCCCTCACGTGCTTCGGCGACAGCAGTAGTAGCTGGCTGCAGCACCACCTCTTTGAATAATGATGCGATGGGGCACACGGGGAAGTGCTTCTCCAAATTCGATAGTGTGTTTGAAATATGAGGCGCCAAGTCGGTCTTTCAGGGGGGCACTCAACCAGATCAAACGATTTTCGACACTCAAAGGACGTTCTTAGGGTGGCCGGCGGCTCATTAGTTCGGTGGCCAGACGGACAAAAAAACGATGGACCGAGAGAAAAGGGAGACGCGGAGTTAGCTGGTAATACACCGATCTGCGTAATTGAATCTGAATCGAGGAGACACTCCAGGCACAGCTGCTGCCCACTTCGCCCACTGACTTCGTATCTAAAATTATAGAGTTCGTCGAAAAGAAGTGGTGTTGACCGGTGACTCATTTCCGAATCAACTACCACTGGGCAATAGTTGATGGTTCGCATGGCGGCAACGGGAATCGTCGAAGGATTAAAACGGACACTGGGGATTAGTGCGTTAGAATCCCTTCATCGTCGGCGTTGTGTCGCAACTCTACGCCCCAAAAGAATAATGAATAGACTTGAAATGGCGTGAGCTGCATCTCGCTCCCACGTGCCCCACAAAGTTTGAGGAGGCGAGAATCGACGCCTGATAAACAAAGTGACGTGCGAGAGAGAATGAACGGCTTTCGTCTCGTCGCACTTGCATAAAACGAATCGAATCGTTGGTCGACGGAAGTGACTGCCGACTTCCGGTCTATCCCTCCAAGGCTCTCACTTTCCTCGTTTATACCTACTTTTTTTTAGTCTCTCGCCCCCTTTTTTCTATTTATGCACACATATTCTGATAGCCTTTTGGTTCATCAGCAGACGGAAACGACGCCATGTTCAGAATATTAATTAGCTATTCATTCGAACAAACGCCTTATTTTTCCAATTTCTGCGTGATTTGCCAACGTGTCGTTTCCCAGAGATACGAAAAGAAGAAGAAGATGAAGCTGCAGAAGATGCGCGAGTGCCTAATGCACACTAATTGACTAACCTGCTCGATGGACGACGAATGTACCGAAAACTTTGACATGCGACGAGGTTGGGGCGGTGGAGGAGCAATCAGAATCTCCGGAGAAATGCGGCGGACTTCTTCTGGAGGAGTCACGACGATCGGTTCCACGACTACATGTCCCTCGTCTTCTTCCTCTTCTTCTTCTTCTTCTTCTTGGCCGTATTCTTCCTCCACGACGTCTTCCCCTTCGTATTCTGGTTCTTCCACTTCTTCCTCGTATTCCGGCTCATCAGGTGTTGGATCAGGAGTCAGTGATACCGGAGACAGTGAAGATTGAGAGTTGCCTGGCGCGACCTGAGCCATACTCGTCAGATTGCTGAGTTCGGCGGTCGGTGGCCTCGGCAGCTGTCTTCCCGATGGTCTTCTTTCCAGGTGTGGAGCAGCACTCGGACACCGGTATTCCGGAGAAAGGGGTGGCGGAGTGGGCAAGATCCTGGGAGAGCTGCTCCTTCGGAGATGTGTGTCTGGAGGCATCGGAAGACGTCGTCGGCATGTCGGCTCGAGAAGGGCGGGATATGCGGACAGATGCCGCTGCTGCGGTTGATGCATTGGCGGCGTGATCGCTGGCGAGCGAGTCGACGAGTCCGGGGTTTGCGGTAACGAACGGATTTTGGGAAATGGTGGCTGAAAACAGAGAATCAGCGGGATTAGGCGACGAACAAAGGGACATAAAGATATGGACGGCGAAGATCTCTGACGTGACGGAGATGTCCTTTTGTTATGGAGATCTCATTAAAAAGGTAAGAAAGCACTGCATGAAAATGAGAAACAAGGGAAAGATCGGAGGCGCTTCAGAAGACGGACACAGAGTGTGTCACGTGTCAGAGGCAGTGAAGAGGAGGGGATAGGCGGAGAAACAAAACAAAAAGTGACCAAAAACTTGTAAAGTGGCTGAAAAATAAGGCGGGCCAAGCGGTGAAGACACACGACGAAGAAGATAAAGCTGAAGGAGCCGCCCTCGCCCTCGCCCATGCACACACACACACACACACACACTACGAAGCCTGGAGAGATTGCGCATAGAGGGTGCGCGGGCAGAGCAGGCAGTCTGAGCATTCACAAGGGGGCGGCGCCAGGCCAGACAAGCTAGGCACTGCTCCGATTCGGACGGGGCGGGGCGTGGAAACGGAGAAGGAGGGGGTACGAACGGAATATCAGGAGAGCGAAAGCCAACGGCTGGAAGTGCTTGGAAGTGTGAAACGATTACGGAAGTGGCGGAGTGGAATGAAGCAACTGCGGAAGAGACGAGCGGAAAGGTTCGGCGAGCGAAAGACCGAATAAACAATTGTTTGGAAAGTCTGAGGAAAAGTAAAGTCTTGACGTTCTGCTCGAAAAAATTTCAGATGAATTCCATGGTCGGATGCAGGGGTGTGCGGAAAATTTTTTTCGGAAAATTTCGGAAAATCGGTTTTTCCGAATTTTTTTTTTCGGAACATTTCGGAAAATCGGGTTTTCCGAATTTTTTTTTTCGGAAAATTTCGGAAAAATCGGAAAAATCGGAAAACTCACTTGTTCATTGGTTTAATAAAGTGTTTAAACAACGTTCTAATACAAAAAAATGCTTATTATGATTTGAAATCACTTGAGTGGGCGGAAGCCAAGCAATGGAATATTTTTTGCAAAAAAATTAGCCGAGAGAAGCTCTCCGGGTCCAGTGTTTTCCGATTGTCAGTGAGAATCAGGGGTGTGCGGAAAATATTTCGATTTTCCGAAATTTTCCGATTTTCCGAGAAATTTTCGGAAAAAAGACGCTCGCTGCTAGACCCTTCCAAAAATTTTGTGATGCGCCTTTAAAAAGCATACGGTGGTTTCGGACAAATTGACCTTGAATCCACACTAATTTTCCGAAAATTTCTCGGAAAATCGGAAAATTTCGGAAAATCGAAATATTTTCCGCACACCCCTGGTCGGATGAGATTCAGAACCCTTCAAAAACTCATAAAGACAAAATTTCGTAAAATTTCTCCGATGGATTCTGAGAAGTTTATGGGATGAAAACGAATATTTATGGGCTCTATCCTGAAAGCGGAAGTAGAGCGATTAAATGTGAATCAGGAAAGTTCTAGAAGTGTAGACCAAACAAGAAGTAGAACAACAATAATAAAAGGGGATCCCTTGCCCTGGGCATGAATTCCAAAGTGCGAGAAAGTCGCTATCAGAGCCTTCTTCCCCTCTGACCCCCAATATTTTGATGGATGCATGAGTTTTTCTCTTAGGACGGTGTCCTTAGACAATCGAGAGAAAGAGAAAACAAACTGCTCTCGTTAATAAAACAGGCGTATTCGGGAGCTGAAATGTCCTCGGGCGGCGTACCAAACATGCTCTCCGAGCCCGCAGTTTCATTTCAATAATGGGCTCGCCGAGGATAGGTGCCGCCCATCGAAAACTAATGAATAAACCTTTCTCTACATTTCCTCATTCCGCATTCTCCCTCGATTAATTGAATCTCTCATACTTAGTGCATATGTGTTTTTCGTCAAAAATATCCATCATTTGACTCCCTTCCCGGAAATAGGCCATTGATTCAGCGAGACGCAGCCGAAAGATCATTACTGGAAATAAATTTTTCGGCCATCCGTCTTTCAAGCTGACATCATTTCTGCTCCGGACCTTTTGGGCTTGCCCCGTAAACAATGCGATTGCCAACAAGTCTCCATACACAGGCAAAACAAAATAGGCGGGCGCGGTACAAAAAGTGGCCGAACGGACGGGATTGTTCAGAAATGGAAAGCAGATTGGTTTTAAGGCCAGAGGTTCGAGTCTCCCAGGTTGCTTGACTTTTACTTTTCCGGCCGTCTAATTTCAGAGAAGGGGAAGGTGACAAATTACGAAGCAGGCTTCAAACTACCACAATTAAACGTATATTATAGGCGAGCGCAGGTGGTAAACAAGCGCGTGAGGCGGTCCGAAAACAACGAGTTCGATCAGGCCCGCTTCTGTACTTTCTTCTCTCGGACTCAGAGTTGAGCGGAATGGGTTTTTTGAAAAAGCGGAAGGCGGAAAGCGGAGACGGAATTCAAATTTTTTGGCGGAAGGCGGAAAGCAGGGCGCTACAACGAAGTAGAACTCGCACGCGTGAATGGAACTGTTTCGATTTGGAACTCGCAACGTTTTGATTCCGCGGAGGCGGAATGCAAAAAGTGGCGGAGGCGGAAGGCGGAAAGCGGAAACCGGAATTCCGCTCAACTCTGCTCGGAATCTCACTTCTAACGAATGCGTCGCTCGTAATTCTCACGTCGTCTCATTATGTTTTTCTTTTTTTATTGTGTGAACGGGAAATTGTCCGGAAATGAGGCGCGAATGATAAGAAAAGGGATGTAACAAAATTATCATCTATGCGATTGCTTTTTTCTCAAAAGAAGAAAGAGAGGGATATGAGAGAGAGAGAGAGAGACTAGAAAGAAAGAAAAGGGGTAAAAGGAGTTTGAGGGAAGTTCTAAGGCGCAGTGACTATCTCTACCGTATCCCGGTTGCGGATGCATCATCTCGTCTGCAGCAGCCATCTCGTCAAGAATCATCTTTATTCGGTTTTTGATCAAAATTTTTTATTGACGACGATTTCTTATGCAACCAGGGATTCGGGATTGGGATGGGGGATACAAGCAGAAAAAACGAATGGGTGGGACGGGGGAAAGAATTCGCTCGATTGACCTAATTGTTCGTAGGGGGGGCGGAGTCAGTCAGAAGCACGGTGGGGGGCAGTGGGACAGAACAAAAAGATAGTCGAGAAGATTTGAGAAGGACGATAGAAAAGCGGGCGCGGAAGAAATTCGATTCAAAGGGAAAAAGGGGTTTAAGAGAGAAAAAGAGAAGAAAAAGAAGAAGATGGAAGAAATAAAACAATTATACACATCTTATTAGCAAATTTATTGGATGTTGAGAGGGCGACGACGCTTTTTGATGTTTAATAATCGTCCTCCGTGACGAAAATCTGAAAATGTCGAGTTGGAGCATAATTAGAGACATGATAATTGTTGGCTACTGATCAGAAAATGTCAGTGAGTCGGCTGTAGCGATCAGCAAAACACGACTACGTCAGAGAGAAGCGCATACCTTGGATGAGGACTTTCCAGTGACGACAGAGGAACGGTGCTTGGCGCGGATGAGGTGAAGGCTGCTCTCGGCCTGATCGGCACGACCCTCGGCATCCTCGAGCTCGTGTTGGTATCTGCGCACTCTCTGGAGGTTCTGCATCGTGACGGACTCCTGCAAAACAGAACAAATCGAACATTGATCAGACCCTTCAGACAACTCACAGCCTCGGCAAGTTGTCTCTTCTGGATGTTGAGCTTCTCGGCAAGACGGTCGGCGGTGTCCTGAGCCATGACGAAGTTCTTGTGCTCCTCGTCGACCAGCTGCTGCACCTCCTTGATGCGACGATCCTTCTTTCTCAGGGCATTCTGGGTCTCCTTGTGTCTTCTGGTCTCCTCGTCGAGGGCAGTCTCCAGATCACGGATTCTGGTCTCAAGCTTGGCGATGACTCTCTTTCCTCCGAGAAGAGCGGCAGCCTCGGCTTCCTGGATCTGGACCTGGAGCTGCTTGACCTGCTCCTCAAGAGACTTTCTCAGAGCATCGATCTTCATCGAGTGCTCCTGCTCCTCATGGAGTTGCTCAACGGCGCGGGCGGCATCGGCGAGAGCACGGTTGGCGCGCTCGTCGGCAGCGTGGAGTTCCTTGGTGACCTCGTCCAAATCGGCCTGAGCGGTGGAGAGCTCGGTCTCGAGCTTATTCTTGATAGAGGTGAGGTTGTTGTTGATGGAGATGAGGTCGGAGATGCGTCCGTTGGCCTCCTCAAGATCAACCTCGGCCTGCTTGCGGGCGCGGATTGCGTTGTCGAGAGCGGTCTTGGCCTCCTCGAGTTCGGCGGAGAGAGCGGCGACCTGCAAAAGTACGGATCTCCAACCTGCACGTATATAAAAATCGTTACCTTGCGCTGGGCAAGGGCGTACTGGTCCAAAACTTGTTGCAACTGACGTTGAGTGTCCTCCAAAGCAGCTTGGAGAACCTTGAGTTGCTCCGATTGCTTCTTGATGGTCTTCTGGGCCTCGATGTTGGCTCTGCAATCGAATTCCCATTAGATACTCTATTTCCTGAAACACTCACCTGTTGAGGTTGTCGACGGTCATCTCGAGCTCGGCAATCTCGGCCTGGTACTTCTTCTTCAGTCTTGAGATCTCGGACTTCATGCGGGCCTCGGCATCGGCCAAAGCGGCAATGAGTCTGTCGATCTCGAATTGAAGGTTCTTGCGGAGAGCCTCGAGTTCCTCCTCCTTCTCCTGGAGACGGCGTTCCATCTCGATGCGGAGGGCCTGGAGCTCGGCAAGAGCACGCTGGGCACGGTTCTCGGCGTCGCGGCGCTGAGCATCGGCCTCCTTGAGAGCGGTCTGGAGCTCACGGATCTCTCCGGCGAGACGGGCGTTCTCAAGGTCGAGCTCGTGGAGCTTGCGGTTGGCATCGGCAAGAGCTTCCTTGGCTTCGTGGAGCTCGTCGTGGAGCTTCTTGTTCTCGCGAGCAAGAGCCTCCTTCTGCTCGACGGCCTTCTCGTACAGGTGCTTCATCTTCTGGAGCTCGGCGTTGGCGGCACGGAGCTCGCGTTGAGCAGCCTCCAGTTCAACATTGAGCTCGTCGATGCGGACCTTGAGCTCTCCGACCTGTCTCTCCAGCTGCTCCTTGGCGCGCTCCAAGATGGCGATGGTGTTCTGGGCCTTCTCAAGGTCGACGATCAGGACCTCGACCTCGGATTGGAGGCGAGACTTGGCCTTCTCAAGCTGAGAGATCTTCTGAAGCATGATCTCGATCTGCTCCTCGTACTCAGCCTGCTTCTGGAGCATCTTCTTGCGGAGATCCTCGACTTCCTCGTGGTGAAGGGAGACCTCGGCGTCGAACTTGCTCTTCCATTGGGTGATCTCGGTGTTGGCGAGGTTAAGCTTGTGCTCGGCATCCGAACGGGCAACCGATTCCTCGTCGAGGGCGGTGCGGACCGAGTCGAGCTCGAGCTGGACTTGGTGGAGTTGGGAGTGGAGCTGGGAGCGCTCCTGCAATTTTTGATCTTGGTTCAAAGGTCTTTTCTATCTGCGTCAGAGGCGCTTCCTCGGGGGAAACCCGATAGGCTCCCCTGAATTTGGCACTTTTACTTACGCGCTCAGCATCCTCGAGACGACGTCTGGCCTCCTCAAGCTGTTGGGCGAGGGTGTACTTGACGTGTTGAAGGTTGTCGAGTTGAACCTTCTGGTCGTGAACCTCCTGTAAAGTATACGATCCCTGATCAGTTAACACACAATCGACAAAAAACGATTGGGTCTTCTTTTTGTTCTCTTGAGGCTCATGGTGCGCTCACAGAGCCCTCACCTAATATCTCGAGTACTCTATTTGCGCACACACTCTGCGCCACCACCGAAATAGTAGCGATAAAACGGAGGCGCTGTGCCAATTTTAGGGGTTTCTTTTTTTGCGGTGACTGAAAAAAGGAGGAAAAGCAAAAAGCAGAGTGAGCACACGTTATAGATGATACGGAGATCAATTGTGTTCAATACACATCACGTACCTTGAGGAGGTCGTTGTTTTCGGCTTGAAGGCGCTGGCGCTGCTGGGCGAGGTCATTGACGTGCTTGTTGAGGTCCTCGACCTTGTTGGCAAGTTCGTTGGCCTGGGCCTCGAAGCGCTCGGCGGCCTTCTCGGCGTTGTGCTTGTCCTTCTGGAGCTGGTCGATGGTGGCGGTCAGCTCGATGACCTCGTGTTGCACACGCTGGCGTTCGCGGTCGATCCTGCAAAAACGAACAGCGTGGGCGTGGACCAATAGCTAATGCTAAATTTAACGCCGCGTTAAAACGGAGTGTCGTTGAAAACAAAAGCAGGTCTCAAAAATCGACATGTGTCAACAATGTGTGCGGTGATGTCAGAGGTGGAAGTGGTAGCGGACGGGTTTGAGAGTGAAACCAGTGATCAGACAACTACGCCAGCTAACAACATTTCGAACTTTTGTTTTTATCAAAGTTTGGGGGCGAAAGTGAGAAGAGACAACTGAAGTTTGGTGTACGAAAGTGTAGGAACTAGATCAATATAAGTTCATAGAACAATCCTCACATGACCCTTCTTCCCTACCATCAGACTCTTCGATCCCAGAAACGCTCAAGTTTTTTTGTCAACTTATTTGCATGATTGCGGCTTCACTTCTCTCGCGTTCCCAACAATCTAATTATTTCTAACCACCACTGTTTCACGGGAACGGATAGCTGGCAGGCAACGGAGAAGGGAGGTAGCGGGAGGATCAGAGAGACTCAGACGCTCTCCTCTCTTTCTATCTCTTTCACTTATCTTCCTGGAAGGCGAAACAAACACACACGAGAAACGTTTGTTATTTTACACACCGCGAGGGAGCCGCCAACTCCTCCGCTGCCTTGCTGCCTGCCGCCCGCGGGAGCTACTAACGAGTACGAGAGGGAGGAAGGGAAGGGGAATGATGTGAGAACGGTGACTCACTTGGCGTTCTTCTTCTGGAGCTGCTCGATTTGGTCTTGGTAGTCGAGCACAGCGTCCTGGTGCTTCTTGCGGAGCACATTCATGGCATCCTCTGATTCGAGCTGGGACTCCTCGAGGAGCTTGCGAAGCTTGAGGAGTTCTCCCTCGCGCTTGCGGTTCGATTCGATCTGCAACAAGCGGTTTCTTGTGTGACGTGGAGAGCGTTTCTAGCATAACTACTTCCGAAAATATAATCATCTGCCTGTTTTCGCTCTCTTTTGCAGCAGGCAGAAGTATTCCGGGTCTGAGTGGAACACTTCCGGGTGCTCTACGACACAACTTACTTGGCTGTCGGTGGTTCCCTCAGCATCCTCGAGTCTGTCGGTCAAAGCAATGAGTTGGACGGAGAGATCGGCACGCTCGCGCTCGATCTGGAAAAGGGCTCATTCTGGATGAATCGCTTTCGGAAACTCACTCTGTTGCGGAGCTCGCGCTCAGATTCGAGGTCCTCTTGGAGAAGACGGATCTTGTCCTGAAAATATTAAATGTTTTATACGACTCCCATTTTGGCCTCAATTTCAGGGTGGATCCTCTTTGCTGAATATCCCAGTTAAATTCTTTACACCCAACAACGCGTGGGAGCGGATCGGGGAAGAAAAGTCAGAGAAAAGTGAGATAAGAGAAGAAGAGGCGCAGAGGAGGTTCCTTCGGGAAGAGATGGGCGATGAGCAAATGGCACCGCATCCACGGATTGATACGTGCACCCACGGGGATGTATACACTTCCCGACTTGCCAATTACAGTGAAATTCAACCGAGGATAGAAATCGCTATGACTAATTAGTTTTTAACTAGTAACGAAACACTTTAAAGAAGCAAATTCTCTCATCAAACAATTGATGTCCCACTTCCTAATAACATCGGATCTAGTAGTAGGGAAGTCAAACAAAAGTTGCGAAGCTCGGTTACTTCTGACAATACAGGCAAACTAGTTGCCGAGTGGATTTTGGATCGGGTACCATTTCCTCGCGGAGCAGCAGAAAGTGTCTAGCCTCTCACTATTGAGGAAATACTCCGAACAGCCAGGACAAATTATTATACGGTTTGGAGAATGGAAACTGAGAAAGTGAGGCCGCTTGAGATCCTTAGAATCCTAAAGTTCTATGTGCATAACGTGACGCTCCGAATGGATTCAAAACGAGTGATAAAGAGAATAAAGGTAATAGTTATAAAAGGGAATTTACCTCGAGTCTGGTGAGCGATCCGAGGTCGGCGACCGACATGCTGCCGAACGGAGCACCAAACGCGGCTTGCGATGGGCTCTTGAGAAGAGCAGCGGATGGCGAACGGTACAATGACATGATCAAATGATAGAGTTGTATTCAAATGGATGGTGCCCCTTGTGTGCTGCTGGCTGGCTGGCTGCTTCGAGACTGACTGATTGTGCGTTGCTTGCCGTCGGGACGCACACATCCCATCCCATCCCGCTCCTCTCCGTCGGCGTCTCTTTGTCTTACACACTCTTGTCGTGCTCCGAAGGTAGTGCCGCAGGGAGCGAGAGGCACAGTGTAATCCCTTCGGCTGAGCCACCTCCCACTCGACGCTGCGTATCTGATAAATGCCATTGTGTTTTGCAACGAGTTGGCGGGATACGATCTCGAGAAGAGCGCGCCGAGAGCCGAAGCGCAGACGTCGCATCGCCCGGCCAGGAGGTTTTAAACATTCGATGATATTGGTTTGGTTCGGGTCGAGGAAGCACCCGGAGTGAGCTGTTGTCCGGGGATCCGCCGCACTTTTGCCCTTCCCAGAGCAGCGGCGAATTCCGATTGAACACCTGAATGATCTGGAGGATGAGTTTCGATCCGAAGGTGTTTGTAGAACAGACTGAGAGTTGAAGGACTGGAAACGAAAACGATGCCCATCTATGGAAGAAGAAGGAACGATCCTGGGTCTTTAAGATTCCGTCGGTATCCTCTGAAATCCGTGCTAAGTGCGAAATGTGTAATGCTTCGGGTGTCCCGAGGAATGCGTGCGTGGGTGCACGACAAATTGCGAAATGAATCATTCGTCACGCATTTGACGATAATGAAAAACATGTGTGTTGGCACTAGAGAATCCTAATCCGGTTCGAATCAGTTGTTGAACTGTCCAAAAGTGAAAGCATTCGTTGTAATATTCTGTTTCCCGATGATTCATTGCCAACATCTTGATCTTAAATTTCGAAATGTGTTTTCAGTTCCGAGATCTGGTAGACCAGACAACAACCAGAGTGTGCCAGCTGACGGAATTTCATGACTGAGCCAATTACCGGAATTCCGACCACTTCCACTTTCAGAATCAAAAGAAAGTCGTTAAACTTTCGAATTTTCTTTTCATACTGTAAGTTCACACTCTCAATTAGTTCTCAGTTCTTCGTCCAATTGCTTCAAACTTCTTTTTTATATTTTGCGCTTCCGCAGCCGCCTGCTACACCCGGGGTGCTCCTGGCCGTCGCCGTTTTTCCGTGATCATTACAAAGAATCGGCAGAAGATGCTCTTCTCCCCTGGCCGAGCCGCCCATGCTCTCGTCGGTCTCCGCTCCCGTCTCAGTCTCTTTTTCCGCCACCGTACACTGGGCTGAACTCTTCGGCACCGAGCAAGCCCACGGCTCTCGTTTCGCCCCTTCGGCTACACATGCTTCTTCTTCTTCTTCTTCTTCTTCTTCTTCTTTTTCTTCTTCGATGAAATGGCAGAAGGTGCGGGAGAGCAGCCGGGAGCAGCCGGGAAGTGAAGCCGCATCAGCGGCCCCGCATTATTGTTTTAAAGTATTGGCAATTGGGAGAGCGACGAGGGAAGATACTCACCGAAACACGGCAAGAGGATAAAAATTTCGAAAATCTGGGGTTCCCGAGTTGTTCGCAGAAATGTCTTTAAGGTTGAAAAATATTAAAGAAGTGAGGGATATAGGGTTCATTGCTAAAAAAAAGGAACACGAGAAGACATGTTAATATCTGGCTCTGCGAACGACGGCACTTCCCGAACTGCTGTAGGATCCCTTCGATCCGTCCGCCTCACCAGCAGCATCTCCTCCGATTCCTGGAGTTCTTGGTGGGCATGGGCAGTAGGCAGCATCTGCTCCTGGCGATCCGTCAGTTCCCGGTCCTCCTGGCGCTCCTTGAGCTCCTGCAGCTCCATCGTTTCCAGGAGGACCTGGTGGTCCAGCTGGTCCTGGTTGGGATTGTGGCGCGGCGCCGTCTTGTCCAGCTGGTCCTGGTGGTCCTGGTGGTCCAGCGGGTCCTGCTGGTCCTGGCTGGTTGGTGCTCGAAGTTCCAGCGGCTCCCGGAGCTCCATCGGCTCCCGGCGCTCCCGGTTGTCCATCAAGGCCTGGTGGTCCTGCAGGTCCTGCCGGTCCGGCCGCTCCTGGTCCGGCGGCATTTCCATCAGGTCCTGGTTGTCCCGGAGGTCCCCCTGGTCCAGCGTTTCCATCAGGTCCTGCAGGTCCTGGCGGTCCTGCTGGGCATTTGATGCAGTTTCCTGCGGCTCCAGGGAAGCTGTCAGCAGCTCCTCCAGATCCGCTCTCTCCGTCCTTTCCGGCCTCTCCCGGCTCTCCCGGAGTTCCATCTTGTCCTGGAGGTCCTGGTGGTCCAGCTGGGCATCCAGTGGACTGGGCAGCACAATTGCACTGTCCTCCGGCATCTCCAGTCGCATATCCGGCGGCTCTCTTTGAAAGGATCACTCTTCCGAACGAAACGGAATCGGATGCAGTCGCCTGGTTCCCCTTGACCATTCGATCCCAAACATCATTGGATCGAATTTTGAAGTGAAGCATTTCACTGTTGATCTCCTGCTCGAACTGTTGGATGTCGAGTGTGAGGGAATAAAGAGAGAGCAAGGAGGCGACGACGATCAGCGAGCAGCCGATCGTCGACGAGAGGATGAAGTAGTAAGAGACGCTGTTGGACATTCACGAGCGATGGTAAGTGTCCTCTTCCCGTTCGCAGTTCCTTTTATACCAAAACCGATGGAATCTCTTTCCCGTTCCGATATCCATCTTTTATTACGAAACCAAACTTCACAACATTTCATAATCAAAAACAATTTATTTCGGTTTCAAAGTAATCGAACTATAAAGTGTTTGCAAAGTGCACAACGGCGAAAAACAATATCACAAAAAGGAGGGAGGACGGAAATCGGCTAGAAGATATCGTGAGCTTGACCCGACTGATTTGTGATTTCTCTTGCGTTATAAACTGATAATGAGCATAGAATCCGGTCGCGTCGAAGATGTCGTTTGTCGAAAAAATCATTCGGAAGTAGTTGGACTCCGACAGAATTGGACCTTTCGGGGCTGTCTTGCCACAGAAACGACGGTTTGTTCGATCGTGAGTCTGATAGTTGGAGAACAGAATGTAGTCGCTTTGCGTCGTTTCATCGCACCTCAAATTGAGACAGGGTGAGAGGAGGATGATAATAGTTTGAAGGAATCACTCACTGATTGAATCCTTCGATGTCGAAATACTCGAAATGGATGTGAACAACTTGGTCATTCCGACCGTGGAATATGTACTCGCAGTAGATGTTTCGAGGATACAGTCCCGGATAGTTGGCCGACCAGAGCTTTCCGTTCGTGTGCTCCGAAGAGTTGAATGAAAAGCGGCATTCTGAAACAGGGCGGACGGAGTCGAAGAGATTCACTCGTTTTCTGCCGTTTACCTTTTCTCTTATCCACCTTCGCTTTCATACTGGACATGTTCCAATCCGTGTGGAACTTGTAGTCTAACCGGAAACCAATGTCATCATTCGTGCTCTCACGAATCACTTTCGAAGACTAAAAATGAGGCGATTAAGGAAGACGTTCAAGTTTCGGTCACCTTTGTGTTGTATTCCAACTGCAAAAGGTTCGAGCTGCTCATCAGATTCGGCGGGCTTCTTTTGCCGCACCATTCGTCGATTCTGGAGAGCCGCGAGCCGACGCGCACGTCAGCAGACAGATTGTCCACTTCTGTGCAGCTGCAAAGAACGACTATGGTGTCTATCTCTCGTTTGAGTCTCTCTTTCTCTCTCATTCTCCCAAAACTCACCGTTTCGTGACATTTTTGTTATCCGGGACGTACAAATTGAAGTGTGTGAACTTGATGCTGATTTTCTCGTTAGGATATCCTTGAAACACGACCTGGCACTTTGTCGGCATTGAAGAGGACGAGAATCGTCCAATCTTCTCGGACGACAACTGCCCTTCTTTGAAGTTCTCCGAATTGATGTTCAACTGACATTCAGAAGACGCTTCTGCAGTTTGGGAAACTTTAAATAGAGCAATAAGCGGCTGCTGGTCGGCGACAGTGTTTCCTCACCATTTATATATTCAAGAAGTATTATGAAAATCACATAGATTAACATAAAAAGTTGAGTGGCCCAGGTTGAGAATTTGGTGCCAGAATAGGGCGAAAACGGGCGGAATAATGAGAGGGAACACTGTTTGATTCGATGGCCAATAAGGCGGAAAAGTGAATGGGGCGAGGAGCGGAGGGAGACGCGCAGCCGAAGAACCAAGAGGAGCAGCGGGAGGAGGTGTGCTCCGACGCGCACGCGCTCTCTCCGCCTCGCCCCATTTTTCTTCTCTTCTTCAACTCAACTCACCCGGAGATTGGCTCCAAACCGCATTCGAGTACTGCAATTCGATTACGAAGCCAACGGCCTGCAACACACAACAACACTGCCTGCCCACACTCTAAATTGCTTCAACACACACACACACACACACACATATAACCGGAGACAAGAAGAAGAAGAAAAAGAAGAAGAAGAAGAAGAGGGTTAGGAGGAGTCCTTTTTGAGGAGGAGACGCAAAAACCCATCTATGAAATAAGAGCCGATTAGCAATTTGGCCCGGTTGGCTAATGAAAAGGGAGACCACGAAAACAAGTGTTTGGAAGGGAAAACTTTTTGGGCAAAACGAAAAGATGCTTGAGATTCAGATGACCGGGCAGCCGTTTTTGAACTTTAGAAGTGACTTTTTTGGGGAATTCAATATTCACGATCTGAATATGAATTGGATGGGAAAAGGAAGTTGAGCTCCGTTGAAATTTTCGTAGCATTTCTCAAAAAGAGCAATACACTCGAATGTTCATTTTATGTTCCTATTGAATGTGCTCAGTACACACTTGTTCGATCGCGAATTCACATATTTTTCCACTCTGGAACGCGATTGTCACTCAATTGTTCTCTGATGCTTTCGTCTAATTGACTTTGATTCATTGTAAAGACACAAAGCACATGCCACGTTTCCCACGTCTCAACGCCTCCCTCTTCTTCTTCTTCTTTTTCTATTTCCCATTCTGGCATTTCTCAATGAAAAAGAGTACAGAAAAAGGGGAAAGGAACGCACCCGCTCGACGTCGTTATTCCCCGCAGAGAAATAAATCAGAAGGGAGGAGATCGACGAGACGTAAACTGATTTCTGCGAGGATGTCACCATCTCGATCAATCTTTTCTCGAATTTTCCCTCCTCGGACTCGAATATTTGAAGCGTCGCGTCGTTCCCAATGTCCATAACGATTGAGTTGACGACAATCTGAACACGGAGAACTACGAGATAGCCCTGAACTACTGTAGCAAACCTGAAATCCTTTTCTCTGGGGAATGTGGTAAGTGCAGTTGACTTTCGACGGATAGTAGTACGGATATTGAGGGGAATAGATTATCGCCTGAAATAGAATGCTGCGTAACTTTTTCTTCAAATACTGATTACGGTACCTTCTGCTTCTCCACCCGGTAGCTACATTCGGCCATTTCGACGGCATCGCTCGTGAAGTTCTTCTTCGGCACCGCCAGAAACGATCCCTGAAATCCGCGCGACGCCTCCTTCCCACTCGTAATTTGCAGTAGAAAGTGCTGCTCCCTGAAACGAATTATTTGGCACCCTCTTTTCGCGTTTTTTTCCCAGCTTTGGGCCCTACTTGGAGAAGAATTGGCGTCCCGAAGAGATTTCTTTGCTACAAAACTCAAAGTCAGCACGTTCTCCAAACTCGATAAGGCCGTCGGTCGAATGGTCGAAAAGCATAATTGAGGACGAACAACTGCAACAAAAGGGCTGGGAGTGACGAGCCGGAAACGGCATTGTGAGCCCGAGACTCACACTCCGATTCTAGGCGGCAAGTGGAAAACGTCGAAAGTCAAACGGATTATGTGATCGGGTGGTGCCTGAAAAAAACAAGGATTTCAACTTTCAAAAAAAGAAAGTGCTCGACCTGAAAATGATAAAATAGACAGGGAACGCCATCGAGAGGCGCCGGGAACTCGGGCGACTGGAACTTGCCACTCGTCACATTGAACAGAACACACTTGCATTCGTGTTGAGCGGCCGCCAAGGGGAACTGTCCAAACAGCGGAATCAGCACGAAAAGGGAATACACGAGAGTATGCTCGGTTCGACGACGCATAATGACCGGCTCCGCCGCATCATCCCATCATAACCTGAAGTTGTTCATTCGGACGGATTACAAAGGAAACCGGAAATTGGTGAAACTGGAGACAGATGATGAGACGGGGGAAGGGTGGATTAGAAATGGGAGCAAATGCAAATAGGATAATGAAGTCAGAGGAGTCTAATTGGGATTTGTAAAGGAAAGGCAAAAGTCCGATGTGGACATTGAGAAGTTTGGATGCTCAAGGTTAGGGAATGTGTGCAAAGCGCGTTCAAGATTAGGTGACAGAGGATGTTTCAACTGATCTTTCGGAAGAGCATCAGACTCGGAATCGACAGACACGAGATATATTTCGAACGCGTAAATGTTTTTGTCAGTTGTGTACTAGACGGAGGGATATGTGACCAGTCCGTCAGGACACCTTGCGTCGATCGTGGGCAGCAGTTTACGAACGAGCACTCGCAAAACAATGGTGATGCTCAACGGGCAATGTTGCAAGTACACGCGGAAGACCGGGGATTAGTGTCCGCCCTTCCGACATGTGCACCGCCGTTTTCATATTTCGAGAGTAGTCAAAACGAGACAAAAAGATGTGAGAAAGTGATATAGTGTTGGCAGTGTGGCAGTCGACGGACCGACAAACAAAACAAGGTCCATGAAGCAGTTTCTCGTGTTACTCCTCCCCCACCGAGTCGCCCAAGAAGTGCTAAAAATGACGACTCTGGTGCGACAAGAAGACGGCTCCTCCCCTGTGCTCGTCGACGACGTACGCCCCGAACTTTTTTCTTTTTCTCGTGCCAAAGCAGGCTTTAATGGGTGTCTTGAGAATGAGCGAGAGAGTGTTCGAGACGGCGAGACGCGGAGAGTATGTTCGGATGCAAAACTTGTCAAGTGAAAAGTGGGACTCTAACAATGAATTAGTGCGCTTCTTCATGTGGAGAGCCGGCGGAGCTGCCACGTGGAAGGAGAAGAGCGCGCGAACAAGTTTGATATAGAATTTGAAGAAGCTCCGGAGAAGACGGATCGGGTCGGGGCGGCATCCAAATTAGTTTAGTGTCAAAAAAGAGGCGCGGATTGTGAATAGGATCATGACGATGTCAACATGTGAAAGAGGGCGGAGGGCGTCGGATGATGCAGTCATAACTGCTCCGGGGAGAGACTGAAGTGCCCACTTGGGCGGATAAAGTACGTGGGAAAACGCGGTGACAAACAACAAACAAACTTCCGTTTCCGGACAACTCTTCTGAAGATAATTGGAGGTTCTGGTGTGCATCGGAATGGTTTATCGGCGGAAAGAGAGAATAAATAATGGATTATCACTGCAGGGACGATGAGTTATTCAGGCCGCCATCTCGAAGTTCTCCTTCTTTTCCATAACATTTCTCTCCTCCACTCGCTTCATTAATATTTCTCCGGACTTGGCAATGATTGCAAAAAAAAGCAAAACCGCTCAGGATTATGCCAACGGAAAGTGTGAGAGCTCTCGAAAGAAAAAAGTGGAAGTGTACCTGCAGAGGCAACGAGCAACCAAGACGGCTTGGTGAGCAGGAATCCAATGAGAGAGGCCACTTCCAACACATAAATGAGACCTGCAATGACTTGACTCGATGAAGATGCGAACAGAGGAAAAAACCAATTGGTGCTGAAATGAATACGTTCAGGAAGGGATCACTTTCTACCCATAGTGCCCACGACTGGAATGGATACTGTGAAGTAGCTCCAGGCTGTTTCGGAGATGTCCATCATCATCATGACTCCCCGATACCAGAAACCGAATACTGAAATGAATCCTGAATAAGTTTACGAGTGATTGGGAGTGCCCTGATCATTGAGGATCATAGTCGTCGGTGTGGCTGTCTTCTCACTGACTCTGAGCAGAAAAGTCACCACCGACAACATGCAAAAGTCTATTCCACTGCCTGCGAACGCATCGAATACTCGAATACTCCTCCGCGTCACAGAGCCGTCATGATGGGCGACATTTGAGACATAGCCTGGAAGTATTTCACATGTACTGTTCCAATGGTTTCCACTATGGGTGGTAGGCTGGTCGAACAGGCGATTTCAGGCGCCTGCGCCTGTTTTTTCAGGTGCCTGTTTTTCAGGTGCCTGTTTTTTCAGGTGCCTGTTCGACCAGCCTAATGGGTGGGAAATGAGAATCTTTTTCCTCCAATTTATGCATTTATCGGTTCGTTCCGCGGGTCTCACCTTCACAGACAGGCTGTGCTCATCTACATCCTTGAAGCAGCCTCTCTAGTTGCATTCCTTCTGACCAGAGTTGAGCGGAAATGGAATTTTGAAATCCGGAAGACGGCAGACGGCAGACTGAAGAAAATTTTTTTTACAGAACACGGAAAACGGAAGACGGAATAAAACTCTTTTCCCGGAAGACGGCAGACGGAAGACGGAACAAAACTGCTTCTGACTAAACCTCCTTGGTTCCTTTTCATCATGTCAGATATGTATTGAACTGTTCCTTTCGATTTCCAATCATTTTCCTCTCCAGGAGTCAATATTGCTTGTGGATTCGCCTTCTTCACTATAATGGCCAAGTTAGGAGAGATGTTAATGAGACGAGTCGAGACGAGTCGAGATTCAGAAGAAGAAGAAGAAGAAGAAGAGAAAAAAGTTATGTGCGTGGACGCCAGATTTACATAATAAATGATGTTCACATTGCCCACCAAACACCGAGCAGCTCCGTCCGTGATTAGGCACAAAATGAGTCGGATTAACCACTGCGCTAGACCAGTCCATAATTGAATTCCAACTTCGTTTTTGTGCTCCGCCGCCAATGTGCTTCTGCTGCTGCTGCTCCAGCCGTCCCTCCTTGTCTTCTTTCTTTGTTTTGTCACCATCCGTCATTCGTCAGCGAATCTCTGTAACAACATTGTCTCGTTCCGTCCTCGGTAACACCCGTCATTGCAGTTAACAGAAAAATGACCTCCTCCGTTTGTTCTGCTATTCCGACACACTCCTCAATTCCCCAGATGATTTTTGACGTTCTTTTCGACAACACAAAGGCTCTACTTTTTCGAAACAAAACGTTTCCCTCCGTTTCATTGACCAACTTCCTGTCCCTTTTCTTTTTTACCCTTTTTCTCTTTCAAACTGTCCGTGAGCCCTAGCGTCTTGCTGAGTGAAAACATTTTGCTCTTCAAAGATATCCGATCCGTCAGCCGCCCATTAATTTATCACGGGTCCGACGCTTTAAACTGATACTCGGGCGCACTAGCCCATTTTTCGGATCAATCAAGATGTTCCTCACGTAATTCGACCTTTCGCAGCAGTGCCCTCGGCGCTTCTCCGGCCAGCCTACTACGAGACACGCGTCAAAATGTCGAGAAGCCGAATTCAAGATATTTGATCCTAGATAGGCGGGTGTGTGAGCCATGCGCCTCCCTTCTGGGCTCTTATCTCGAGCAGCCCGCTTCCCTAATCGACTCATGTTGTGCTTCTTTTTGTACACACTTGACAGCTGTAAGAAATCGCAGAAAAACGAGTGTACTCGGCGAAAACACCTGCATTCTTTCCTTTTCTCTATGCTGTTTCCAGTCCTAACCGACACCAGAATTCGTGAGTTCTCATGCATTTTCGATCGCTTTTCGTCGATCGATCCGCGTAGATCCGGCAACAGGTGGGAACCGCCCGTCGCACGTCATTGTTCCGTGAAAATGTGTTTTTGTGTCCGTGTCTACGGATCGCCAAGTCTCCTGCAAGGCGTCGCCGTCCATCACTAATTCATGAGTCGATCGACACATGACGGCCCGAAAATTGTCTCCAGTGCACTTTTTTTCTCTTCCGGACCGCCTTTTCCCGAACAGCTCGGCGCGGCCATTTATTTAGTCATTCCACGTGGGCGAAAGGTGCGAAACGGCTCTGAAAGAACACATTTTTAGTAGGCTCCGTCAATGCTCGAGGTGTTTATTTCATTTTGCAAACAATAGTTGCTCGGTAGAAGCAGAGATTGAATGAAATCCAATTCAGTGTAATTCTCTGGTCTCAAAAGCAATCATTCCCACATGATCCCTTTTGAAATTGAGCACAGATGCTTCTGATACTCTCGAATCAAGAAACGTCGGCAGATTCTAAGAATAGCCCCACCTTTCTACCCTTTTCGTTTCTTCGTTTTCTTCTTTCTCGGTTCGTGCCGCCGTGCCTCCTCTTCCCCGCATAAATATATATTCACACCCGTTTTTTATTCACATTTAATTGGCTCTACGGAGCAATTGCGGCTTGCCGGCGTAGGAGCACAGCCCCATGGAGCACACAAACACACAAACGGGACCACAAACTCTCTCCTTCGGGCCCATAAAACCGGCGGTCCGAAAGAACTCTCGATCCGAAAATGCGAATAATTTGTGGGAGAGAGGCGGCGAAGTGAGAACGAGGAAATTTTTACATTGTTCTTTCCGAATTAAAATAGAAAAGTACAATATCAGGCGGAGATCAGGTGCATTCTCCGATTCGTCATCTGAATTCCTTACTCAAGTTCAGCCGGCGCGGAACCTCCACGCTTCCGCCTCCTTTTCAAGTGTTTTGGAAGAAACGAGTCAAGTGTTTTGTAGCTGTCTTCCGGGATCATTATGACGTGGCAAGAATTTACTGATCAACAGGCGGGGAACTTCCACTTTTTCTCTCTTTCTCTCTCTCTCTCTCTCTCTCTCTCTCTCTCTCTCTCCTCCTCCTCCTTTTCGTCATTTCCCATTTGAGCAGACCCTCACCACGGGACCGCCCATTTCTCCCTCATTTCCGTCTGTCTTCCCCGCTCTTTGTTCCCAATTATCATCAATTCTTTTTGAGTTCAAACCGTTTCCTTTTCATTTTTCCATTCGGTATTAACAGAAAGATAAGTTCGTGGCGACTGCTCGGGTTTCCGAATGCTTGCTCGCCCAACTGACCGCCCGTTTTTCTCCTCGTTTCGCCCTCTTCAAGTCCTTTTCTTCCTTCCGCCTATTCTTTGCATTTTTTTGGGCAAAAACGAACACAAAAGGGAAACGGAAAGAGCACTAAAAGATATTAACTGTCGAAAAGTCTGCCGTGTGTCACCGGATATCAGTGTCATTATGTCTGGACTCGTCTCGGGGTCTCCTCGTCGGTTCGGAAACCAAAAAGAGAAAGTTATGGGAGGAGAGAAGGGGGGATGTTTTCCTTTTAATGTACGCATGCGGCCTCGAGAGCAGTCTTCTGTTTGTATCCATCCGGAAAACACAATCCTGGTAGGATTCTTGCGGTAATTAGTCGCAACATTTCTAATCCGAAGACTCGGAAAACTTCGTGAGTTCAATTGACGGATCCTTTTTACATTGCTCATTTGACTAGATATTTTTATTACAAAAGATTGTTCCAATCTCTTTGAATCTTTACCCCTATAATCATCTTATCCACTTCTTGCCATACCTCCATATTATATCCTCTTTTGACATCTGCTCACCCCTACAATAGACTTCTTCTTCTTCCTCTCTTCTTCTTCTTCTTCTTCTGCTCCTTCTGCTCCTTCTGCTGCTCCAATTCGTTCCGCCCGTTGCTCTCCTTTTCTCCTTCTTCATTACTTCATTTCCTTCGACTCAATTCATCACTTTTAGTGCCGCGCCCCTCCCCCTCCACTTGCTCCTTCCCGCGTGTTCTCAATTGTCTGATTCTGAATTCGTCCGATCATTCTTCTAATCAATCAACCATCGCTTTTCTCGCGTGTTCTCTGCGTCTCATGCTCTTCCGTTTCGCCCCCGTCTCTCGGTTTCCCATAATATGAATTTCTGATATGATCATCACTTTCAGACAATTCCCCCGCTCCGAACGCCTCTCCCCGCTCTCCTCTCCGCACCGTTCTTCGTTTTTCGCTTTTCGAAATGACACCCCCGCACTTCTCTTTATAATCGAATGCGTAATCGGATGGGCCAACGAGTGACTGCCTGCTGGTTGACGGTCATTTTCAATTCATTCGAATGACTTGGCCGATGAGTTCATCTCTCTATCTCTCTCTCTCTCTCTCTCTCTCTCTCTTCCCTTTCTTGCTCGCCCACGCGATGACTTCACTTACTTTTTCAACTATTCCAAAAGAACACAGCTTTGAACATTAGGAAGTTGGACAGAATCATGATCTCGATTCTCATTACTGCTCCTTTTGTTTCCAGAAGTTAAAATGAACAATATGTGAAATGTTCCAAAACTAGAATCTAGTCTTCTTTCCACGTTTGATTAATTCATCATTAATCAATTATGGCACGATAGAGATCTCCCTCGAATGGTATCATCCCCGTTCTGTGATCATTCTGTCCGTTTGACATCCGTCCCAATTGTTGTCTGAGAAAACATTGGAGGAAGTGTGTGAATGCTTCTGATTTTTAAAGTCGAAAACAAACGGCTCCTTCTTCTTCTTCTTCTTCTTCTTCCTCGTTTTGTCCGTTTTTGTCTGTTCGTTGCACTTCTTAAACGACACAGATCTGTCTGATATCATTTCCAACTCAGACCCACAAGTGTTTTGTCAAAACAGCGGAAGTAGAAGTTGTCAAGTAAGAGTCTTCCATCACGAAATATTCGTGGATTCTTGTTTGTTTTGTGCACTCGGCTCGCTTGCGTCGGGGGCCCATCACCGCAACTCATCATCGATAAACACCCTTCTGGCATTCGTCTTCTTTCTTCGTTTTTCCCCGTCTTCTTCTTCTACTTCTCTTTATTTTTGCATTTCGGCCAGCCGTTTTCAGCACCACCCGCCAAGCCATTGTTTTCATGACAACCCGGCCGCCTGGCCACCGGAATCCCCCAGCCATCCGTCCATTCATATCGGAATTCCCTACGAGAAAGGTTTCCCATTCTCACTCACCAAACTCGTTCGCTTTCTATCACAGCTGCCCGTTTTTGAAGTTGAGAGAGAGAGAGAGAGAGAGACAGAGAGAGAGAGAGAGATGACGTCAAGTGGAAGTTTCCGAAAGTTTATGGCTCGAAAAGAGAGATTGGAACGCCAATTGTCTTTCTTCGCTTTTGAAAGGGCACTGTGCACTGAGTTATCCAAAAGATTCACAGAGCTCAATGAAAACGTTTTTGTGCGTCAGAATCGAAAGTAAAGTTCAAACTTCAACTTTCGAGATATAAAGTTTCAGTTGAAGAGCATCAAAGTGCTCTTTTCTGAAAGACCAATGAGTTCTGAATCATCCATTGGAAACCATTCAGAGTCTCGCTATTTTCGTTCCTATTTTGCTCAAAAATCAGCAGATGAGCCCACCCTATCTATTTTGGCCGCCCAACATCTTCTCTCGTATTTTTCACCCGAACGAGCGGCCTCCGGGCTCGACGCTACCTTCGAGCCCGTATTGTTTGTACGTAATCATCCATCAACGTACGTAGGTTGCTGTTGTCCATCGTCTCCAAATCCAATTTGCCGACGCAGAAGGCGTCCCGCGCAGAGCCCATTTTCGACTCTCGATTTTCAATTTCACAAATATGTGTGTATGTGTGTGTCTGAAAATGCGCCGTCGCCGCCGTCGCCGCTCTCTGTAACAGAATCAAATCTCATCCGTTCGGTGCCCGGTTCCATTCGCTTCCCGTTCCTCTCCCCTCCGTTTTATTGGCGTTTCCGTTCCGTTTTTTATTCGTTTTGTTCTTATTGTTTCACTCTCCGTTCTCTCCGCTGACACGTGGCATAAGGTAAGTGGAAAAGGAAGTAAGTGGATCTCAGATTACAGGTGAAAACTCAGAAGAGGTGAGCTGAAAAGGGACTGGTGGTTTTTGGTGAATGAGGTCGGGTTTCCGAGTGAATTTCATATGCAAAACATTTGAGAGCTTTTTGGAGTTTCATGAACCGAATCGCTTGTTTTTATTCGCAAAATTATCGTTGAGATTCCGGGTTCCGGTCAGATCCGTTTAGACAGAAGTTAAGGGGTTAATCTGGAACGGAAAGAGGATTAGACCCGAATGATTCCGAGGATGAGGGGCACCTCATACGAAGAAGTCCTCTCACGTACTCGTTTTCCTATCCGTTTCTTTAACTCCAGAAGCAACTTCCTTTTTTCGTCCGCTGCAAACTCAATTCACTCGATGTTCGCTTTTCCGCGCGCGCTCGGTCCGAAAAAATTATTCGTACTCTCCGACGTTTTTGAATATTTCATACTATGAAGTGTCCGACGTCGCTTTTTTTCAAAATGACCTTTTTGCGCTCGGATGAATCCCTAAAATTGATGAGACAAAACGCTTTTGAGAATTTGCGTCTCTCTGTGAAACTAGATTAACATTTATTTTGCAAGATATTTTGCGATGTAATTGAATTGAAAATATCGTCTTAGGAAGAAGCCACTTCGCTCACTGTTTTTCTGCCCTGCGAACGTCAATGACTTGCATGACGTGAGTACGGAAAGGATCCCGAAAAATCCTCATATCATCGGATGTCTGGGGATCGTCAGATCCCGCTAGGATTATCCGATGAAGAGTTGCCTTCGAATCACAATATGACGGCGATAATTCTGTTTTGGGAATGGCATCGAATGGAAGGGCCACTCGAGCGTGAGAGCCGTCCGTCCGGTCCGTTTCTCCGCCGTTTTTGTGGCCATTGTCCATCGCCTTCTCACCCGAAATCGGCCGACATACAAGGGTGGAGCGGCACCACCAAATAGAAGACAGGCCGGGCGTGAGTGGTGCAGGCTCTCTGAGTCTCCGCGATGACTCGTCGCCGCGTCGTCTGCGATTCTAACGGCCGCGACTCGTCGCCGCGAATTTTTGGATGGCAGTGCGAGCAGGGAAGACGCACACACACGCAAAGCGCTGGACGGCCTCTCCGTCCTCCGCACTCGCCGTTATACATATTCCGGCTCTGCTTCTCCATCTCTTCAACGTTCTTTTTTGACGTCGCACAATTCAAAAAAAGTAACATTTAAGCCCGCCCATGACCATAGTTTACCTTGTTAACATTTTTTCCATGTTACCCATACGCGGAACGTCTGACAAACGCTCGCTTTAGCCTGCTTCCATTAGATATCTCTTGCCATTTTGTTTTTTTTTTGCTTCAGGATGAAAAGAAATATTTTTCATTATAATGCAGAATAAGAAGACGTCCGAGTCACATGGGCTATACTAATTTCTAGTAGGTCTTGCCTCCTGACTCTTCCCCGCCCGCTTTCCCACGTTTTCGCGATCATGAGACAGGCCTGGGCGGATTACCGATTGAAATGGAGAAAAAATCTGGTCAACGCGAAGAAAACTGCTCAGGAGAAATAGGTGCCGTCGCCGGCGTCTTTTAGGCACAACCGGCGCCGCTCGGCGCCGCTCGGCGTCAAATGAGCGCTGCCGGCGCTTTTTTTCCTGAGTGGTGGCGAGAGAAGTACCATTTGCGCGGTAGAAAAGAGAGAGGCGCAGACGAAAAATTTAAAGCCGCATAGAAATAAATTTCATGCTATGCGCCTTTAACTGTCTACCGTATGGTATTTCTCTCGCCCCCAGATTTTTCGTCATTTTCTCAAACAGTCGGAAACGGATCGCCCGCCCAAGCATGATGAGAACTCTTGTGATCAACTGGCTCTCCACCAACTTATCCCCTTTCCGCGGAAAACCTCTCTTCTGAAATCGTCTGTAATCGAATTCCACTCTTAGGAGACCAAGTTGTTCTCGGCGTTGGAACAACTGGTCGGCGGCGCGTACCCGTCCGGAGGCGGGGAGGCCGCTTCCTCTTCCGGGGCGCCACACATCTATGACACGTGTCCGGACGACGGTGACGGCGACTATCCCGAAGATCCAGCCCTTTTTGCAGATGGCATGAGCATGAGGTTGCTCTGCATCACCAGTGAGTTGTTTGTTTGTGTTGCCCCGTCGAGACAGTATCCCGCGACGCGAGGCTGTCCATCCCAACTCGGCCTCCCGACATGGACGAGATGTTAACCTTAGTTGTTTCAGTTAAAAAGGCACGTCTGCAAGGAGCTGTCGGTGAGTCGTTTCCCTTTATAAAACAGTGTTTCCAAAAAAAGAAGTGCTCCGTTTTCGGAGTGCTAAGAGATGAGTTCTTTCAAATCCGGGAGTCCGATTTGCTGACGATACTGAGAAATTCATCATTCGTGACACCTGTCATTCCGCTCGCGTTGCCCTCTTGGCGAATAATAAATCTCATCTCAACGGCTTTTTCGTGTCGATGACACGAGTCGAGAGGCCAACTTGCACGGCTCCGCGCGAAGCGTTTAGTATGCCGCGCATGGGAAAATGCTCCGCCCGTTTTTTGCATTTTAATCGAATTTCGGTTCTTCTTCGATTAGACGAAAAAGACTTTGAAGGAAAAAAGTGAAGAGGCGCAAGGAAAGTTTCGGTCAGTCAGGAGGAAATTAAGTGAAGGAGATGGGGAACCTAAAAAGAGAAAAGAGAGCCAGTCACTGGGAAAAACAAGGCGAGTCCGGCCAGGAGACGTCAGCCGGAGAGGGCAGTACAGTGACTTCCGGTCCTTGATCTCCATCACTAAATGTGTTTATAATTCTCGCTTGTTCCCGACCGAATGTGTTGCCTTTTTGACAACTGCTCCCTCGGGCATCCCCGCGCTTTCCTTTCCCCAGTTTTGTTCCGGTTCTCTAGACCAAAAAGCACAGACCGTATCTCTTTTCGTGTTGTGAATAGTGCAGTATTCCTCGACGTTTTCGAAGCAATTACGGCTCTTTCGAGCACACACAAAAGAAAAAGATAGCGGGAGGGACGAGGGGCCCAGGCTGCAGGAGCAGGGACGGCTTCCGCCGCTCCAATCCGAATTCAATTGGGAGCCACGGTGAAGCTCTTCCGAGCCGAGTTTCGACCTCGAAGACTAGGGCAATTAGGGGCGAGTGACTACTTGACACTAATGAAAAATAGAAAGTGGAGGAGGAAAGAGCAAGTTACAGATGAGTTCAACTCTTACGTCACGGTCAAGCTGCAGAACGTGAAGTCGACGACGGTGGCCGTAAGAGGAAACTTGCCGTGTTGGGAGCAGGAGTTCATTTTGTGAGTTGTCAAGGACGGCTGAATAGCATTTGAGGAAGGAACGGAGGAAGTTACCACGATTTGTGGACCCAATCAGACTTCACAACCAACTTCCTTCCCTGTTCCTTGTTTTTGAGGATACTAGAATCTTTAAGCAAACAAAAAATAGCAGAAATTTAGAATTCATAGTATTTTGTCTACATTCTCTCCTTATCATCTTTTTCTCTTCTTTCAAAAGAAACGGCTTTCAGTGAAACGAACCGACCGGACGATGGGATGGTTCTCGAACTGTGGGCAAAAGGAGTTCTATGGGACAAACTGATCGGAGTGCATTACATGCCCCTCTCGGAAGTCAAATACAGGTTGGAAGATACGAGAAGAGAAAGAAAAAGAAGGTTGAACTATTACAGCAATGCGGCTGGAATGGGTCAATGGCTGCAGATGGACCATGAACTGGAGACACGGAACGGGCAAACGGTGGGGACCCGCGGACCCACTGGGCACAACCTGCTGGCCGACGTCCGATTTGAGTTGCCCTTCGGTTAGTTCCTTTCCTGACGATCCTGATCTCGTGCAATACCTTCCTTCTTGTTCCTCTTTTTGAATAATTTGTGATGCCACACGATTATTCCTCTCTCAATGCTTCGGGTTATATCCATCAACACCTACATCATCATCATCATCATCATCATCATTTTCGTCGTCGTCTTCGTCTTCTTTTTCTTCTCCAGTTTATTTTTGCAGCCGCGCGTTCCCGCTTCTTCCAAATAGCTCTCCTGTCTTTCCCAAACTTTTGCGCGGTTTCTTGACACGTCGCCTCCGCTCTGCCACTCCTCTTCCCATCCGCCTATTTCGATCCGAGTGCACCTCATACATCAAAACTGGGCGCACTTTCTTCTCGGCCGTCTCTGTCGTTCACCTGTTCTCCACACTTCAGGCCCTCCTCTAGTCCCGTTTCCTATGCATTTTGTGCACCATTTTGCGAATAAATTCTCGACTGTTGAGCGGTCTCGCAAATGCTCCATTTAGATTTCTATTCTAACGCCTCTAGGCTTCAATTTACGGCTCCGCATGTCAGTTCTTCTAAGAATCCAGCATTCTGTAACGGTTAACTTTGGGGACCTGGTCCGTGAGCATACTGAACTTAATTGTTTAGAAAAGGAAAGTAAAAGACCAAAAGATAAACTATTAAGCGCACAAATCTCTGTCCGATTTCCTGGTGCATCGTTTCGTTATTCTGACAACACCTCCCATGAGAGAATGATTCCGACACCAACTCCCTTCTCGCTCCTTCTTCCTCTTCTTTTCCTTCTTCTTCTTCTTCCTCTCGTTTTCCACACCCGTTTGCCCGAATGCACGAGGCTCCACTCAATTCCAGTCTCTTATTTGTATTTCCTGTCTGAAATTTTCCGCATTTGCTGCTCAGCCCGCCTTCTGACGGAGTGGCGGGTCACGGGAAAACGTATTCAGATGTGGCTCGACGATAAATCTTGCACGGAGCTTGAGCACTAATTACTAGCACGGAACTGCTCCGCTCCTTTTGCTTTTCGCCCGTGAATGCACTTTTTGTCCTTCTGAAAACATCAAAGACGGCTTCGAGTTCGGATGGTTCGTTTTCTCCGAATCTTCTGTTGTTCCGCTGCGCATATGAGTATCAAATGTTCTATTAATTTCCATATAAACGAAGTCGGTAGGAAGGGGGTGGTTCTCTGTAAATATGGCATGCTGAAGCATTGTTTACCCTTCACGAGGCAACGTTTTTCGAAATAATGAGAGCAAGTGGTGGGGGCTCACCCGTCGGTTTCAAGTCGTTAGGTTATAATTGCATATTGTCCTCTTCTCCGTCTGTTGTGTTGTTATGTTGCTCATTTTTGGCATATCAACGGATACGCGGCCTTTTGCTCTCACACACAACAACTCGCCCAACAAGCTTCAGCTGCTCCGGCTCAAGCTCCTAATTTGGCACACATACTTCTTCTTCTTCTTTTCTTCGACGTCGTCTTCTTCTCCTCCTCCATCGGCAACAACGACGACGACGACAACGACGGCGCCAAGAAGCAAACGGCAAAAAAAAGGAGGACGAAGGAGAAGGAAAGGAGGAGGAAGAAGAAGAAGAAGAAGAAGTCGTTTTCCACATCATCTTCTTATGTTACTTTTTTGCCATTCTCTGTCGCCTTCCGCCGCTCTCTCCCTTTCTTTCTCCTCTATTTTAGCTGCTTTGTATTCCGTCGGCACGAGGAGGTCGTCTCGGGGCCACCTGTTATGCTCGAGCCACAAATTAACCCGATATCCGTCTGTCTTTCCCTTTTTCTATCCGTTTTCGTACTCTCTCTTGTACTCTCCTCTACAATCTGTTCTCTGTTCCTTTCCCAGTTCTGACCATATCTTTTCGGCTTCTGCTTCTGTTTGTCGCGACGTCCTTCTTCTTTGTCTTCTTCTTCTTCTTCTGGCTATTCAAATATTTACCCCGTAGTCTTCTAGTACCCATTCAAGACGAAGACGTTGGCAACATCCGTCTCCTTCGTCGACTAGCCACAATCATTGGTTTTGTGATGCGCAAATTGTCTCATTCGGCTTCCGGAATGGGCAACGGAGGAGCCATCCAATCTCGGCCTGCCTGCCTCCTCGGCTGCTTTTGACACATGTTTCGACGCCTTCTCCTCCTCCTCCTTCTTCACCTTCAGAGGGCCTGTCTACGGAAATTTGAGCAAGATGCTCGCCGAGCACCGCCCCTTATAGTTTATTCATACTCGCACATATTATAGGCAATATTCAAGCATCACGGACGCAAGCAGTCAAAAAAACTAAAGTCTCTCGCTCTTCTGAATTCGGGCGTATCTCCCTCTTCCTCCTCCCCGCTTATTTTCTTCCTTTCCGTGCTTTTCCACTCAATTCAAAATGCATTCGATCCGTGCCAACTTCGCACTGTGCCAATCTTTTAGAGTCGATCTTTCCCGACCATTAATCAAAAATTCGGTTTTCCCGCATTTTTCGGACACTCGGGAATCTCCTCGAATCTTAAAAATTTCAGATGCGCAGGGCTGCGACGAAGACATTCAGTCGAAGTTGCTCGCGCTGAACGGACTTATAGAACACGTAAGTTTGGGAGAAAAGACTGAAAGGACTGAGTGCTTTGCAGGATCAGCTGCTTCCCAACAGCCATCACCGGGCGCCTTTCAATCATTGTAAGTTTTGGCTTCTCTGAATGATTGATAGCGGGGTTAGAGTTCCCGAAATGAGTAGAGGAGAGAGTGTCCAGTCATCCGATCTTTCTTCCAGCGGGTTTGAGTGAAGACAGTGATTATACCTCCGACGTGTCCGTTCCAGTCAACCATCAGTTGCACGCCAACAGCTCTGCCCATCAGTTCGAGTCGCATCTCCACCCACATCGCAGCCGCCAGCTGCTGCACACTCGCGAGGGCGCAGTAAGTCGCCGCTTCTGAACAGCCTCGAACACCATCTTAGACGTTACAGGCGAGTTATGAAGACGAAGAAGACGCCTATCACGCGAGACCTCAGCCTGACGCCTACCACGCAGAAGATACGTACGACCAGCATCCGTCGGCTTATTACGACGGGTACGCGCCAAGAGGCAGCAATCAGTACCAGCAGAGACACGACGAATACGGACATCAGGAGGAGGAAAAGCCACAGTACGAGGACACGGTGACTCCGGTACGCGAGTACGGCGAGCAGGCCGTTCCGGGTGGCTCCGGCGGTCCGAGGGCTTCGCGGCAGTTCGATCAAGTGTACGGGTATGCGTCGAGCAGCGAAGAAAGGTTCGACGCGCCGTTGTCAACTGGACGGATGCCAAGAGAAGAGCCAATTCTGGAGCACAACGAGCCAGAGTACGTGTACGATCAGAATGAATATCCGGAAGAAGACTACGGTATCAATCCGACGTATTCGGAAGAACAGTACGACGACCAGCCAACAACAATAGACGGTTATCCGAATCAGCAGAATGATTTTAGGAACGTATATAATCAGAATTATCCAGGGTAACAGTAAACGTGACGGTTTTCCTCGAACTAAACAATTTCAGAGAATATTGGAACGAAGGTGAACCACTTTCATACAACAGTCGACCTCCGAATGGGCATGTCAGAACGTAAGTATTCCGACTATCTCTCTCTCTCTCTCCAAAAATCAACTTCTTTTGTTTCAGGGGAGCGAATACGTGGCGGGAACCGGGAACATCCTCCCGTCCGACGTCTTCTCAGGCGTGGAACTACACAGATGACGCTCACCCGTACGACGAAGTTGACCGCGGCTCGCGAGTTTCTTTCACCAGAACACCGTCAGTAGATAGAACGGATAGGAGAAGTGATAGCGGTGGAGGATACTATGACGACTTAGCGGAAAGGTGGGAAATGATTGGAATCTGTAAAATATTGAGAACATTAAGTGGACGGAGGCCTGATTCTCACCATAATTGGAGGTATGATTCGATCCAGGAGGAAGACAATGAAAAGGACAACTGGAAGGCGCATGTGGAAGGATACGAAGAAGGGCAGGTGCGTTTCCGTGGCAACCACGGCTAGAATTGGCGCCTTTGTCTGCAGAGAGGCTTGCGTGCCAGATCTGATATTCAAATTAGTACTGCTTTTTGTAATAATGAACTCAGAAACACGTCGTTATCAAGAAATGACTGCCAATGACTGAAATGACTGCCAATATAGTCCGATCTGTTTTGAGTTGAGAAACAACGGAATACTGTAATTTCTTACTCTATTTGGTTCCGAAATTCTTGTTACGCGCGTTTTGTTTTCTGTTCTTTCTAGGATAAAACTCATGAATATTCAGGAGCCGAAGGACAAGCGGATATACGAAGAACAACCGTCCTCCTTGTCCCAAGATCCGTTCCCGCGCGTCGAACATCATTATGAGCTGCGTCACGAGGAACCACCGCCGGCCGTGGGAAACGACATCGTTCGGCAGACGATCCAGGAAGAGGAGGAGAAGCGAAACTACCAGGAACTGTGGCATTCGGCATATAAACGAGTTTGTGCAGACCTCGGCATCAAGGTATGTTAGGGAAACAAATGGGCGGGCACGCGGTCGGTCGGAGCCACACCACTCCAATTTCCGGAGTTGGATAATTGGAAAGCAGCGGAAGAATAGGGGCCAGAACAACAATTCTCGGGAAGACCGCGACGAGGACGATGGATCTCAGTGTCTGAAACACAAATTATTATAATGTCACACTTCCTTCTCTCGTGCCTTTTCACCCAGCCAAAAATATCCTTTCTCACTGGACAATTTTGCTCCTCGGAGCTCGTGAGCAGCCCCCGGGGACGGAAGAACTCTTCGACTAACCCCCACGCGTGACGCCTTCATAATTCAAATCCGCTTTGAAACAAACCCTTGGCCCCGCTGGCGCCGCCCGCATTCCTCTTCGTCAAAACTGATATGCGAGACAATCTTTTCGGCTTGTTTCTGACTCGTTTTCCCGCTTACAATTCTCATATTTATCAGCGTACACTACAATTTCGGAATGGGCGGTTGTCACTTATGGAATCAACCGAATTACGGAATTCTCAGATTTCTTCTCTCTAGTCTTAAAACAGCTCTTAAGAAATTTTCAACGTTTTCCAGCTGATATCATGGCCGATACTTGCCCAAGACGGCCAAGGTGCTCATTTCGGTCGGCTCTTAGAAGTCCCCCGGAAATGACGTCGGAATAGGGCATCTTCCGTGTTGACTTGTTTTTGTTAACACCTTCTTTTAGTTCGCGGATTCCGTAGCTAACAATGCTTCGGGGAGCTCCGAGAGAGGCACCCGACTGCCCGACGACTACGATTAAAAATTCAATTCAGGCCCACTTTTTGGCTGCTGCTTGCCAGGCACCATCGTTTTTGTGCTGCTGGTTTATAGGCATCGCCGCCAAAAAAACATGCCTCATCCGGCATGTAGCACACAAATTTCATGGTCCTTTTGGCACAAGGTGCGCCGGCGGTCCGACGGCCCTCGAAAAACAATCGGGCTCGTCCGTTAAGCAACTCACTTTCTGCCGATTTAATTAGCCAAATTATTATTTGAAGCCCGTGGCTCTCGTCTCTCTTTCTCTAACTTTCTCTCTCTTTCTCCCTCTTTGCCGAGTCACAGGTCTTGTGGTTATCCAGTATTCTTATATCATAGTTATTTACTTTAATTCAAAATCGATCGTGAAGTCGGTCTCTGTGGGTTACCGATTGATGCTCTTGGAGCACGCACGTTCTCTTGCAAACGCCGACTGATAAACATGAGGTGCATAGGTGAGCGGAGCACACTTTTTCGTGATGTTTGAAGCGGTTTGTCACATTTTGTGGCTTCGTTTCCTTCTGAATGGCAGTGTTCTTTTCTTTCGAATCAAACACAAACAATAATATTTTCCGCGAAAACGCCTTTTGCTGACTCTTCGCAGGCTCTCCAGGACCACAAACGGAAATCTGAACTTTTCGTCAAGCGGAAAAACGGGCAAACCGCCTGGAGATCTGTTTTCATTCGCGCGGCGGCTCGAAGCTGGCTGCTTTTCGCGGCCGTTGACCTTCTTTGAAAGTTATTTCGCTCTCGATAGTAATTATATGTGCGCAATGCGCTGCCAGAGCCCTCTTATTCTACATAATTTCATTTCCACTTGCCCTCGGTCTTCATCTAACACCATTTTTTCGTTAGAATTAAACTATTCCGTAGGACGTCAATCAATCTGAATCTGTCCCCATTTCTCAGAGATCGAATGTTCCCCATACTATCTTGATCGTTCAATGATTCATCATTTGAGCAGCGTTTGAGCTGATCTCCAGTCAAAAAGTGAGGTCACAGTCCGTCCTTGAGCAAGTCGTCCGTTGCTTTCTCGTTCTGTTAAACTCGTAAACTTTCTCTTCTATCTCTCGCTCTCTCACTGCTCACACCTCACACCAACAACACCTAATCAAATTATACAGCTTCGTCTTCGTCGTTTTTTCCAGCCAGCCAGACCTCTCGCACGTCCTCCTCTTCCGCCAAAGGGAAACGGACCATTGCCGTTTCAAACTGACCCTTCTTCTTTTTTCTCTCCATCCTCCTCCTCCTGTCATGATTCTATTTTGGCTGACAGCATCGGCGGCCCATTGTATAGATGTATTATGTTTCATAATTGCCTTCCTCTTCCTCGGACGCGGACCTTTGACTTACTTCTCGTTGCTCTCTCTAGTCTTTTCCGGAACAGTGGCTGCTCATCAAGAGCATCTCAAGAGTTGCCGAAGCATTCTGATAGTGCCACAGTAGTCCGAAATTGCTCAAGAGCTCTCGAGAGATTTGTGATTCTCTATGTCTTGGAAATACGGCGGCTCAGAGCGAATCAGAAGCCAGCTCTTCGAGGGATGTCTGCTCCAAGCACTCATTCCGCTCCCCTGTTTTCTCTCCTTTCCTTCTTGAACAATGGAGCGTCAGCGTGTAATTTGGCAGCGCGAACAACGTCAAAACAAAGAGATTCTCGGTCCGAACGGACGAGCACATCAAGTGTCTCCCCGGGATTCGCTTTCCAAAGGTGTCGAAGAGCCATTTCCAATTTCCCGCACGTCGACTGCTTCTGAATGGACGTGACTCTTTCTCTCTCTCTCTCTCTCTCTCTCTCTCTCTCTCTCTTTCTCTTTTCCTTCTAACACAATCTTGCTAGCTCCGGAAGCAGTCAACTTTCCAAAAATGCCTCCTGCGGGGGTGCGAAATTGGACACTTTGGTTGGCGCCTTTCAAATTGTTGAGAATGACACCTAAAAATAGTTGTGACTTATGAGTAATAATGATTTCTATGAAAACCTTAAAATCGCCAAGACCATCAATGACGCCTTCTTTGTTCGAAATAATCTTTCTATTTTCCGGTCGTTTCCTTCCTTTTCCTTCTGAATATATTACTCGTCTAACTTTTCTTTGCCTATGATGACAGCCGCGGGCACTTTTGAGTTGCGGTTTTCAAGAAAAATAGCATCTTCTCAGTGTGAGCTCAGGGGCAAGTGTATAATTATCTGTGGAGCAGCTCTCCCCTCCTTCCTCTTCCACTCTTATGCGTTCGATGTTTCTCTGGCAACCAGTTTGTAAGCCAATTATCATGTACGCTCTCTTGTTTTTCCGGGCTCCGCGCACAAAACAGTACAGAAAACAAGTGCTCATTTAGATGTTTGAGCAGTTAAGGTCACGAATTCGTTGGCAAGAATCTTTCCTTTCATCAGAGATGTTTAACTTCCTCCTTTCGGGACAACAAGAGACTCGATGTGCTCGGATCCGATTGGCTTCGTCAGCAGTTTACCTCTTCGCCCGCGCACGCACTTTGCATATCGGCTCTTCATTCCCCCTTCATAACTTTCTTTTTCCTCTTCTTTATACTTTCCTTTTCACCTTTAAGTATCCGGTCTGAAGAATGATCCGGAAGGAGAAGACTTCCGTAGAAAAAGCAAAAACTTACAGCCGTTGCTGCTGCCGCTCATTTCGTAGCCGATGCATATTTAGACATGTTTTTTGCCGCCGCCGCAGTTTTTTTTTTGTGTTCTTCTCCGAGAAAGCAGAAAAGGGAAGAGATGAAATAATGAAAAACTCTTGAAATCTCCTTCAGTGCCTTCTCTCTTCTCTCGGGGTTAGTCCGCTGTTCCGAGCCCTTGTGTAACTAGTTAACTATTCTTTGCCTCCTTCGTTTCCCTTTCCCTTTCCATCGACACACTAACTTTCCGTTTTTTCCCCTTGGACGTCTTTCGAGTGCACCCAAAACTTGACACTTGCCCACGGATTTTCTTTACTATTTTGAAATGTTCTCAGAATATTCTCTTTAAAACTGAGAAGACAAGGCAGGACCAAGCGGGGCGGTTTACGAGGGCGCCCAGCTGCGCAGGCAGCACTTTCAGCAGCTTCTGGGGCTTCGAAAAAGCCTTCTTTTTGACGTCAATCCATTCTGATTCACGTGCCAACACCGTCACTGTCCGCTTCTTACTCTGCCATTCGTTAATCTTCCGAACCTCTCATCGCTCTTTCTCACTTTTCAAATGTCGAATTATGCGTTGATGAGTCCGCGGACCATCGTGCAACGACCCGTTTTAATGAATTATTCGCGATTCTCGCCTTTATTAAAGTCATTTCTCTCCGGTTTGGGGCAGAGGTCGCCAGGCCACGTGCATTCGGCTGCCACGTCATCTGACCCGCTTCTTCTGAAGGTGACAGGCCGCTTGACCAGAGAACTATTTTACTCTCTCGCAGTTTCGAAAATACGGAAGCCCCTGAAGTATTTCTTTCGTTTTAGAAATCCGTCTCCCCAGAGAACACTTTCCTTCGCGGCTTCTGCTGCCACGTCATCTCCATTGCCTTCTTTGTCCTGTTTGTTGTCTTCTTCATCCCTCTCCATTTTTCTCCCCCGAGACGCAGACAGTTGTGCTCCTCTGGTCCGATTGCACTTCACGAAGACCAGTCGATTCCGGAGCAACCACGTCTGAAATCTGAGACTTTTGAAAGCTTTTAACGAATTTCGAGGTCTTTCGCCTTTTGCCCCTCGTTCTCTCCTTTCTCCTTCCATTCTTGACACTTTGCTTTTTTCTCATTTTAGTGACTTATTTAGTGACGACGCGGTTCCATCGGGTGAACGTTGTTGCAAAATTTGTTTCTCTACCGGCCGAAGCTGGCGCCGGCTGGGCATGGCGGGGCGTCGGCGTCTCCTCCACTCTCGGATCCAGCAGGCGCCACCCGCATCTACAACTACAACAATAACAACAACGTTTCGAAGAATGGACTGGCGGCCTCGCCCCCTCCTCCGCTGGCGTCGTCCGAAATGACGGATCCATCGAGAACCCCCTCGACCACTTCAATGGCGGTTCCCTCGATTCTCAGCCTCACCGTCCCGATCCCGCTTTCTCCCGGTCCGTCTAGTGATCCGCCAACGCCAGTCTCTCCGAATCCTCCTATCAAACGGAGTACGTACAAGATCAAAGAGGCGTACGAAGATCGGAATGGTGGGAGGGAACGGATATACACAACTAGTCTGATGAGTGTGTATCTGGAGAAAGTGATGCCACCGCCCGAGAAGGAAGGAACTGCCAACTCTGCAGAAATTGGGACCACTAAAAAGATATTCGTTGCCGACGTTCTGCCCAAATCGATATCATACGCAGCTGCTAAGGATAGGCTCAAACATTTTGGAAGCAGGGAAACGGGTATTTCAAGTTCAAGAACGGCGTCCGGAATTATAAAACAAGCGAGTACTCCTACCACTTCACTTCCTCCGCCTCCGCCTAAATCGGCGAGCAGAGACTCCGATCCAATGCGGCAATTACTCACTTTTTCAAAATCATTCAAGAAGGTCAGACGGGTCCGATCGGCAATGCCACGTCGGCGGAAAAGGAAGAGGGTCACCATAAAAAGAGCGAGAAGTTGTCCGGAACTCAGAAAAATGGATAAGGTTGCCGCGAGAAAACGGAGCAAAAGTTTAACGTGTTTGAGAGCTCCAAAGAAGGGAAAAGAAGTGAAGGTGGTTCGGTTGAAGCCGCCGGCGGTCAGATGCGAATCGGACTCGAAGGCACAGAAGAAAATACATCTTCTGGATGTGTACAAGGACAGAGGAAAGGTGTGGCTCCGATATACCAGCTGAATTGGGGAAAACTTTGGGATTTTCAAATGCCTTCCTTCAAATCAGTTCACTTTCAGAGTACGGTCCTCGACGGCAACGGATGTTCGGCTGCCAACGCCTTCTACAAATCGATCGATGCGGCTCCGAACATGAACGTGGCAAGGACGAAGACGAGCATTCCGCTGGTCTCCGAGCTGGTGAGTAGACGTTCAGGGACTGTGGGGTAGATACAGTGAACTTCTCATTGCACTTGTTCGTTCAAACTTCTCGTTAGAAAGGAAAGTATTGGGTATTCATTGTGTTCACAGAAGTGATTGGAGCACACTTTCCTTCTCCTTCTCCTACCTCTCCTTTCCACACTTTTCCCTGTTTTTGTCGAACACTTTAATCGTATTTTCCACATTTTCAGGTTCTAAAGGTAAGAATTCGATCACTTCCACTTCCACTTCTCCTAGAATAGGATATGGTAAAACTGTACAAACGCATAGAAACTGTTTTCCTTTTTTGCTTTTCTCGGTTCTTCCCACTACAGTTTGGCTAACAATTCCGTTTGAGTTCTGAAAATTTCGATGATGGCTGCCAGCGGACTTCGTTCTTTAGCTTTATTCAGCTCTGCATGCTTTCAGCCGGCTTTCCCCTCCCTTGGTTGCTTTAACAAGGAATTTCAGAGCGAATTTAGCCTTTATTTGCATAAATGCATGAGAGCTTAGCATGAGATGTGTTTGAGCAGTCTGAACTTTGAGTCTTTCAGACGATGGCGACGAAAAGAGCACAAGCTGGATTAGCCAATGCGGCCAAGACCACGTTTGCGGACACTGAATTGGTACATATAAGATTCTGAGACAGTTGGATCTCAAAAAGAGTTTTCAGAAGTCTCACGTGTACAAGAAGACACTGCAAGCATTGATATACCCGATCAGTGCGACGACTCCACACAACTTTGCCACAACGACATTCCAGACGCCTACGTTCTGCTATGAATGCGAGGGATTGCTATGGGGACTGGCGAGACAGGGACTGAGGTGCACACAGTGCCAGGTCAAAGTGCACGATAAGTGTCGAGAGCTGCTGAGCGCGGATTGCCTCCAGAGAGCAGCAGAGAAGTCGTCGAAGCACGGAGAAGCGGACAGAGCACAGTCTTTGGTGAATGTGATTAGGGACCGGATGAAGGTGCAGGAGCAGAACAAACCGGAAGTGTTCGACATGATCAGAACGGTGTTCGCTGTGGATGAGAAGACGCAGAAGGAGACTATGAAGATGGTAAAGGCGTCGATTCTGGAGGGAAGCAGCAAGTGGAGTGCGAAGATCACACTGACCGGTCAGTTGATTTCAGAAGGGCAGCCTCAGATAAATGATAGCATTTCAGTGTTGTGCGCTCAGGGACTCATTGCCAAGGACAAGACCGGAAAAAGCGATCCATACGTGACGGCGCAAGTCGGGAAGACGAAGCGAAGGACACGGACCATACACCAAGAGTTGAACCCCGTGTGGAACGAGAAGTTTTACTTGTGAATATCCCCTGGGCATTTGGAAAATATGTGAAATGGCGGTTTGCAGTGAATGTCACAACTCGACCGACCGCATCAAAGTTCGTGTTTGGGACGAGGACAACGATCTGAAGTCCAAGTTGAGGCAGAAGTTGACGAGAGAATCGGATGACTTCCTGGGTCAGACTGTGATCGAAGTGAGGACACTTTCCGGAGAAATGGATGTCTGGTACAATTTGGGTATGAAAAATTCGAAAGAAATTCAAGGGAAACCTTAGCTGTTTTCAGAAAAGAGAACGGACAAATCGGCAGTATCTGGAGCCATCCGTTTGCACATCAACGTTGAGATCAAAGGAGAAGAGAAGCTGGCTCCGTACCACGTCCAGTACACGTGTCTGCACGAACACGTGTTCGCTATTCACTGTGTCGACGATGAAGTGAAACTGCCGAAAGCGAGAGGAGAAGACAGCTGGAAAGTGTGTTTTCAAGAGACTGGACAGGAAATCGCAGACGAATTTGCGATGAGATACGGAATTGAAGGCATCTATCAGGTACACCTTGTCGTTTTATACTTTTCTGATTTCAGTACATTTCAGGCCATGACCCATTTCGCTTGTCTATGTACCAAGTACATGTGCGCAGGTGTGCCCGCAGTCCTTTCCACGTTACTTGCCAATATCAACGCGTAAGTTGGTTCTCACGATTCATGAAATCTGAGAAGTTCTTCTCGCCCTCTAGAAATAGCATCATTTTGTATATACGAACTAATCTGGCAAACAAACAAAGCATTTATTCTCGCGTTTCCCTTTTTGCAGTTATGCTATTGTTTTTTCTCAGTCAACAGGATTCTGTTGTCTAGGAGAGACTCTGCAAAAACACTTGGGTGACTCATTCCATTACCCCTTTGCAGGTACTACGCCCACACAACTGCCACGTCAGCAGTGTCCGCTCCCGACCGCTTTGCCGCTTCCAACTTCGGCAAGGAGCGCTTCGTTAAACTGCTGGATCAGCTGCACAACAGTCTGCGGATCGATCTGGGCATGTATAGGGTGAGTGATCGAATCAGCGGCCATTCATCCCCTCCCGTAATTCATCGCCTAATCGGGTGTTGTGTCGTCTCGAGATGCCCCTCCTCTCGCAGTCTCTCCCCATTTTCCCCGCAATCCGAGCAGCCAGATTAGTTGCTCGGCGACGGCGCCACAGTGTCAATCTTCTGCCATTTTGATGCAACGACGTCAGAAGACGTACGTCCTCAATGAACGAAATCAAATTGTTTGCCAAGAGCATCCCACAACCACCCGCCATGAAGGACGATATTGGATGTGTTAGAAGACGGCTGAAATTGGAATTTTTTTCCTGCTTTCGCAATCCAACCGGAACCTTTCTTCCAATCCGCTCAATGCGTGTCTCTGCGTCTCCATCGTCTTCTGATAAAGCATTCGAAGAGTAGGAGAAGACGTGAGAAACATGCGGTTCTTTGGGATGCACTAATTTCGCTTTCTCGCCCTACAAATGCTCTCTTTCTTCCTTGGCTCACTGATGTCACCTGAAATATGTCGATTCCAATCTTGATGCTCATCTCCCCTCGAAAGTACTCTCCATGCTTACCCACCCACGAGAAAAATGTCATCGAAATTCAAAACTTCCCACACATCGACAACCTTTTCTGCTCTTTTTTCCCTCCGAGCATAATATATAAAGAAGAGAGGCAGCCAGTGGAATATCTCGAAAATCTGCTCGGTCAAGCTCCCCTCTCATCCGTAATATCTTGTTTTTTGGAGATTAATTGCGGCTTTCCTTTTCTCTGATAGCAGAAAAGTATTGGAGGAAACACTCGGGTGTGAGTCGGTGGACAAATTCAATTTCGAAAAGGCGGAAGATGTGCTCCGTATGCACTCTCGGCTCCTCAACCATTCTGACACATTCCAAAACACTTGACACTTTCTAAGACGCCTCCCCCTGTCATTTTTCTTTCTTTCGCTTTTTTGAGGCACTAAGACTGCGGCCAACAATTTGTTCAGTTTCCATAGAAAACCCATCTTTGTGGCCGTTTGGAGGGCACCCCGTCAATAAATCGTCCCCCGTCTATTTAGCTTTCACTTTTCCGAGCTAGTTCCTGACTGAAATCAATTGGATATCCGGTCCGAATATAAACTGCTTTCCTATTTTCAGAATCATTTTCCATCATCTTCGCCAGCCAAGCTCCAGGACCTCAAATCGACGGTCGACCTCCTGACTTCGATTACCTTCTTTCGTATGAAAGTGAGTCCCAACTCTGTTCCTCCAACACGTGATTAATTGAAGGTTCTCGAATTGGCGAGCCCTCCGAGAGCATCTAATGTGGTTCGCGAGTGTGCGAAAGCGTGCATGCAGCAGACATACCAGTTGATGTTCGAGTCTTGCTGCGAGCAGGGCGGTCCCTCCGCCGACTCGGTCCAGTTCTGGTTCGACTTCATCGACTACATCATGCGAGTCATCGAAGACGATCAGAAGAACTACACGCCTGCGCTGAACCAGTTCCCGCAAGAACTCAATGTGGGCCAGTTGTCGGCGGGAACCCTCTGGCAATTGTACAAGATGGATCTGAAGATGGCACTGGAAGAGCATGCGGAAACGAAAAAGTGCAAGACTCCAGATTACATGAACTTGTACTTCAAAGTGAAGGGATTCTATTTCAAGTACGTGGCAGAGCTTCCGCAGTACAAGCAGTCGATTCCCGAGTTCCCGGCCTGGTTCATTCCGTTCGTTATGGATTGGCTCAACGAGAACGACGAGCACTCGATGGACATTCTCAGAAATGCCTACAATGTGTACGTTCATTTTCTCACTCACTCCTATCCTCAAATCATTGCTTTAATTTCAGTGACAAGGCCGACAACTTCCCGCAAACATCGGAACATACCAAGTTCTCGAACAGTGTCGTCGATGTGTTCACTCAGTTGAACGCCGCCCTCAAATTGCTCAAACAGATGGACTGTCCGAATCCGGAAGTTGCCGCCGACATGATGAAGAGGTTCAGCAAGACACTGAACAAGGTGCTTCTCGCCTACGCAGACATGGTGCAGAAGGACTTCCCGAAATTCGCGCACGATGAAAAACTTGCGTGCATTCTGATGAACAATGTGCAACAATTACGGTAAGTTCTCATGTCAGTTCTCAGACCTCGGCTCCAACTAATAATCCTTCAGTGTCCAACTTGAAAAGATTTACGAAACGATGGGCGGTGCAGAGCTGGATGAGCATGTCGGAAGCGTTTTGACTGTGCTGCAGAAGAAGTTGAACTCTGTGCTCGACAAGCTTTCCGGAGAGTTCGTCGCAACTCTCGAGCCTCACATTCACGAGCAGACCATGAAACTCGGAGTATTACTCACCAAGATCAAGGGTCCCCAACAGCAGAAGTCACAAGTGCAGCCGGATGCCGATGCCGTTCTTGAACCTCTCATGGATCTGCTGGAAGGCTCGTTGCGAAGATACGCAGATCAGTGCGAGAAGACAGTGCTCAAATACATTCTGAAGGAGCTGTGGAAGATAACAATCGTGAATTTGGAGAAGAGAGTCGTCCTGCCACCACTTTCCGACAAAGCACTGCTCAAGCAATTGCCTAATGCGAAGATCGGCGACGTGACCAAGTTGATGTCGACGAACATCCAGAGTATAAAGGGAATGAACTCGGTAAAGGATATGATGGATATGGCGAGAGAAAGCGAAAGATCACTGACTCCGAAGCAGTGTACGGTGCTTGATTGCGCTCTCGATGCCATCAAAGACAGTTTCCACGCATCCGGAAAAGGGCTCAAGAAGTCGTTCTTCGAGAAGTCTCCAGAACTGCAATCTCTCAAATACGCCCTCAGTCTCTACACGCAGACCACCGAACAACTCATCAAGACGTTCATTACGAGTCAAAGACAACAAGGCATGACCGCGAGAGAAATGCAAATACTATTCAATTGTATTTCAGACCTTCCGAGTCAGGAGCAGCCCGTTGGAGAAGTCAGTGTCCAAGTGGACCTGTTCAGTCATCCAGGAACGGGCGAACAGAAAGTCACCGTCAAAAGTGAGTCACAGATCGTCCGTTTCAATTTTCAATCGGTCTCTTTCAGTTCTCGCCGCGAACGATCTTCGATGGCAGACGTCATCGGCCTTCAAGCCGTTCGTCGAAGTTCACCTTGTCGGACCACATCTCTCGGACAAGAAGAGAAAGTGTGCGACGAAAAGCAAGCCAGGAAACTGGGCTCCGAAGTTCAATGAAACGTTCCACTTGTCAGTGACCGCTTTTTCGGTGCTCTTTCACACATTGTTTCTGTTTCAGCTTCCTCGGGAACGAAGGGGAACCGGAGCACTACGAGCTCATGTTCCAGGTCAAGGACTACTGTTTCGCCAGGGAAGATCGGATCGTTGGTGTCGGAGTCCTACAGTTATCGTCTGTTGTTGAACAAGGTCAGTCAAAATTTCCCCATTTTCAATCAAACCTGATTTCAGCGGGATCCTGTGCAATGTGGGTCCAATTGGGAACTCGTCTTCACATCGACGAGACCGGACTCATTCTGCTTCGGATCCTCTCCCAACGTCAAACTGATGAGGTGAGTGCTTGCTTCGGAAGAACCCTCCGAATACATTCATTTCAGGTCGCCAAGGACTTTGTTCGCCTCAAAACAGAGTGTCGTCACGAGACGGAGACAGTCATGGCCGCTTCCGCGAGCAGTCAAAACATCAACCGAACTTAGCCCCTTCCTTACGAGTCTTACCGCAATATTCGTCCTTTTCCTCTCCGTCATACCTGTAAATTTTGTCTTTTTCTTCTAGTTTGTTTTCTATTATTTATCTCAAATGGTTTATTATTTTCTTCGTTTTCCTTCTTCGACCAAATGGGTTTTCGACCAAAGTCAACGTAGCAGGAGATGTTTTAGTTCTTTCCCCTTCTTTCCACTATCCCGCCCCTTTCCCCCCTGACCGTTGCTTTTACGTGTGCCTTTCAAGATGATTTAATACATTTGATTTGATTAAATAAACTTTTATGAACTAATTCTTCTCGTGACCTTTCCGCATCCTATCGCCACGCAATCACTCTTTCTCCATTCAGCCAGAATGGCCACTTTCGTGATGGACAGTGTCTGTTTGATGCTCCGAGAGCTCAAGAATTCAGCTCAACTCCGATGGACTCTCTTTTCCGTCGTCGCCAATTTGTCCCTGACTCTGTCCATTTGGATCGGAGTCTACCACATGCAAGTTAATCTTGAGCACAGTAAATGGTACTTCTTGGACTCTTCCTACGGCTCGACCACCGGAAATGCGATTCTGGACGGATTGGTAAGGGGAAACTGAGAAGAACGGAAGAGAAAAGAGAGTTCAGATAAACGGAGTGGGCACCATCCTAGTGCTCGGCTCCGTCTCGTTCGTCATGCTCGCCTTCGTGCTCTACGACTTCCAACGGATCGTCAAGGGATGGCTCATCTTCTCGTGCGTTCTCATCCTTTTCGGTGTTTCCGGACAGACTCTCTTCGACTTGTTCTCCCAAATATTCGACCAAGACACTGAAAACGGCTTCTTCTTCACAGTCGTTCTCACTGTCATTCCCACCCTCATTTACGGACTTGCTGGTGTTGTTGTCAGTGATTTCCCACTTATTCACAGTTGATCGGACCCGATTTCAGGCCTTCTTGGCGAACGGATCTCTCGCTCTCCATCAGTTTTTCGTCGTCTCCAACTGCTCGCTCATTGCTGTCTATTATCTGCGAACATTCCCCGGGCACACCACGTGGTTCGTACTCTGGACTGTTCTTTTCTGGGGTAACATCTTCCTTCTTCCGCTAAATCGTTCAATTCCCTTTTTCTCCAGATTTGTTCGCTGTATTGGCGCCAATGGGCCCACTCAAAAAAGTCCAGGAAAAGGCTTCGAACTACAGTAACAATGTAAGTTTTCCATTTGAATTCTGCAAATATTGAGTTTTTTTCCCTCAGATTCTCAAATTCTTGATGTTCGCCGCTGATGAGAAACGAGAAGCGGCTGGCGGCGACGAACAGCTGAACGAGGAGAGAACGATCAGAAGAGACGTGAAGCAATTGATTCAGTTGTATTCGAAGCGGGAAGCACAGGACGACGAGTTCCTTCAGAAGATACGACAGCGACGGAAGGCAGTCAATCCGGACTCCGGACTGACTGACAAAAGTCCTATTGGTGAGACGGTGAAATGGGGTTTGAGAACGAAAAGGAATGTTCCAGTCGAATCGGAGCCATCTCCAGTGGAGGCTAAAGAAATTAAAGAAAAGGACAGTGATCTGGAGGAAAGCGACGACGACGAGGCGAGCTCGGATTCTTCCACGTCAACCAGCTCTTCTGAATATTCTTCAGCTTCGGAGTCTGGAGTGAGCACGGCGAACGAATGTGATGAAGAGGAATGGAAAGAATTGAAGAGAACCGTAGAGCCTCAAATGGAAGAAAAGACTCTCACTGCCGCGGATGCTCTCAACGATGGAGGTGAGAGATGACACTTTTGCAAGAAACCTCTAATTTTCGATTCAGAAACCGTTCGACTTGGTTTTGGAGATTTTGTATTCTACAGTCTTCTCATCGGTCAAGCTGCTGCGGGAGGGTGTCCGATCGCCGTCTTTTCTGCAGCTATTGGAATCCTTCTTGGACTTTTGGCCACTCTTACAATGCTCTCAACCTGTATGCGTCTTTTTCTTTAATTCGCACAAACGAATTTATCAACTCTTCAGCGGAATCTACCACGCCAGCTCTTCCAGTGCCTGTTATTTGCGGAACTTTCAGTTACTTCGGCTCAAAGTTTATCTGGAACTATTTTCTCGGCTGATGTTTCTGGCCTAATTATATGTACTGATTACTTGGCTGAAGTTATTGTTTTGAAATTTTCGGTGTTTTTAAGCATAAAATGTTCCGGAAACAGTTCGGTGCTATTTTTATGTGGTAAAAAATGACTGAAATCTGCAAAATTTGCGCAGTCGAAAAATTTTGCGAAAGTTAATTGAAGGGACGAACAAAATGCTCATATGAATACACAAAAACAGTTCTATTGTGTCGCGGTTCGTGTGTGTCGTGGTTCTATTCTGCCCAGTTCTATTATGTCGCAGTTCTATTTTTTCGCTGTTTTATTCTGCCCAGTTCTATTTTGTTGGACCGTCATTAAACTTTAGTACTAATTAGTGATTAAAATGAGAGAAAACGAGAGAAAAAGAGACGCAGACGCGGAATAGCGGAGTGTCGTAACAGACTTTGTTTACTAAACATAAGAGAGTGCACCTTTTTTCTTGCAAGCTTTCGTAGTTTACACCCGATTTAATATGTTGTCTGTTTTTATGTCCGTTGAAATGTTGTTTTGCTTTCTTCAGATTATATGCAGTACGATTGTGATGTGTCCGTCATCATTCCAGCCAAAAACGCGGGGAAATTTCTGCAACAAACACTGAATGCAATTCTCGAGCAGACTGTGCGCACAACTGCCAAAATAGAGGTTCGTCTGGCTTCTTCTCGCGTTCTCCTCATTTCGAAATTTTAGATCTGTCTAGCTGATGACAACAGCATAGATAATACGGTGTCTATAATGGAAAATGCGCGGCTAGAATTCGAGGAATTGGGAATGAAAGTCATCTTGTCGCATGTTACGCAACCAGGAGGTTATTAATCTGTTCATATTTCTCGCAGCAAATTTTGTTTTAGGTGTCGGTGCAGCAAAAGATTGTGCCGTGAGGTCCTCAACCGGCAGGTTCCTCTGCTTCAATGATGCGGACGACGTGAGTGCTCCTGAGAGAATTGAGAAACAACTGCAGTTGGTAAGAAGTCTCTCGAAATCGGACGACGACCTTATCTTTGTAGGTAATTGTTCTGGGGTTGCAGAAAGCACATTGTCTCGTTTCAGGCGGTCAATTCAACAGACTACCCGAAGGATCAACTGTGAGATACACGAAATGGGCGAACTCGATAACCGGGGATGAAATCAGAAGACAGGTCTACACATCGCACGGACCTACTCTGGTAGCCCCCACGTGGTTTATCAGCCGTGCCCTCTTCGATAAAGTTGGCGGATTCCGAACGGATGTTGCCAATGGCTTCCCGGAAGATCTTGACTTTTTCTACAAATGTCTTGATATCTCAAAATGCGTTTTTGACAAGGTACTCTAACGTTTTGTACGAAAATCTCCAACAATCCGTTATCAGGTACAAACAGACGTCGTAATGTACCGATACCATCAAAACTGTGCATCTCACAGCGTCAACGAGCAAACAATTTGGGAGTTTCGTTTGGAAAGACTCAAAAAGGATTACCTATCCAAATGGGACAATTTCACTATCTGGAGTGCAGGGAAGCAAGGAAAACGATTTTTCAAGTGAGTCTCCTGCTCCCTTTGAGAGTTCTCTAATCCAATCTTCAGAAGCCTCACGGAAGAAGAAAAATCAAAAGTCAGCGAATTTTGCGATATCGACGACGCGAAGATCGGTAGAGGAATCCACGAGGAATTCGACGAAAAGTCGCGCAGAGTAACCCACAAAGTGCCGATCGTGAACATTGAGTGCGTTTCTTTCTCTCTCTCTCATTCCCTTTTCCTTATTCTTTCTTTTTCTGCAGAGACGCAAAGCCTCCGTTGGTCGTTTGCGTCAAATTAGACTTGACAAACGGCGACTTGGAGCGAATAATCGAGCGGAAAGGCTGGAGAGAGCACGTCGACCTGGTTTACTTTGGTTGACTGCCATTTGATACTCTCTACAATAAACAATTGACTCTTCTAGTTTATTTTTGATTGTTTCTCTCATTGTTTGGTTCCAGATATTCCAATGTACTTTGATGTTGCATGCGTGTCGGGTCAGCGCCCTCCGTTATCATTTCTCTAACAGAACATGAGAAGAGATTACTCGGCGCGTCTGTGTCTCGTCTCCCCGCATGCTCTTTCCTTTTCTCCTTTCGTCTGCTCGCTTTTTGCCGCCGGACGGGGTCTCTCCGTCGCCAGTTCCCTAATAGACGCACCGCGCTCTTCTATTCGGGCTCCGATAATGTATTTCTTTTTATTGCACGGCCCTCACCTCTCCAACCTTCCAATCGATTGTTTACAGATGGTGTTCCAGCCGATCCACGAGGAGGAGCAAGTCTTTGTCGATTACGCCATCGAATTGGTGAAAAAGGCTGGCACGGTAAGTTGTTTCATCTTTTTCGCGTCGATTTCGTAATTTTTCAGGTCGTTCGGACTGCGTTCGAATCCGCTGAAAGTAAGGTAGACACCAAGTCTTCCAACACTGACTTGGTGACCGAAACTGATCAGGCTGTTGAAAAGCTTCTCATCGCAGGCCTTTCGGAGAAGTTCACGGGGCACCGGTGAGTGTGACGCAGTCGAAACGGGCATCAGCGCTCAAACGACATCATTTCTGTTTGCTTCCCACGACACGTTCGCTCGTTCCCATCGTCATGACGACCGACTCACCATTTATTGTAGCCCCGTCCCTCTTTCACTTCGCACTTTGCAGATTCATCGGCGAAGAGTCCGTGGCTGGCGGAGCGAAAATCGAATGGACGGATGCTCCAACATGGATTATCGATCCGATCGACGGAACCACCAATTTTGTCCATAGGTGAGAACAAAAACTAATTTTCTTGTGCACTATTCTCTCTTCAGAATTCCGATGATTGCCATCTGCGTCGGTCTCGCCATAAAAAAGCAACTTCGTGCCGGAATCGTCTACAATCCGATTACTCGCGAGCTTTACTTGGGACAAGTCGGAAAGGGGGCCTTCAAAAATGGATTCCCGATCAGAGCGTCCAAGAACCAACGTAAGTCTTCCGATCCGATTCCCAGCACCCTGCTCGTTTTGAAGTGCTTTCCAAAGCTGTGCTCTGCCAATCGCTCGGCCTGCACAACCGCGTGCAGTTCGGTGATCGCTGGCTCGACATAGCACAATCGAACATGCGAAATCAAGTGATGGCCGGTGTGCGAGGGTTTGTTCACAAAATCATTTCGACGAATGCGTTATTCTGGCACACTTTCCGCACTGGATTTTGCACGTCTTCACTTTTTCCTTTCTCTTCTCTGCCCGACAGTTGCAAATTCCAGTCATTGCGGAAAGTGTGCTCGTCCTCCAACTCGGCTCCATTCGTTCTCCCGTCATGCAAAACTCGTTCGTTGAGTCTTACAAGACGGTTATGTTCGAGAAACAATGCCACGGGTAACATTTGAGAAACGTTTTTCGCTGAAATCGAATCGCCTGCCTGACAAAAAAAACTCCCATTCAGACATCGCTCGTTCGGATCCGCTGCCATAAATATGGTGATGGTGGCGCAGGGAAGCTGCGACGGATACGTCGAGTACGGAATCCACGCTTGGGATGTGGCTGCACCAGCTGTCATCGTCACTGAGGCCGGAGGCGTCGTCACCGATCCGACCGGCGCACCGTTCGACGTCATGTCGAGAAAGGTGCTGTGCGCCGGAACTGCCGAGCTCGGACGTGATCTGTCTGCCTGTCTGACCCACGTCGACTTCGAGCCAGAAGCCTAATTTCAACCCGAATTCACTGGAGCTCGCATAATGCGATGCTTTCTCTCCATCCATTGATTCATTCCAATAACATAACCACTAACACTGTATTATTCTGTAGTCCGAGCCATCCTAGTCTCGAATTTCCGTTTTAGGAGAATGAATATTTTGAGGTCGGTACTTAAATCCGCTGTTTTTCTAATTACTATCCGTTTTGTTCGGTTGTATTCCTTTTTTCCCCATGTTTATGGGTATTTCATCAGTCACTCGCAGGTTCGAATCATGGCCCTTCCCGAGGAGGATGTCCATATGATCATCAAACAGGTTTGACCTCAAAAACTCCAGATGAATTATTAAATTTAACATCCAGGTGCTCGATGAGGTCATTGGCCCAAATGCCGTCTATACGCACAAAGATAGCGTGCAATGGAATCAGAAGGCGGTCGAGCAGATTACGAAAAAGCTTGTGGCCGCCGGAAAGCCGTACAAGTATATTGTGACCTCGTCGTTCCTCCAAATCGCGAACGGTTCCGGCCTCAACGTGTCCACCATTAGCTACTGGAATAAGGTTACGGATAGTGAGTGCGCCTGTCGGCTCGGCTCGGAAAAACCCTCTTTTTTCAGCCTCTTACATGTACAGATGGGAAGCGAAGGCGATGCTGGCAATCGTCTACGTTTTCGCCATCCAAATCTAATCGCAGCTCCCATCAAATCGCCTTCTCTCCTTCCCCTCCCACCAGCCAATCATTTTTTATCTCGAGAGTATTTATTATGAATTAACCGTCCGGAATACCACAAATCCATTTACTTTCGATGGTTGCCTGATTCACTAACCGGACGGAATCTCCCCCGTTTCCTTTTGTTCGCGTCCCCCAGTTAAATTTTTATCCGATTTTCAACCTATTTGCTTTTCCTGTCCGAAAAATTAATAAACACTTGTTTTCCCTAAAACCATCGCACTTTCCGTCCGATTTTCTGTACTGTCGTGTCTTGCCCGATCAGATGGCCCGATAGCGTTCGGGTCGTCAAGTGACGCACGGAACTTTTCTCACTTCCCGAAATGCTGCCTCGAATAATTCCCTCCATTCTCCCTGTCGTTTTTCTATTTTCTTTTCTGTTCTTCGTCACAGCAGTTCTTCTCCATTTCATGTGAGCTTTTTGTCTGAAAATTTAAAAAAAAAGAGAAATTCAGCCGGTTCGATTCTTCCGAGCTCGAAAATGAGGCCGTTTTCAATTCTGCTCCGTACGACGTCTTTCTTTTTTCGGCATTTTGGTATAATAAATCGAAGAGCCTCGGGGACAATCGCATCGTCCTCCTGATGACCGCCGATTTCGAAATGCTCGAGAAGGTGAAAAGTATGGAATTGTTGGCTACCAATTCGACAGATCGCATAATCGCCAAGGCAGAATTGGAGAGGTTTGTTTTCATAACAATAGCAATATCGAAGTTGTTGTCACAGGAGTGAAGTTGCAACAAACCACGAAGAGAATACAAATTTCAGAGTGACAATTCACGACTCTTGCAAATGGATCGCAATGACTGCGACAGCCGAACTGCTTCCGAATCTATCGCTAATGTTCATATCACTGGGAGGAAACCACGCTCCTGTACGCACATTTCATAGAAATTCCCTATAATTCTAATCATTTCAGATTCCGTTCGAGGTAGTTTCAGTCGTGCCGCAGCCCGTCGTCGTGTGCATTTCCCCTCTGTTCTCATATGAAAACTGGCAGAATCTGATGGTTTCATTGCACGTTTACAGGAAATTCGGTGCCCATATGCATCTTTATATTCGAAGTATCGTGGCGCCGATTCTTGAGATTCTGAAGGTTTACGAGCAAGAAAAGTACGTGACTGTGAAGCCGTGGAACAGAATCAATCTTCTTAATCGAGACGAGCGAGACTTTAATCCGAATCTGAATGTGGAGTTCAGAAGTCAGGCTGCTGCTCAAACGGACTGTCTTCTCAGATACAAAGTAAGATCTAATTTAGTAAGTGAAAATACCATGAAAGTCTTTCAGGAAGCAGCTGAATTCGTGGTGTTTCTCGACCTGGATGACTTGTTGCTGCCCCGATTGGCGGACAATTACGCGAGTGAATTCAGATTTTGGGCTTCTGAGAATCCGACCGCCGCTTACTTTATATACATGAAGGAAAACACGAAAACGAAGTCATGTGAGTGAATTAAAAATAAATATTCTGAGAATGAGATCACTCGCAGACAGAAGAGGCAATGTGTTCTCCATTGAGCACATGCTGCGGAATGTGAAATACGAAAACAAAGCGGAGACGGGAAAGATGATTGCGAATCCGTTGAAAATGAATAGCACGTGGATTCATTGGCCCTACAAAACACTCAAAACTTTCCTGGTTGACGCCCAAATCAATTCAATCACTCATTTGAAACACGTTGAAATGGTAAAAGAATAAGAAACACCCAGATCTTAAAATAAGCGTGCAGATTGACGGAATGGGAGTGGATCACGAGCAGATTCCCCGATACGAGCCGTCAGTCGGGTTCAAAGACCCGAAGCCGTTGATATCAGACAAGGACATGAAGATGATTGAAAAGGACTTCAACAGGTCAGTCTCATCTCCTCACGTATTCATGCGTTGGGATTCAGAATGAGCTGGAAGTCATCTGTGCGACGTCATCTGCGTAATCTTCCTGTCAACATGACCTACACAAAAATGATCAGCGACTGCTACACTTCCACGTATTACGTGTTTCACGCAGCCAATGAAAACCACGCGATGTTATGCCCAGGGCCCGAAAGATGCGATGTAACACGCAAACTGCAGCTACTTCGTCATTGCATCCGAATTTCAGATATCAAGTCATAAGACAAAGTGCTGGAACAGCGTCGGAGAGTATCATTCCACTCGCGACGGGCAGATAATCAACGTGCATTACGCTGAAAACACTGAATTTGCATTGAACAACGGGTGTCAATTGTAGATAAATAGTTTAACTTGATAATAACGTTTTATGCTTTCAGCTTGATCAATCGGGGCATTCCATGATAGAGTAGGAGGGAAGAATCATGAAGTCGGGTGGTGTAGGAACGGGAATTGTGGGAAGGAGGGATGGCCGGGAGCAGCCAATAAAGGGACTCTGCTCCGGGCACAAACGACTGAGGCTCGGGCACTTCCGTGTAGATGTATGCCGCCAGATTGCCCGTTTTGATGACCTGAGTGTCTGTGGTTCGAGTGGACATGGATGGCACGGCCTGCAAATGCAATACTTTGCATTTCTATTCGAAAACTGCTAGAGTACTTCAAATTGCGATGCTTTTTGGGGGCTGCCATCACTGTAGATGTAGGCTCCGATTGGCCCTGAACATCTATTAACAGAAGTTACAAAAGCGCAACCACCTACCTTTCTTGATGAACTGCACATTCTCAAATGACGACGGCACGAGTCTGACAAGGCTGGTCACGTCCAACTGAGCGTTCTTTGGAGCTTTCTGCGCGTACGCCCGTTTTCTGATCTTCTCGAATTGACTCTCATGCAGAAAGAACCACCCGTGAGAAGTCAAATAACCCTGAAAAGCACATAATCCCTCTGCTGTTCCCCCTCGAACATTTCTCACGAGTTTCGGGAATTCCTGCTGCTCCGGAATGTACCAGACACTCTCGGAAGCTAGTGCCTCATCAAGAGGAACTGCCGAAAGTGCGACGACGGCGTGCACAATCTGGATGCCGAGCGCAGTGTCCACCAGATGAACCGCTTCTATTTCCACGAACGTCCGCTCTGCCAACCGATGCTGCTCGAATGGCTTTGCAGTGATCGATAGAGGAATAGAAAGAAGGGAAACGAAAACAAAACTAATGAGCATTTCATAGGCAAGACACGGGATTCATCATATAAATAACGACGGCGAATTCGCGAACAACAACTGTTATGTGCTGCTGATTGATGAGCAACTATTAATCAAAAGGCTCCTCACGCGTGAAGAGTGCTCGAACGACGGAAAGAAACTGCCGGCGGGATGTAGGTGGTGACGTCGATCGTCGAATTGACCTTCTTCCTGAGCAGACGGAGGATGGCGACCCGGTAGGGCACTATGAAATAGAAAGAAATGAACGGGTCGATCAGTGCGGGAAGACTTGTCATTACATTGAGAAGGTGTTCTGCAAAAAGAGAGTCGTGGGAGTGTTCGGAGGGTTCAGTCTGGACCTGTTATCAGGAACTCTTCGGAAGTGAGCTGACTTATTAGGTACAGCGTAATTATGGGAAAGTAAGAAAGCAGTGGGAGCACGACCTGGCAGGCGAGTCCCTGAAAGAATAAAACGGGTGGGCAGGAAGCAGGAAGTGACTCACTTTCATCAGCACCCTCGCGTGAATCTTCGTGTTCTTAGACAGCTTTGCGTGTGTTGTCGTCAAAATCAAGATTTTCCGAATAGCGAACACGGAGATAATGGGCATACCGTATGCCCCCAAAGCCACGAGTCCAGTAACAAACACAAAGCGGAACGAAGTTGTGTCGGAGAAGCCGGAGTAAGGAACGTAGATGGAGAGGTTGTAAGAAGGATGCTCCAGCTCCGATTGTCTTCGCACCACGTCAAAGTCCCATTTAGAAGTGAACGGAATGATCTGAATGTTGAGGTGCAAACATCATTGTCATATGCGGTCAGTTATTACAGTGGCGATCGCAGGGGCGAGGTGGCTGGCCAGAATGAGAGCGAGCAGGCAGTTCCGGGAGAGCCTCCAGTTCTTGATCAGAGAATAGCGGAAGAGAACAGTGGCCGAAATGGAGAGTGCCACGCTGGAACTGATTCCCTGTAATAATTGGTCCCTTGTGAATACCACTTGACGGTTCTCACCACGAATACATGATACGTGGAGAAGCAAGTGCTCGGTCCGAACTTCCTGCAGAGCCCGTTCGCGAGGACAGCAAAGGTTGTCGAATTGGGCAGTGCTCTGAAACTTGGAGGTAGGCAAACAGGATGACGTGGCAGCACCACTAACCTATATTGAATGAAATAGGAGGCGAGTATGTTTGCTATCTGACAACAAGTTGTATTGTAGAGGAAGAGCTTGAGGTCGCTCAAATTGCTGGGCGACTTTCTGATGATAAGAACGAGGAGGAACGACTGGAATAAGAGGCCGACGGCAAGGTAGAAGTGAAAGTAGATGTCGAGCAGAGGAACGAAACGATTTGAGTCGGAACCGAAGAGATTCATCAGAGGAGAGTGATGCGCGAATGAGGAAGACTGACTGACCAATTGACGGCGACTCCTCTCAGAATGAATCGGGCGGAGCACGTGTGTCCTCTCAGGGGAATCCCGAATCATGCGTCGATCCAATCAAAACAAGGTGTCACGGCCATAATTGGACAGACTGGTTCATTGAGCGGTCCGTAAGGGAGACCACGAAAGGTTGCGGGAAAAGGTAGGCAAGAAGGTGAAGGCGACGGGCGAAGGGGCATGAGAAATGCACGTAGCGGCCATCTTAGACTGATTATACGAGGAACCCGGACGCTTCGAGCCGTGAAATGATGAGCATTCTGCTAATATTTTGAGCAACCCGACTTCTATTTGGGTTTATCGTATTTCTTTGTCGAAACATCCGCATCCTTTCTTTCAGTGTTTATTTCTCTTTGCTCTCTCCCTTCTCTATTTGAAAATTTGTTTAGTAAAGTCTGAACATATCGCTCTCCTCACTAATGAGCGTACTCAGCTTCTAATTTCAACACCTCCGCGGTTCGTACTTTGCACCCTCATGCTCCAATGATCACTTCTCCTCCGAATATCCCTTGTTCTTCCTTCTCTCCGTCCCTCCTGACATCGTCGTAATTGTACAAACACGGCAATTAAGTATGACTTTGAATAAATTTTATATCAACAATCCAAATATTATTTTAAAAATGAATGTGAGAGCAACAATATAAATAAGGTATCCCGAATGAGAAAATGTGATTTAGGGCTGGGATGTGATAGTGCATGACTCGTATCGGGATCATTATAAAATTAGCAAATGGAAACGATTAAACGGAAGTTCACCAGGAAGCTGAGATGACGAGATTCGTACGTGAGTAGATACCTAAGATTGGAGGGGGATGTGCGTGTGCGTTGGCTAAGTAGAAGAAAACAATTGGTTCGGGGGGTTTGGGGGTTGAATGCTGTGGGAGAGGGAACCTGAGAAAACAGATGAAGAAAGAAAGAAACAAAGAAGGCTATTGATCACATCTCAACGTCAACCATTTCTTCTTGGAGCGGCTCTGGAGTGAGTATAGTTATGGGGACCATCTGCGGGAACGAAGTGGAAGTGTGAAGGGATGGGCTCAGCAGAGAGGACTGTAGGAGCGAGGCCAAATAGAGAGACATGAGGGGAGACGGCTGAAGACTGAGAAGGGCCGAGTGGATATCTGGGAGGAAGGTCGGGGAGGATATCGGAAGAGTGGGCGAGAGCAGGAGCGGGGACGATCCGATGAGGGGAGTGGCGATGGCTGTCGGCACTGCCGGATTTTCTTCTTCCGGGTCCGTTTGGATTCCACTGTCCGATGAGGTCTCACTTCGGCACGGAGACAATGGAGACGCTGGAAACACAGAGGATGGGCTTCTAGTAATGAGATCAGACTATTTTACCTTTTTCGTAAGTAGGCATCACATTGTAGACCATTTCGGTGTGTGTGCATGGTCCGTTTGAATGAGCAAGAGCTCCTTGCACGTCTTCAAACTTGGCTCCGCATCGGCAGACGCATGGAGATGTGTTGTGGATTTGGTTGACGTGGTTGTTCAGAACAGAGACTCTTTCGTCTTCGAAGGAGCACAACTGGCAACGGTAGAGGACGCAGCGCTTCTCGGAGCACATCATGCGATCGGAATCGGAAGGAGAATCAAGGCAGGTAGTTGTGGAATCAAACACTTTTGAACGACTGTACTTGGAAACAACACGAATGCCATGTGTTTCTGGAAGGGGACAATCATAAAGAGGTCACCACAGTTGGTTAGTTGAACTCACTTGCGACATGACGAATGAGATCAGCCTTCCACTTGCTGGTTCTGGAGCAGTAGCGGCACTTGAATGGTCTCTCGCTCGTGTGCACTCTCTTGTGACGGATCATCTCGGAGACCCACTTTCCTTGGTATCCACACGTCGAGCAGGTGCGGGTTGACACATCGGGATCCATCTCCATTTTCTTCATTTCAATCTCGTCATCTGGTCCTTCGATGGCCTCTTGCTCACTCAGATATCTCTTCTCGAACGGTTGATCATCTGCTTTCCGGGCAACGAGTGCATCCAATGTGTTTGACGGGTTGGCCACTTCCCCGCGACGACGCTTCCGACGATGCTCTTTTTCTGGGGAGGAAAGAGTCGAGAGCAACGAGGAGACGTCGAGAGCAGTGAGCAGAGATTCACAGTTCATTCTGAAATTTCAGAAGTTAAAAGAGACCCTGGAATTGAAGGAGAGGCGGAGAAGGAAGGGGACGTGCACTTGGAACAAGGCATTATCTACTCGGAAAGAAAGCATCATGAGATAAGAGACTGAAAAGGGGAAAGTTGCTCCAAGAGTGACCGATAAGACCGATAAGGAGGGAGGCCGTTGTTCGGTCACCAGGAAGCGGGCGCCGACTCCGAGTGGGAATGGATATGGCAAAATGCGGATGGGGCGCGCGGTACCTTTTCGCTCCTACCACTGTATGTTGACACAAGTTTGTTGGGAGGGAGGCGACCGAGGGGTGGGAGGTCGCATCAGCACTGCGAACAGTTCACTTCCGGGGCTGGGGTCGGGCGACTTCGCAGATACGTTTACTCTTTACAAAATATCAGCAACACACTCTCGCTCAAACAGACAGTATTGGACAAACAGTTGGTCAGCGTTTGAAGTCGGACCGATCCCTTCCGCTGAGAAGTTACGTGATCCAGGAAGGATTCGAGTGATGACGTGGCGGCGCTCAACCGGGATCGGATGACCATCGACGGGAAGTCGCGAAGTTTGCGAGTGTTGGTTCACCTGCCCTTTAGCAGGGATATCGAGTCAAAGATTCGGAGGCCTTCGGGTTACTGTACGCTCCAGGGAGCATCTGGTCTTGTTGGATTGTCCAGCTATTTCTGGAACGTCTACAGTATGCTGTAGACCTACGTGGACTTCAGAATGCTCACAGTCTGAATCGTACTCTAGAACCTCTTCACATCTGCTGAATATGTGTTCTATTTGAAAACGCGTGCCCCTTCCGCTAATAGAATCACTTTTCTTCCCTGGATGACCTCGAGACGGTCTGTTCCATCGTCTCGACGTCTCCTCTGAAGACGTCTTATTCCATGTCTTCCTCGTCTTCTTCTTCTTCTTCTCATTCATTCGGCCACATGTTTGCTCAAGCACAGTTTGCGTAACCGCCGCGTCTCCTGCAGCCATTCGGTTTTTTTTTCGCGCCCTCAACTTCTTCGAAGAAATCCAAATAGGAACAACCTGGTACAGAATGGTCGGAGGACCGTCTCGAGGCGGCGCCCTCCCCTCCGCGTGCAGTTCAAACACATGACGAGACGAGCAGTTTTTGGGGGAAACCGACGTGAGCGAGTGAGTGTGAACCAGAGTAAGAGTGCATCGGCGCGATGCCCGCGTGTGCTCGCGGAGCTGCGGCGCACCGTCAGCTCGGTTCCAGGAGGTACCAGTTGGAGCTGGCTTATCACTGTTTCTCCGCCGAAACAGATCGGGTGGGAAGGAAAGGGCGTAGGATGCTGAGTGTGCAAGTTTCGATGGCAGCCAAAAGGACACGACAACTTTTTCTCCTGATTGCCTCTTGTTTCGAAGACAGGGAACAACTTTTTTGGAGGGGAAAATTGGCTCCGTTTGGTCTACTAGTACTGTTGGAAGGCGCAGAAGTCGAAGATTAATGGGCGGACACACTGAGTTGATTGCAAAAAGGATGTACAGTAAGATTGGATTGTTACACTTATGGGACTCTTTCTCACATACTACATCCTTTCGGTAACATCTTGGTCCCAGATTGATCTTCTTGATTAACATGGAAGATTGGGTGAGACATGCAAAGAAGATTTTTTAGGTTCTGGATGGAAAACCGCTCTTAGCATCCCAACAAAAGAGACTATCGAAAGAGAAACTTGGTTTTTCAGTCCATCCGACTTCCAGTAACCATTCAGAAGCGATTTCAGCGGTCAGGACCGTCGTGCCGCCCGATTCGGCGCCTGAACCGTGTGCCCGTCGGCGACGCGCGCCGGTCTGTTTGTCTGCAAAGTGCATGGTCACCGGGTGGCACCGTCTCACAGTCTGCCGTCTCGAGCCGTGAGGCATCAGCTCCAGAGCCACGGGCAAGCCGCTCCCTCTCGCTCTCTGGAGGCACACGGCGCTGCACTATTATGTACTGTGCAAATATGCCATCGGGTTCACGAACGGGTTTTTGTAGCTCGTCCCGACCCCCAAAACCCTCTCCTCTTCTATCGCTCCGATTTTTTTAGTAACACACACACACACACAATGCGAAATCGAAAAAAAACCGGGGGTCGCGCAGGAGAGCGACGCGAAAAAAGTGCAAAACGACTATAGAAACTTTTGCTCGGCAACCAAATGAACTCTCGAAAAAGAAAGCCGCCCGGGGCGGCAAAACGCACAGGAGCCAGGTTCAGGGACATGAGTCAGACGGCAGTTGGCAGCAAGTGTCATATGAAACATGGCTGGTTCCGTGTGATCGGATCACTGATTGCATCTGGGCTCACGCATAAAGCATCTGCCGGTGGATCCACGTGGCAAATGAGCATGATGACGTGGAATCGATCGCATCTCGAGAAACTTCTTCTCCGGCTCCCGAGTACATATTGACTCATGTGACGTAGAGAGGTTTCTGGCAGTAGAAACTCTTTCAACTGGTTTCGAAATCTCACCCCAAAAAATGAGCAGTTTGGGGGTTCAAATCCAAGGACTAGCAGGGAACCGAATGCAAGAATAGAAAGAAAAGGAGCAAAATACGTGACTCGTTGACGTGAAGAACACAGCGGAACATCATCATTATTGGGTTGGAAATGTCGAATGGATCTGGCGCAGCGGACAAGGAGAGGAAGACGAAGAAGAAGATGAAGAAGAAGGAGGAGCAAACTAGGTGGGGTCGACCGGACGGCGCCGAGCTAATTGCACGGCAGATGTCCGCACCATCAATTATCGTTTCAGAAAGAACAGCGCGGCGGCAAGCGGGCGTGCCGAACGTGACCGTGCCAAATGGCGAAGGAAGAAGCAGGAGGAGGAGAATCGGAAATCCAAACAACGGATCGAGGAGCAGCGGGCGATGGATGAGGCCGAGTTCGCGAGAAGGTGATATCAGCGGGTGAACAGCTCTGTTGCAAAACCTGATTATTAGCTGGTCATTAGGGAGGGCAGGTGCAAAGTGCGATTCTGAATTTTTTTGTGTTATGGGTGTAACTTGTTTGCAAACTTTCAGAAGAGACGAACAACAGAAAAAAGAGTTCCGAAGGCATCGGGACATGTACGAGAAGGTACTCGAAGACGCGGAATCCGCGCAGAAGGCCGTCGAGAAGGTGATTGGGGAGTATCGCGAATCGAGGAATAGCATCAAGATACAGCTCCATTCCGACTACAATGACTTTTCACAGACACAACAGATCGAGAAAGCGGTAGGACTACCCAGAAATTCTGTTTTAGTTAGTTCAGAAACCGCATTCCAGCAAATCGCACAGTTCAACGAGGCATCCCGTGCTTCTGAGTGCCAAGTGGCGAATTTGGACTTAGAATTAACGAAAACTAAAAAAGTAAATAAACATTTTTTCGGGAATTCAGATGTATGCATTGTTTAGTTCGATCAAGACTTTACTCAACAATCGCTGCAAAATTGGGTCGTTCGCTTCTGGAAGTACCTTTATTGATTTTTTGGTTTTGACATTTTAAATAAAGATATTTTTACTTTTAATGGATAATTTGTTCTTAACCACTTCATATTTAGAATAATGAATAACCGCTTAGATTTTCTATTTTTTAACTGCCGCTAAATTGACACGCGACGTGTGCAAGCCTCCGTTATTGACACACTTTCAGTGCCTTGGAGCGCGAATCAGTTTTTTCGAAGACCTTCTAGAGACTTCATCTGCTTCATTTCTTCCGTTCCCATCAGTAATTTTCAGAATGGCTGATATAACCAAGTTTGAAGAAGAAGTGGCAAAGCTTAAGTTGCTTGAAAAAGGTACATCGATCGATTGAGTGCCGTTGAGATTCGATGATTATTTTCAGACCGTGATAAGTACTTCAAAAATCGCCAAGAGATGGAGATGAAACTGACGGAGAGCAAGAATGTCAAAGCGGTTCGATTCTTTGCACTATTCTCATACGTAATTATTTGCAGGAGCTCGATTTGATGGATGCCGATGCGAAGATCTATAAGCTCATCGGGGCTGTGCTCGTTCGCCAAGAGTTGGAAGAGGCCCGCTCTACTGTCGACAAGAGATTAGAGTTCATCGATTCGGAGATGTAAGTTAGCTCTACGCTTTTCAGTCGTTAAATTGAGTATTTTAGTAAACGCGTGGAGGCAAGCATTTCGGACATTTCCAAGAAATCAAACGAGCAGCGCGATAAAGTGATCGGAATGCAGTCGGTTCTTCAAAAATTAGCGGCTGCTCAGGCACAACCACAAAACAAGCAATAAATCATCATCTCGTTTCTTCTCTGAATCTCATAATTTGCGCCCAATTTTGTTATGTTTCATGGTCCCCATCGCACAGTAAACGATTTTATTTTATTTTTCATCTATTTTTTCTCTGTGTGAGTTTTCACTAATCTGATATCGATTATTCCGAATTCTCGCCCTCAGCTCTATTTTCAGATGAGTTTCGGGCACCATCCACCTAATAATAATCTGTATTACTATCCCGAGCCATCACGGCACTCGTCTCGGTCTTCTCACTCTCAGCCCCCACGAACAGTATAAAACCAATTCTTGCTCATCTTCAGTTTGCACCCATTCTTTTCAGATATTCCACGGTCTCGTTGTCGGTATCGCCCAGGATTACAGCCAACACTTTCTTGTATATTCCATTGTCTTTCCGGATCTCGTTCGAGTAAGCAATACCGTCGGCGACCTAAACATCGGGCAATGGCTGATGTGAGCGACAGACCGCCTGTCTTTCTTACGCATTTCCACTGAATTCAGACTCACCGTCTTTGTGAACAACTACCAAGGAGAATTCGTTCTCGACAGAAGCAACAGTTCTGGTTATGAAAACCTCGAAACGTTACCCGATCCGAGATACACGAGTGCTAGGTTCTTCCCCCAACGGAACGTTCCTTGGAACGGAGAAGTTCTGGTAAGCACTCCTTGTTTTATTTCGAACCCCCATTAAACATTTTCAGGTAACTGCGCGGTTCGATGTAAAAGCCAACAATGAAACGGGGAAGTTCGAATACGTCAGTTTTGACATTCACTCCGATCATTGGGTTGACGAGTACGATTTGATCAAGGCATCCGGCCATTTCTATGAAGGACGAAGTTTTATTATTGAGGTTGTAGGGAGAAATATCTAGTCGACGTCACTTCATACAATATTTCAGGCCCAAGTATCCCTGGCCGGTTTTATCGTCGTGCATGTGCACGAGGATCCTCAGAAACTGCTTAGCTGCGATGCCGTTAGTGTGTCAAAAATGTCATCTTGCCTAATCCAAACCTTTTCAGCTGCCTAATACCATCATTCCATATGACATCGCTTTTCTGGAAGATTCTGGTCTTATGAAGGTATTTTTCATTGTAGTTCCACTATTTTACCTCGTTTCTTATGAGATTATGACTGGAACCGGATATTGTCCTCTGGAAGCTTCATCGTCGAAAAATGTGGAAGCCGTGAATCAGCATTCAACAAGCTACACGTAAGATTTTGAGAAATACTCGAAATTTTACGTCAATGTGCTTTTCAGTCCTCTACAAACAACATTGAATGAATTTTCTTCCCGCAGCTCATCAGGAATGTTCACAACGAGGTCGAAATCAGGAGTTACTCTCTCCGAATCGGAGCCCGAGCTGCGAAACCTAGCATCCGACGTTAGCGATGTCACATTCACCCGCGCCGGCTCATCAAACTCCAAGCTATCTCGAAACCCAGCTCCAGAAAAACCGCAAGAGACACAAAAAAATACAGGGGGATCGGAATTCTTGGATAACGACATAAATACTACGATGGTACTCAAAACAGTGATTGAGAAAGTATAAAGTATTGAGTTCAGGTGACAATTGGAACACGGAACCATCCGGCAAGAAACTACATAAAGAACGTGGCGGAAGGAGCGATACAGCGGTGTCGTATGGAAAGAGTGCTGAATGACGAGGTGGAGTATCAGAAAGAAGTAGTCAACTATCAGCTGTTACTATTCAGACAAGCGTTGCTCTTTGTGTCGTTGTGCAGAAGTGCGAAGAATGTGCCATTCTGTTCACTCTCAAATCGAACGTTCTGAATGTTCTGGCGATGGATTCGTGCCAAGGGTTTGCTTATTTTCACTTACAATGAAGTCAAATTTATCTTCGTTTAGCCTGACCGGTCCTCTTCAATTAGGCGATGTCGTCTTCTTCGAAATTTCTCCCCGACGGTCTGATACAAAAGACGAATTACTTCCGAAGACCACGTACTCGCATATTGCAGGTAACAAATACATGTTCCCATGTTCCTCTAATAATGTGATTTCAGTAAGGTTGGCACCGTTCACTCCGAAACGCCAGGAAAACATTACGCTCTTCAAAGAGTCTGTGCGAACATTCGGCGGTCTTTTGGAAATGAAAGTTACCATCGAGCTAAATTCTCGTCAGAATGTTAATCAGTTTTATGATGACGATGTGACAGTGAACAAGAGCGACGACGATAGGAAGTACTACTTTTTGACAGCCACAAACGGAGCGCTGGTCTCCATTCCCACGAATCGTCTCATCCACATGCTCAGCGCCAATTTTACGGCCAATTTTAATCTGTACGCGTGGGCTGTGCATCGGAAGTCCGTCGGAAACGTTTCGTTGCACATTGGAGCGAACGGAGAGGCCTATCAACATTACACGGATGGAACCATTCGGCATTTGCCGATTTCGTCGGACCGTTCTTTAATGCATGGTACACGTACTCTCAACATTTTTCACCAAACAATTTTTTTTTTCAGTGAAAAAATAACCGCAGGTCGGACACCGATGCAATCGATTTTTCATAATGCACTTTTTTGTGCTTCTCATTCCTGTTGCTATAAGTCCTATATACGAATCACTAACAAATGAAACATTTCTGTCGTCAGTTAAAAGTATTCTATTCTCGATGTTCACGTCATAAAATATCTTCAACTTTTCCCCTCCTTTTCTTCTCAATTCGGTTTTTAGCATGGCTTCTTCATTGGTTAGAACCGCTTTGCTCGCCTACCGTAATCCGATTAGGTCAGGATTACTGTAGGCGATGCATATTTACTAATGTCCTTCTATTTTCAGGTTTCTGAGAAGAACAATGTCTGAAGTAGACAAGGCCCAACTGGCCGCCATCAACAAGGATGTTCAGGCCAATGATACCATTTTCGGCAAGATCATCCGAAAGGAAATTCCCGCCAAGATTATCTACGAGGACGACGAGGCTCTCGCCTTCCACGACGTTTCTCCGCAAGCTCCCGTCCACTTCCTTGTGATCCCGAAACGTCGCATTAACATGCTCGAGAATGCCGTCGATTCAGATGCCGCACTTATCGGAAAACTGATGATTACTGCTTCCAAAGTAGGATTTGTGCAGTGAAATCTTGCAATTCTGTTCCTATGTTCAGGTGGCGAAGCAGCTCAATCTGGCCGACGGATACCGCGTCGTAGTAAACAACGGAAAAGACGGCGCGCAGTCAGTCTTCCACCTCCATCTTCATATTCTCGGAGGTCGCCAACTCCAGTGGCCACCTGGATAATTCCCGTTCCATCTGTTTTCTGCCACTTGAAAGTTTTCAGCTCCTTATCCATTTCTTCGTTTTTAATGTAAGTTTTTAATGTAATAAAGTGGCATTGCTTTGTGAACCGTTCCGATTTCTCAGCGCAATGAATTCATTTCTAGAAAACAGAATGACAGTGTTCGATAGATTTTTATCAATTCTGACAATTCCTGCGAAAAACTCGAACGGTTCGGACACCAACTCGACAGATCTCTACGAAGAATGGAAAAACGGCGACGGACAGTGTGAGCGAGTCCCGGTCCTTTTCGGGTCACTTTCTCGAATTGCAGATCTTCTTCCGTTACTTCTCGCCCTCACAGTCGTTTTCTGCTGCATTTGCGTCGTTTTGCACGCGTGTATTTGGTAGAGATTCCCTGTGAAACGGACAATATTCCAAGTTTCCGATTGTAGGATTCTCTTCCGTTGTATCCGATCGATGGTGTGCGAGGAGGATGAGGAACTGAGCGGGATCAGACGACAGTCGAGCCATTCGGGCGACTCCTCTTTGGCAATCAAGGCGAAATCGACAGAAAGTGAGAATTTGGTAAGATGAAAATACTGGGTGAAAAGGAATCGGAAAGCTGAGGGTTCAGATGGCTGCGCGAGCAAGCGATCCGAGCAACGGAACTCCGAGGAGCAGAAAGACCGTTGCGCTGAAAGACAGTCTTTCCGTCTGAAAACTGAAAATCCCTTCTGTTCTTTTTGATAAATAAACGATCCCTCCGCGTCATTTTCACATTCTTCGCCGTCAAAACAGGTCGAGAAGGCGTGCTGTTCCAGCCAAGACACACAAACAAAATTACAGCACGTAGCAGTTATAAATGGACGCCAATGAGAGATGTTTCCGGCGAAACATGCGGATCCCATACTTTTCTTTTCTCTTTCTCTTTCCGTTCATTAATTCACAACTCGATTGCTCGAAGGCCCCGACGGCGGCCATGAAGATTGTGTGCAATCAAATTCAGAAGTGGGACCAGAAGGCCCGGGTGCGTCTCGTTCCCTCTTTATTGTTGTAGAGTCCGTTTTCAGTCTACGCCGTCTTTGTCAGCCGACGTCAAGACTCCCGGAATTGCGGGAAAATCGATGGCTGCCGAGTTCTCCCCAATCGCGAGTAACGTCTTCCAATGCATGGACATTGCATGTCTCTGTGTGTTTTTCAGAGGTTTTGTAAATGAGATCACTTTGATCCTTCTCCCAATCATCAGATTCTTCAGGTACCGGCGGCAGTAACTGCGTCGTGCAAGGCCGTCCGTTGGGTAAAGTGGTGAGAAAGGAGTACCGGATGCTTTCGGATGACGAACGGCAGAGACTGCACTCGGCCCTCCGGACACTGAAGCAGAACGGAGAGTACGATCGGCTGGCGAGAGTGCACGCGCAGTACGCAGAGAGCGGGGCCGCCCACTCGGGACCGGCGTTCCTTCCGTGGCACAGAGAATTTGTGAAGAGAATGGAGTTTCTGATTAGGCAGGTAGGGGAGTAATAGAAGACGAAAATTAGTTCGGACTGAGGAGTTCAGGTGGATCCATCCCTTCATTTGCCGTACTGGGACTCGAGTTTGGATCAGAACCTTCCGGACTCGAAGAATTCGATACTGTAGGTACTATATGTTAGCATTTTCTTTATTCTGAATTCAGATGGTCAAATGAGTTTATGGGAGATTCGAATGGGGCTGTCAACAACGGACCATTTAGAAGCTGGAAGACGATTGAGGTTATATTGCAAAGCTAAGAAATTGAAAGAAGTTTTATGGATTACAGAACAAACCAGCAATCACAAGAGCAGTTGGAGCCCAGGGAAAAGGATATTCGGAAGATGAGATCATTGCGATGATGGGTCAAGCTGATATTGCACAAGTTCTTGCGTTCTCCGCCCCACAAAAAGTTGGTTTTATCAGAGAGAACTCGTCACGCTTCTATTATTCAGGGATGCCCCTATCAGCCCAACTTCAATGTGCCCGAGTACACCCACGGAAACCCCCACATCTACGTCGGCGGAGATATGCTCGAGACTTCCACAGCCGCCAACGATCCAATTTTCTGGATGCACCACTCGTTCGTCGATCATCTCTGGGAGTTGTACAGACAGGCCAAACAGACGAGAGCCGCCCGCGAGACCGCCTATCCAGCCGACAATAAACTGTGCAGCAGTGAGCATCACTTCAGAGCAGCGTTCATGCGTCCGTTCACTCCGATGCGAAACGCCGACGGACTGAGTAACATGTACACGGACAACCTGTTCTCATACGCGCCGAGACCTTCCTGTAATGCGGGTCCTGACTGTGGATCGAAGTCAGTCGCTCTTTTCACATCTCTGGGTACACATCAAACTTCTTTAGATATCTGTTCTGTGACAAATCACACGGCGCACCGAAATGTGCTGCTCGAATGAAGCCCGGAGGCAATTGTGCAAGCTTCACGAACGGAGAGCCTGCCTGTCATCAGGGATCTTGTCAGGGCGGGAAGTGCGTTGCCTCTTCTGCTACAGTCACTCCTCCGCCGACAATTCAGCCGACGAAGCCAGTGGTGACTGTGGAGACGGCGTGCTTCAACGAGAATGAGTGTTGTGGTCCGTGGACAGCGAAGGGCGAGTGCCAGAAGAATCCTATCTACATGAATGTTTGGTGCAAGGCATCTTGCAGACAGTGCACTCCCAACTACGATCTGAACAATGGTAAGCTGAGTAAATTACCGTATTTTCCCTCTACGAAAGTGTTCAGAATGTGCTGATCGTCACTCGAACTGTGCCACGTGGTCTCGCTCAGGAGAATGCACCAAGAATCCGTTGTGGATGGCTGAAAATTGCAGAAAGTCGTGTCAGAGATGCGAGCAATCTAGGGCTGCAGTATGCGGTGGAGGCGCTGATAATCTGATTAGCAATCGTAATTAGATTAGAATACTTTGAAAGCTTTGCTTTGGAGTCATTTCAGCGACCACAAGAGCCCCTGGAATAAATTTGAATACCGGGGCCCAGAACAGTCCGTGCGACTCTCCGATGTGCTACAACGAAGATCAGTGCTGCCCAATATGGGCGCAACGAGGACAGTGCCAAGTACGTTCCACCATTCCCTTCCTCTCAATCATTCAACCTTCAGACAAACCCAGGTTACATGTTGTGTCAATGCAAAGTCAGCTGTGGAGTGTGTCGACCGAACTATGTGTACGGCCGTGAGTGAATTCCCGCTAAGCTATATATATCATTTCCATTCGCTCTCTCTTCAGCTTGCGCCGACTATCACCCAGACTGTGTTGCGTGGGCCCAAAGAGGCGAGTGTCCGAAGAACAAATGGATGCCCGAGAACTGCCGACGTTCTTGCAATTCCTGTGTAAATCCGTAAGCAATTCCTTCACTTCAACACACTTCGAATCTATGCTTTTTCAGTCAGCAGCTGGCCGTCAGATGCGCGACACGAATTGCGCGTAGTGCGTTTTTGGAGCTGGTCCGAATGAAATGACACACTTTGTTTTCATGTCTTCGAAATTCTCTTTAAAAATAAAATAATAAAACATTGTAAGATCTTGCCCGCCCACGGTCTCGAGCTGTCTCGCCCATCACATACTTCGCCTGACCGTCCATCAATCACACAAAAGACGCGCCGCTGATGAAGCCGTCGAAAGAGTGTTATGAGGGTTGCGAAGAAGTTGGTCATTCTCGTTTCGACACGGTTTTCTTTTCTCGTCTCTTCTCTCGATTTTGATGTGATTTGAGCTGACGCGCGAGGCATTTATCACACCCAATCATCTGGAAAATGATGAGAATTATGATTTTTTACGTTCTCGCACTCTTTTTCCATTTTATAAAACTGTTCATTTTGTGTGGATGACTCAGCATTCGATCACCGGTTTTCGTTTTTCTCCCTCCAAATATATTCTGGTTCCCACAATTAATTCGTACCTCGTGCCAAACCGTGGCTCCGTTAGTCTTTCTCTCTTTTTCTCCTCTTTCTCCCTCTCAAAACAAACCGTTTGTGTGTAGTTTTTTGTTTTTATTATATTTCGTCCAACTAATGATATCGTTTTTTGTCAGACGACACAAATTATTTCTTGCGATTCTATATTTAGCAGTGTCTGCGAATATCTGCAGATCAGAACGCGAGAAAAAAGAGAAATGAGAAGAGAGACGCAGAGAAAAAAGACCGTCTTCTTGTGAAAGCCATCGAGTGCGAAAGATCCCATTCTCTTACCGACGTCCACTTTTGCAGGTGCAAAAGTTATTCTTCACACCATTCATTCCGCTTCGACCTCTCTTCCAATGCAGGTTAGTGAACTGTCTCGAGTATGTTCCCTCCAATAAAAAAACAAAAAAGAACAAGTCAAAACGTAACCTCTTTCCGAATGCCTTTCCACATTAGAACCAGTTCTTCCATTCCAATTTTTTCAAGATTATCAAGCACGAGTTCTCCCTCCTACACACTCTCTCGCTAATAGCCTGACCGCCGTATTCTAATTACCCAATTTTTTCGTGTTGGACCCAGGAAAAAGGAAATGAAAGTTTGTTGTCGTCAAACAAAATCATTGAAACCGTCGACTTTGACTGACCCATCCCATCCCATTCATTCTGTCACTATCACTTCTAGATTCATTCATTCTCGGGGTTTTTACGAGCCTCTCTCGACAAATATCTGTTCAGTTGGTATCATTGTCCGTCTGCTTGCAGGTAACATGACTGTCGAGGACGAAGGCGTCGACCGGAGGGAAGACGAACAGGCCGGACTGATCGAAGCAAACACGAAGAGAAAGGTGAGTTGTCCCACGAGTTATCGTCTTTCTTCGCTCTTTCTCTTTCGAAGATCGCATTCAAACACTAGTGACCAGTTCAGGTGACAGATGCCCAAACTAGCCAAACACTGTTTAATGACCTCTCGAGTCACTCGCACAGTAAATTATCTTCTTGCCCTGAAAGATCAGATTGTTTCTTTTTTCTCTGACAAAAACGAAAAGAAGACATCGAAATCATCAATTCTGCAGACAGATCAAACTTTTTCCCTGCAGAAAAGATCACTGCCAATCTGGATAGATCGACCGTATCACGTATGGAGGGACAAGTTCCAGCAGGACAAATGCTGTCCGAAACGGATGGTCAAAGCGGAGGTGATCCATCAAATTAAATTCAGAATTTTCAACGAAAATTTCAGCTGATGAGCGCGTCCTACTACCTGCTCCTCCTCAACGGATTTCTCGCTGCCTACATTGTTCTCGGATGTCAGGTCTTCGACCTCCGGTACCTCGGGGTGAACAGAGAGGTAGATTTCCTGGACCGCGCCCTCTTCTGTGTCACCACCATCTCCACAATCGGCTATGGAAACATTGTTCCGTACGACGACAAGGGAAAAGTGATATGCATGCTGTACTGCATCGTCGGAATTCCTCTTTTCTTCATGACTGTCGCCTCGAACACTGTACTCTTCATCGACTTTTGCAACATCATGTACAAGAGTATCAACACGAATGTAAGAAATCGTAAAGCGTGCGTGCGAATACATCCACTTGTTACAGGCCAAACCAAGAACGTCCATTCGGTGGTATGTGTCTGCTCTGTTCCTTGCTCTTCATTGTCTGGTCGGATGCCTGATTTTCTCTCATTGGATTGACGAACTGGATTATTTGGACGCCTTCTACTTCAGTTTCATTTCCATCACAACGATCGGATACGGTGATTACTCCCCATCTCCAGAAGGCCTTCTACAGTATACCGTTGTTCTTCTCTATTTATTCACTGGAGTTGCCATCATGCTCATCTTCTTTTCGAGTCTACAAAGAGGAATCATGTGGATTCATTACTACGGAAGGAAGGTTTCCGATTCGGAAGAGGCTGAAATCTGGTTCGGAGGACAGATGATGACTGTGAAAGATCTCGTGACGATCGTGGCGGAGCGATTCGGAAGCACGCCCGAGAAGCTGAGGGATCTATTGCACGACCTGGACAAGATACTAGAGGTCGCCTGTCAGCAGGCAGAAGATGTCAGCGAGGAGGAGTGTACTCTCATTCAGAGTGCTCCGTCGGAAGTGAAACGGGCGTCTCCGACTCTGCCAGCTCCCCGAAAGAAAACAGTGTTCTTGCATAGTAGTTCTGACGGACCGGATGAGTCTCAGGCCACAATCCACTCGTTCACCAGCACCAATCAGCGATCTATTCCAAAAGACACAGAACTGGTGAGTGACTGGATCATCCTCTGATCATTCTCATCTTTTCCTCACAGGCAATTCTCGCCCTCGGCACCATACAACACCACTTGAGAAAACCGTCTGTGCGTGCGAAAGCGGGTCATCCGAGGACACCGCCCGTTGCTCCGAAAACGATCTCCAAACCCGCATCTGTAAAGAGATCAAAGAACTCTAGCAGAGTCTAAAGTAAACGTTTTGTTTCAGGATACTACAATGGATGCACACTCGACGTCCCTCGATCTACGCAAGAAAGCTCACCGGGTGCACAGCGACAAAAGGCTTCTGCAAGAAATCTAAAGTGCAAATGAGTCAAATGATTCATAGCTTTCTGATTGTTTTTTCTTTGTGCCCTTTTCTGATTTTTGAATTGTCACATTTGGTTCTAGGAGTTCAGAAAAACGTGTAAACTATCTTCTTCACCCCTCTTTTTTTTCTTTTCTCTTTCCCGTTCAACTCGAGGCGTTCGTTCGGAAAGAGTGGTCCCAGAACAAAGATGAATGAGGGGGGCGAAATCCTCGAAAAGAAAGGAAACACACACTTTTACGCACACACACATACTGTGTGCGCAGAAATTGCGCAAATATTACTCGAAGAAAAGAGAGGCCGAAGCGGCGGAAGAGGCGCAGAAGTATCCGAGTGGGCGCCTGAGGAGGCAAAAAAGTCGAGAGATTCGGTGAAACTCTCGCTCTGGTCTCTCATCATTATTACAATGAATACAGAACAGAAAACCTGCAAGAATGTCGGTGGCCAGTCTGAAAATGAACTAGTTGAAAGTTGTCATTCTCTGAAAAGGTGATTTCAGTATGATCGGACGAGATCGAGGGGAACTGGAAGACATGCAAAACAAGGTGTCACTCATCATTTATCATTTTCCTTGGCAATCATCGGAGCTAGTCGACACCGCCATTCTCCAATGTGAGCCTCCAAGAAAATCTTCTGAATATCCAGCTCATCCCTGAGTTTTTCCGCCGAAAAGTTGCGAGTTCCAAGTCTGCTCCAATCTCTGCGTCTACCAAATAATAAAAGGTGCTCAAAAAAGCGCGCCCATTCCGAAAGAAACCCCTCTTTCGCTGCTTCCTCTTCTTCTTTTCAACAAGTTTTACAGTAACCTTTTCGTCTCGCCCTTCCCACCGATCTCTCCGCGAACCTGGATGATAAAGTACTTGGGGCCGATGCGAAAGCTCAATTCGATACAGCATTCGGATTGGAGAGACGGTGGCGCCGCGCACAGTGCATTGTGCAGATATCGGAGAGGTCGGGAGGAGATGCTCGGGGCGGAGGAGTGGCCCCGCCCACGAGTGTGCCGACGCCGCGCGAGCTGTGTGCCAAACTATTATCCATCCCTGCAGAGCACAGTAGTGTGGAGCTGTGTGCAGTGCAGTAGTAGGAAGTCCTTCTCTTTTAGCCACCCGTCAATTAGCCGTATTTTTCACCCAACGTTTCTGAAACAATCCAAGAAAGTATGTCGCTCGAATACGAGAAGGACCCAGGATGGCAATTCCTGAAGAGAAGTCGAGAGCAGCAGCTCACGGTACGTTTCCAACTTTTTGTTCTTTTTTTTTAAACACTTTTCGTTCGTTCTGTAACTTGCCCATTCACAATGATTGGACTAATTTCTGAACTTCTCTTTTACTCAAAGTAAAACAATCCCAGCTGACTAGAACTAAGTTAACCATTTTTCGATGTTCTCGTTTATTTTCCATTTCCATTGTAGGATCAATCCCGTCCGTACGACTCGAAGAAGAACGTGTGGATTCCGGATGCGGAAGACGGATACCTTGAGGGAGAGATCAAGGGTCCCGGACCGAAGGCCGACACCCTCATCGTCACTGCCGGGGGAAAGGACGTGACTCTGAAGAAGGACCTCGTCCAGGAAATGAACCCTCCAAAGTTCGAGAAGACCGAGGACATGTCCAACCTGACTTTCCTCAACGACGCCTCCGTCCTCTACAATCTGCGTGCTCGTTACGCCGCCATGCTCATCTACGTAAGTGAAAAACAGACAAGGCGGTCGGAAAAGAGACTGCTTGTTGAATAGACAAACAGAGTGCGCCCGCCCACGCAAAAAGTGGCAAAACGTTATCATTGAGTGTTGAATCTCGAGTGGATCCACCGCGAGAGACAGTGCGCAACGCCCGCAAAAAAAGAGAACAAGCAGGAAGAGGGAAAGAAGGAAACGGCTGAAATTACAGACATACTCCGGACTCTTCTGTGTCGTCATCAACCCGTACAAGCGTCTTCCGATTTACACCGACTCGGTGGCGCGCATGTTCATGGGCAAGCGTCGTACTGAGATGCCGCCGCATTTGTTCGCCGTCTCTGACCAGGCCTACCGTAACATGCTTCAGGACCACGAGAACCAGTCTATGCTTATTACCGGAGAATCCGGAGCCGGAAAGACTGAGAACACCAAGAAGGTTATCTGCTACTTCGCCACCGTCGGAGCCTCACAGAAGGCGGCTCTAAAGGAGGGAGAGAAGGAGGTCACCCTTGAGGACCAGATTGTCCAGACCAACCCTGTGTTGGAGGCTTTCGGTAAGTGAAAAAGAGCATGAATTGGGATTTGTGATAGTAGATATTATGTCTTGGAAGGAGATGACGGATCATCTTTATTGACCGCTTTCTTGCTTTCTTGCACTTCTCTTGCACATATTTCACAAATTCTAACGTTTCGGCTCAGATGCCATCTTCAGAGGTGTAATCAAAGTAGATATTATCTTACAGGTAATGCCAAGACCGTCCGTAACAACAACTCTTCCCGTTTCGGAAAGTTCATCCGTATCCACTTCAACAAGTACGGAACCCTCGCCTCTTGCGATATCGAGCACTGTGAGTTGAATTATTATTCGGACGGCATCGATCATCGTCGTTTTCAGATCTTCTCGAGAAGTCTCGTGTCATCCGTCAGGCTCCAGGAGAGCGTTGCTACCACATCTTCTACCAAATCTTCTCGGACTTCAAACCAAAACTCCGCGAGGAGCTTCTTCTCAACAAGCCGATTTCGGAGTACTGGTTTGTTGCTCAGGCCGAACTTCTCATTGATGGTGAGCACCTCCTGTGTTCCTGCCGGCTCTTTAATGTTTGCGTATTCAGGACTCAATGATGCTGAGGAGTTCCAACTGACCGACGAGGCGTTCGACATTCTCAAATTCTCGCCCACCGAGAAGATGGATTGCTACAGACTCATGTCTGGTCACATGCACATGGGTAACATGAAGTTCAAGCAACGCCCACGCGAGGAGCAGGCCGAGCCGGACGGTCAAGATGACGCCACGAGGGCTTGTGCCATGTTCGGAGTCGATACCGATCAGTTCCTGAAGGCGTTGGTCTCGCCAAGAGTGAAGGTCGGAACCGAATGGGTCTCCAAGGGACAGAACGTCGAGCAGGTCAACTGGGCCATCGGAGCCATGGCAAAAGGACTCTACGCCCGCGTCTTCAACTGGCTCGTCAAGAAGTGTAACCTGACTCTTGACCAGAAGGGAATCGACCGTGACTACTTCATCGGAGTGCTTGATATTGCCGGATTCGAGATCTTCGACTTCAACTCCTTCGAGCAGCTTTGGATCAACTTTGTGAACGAGAAGCTTCAGCAGTTCTTCAACCACCACATGTTCGTTCTCGAGCAAGAAGAGTACGCCCGCGAGGGTATCCAATGGACTTTCATCGATTTCGGACTCGATCTCCAGGCTTGTATCGAGCTGATTGAGAAGCCGCTCGGAATCATCTCGATGCTCGACGAAGAGTGCATCGTCCCGAAGGCCACTGACCTGACCCTTGCCCAGAAGCTCATAGACCAACATCTCGGCAAGCACCCGAACTTCGAGAAGCCGAAGCCGCCAAAGGGAAAGCAGGGAGAGGCTCACTTCGCCATGCGGCACTACGCCGGAACTGTCCGATATAACGTGCTGAACTGGCTCGAGAAGAACAAGGACCCCCTCAACGACACGGTCGTCACTGTCATGAAAGCGTCGAAGAAGAATGACCTTCTCGTCGAGATCTGGCAAGACTACACCACTCAGGAGGAGGCCGCCGCTGCAGCAAAGACAGGAGGAGGACGCAAGGGAGGAAAGTCCGGATCGTTCATGACCGTCTCCATGATGTACAGAGAGTCGCTCAACAAGCTGATGACTATGCTCCACAAGACTCACCCGCACTTCATCCGTTGCATTATTCCCAACGAGAAGAAGGCTTGCGGAGTCATTGACGCCTCTCTTGTGCTCAACCAACTGACCTGTAACGGAGTGTTGGAAGGAATCAGAATTTGCCGTAAGGGATTCCCGAACAGAACCCTTCACCCAGACTTTGTCCACCGTTACGCCATTCTCGCCGCCAAGGAGGCCAAGTCGTCTGACGACCCGAAGACCTGCGCCGGATCTATCCTTCAGGCGCTTATCAACCAGAAGAAACTGAACGACGAACAGTTCAGAATTGGACACACCAAGGTCTTCTTCAAGGCCGGAGTCGTCGCCCACATTGAAGACTTGAGAGACGAGAAGCTCAACCAGATCATCACTGGATTCCAGTCAGCCCTCAGATGGTACCAAGCTGCCGCTGATGCCGGAGCTAGACGCAAGCAGCTCAACTCCTACATCATCCTTCAGCGCAATATCCGTTCGTGGTGCGTACTCCGTACCTGGGATTGGTTCTTGTTGTTCGGAAAGCTCCGCCCACAACTCAAATGCGGAAAGATGGCCGAGGAGATGGCCAAGATGGCCGAAGAGCAGAAGGTTCTCGAAAGCGAAGCCAAGAAGGCCGAGGCTGCCAGGAAGACCCAGGAAGAGGCTTACACCAAGCTGTCTGCCGAGAGAGCTAAGCTCTTGGAGGCTCTCGAGCTCACCCAGGGAGGATCGGCCGCCATCGAGGAGAAGCTGACTCGCCTGAACAACGCCCGCCAGGAGGTTGAGAAGGGACTCAACGATGCCAATGACCGTCTGTCGGAGCACGAGGAGAAGAACGCCGATCTCGAGAAGCAACGCAGAAAGGCGCAGCAGGAGGTTGAGAACCTTAAGAAGTCGATCGAATCTGTCGATGGAAACCTGAACAAGTCTCTGGAAGAGAAGGCCGCCAAGGAGAACCAGATCAGATCGCTCCAGGACGAGATGAACTCTCAAGACGAGACCATCGGAAAGATCAACAAGGAGAAGAAGCTTCTCGAGGAGAACAACCGCCAACTCGTCGACGATCTTCAGGCTGAGGAGGCCAAGCAGGCCCAGGCCAACCGACTCCGCACCAAGCTCGAGCAGACTTTGGACGAGATGGAAGAGGCCGTCGAGAGAGAGAAGAGAATCAGAGCCGAGACTGAGAAGTCGAAGAGAAAGGTGGAGGGAGAACTCAAGGGAGCTCAGGAATCAATCGATGAGCTCACCGCCATCAAGCTCGAGGCTGACGCTTCCCTCAAGAAGAAGGAGGCTGACATCCACGCCATCGGAGTCAGAATCGAGGACGAACAGGCTCTCGCCAACAGACTGATCCGTCAATCCAAGGAAAACGCCCAGAGAATCATCGAAATCGAGGATGAGCTTGAGCACGAGAGACAATCCCGCTCCAAGGCCGACCGCGCTCGTGCTGAGCTCCAGCGTGAGCTTGATGAGCTCAACGAGAGACTTGACGAACAGAACAAGCAGCTCGAGATCCAACAGGAGAACAACAAGAAGAAGGACTCTGAAATCATAAAATTCCGCAGAGATCTCGACGAGAAGAACATGGCCAACGAAGATCAGATGGCGTTGATCCGCAGAAAGAACAACGACCAAATCGCCGACCTCACCAACACTTTGGATGCTCTACAGAAGTCGAAGGCCAAGATCGAGAAGGAGAAGGGAGTTCTTCAGAAGGAACTCGACGACATCAACGCCCAGGTCGACCAAGAAACCAAGTCTCGCGTTGAGCAGGAGCGTCTTGCCAAGCAATACGAAATCCAGGTCTCTGAACTTCAACAGAAGGTCGACGAGCAGACGAGACAGATCACCGAGTTCACCTCCACGAAGGGAAGACTCTCGAACGACAACTCTGATCTTGCTCGTCAAGTCGAAGAGCTTGAGATACACTTGGCAACCATCAACCGTGCCAAGACCGCCTTCTCTTCCCAACTTGTCGAGGCTAAGAAGGCCGCCGAGGACGAGCTCCACGAGCGTCAGGAGTTCCACGCTGCCTGCAAGAACTTGGAGCACGAACTCGACCAGTGCCACGAGCTTCTTGAGGAACAGATCAACGGAAAAGACGATATCCAACGCCAACTTTCGCGCATCAACTCGGAAATCTCGCAATGGAAGGCTCGTTACGAGGGAGAAGGACTCGTTGGATCCGAGGAGCTTGAGGAGCTCAAGAGAAAGCAGATGAACAGAGTGATGGACCTCCAGGAGGCTCTTTCCGCAGCCCAGAACAAGGTGATCTCTCTGGAGAAGGCCAAGGGCAAGCTGCTCGCCGAGACTGAGGATGCTCGTTCCGACGTTGACCGTCATCTGACCGTGATTGCATCCCTCGAGAAGAAGCAGCGTGCCTTCGACAAGATCGTCGACGACTGGAAGAGAAAGGTCGACGACATCCAGAAGGAGATCGATGCGACCACTCGCGACAGCCGCAACACCTCGACCGAAGTGTTCAAGCTCCGTTCGTCGATGGACAACCTCAGCGAGCAGATCGAGACTTTGAGACGCGAGAACAAAGGATTCTCCCAGGAGATCCGCGACATTAACGAGCAGATCAGTCAAGGAGGACGTTCCTACCAGGACATCCACAAGTTGGTCCGTCGTCTCGAACAAGAAAAGGACGAGCTGCAGCACGCTCTCGATGAGGCCGAAGCTGCCCTCGAGGCCGAAGAAAGCAAGGTGCTCCGTCTCCAGATCGAGGTCCAGCAGATCCGTTCGGAGATAGAGAAGAGAATTCAAGAGAAGGAGGAGGAGTTCGAGAACACCCGCAAGAACCACCAACGCGCCCTAGAATCCATCCAGGCTTCCCTTGAGACCGAGGCTAAGAGCAAGGCCGAACTCGCTAGAGCCAAGAAGAAGCTTGAAACCGACATCAACCAGCTGGAGATTGCTCTTGATCACGCCAACAAGGCCAACGTTGACGCCCAGAAGAACTTGAAGAAGCTGTTCGACCAGGTCAAGGAACTGCAGGGACAAGTGGACGACGAGCAACGCAGACGCGAGGAGATCCGTGAGAACTACCTGGCCGCCGAGAAGAGACTCGCCGTCGCCCTCTCCGAAAGCGAAGACCTCGCTCATCGCATCGACGCCTCCGAGAAGCACAAGAAGCAGCTGGAGATCGAGCAGGCTGAGCTCAAGTCCAACAACACCGAACTCATCGGGAACAACGCCGCGCTTTCTGCCATGAAGAGAAAGGTCGAGAACGAGGTTCAGATCGCCAGAGTGAGTTCACATGACTTCGTTTCTAGTCTGAAAATTGTGATTTGCAGAACGAATTAGACGAGTACTTGAACGAACTGAAGGCTTCGGAAGAGCGTGCCCGCAAGGCCGCCGCCGATGCCGACCGTCTGGCCGAGGAGGTCCGTCAGGAGCAAGAGCATGCCACGCACGTCGACAGACAGCGCAAGGCTCTCGAGCTCAACGCCAAAGAACTGCAGGCTAAGATTGATGACGCTGAACGGGCCATGATCCAATGTGAGTGATCTGAAAGTTCTGGGAGCCAAAAGGAATATCTGTTTCAGTCGGTGCCAAGGCTCTTGCCAAGGTCGAGGATCGTGTCCGCAGCTTAGACGCCGAGTTGCACTCGGAGCAACGAAGACACCAAGAGGCCGTGAAGGGCTTCACGAAGCAGGAGAGACGCGCCCGCGAGCTTCAATTCCAGGTCGAGGAAGACAAGAAGGCGTTCGATAGACTCCAAGAGAACGTCGAGAAGCTGCAGCAGAAGATCCGCGTCCAGAAGAGACAAATCGAAGAGGCAGTGAGTAGCTGAGAACTTTGGAACTTAAATGAGAAATGAGTGTTCAGGAGGAGGTCGCCACCCAGAATCTGTCCAAATTCCGACAGATCCAACTCGCTCTCGAGAATGCCGAAGAGCGTGCCGAGGTCGCCGAAAACTCGCTTGTCCGCATGCGCGGTCAGGTTGTCCGTTCGGCCACCGCCAAGTAATCCCCCAGCCCCTGAACCTTCCCCGATCCCCCCCACCCCCTGACCTTCAATCCCCTCTTCGATTTTCTCGCTCCTCTTCTTCCAGTACGCTGTTGCTGCCACACATTTTCTCATAGTTTTGTAATTTTCCCCCATCCATTCTTCCCTAATGAACGATTCGCACTCCCTCCCGTTTTCTTTTGATTTTGTCCCATTTTCACGACGCTCCACACGTCCGAAAGTCGGGCGATTTCGAGGAGAACGCACGTTTTCTTTCTTTTTTCAATTTAGCGATCGACCCGTCCCCGTAAACTGCCCCAGGCCTTAGAAAGTAATGAACTGAATTGAAATGCAAATCAAAATCCAAACACGGTGTGTCCACTCTCTTTTTCCAAATAAAGTTGTAACTGAGAGAACCAATGAGCTCTTCCCTTCGAATCCCCCCACTTGCTCTGTGTAAATACAATCTCTGATAACTTCTGTTTGCCCTGCACAAATGATGATAAGAGACCAGGATCTGGCAGGATACTTCAGTCTCCGGGGGCCTGGCCTACTTCAAAGTCCAATATTTCTCAAGTAGTACGGTTTCGCGCGGCTCGCTTTCCAGGAATTCTCGATAGTTTGCTAAACGTCACTCCCACGCTAACCACTTTACTGTCGAAAGTGAAACGAAAATGCTAAAGACAATGGATACGATGGGAGACAGAAAAAAAAACAAAGGTTACATAATAATTTTAAAACAGAAAACAAGGAAAAAAACATTTGCGTGCCTAAAGTATTAGTTTTTATTTTACTGTCCGCAATGACCATCGTGGAAGGCCAGCAGATACTTTCTACCAAACAGCTTTCCACATTTGAGGCACTTGAATTTTTCGAGTTCCTGAAAACAAAAGTTATAAATGAAAGTAAGAAGCTGTATTACAATCATGTGATGATCATGTAAAGCTCGGTAATTTTGGAATTTTTTGAAGCAGAAACTACACTGAAACGTGTCTCTCCCGTGGCACTCTTTGCGATGACGGATCAGATCCGAGCGGGTATTGAGCAGTTCTGGGCATTCTACACACTGCAAGGCAGACATGAATTCACTAATTTACGAGTTTGCTACCTCCAGTCTCGTCTGAATATGTGCAGTATTTCTGTTGCTCGACGTTGTCTCATTCTCTTCGTCCATTTCGTCTTTCATCGGTGCTTTTTCGGCAAAAGCGATTCTTCGCAGATAAGCATTGCTCGACGTCGGCTGTCTTTCGTCTGAGTCTTCGAGATAAAGTTGCTCATTGCAGTAGTCCGATTCACACTTCAACCGATGAGAATACAGTATTGTTGCATTTGCAAATTTAGCGTGGCACTTCGGACAATCCAACGTCTTCAGGTCGCGTTCTTTTGTATTCACATTCTTCACGATTCTACTACAATCATGGCGATACAGTGAAGAACGATCCACACAGTTCTTTCCGCATTTATCGCAGTGAAACACCGAATATTCCATGCTCAGATGTCTTCGGAGTGTGCTCAGAGAATTGAATTGCCGTGAGCACAAAACACATGTCAGCATAGCGGCAATTCCATGAACATTCTTTCTGTGGTGAAGAATTTGAGAGATATTCGGGACGGTTACTGGGCACAGCGAGCACTGAAAATGTAATGTTCGTTGATAAATTGAAAGAGACGTGCTGGTAGAGATACCTTGATGTTGAAATTTCTGCTCCACGGAGGAATGGTTTCCGAGTGATAATCTTTTTCACTCGCTTCCGGCTCTATTCCGAACATATCCACGGAGGGTTCTCGATATTCAAAGTCTTCGGACTCTTCATTAGTTGCATTGGAATTATCCACAAGAACGGGCATGTCAGAGTCGTCATCTGGTAAGTCGTTTTTGAGTGTATGGTACAGTGGGTTCTGTCTGGAACTACATGACTTCAAATGATCGTGGAGCGAAATTTGAGTGCTGAACTTCTGATGACAATTCTGACAGAAAGTGGTTTCCTAAAAAAAAAGACCGGTTTGGAAAACAGGAAATATCGAATCTTACTGATTTGCGGAGAACGGTTTGAAGTGGAACTTGTGCGACATTCGCAGGTGAAGGCGGTGGTGAGGCTTGGGGGAAGCACTTTGTCTTGTGCTTCTCAAACCAAATGACTGAATTGTACACTCTTCGGCAGAGCTCACAAGTGAAATACTGAAAAGAGATGGTTGTTGCGGTCTGCTTTTTTGTGATTACTTCTTCCTGCATATTCGTATTTGTCCCGGAGCACTTCTCTATGTGTTTTTCAAGCCAGTGATAGTGAGTGTACCGCTTTCCGCACCGATTGCAAGTGTGAAACTGCTTGTCGTCTTCTTCAGCAGGATCCTCCGGTTCTGTCGCCACTTCCGTCGACATTCTCTTCCTGGGTTCTTGCTGCTTTTTCGGTGTTACAGTGTCCGAAATGACTTCCTTGCACCGATGTGTGTCAATATGATATTTACTGGAGAATGATATGCGGCAGGCATCACAACGGTACACATTGTATTCCTGACTCAGATGCAGGAAGATGTGCGTTCTTTTCTGGAATCGTTTGTCGCAGAAACCACACGTCAGCATAGTCGTTTGAGAGTGAACTTGCAGACGATGATCCAGAAGATCTCGGAGAGTTGTGAACTTCATCTGACATATTGAACACTGAAAAAAGTGATAAAATACGTCTTTACAATTAAATTGTACTGATTACCGCGCAATCAACGAAAGGATCTCCTCCCCGTTTTCCCCAGTAACTGGCGGACGGCTTCGAAGTTTTTCGGAGTTTTACTTCTAGAGTTTCCGCCATATCAGCTTTTGGATCTTCTAGAGCATCCGCCTCTTGATTGCTTTGATTCTTCATGTCATACCCGTTCAATTCGTTCAGACGTTTGAGGAGATTTGTCTGCAATGGTTCATCTAGCCCTGGAAGAGTTTTTAGCGTTACATCTGGATAGCGGTCGTCCACTGGAGGACGATTCCACGTATAGTTACCATCGGGATAGTTGTAACGTATTCCAGTCGCATTTTCAGTCAAAACGTAAAAGTGCTGCAAAAGCATAAAAGTGAAAGTTGATGAATGTAATCGTCTCAACCTCATCTGGTACTTCAACTTTTGGTTCTTTCAACTCCGTGCTTCTGCTGCTTGACGTGGAAACGGCGTTTTCGACTGCAGATGAAGTGGTTGGAATTTTTTCAGTCTAAAATGAAAAAGCTGTCTTGTTTCCACTGTGACCATCGATACCTGCAACGTTTCTCGATTGTTAAGTTCATCCAGAACTGCTTTGATATGCTTCAAATATAGTTCATCGCTCATTTCCGAGTAGAAACTTCCAATGTCCATTGGTTTATTATCATCCGAAGCTGGTTTGGTTTTTATCTGCAATTCGAATTTTTTCATATAGAACTAAAGCACTTCTGAAAACCTGTGAATCAGCGTACTCGCGCGATAACTTGCAGTCAATTTTGTGATTTACTTCCTGAACAGTCCGAGAAGTACCGTTTGATGCTTCCATTTCTGCTGATAATTAGTGTAAATACTGGGAACGAAACGATCCCGAACAAACAAATTTCTTAAGAGAGGTTACGGCCAACTCTACACTGTATTAAAGGCACATGCGTGGTCGCGGTGGCACGGGTCCCGGAACGATTACCCTTTCGAGCTTGAAAAATTCAGAGAAAATCCTAATATCTCAGGAAAAAATAGTTTCTAAAGTTGCCAAATTTGCAAAAGCAATAAGAATTTCGAATGTTACAAAAAATCTCAAAAGTTACAAGAAGTTTGGCTTATCTTTCAACAAGTTTCGCTCATCTCGCAGTTCCATGAGTGTTCGTTCAGATTGGCGTGTGGCCTTTTGTAACTTTCGAAACGCATTTGCCTGATATCTTGAAGAAACAAATTCTAGAGTTGGTGTTTGGGTCAAATCATACGTCTCACAAAATGTGAGGAGATCAGACCCTAGTCGAGTAGAAGAAGTGTGAGGCGATGCTGTCCAGTCAACTCCGTGAATATTGAAATCACCGGTTATGATAATGCTCATGGCAGGGTCAATTAGAGAGGACACTGTTTTAATAAGCCTTGCTGATTTCTCCGAGCAGCAGGATGGGGCACGGTAAGCATTGATTATTCTAATTGGGTCTATAGAAATGTCCATGTCAATTACAAGGATCTCGTACGAATTTTTGACGGTTTCGGAAAGGATGACTTGAGCTTTAAGGTTCGCCTTTAGGATCGCACAAACGCCGCCGCCGCGTTTAGAAACTCTGTCACATCTAAAAAGTTCATAATCTAATCCGTGCGTTAGAAAGTTACTATGCATACTGTCATTGAACCACGTTTTCTGGAAGAGGAGAATGTCGTAACTATTTGATTCTAATAAAAATCTGGCTTCGGTTCTGTTAGCAATGAGTGACCTCGAATTGGAAGAAAGGAAAGTGAGCTGAAGATTCGGGGGGTAGTTGAATTGAATGGGTGAACCGGGTTGTGTTATGCTAGGAAGAGGAGAAGAATTCGAATTGAGGGGAGAAATCGGGTCCTTAATTTTGTTGTGAGCTATGTGGGACAGAGTTGGGGGCTTACTTACGGAGTGGGGGGAAGAACTCTGTCCCTGTGGTCGTTTCCCATGTCCATTGGCTCAATATTTTGGAGGGGAGAGGACGGGATGAGAGGAGGAATGGACGGGGACTTAATACGTGAACTATGATGAGGGTGAGATGGAATGCGTGGAGAACGATCAAGAAGTTCACTTTTGCGGCGGAGGTCACGCTGCTCCTTTGTCAGACTGGGACGGAGGAAGACGGGCGGGAAGGATCCGGTAGGGAACGATCGAAGGAGGTTGGTTCGCGAGAGGACTTGTTTTTGAAAATCCGTGCATGGCAGGACGACCTTGATAAGGCGCGGGCGGAAGCGACTGACCTTCCCGAGTCTGTAGATTGTGGTGGGCGGGGTCCCGATGTTCATGTGGGCGAGCATTTTGGAGACACACGAGAAGTCCCAATGCCATGCGTCTCGATTCGAAGGGCCCATGAATTCCGGGACGTTTGCCAGGACGATGGAACGACGGCGCTCGACTTCGTAGGCCGAGAGTGGAGGTGGGCCCGGGGTCGTTGGTGATGAGGGGCCAGAGGTGCGGAGCTCGAACGTGGACAGCTGGGATTGCACTTGGATTATCCGCGAGTTACACTCACTGATCAATTTCTCGAGAGCCAAAATCTTTTTCCGGTGCTCTTCTAGCTCCTCTTGCACACTCATGAATTCCGCTCTGACCGCTTCCCTTATCATTGATCCGATGATGTTTTTGAACCGAGACGACTCAATCAGCGCGAACATGTCGTCCTCGATTGAGTTCTTCGGTGCTTCTTCTGGATGCTTCCGCTTTTTTTCCGGACGTTTCGACGTAGACGAATTTGGCATTCCGCGTGGAACAATTTCGTGTTTTCGATAGTGAAACAGAAATGAGGAATGTTCGTTCGTTCAGATTGGCGCGTGGCCTTTTGTAACCTTCGAAACGCATTTGCCTGGTATCTTGAAGAAACAAATTCTAGAGTTGGTGTTCATAATTTGAGAAAGTATTGCTCACAAAAACAAATATTCATTAAAAGCACTCGACATTTATTCACAGAATTACTCTATACGAGTATCAGAGCACACAATAAAATTTCGCACAGTAATTAATTTTTGTTGTTTGTCGCTGCCAACTCGCACGATTCGTTGAATCTCGAAACGGCTTGTCTCCACGCCGACACGTCGAATTTCTCTTCCCAAACATCGGAGAACGAACGAATCACTTCATTCCAGTCAGGGAGAGTTGCACACGAACTGATGTTCAGGAATTTGTTGGTCACATCGAGGATGGTTTCGCGAAGAGTGTTGCGTCTGGAAAAAGCTTGATGAGTTTATGAAACACTGCAACTGACGAACCTCTTGATGTCCACATTGAGCGAGTATTCTCCGACGGTACTTCCCATCAGCTTCGCGTATTTTCCAGTGACAAGCACAGCCATGGTGGCGGCGAATCCGAAGTAATCGGCTTGATAGGTCCACGGGCGTCCATCGATCATTTCGGGCGAATCGAATCCTTCTGTTCCAGCTCTTCCTTTGAAGGTTTTGCCAGTCAATGGGCGCATATCAATGGCACGACCCCAGTCGATGAGTTTGAAGACGAACGTGTCCGAGCTCAGCAGCGCATCCTTGCTCCAGTTTGCGTCGATTCTGAATAGAATTATTGCTCGCCACCACTTTTTCTAATTCACTAACTTTCTAGTTATGATAAAGTTGTCCGGCTTGATGTCTCCATGGATGATGTTGCATCCGTGAACATCCTGCAGAATGCGAGCCATCTGAGTGATGAGGAAGCACGTGATATGCCAATTTGGATCCTTCATGTGGTTGGCGTACTCCAAAAGCGTTCCGTACTCGTGGTACTCGTTGACGAGAAGAGATGCCGTCGAGAAAACGTACGCATCCATGACCTGCATGATGCACCCGTCGGCCATCTTCTCCTTTCCGTCTTTCAGCAGCCGGTTCCGCATCTGATCGCAGATGTACACCTCCCAGGAGCACGAAGGCACTTCGTACTTCACTGCGATCGTCTTTCCTTCTTCGTTCAGCGCACGGTACACTTTCGCATAGCCTCCCTGTCCGATAAGCGACTGGATTTGGAAGCGCTCTCCTCCGGCTTCAAAATCTCGGTTAGCTTGAATTTTTGGAGATCTCGACTGAAAACGTAATTACTGGAAATGAACAGAGCAAATGTGGCTTACTGGAAACTCGTGCATGTTCGTCGGCGGGCGAACGAGCGACATCAGCTTCTTGCGGATCTCTTCGTCCCACGGATTCATCTCGCCCCTCATCACTTCGCTGCGCCGTCTGTTCCTAATTCCGGTCGTTTCCGCCTCGTCTTCGATGGCCTTCTGAATCTCTTCGGCGCCCAGAGACAAGCGCCTTTCCAGGTTCTCTGAGAGAGCCTCTATCGACGAGTTGTTCTTCTGGAATGTCGGCTGCGCTTGTTGAACTGGCTTCGATGGCGGTGGAGCTGCGAGAGTATTCGCGGGGGCAGCCGACTTGCGACGCATCTGAAAATGAGAATCGAACGAATCTCAATTCGTTGGATACCAGGCGATGGAAAGTACTGCTGGAAGGAGCCACAAAGGTCGGAGCATTCTGTTGCTCCGCCGCCTCTTCGTCTTTGTTTCCGAAGTACTCTTCAACGTCTACATATGGAATTCCGACTGCCGGCGTAGAGGTTACGATACTTCCACGCAGTGGTTTGGCGAATCCTCCGAAGAAGTCGTCGTCCACTGGAACTTCACGGCGATTATTATGAAAACATGCTACATCAGAACTTACATTCATCGAGGTTGTTGAACGATGGTGGAGTGGTGATCGACTTCGAGGGAAGAACGTCTTCATGTTGCGGACGTTTCACTTCTTCGTCACCTGCCAGCTCATCGTACACGACGTTTAGGCCATTTGACGGCTTTTTCAAACGATCGTTTGTCGCGTGCATTGTCGGATCCGGATCACAAAGAACAGAAAAGTCCGTGGTAGCGTTTGACAATTGAGTGGGAGCCAGAGACTTCGTCGGTTCTGATTCTATAATCACTGAGTCGTCTTCTACCATCATCGTCTTTTCGTAGCCCAAATGAACCGTATCAGAGAACATGGCATGAGCCTCCAAACACTTGTTCTCGGCCATCAGCTCCAGACCGGCTCCGCTCTTTGCAGTCCGAGAAGAGAGGGTGGAAAACTGCGACGAAGTGCTCAGAGTGCGTTCCGGACGACTGTTCTCCTTCTTGCCAGACGCCATCAGCAGCAGTTTCTCATTGTCCGCCTCCGACGCCCACGGCTCGCTGTCCTTCTCGAATGTCGTGTCGTTTGCAGTAATCTTGGTATCTGAGGAGAGCGTGATAGTTGGAGGGTTGTTTTCCTTGAGCATCGAATCCCGGAGAGGCGGTCTGACAGCGTCCTTCGTTGGCACTTGCGGAGAAAAGATTCTGCTTCTCTTCTCGTCCTCATGCTCCTCCGCGGTCTTTTCGCTGAGCGTGGATAACTGACGTCTTCGCGGATTCGAGTTCATTCTGGAGTCGACAGCTTCGCGGGTCTTCAAGTCAGTTTCGTTGCACTTGTAGGTCGGCATTACAATTCCCGAGTCCCTCCTCTTGTCGACGTCTTCTCCGAAATCATCTCTCCACTTGGCGTAACGGAACTCTTCGATCGAGATACCGTCACGGTCCGGAGTGTCTATGAACTCGGAGCGTAAGTTCGTGATGGCTGAAACGTTAATTTGTACAAAAAAATTTTTTTTAACCAACTTCGTGGTCCAAATGCATTCTTTCCTGTGTTATTGATTGGGGCGACTTGGCGAAGATGACACACCGAAGAACGTCTTTTCGCTGGAATTTTAAGTTTGGGACATCAAAGATCTGATCATGACCATTCTACCTTTCTTAGCCACGCCATTGTTGTACAAGCGAGTATCGAACATGCTGAGCGTGTCGTCCGGATTTATGAACAAATGGTTTACTCTGTCGCTAAAATAATCATCGGCGATATCACGGAAGCCAGATTCCAGACTGGTCAAATCCATTCTGTCACTGAGGCGTTTTCGTGCTAAATTCAGAACAGTCTCGAATTGATCTGCTAGGTTCTTTTTGGCGCACTCTTCAGCCCACTGAAGGTGAAACTTGAGCGAATTCACGAAGTCGCCTTTCTTTTCGAGCTCTTTGTAAATGCCGATTCCTCCGAGAGTCGTACTGACACGACACATTATCTTATAGAGACGGAGCATTGCCTCGTTTTTGCGGGCCTCCGAGAACTTGGGCTTGCTCATCATTTCCCTGATGCACGCCACTAGACCGGACTTCACCACCTCATTTGGAAGCATTTTGGAAACCACTTCCATCTGACTGTAAACCAATTGTTTAATTTCATGGCATAAATTTGATTGCACTTACGATGCAAAGCATTCTAGCGCGGCGGGCGTCGGATTTTTGCTGAACTCCTTGAATGCCTCGTCGAATTGAGACATTCTGAAATTGAACGGACTGTATTTTATTTTGAGTGAGCAGACAAAAGTATATATTTTAACAAATATTTGTAACGAAAATCGCGAGAAAAATTTATCTGAATTCAAAAACAATTGAGAAAACCTCTCCGGCCGCTGAATTAGATTCGAATAACGTATTTTCGCGGGTTTTTATGTCTGTGCAGTGAAGCGCGCTTGCATTGTCCCCGGCTAACCAGCTCCTGTTGGTATTTGGTTTTGTCATTTTCAGGTTTTTTTTATCTATTTTGATGTAAAAATGGTGCAAATTTAAATAATATAACCTACATCATTTTATGGTGTAAACGGTCCTCTTCGGTGTAGCCTCAACAAATTGAAAAATGAGAAATTGTGACCGTTTATTTCTGGGGCAGAATGTTCAAACACATGCGTGTCCCAATTAGTAATCTTAAGCAACTCACAATTAGTTTTCGTTATTCGAAATGCTCAAAACAGTCATCTTCTTGGGTCTGTGTGTTTCTGCAACTGTTGGAACGAGATTTCTGTTCGGAGTCGAGCTGAGATGTCCGCTGGACAGTGTGTTCGAGTTCAAGATTGAACACAAAGAGGCGGACGACGGATGCCGCCTCTTTTGGTGTGACTACGACGATATGATCACGTCGAAAATGACGCTGACCGCTTGGAAAAAGCTATTTTTCTACCAAGACGGCAGCCAAGACGGGGACAAAGGCTTTGGCATGTACGATCCATATGCTCTTATCCATCACAACTGTTCCAGTGACGGAAAGATCCTTGTTTATCGGCATAACTTAAAACGAATTCCGCAAAGCATCGGGTTAGTCTAGGCAGGGTTACGCTTAGTAACAGAAAATCATGCAGGCTTGTGTTCATGGACTATGCCATAAACCTACTCGACAAATCGGGCTACGGCTCTGAAGAATGAACTTGAAATCATTTTCAATAAATCCCTGAACATAAACGCTTTATCGTTTTTTGCAATCCATTACCGTCTCATGTGAAATGTTTTCAGATGAACGAGTTCCGAAAGATTGTCTTACCCAAAAAGACGGAGGCAAAATCTGGTTACAGTTGGGCAACTCACTTGCGCAATTTCGAGAATGGAAGAGAGAATTTCATTCCGGTGGATGCATTCAACAAAAACCTTCCCTTCAGTTTCAATGATGCTCTGAAAGAAGGCGTCGTCGTTAGTTTATTCGATGTCGACCTTTTTCAGTAGTTAATATATTTTCAGTTTGAAATAGCAATCCACGACTACGACAAAGTCTCTGAGAATGTGGAAGTGCGGTGGTTCGCGAGAGTGGACAAAGTGTGCGGCTACAGGGTTCTCGCGCAGTTCCTCGGCTGCGACACTAAATTCTGGATCAATTTCCTCTCCGAGGAAGTGTACAGTCTGGCCCAGTGAGCTTTTTTTTCAGAAATTTGTATAAATGTTAACTTTTTTCAAGTGCGGCTCGGGTTCTTTCGACTACCATCAAACACGTTTACTCCCCGCCACTGTCTGTGAGCATTGAATACGCGCAAGATATGAAGAACTTTGTTGCTGTGAGTTCTTTATAATTCCCTCACTTTTATCTACATAATTTTTTGTCAGAATTGTATAGAAGGAGAAATGGTTGGACAAACCGCTCTGAGCCCGAGTTTCGACATAAACAAGGCGACTTTGCAAAGTCCAAAGTTCCGCGTCGGCCAACGCATCGAACTGCTAAACTACACACTGTCGACGGAAATCCGCGTGGCGCGAATTCAAAAGATTTGCGGTCGTCGGCTCAATGTGCTCGTCTGCAAGAGAGACTACGGCAAAATGTACCCGAACAGTACGGACGATCGCCAACTTCAAAGTTCCAAAGAGGCTCAGTATTGGATCGATGAAGCCAGCTTCTTCATCTTTCCTGTTGGATTTGCTGCCGTCAATGGATACAACCTGTTTGCAAACGCGGATTATAAAGAGCACACTCGGAAAATAGCCGAATGCATCGCGAACAACAGACCCCCAGTCTACGATAGAGATGACGTCACATTCGATGATCTGCGGAAGGAGCCACTTGATCCAGAACTGTGGAGTCGAGTGAAAGTCGGACAAAAGTTTGAGCTGATTGACCCGCTAGCTCAAAGCTTCAAAAACATGCATGTTGCTTCTATTCTCAAATTTTGCAAAACTGATGGATACATGATAGTTGGTATGGACGGTCCGGACGCCCTTGAAGAAAGCTTCCCCATTCACGTGAACAACATGTTCATGTTCCCAGTTGGGTATGCCGAGAAGAATAACGTTAAATTAGAAGCTCCCGAGGGATTCAAAGGGATATTCAAATGGAACAAATATCTTCGAGATGAAGGCGCCGAAAGTATGCCGATTGAGTTGTTCAATCCTATGCCGTCTACCGAGAGACTCAACAAATTCCAGGTAATTGACCGCTTGAAACCTTTTTCATTTTCGATTTTCAGGTTGGAATGCGACTGGAAGCCGCTGACATGTGTGAGAATCATTTCATTTGTCCAGCAACTATCAGTTCTATGCATGGCAGGGTCATTAATGTCAATTTCGATGGCTGGGACTCGGAATTCGACGAAATGTACGACGTTGAGTGAGTCATTTCCTCGAGACGATCTTTCCCATTTCATTGAAACTTTTTCAGCTCTCATGACATTTTCCCCATCGGCTGGTGCGAATTACACAATTACACGCTTCAGTATCCGCGAAGAAGCTGATCATACTCGTAACATCGTTTTCATAAATCTGTTCCATGTTTTGGGATCACCGATCTCGTTATATTTTTCACGTAATTACTATCGATTTGATTATGATTTTTAAAACAATGAATTGTTCCTTGTCGATTTCTGTTCGTTTGTCTTGTTTACTCACCGGTCTTCTCACCCGCTCTTATCTATTTCAACTAGTAAAAAGTGGCATTCATTTCATGCGTTTGTTATTCAGCTGTGATGGCTGCCGAGGACAAGTTTGAATCGGTTCTTTCGACGCGCTACTGCAAGAACAGTCCGCTCGTGAAGATCCTTTCGGAGACGAACAAAGCGACCCTCTGGAGACAACTGTGGATCTGGCTTGCCGAATCGGAAAAGGAGCTGGGGCTGAAACAAGTCACTCAAGAAGCGATTGACGAAATGAAAGCCCAAAGGGACCACTTTGATTGGCCGTTCATCCGAGCCGAAGAGCGCAAGTTGAAGCACGACGTGATGGCTCACAATCACGCGTTCGGGAAGATCTGCCCAACGGCTGCCGGGATCATTCATCTCGGAGCCACATCGTGTTTCGTTCAGGACAACGCCGACCTGATCGCCTATCGCGAATCCATCGATCACATTCTCAAACGGTTCGCCACCGTCATCGACCGTCTCGCCGTGTTCTCTCTGAACAACAAGGAAGTCGTGACGGTCGGACGAACTCATTACCAAACGGCTTCTCTCGTTACCGTCGGAAAAAGAGGAGTTCTGTGGGCTCAGGAGCTTTTAATGGCGTTCCAGTCACTGGCCGAGTTCCGTGATAAGATGAGATTCCGTGGGATCAAAGGCGCCACCGGAACGCAAGATTCGTTCCTCACTCTGTTCGCGGGAGATGAGAGCAAAGTGGAAGACTTGGACGAGTTGGTGACCAAGAAGACCGGATTCGCCCGACGCTTCCTCATCTCAGGACAGACATACTCCAGACAACAGGACTCGCAGCTAGTCTTCTCGCTCTCCTTGCTCGGAGCAGCCGCCAAGAAAGTCTGCACGGACATTCGCATTCTGCAGGCGTTTGGAGAACTGCTCGAGCCGTTCGAGAAGGACCAAATCGGATCGTCTGCGATGCCGTACAAAAAGAATCCGATGAAAAGTGAAAGATGCTGCTCACTGGCCAGAAAACTCATCAATGCTCCTCAAGAGGCGCTCACAATCCTTGCTGATCAAGGACTTGAACGGACACTCGATGACTCGGCTGGAAGAAGAATTCTGATTCCGGACGTTCTTCTCACTTCTGAGGCTCTTCTCACTACTCTTCAGGTGCGTCCTTTCAGTTAAAAGACCCCTTCACTTTCTCTGTTGCAGAACATCTTCGAAGGGCTCACTGTCCAAACTGACAATGTCAAGAAGATCGTGGACGACGAGATAGCATTCCTCGGACTCGAGAAGGCAATGATGATGCTGACCGAAGAAGGCGTTGATAGACAACAGGCGCACGCTGTAATCCGGAAGACTGCCCTCGACGCGAAGCAATTGCAAGCCACTCAGAAGGTCGACATCCGTCAGACATTGGCCGATCCGTTCTTTGACTCGGTAACTTATATTTCCCTTATCTTTTCTCAGTCACTTCTTTTTCAGGTTCGCGAACGTATCGTCGGACTCGTCAACAATCCGATCAACTTCACCGGTCGATGCGTTTCCCAAACGGAGAACTTTATTGCAAAAGAGCTGAAGCCGGCCATCTCCAAGTATTTGGATCAGTCTGCCGGGAACGTTCACCTCGATGTCTGAATTAGTCGACTCTTTATTCTTTCTACTTTCCGGTTTTGTAGCAAAGTAGTTGTGATTTTCATCCCTTGTTGATTCAAATTTGAATAAACGTTGGTTGCCTCCTTCCCCGTTCGCCCCGTTTTGTCACGTAGCTTATCGTTCTGCGAATACTTCTTTCCCTCTTGTCGTCCCATCTTATTACCACCTATTTTAGGCATAATGATTCCCGTAAAAGATGCTCTGTATCAGTCGTGCTACTGCGAAGAGAACGTGTACAAACTGATCGAGCGGGTCGGCAAATGCGAAGGACTCTACGCGATTTTTATTTCGAATGACTGTCAGATGGTCCCGCTGTGGATGCAGAAATCGGCAGATGATCCATTGTGAGAAAGCGTTTCGAGTTCAATTAATCTGAATCTTTTGCGTTTCTTCAGAGGCTTTGTAGTGTGGGACTACCACGTAATTGCGATACAAAAGGAGAAAAAAGGCTCAAAAGTGTACGATTTGGATTCGAGATTAGACTGGGGAGTGAGCTTCGAAACGTATTGGAAAGAAACAATGCGCTGGAACGACACCTATTCATCACGTTTCAGAAGGTTCGGCCGAACGAATCCGGTTGTCATGATATAAAAACAATTTTCAGAAAATTCCGTGTAATATCCAGTCCGGCCTACCTCACTCTCCTTTCCTCCGACCGTTCTCACATGAAAAGTCCTGACGGAAATTTTCTGAAACCGCCTCCAGAGTGGCCTGTGATTAACCCACAACTGCCGTCGAATCTCATGCAACTCATCAAGTTTTCGGAACATTTCGATGACACTCAAGTGATGAACGAACACGAAATCTTCGGCTTCTTTTCCACGTAAGCACTCGTTCCCTTCTCCCGTGGTCAGTCAAGTGCTCGAATGAGATCTACCAAACATTTATTATCAAAAGTAATCGGAAATATGATTATTAGTATAAATTATTATTGCATGAATTCAAATTTAAATATCACTGTCCCATTCGCTCCCATGGATCGAAGTCGGCACCTTGATTACGCTGGGAAGCGCTGCTCCTGAATAATTTCAGTTAAAGTTGAGTTCCCATTCCCTCCAACTCACCCCACACTGTACAGTTTCCTCGGCTGCAATCTTACGGATACCGGGCTCCCAAAAGCTCTCGCTCTCGGCTTGTCAACTCGAGCGGTTCCGTCGAAGGAAATCACGCGTGGAGGGATGGCGCCCATGTGTTTTTTCGAACCACTTCTTCCGATCTTGGGCGTCGGCTGGAACTTTCGAATGCTACTTCGGCACTAACAATTATATTATTTACCTTCTGAACATTTTCGTTCTTTATCAAATCATCAAGAAGCATGTCCAGTTCAGCTTGCTCTGGAACGGTCAGCTGGCTCGGTTTTGTTTTTTGCAACGCTTTCTTTGGTTCGCTGATTTTCTGAAATTACGCTTGTTTCAACTGGAAATGTAACAGAAAAGGTACTCTTTCGAAGATAACGGGCGGCTCGGTTGGAATGGGGGCGGCAGTGGTTGTAGTGGTTGTTGTTGTAGTTGGTGGTCTAGTTGGGGCGCGCTCTTCTTCGGAATTGTATCTTTCGAATGAAGAAGGAGCTTTCTGAACCGATTTAGTAGTCATCTGGAGATGTTCCATTGACTCACATGTGGTTTCGGAATGTTCTCCACAGTCATTTCGACCTCAGCAACGGAACCTTGAGGTTCCTGGAACACTTGACCGATCGGCTTGATTCGGTTCAAGTAGATCACTCCAGAATCCGGTAGATCCCTTACTTTTCCCCTCATAAACTGCTGATTGGGGTACATACTTGACGGGTGAAGCTCTGGGTGTGTGGGGAACATGTAGAGCATTGGCTCAGCGAGCACTGCTATAGGTGCCACAAGTAGGAATAAAGGGAGAAACGTCATTCGGACTGATGGCTAATGGGAATCAGAGAGACTAGCGAGGCGTGGGAGCGGTGAACGAAAACGATCCGAGCGATAAACGAGAATCCAATCGGCTTGCCCGCCCTTCGTCTCGGCTTATCAGCGTCTCAGTCTCTCCAATCACGCACTTTTTCTCCTTGTTCCTTATGATGATCTCTCGGCTAACGACAAGCTTTTTCGGTGATTTTTCTCGATTTCGTCAGATCAGGATAGTCGGTGGCATCTATTTATTTCGTACATGCAATCGGGGACGATAAATGGGCAATAGAGATAAAGGGTGAGGCCGTTTAGCAGACGCAGAAGCCGTAGTTGCACGGAAGTCCGAAGCACTTCTCGACATTGTCCTCGGCGCCGTTGCACTTGGCCACGTTGCAGAAAGAAGTGAGCGCTTCGGTGAGGGTGAAGTTGTGCTGGGTGTAGGCAGCGAAGCAGTCGCAAGTGGCCGTCAAACTGTTGCAGGCGCCGACGAATCCTCCGCAAGCGCTGTCCTCCTGACACCTAGAAACAGAGTCAATCTGAGATGTTTTTTGCGCGTCTGAATACTCACGGCCATCCGTAGACACACGAGTTGCAGTTGCAAGTTCCAGCAAGGGCTCCAATGCACTTTCCGCTTCCACATCCCGAATCACCGTAGCAGACAGACGAGGCGACACATGTGGCTGGGGCCGTTGTCTGGCTTTCCGACCCGTTGAGGGAAACACGGGCGCTGTCAAGAACGATTTGCGAGTTGGCGAGAACAACATTTGAGAGGATTCCGAGGTTCTGGGCGTTCGAAGCGAGGCCAGTCATCTGTAAGACAAATTTGCATTTTCTCTATCCTGGTCCTCATAGTCAGAGTGATACCTCAGTGATGACAAAGTTGGCCTGATGGATCAGCTTCTGCGACTCGGCTTGAACTTGTTGCGCGTACGTGTTGAGAGTCTCGAGTTGCTGAAGAGTGAGCGAATCGACCGGCACTTCAATGCCCGATCCTTCTCCCGATCCTTCTCCCGATCCTTCTCCGGATCCTTGACCCGATCCTTCTCCGGATCCTTCGCTCGAACCGTCTCCGGACTCTTCTCCACTGGTTTCGTTGAGAAGCGCATCGGAGTTGTCGATCGGGGACGTGTCGCGTTTCGAACGGATTGGGTCAATATGCGGGTGAGCGACGACTGCTGAATACTACTGTCTCGTGAGGGAAAGGAATGACGTGGACTAACCGCCGAGAATGAGGAGGAGAGCGATGATCGACGACGGGTGCATCTTCAATCGAGAATGACGGAGAAAGGAGCTGGAGGCATCGACCAATAGTGAAAACAAAACAAGAGGAAAGAGTTTGCGCGCGTAGGTCAAATCACAAATAGGGTTACTGTAGTTATCATAGAATGCAAGTCTGACAGCGTGTTTTCCAGACTGTGTATTTTACTGTTCAAAGTTGAAACCAGCATATGATCATTTATCCGAAAACCGTAAGATCAACCTTTTATATTCAGCTTGATAACCTGATAAGACTTTTTCTTGTTCCCAGTCATATATGTTCCGAAATCAGTTTCTCTCATCTTCTTCACAATCAACGCTTTCTTGCCTTTATTATACGTCGTTGCTCCAGATGCCACTTTCTTCTTCGTCTGAAAAAATTGTCCACTCGATTTCACTCGCTTCCATTTTTTTCTCACTCACTTTCACATTCTCCCAGTAGCCACACTTGGCCTTGTTCTTCTTATTGCACACCCGGTAAATGTGCTCTTCTAAATTCGAATCGACATTTTGAACTGACCTTCTGTAGGTGGCTCCGGCCGGAAGAGGAATTGAGGCATTCTCGCCGAGCTGAAGGTCATTAGTAAAGACGATAAGGCAGACTGATCCCAGCTGACCTTCACCAGAATTATGCTTGACTGACCGAAACTTAGTGCAAAGTGAACGGCGAAGAGCACGAGAATCGTGACTCCTATTCTGTTCATCTTTGTGTAATAAAAAGAGTATGCCGATCACAAACTATCGAAAAACTAAACCAGATTTGTGTTCTCCGTAGGATTACCCATCGATCTTTTATTGGCTGACCTGCCACTTGTCCAAATCTCCCTCCCAATAGATTAAATTTCAAACATCGAAAGAATTACAGTGAAGCTCACAAAGAACCATTTGATTACATCGACCCGAACAGCACACTAACACTCGAATTGATCGCAAGACTAGACAGGCGGAGGATCTCGAATGCCGTCTTCGATGAGGTTTTCTGAATGCCGAGAACCAATCCATTATACCTGATTGCAGACATTAGATGATGACGATGACGAAATGGAAGATCAGGGAGATCTTCGAGAAGAAATGACCGACGTCTTGCAGAACCTGGAGCTGAAGTCCGACGCCCGAACGGAAAGTGAAGCACGGAGGCCGAGTACTGCCGCCCCGATAGCAAGCAGAACCGATGAGTTTCAGAGTGATCACAGATCACAAAAGAAGAAAAGGTCAGGAGCAAAAATGGACAGAAGAGATAACCGAAAACAATAACATTATTTATTTGAAAACCACACATGCGGTCTCGTTTCCTGTATTTCCGGTTTTGTTTATTTTACTATTTTTGTAAATTCCAAATTCTACCTACATATAAAGTGTCTAACATTCAATGTGAATGCTTCGCTCTTATTACGCACCGTTCGTAAACTGAGTTGTAATGTACCAGAGAAAAAAGTGGAAGTGACAAGGATGTTATCAAGTTCAGTGTAGCATTCGGAAGCCCATTTAAGCGGCGAAACGAACGCATCATCAGTCAGTGTTCCTCCTCACGATGACGGGCACTACGAACGTTCTGAAGGCGTGCACTGTCTTCTCTGCCGTCTCCATTCTCGTTTCGCTCCTTTTCACCACTTTCATGTACACCGATCTTCATGAATTCCACGGAGAAGTCGCCGCGGAACTTCATGGATTCAAGGTAGGAGCCGAGGGACCAAAATGCGTTCAGTTTAGAGTTCTTTTTAGGATATTTATAATGATGCGTGGCTTCTGATCACGAAATCCTCATCCAACAAGTTCCTCTCGTCTTCCGACGTGGAGAGGATCTTCAAGAGAAGTTCGGACAAGTGCAACTGCGGCGAGAAAGCGGCAAACTGTCCACGTGGACCGCCGGGACCACCGGGAGAGCCAGGAGATGATGGAAGCAACGGAGAGCAAGGACCGGACGGACGGGATGGGCACACTCCTTCGGATGAGTACGGAGCCGCACAAGGAAACGAGATATCTTGCCCAGCTGGACCGCCCGGAGAACCGGGACCAGATGGAATTCCAGGAGAACCAGGAAGAGATGGACAACAAGGAACGGACGGACAACCTGGAAACGAGGGACCGGTTGGACCGAGAGGACCGCCTGGAAACAAGGGAAGAGACGGAAATCCAGGGAGAGATGGAAACCCGGGAAGACCGGGAAGAGACGGAACTCGTGGAGTCGGACAGCCAGGTCAACAGGGACAACCCGGACAGCGAGGACCTGCAGGACCACGTGGACAGCCAGGGAACAACGGAAGACCGGGAGAGAACGGGGACCAGGGACCGGCTGGACAGCCCGGAAACGACGGAGAGCAAGGGTCGGACGGAGTGGTCGGAATGTGAGTCGACGGAGGGAAATAGAAATACACACACACACGATTGATGAGGGCACATTCGAGACATCGTAGATTCCTGTTTGAATGGGATAAGAGGGCACATAAAGGTGGCCGGGGGTCTCCCGCCTTTTCATCATTCCACGCGCTTCTCAATTGTTCTTCTTGCAGCCCCGGAGAGCCGGGTCTTCCTGGATCCGATGCCGCCTATTGTCAGTGTCCGGAGAGATCGTCGGCAGTCGAAAAGACCTCCTCGGGCTACAAAGTGCGTCGTCGTCTGGTCACTCACGCCAACTGAACTCGTATCTTTCTTTCAAAATGAATTCTTTCTCTTTGTGTGCTTGTTGCATGTTTATTGGGTCCAGATGCGGCCGCAGAGTGTGCAATCCGAATGGCAACGAAAAGTTATTCGCCCTTTCAACTGTCCGTTTCCTAATGACTTTCGCTTCCAGTCCGGTGTGACAGTACAAAAAACACTCGCCCGTTCTCTCGTTTGCAGATCGTAAACCCTCCTGAAAGCTTCCATCGAATTGGTCTTTTCCAGTTCCTTCTTCTTCTTCTTCTTCTTTTTTTCCCATAGATACTGTTTATTTCGTTCCTTTCTCCTCCAGCTGTCAATGTTTCCGCCTTGTTTCCTAATCTAATTTCAGTGCGTTTCGTAGTCGTTCTAATCTAATTTCACTGCTTTTTCGCACCGAGCCATTACGATAATTGGTCCGCGAATATTTGCAAATTTCACTTACTATCAGTACCCATATTCTTGCCTAACTAAAAATTATTATATCCATAAATTAGCATGATATTCCAACAGAAAGCACTCTGAAACTCTACTTCCGTTTGATAAGAGCCCTGTTTTTATAAGTAAACACTCCTGAAAGGTAGTCAGAACCATTGGCCGAGTACAGTCTATTCGGAGCTCCGCCCTCACTCCTTCCCGAATGTTTCTTCTGTGACCGAGAGACATCATAATGTTTTGTAGCAGCTGTCAAAGTATTGGGTGTCAATGCTTCTGCTGGGCGGGCGCGAATCATCGGATGATGGATGGGGACCTATACGTGCACTCTCTGGGCACCGTCGCTATTTGACACATTGAATCGAAAACTGATTTTAAAAAAACATCTTTCGGGTCCTGCTTATATTTTTTTTACCTTTGAACAATTTCCATTTTTTTTCCATCAAATTCTGTTTCACAATTTCTGCTTGTTTCTCTCCTCTTGCATATATTTCCTCTTCTTCTTCCAACTCATTCTTCCCAAAATCATAAACATTCGGAACTCGACCCTTTGTTTATGTGGGGCGATCGAAGACTTCTCCGGGGCAACCTCAATTCACCCATTTTCCTTTCAGATGCGATTGAGGGTGATCGGAGGGTTTCCGAGTCTTCTCATCTATGTTTCCGTCATTCTTTTCTTGTACTTCTTCGTTTTCAAAGCATTTTTTCCAAAGTTTCGAAGGAAACATAATAGTTTAATGATGGAGCCGGACCTTCTAGATAGTTTGGACATTGACTGCGAGGTCAGATTGAAGCTGAAGCTCACATCTATGCGTGTTATTTCAGGCGTTGGCGAATGGATCTCGGAACAGTTCGTTGAAACTTGATCTCAGAACCATCGAAGATCGGTTATTGTACTCTACAAACAGATGCGAAACTTTGAAAACACTGTTTCGTTTCAATGAATATCCGTTATCAGACGAAGAAGCGGTCTATCCCCTCGCCTACGGAATGCTCGTTTACAAAGAGCTCTCTCAAGTGAGCTCCTAGATTCATGCCTTCTCCAGAATTCCTCTTTGTTCCAGGTTCTTTTCCTGCTCTCATCAATCTACCACCCTCAGAACGAGTACTGCATCGCCGTGGGCGAGAATTCGGCCGCTCTTTTTCAGAACCTTCTGCGTGAACTTTCTGGTTGCTATCCGAATATTCACTTCATGAAACGACCGCCAATCAGTTGGGGAAGCCACGAAATAATCAACTCGGCCTACGGTTGTCTCGAGTTTCTGAGTCATTTAAAAAGCAACTGGAGGTACTTCCAATATCTGTCCGGAGTGGATGCTCCGCTCAAAACGAATCTGGAGATGGTCAGAATCATGAAGGCTCTGCGCGGATCTGCCAACGTTGAAATCAAAGAGTATCAGGAAGGTCGACTACGTGGCAAAAACGTACGACAATCACGAGCACTTATAAATTCAGCAAAGAGCACAGTGTTTCAGATCACCAGCTCCCCGCTCCCCCTGTTTAAATCTTCGTTATCAGCACTGATACCACGGGAAGCAGCCGATCAAATGGTCTTTATATTAAGGCGGTAGGAACAAAATGACGGAATTGTTTGCAGGCATCCTCCCTCGTCCCTAGGGAACTTCTCGAGTTTCTGGAGAACACTGGCATCGCGGACGAAGGATTCTGGGGAACTCTTTTCGGAAACAAGGACAAGTTCAACATTTCTGGATCTGTGAACGGCCGAGAGTGGATCGAATTGAGGCAGAATCAGAAGGAGTTGAACTTGACGGCACAGGGCAACGGGATGAAATATTACATGTCAAGGGATCAGATTTGGTGGAAAGACCAGTGTTCGAATTATATGGCCGCCGGTTCGTGTGTCTTCGGATGGGGAGACCTCAAGAGACTTCTGAGTTCGAAGGCTCTCGTCGGCCATAAATTCTATCTCACATCCCAACCAGAGGCGTATTTCTGTATTCTCAAAGTGAGTAATCTCCAAGATTAGCTTCCAATAAACTGTATTCCAGAAGATCAGAGATCGGAGCGATGATCCGAAGGACCAGCTGGACGTCTCCTTCTACACGGAACTGCCACAGGTCGAGCTGTTGCGCGGAATGAACCTATCTCAACTGACCCATCCCAGTTGGCTTCTCTGATCTTTTTCTCCTGATCCAACGGGTCCAAGTCAATTAATCCGGTTAGACTTTGCGGTCTCGCTGGTCGTTTCTACCTCTTTCTCGCTCTCAAGGTGTTTTCTACTGTGTCAAATAAATACAAGCGTGCGATTTGACCGTTCTTTCCGGTCTTGCAAATATTATCTGATTGTGAGTTCGAAGACTGATTCCGTCACAAATTGATATAATATCTACCCGTGTTGGTCTGGCTTTGCGAAAGGTTCATCGACAAGAAAAATAGATGAGAGAGAAAGGCCAAACTATTTATAGTATACGATTGACTTCAAACGTCGGAAGACGCAGACAATCAGAGAGAAAACAAGGACGACAGACGTCATTGGAAGTGTTTGCAGACCGATTGGAAACCTTTTGGTATGTAGTGGTGATAATGTTTTTTTCCTGGCTAAATATAGATGGATTTGAGTTGCAGACTCTTACTGCTGCGTCAAGACAGAATCAATGAATGAATCCATTTTCAAAGAAGTCTTCTTCTTCTTCTTCTTCTTTTTAGTTCTTATCGTTGTCTTAACAACGTTTTTATACTTTTACCAGCGAAACCAGTTTCCCAAAAACAAAGACCAAAAAACGGAACTGAACAAAACCGATAAAGAATGATAGAGAGAAAGAGATGAACTTTTCATTTTTGTTCAATATAAAGCAGTCGATTGTATCAAAAGAAAAGAACTTGAGTTGGAAGACTTAAAGCAATTAAATGGGATCAAATGTACAAAAAGGGAACAGAGTTGACGTTGATTTACATGTAGGCGTGGGCGAATGCCAAATCCAGTTTCGACGGCTTCTCGTCGAGCACTTTCTGCGATATCTTCTGAGCTTCGAGGTCCACACAGATCGGAATCCATTCCACGTGGAACGGAGTACGCACTTGTAGATCGTACGAATGGGAGAGGTTGAACAGGCAGAGCACGGGATAGGAGAGCACGAGCAGCGAGACGGCGGTGAGCACGAAAGCGAAGAGGACGGGCTCAGAATAGAAGAAGTAGGTGAGTGCGGTCGAGACGGATATGCTGAGCAGGTAGAAGAATCCGATGGAGGCACGGAGGAACGAGCCGGAGACGAGCATCGCTGGGTTCAGAGTAGTTTGAGTCAGGTACCAACATACACATTTTCGATCCTTTTATTTATACTGCAAAACGTGGGGGCGGAGAGACAGGGAGGGAGCGAGAGACGCAGAGAACAGGTTGGATCTGTCGCGGACAGCCCGCAATTCTGCCTCGACGTCTTCTCCGGTGTCTTCGGGCGATCAGATGGAGAGAGAGAGATGAGGGTTACTGCGTCTCTCGGCAAAAGAGAAAAAGAAAGAGGCGATGGTATCAGAATAAGAGAGTGAGACGACACGTGAACAAGTACGAGGGGCCAACATCGGACTTATTGTTGAGTGGGGGGCCACGGGAGGAGGACACTTTGGCGACTGAAATGGGAAGAATCAGAGAGGAAATTCGAGGAACTAGTTATTTCATAAAAAAACTGAAAACTGATGTTGTCCTTTCAAAGAACGGCCTCTTCCCCTGCTTTCCCGTTGGTTCCTCTCGCTAATTTCCAAGTCTCCACACTAAATGAGCTTGACAGTGATGTCGGGCAAACGGCTCTGACCCTTCCCTAACACATTCCACCGCTTTCCATGGCTCTCCTATGTTTCCTTGTTCTACTCTTTTCGCTCCAGTCTGATTGCTACAAAATTGGTAGGCACCATGATCTGCATGGTCTCAGTTCCATTTCAGCTGTTCCCGCAAACCTAGTCGACGAAGTGGTTCCAGTTTTGGAGCTTGTGGATTTCCGATTCCAAGTGATTCCCTATGAAACGAAACCATTGTGGAGAATCAAACAAGAGAGTATCTAAATGTGATGTCTGATGGCCTCATGAACATTGTATTTTCAGTCTGTAACTGTCTGACTCTCGGCACTTCTGCAATTATTCTCCCCGAACAATATGAAGGTCATCAGGCCGCAGCAGCCATTGTTCAGGTCTCCCCGATTCCAAACACACTTCCGAACTCTTCCGGATCTTTCAGAGCATTGCCGACGATACGAATGTCCCCTGCGTGAGCCTCCATCTCTCCCCTCCGACTCGTCCCTCCACCCACCTCCACCCTCATCTCAATGCCAAATCACTCGCCGTCGCCGCTTTTATCAAGCGTGAAAAGTGGAAGGATGTCGTCGTGGTGTTCGAGGAGGCGGACGAGCTGCTTGAAGTGACCGACATGATCACGGCGGGACACTTCGACCCGGACTCGTTCTCTTCGCAACTGGTCAGATTGAAGCATGGAGAAGACTATGGAAACGAGTTGAAACACATAAAAAATAAGTTGGGTGAGATCAACATCAGACTTTCACGGACGGTTTCAAAACGGAAATATTTGTGCAGATCGCTACCGTATCGTCATAAACATTCCGTTGCGAAGAGCACTTCAGTTTCTGGAGCAGGCCGCCAACATGTCCATGTGCGGGGTCCTTTATCACTACGTTGTAATGGACATGGACTTGGTCACAGTGGACATTGACAACCTTCGGGGGATCGAAGATTGTAACATAACCTCATTCGGAGTGCACGATGTCAATTCGGAAAACATTGAAGACGCCCGTCTCGAAATCTCTCACAAATCTTCGATCAAACTGCCAAAGAAAGGAGTTCCCGTTCGTTGTTTTCCTGTTCTTTCGTACTTTTTCTTTTCAGTACACCACTTCGATCTGGATCGATACGCTCCGTCTTCTCGTCCGATCCATCAAATCCATAAATATATGGGAGGAGCCTAGATGTGGAGTGAGCTGGAAAGCCGGCGGAGATATAAAAAAGAAATTCTTCGAGAGCCCGTTAGCCGGAATATCCGGAGACTTGCACTGGGCGCCTTCGGGAGAAAGATCGAATTACACGTTGCATGTGTACAGAAGGAAGCTCAGTGAGCACGAGGAAGATGGTCAGAAAACAAAATGTTTCGTTTCAGCATTCCAAAAGTTCGCGGAATGGAACAGTAGCACTCGGAGAATAGCGTCTTCCGAAGCGGTCGTCGTTGCCAATTCTAGTGAGAAACTGACTTTGGAAGGGAAACATCTGAAGATATCCGTCTATTTGGAGGCTCCGTTCGTGATGATGACTGCGAACGGATCCTACGAGGGTTACTGTATCGACCTTCTTCATGTAAACACGCGAACTTTACATTCCACGTCATATGAAATATTCAGAAGATTGCAAGCATCCTAAAGTTCACGTACACTATTCAAAAAGTGAGGGACAATGCGTACGGTTCTAAAGAGTCAAATGGGAAATGGAGTGGGATGGTGGGCGAATTGCAGAGAGGAGTAGGCCAAATCAAATTATCAGACTTAAAAAATGGGGGTTCAGGATGCCGATTTGGCGGTTGCATCACTGACAATCAGCTATGGGAGAAGCGAAGTGATCGACTTCACCGTACCTTATATGCACCTGGGCATATCCATTTTGTTCAAAGTAAGGCATACTGAAAATAGGATTATTCATGCGAAATGCTCTTAGAAACCTCGAATAACTGATTCGGACTGGTTCAAGTTCATGGATCCACTGAGCACTCAAGTGTGGATTATGACATTCGCCAGCTACTTCGTCGTATCCGTTGCCATTTGGATAATTGCCAAGTCAGCCTAAAAAAGCCTAGAAGGTTGAAAATTCAATCAATAATTTCAGAATCAGTCCCTACGAACAGTTCGAAAGGGACGAAGACAGCGGCCAGTACAAACCAGTCGACAATCAGTTTTCGCTCAGAAACTCGTTCTGGTTCACAGTGTGTTCCCTCATGCAACAGGTCCCTATTCTATTGTTCGTCCGCCAGAATCTCTGATTTCAGGGAAGCGAGCTGTGTCCTCGCGCAGCCTCCACCCGGCTGCTCACTGCCATCTGGTGGTTCTTCGCTCTCATTCTCATTTCCTCCTATACTGCCAATCTGGCCGCTGTGTTGACGACCAGAAGGATGGAGACGCCGATTGAGAATGCGGACGATCTGGCCACACAGACTAAGATCAAGTACGGAACACTCGGAAGAGGATCCACCATGTCGTTCTTCAATGAATCTAAGATTGAGACTTACGAAAGGATGTGGCAGTTGATGAGCAGCTCGCCCGGTCTCTTTGTGCATTCGTCAAAGGAGGGAATCGCCAGAGTCAAGGTCTAGTACTTTTATTACAAGACTTTTGAGCCTGACAGTTTTGAAGAGCTCGGACTACGCCTATCTGATGGAATCCTCAATGCTAGAATATGCAGTAGAAAGGGACTGCGAGTTGATGCAAATCGGAGGGCTCATCGACCAGAAGGGATACGGTATCGGACTGCCGAAAGGATCTCCCTACAGAGAACTGATATCCACTGCGATTCTCAGATTACAAGAAAAGACAGAGCTCACAGAACTGAAAGAGAAGTGGTGGAAGGTGCAGTGAAAACTAGAATGCGAATGGAAAAATGTCTGGTTTAGGACAAAAGTGTCGTTTGTGATCAGCCGAAACGGAAAGATCAAGACGACGGAGAGTCAATTGGAGGAATATTCATTATTTTAGTTGGACGCTATGTCTCATGGCTTCTTAGATTATTCTTACAGGTTGTTGGCCTTGTTCTGACTGCAGTGCTCGTCATATTCGAGCTCATAACCACTAGGAAACCGTCACCAGCTCAATCCCAAGTTATTCGCCACGTAAACGTCATTCCAACATTCAAATTCGAGTTCTTCAAGTAAATGCATTGTTTATTCGGTTCGGCTCAATAATACAGACTTTGTATAAAGGGAGTTGTGCACGAATACTTTGTCTCTTATTCAATTATAGTTTGGCAAGCTGCGGGTGTCGGGGGAGAAAAGCGGCCGCGTTGTTTGGCTGCAGACGGAAGGGAGAAGCAGGCTTCTATGCGAATGGGATAGAAGGAAGTTTGAACCGGGGGAAGGCTGACTAAGTACAGAAAAAGGAGGAAAAGGGAATGAGTATCGGGACGAAAACGGTGAATGCATGGGGAAGAAACTCGGTAGGATGGGGATGACTAGAAGGGAGGAGGGAAACGAGGAACGAACGAGATTTACTGGAACAGGAGGTGTTCGATTGGAACGACACCGTTGTTGATCTGAGAGTGGGAAGTGGCCAGACGGACACAACGGGCAAGGCCTCCGCGGGTCGACAGCACACGCACTTTTTCTCCGTCCGAAAGGGAGAAATTGGCGAGTGTGAACGAGCCCATCACGGAAGCCATGCGGATCCGAGTGTAAGTGGACGGAGAGCGGGGTGTGGAGACAGTCGAAGTGATGCTCATGCGACTGAAAACAGAAAATGCACGTGGAATTCTGGAGGTTCTGCATGCTCACCTGGTGGACAATGGAATCCTCGAAGGTCTCGGAAGGTTCACTGCAAGTCTTGCCGGAACTGACGAGCTTTTCGGGACACGGGAATCGGAGGCGATGCGCGACGCTCCTCCCCATTGCTGCATTGACTTCGTGTAGTGCGGCTGCATGCTAGAGTCGCTGCGAGCTTCGATCACTGAATTGGAATAATTTACACTTATCTAGCGCCAAATTTAAACCTGGCAACAAAGAAAGGCTGTCGACCATTCTCCACAGCAAGGTTCTGTACTCGGCGCTCGCTGAAACCAGGAACGAATTGTCCGTGTACAACTGCTTGAGGACCTTCTCCTTGAGCACGATGTAGCAGAGCCAGCAGTCGAGTGAGTTCTCTCTGCAATCAAACAACGGTCTTTTCTTTTATCAGATGCTTGCTTACCTGATAAGCTCCTCGAAGAAGATTTCCACTTTCACATAATCACTTTTCGAACACTCATCCAACTGCTTCACAATCGAATGCACATCTTTCGTGGCGGGGCCCTTCGAAGTGACAGTCCGAATCATCGTCCACGGGGAGACACCCTCTTCCAGTCCGTCTTCGATCAGACATCTCATCGCACTGAAACAATCCCTCATCACTATCAGATTCCCTCATTCCCATCCTCACATGATGAGCATGTCGGACCCCTCTCCTCTGGAAATGGCTGCGACTCCTTCGACCACTTTCTCCACGAGTGTCCGCTTCGCCGCGTAAATCGGCAATCCGACAATCGAGAGCTCTTGCGCGCGCAGTTGATGGCGGGTCGTCGAGCTGAAATGAGATGAATTGAGGGTGAGTGCGCAGAGAAAGATTGATGGGGTCGTCGTGGGCAAATGGGCTTACGTTGTGGGAGCGAATGAGAAATTAGTGTCCGTGGGATTCGCCGCGCAGTCGCAAAGCACCGTCTTTGTTTGCGCAGTTTGGGCCCAGATTGGAGGATGTATTCTGGAATGAAACATTGAGATTCTTTCCGAATAGTTATGCTCTCCGCAAGTTTAAGCTATATTCTTTAGAGCTCACTGTCAGAAAATAAAAGTTGTATTATTTAGTGAGAGACACTTTGAAGACGCCACTAAGTGAATAGTTTACGAGTGGTCATGAATGTTATCCATGCGGTGTCAATTAGAAACGGAGCAACTGCTTTCGATCATAAAATCGTACCTCCTCCGAACGCGATAGCATGTCCGGCAAGCTTCGTTCGCAGAAGCTGAAATGCCAGTGATACGACGGTCGATGCAGTTTGACACGGCGGTCGATGAAGTCGTCGCAGGAGCACACTTCGAAGAGCTCGAGACGAGCAACTGAGCATTGCTTTTGAAGAATGAGCACGCTTCTGCTACGTGTCTGAAAAAGGAAAACCTTTTTTTTATCCATTGGATTCTGCGTTTTTTCTTTTCGGCGAAAAGAGAAGTTCGCGCGCTCGTCAACCTCCTTTCCTCGATAATATCGACCGGGTTAGCGGGGCGAATTCGAAAACCTGCGTCTCTCTTTTTGAATAATGTATGAGGAGGGTGAGGAGAGCGCGAAATAATCTCAAGATTAAGCCGGAAAAAGAAGAGGAAGAAGGAGAAGAAGAGGGAAGAATGGATGGATGGGACAAAGGCAAACGACTCACTTGGGCAGAAGAACGGAAAGGGATTGCCAGTCTTCGATGTGACTCGGACCGCTGCAGCCGAGTCCCGAATCAGGAGAATCTTCCTGCAAAGCACACTTTGTATGAATGAACATTCATTGGGAAAATGTTACTTGGAAGAAGAGTGGGAAGTCGGCGGTTGAAGTGATCGAAGGAAGCGCTTCCTTCTGTGTTTTGACAATGGCATCGCGGAACGAAGCAGTGAATGACTCGCAAAGAGACGGCATCTGAACAATCAAACATTCTGAAGAGAACACACCGATCAATACGACCGAATGCTGCTTTGATAAGTGACTGCGGCAGCGGCGATGACACAAAAAAGAAACCGATAAAAAGTTCGGCCGAATGGATTATGTCAGATGAATGTTTCTTTTCCGAACCTGCGGGATATCGCGCTTCTTCACAAGCCAATGCGACTGTTATTGTTCCAGAAAATACCCGCAAACATTTTTCGTGTCTATTTACATCTACCTTCATCGCAGTCTACACATCTGTTCTCTCGCACCAACCGACACAATCTACCCGTTCCTTTTTTGGTACACTTTCTCACGATCGCCCAGAACTGACCTCATGATGCATTGCCAAAAAGTCCAGCTTCGGCGCGTTTTCCTTCTCTTTTTCATCGCCGTTCTTTTCCAGAATATCAGCAAATGTCCTTTTCTGCTTGCCTCCGGATGAACACCTTCTGGCCGAATCTCTCTTCCAGCGATCTTTCCGAATCACTTCCAATTCCTCTTTCGCTTCTCTGATCTCATTGTCGTTAACATCCACGAATCGGGTGGCATCTCCAGATACAAAGTTGGCAATAAGTGAATTGGGACGGTTGGGGGAACGGGCACTATCGCTCTTCTTCGTATTCCACACATCCGGAGCACTGGCAGTCCGTTCGTCCAGAGGTTCGGATGTTCGGATGCGGCCCCAAGTCGTCAGATTGTCATTGATTCCGGATTGCCAATGCCCGGAATCCGCGAATGCTAATTGAAAATCTTCTTTCTTCACCTGACACCTCTCTCGGAACTGTTGAGAATCGAGAGAATCCGTTGACACCGAGGGATCAATGCTCTCGAAGAGCATCGAATCCTCGCCGCAGAAGTTGAGCGCTGCGATGCGGGCGTCGATGTCATCGGGCCACTGGTCCTCTTCAGGCATCATGTGCAATTCGCACAGTTCCACCATTGTGGTGGACGAGGAAGGGAACTTCTGTTTTCAGATGAGGAGGAGTGCGCGTGGGGAACGAATATGGGACGGAAGGGAGAGAAAGAAAGGAAGGGGCGCTCGCGCCGGGCCGCCGTCGTTGTCGATCGATGAATCTGCGTCTTTTCCCCAGCGAGGGGCGAGAGAGGGACGAGAGAGAGACGTCAGCTGGCTGCTTGTGTCTCGCCGTCGTCGGAAGTCTGCGTCTCGCACTCCGACCGTCTATTCGTTGATTGTTTCGCGACGCGGGTGGCTGCCTGGGTCTATCTGCAAACGGGACACTCTCGAGAGTCGTATGTGTGTGAGTGGTGGCGGGAAGAAGCGGCAAAAGACGGGCGACAAAATGTACTTGTGCATGAACGATTGGCTCGCATTCAGACTCGTATTACTGTGGGCGAAGAGAGCTCGCGGCAACTTGATACGAGCGAGAGTCCCAATAATGAAAGAGACGGGGGAAAGGAAAACAAAAACAAAAACTTTTCGGAAAGCGTGTCCTTAGAAGACGGCGTGCTATGCATCACATTCCGGCACTTTCACAACTCCCCTGTGACGTGGAACCCATTCTAGAAGTTTCGAAATCAACAAAGCTCGCTCGCTTGCCGGGAAGGACACTTGGGACTACTTGACACGACTGATAGATAAAGAATTTGGAAATGTTTGCAAAAGAGTTTGCGACGTGGCAATGAGATGAGAAAGAGGGAGCGAGAGAAAGAGAGAGAGAGAGAGAGAGAGAGAGAGAGAGAGAGAGAGAGAGAGAGAGAGAGAGAGTGCATGAAGAGTATATATGATGGATTGAAGGCAATTAGGAACGAAGCGAAATAAACAGAACAATTTCAATTATGGAAAAAGAAAAAGGATGGAGATGCCAAGTGGAAGGCCCGGAGGGCACGGGAAGGGAAAGCATAGAAGAGGGGGAGGAAGAAGAAGAAGAAGAAGGAGAAGCGGATGACGTCAAGAGCCCATTCAAATGCGGGAGGATGGAGTATCTGGAGATGAACATGAAGGAGACCCGTGCTAGGGCGCCCGTCCATCTTTCAGATGTTTACTCTAACGGTTGCCTCTTGTTTTCAGACGTATGAGCCTCTCTCAGAAAAGGCCGATCACCGGCAATAAGTTCAAATTACTGGTGGATAACCTAACCACATGTGTCATCTGCTCCCCTCTCTCTTTCTCTTTCTCCGACGCCGAAATACTCATCCCGAAGATCTCTGTTCAGATAAAATCGGTGTAATAATCAGTTGCGTACACCTGAGGAGTGGATACATTATGTTTCGAGGGCACCGATTGGCGGCACGGGCTATCAATTATCCGACCGAAAGTTGGGGCCGTCGTCGTTGATCTGAAGGGACACGTTTCGCTGAGTAATTGCCCGTCACACGCATGTTCGTTTTTTTTTTTGCAATGATCGGAGAATCGGTTGGATATGTGAAAGGGGAAACAGTGCGCGGGGCGAGGAGGCGCAGAGGTAAGGAATGGAATCAGTGTCATTGTGACACGTCGGAATCGCTTTGTGTACCGATCGAGTTACGCTTCAGAGGAGCAGAACATGCTCGGGCAACTTGGTCTTTTTGACAGGTGACGGTCCCACGAGATCGAGGTGAAAGAGTGAAGATTTATTTCGAAAGAAATCACGAAAAGAGCAAGCTAGAAACAGCAATACGATCAACATTCGCACAGAGTTTTGAGGACGTCGTCGGTGAGATCTCAGGAAGACGGACATCTTCAAAACTCTCAACGACATCATGGCTTTTCGACGGCCCACATAGGCAAACGTCGAAAAGAAAGGGAGAGAGAAAGAGAGAAAACGAATGGGGGAAGAAAGAGTGACAACCGTACAGGGTTAGTTCAATTGTTTTCATTTTTTCAGTGTTTATTTTGTTTTTGGTGGACGGTCAGTAAGTTAGAATACACATGTACGTGGGGGGGGGAATGAGATGGCGAAAAAGTGAATAAGAAAACGAGAAAAACGGGAAGAAATCGTCGAGAAAAACAACGGAATACAGGGCATTTCTAGCTCTTTCCGTTGCCCAATTGCACCCGACAGCAGATGAATCCGTTGTCGTTGCCCGTGTAGAGACACGCCGAATTGTCGGGGCACGACTGAGGAGTTCCTGCGCGCGCGTACCTGCAAGTGAATTATTCAGACACGTGTCCGGTCCTTTCGCGTCACTTACGGGTTGCATGTCCTGTAGTTTCCAGCCAACTCGACTGGCACCAGATTGGCTGGCTGTGGCGGACACACATTCGGCAATCGGACGTCCGACTCGAGACCGCAGCAGATGTATCTCTCCAGGTTGGTCGAGAACTGGCAGTGTCTGTTAGCTCCGCAGCCTTGGATGGCGTCGTTGAGCGGAGCCGATGGGGAACAGTACTTGTACTGAGCACCGCTCTCTCCTGGGACTGGCACGAGTTGAGGTGGGCAGTCTGGAAGGCATCAGTTGGAAGAAAGACTTTGTGATCAGAGAGACTTACATCCAGTGTCCACGCTGTCTGGAGATCTGCAGCAGTAAAAGGCGTTGACGGAAGTGGTAGTGGTGGAGAACCAGCAGAAGAAGTTGCCGGGACAAGCACCGTCCACATTCGGAGTGCACTGCATTGGCTGAAGCGAGAGAGCCGAGATGAATGGAGTAGAAGCGGCAGGGCAAAGAGCTGGAATCGGATGGTCACGTTATCAGAACAGGTTGATTTGACTCACATTGAAGTTCGGTAGAAGCTCCACAGCAGACATTCTGATCGAGAAGTGGAGAGGAGTAGCAGGTGTATCCCTCTGGGCATCCTCCGGAAACTCTTCCGTTTCCTCCTGGATTCGAGCACTGCACGAGTCTGCTGCCGTCTCCGTCCTTTGCAACGACGGTTCCTGGAGGGCACGCCTCCGAAAGACAGTAATTCTGGCACGACTTCTGCGAAGCAAAGTTGTTTCTGTTTCCCTCGCATCCGTTGTACTCAAAGGTCTGACACGTCTTCGAATCGGCGTTGAAGTACCATCTGCTGATGCGAGTGCTCGAGCAACGGACTCCAACGTCGCGTGGTTGAGAGCACACAAAGTTCTTGGAAGGACAGCAGAGACTCTTGGTCTGGTAGACGGTTCCGGTCCACGTGGTGACTGGCGTACAGTAGTGAGTCGACGGACACTGTCGGTTGGTTGTGCACGCACGCGCGGCTCCATTCTGCTCCTTCCAGACTTCTCCTCCGTCTGGGCATGATTCGACTCTACAGTAATCCTTACAATCTTGTTGGGTGGCAAAGTTGTTGGAGTTTCCGTCGCATCCGTTGAAAGAATAAGTCTGACAGGTTCTGGTGGTCGAATCATAGTACCAACGAGTGACGGCCGGTCCGCAGGAAGCTCCAGACTTGTAGGAAAGGGAGCAGGTGTAGGCCTGAGTCGGGCAGCATCCGTAGGTCGTTCCGTCGTAGTAGCAGTAGTGGTTGGCCGGGCAAGTGGTCGAGGCGGCAGAAGATCCCCCACAGATGATGAAGTTTCCGTTGGAGTCGGTGAGAGCAGTTCCCTGGATACACTGTGGCTCACTGCGCGCGTCTCTACAGTAATCCTGACATTCCTTGTAAGTCTCGAAGTTGTTTGCGTTTCCTTGGCATCCGGAGTAGATGAACTCTTCGCAGTTCCCGGTTTTGGCGTTGAACCACCAGCGGTTCGAGTAAGTTCCACAGTTTCCTTGCTCGCGCGGCAACTTGCATACGTACTGCGGACGTGGACAGCAAACTCCGCCGAAGGTCGTCGAGCCGGAAGTGGACTCGCAAGAGTGAGTGGACGGGCACGAGTTGGCTCCGGAGCCAGTCGGCGAGCACTCCATGTTGCGTTCGCCGGACGAGTCCTTGAGGGGCTCTCCAGCAGAGCAAAGGACTGAATGGAGGGGATTAATGGAAGATCTGAAGGAGACGTCACTTACTTCTGGAGCAGAACTTCTCGCAGTGATCTTGGGAGAGGAAGTTGTTGAAGTTTCCTCCCTGTCCGAGATACGAGAATTGAATGCAACGGCCTTCTCGCGAATCGTAGTAGAATCTGGGCGAAGTGTTGCCAGAACCGTCCGGAATTCCGACGTCAAAGTACTCGGTTGGAAGTCCTCCGGCGGTGTTGTACACTTCCGATGGGATACCTCCGTTGCGGGAGCAGATGAACACTGAAACACGTTGCGATCTGTCTGGAAGGGTTTCTGTGCATACGGTAAGTGGGACAGCACTGTTGGAGAGTTCCCATGGTCGTGCACTGGTAATTCGGGTTGTTGCATCCGTTGTCGTTGCCCTGGCAGTACACTGGCTCTTGCTTCACTCCTGTGGTACGGTCACGGTACAATGGGAGACCACGATTGCACGCTGAAACGATAAACATTTGAAAACGTGTTTTCTGTGTGGGGAGTCTCACTCTGTTTGCAGTAAGATTCGCAATGGTCCTTCGTCTGGAAGTTGTTGGCGTTTCCACCGTATCCCTGGTATTTGAGCTCTCTACACTCTCCGGTGATCGGGTCGTGGTACCAGTGGTTGAGAGTGGTGCCGCCGCCCGGTGGAGTGTATCCTTCATTTGGAGGCTGAATGCAAGCGAAAGCACGGGACGGACAGCAGAAACTGATCGGATTGTTGACTGTGCAGTCGTCGGAATCGCAGATGCAGTCGTAGGCGAGGGCTCCGATGGCTTCGCACGTGGCGTCGGCGCCTCCGTAGCACTGTTGCACTTGGTTCTCGATGCGGAACTTGGGGTTGTTTCCGTTCAGAGGGCAGAATCCGTAATTGAGGCAGACGAGGCCGTCGCGGGTTCGGAACGGCGGCTGGTTATTCGCACATCGACACTCTCCGGAACGACAGTAAGCTCCTGGCCAGACAGCTTCGCACTGTCTGTTTTGGGTGCATCCGGACTCTCCCGGGTTGATCTCTGCAAGTTAGGTCAGCGTGTTCCAATTTTCAGGTTTCCCGTGTTAATCAGACATGTTAGTACTTTGCAAAGTTTATTCATCAGACTTTAGAAGGATCTTAGAAAAGCCAAAGTACACTGAAGCGGTCTTATCTTAAATTAAAAATCAATTCATAACTTATTTATCAAAAGGAATATGGTTCACAAGGAAGGGAGGAGACAGAGCGGGAGCAGGAGGAGGAGGAGGAGTGGGAGATGAGAAGAAGAAGAAGCAGTCGGGGGAGTCCTGGAGTGCTTGTGTTTGTGACTTTTGCAGGAACGACTAAAATCGGAGGAAAAAACAGAAGGAAGACTAATTAAATTGAGAACAAAAACCCGCCAGGAAGGAGAACAACAACCCAGCAAAACGACGGCGATAAGCGGTGGAACGACGCAACAAATCAAGCCATCTGAACGGTCGGATGACTTGACAGAAAGGGAAGACTGTTGATGTTTGACAAGAAGGTGGGAAGGACCTATGGTAGACTAAGACAGGATACAATTTGACAGAGATAAAACGGAACACGGGGCACTGGAACGTCTTTCGGAAGTGCAACGAAGCCGGAAAGACAACCCAGTGAAAGAGAGAACAAAAAAGCTGAAAACAGGAATACGCTGAGAAACGAGGGATTCTATCGGGAAGGCGACGATATGAGGGGGAAGATGACTGGGGGAATACGCCGGGAGCCGACTCGACTCGCTGCTTCAGCACATCGGAGAGATCTGAAGAGGCACACGACCCGATCAACTCACGGCGACGACGATAAAGACCTAGAAATGGCGCCCGTGTTACGGGAACCGTTGTGTCAGATAACATGAGGGGAGAGGAACGGTCTAGACGCTTTCGATGTCATTTTCGCACACACACAGAGTGAGAGAAATATGGAAGTTGTGAAAGGGCGATGGGATGAAAAAGGAGGAGGAGAGGAAAGAAGAGTGCCTAATATGAGAAGACGTTCGTATTCAATATGAATACACGGATGCGCGAAATATGAATAACGATGGAAAACGACAAGAATGAGAATTGAAATTAGAAAGCGAGGCGAGAAGCTAGCACAAGGAAATGGTGACCAATGGGATGCCTCTCTTCAAAAACACTTACTTCTCCAGCAGTACGAGTCAATCTCGACGTACGTCGTCAAGCAGGCACACCGCTTGTTTCCGGCACAATAATTTCCAGTTCCGCAGTCGGTAGATACCTCACATGGCCTGCCGACAGTGCCGTGCTGAGCACGAACTGCAGCGGCAAGTGCCACCAGAGCCAACAACTTCAGCATTGTGCTCTTGGGGACCGCTTTAGAATATCAGAGCAACAGTGGGAAGGGACTGAGTGAGTGGGGGGGACTTTTCGTCGGCGTTTGACCGTGTCCGTCCTCTTCGCACGACCGCAAATACCACTACCAAATATCTCAGAAGGGCCGAGAGCAGGCGAGTCAGTCAACAGACAAACTCTATACAGCACACAGTCACCGTCCCGTCGACTATGGACTTGGCGGTGCGACGGCGGCGGCTCCGTCCCGCCCCGTTGCTCTATTACTTCCTGGGCGGAACTGTCCCTCCCGCGAGCTGCGCACCATCTATCGAAATGGTTAATTCTTGGTAAACAAATGAGAAAGGACAGGCCGCCGGCTGAGGAGGAAGAGAGTCTGTACCGTTTGACCCGCACCGGTGGACTGCTCAGAGAAGAAGAGGATACTCCCGTTAATCACCAAAAATGGGTAATGGAACAATGAAACTGTGAAAAAATTGAGTGAAGACAAAACGAAACAGAAAAAAGAGTACGAGTTCCCGTTTGGGAAATGTGAAAGAACAAACGAAGGGACTAGGTGGATGTGGTAGGAGGTGGAACAACTGGATTCGTTTCAGATGCCACGGGAGCTTCTGTTGTTGATGACGGATTGCCGTTCTCCACGGAAACCTCCGACTCAACTTCTCTACAAAATTAGTTACATATTCCGGGGCTCCAAAGTCGCTCACTCACTTCAGGGACGTCGTCTCACTTCCCTCGTCTAGATTTCCTTCTGCTAACCGCGTGGCCCGTATCTCAAATGCGGCAGAAATCGCTTTCTCGACGCCCTCCGAATCAAGCTGAAACGAATTGTTCTTTGTCGTCCAGTTTCCCGTTCTTGCGCGTGTTTGTTATGTATGCTAAGATGATAGAGAGAGGGAGAGAGAGTGACCGCGCGGGAACGGATAAAGAGCATAAGCATCATCATAAGCAACTCAAAAAAATAAAGGTCACCATCAACGGGCGACTGTCTGTTTGCCAATCGGGAGGGGGCGAGAGCCCTTATTTGTCGAGAAAGTCAAGTCGCCTATCAGCAGATTATCCCGCTTTCTCAGCATCAATGTGCAGGGGTCGGAGAGCGCTCTCACCTGACACACGAATCCGTGGGTAACCAGGTTCTCCGTCAGCGAGTCTGCCGCATCCGTCTTCTGAAGTGACGTCGTCAACTGTCGATGCATCTGATCTTCTAACAATAACACAATCGACATTTCTCTGAAAATCAAACAAGTCCAATCAGTTGAAAGATAAACTCAATTCATCGCTCTTGCCCCCTCGGTGTTTGCAGACTCAAGCCAAAATTTCTCAAATTAGGCTTGAGTACGCAAACACCGAGGGGGCAAGAGCGGTGAATTGAGAGTACGCGGACTTACTCGTTTTCAATGTGCACATTGATTTCCAAGATATGCCGGTTTTCTAACCGCATATCCCGTTCTTCGGTTTCTTCTTCTTCTTCCGGAGTCGGTGATCCGGCATCTCTGGCACTCGAAGACGGGACAGCTCCACTCGTTCCGCTCGGTTCGCTTGCAACGTCTGTTGAGTCGACCGAGTCTCCGACCTTTCTGTCCGATACTTCCGGACTTGAGGACTTTCCGATTGAAGACGTTCCGTTGATGTTGACTCCACTGGAATTAGCCGTTCCCGAAATTCCGGTTGTTCCAGAATCTGCGGTAATCGTCGAATTGGCTGATGGATGTGTCGACGACGGCGCCGAGTCATTCGTTGCACTGATCAACGTTGACGGATTTGTCTGAAAACTCTGGACTTTGCATAGTTTCTTCGTGTTTCCGCTTCTGATCCCACATTCGAATAGGCTCTTAACGTCGTCGAAGGCAGATGTGCGAGGGGAGCGAACGCCGTCAGCGGATAGATTCCGTTGCGGACGTCGTCAAGAAACTTCTCTAGATCCACCTGGAAGGCAGCCACTTGACAGTAAGCCATCTCGCGAAGTTTCGATGTGGCAGCGACCTGAAATTATAGCATTGTTTTCGTGGGACACTTTCTGCTCTCGAGGCGAAGAGTTCGCCAAAACGAGATCGCGAGAAACGCCGACAAAGTGACCGGCGTGTCAAATATTGACTTTTGCGTGACAATTGAAGGCGCCCCGAATATGGTCAGTTCTGCCGCCACCAGAAGTTTGAGACACATTAGTCTCCTTTTCTTACGGGCTCCAAACTTACTCTTTCATTGTCCTTTATTCGGAATGCACTCTCCGAAACATCTTCGTACTTCTTTGAATCGACTATCGCGTGCGCCGAAAGCAATTTCAATGAATGTACCTAGCAAAAATAAGTAGATCAGCATCATCTGCCTGTTTCGATGGACGAGTTACCTCAAAAAGGATCTGATGGAAAAGAAGCTCTCTGGCACTAGGCCTCTCTGCTGGATCTTTCCGAAGACACTGTCGGATGAAGTCCTGTTGCAACGGATCCTCTAGCGATTGAATCGCTTTCTCGATAACGTCTTCGGTCACAGGGCCTTCCGAACTTCCATTTTGGCATCCAGACAGTCCACCGATCACAGCGATCTCCAGTGAGCAGATGCCGAATGAGTAGATGTCGGCCGCCGAGGTGACTTCAGTGTTATCTGAAGCTTGATGGGAGGTTTACACACTGTGGAAGCAGGGACGAACTCTCGTATTCCGGGGCGATGTAGTGCATGTACCGCATGTTTTCTCGACACGTCTTGACATGATGGTTGATGGCGTCCGGGGCGACTGAAAGAAAAGAATAAGGTTCTGGAGGTGACAAGGAAGCAAGCAATAAGGATGTTAACAGGTACAGATAGACAGGTCACAACATTGCTGTTTCTACTTTTCTATTTCGAGTATTTTTTTCCACTTTTTTCTTTGTATTAAGAGGTGCATTTTTGCAAGTTCGTTTCGAGCCGATCGCTTAATTGCCATCGAAACGGCCGCACCAGGTACCCGTTGGAACGGCAACATCACGTCGCAACTCGGGCTGCTAATCAACAAACAGTCTGTTGCGCGCATACTTTCACTCGAAAGACTCTACTCGCACTCTGTAGACACAACTCTCGGTTCGCGAAAGATCCGCGAAAAGTTCGACCAGCGATGCAAATCTAATCAGCAAACAAGTTGTACCATATCACCGGGCGGTATCCCGATTGGCAAATGCGATTTTGGCGCAAATAGGACGCAAATCCTCTGAGGGCGAGACTCGTTCGCTGAGGAGTGTGTGTGAGAGGAACGAAACGAGGGGTCAACCCGGCCAACAAGGAACTAAGAGAGAAACATTCCGCAAATTTTATGGAAAGGAAATTGACACTTTCAATAATGAGCATATATCAATGTTCAATGACTAGCTCGCAAATTCTGAATGACTGAATACATAACTTCAAATTGAAACAAACGAACGTCATTGTGAACTTCAAGTGCGTCATCTTACGAAAATACCATATTAAAACATTTTTTCATTCCTTCTCCCCATGGTTTTGGGCCCGAAACAGATGGCTAGCAGCTGATTGAAAGTGTATTTTTCTAGCAGCGGGCAAAGAACTCATCGAGTTTACACTATCAAATTCCAAAGTTTACACTAGCTAATTCCAAAAGGTCATTCCTATTCACTCTTGCACTTTTTCTCTGTTTGACCTATCTAAAAGTGCACTCTGAACGCGGCATTGTTTTTCTAGACATCTGTCTAGTTATGCAGACATGACGGATATAAAATGGTAGATGATAATTTGAAAGCGACAGATCGAAAAACTGAGGAAGATATTAGAAAGTGAGAAAACGGAAGAAACAGAAGAAAAAGAGGAACATGCACACAATGACAGACGGAGAAGAAGAAAAGACGGTAAGCACAACACGTGGGCCGGAAAGGACATAGGGGGAGGGATCACCCACCAAGAAGGTTCTGTCCACTGTTGTCTTTACACATCGAGATACCTGAACAAGAGCATGGCTAAACGCAGATTCCCGGGACCCGCGAAGGGAATTTAGTTCGAAAAATGCACTGTCGCACGGCAGTTCAAACAAAAAACAAGAGGAGGCGCCTGAGCGTTTGATTGAGAAAACTGAATGTATGAACCATGCACTTCCCGAACGAGTCGAAAAACGGAATACGAATTAAACGACTTACCACACCCGATTTTTATGAGTCCGTTCTGTTGAATAAAAACTGTGTTGCACGTCAGATTTCCATGAATTATTGGCGGATCGGAAGAATGCAGATAATTTAATGCTGATAAAATCTGTGTTGTCCACTTTTTCCACGCCTGCAAAGACTGATTTTTGATTGTGGAATGACCGTTCTTCAACGAATTTTACCTTGATACTGAGCGGAGAACCGGCTTTTCGTGTCCTTTGAAGAAACGCAGACATTGATCCGGAAGACATGTATTCCGTAATAAAGATAATCTGAAAATAGTGGTGACTCCACCGGAGAGCACAAAACACTTACCCTCGGTTTTTCTGACTTTGAATCTGTCCAGTATTTGTGAAACTTGACGAGATTCGTGTGCACCAACTGAGTCAGATTATCGAAGACTGCATTTATTTTCTCCTCCTGGGCGCGAAAGTTTTTCCTTTCCGAGAATTGCACTTCATTCCAGACTACTTCGTTACCTAAAAATGTCATCCAGTTTTTTCAATAAAATATGATTTCAAGGGACATTTCAAGGAGCAACCCTACATTATCGCAATAAAACATACCGGTTTCGTTGTCCATGGCGAGATATGCGACGTCTATTCCGGGCACGTCCCTCTGTTTCACCTGTTCTCTCCGTTTTGACCAGCGTTTGTCCGGCGACTCTTCCAAAATCTGAAAACGAATCCGTTTGGATTTGTCCACTTGGCCTATTTTTACCTCTTCGGCTCCGTCCGCGTCTGAATCGCTGGCACCGTCGTCGCCAATGGGCGTCTTTCCGGCCGCAGCTCGATCCTCGCCGGAACTGACCATCTGGAAGTGAGCGGACGGGCAATGTCACGGAGTGAATGAGGAATGAGAGCAGATCAATTGGGCAATTCTGTAGAAACAATCTTCTCGGAGATCGTTTTCAACAATTTCGCGCCTCAATTCGACCGGTCGTGAATTTTTTACAGTTCTTTTTTTATGTTTTGCTCAAAACGGGACACATGAATCACATGAGCCGGTCGAAGCACACGCGGCACGACGCAAGTCAGCCGGTGGCGGTGTCAACATTTCGAAACGAATGACTCACCAAAGAGAATCGGCCAAAGAGGCTCCAGTTTGTCGGTGGGTACTCGTCTAATTCTCTCGATTCCAATTGACCCCGATATAATTCTGCAAGATTTTCAACATTTTGATATGAGCATTCAACCAATTCGAGGTCAATCGAGGCACGGGAAGTAAGAGCGAATTCCAAACAAAAGACCATATGACAATATACGTTTTGCCTCACTCCCTCTCTCACTTCTCACGGGACCCATCCGTCCGAAATAGTGAGCTCAACTTAAGAGACACAGACGAGTCAGTCAACCCCCGGGAAGAGTAGAGAGTGAGGGGCGGAGAGACGCAGTGAGAAAGAGAAGCGAGAGTGCTGCCTGAAGTCGGTCTTCTTTACCCTCCAGTACAATGAGAAGTCAGTTGATCAGCTGCGACGAGGCGTCTCCCTACTGGTTTGCCCCTTTTGTCACCTATTTTGGGTCTCCCACTCTTATATTTATCACCACGCGAACGCTTGCTTTTATCCAAAAACCGTAGTGTGTCTTATCTCGTCGCGTAGAAACCGACATCACGATGATACGAAGGGCGGGGTGGGACGACAAGTTTGTTGCAATGCAGTTATGAAAACTGACGCTGTTTGAACAGCTTTTTTAATAATCGAAGGTTTGGAGAAAACAAAACGGGAAATTCGAAATTTCGAACGCGGCCTAAAATTTGCGAAATTGTAGGCTGGCAAGATGAAACAAAAAAGGTCCATCATAGGAATGAGGGGAAAAAGAGCAGAACCGGAAGGAGAAAGAACAACTCGCAACAATTTATTGAGTTTGTTTCACGAGAGAGGGAAGCCCATTCCACTTTCTTTGACGAATCAGAACGTTCCAGTTCAATGAACAACACATGGAACCAACCAAACAATTCGTAGCCGTCACGAAATGTTCTCTTATCAAAAAGTTCTCTGGCCTAAACCACCGGCGCCTGCGATGAAAACTCGTTGCCATTTCCATTTTGGCATAAAAAACCAAAAAAATTTGGAGAGCGACGAGGAGTTACAGAGATAGGAAGGGTGGAGTGGAGGAGGAAGAGACAGAGAGGACGCGAGACACAGACACAATTCGAATTCAATGTCATTATTAAAAATGTATTTGCAACATGGCACCGCCGCGCCGCCCGTTTCGTTCCGTTTTTTGGCTGAACGGCTCACGGACTCTGCGCGTGTTTGCTCAAACGGAAGCACTCTTCCCGGCAAGCTCCTCGGGATCGCAGCAGTGATAATCGACGAGGGGAGCGGCGGCGGCGGCGACGGAGGGGAGAGATCACGGTTGTTGCAGCGGGAGCAGCACTTTCTGTGAACGTGCAAACTTGAACCGAGGACAAACTTTACAAGCTGCCTAGGAGCTACCGCGGTGTGAAAAACGGTTAGTTTTAAGATGGCCTTAGAAGTGAGCAACTGATTTGGTTACTGTGATATATCGGGATTCATAACGAATAGAAGCTTAGTTGAAGGCAACGATTTTTTGAAGCTTCAGCGCAATTCACTATGCAAACTATGACGTGGCAAGAGGGCGGGGACATGAAGGGCTAGTGGAGGACGGATGCGACCGTACCTATCGGTCGCCTAGTGTCCTTTCCTAGACCGATGGCTACAGGACATGCAGCAACCGAACGTACACGAGAGGACGAACACCTGGACACTGATAAGTGATGACCGGTTCGAATAGGCCCGAATGGTCAACTACTGGCCGGAGGGTCTAGTTAGAGTGGTATGCAGAGAATGGGCGAATGGCCGCCATCGGGCCGAAACAGCCGTCGCCGACGAGAGAACCGCGCTCACCGTGGAGACGACTGAGAAAAGAGGGGGATGGCGAAATAGTACGGATGCGCAGAGTGGCAATGAGAGAGTGTTGCTGGCCGAGGAGGCCGACAGAGGGCGAGAGGGCCGCGCGGAACGCGTCAGTCTTCGTGCGGTGAGACACGGGCGAGCCCCGCCGGCGGCACGCTTGAGCATGACAGTTTGGGCGTGAATAGAAGCAGGGAAAAGAGCCGCCTAAGTGATATGGAATCTGTAAAAACAGAAAAATAAGTAATTGGAAGTTGTTCTGACAACTATCGCGGGAGGAACAAGGACTTATGGGAACTTTGAATCTTCATTACATCACTAGTTACTACGGCAGTTTCTATAGACACGTTCATCATTTCGTATGCTCATTGCAGGAAGATGCTCAGGGCTTGCAACTGATTCCGAGAACACGCCACCTCTAACTGGCGATCTTTCCGTCCGAGCAGACGATTCTTGACGACTTCCGAGATTCCGTGCACCAGTTTCTCCGATTCTTGATCCGGTCGCAGAACCAGCGCGTTTTTCTGCCAATTTCCAATTCTTCTCTCAAGCTGTAAGACAAATGTTCGACTTACCAAGTGTTCAACCTTCGTGGGAATGGTATAGAATGTATCGAAAGTCTCAATAACGTCTGTGATCGGAACAACCGCAATCCTGCCGCTTTCCGACTTTTTCTTGAACTTCTGCACTTGGGAAGTCACGCTTTGAAACGACGGAAGGTCGAATGAATCCCAGGAGGAGTAGAAGCCGAGGCGCCACGGAAGCACGTCTCCCAGTTGATTCATAGTGCGCTCGCAGGTCGCATAGATTGGCGCGGAGTTGCAGGAGAACTAGAAATGTGCAGATAAGTGACCGAACTATGAGCTGAGGGAACCTTTCTTGGTACAGCGAACACGACACCTTCCAAGCGAGGCAATTCCTTTGCGATTTTTGAGGACCAATACTGGAAATATGTTTCATTGTGGGTATCTCTTGAAATTCGTGACTCACATCAGCCACAATAGAGTGATTATCCCATCTCCAAACTGCCGAAACGTCGTAGGAGTAGTCAGAGTTCTGCTCAATTCGGCTGTTCGGCACGATTTTGTTTCCTTGAACCAAAGGCGCTGAAACGAAATCTGTTTACGCGAACATTCTTGTTTTATGTGTCTCACAAGAGCTCTTTTCGATAATTTTTGCACATTCAGCAAGAAGGATCCCACCGTCGGCACCCGAAAAGTGTGGGTAAAGAGGCATGAAAATAAATCGACTCGAGCGATGTCTGTGATTTTCGAACTGTCGGATAAAGAGTCTGGCTTTGTCAAACTCACGCGTTGATCTGTTGTAATTTGGTTTCGAACGGAATCTCGTCGAACTGGAACAGGCGAGTGACTCGGAACGGGCCGAACTCCGGAATAACTGCTTCCAGGGACTCTTCCACTCGTTCTGCCAATCTGTCCACTTGCGTTTCCAGACTGGGAACATCTTGATAAGCAGAAATGCACCCGCGCAGAGAATTGTTCATCAGTTTTGCACTTGTAATTGCACTGAAAGAATACTGAATTTCTAAAGTCAAAAAATACTGAAAACTCTGACCTGTGCACAAAGTTTGGCAATCGAAGTCGCAGCGCAGATCGCGTTTTCAGAAATTCTCGAGCGTGGAATTTGTTCCATGGCTGACCGGCGTGCAGGAGAATGAGCTCCGTCTGAGCAGAACGAGCCGGATCTGCGGAGAAATGCGATCGTTTCTGAAGTTGAGTGTTTAATTGGAAAGCAGACGCGTGAGACTCACAGCAATTTGAAACAGTTTTGAATTCCGAGAGAGCATTTTGTGGCGAAAAGTTCGACAAAAAAGCTCTTACTTTCTGAAAAGTTGTTAATTATTACAAAAATTAAGCAAAATATTAAAAACTTACTTTTTTCCGCTATTCAGATGAGCATTCCGAGAATGTCGGAACGACAAAAATTGCAAGTTTTGCCGGCAAAAAAGAGAAAACTGATCGAGCGACGGAAGAGAGAGTGCCGAAGCGAGGAGGGTGCAGAGAAAGAGCGCGACTGTGAGTGTTGATTGAACGTACTTTTACTTAGAATCCTAAAAAAAATTCAATTTTTGAAACTGGAATGCAAATGCTTGTTTTTTTTGCTCATTGAATAACTAAAACGTTTTCAAATTTCAAAAATTCCTTAATCTCAGAGTTATTTCCTTATTTTTACGAACAGATGTTTTAATTGAATATTCATATACGCCCTTTTATCATCTACAAGTCTAATATTAATTTTCTTTGTTTCATTAGTTACTTTATGATTAACTAACTGTTTTGGCTCAATAATAATAGCTCCAGCCTTATTTTTTATTCTATATAACGAGCTAATATTATTTTCATTAATATTATAATTAAACTCTTCAAAGTCTCTTTAAAAAATTAGAAATTATTCATGGTATCACAATGAAAAAATTGGAGGTTTTCATCTACTAAACGTTTCACAGAACATAGAGGAACCCCGCTTTCGGTTTCCAATGCAACCGGTGGCACCCGCACGACGGCCGCATGAAAGTATCGACAATTGTCTCGGTTTCGCCCTCACGCACGCAGTGCCGTTGCACATTCGCCCCTCGACTTCCTTCCTCTTTCTCTTGCCTCTCGTTCAGTCGCCAACCCTCGAACGCTATGAATATGGTGTTAAGTCCGATTTCCACGTAATTTTATCGATTCCCGACCGTTATTTGACTCTTTTCGTTCAGTCTTTTGAGCTGCGTGTTCTCCGGAGTGGCCGAAGTGGCCAATGTGCCGCTGGAAATGCTCCGATCTCAGATGGGCTGGCTGAGCAAGGAGGAGCGTGCGATGTACCGCGGAGAGCGCCGCTCGCTTGAAGACGTGTGTGATGTCCCGCCGCCAACGGAGCAGATAACCAGAACAGGCAAACCGATACTTCCGTATGCAGATTCCGTCGAATCCCACAATGATCAGGTCTGTTCAGAAGCTCCAAGTGGGGAGACTGCCCAATCTGCTCGTCACCGCCCGTCAAGCCCCAGGGATGCGTCAAGTGTCTCCAGTTCGTCGGATGCGCCGAGTGAGTCCTTTCCTCCTTCATTCCTCCGACTCTTGCTCTTTTCTTTTTCAGCTGCATCGTTCGCTGGTACATAACCCGCGCAGATGCTGAGCTCCGTAACCCGGCGTGTCCGATGTGCCGTGCCTACTGGAGACGCTGTCCGGAGGTACGCCACATGAGCACCGTCGATAAGTATCGCCAGAAACTGAATCGGAAGCCCGAGTCGTTGCGACGCTCGAACAGACTCAAGTTCAAAGTTAGGAAATGAATTCCGGGCTGTATATCCACGGCACGTGGATCTTATCATGAATCGCTACTGTCTGTGTTGTCAAAATTATGTATTTTAAAATAAAGCAACGCAGAGGGCTTCATTTGAATAGTAAACTCGACTAGCCGATTAGTATGGGGTTAATCAGAGTGATATCATCGGTTAGTTTCAGTCGCGATTCTTCAAAATCTGCTTCTCATACTCGGTGCATTCTACGTGGAAGAGCATCTTCTCGTTCTGAAATAAATATGTTGTATTGAACTGTGAGAAAACGAATAGTTTACGTCAATGTCAGCTGCTTCCTGATGAATGAGATCAACTTTCTTCCGAATGGCGCCTTCAAACGACGCCTTGCTCCTCTGCAGATCTTCCTCCAGTTTCTTCATTCTGCTCTTCTCCGTCTGAATCTCTTTGTCCAGACTTCCGTCCATCTGCAACTGCTTCTTCAGCACATCCTTCTCATTTTCCATCTCGTCGTATCGCTTCTCCCTTTGCAATCTGTCCTCCTTCCACTCCTCTCGTTCGTTTCGGCGCACACGTTCCTCCCGAGCTTCCTTTTTGTTCGCCTCGCCGAGCATTTCCTTTTCCATCTGAACCCGCTGCCTGAACAATTTTGAAAATGGAACTGATTGTGAGGCTATCGATTCACGTACTCGATCGCAGCGAATTTATCTCCGAATCTAGAGAGTTCAGTCTGAAGTTGCAGTTTCTTCTGGTTCAATTGACGGTTGACTTCCGGCATCCAGACACTGTTCAGAGTTTCCCAGCCAGCTTTGAGATCTCTGCAAAATTATCAGTCAAATGCTGTCAAGATCTGTTGAAATACTGTTCATTGGCAGGTGCACGAAGTGGCTCCAGTTTCACGTCGATTCCAGCAATGATCTTCTCGATGCTTTCGATGAACTGCACGAAGACTGCCTTTTGCTCTTTGAAAGTGTCCTCGTTCTTCATGAGCCACATCTGTTTCGACAACTGGTCCAGTTCAGCCTGAATTTCCAGAACGATCTCCTTGTCGTGGTCGTTCTCAGCGTTCATCTGACGGGCCTGCTTCCCCGTCAAATTGTGTTTCCGTTTCTGTACGTCGATTAGTTCTTTCAGAGCGTTAACTTCCGCCTGGACCATCGCATTCTCGGCCGTTCTCGCCGTTAGCACCTCCTTCACTTTGTTCAGCTCTTCCTCTTTGTGCGTCTGGCATTGTACAATATTCGTCTTGTAATCGTTTGCTTTCATGATATCCTCCTTGATTTTATTAATTTCATCAGTCAGTCCTTGCTCGTTCCCTTTCTGAAACATTCCCTCACAATTTCTACTCGTTCACATTTATTTCCTCACGTCTGCATCAATCTCTTCGCACTCGAACCGAAACTGTTCTAACTGATTCTTCGCCTGGCTGACCATATCTTCGAAATCATCCGCATTCTCAAAGTAGTTTCTCAGCTTCGTTTGCGTGTCCTGCCAGAACGGTCCCTCTTTAGTTTCGGCCGCCTTTCGGTCGTTTGTGTACTCTCTGAAAGTGGTGGTGAGCCACGAGTACAAGAGCAGTTTCTCCTGCACTTTCGCCGGCTCCATGAAATCTTCAAGTATGATGTTATCGGTGTGGGCGCTTACTCCCATGTTGCACTGTAACATAATTTTCTTTATCAAAACCAAGGAAATAGTCCCCACTCTGATAAGATCGATGAGCCACGAAAGGGCTTCCAGAACGTGTGGGTATCCGAGGGAAGAGCCCATAGGCGCGAAGTAACTGTTCTTCAAAGCATGCGGATATCCAAGGCCTTTGAAAATCGAAGAAATCTGAAAAAAAAACTTTTTTGCATTTGAACCGTCGTTTCAAATACTTCTTCTTCCAGACGCGCAGAGGTCGGATACTCGTAATCCTTGCTCAGATGCTGGTAAATAAGTTCAAACAGATTGATGAAGTGCTGCTTCGAGCCAGGACATCTAATATCCTTCTCCGCCGGCGCATTCGGACCTTCGAATTCGATTAAAAAGTTATAAATTTTGTTCACGTTTTCGGGGGCGAGCTGCTTTACATCTCTCGGAGCGGCGGCGGAATTCTTTTGGAATAAAGACAATCGCGCGCCTGTTTGGCTCATGCTCAGACGGCCATCGACTCTGAAAAGAAAAGAAAACAGAAATTTGCTTTTGCTGTAGTTTAGTGTGTATTTACTTTCTCACTGAAGATGAGGTCCCAAAATCAGTGAATCTTTTCGTCGGAGTGATCGCTGTTGACATTCGGGGCCCTCCGAAAGTGGGTCCTCCGGTTTTTCTTCGATCTCCGTACATTCTAAACAGAAAGTTATTTTTTGTAAAAGAATATTCAGGAAAATCCACGAAGGAACAAATCAAATGATGACGAAAAACAGAAAACTAGTAAACCGTCTCGATTGGAATTTGAATAGCGCGCGCGAAGAGAGCGTTCTTCTAGGCCAGTAAAACTCGGCCACGCAATGAAAAATAAAAATTCTGCGGACTATTTCAAAAAGAGTGAATTTGGACATTCATTCGAACAAAGAGCAAACCAAACCGCGTGAATTAACAAAGAAGTGAACAGTTCTGATACAGAAAAGACATGGAAATCAGAAATGCTGGAAGGAACCACATAATACTCGCAATACATACAGGAACCAATTGACTTGTGTCAGGAGAGTTTTAAGAAGAAGTCTAGTAAAGCTGTTGTAAGAAAAGACAGAAACGGTAAAATACACGAGAAGAACTTGGTAAGCAGTGAAAAAAGACTAAAACAGTCTAAATACATGTGTGACCGAAACGACAACCAAGAAAGTCACAGGATAAAAAAGGGGGGAAGAATAAAAGTCGGAAGATTATTTGTTGAACATCCTAGCCATATCGGCCACCGAACGACGGCTGTTCGCATTTTCGTCGTCTTCCGTATTTGCAGGAGGCGTCGTCGGCGAACCAATTCCGACCAAACGGGTTCGTGGCTCAGGTTTCGGAGGGAGAATCGGAGGAGGAGCACCACCGGGACCGACCCTGAAATCATACGTTCATGAGGTAAGCCCGATGTTTCGAGACGGACCTGTTCCGTTGAGGTAAGGGAGGTGGAGAATCCAGAATAGATGACGATGACATGAGTTTGATTGAAGTGGGCGAAGGCGCTTCTCGAGGGGACAGTGAAAATTCGGAGGGTCCAGAGAGAGCACGGTCTGCGGATGGACGAAGATGAACTTGCGCGAGGAGTGAGGTGTCGGGGATCATGGCAACACGGCCGCCTGCTGGCACTTTCCGAGGCTCTTGATCCGACTCGTCCGCTTCTTCAATCAGATCTTCCATGTCTCCGTTATCCGGGCCACTACTCGATCGGCTAGTGATCATCGCATCGTCAGCGAAAGAAGATTTAGACGCGGCTCCACCTGAAGGATTTGCTTGTCAATCAAATTCACTTTGATCTCAGTACCTCTTTTCCTTGGTCTCGCTTTTTGAAGATGAGATAATCCAGATGGCTTCGGAGGCAGATCAAGATTGGTACCCTGTTCGGAGCCTCCGGCGATAGTTTCTGAGGATGTCGTCGACGACGTCAAATCACCGATTATGCTTCTTGGTCGATGACCAGCTTGTGATCGTTTCGGCGTGAACGGTGAGGACAACGCCGGAGACCCGGTGCCCACGGAAGATGTCCTTCCGATGCTGCACGCATCACCTGACCCTCCGAGGGAAGTTCTCGAGAGTTCCGACTCGACATGCTCGCACATTTCCCTCCATTTCCACTCGCTGAATACGTGCTTCACTTGCTCTGTGCACACTTCCGTTAGTCTAGTCACCGCGAGTTGCTCGGCTCTGCGTGACGTGGCAGTCAGATCTCCTCCGATTGTCCTCGAAATGTTTTCCGCAATGATTCTGGCCCCCTCCACTTGAAATTTCTCCACAAATTCATCGATAATTTCCGTCATTCTTTGAGGGAACGGCTCTTGTCCGTAGGCGGTGATCGATTCGACAATGCCGCTGACGACGTCGTCGTTCGATTTCTCCATTTGCTGCAGAACTCCACCGGCAAACATGCGCTTGCAGTTCGCCTCGTCTGCTCCGATCGCCGTCCGATTCCGATACAAACAGTTCTGGATCTGAGCGAGAGCTGCCACCGCTCGCGGCCTCTCTGCCCTCTGCATACAGTCGAATGCATCGTGGACGGGATAAGGGAAGTGAGTCAATGTATTATTCCTGGAAAAGAACATTCGATTAGAAGACGTTTCAGAACAACCAACATTTTCATTGATGTTGCCAAATCGACAAATCCGTCTGCCCCGATGTGATTGTTGTCGATAGAAACGGAGCGGAGAGACACGTTCACTTGCAACGCCTTCGACAGAATCCGAGCTCCGAAGTTACCTATCTCATTTCCGCTGATGTCCAGGCTTTTGAGAGTGGTAGTGGCACCGAGTGTGTTGAGCAGAACACTCAGATAGGCTCCCAGGCGGCATTCAGACATGCTCAATTCCTCCAGACATCCTTCTTCGCTGTACAATTTGACAACGTCCAGAAGAATTTTGTTGATGACGTGTGCCTGTTTATTGTTCTTTTTCAATTGAGCCATATTCGATCCTCCGATGTCCAGTCTTCTGAGACATGTGATCATCATCAAGCTCTGCAAAACTCCTTGCAAATCCCCGTCCAAATTGTTGTCTCTCAAACTGAGGGTCTCGCAACGAATGCCTCCGATGCATGCATCGAGAACACTGGCCGATCCCTTTTCACACGTGGCATCCAGGTCGAGACGGAACGGCTGCAACTGCTGATTGGAGGCAAGGCCGAGAAGAACGGCCTTCAGGTAGTCAGATGGCATCGGAGTATTATTGAACGAGATGTGTGACAGGTTGACGGCCATCGAAAAGTATTCCTTGGCAGTCTGAACGCCATCCGACTTTTTGCCCATCGAACATCCATTCAAGAAGAGCTTTTCAATTTGGAGACCTCCATATTTCAATGCATTCCAAAGCTTATCGAGCTGAATTCCAGTGTCAGAAAGATCCAGAACTCGCAACGAAGTAGAGATGGAGACAAGATTGATGATGGCAGAAATTTCGTCTTTAAGAGGATTCGAAGACAGAATCAACTCGGTCAGCTGCATTCCTCCACTTTTGCAAGAAGTCATCCCATTGTAGAGTCCGGTGCAGAGCAGGTTGACAGATTTGTCCGTTAGTTGACACTCCGAGACATTCACGTACTTCAACTGAGTCAATCGAGGAAGCACTGAGGCGAGTGAAGAATAACCTGAAAGATGATCGTGAAGAAAGCACAACCTGAATGGCTTTCAACCTTTCTTGTCGTCCAAAGCATTTCTGGAAAGATCCAGGTACTCCAGTGACGCGTTCGCATTGTTTTGGAGCGCGGATGCGAGAAGAGTGATGAAATCCCTGTAAAATACAGCTAAGACGGCAATTGCACACAAATTACTTACCTTGGGAGAGCACAACTTCTCAACTGCAATTTGTGCAAATTGTGTGACTTTCGCACAACACTCAACACGACGTCAATGACTTCAGATGACACTCGGACGGCGTCGCAGATAATTCCGGTGAAGTAGGAAGAGTACTGGAGCACTCCGACAATCGGAAGAAGGTCTCTGGGCAGAAGGTGCGAGAAATCGTCTATCTTCAGATCTCTTAGCTTGTTCGCCGTGTATATCTTCTCAACGTCCCAGGACACTTCTTCCCGATATGGCTGTTCATAAAAGTCGCAAAGTGCCGCGTAAGTTCTTCGGAACGAGTGGCACGGTCGGGGAGAAGCGGTGGGAAGGGTGGGGAACTCCGTGTACAGAGAGGCCGGATTCACATCGATCGAGGTGTTCAGATGCACTCCTGGAAAGATGGTTGGTTTGAAAAAACGGATTGAAAACAAACCGAAGTCAGGAAAGTAGTGCTTAACGGCAGAAAGGAGCTGACGAGCGAGATGAACGGCCCGGTGCACTGAGCACTTCACATTGATTTTCTTCTTATGCACTCCATCATCCAAATGAATCACAAACTCGTCTTCGTTTATCACATGAATCGCTTTTATTGTGAGCACATGGAATGACTTCTCCACCTTCAGCGAAGACGTCGTTTTACCCATAAGCAGAAAGACTCTGAAGTGGATACCCAGTTTCAAGAGGGTCACGAAGAATGCCTACCTAAACTTGGATATGATGAAGATACGAGGCTCGAACTTGTCCACTTTGTGAGCCACATCGACCTGAACCACTATTCGAGAGTCAAAGAACTTGTTTCCGAGGATTTGCGAAGGTTTATCTGGAAATGGAAGGGAATTGGATATGATTAAGACTTCTGAAGGCTCACGTTGAACGAAGTCGCACAACTCCTGGATAGTGCTCCTGGACATGGACATTTTGACAGATGGAATGGCAAAATGGCGGTCGATTGTGATTCAGACCAGGGGAACAGTCATCTACTCGGCCTGAAAAGATAGAGAATTCGTAGGAGAACATACATAAGGACGGACGACTCGTCGTTATCATCCAACACACACAAACGGCGAGTGAGTCATGATGAGAGGGAAAGAGCGAAAGCGATGCGAAGAGTGGAGAGACAGTTGGCGCTGATGGAGACGCAGGCGTCAGGTTCGCTCCTTTATGTCCTCAAATTGACAGATGGAGATGCCGCCGCTGACCGTCACACACTGATAACACTGCACATTGAGTAAGGCCGCCCGGTGGTAGCACAAGGCCGTTCAGGTCTTTGTCCGAAACCAACGACTTGTCACATCGCGCCCGTTTCACCATGTGGCAAAGACATCACGGAGGCACTTGGGGCGGACGGAAACCACCGTCTTAAAGGCGGATTACAACTGACCGAAGGTACTAGATATTGCAGAAGTTGGAGAGTTTAATATTGAAATTGATTGGGTGACATGGCTGTGAGTCATGAATAAACAGAACTTTCGAAATACTTCTCTCGTTGACACCATTGGATAAACCAATTGGATTGGAATCTTAAGCCTCATATTTAGAAACTTCGAAAGAAAAATGAACAACTTTCTGATGAATTTAGAAGAATGGATGTGCGAGAGTTTACTTGGAGGTTCTATGAGATAGGAATTATGGTCCCTTTGGGACCCCATATGCTAATTGTGAATTAATTGTTTTGGGTCGATTCCAATCAATGTCGCATACTTGAATATGAAATTCAGATGTCGCTTGAAAGACAAATTCCAATTGTTCCCGTCTCGGCATGACATGAAGGTTTTTAGCTCCCCAATGGTTTACTAAAGGCTTAAGAAGAGGACGCGGAAGACGTCGATGGAGGACGAATGTTGTTGTGGTACCAGCGAAGGAAAACAACGAAGAAGAACGAGAAGCGAAAAGAAGGCATGATAATAGAACGGATGGCGGAACGGACGAGGTATTGGCGAGGCCGCGACGCAGAAGAAGCGCTCTTTGCGGAGAGAACGGGTGGCCAGGCTGTCCCCCGTTCGGCTGCTACCTCCCCGGACGGCCCGCTCTTTCTTTCGGACTGAGGAGAATTGCACCAATTGGTGCATGTTCAAAGGGGAATAAGGCAAAGAAGAAGGGAGGGGCCCTCGAGCACTAATTTGAATGAATCAACCAAGTAGTAACAGACTGGCTCAGCAGCGAAGTGTGTACGAAACGGGTATAAGCAAGCGAGGGGGCTCGGACCGGCGCCGAGAGTAAATACTTATATGGGTGACTTTGGTTTGCACTCGTTTCGAGTGAACACAACCACATAAATATCGCTCTTTTCTCGCTTTTGGAGCAGATAATCGATTTGTGTGAAAAAATAAGAGAGTGGGAGCAGAACATGATGAGTAGCAGGTGTAGTGGCGAGAAGGAAAAGACTTTTTTGTTTTGTTTGGCGCGACTAAACACACACACACACACACACACTCGGTCGGTCGGTTATACACCCCAAACATAGGCAATACGGTGCAAGACATGTCGAAATATTGTGTGTTGAGACGAGACAGTCCATTATTTTGACGGCGCGTGTGTTCCTTCCGGTCGCAAAAAGTGTCAAAATCGATGAAGGAATGGCGACGGCGGCGGCCACCGAATAGGCCCCGGATAATTGAAAGATGAGCGGAGAAGAGCGGCTGCATGAGTTATTACGAGCGGCAGATAGCCCACGACGATGGCCTATTTTACATGACGATCGATGCTTCTAACGGTTTTTGCGGAACTAACGATTGCCTTTTTATTGCAATTATGAGATTTACATCCGTTCCATCTATCTAGGTACCGATTGGTTTTTAGAGACAAAGCATAATGTTTACAAGAAGGAAGATAAATTGATTAGAGGGATTCAGGTGGTTAACCTATCTACAGATCTCCGGAAATTTGTGCCTAATGGGGTTATTCAGGCTGTGTAAAAATTATTTTTTTCCGTTTTTTTCGTTTTTTTTACGTTAAAAACCCCAATTCAGCGATGTAAAAAAAACGGGAAAAACGGTAGACAAACATACGCTGAATAGCTCCATAAAGTTTGAGAAACTTTTTTCTGGATTCTAAAAAAATTAAGAAACTGATATGCTTTTCATTAAGGTCAAATTCGCCAGTTTAGTTTATTTTATAGACTTAATAGAAACAGAAACGTTTGCCAGAATTCAGATTGTGGTTCATATTATAACACATTCGTGAATGAACCTCGAATGCGCATTGAATATGCAAACGCGTTCACAAGAACCGAGGAACCTCCCCGTACTCGGCCACGACCCCCCGTAAAGGCGACCTCCGTCGAGCTGAGTACTCTGAACTGTAATTATACAAAAATGAAGTTTTTTGCAATTAAAAATGAGAAAAAATAAAATAAAGTTGCTTGAAGTTCAAATTTGTGCGGCCGTGGCTGAAAAGCCACGTGTTGTGAAATCTCTTCCATAACAAATAATGTTTTTTTTTCTTTTATTCTAAACTTGTCTACAGATATTTGGCTAATTTTTAAGCACATATTTCAAAGACTAATACCAAGGAAGGTACTCTCAGAACAGAATTTTTGCAGAAAAAATGCCGAAACGAGGCTGCAACCAGTCTGCGAACGAAGAAGATAAAGTCCCAATTGTTGAGAAGTTGTACAGGTATTTCAACGCTTATCAGATGAGTTTCAGTTCTTCTTCTTTCAGAGAGAATCAGGATTCTGACTACCTCGGAGGCGGTTTTTGTGACGACGACGATGAAGTTCAAGAACGACGAGAGCAGATTTCCGAAATGCGACAAAAGCGTTAGTGGAAACTAAAAATTTTGTGAATCTATAGTTTTTCGTTTATCTCAACGTTAAAATTTCATTTCCAGGTGCGGATGCGGTGTACAGCGGCACTAAAGCTCCGGATAACTGTGAAAAATGCGAGAAAGTGCTGATGGACAGTTGGCTCTGGGAGCGCTACAATTGCCCTGTTTGCGATTCTTGCAGAGACGAAAAAGGAGAACACAAATTGCTGGCTCGCACAGAAGTCAAGAATGCGTATCTTCTGAAAGTGTGTCGTTTTTTGTCATCTGAAGCCATTAGACTATTATTCAGGACTGCGATCTCGATCTGCGTAAGCCTCCGCTTCGCTTCTGGGCGAAGAAAAACCCGCATAATCCAAGATACGGAGACATGAAACTTTATCTGAAGTGTCAAGTGGGAACAACACGAACTGTTTAGTGTTTCAAAGCTTCATTTATAGGTCGAGGAAAGAGTCCTCGAAGTTCACGGCAGCTGGGAAGACCTCGAGTTGAAAAAAGAGCTTCGCGAGCAGTCGAAAGAAGTCCGTTCGGAGAAGAGATTTGAAAAGAAGCTGAAGGATCTTCGTCAGCAGATCAAAGGGACTTCTGGCGTGAAAATCGAGTTCGGTAAACCACATGTTCACGATTTCGGCATGGAGACTCATGTGGAAGAAGACACGTGGAAAAGAACATGTCGGACGTGCGAATATGAAGAAAAATTCGAAAAGCTTTGAATACCAATCAATATTATCATCAATCATCAACCAACCACGGTCTCACTCAACTTCCATACTCAATTTACCGGTCTTGCCCCCTCGGTGTTTGCAAACGAAAGCCTAATTTCAGAAAATTTCGGTTTGAGTCTTCAAACACCAAGCAATAGCAATTAATTGAGTTTTAATTCATTTACTAGAACATCTCTTGTGAAATCCCTATTGCTCGAATAAAAGCCTCCGTGTTTGCGTGTTTCCTCCCTTTCCGCGCGGTAGCCATGGAAACCGCGCGCAGGGAACCAGTCTGCGCGTAATATCCATATTAAGTCCTTCCCCGCTATGCGACGAAATTCAGTAAGTATCGAAGAAGGAATCCGTAAGTTGAAGATGTTTGTTCTAGTAAAACAATTTGATTCAGTGCCGAGACAGGGGCAGGAGCCGCCGGCAGTTGCTCCGCGAAAGAGCAGACCGGAGAAGCTGTTCCTGCGGTCGGCCTCTGTCGGACTGGCTCCAGGAGACGGAGAACAGTCGCCTTCTCCGGGTCCGACGACAAAAACGGTCGAAGATAAGAAACAGAACAGAAGAGAATCCATAAAAGGACATCTGATGAAATTCAAAGCGAAGGCCGGCAAGATTCTGGAAGAGAAACAGGGCAACAAACTGACTCCGGAGGATCAACAGAATAGTGGCTCCTTTTTGGTACGTTCAGATTGGTCCAGAACTAATAACTAGATATTTCAGTCACAAACGGAAAGTGAGCTGAAAGAGGAATTTTCCGTTCTGGATGAACAAGGAGTGAGTGAGTCATCGATTCAACAGGAGGTATCGAAAAAGGAATCGAAAGAGCAACTGAGGAACAGAATACGGCAAAGTGCGCAGAAAGCCGTGGAGAGGACACGTGGCAATGTGCAATTGAACAGAAGACTGGCCAGAAGACCGACGGTCGTGATGGAGGAGCATCTCGACAAAAACGATCTGACTGCTATCGATGAGCAAGTGGAGAAGACGATCAAGGTGAGTGATCTCCAGAGAGAGAGAGAAGAGAGACGGACATTTCCAGATGGGAGAGAAGTATTTGGTGGCAAATGAGACGACAATAGCAGCCGAAAGAGACATTGAAGAGTTCTTCGAGCCGAAAGCCATAGACACGGACGATACGAAAAAGGCGGAATCGAGAAAAATGGTGTACGGAAGAGTGGAGGGGGTCAAGTACGACCACGACCTGATGGTCAGATACGTGGCAAGGGACGGAAACATTGTCTGCGGGGAGACTATTCCGAAAGAGATTTTGAAGAATGTAAAGAAGCCACCGACGAGAGTGAGTTTGAGGTCGAAACGAATATAATAGTTACTTTTAAACAGGTGGAGTACTGTGAAGACTCTGTAAGTTACTACACGGCTCCAGAGACTATGGAGGATGTGGCAAGTCGAATGAGGTGGCCATCTCAACAACCTTCATATCTACATTAGTGATAAATTCAGGAGCAGGAAGTTCGTGCAAATGGACGTGTTCGTTGACTCCATTCACTTCGATCATCACTATTTGTGGGGAGAAGAGGAAGTGGCGACTGCCGAACTGAGGAACGCCTTCATGATGCAACTGTTGAGGGTCCACGAGTTGGCCCAACTTGCCAGACATCACTTGTAAGTTTGTTTTCAAAATGACCACCTCAAGAAGAACTTTAATTTTCAGAGACGAGGACAGACAACCAGTGATGAAAGAGGAAGTGAGAAAGGGAAGGACCGAGATCGAAAGATTGGCTGACGTGCTGAATGAAACTAGAAGGTCTCAAGGGTACACGGCGACGAAAGTGTCGTTCGTTCCTGCTGAAAATCCGTGGGATGACGATGACTGGCAGGCGTACGGGAAAATGAACAGCGCGGCCAAGCTGACACCGGTCGGGAAGATTCCGAAGGAAACAAGGGAACGAATTGCGATGATGAGAAAGACGAACGTCCAACTCGTGCTCTATTTCAATGACATGGAAGTGAGCCGCACTGCCTGGGTCCCCTTGAGCGCTGACATTATGGTGGCTGTGAAACGGTTCGAATTGGAACTTTACTCTCCAATGAAATCTCTGACTTTGATGGTTCTGGAACAGTCGAACGGAAAGATCAGGGTGCTCGGAAAAGGAAATGTTCCGTTGCCTTCCGAGGACGATCTTGACGTGGCACTCCATGAAGTTGTATTTGAATGCGACACTCCAATGAAGCCGTGAGTTTAATTGAAATGGTCTCAGAAGAATGAACATTTCCAGAATTGGAGGAAGTTTTGGATCAGAAAGCGAACGGAAGGAAAACGGAAGGATCTTGTGCAGAGCGATGCTTGAAGACGGAGAATTGAGACTGGCCGACGATCGACTGATAGCGGAGGCGGTTCAAGACAGAAGAAGAAACAAGTTCGAGCTGATTCCCTCCGAGTTGGTCCTTGGAAGTTTGGATCAAGAGGACGCCAAGAAACGGTAGATAATTCGTCAGGTCACATGATCTCCAATTCATTTTTAGACTGGAAGAACTTCGAGAAGAAGACAGAGCTCAGAAGAGATTCACATACAGAAGTGCCATTGACTCGAGAAGAATTTCGGCCATTCAATTTGCGAACTTGGCAAGAAAGCGAGTGATGGATCGTCGGCAGAAGAAGGAGAAAAAATACGAGGAGATAGTGAGAGAGCAGTCGATTCCCACTCTCTCGGTCGCTTTCTCGCAGCTGTTCGGCCCTGCAGATGTGTCCAGGAAGCTGAAACCGATGCGAAGAGAAGAAAGAGCGAAGAAAGAGGGATGGGACAGTACGGTGGTGGTGAACATCCAGTCGGCAGTCAATCTGCCGGTCAGACTCGCCGGGATGCTTCAGCCGTTCGTAGTGGTCAGGTATTCCGGGAAAACGGTGGCCACCGACGTGGCAGTGGGAAGACATCCTAATTGGCAATTCACTGCCAAAATGAAAGTGGACAAAGAAGACAGAAATGAAGAATTCATCGAGATAAGAGTATATGATCAGGTACAGTGAGGAGAGGCAATATCGGATAGAAGGGAAGAGTTTCAGCTGGTAGAGGGAATCGAGAAAGACGACCGAATCCGGAATGTGATTCACGAGCAGTTGTCCGTCAGGCTCCTCGCTTCCCAGAAAATTCGCTTCGAAACCCTGGCCTCTGTCTCCAAGATCAGCACGTCGATCCGACTGCACACCCCGCTTTACATCTCCAACTACAAGTACGTCCATGTGCCAATCACTTACCACATCTCTTTTTTCCAGAATTTCCCCTGATTCTTGCTTTCTGAAAGTTCTGCTCTCAACCCAAATTGAGCCGAAATCACAAGTGGAGTACACCCGGAGTCCATCCAGTTTCGAGACGCAAAGGACGCTGGAGAAGTGTGCGGATCTGGAGAGACAACTGAGAGAACTCTTTCCGAAACGGACTTTTCGCTCTCTTGTCACTGATCTCAACGCCCACTCCACAATTTGCACCCGCTTCCTGAGACCTCTGAAACCGCCGGCGATCGTGATGCAGGAAAACAGTACAAATCTGGAGGGGATCTGTCAGTTGGCCGGCAAGATCGTCTCAGGGATTCCTCGCGTCGATGCGACGTCGCATTCGGACATCTGGGGAACTGCTTTCCAGTTGACGAGTATTGCGGTCGGAGGGCTCGAGGAAAGAGCAACTCTTCTCGGATGCTGGCTGCTACACTTCAAAATGCCCGTCGCAATTGTTTTGGGTAGACATCTGTACATTACGATCCTTTCAGAAGAAATGTTTTCAGGTGAGGCACAAGGAGAGAAAACCGGTTTCGTGTTAACGGAATTTGATGGAAAACAAATGTTAATCGACCCGGAAGACGGACATATTTATCCGACTACTGATGTGAATTGTGGATTACAAAAGATATTCGGAGCGTTCGATACGAAAAATTATTATGCAAACGTGCAGGAATACGATCAGACACCGCAGATCGTTTTAAACTTGACGGTAGCCCCCGAAAAAGAGTAATAATCAGAAACCAGCAGTTTTCAGAAGGCATCTCATTGGAAACCTCTGTTCACGGCGACTGACGAGCCGTTGGAAAGTGTGCAACCGGCCGTTGTGCAGTACGCGAAAGTTTCGGAAGACTGGATAGTCGAACTGAGAGTCGCTTTGGAGAGGGAAATCAAACTGCGCTTCGACGAGGCACGAAAGTTCGCAATCCCACAATGGCATCTCGTGGCCGCCCGTCAACTGCGTGAGGCTCTCGAGAATTCACGTGGCAACCTAGAGGCTACGGTAGCGGAAAAGATGTCGCGACTGAAAGACGGCTACGCAATCACCGTCGTCATCTTCCGGATGCACTACTCCTCGATACAAGACTGCGTGCATGAAGTACTCTCGAACCGTCTCCACGATTGTTCAGAACAGACGGCGCAGTTCGCCCTCGCCGTTCACGTCGTTGATTTCTTCGCTCACGCCATCCAAGTCGACGTGGCACTCGCACTTCTGAAATCGAAAAAATGAATGTGATTGGTGTCATTTCCGTGCACAAATCGAAAAAACCGTCTTATCTACCGACTGATAATCTCCTGTTTCGCTATTGAACTTTCAACTGATAAGACGACTTTTGACGTAGTTTATGTGGAGATAAAATGCGCCGAAAAGACCATAATCTTTCGCTCCCTTCTTCTCTTTTTGCTCTTTTCTCATTATTATTGATCAACATCATAAAAATACTTTTTCGAATAACCGGTAAAGTACGACACTATTTATCAATTGAAAATTTGATGACTTCATCTTTCTCTTATAACTTTTTCTTTCTGAAGTACGACGCGAAGGAGGTCGAATGATGGAGGCTCGGCATTTTCTTTCGACGACGAACTGATGGCAGTCTAGAACGTTTATTACGAATCAGAAATGAAATGAAACGTTTAATCTGACCTCTGGGGCAGTCGAGGTTGGAAGGCAGTGCACGGCGGGAACTGCTGGAAGGCCATGATCGGACGGTCCGGAAGTTGAGGACGGATATCCATGGGGGGCGGAGTCAAGTGGTCTCCGTAGATCTCTTCGTAAATAGCGAACGAAGACGAGTTTTTGAGAATGGATCGTGGCACGCTTTCAGTGCGAGTGAGTGACGGCCGAGGCGGTGGTGGGGAGGCTTCTGAGCAGGAGATGTCGTGGTAGTAGATGGTGGAAGTGGGCTCCCGAATGAGCAGGCGCTTCCGGCGGGAGCAGGCGGAATTGGAGGAATTGGAAGTGCTCGGAACTTGTTCGTCGACTTGCATCATATCGAAAAGTCTGTCCATTTCACTCTCCATCAGCTGATATGAAAAGGGAAACGACCGGAAACTAGAGTTCCTGAACTCTCTCCTCGGGGGAATGTCCAGTGTAACTTCGTCGTCATCGTAGGACATGGAGACCTCTTCCAATGTTGCCACGTCATCCTCCACTTCTTCGTGCTGCGGCAGTTCTTCGCTACTCGAACTTTCCGTCATCAAATGTTTGATCGAAGTCAATTTGGGCATCATGGGTACGTGGCGGACCGAGTTCGCCCGGATCGTGCTCGCTTCGTCGTCGTCCCCGCCGTCTCTCTCGTCGTCTCCATCTGCTGCAGTTGTCTGAAAGTGCGAGACAGGATTAGAGAAGAATCAGCACTTTTCATTCGGGTAATACCATGGAGTGTGACTTGAAAGTGGTCGAGCTGATGGTCGATGATCTTGAAGTGACGGTGCTTCCCTTGTCTTTTGTGCGAGGATTGTCCGAGTAATCCAACTAAACGGAACGGAAAGTGAGCTATGCACAAAACCGAGATAAAGAGTATACCGCATAATAATTTGTGCAATTCGAGTAGGAAGAACTGAGCAGTGCAGTATTCGGACGCAGAATGAACTGAGAATCAGAGAGCGCTTTCGAAACATCGGAAGACGAACAGTACCCGGTGGAATCGGAATCCCCGTAATATGCTCTGAACATGAATTGCTAAATACTGAAACGGAAAAGAATCAAACTTCTTTCTCCACGGCAACGCCGCTCGGATTCGATTCATTTGAACCTGAAACGGAATAAATCCAGCTCGACCCTTCGGTAAGTAATACTTGGATGCGGAATGCTGAGTTCGACAGTAGCGGCCGGAGAATGATGGTTGAGGGAGCCGGGCTCTTGCGATCGCGCTGCCTGTCGAATTGACAGCTCGCCCGCGGATCGGCAAACACCTTGATCTGCGGCGTGCGTCTCTTCGGCAGCCAGTGCTATTCACCTCCATCCGCACGTCAAATCAGTCGCCAAGGTGGCAGGTTATCCGCTGGTGCTCCGGAGGGTTCACGTGATGTCGCGCCGAAAAAACGTGTGCGTGTGAGATGGGGAAGCGGAAGGAAAGGGGCTTCTAGATCTTGGCGCGGAACTGGATTAATTGCGAACTCTTTGTTGTTGACCGGTAGTCAATGACAATCTTCTTCTTCTGCATTGTATAATCTGCTTACGCGACGTCAGTTGAGAGGACACTGTTATGTGTTGTTATCAGTCTTCGGCAGCAGCAGCAGCAGCACCAGCAGCACGCTTCTTCAGTTTGCTCGCATTCTTGTTTGTTTTACAATCGCTCACGGTCTTATACTTTTCGAAAACATTGTGAAGTTTCAGTAAATGGGTCCGAGGAAGCGAAAAGAGAAGACGGAGAGAAAGGAGGCGGAAAAAAAAGGAGTGACTCCGGATGTGCAGAAGAAGTTGGATGAGTTCTATGAACAGCAGAAAGAGCTGCTGCATAAGTTCAAGGAAGATCAGGAGACGATCAGAAAACCAGAAGAAAAGAAGCAGGTAGTCTGAGAGAGAGTTTGTGAGATGACGGAATGGATTGACAGGATGAAGACCAACGGTTGGAGGATCGCGTGCTCGCTCAAGCGACGTTCGCTCTCAACATCGGAAGTCTTATCGGTAATCTAGCCGCCTCGATTATCTCCGGTTCTCTTTCCATTATGAGGTGAGTACCCTCTCCTCTTCTCAATTCTTCAACGTTTATTTCAGTACGTTCGTCGACTCTTCCATGGACATTGCGTGCAGTTTCGTGATGAATATCTGTCTGAGCGCCATCAACAAAACGGACGCACAGAAATATCCACGCGGAAGGGAACGTCTCGAGCTGATCGGAGTGATCCTCTGCTCCGTAATCATGGCCTTCGCGAACGTTTCCATGATCATGCAGTCCGTCAACTCGATTGTCAACGATACTGTCGATCCGAAGATGACCTACTCAACCATTGCCATTGTCGTCGTTCAGACCATTCTCAAAGCGATCATAATGTATCTCTGCTACAAAAGAGGATCCACCTCGAGTCTTGTGATTGCGATGGATCTGAGGAACGACCTGGTCACCAGGAGTCTGGCTCTCATTTGCGGATATCTCGGGGACTATGTCTGGAAGTTCGCTGATCCGATCGGCGCCATCATAGTTTGCACATGGATCGCCTATTCCTGGTGTCGGCACGCAGTGGAAAACATTCCACAGTTGGTGGGAATAACTGCCGAGAGAGATCAATTGGCGAGAATTCTGAACATCACTTTGAAGCACGACCAGAGAATCAAGTAAGAGATGAGAACGCCTACGACGAATAAGGAATTGTTCAGGTTCATAGACCACTCAATGATCTACTACACGGGACTGAACGCACAGGTTGAGTTGCACATTGTGATGGACGAGAGGCTTCCGCTCAAAGTCACACACGACATTTCGCATGATTTGGAGAAAAAAATTCAAAAGTTGGACTTTGTCGAGCGCTGCTTCGTCCACGTGGACTACAACTGCGACGGCGACTAACTCCACTAACTCCACCTCTAGAATTTTCTCTGTTCTGTTCTGTTGACTGTCTTTCCCGCACGAATAACACGTAATCACTAACTGTTCTCCGATCGCCTCTTCCAGAGACGTCTCCAAAATTGAGTCTCGAGCTCACTCGCCGCCTGCACAAGTCTTGCCATACTCGCTGTTGGATATCGCAAGAGATATCCAGGTGGCGTGGGAGGGACTCGCTTGGTCACGTATCGGAATTCGACCGAGTGACGACGCGAACGGACGGCCGCCCGACTTGGGAGGATGCTGCGGCCGACATTTCCCTACTTTCGGTGTCCGCTATGCCCAGCACAGTGCATGTCTCCGCCCTCGAGCGCCCTCTGGGAAAAATGGGTGCGCCGTTGGTGAAAGATTGGTGGAATTGGAATGGTTTGAGTGATTCCGCTCTGTTTTCGCTTTACAGTGGTCTCGTATCGAACTTGGACTTTTAGAGTCACCGTTTTCTTCGAACTGTATCTAAAATCCAACAGATTTCACAGAGTTTTTAAAACTTTGGACACGGCGTTAGGAGGAATAAGACACGAAAGAAGAGATGAAAAAATTTACACATGTTTTTTTCTATTTTATTTTTTAGGTTGTGCAAAACAACATAGGAAAACGTATAGAAATGAGTCGGAACACTTGAGCAGCAGAGGAATCAGAAGTCCAAGAAAAAGGGGAAAACTGAGAAAGGAAATAAATAGTTCAGACGATAAATATATCACAGAGAATAATGTGGAAGAACGGAGACACCGACAGATCATCAGTTGAAATAGAAGAAGAAGAAGAAGAAGGGGGAAGTGGAGGGAATTACGCTAAAACGGTAAATGAGTGTGCATGGAAGATCATGGAATTTGGGTCGGAAAACAGAAAAGTAAGGGGGCGTATGGCAGGGAACAACGGGAAGTCGATCTGCGAGGCAGTCTTTCGGATTCGTCAAAGAACTGGGAAAGAGAACGGAAAGAAAAGAAGAAGGAGACGACGGATCTACTCGTCCTCGAAATCGTACAACTGTTTGTAGAGCGGACAGCACCAGCAACACCAGCACGACATTCCGATGAGCACTAAAAAATGGGATAGCGGTTGGAAACGAGCCGAAGGACAGAAATGCTCACCGAAGAGAAGGACAATCGCGGCCAGAATGATGGCAACAACGGCACCAGTCGGAATGGCGAACTGGCAGCACGAGGGCTTCCAGGATCCCATGTAGGGGAATGTGCAGCACCAGTTGTAGTTGTCCCAGTCGGTGGGCTGAGGACAGAAGGCCAAGTATCCTGGAAACGAACAGTTTGGTTATGAATTCAGAAAGGAGCGCACGTACCGTATCCACTCGGACACCAGAAGATCCGTCTGTTTCCTAATCGTCCCTCGATGTACTGTGTGATCGGGTCGTTGAGTCCTTGTCCATTGGCAAAGTAGCCTACAAAAAAGAGATTGGCTTATTGCCTTGAAAGTGTTCGAAACTCACAAACAGTGCAGAGGATGGCTGCGAAGGCCAGATGCCGTACTCGAATCTCCATCAGACCCTTCAAAAGTATTGATTGAGAGGGAAAAAGCCAATTTGATTGATAAAACGGAAAAGCGACGACCGAAAATAGAATCAATGAGAAGGTGATAACGGTGGGAGCAAAAATAAAAGAATGTTCAGTGAAACGGCGATGCGAATCGATTTTAGTAGGAGAAAAACGGGGAGAAAAGGAGTGGAGACGGCACTTCTTATCACCAAACTTGTAGGCATGACTCAGTGCGAGAATCAACATCGAGGTTACTTTGAAAACACAATTTTTAAAAAGAGTGTACGATTATTGATCGAACGGGCAGCAGCACATGGCAAAAGCGGCGGTAGGAACATACATAGTGCTCTCGGCGAGCCGACCGACATGTATTTGTTTTGGGAGCAAACAAAGGTACACAGATGACTCGGACTGACCCGCCGGAAAGGAGCTCAAGACGGAGGAGCACAGGAACAGCCGTTACGTGGCAAATTTGGAACTAAAGTGCACTGATTGGAAGATTTTGGAAGGGAAATAAGGTTTGAGACTGACTGAGCGGGCGAAACTTTAAAGATCAACCTCAAAAATGGTCTTCATGGGGAATCAGGAGATAGTAAAAATTTAAGGGCCGAGCTATCTGCACGGGCCGGCAAAGCATACGGAGGAGTGGAAATTGTGAAGCTGTAACTTCTCTCAGAAACCTTACATTTTCCTCTGACCTGGCTCATTTTGAAGAACCCAGTAAAATTGAACTCTTATCAAAAAATCAGAGGTCCCTATGTTCGATTTCTGGAGATATATTGAAAAAACCGAAAGTCCTATGTATGAAAAGCCGGGCCGTGATCTGGGTTACGGTACCAGACGTGGTTCCGTATGTTTGATGGTAACTCAAGGTTTCATGAATAGCAAGTAGAAGGAACCTTTCCGCTGAGTCACGCATCAATGCGGAGGCCGCTATCACCAATGGAAGAGAGAAAAAGAGGGAGAGAGAGAGAGAGAGAGAGAGAGAGAGAGAGAGAGAAAGGAACTGCCACGTCACTGTCAAGTTATGAATGGAGTCGCACGGGCGGTCATCTTCGGTCCGTTCCGCGAGGAAAACATGTCAAACAAAGGAGAGTTAAACACTGATTATCCGACATGTTTACACGAGATCAAGCTAGTTCATTCATTCCTCGTCGCATTCGGCCGAAGGACACCGCATCGCATCAAGTTTACTCAAAAAGTGCGTCGGCTCGAGAAGGATCCATCTGAAGGGGTGAAAGGTGAGATGGTCTCTCCTCCAGAAGGAAAGGGAAAGAGGGTGGGTGACTCACTCGTTCTCGTGTTTGCGTTCTAAAAGCCTCAACCGACGCTCGAGTTTATTCGTCTTGATTCTTCTCCTAAGAATGGAGAATGGCGGAGGTGGAGGCGAGGGAATGAATGACTCACTTGAGAAAGTAGAAGAGAATGAGAAACGCGACGGCTCTGATGACGAACTCAAAAGTGGCCTTCAAGGATTTACTTTTCTGGAAGACACGTGGCGGAGTGGGAGAGCAGAGTCGGACGGACCACTTACGATATCGACAAACATTTTTAGAAAAGGAGAAGAATAAGAGAAGAAAAGAGAGCAGATCCACGTGAAAGAAAGGGAAAAAAGAAAAGCACGGCGAAAATGGAAAGTGTATAGTGTGCGGGAGAGACCTCCTCGCGCTGTCCGTACCGCCGCGTCCTCCTCCTCCTCCACCTCTAAAATTATATTGTTGTGCTTGACTGTGCGGCCGGAGAGTGTCGTCTTGTGTGTATGCAAATTGCGATTTGTTTGCTTTTCGTTCCGTACCATTCCATTCGGACGATCAGTGTCTCTTCGCAGCCCACGCTCTCTTGTCGACGATGAGCCGAATCGATTTTCGATGATAACCGCAGGGGGAATCAGAAGAGAGTTGTGAAAGACGAATGAAGGGAAGGTTATGAGTCAGCCGAGGGAGGATGGGAACGGGCACAAAACAGGGAACTGGGGAGCGAACGGAAAGGGTTCGGTGGTTGGAAACTGTTCGTTACCTCAGGTTACTTCACATTCAGAAGTTAAGGAAACTGAAACTTACCCGAGATTTATGTGACTTCTGGAAATGGAGTACGGAGAAGCCGGGTCAATGCCGGATGCCTAGCTCTGGTAGGAATATAACTGAAGATGATAACAAAAACGTTTTTAGTGTCAGAGAAAAAGGAAATTGTTTTATGATGAAGCAATGAAACAATTGAGCTTTCCGTGTGTGCTCATCCTTGTTCAAGCTTCCTTTGTGCTTTTCTTTATTCAATTGGAAATGAGTGTCAAATGATTTCAGTACAATGTAAGTCCGAATGAGCAACAAACTGATATTGTTCCGGAAATTATGCTTACGCTTCATGATCACCAGCAATTTCAACACAGTGTAAAGAGCTGACAATGACGTCCATATGCATTCCTTTGCTCAGCCCGAAATTCTTCATATAAGACGCCCTCCCTCACCATATCGGGTCACATCCATTTCATTTCACTCCCATGAATTTATAAACAAACGAATTCAGGAGAGACCGAGGCGCGCCACGCATTCTTTTCCTCTTTCCCTTCATCCGTTTCACCGCAAAACACATGTCCGCTCGGCAGGCAGCAATCGACAGATGTTTTAACGGGCGCTCCGATTTCGCGCATTTTGTGGTTCGACCATCTGCATTACTTTTCCCCCCAACCCTTCTGCTTCTTCTCTTTCTCTTTGTCTTCTTCCTTCGGCCGGCTCCCATCTCTTGCCCATTTTTCCGCCAAATTAGAGCCAATTACCCCGGCGGTCGTCGCTTCGTGCTCCGTGCCCTTCGGCTCTTTCGGCATGACACCTCGCTTTTCAGTTGTAATTCCGTTAGAGCCGAAGCCTCTCATGCATTCAGAATAAGAGGCTTCCGAGCCGCTCTCATCCCCTCTCACCTCTCCATTCTTTTCGTTTTCTCTTCTTTCCAACGCTTCTCCTTCTCTTTTTTAATTATTCCAAAGTGGTGATATTCTGAAGACGGAGAGCGCACTTTTCCATTTGACACGCCCTCCCTTTCAAAGCGATTTATGGGTTGTTGCCAAACAAATTTACCGTTGCCAAACATTGCCAAATGAGTCTCTTTGGCGGCTTTCTCTACACCACTATTTGACGGTTTCGTTCTTCTCATTTCTCAAGAAGTTAGGTCACTGCTGAAAAATGTTTTCGGTTCGAAATACCACTGCTTTTCCAACTCTGATCAATCCTAAAAGTACGTTTTGGGTGCCCAGGTGGCAATGAATGATCTGCAAACACGGTCATGCGTGCCGCTCGCAACGCCCAATTCGCTCCCTTTTATTGACAGTTTTATTATTATGAATTCGGCAGGCCGCGAACGAGTCGAGCCTGAAACCAGTCACAACATCATCAACTGGTCAGCCGCGCTTCCTCGCTCCCCGTTTAATCTATTTGAGCCCCCGTCTCTTCCTTCCCCAAATCTTTCATTTCGTTTTCTCCGTCCCAAAGTGTTTGAAGACCCGGCGGCCCACCGAAATCATCATGTATTTATTTTTGTGTTTACGCAACAGCTTCGGTGCTGCCCCGAATCGGAACTTCCCGAATCAGAACTGGTACGAATCAGAACCAATTAGCACTGAAAATAGTTCTGATTCGTACCAGTTCTGATTCGGGAAGTTCCGATTCGGGGCAGCACCACAGCTTCGCCCTCGTTTTACACAATTCCAAATCGATTGGAGGACTGGGGAGTTTGGGCGGCCCGAAAACGGTGTCGATGGCATCGCCTCTCATTTCCGGCTGCGAATTGCTTTTATCCGCTGGCACACACAAAGATAGTAAACACCTCCAGTTGTCTCGGCGGTTTCCCTCTCAAGTACCCCCTTTTCAATTCAATTTCACTCTCCGATTGCCACTTCTGACTCAACACGCAATCGATACTTTTACAAGAGCTCAAAAAAGAGAGAAAGAGAGAGAAAGAAAGAGGCGCCTATTCTGTTATCGTTCTTCTCTTTTCATTTGCCTATTGTTTTGTTTACTGTCTTCAGATGACTCAGTTCATCGACGAAGAGAGCATTCCTCTGAAGGAAAGAGGTGCTAGTGATCAGATCAATTTGGACTTCTGCAATCAGAGATCCAGGCTTCGGAGGAACAAAGCCGAGCAGTCAACCACGTTCTTCTTCGATTACTCAACGTAAGAAGCCGGCCGTCTCATACATTTCTAACCGATCGTGAATTTCAGAGATTCTGGCGACGGAGAAGTTCTGAATTGGAGAGAGCTTCGGAAGTTGGTGAGTTTTTGCTCAGTTTCTCCTCAAGTTGACCGAACTGTATTCAGAAAGCGAGCAAGAAATGGGGAGTGATCCGTCATCCGTTCATTCTCAATTATGTAAACCAGAAGCTCGTTGACTGCGCTTTCTTCTACACTCTCCACATTCTCGGTCCGTTCCCCACTATCATTCTTGATCACACACACTTATTTTCAGCGTTTCTCTTCTTCTTCCTCTTGCTAGCCTGGCACATTTTCGCACGAACGATAATCAAAGACTTCCTCATTACCGCCTTTGTTGCCACTTTCGGAATGTTCCTTGTAAACCCGCAAACCTGTTTTGAACCAGTGCATCTTAAATTTGATTTTCAGATTCTGAAGGGTACCATCAAGGCCAGGATCACTCAATCCATTTCCGCGTGGTTCGTCGTCGCCTTCTGCTTCAACGTCTTCAATTATTTGGCCACTCTGGCCTATGTCTGGCTGCCCACCATGTTCGCGTATGATGATTATCATCAAGAAGTTAAAGTTCGTCACTTACCCTCTAACTTTTCGAAATTTCAATTTCAATTTCCAGAAAATAGTAACGTGGTTCCTGCCGATCATTGCAATCATCGCTGCTTGGGCGAACCTTCTGTACATAATGAGAAAGTCTCCGTTCGGAATTTACATTTTCATGATGACTCGTATTCTGCGAAGTTTCGCACATGTGAGAGACACTTAATGAGAAGTTTGTCGCTGAAGAATTTAATTGCAGATAGCGACCATCTGGATCCCCACTCTCATCGCCTTCTCCTTCGCTTTCCTGCTCATCATGCGAGACACCGGGGTGAAGCCGTGGCCTCTGATCGACCAACAAGCGGCCAACATGACGATGGTGCACACGATGCTCGTCATTCTGCAGGCAATCACGAAGACGTCGACGATGATGATCGGAGAAGTTGACGCGAACGACATCCTGGACACGAACCAGTGGATTCCCAGCATTCTCGTGCTCGTCTTTGAGATTATCACCGTCATCCTTCTCATGAATCTGATGGTCTCTCTGGCCGTCGGAGACGTCAAGTACTTGATGGACACGGCTCAGGACAAACTTCTCAAGATCAAAGTTAACTATGTTATCGAAGCTCTGCAGCTCAGCGAGCAGTTCGGTAATGACGCGTTCCGTCTTCACACCAAAAAGACTGCAAATGTTCTGGTGATCGATGAGGACGGCCACTACTTTACTCATTTCGACAATTTTCCGAAGGAGCTGCCACTGGAAACTTCTGACGAGGTTTGCCTTTATAAAATTGAAATGCTCATTCTATTGATAACTTTCAGTCGTATAAAGTCAGTTTTGTGGAGACTGGAGTCCGACTTCGCATTCGTACCACCCAGGGACGTGTCAAGAAAGCCACGTTGAGCCACTGTGACATCGAATGCAAAGAGCTCTCCGAGTCGGGAATCCCAGTCATTCACAGCACTTCAGACTCGAAAGAATACGAGGTGAGCACGGTGTTCCGTTCTCAACTCAGTTTCTAATTTTATGTTTCCAGAGTGGAGATGGATGCTGGGATGGTTATGCAAAGTGGCTGATAGGTCTCGATTGGGCGGGATACCTGGATATCTAAACTCTGCGAATCCACGTCTCCGGGTTACTGTACTGCCCTCCGGAAAGAATAATCACTGATCTCACGCCGTTCCATTTGTTTCGCATCCGTTCCGAATAAATATTCCCCCGTGAACTTGTTCATCGTCATTTTCTCCTTATCGCTCGTGCACAGTCCGTCCGTCATTGCAAGGGAAACATCGGTGAACGTTTCGATCAATGGCATCTGAATATTTCTCAACGCTGCAATACATCTGGCTGAATATCGTCTTCTTCATTTTCTCGCTTCTCGTCTTCGCCATCTGTCTGTACGCATGTCTCTTCGTGAGATGGGTGAGAAGCACGAAAAAAAAAATGAAAATGGGTCATTCGAATTCAGGTGTACAAGAGAAGACTTCGTCAGAAGACTGATGAAATGATTGAGTGCTACAAGAGCGGAGAGGACAAACGGAAGGAAATGGAGCTGAATCTAAAGAAACAGGAATTGAAACGTTGGTTTAGTTTCTGAAGACAGCGCATGAAATTGATTATTCTCAGCGCCGACACAAAAGAAAAAGGGCAAGTCTCACAACCTGCACATCGTCACGAAAGCCTGCAATCACGTTATTCAAAAGAACAGCAAAGAAGTGATTGTGCAGCAAGTGCACGAAGGAGCCAACGAGGAAGTGGCGTGCTCTCCGCTTCCGATTCCCGTTCAGCAGCAGTATCCGTTGCCACAGCCTCAGCAGCAGTTGCAGCATCAACAGGTGCAGCCACAGTACATCATGGTCCCCATGGAAATTATGAAGAATCAGAAGAAACGTGGGTGTCCGTTTCAGTCTTTCATTTACCTAGTTGTTTTCAGAGAAGCGCTCCCACTCGCCGAATGTTCCACTCGTCTTGCCGCTTCAAACTCAGAAAGTGATCGTAGAGAGTGTGGCGACACAAACGTCGGATCGTCAGATGGATCGGCCGAACGGACTGGAAAAGAAGAAGTCGGAGGATTGGCTGGATGGGTACGATGAGAAGGACGCAGAACGCATTGATTTGGACGAGGAGCCAGAGGACAATGAGAGTGACCGGATTATGAAGAGACGCAGAGACTACGACAACAAGCACAAGAAGCCTAGTCCGAAGACTAGCGCCCTTTCCGATGAAACGAGAGTTTCGATCGAAAACGATACTCCACCACCGGTGTCTTCCGCTTCGACCACTCCCTCAAAGACGCCATCGACCACTCCGTCGACCACTCCGTCTACCACAACTTCTGGATTCACTTCTTCTGCTGGAACCACTCAATCGGCTGCTCCTTCTACTCCTGAAGTCGTCGAAAAAGCACCTCCTCCGATTGTTCCTACTGCAAAGAAATCGAATGAGAGCAACGTCAAGAGCACTTTTATCGGAGAGCCTGCGGCCGTCTCTTCCAGTCTGTTCACATTTCAGAGTTCCTCTCCACCTCCTGCAATTTTCAGATTACTTGCAACCGCCCATCATGGCAAATACGACACCTCCGCGGCCCGCTATCTTCCCGTACTTTGTCGACTCGAAAGTTCCGACGGCGGAGACTTCGACCAGCAAGGCGACGTCGAAAATTAGCAAAGCCTACTGGGATTCATCCGAAGACTCTTGTGCTCTGTACAGATCTCGCAGAAAAAATGTGAAATCGGAGAAACACTACGGAACACTCAGGAAGTAATCATTAAAATGGATCTCTCTTCTAATTTCTCTTTGTTTTTTTTTAATGTATCCTCGTCTCTTTAATTGTTCGAATAAATTGTTGTTTGTAAGGTGTTTTCACCGAAAAATATGACCATGTGATGAACATTTGCGACGTTGATTTATTGATGTCACGAACCGAGAGAGTGCTGTCTTTAGGATACACAGAGAAGGGCGGACGACGCGAAGGAAAGTGGGTGGATAGGAAGGTAGGAAGACTGCGGGCTCGCCGCCGGAGCAAGTGTGACCGCCAGTTCGTCGTCTGGTCAGTTTTTGTTTCCCTCGATGCGAGCTCTCCTCGTTTCCGTCGCTCTCCTCCTGCTTTTCGCGAAATCCGATGCGCGCTGGTTCAAGTTCGGAAAGCAACAACAGAAAGGTCTTCCAGTCGTTCTAGGTGAGTATCTCCCATTCCTTATCATCATTCCTGCTGATTGCCTCATTTCAGTTCCTGGCGATGGAGGAAGTCAGTTGGAGTCCAATTTGACGGGAAAACCGTCGGTCGTTCACTATGTGTGCGCCAAACAAACGGCCGATTACTTTGATTTGTGGCTGAATCTCGAACTGTTCAGTCCGATGGTCATCGATTGCTGGGCAGACAACATGCAGTGAGTGTTCTCGTGAATGGAAAGAAGTACACGGTCCATTCCAGATTGGTGTTCAATACAACGACTGGAAAGTCGGACAACATGCCGGGAGTTGACATCCGAGTGACAGGATTCGGAGCAACGCCGGCTGTGGAATGGCTCGATAAGAGCAAGGCTTCACAAGGAAGATACTTTTTCGATATTGTCGATTCTATGGTCTCCTGGGGATACAGAAGAGGAAAGGATGTCGTCGGAGCGCCGTTCGATTGGAGAAGATCTCCGAGTAAGGACACTTTCTGCTCGTTCAGTTTCATAATATTCTATATTCAGATGAGTTGAATGATTACCTCATCGAATTGAAGACTCTAGTGGAGACAACCTACCGTTGGAACGACAACCAGAAGGTTGTGCTCGTGGGACACAGCATGGGAAACCCGCTCTCTTTGTTCTTCCTGAACAACTACGTGGATCAGGCATGGAAAGACAAGTACATTGCCAGTTTCGTGAGTCTGGCTGCTCCCTGGGCCGGCTCCATGCAGATCGTTCGATTGTTCGCTTCCGGATACAACATGAACTACTACAGAGTCATTCTGCCGCCGAGTAAACTTAGAGCCATGCAAAGGTTTTTCAGCTGAAGCCGCTTTCCACTTTCATTTCCCCGTTTCAGATCATTCACATCTTCGGCCTTCCTGTTCCCAAGTCCTGTTGCCTGGAAGTCAACAGACATTCTCGCGTCGACGGCCGAAAAGAACTACACAGTGACGAACATCAAGGAGTTCTTCCATGACATCGACTACATGATCGGATGGGAACAGTACAAGCAGTCGGCCCGATTGAACGGAAATCTGTCCGCTCCGGGCGTTCCTGTGCATTGTATCTACGGTACAGGAGTTCCGACACCGGAGAGGTTCGAGTGGGCTCCCGGTTACTTCCCGGACTACCCTCCGACCGAGTTTATGGGCGACGGCGACGGAACCGTGAACAAGAAGTCGGCGGCGGTGTGCGCGAATTGGATCGGAAACAACGGTGGAAAGAGAGTGACGGTGCACGAGGTGTTCCAGGCGGATCACATGGCCATTCTCAAGCATCCGAACGCCATCGAACTCGTCCGAAAGGCCATTTATCAGTTGTTGTGAGCTCTATGAGAGCATTTTTGTATATTTCAGTGTGGATTTTTTTTTCGTATTTTTGAATGAATAAAGTTTTGAGCTAATAGCAGATTGCTGGGCAGACAACAGCCATTGGCTGTCGGCGAAATCTTCCGATTCAAATAGCTAACCGCTTCGGAGGGTCTTCCGAAAGGTTACTTGATAATTAGAGGACGGTTACTTAACGAGCAGTTCAAGTGTGAAATTGGGCGGTCTCCTAAAAGAGACGTTTTCAAGGATTCACTAATTGGCGAACGTTTATTATTATGCAAATGGAAATATGAATTGTCAAAAAGAGAATGAGAGCACTAAAGTGGTGTATAGTCAAATAAATTAGAGCGATAGGCAGAATTAAACATTTAAACGATTGCATTAATCATGATAATAAATGTTGAGAAGGTTAAAAGTGCGCGGAAATCACAGGACATTTCTCCATGAAGATGGAACTGGAACGATTGGTTAGAAAGGAAAGGAGAGCATGATGATTGCTAGAGTATCCGTAAGAGGGTGGGGGGAAAAGAAAGAAATGTGGACGAAAAGAGCAAGAACTAAAACCGTTGATGATTGTACTGCGATCCGTTGTCATCGAGCAGTTTCATCTTGTCATCTTCCGGCTTCCTCTTCATTCCAACCATCGCCTTCGGGTTCATGTTCCTTTGACGGACCTGCAAACCAAAGAGTTACGAGGGAAGCCAACGGATGTGCTCACTTGCTCCTCTAACTGAGTGATCACAGTTACCGCATTGTGCAGTATTCCCAGTTTGGTCTGATTTCGTTCCGTGCTCGCATTGTGCTGAGTGCACATTCTTCCGAGCTCCTTGAATGCAGAGTTGATGTCTCGAACACGCACCCTGGAATTGAAGGATTATTGCGAAGATTCGTCAGGTTAAATCGACACGTAATTACACCCGTTTATTGTTAATTACTGTTCCAATATTTGCTATATCTACCTACCGTTCTCTCGCATTATTCTGAGATCGTCGGTCCGTGTCTTTCTCGTCGTTGCTCACTGATTCGTTATCGGACAGTCGCGACGAGGAGGAATGGCGCGTTGGCATTCCGGACGACGGAGCTTGCACTCGGCGCCGACTCGTCGCACGTGATTTGTCGGATCGTCCGCTTGAGGAGCCTGTGTTCATTCCAGGCAGGCCCGGGTAGACGTTCGGATCGAAGTGAGGACTCATTCCGGCAGGCGGGAACGAGTGACCGTAGTCCGCCAAGTTCTGATCTCCTCCGAGGCCATTCTGAAGTTGAATTTCGATATCATTTCGGGTCGACTCTTTCCCAATTCCTCCGGGTGTCAGCCCCATCAAACACAAAGAGCCTATTTAACCGAACGAAGAGAGGAGGCAGGCGAGCGCGCACTCGATTCGATCGATCTCTTTAATGTACTGGTAACCCGCAATGCGCCCGTCTCCCTCGCTCCACTTAATCATGCGGACGGTCATCGGCCTCTCCATTGTCCAACAGTGCTCCGAAGAGCTCTTCGAACCAATGCAGCCCAAATTTGCGCTAATTTAGATAGAGTCGCGTCGCTCTGTCAGTGTTTAGTGTTTGCATCGCCGTGTGGGCCAAGCCAGCCAAGAAAGGAGCGTCTCAAGTGAGGCCAACTTTGCTTAATTATGTAACTAATCCATCTTTTAATGTCCCTTTTTTATGTTTACATTAGTGACTTTTCGAGGTCGCGCGCACGGCGACCTAAAGAAGATGCCGCCCGAGAAGAACGCCCGATCAGACGGGCGGCTCGCTTCAAAGCACGGATTATGCATGCGTGCGCGGTCGTCGTTGTCCCCGCAAAGCACTCTTCTTGTTCGAGATTAACTTGTAGTAAAACACGTACCGGTTGCACTGTTGGTGCTGGATAAAAGTGTGACGACAGATCCGCATTGTTTGGATCCGATCCGAAGGCGTAGGCGGGCGGGATCGTCAAGTACGGGTTCACGGTTCCACTGGCTTTATCATCAGTTGGCGGGAACGCCAACGTCGGATACGAGTTCCACGCTCCGTACATCGAAGACATAGCATCCAGAGGGCCGGCAGGGTTGGTTGATGAAGCAACGATTCCGGAGGCGTCAGTAAGGGAAGTCTGTTGCATGGACGGCTTCAGCTCGAGAACTTCAGTTTTGGAAGTGACTGGAGCAGTCGGAGACGTGGTCGTCGAAGTGGAAGACGCTGCCTGAGGCGCTGGAGCCGGAGCAGCTTCAGTTGTTGCGGGAGCTGCTGGTGCAGGAGCGTCGGCTGGCGGATGAGAAGCCGGAGGGAGGAAGGCGGCCGAGTAATCAATGTCCGTCGATGGCATTGCGGACGGATAGGCATTGAACTGGTATCCTGCAATGTTTATATTTGAGAACGGATAAGCAGAGACTGGCTCTCGAGAAGGGGAGAACAAGTGCATAAACAACCACTGACCATTATAGTAATCGCTTGCCTGAAGGGTTACCGGATCGATTCCGTACGGGTAATCGTAGGCGGTCGGGAGCATGACCTGCGGTTGAGCAAGAGCCGCGGTCGCCAGGGAAGTCGCCGATGGAAGTTGGCTGTTCGGATCCGCCATGCTGTTCTGGAAGAAGAATGCAACGGGTCGACGGAGAGTAGTAATGTGGGGAGAAATGAAGTCGACGGGGATAAATAAAATTGGGGAGCAGGTGAAAATTCAGTTAGGTAAGCATATATGGTGATTCGGTTAAAGGCTTGGATGGAGTATTGATTTGGATTTGTGGAAAATAACAAGAAAGAAATGCAAGAAGCACATTCACACCGTCGGGACGGTAGATCAAAACGAATTGCGTAACAATAAGAGGTCTAGAGGGGTATGAAGAGGCACATTCCTTCCGCTTCCGAAGACGTAGAGCATCGTGTGTTCGGTTAGGGACGAAAGAGACATTGAGTGCAATGGGATGGTAATGAAGACGTGTTCAGGAGGGTAATCAAGATAGTATCAGCTGTAGATTTTATCAAGGACATCTTCTCGAAAGAGCAATAAAAACACAATCGGAGGTTGCACCATTCCCTACCGTAATCTGGCCATGAAAGAAGAAGGACAATATCGGTTGCCACGCGCGGAAAAGCTTTTCCGAGAGGGCTCTTCGCACGTCTAAAACAGAAGATAGTGCGTTTGGTGAACCCCGGAGAGGGTGGCTATGTGGGTGGCTAAGAATGGTAGGGAGGGTCGCGCACACGAATAAATGCTGGCATTGTGCCGAGAGAATACGGTAAGCGGCGGAGACGCAGACAAGCGACGGACCGTCTCCGAATCGGAGACGCAGGACGGGAGGTCACGCCCCTCTCTCATCGGGCCACCACCGTCCCCCCCCCCTATTCACCCAGAGTCTTTTTTGGGTGGATGGAAAGAGGGGATCAAATGAATGAGTGGAGGGACGGATGAATGGAAGGAGGACGAGAGAGGAGGCTGGAGAGGTCAGCTCTCGGAAGACACCCGGCTGCGGAATGAGTGCACTTTGGCAGGTGGTCGGGACCGTCCGTTTCAACTTTTTAGGACCCTATTCAGAGTAAATGAAGTAAACGCAGCTGTCAACTACACTGATTTCATTTTTCGAAGGGAATCCACAATCTTCCCTGCTCACTCCATCTCAGAGAGAGAGAGAGAGAGAGAGAGAAAGAGAGAGAGAAGTGCATAACCGAACTGAAGGTGCGATTAACAGATCGACTGTACGGTCTTTTCAATTGCGCAACATAAGAAGAGGTTTGCCGACTCGTCCCTTTATTACTGTCATTAGGGATATATGGTCCTCGTAAGCCAGTCAAATAAATCCATTCCGTGCCAACTCGAATTGTTTTCAAGACATTCTCAGTCAGACTGAATACGTCAACGGCTTCGAAAAGCACCTGCGTTTGGATATCAGGAAATTCGAAAAACGAGCACAATCATTCCGCGTCGTCAACTCGCCGTCGCCCTTCTCTCATTCTGACCCACTAAACAGGTCATTCAGAAGGATCTCTGAGTCTCTCGATCCTGCACACTCTCAAACAGACAATTGTGAGTATCGGGTACCGTCTCCCAGCATGTATCCGTCATCCGAATTAGCATAAGAGTTAGTGATGATGAGGTGACAGTTGTGGAACGTCTCTTAGCACCGCGCACTGTCTTGAGAGAGAGACAGAGAGAGAGTGAGAGAGAAATTGGATTTAGAATACAAAGTGATTCAGTTTGAAACCGGGGAAGAAGCAAAAGGGTTTCGAAATGGAAAAAGAGAAGGTTGCCAAGGTCGGACCGGTCCGACAGATGGGCGCTTGCCAGCGGTGAATGCGGATCTGCGAATGATTTACGACGTGTTGCCACCCAAACTTTATGAGCCCTAGAATGCTGATTTTCTTTCGACCCGCGCGCGGTAGCCGCTGCCGCTCGTTTTATGATTGGGAAATGTGTGTCAGTAGAGGAGCGGTTCCCACGAACCGCACGAACGGACCATCTAATATTATAAGGAGGGACTATTTACAGAAGGACATAATCGAGTGTGCATGATTGATGGAATGTCAACACGTGACAGCGAGAATAAGTGAGCAACCACTCGATTGTGCCACCACTAATCTGTGAGATCAGTAAACGGATTAGTCAGTCATTTTCAGAGTGACAGTACACAGTTTCCCTGGGCGCTCGTGCCACTCTTGTAGCTTTCTCTCTGCTAGTTGCGTAGCCCTCCCAACGACCTTTTTTCATCCGAAAAACTGTGGCCGGATCGAGAACAATTCATTACGCAACACACTGTTTTTTCGTGGTCTCGAAGGATTACGTAAGCAGGAGGTCTCGAAACAATGCTTGTGGAGGTCGTCGACGACTACAGTAGACCGGAAGGGACGTGTGGGTGATACGAGGGAGAAGTAGACGGAGAGGCGGCTCTCCTCCACGGGTGCGCAGCTGCACAAACTCAGAGAGATCGAGCCGGAGAGAGGAGCTGCGGATATTGTGTAGCATCGTCATTCGAGGACCGATGTGTGTTCGATTATGAGCACGGAATGGAGGGGCACAGTTATAAAATCGAGAGAGAGAGAGAGAAGAACGAGAAATGATGATGTAAATACTTGGACACGAAATTGTGGGGAAAATGGGTTGGAAATGAGAAAGGAGGAGGGGCGGGGTTACGGTAGCTGAATTCGATTGGAAGAAAGATCGAGCAAGAACCGATTTGATTGAATTGGACGGAGAATGCCCTTGGAGAGCCAAGCGACACGAAACTTTTGAGCGAAATGATTTAGATGGCGTGACGGGCGGTCGCTCTTTCTCTCTCTCTTTCTTTCTGAAGATGACACCTGTCCGAAAGAAGACAAACTTTGTGTTGAAATGCGGTAAAAGAGGAAGATCAAGCGCTGATCAAAGGGACCGCTTCTGTTTGAGCGAAGAAAGAAGAATCTCCAAACAAACGCGCCGAGTGTCTACCGTATGCCGGCCCTGCCCCCAAAGAGAGAGAGAATTCCAATTAGACACGTTGTGCGAATGACACTTTTTGAGGAACAAACCACCGACGCACACTCGATTATATGGAGCCCGGCTCTCCGTGCAATTCAATTTGCATTTCGCCGTTATATGAATGACGACGATAAGAGAAAAGGAGGCGAGAAAGGGAAAGTGGACCAACGAGACAGTTGAAAACAAAACATACCACTAATAAGGGGGGAATTCACAACATAAATGAAGGACGAAGGTTGGAGAGAGAGAAGGCTCGCGAGAAGCAGATGGGAAGGGCATGTTGGCGAGGGACTGACCAAATCGGGCAAACGGTGGATGGCGAGAGACAGTTGTTTGCTTTTTGAAACCATCTGATTGGAGCACGCATCCCGCTGGTTCAAGCCATGAGTGTTCTGGACAATTTTCATGAATGCAGTGAACTGAAAGTAACGAAAACTATCGATTCCTGGGAGGATCAGAATTTCCGCTCACGCATGTTTCACTGGAAGGACTCCTCACTAATTTATGTGTCTTCTCTTCCCGAAAATGGTATGAAATAGCGAACAAAAAAGTATTATAAGATTCTTTGAAACAACTTCGGATCAATGGATCCCATTTACATTTACGACATTGCCCCCGGGACGAGCAAGCACCGTAAGCCTGGCGGAGAAAAAGAGCAGTGCTCTCCGATCGATGCTTCTTCCGCTTCCCTTCCAACTTTTCGTTCTCCTCCCATTCCATCGCTCTTTCTATTTTCAACCGTCTGTCCGCCTAGATTCCGTGTGATCGGCGTAGGACCCAGACACTCTTTGCCCGACCGCACATCTGGCATCGGTCGGAATAAAACGGGCCGTCGTGCCTCAAGCGAGGAGAAACCAAGACTCTTTCCTGACCCACAACATTTCACTGTTTATTGGAGAAGAACAGCGTTTCGCAATGCTTCAACTTTCAGGGTTTCAATAGCACGTTGATTAAAGCGCAGAAAAAGAGGTCAGTTAGCAAATAAAAAGGAAAAAATGAGGGAGAGGTTGGGGGAACTGTACGCGCATAGATCTCCCGGTGAGAAGTGCCTGCCCCTCCCGCGTCACTGTCACTCATCTTCGCAGTGAATTTCAAATTTGGCGCGTGCCGCCCGAGACGAGATAGTAGAAGAATCGGAGAAACGCGCGATTAGCGGCTTTGTTTGGTGCCACACGCGACGCGATCCGACCGGACGAGAAGATGATTCGGTGCGAAGATACGGGCGGCGCAGAGGAGGATCGAAAACGAAGAAAACGATAGAGAAAAGTGTTTATTGCTTGTGAAGTTTTGATTTCGAACGGTACGGGTACGGATTACGGTAGACACTTCCACGATTCGGACACTGACAGTATCCGGCATCCGGCCCTGGACTGCCCGGAAATCCTGATTCTCCTGGAGGCCCGTCGATGCCTGGTGTTCCCGGATATCCGGGTTTCCCTTCTGGCCCCGCCGGTCCTGGCAACCCAATGCGTCCTGGTTTTCCGTTGTATCCTGGCAGTCCATCCTTTCCAGGATATCCGATCCTTCCCATTCGTCCGGGCAGTCCGTGTCCTTTCTTTCCATCTCTTCCCGGAAGTCCCGGTTTTCCGTCTTCTCCAGGTCTTCCCGGCAATCCGCTCGTTCCTTGTTCGCCCGGACGACCCGGTTTTCCGTCGGCTCCTCTGTATCCGGGATTTCCTGGTTTCCCATCAGGCCCTGGCTCTCCAGGAAGTCCGTCTCTTCCCGGATAACCAGGAAGTCCAGCAGGGCAACGAATACAAGTGCGGTCCGGAAGAGGGCATTGAATCGGCTCGTACGTCTGTTGGTTGTCTTCTCCCGGAGTTCCACGTGATCCCGGAGATCCTGGAGCGCCCGGACTCCCTGGCTGCCCTGAACACAAAATAATATTTTCCGTGATAAACTTCTACGCCAAACCTGGAGGTCCAGGAGGGCATACAGGCTTGCTGGGTTCGCATTGACACCAAGAGGGCAGTCCTCCGTAAGTGTGTCTCTTCTTCTTCAAGTGACTTTCGAATGGATGGCGCGGGGCTCTAGACGGGGGCGAAACGAAGGACTGCACATCCATCATGTCGTGCCACGCGGGATCCGTCTCCGATTGGAACACTCGGACGGACTCATTGACCTAGAAAGCAGAGATTTGGAGAGCCGTCAAATTTATGCGATCACGTACCTGCGCTTCGATATCGTCCATTTCCTGGAATAATCCGGCCAGGACCACGAAACAACTCACGATGGCGGTGAGGGAGCCGATGGTGGAGACACCGGCCACTGCCTTCACTTCCCAATTCATTTCGAAGTGTTTCCATTTTGTTCAAAGTCACTCAGTGTTTTATACCCATCAAATACCGCTGCAACTGGTTCCATATTCCTCAAATGCATTTGCAAATTACGGAGGTGCGATGCGCGGAACCGATCAAACTTCTTTGTCCACACATTCTCTCTTTTTTCGACTGCATCATCATTGGCATCGTTCCACCCTCAAATCTCAATTCACGAAGACATCATTCTATTTGGCGGCACAACACATTTGGATTTATGGCAGTCACAGCTAATATTATGCGAAGCGGACGAGGAGGAAAAGCGAGGAGCAACACGTCAATGAGATGTCACTTCACAACAAAAGAAAGAAAAATGGGAGGGGAAGGATTGGAGGTGCCCTCTTCGGCGACGGACAGACAAGGACGGAAGTACCAGGAGGAGGGGGTAATTAGAAGGTGATCGCGCAGAGGGAAATGTCGAAATGACACCTGAAACGGGCGGTTTTACGATTTCAATTACGCACTCGAATTCAATGAAATATTGAAAGATTTCAAATGAATCCGGAATGGAGAAGCTTTATTGTTGAGACATGAAAGACAGGAATCTAAGAGTTTCACATGGAACCATTGACCACTGCTCGCTGTATTTCTTCTATTATTTTTTGGTTTTCAGGCGAATAGATGCCCATTTCATGCAAATGACGCTCTCGGATTGTGAAGAAAGTCTAAAAGCAACGTAAGTGCTCGCAATGCCCACTGCAAACTTACATGTTTATCAATTTCTTCTCGTTTCAATGCTTCCATCAGTTTATACTCCTTTCTTTTCAGAAAATGATTCCAAATGGCTTCTGCAACAAACAATTGCATGTACTACACGATTTTGTGTCGTCATTCTATACCGTCCGTTATAGGATTCCCCACGGATCTCGGCCTCGCGACCACCACAGTCGGCACCTGAATATTGGAAGCCCGTGCCCTTCCCGCCTGCGCCGAATAGTACTCCATCGTCGAGTCCCTCGACTTTTTCAGCATTCGCGGCGTCGTTCTCATCTGGTTCTGGGACGGCGAGTCCATCATCGAAATGGTGCGTGGTTTGCGGTGTTCCCGTTCAATGCTATCCTTCCGCGGCCGGATGATCGGAGGTCTCCGGGCGACTTCCCCGCCTTCCTTCCGATGGTAGCCCGACCGTTTTGCATGGAATTGGGCGATGTCGTAGTACTCTGAAGTCGGCGTTTTCTCTCGTTCTCCGTAGAAATCAGTGAAGCAAGTGACTGCGAAGCTTTGGCATTCCTGAAATCTCGTCTAAACGTGTGTTCCCGTGCAATCCGAACCTCCATATACTCCCTCATCGCGTCCGTTTCCATGTCGTACTCATTCGTCTCTGGTGGTTTCGGATGTTTGACGCCTCTGAGAATGTCTTCCACTGATGCAAACTTCTGAAATCGTCGCGATACGCGTTTGATTCATTACCGTAATCTCACGTATTTATTTCTATCTTTTGCGGGCTGATATTTGATTTTGGCCTCCAACCACTGTCTCGGTTCGATGGCCTCCACCTTTTCGCTTTTCGACAAAAACATTTGAGATGACATCTTCGTCAAAAAACTCTGAAAATTAGGATAATTAAATGATATAGCAAATGTTCTCACTTTTGTTTGCAATTGGAACAGATTCGAAGAGGAGTTGCTGAGGTTCAGTTTCATATCGGAAGGACGGTGGCAATGCAGCTGAGCACGCAAATTTCCCGGCTCCACCACATCTGAATTGTGCTCATTTTACGTGGAGAACACACGGCGTTTAGTACCGGAAGAGAGGAGGAACAGGTCGTACGCGGTCAGTCCGTACTTATTGATTGCCGTAACGTCGGCAGACTTCTGGAGAAGAAGCGAAACGAGACTGTCGACTCGGAGAAGAGCGGCAATCTGGAGGGCTGTGATGTGCATGTCGTCCATCGTGTTCACATCGAAATCTTTGTGCAAAACCAACGATTTCGCCTGTCACTCCAGAATTAACACTTTTGAATCAATTGAACAGTCTCACCGAACTGGTGCTTCCTACTATGGTGGCGTACATCAAAAGGGTACAGCCATTCCGAGACGGCGGTCCGTACTCTCTGTCGATCAACTGATTATTCTTAATTTCTCTCCGAACATCAGTTTGAGCTTCCAGACCTGAAAGAGAAAGACAGTTGTTGAAATGAAATGAAATGGACATGAAAAAACACTCACGACTTCTCACTGTTCTTTTCGGACTCAGAAAGTTCTCCAGATCTGTTCTGTGCATTTGCTTGGCCAACTCTTCCGGAGTGATTTTGTAGAGCCCTCGTTTCGTGGCACTTGCTCCGAGATCGAGCAGCGAGCGGACCATGTAGACGCCCGGAGTGCAGATGATTGCGATCGAAAGAGCCGTGAGTCCTTTCAGATTGTCGATCGATTCGTCCAGAGGGACTCCGGCTCTCGCCAGATAGTTGCAGATCTGCGGAGACTTACTGCAAGTGGCAACTATCAGAGAACTCGGCGCCAACGTTCTTTTAGGCTTCTCCGATCTTTGTGTTTCGTATCGGAAGCTGAGAAGTCTTCGAACGACGTCCGCGTGACCTCCGGCACAAGCAAGGGTCAGGGCAGTCACTCCGAGGTACGTCTTCTGCTGATAGTTGGCTCCCCGCTGGAGCAGAGTGTCTATCACTGCAAGTTTCCCTTCGCGGGCCGCGTAGTGATAGGCGGTCATTCCCAGTTGGTTGCACGCATCTATGTTCGCTCCGTAGTCAAGTAGTCGCAGAACCTAAACTTTCATGCAACTTCTATTCTCACAAAAAATATGCTCACCAAGTTGTTATTGCCCATTGCGGCCGCAATATGGAGAGCAGTGACGTCATCATCGTCCACCGAGTCTATGTGCACTTTCCTCTCTCGCATCAACGAATCGATCTGCGATAGCTTCTGACGTTTTCGAATAGTTTCCCCAGTTTAGCTCACTTTATCGATGTCCCCGTGGAAGGCTGCATTCAGAAGCTCCAACTTCGGAAGATCTCGATCATCGATTCCATCTGCGGCTGCTCCGCTCATCTGAATACAGAAACGACGGCAGCAGATTGATTGCCGATCGATAAAACAACAAAAATGATATGAGACTGATGAGTGGGAGCGGGAGCGGGAAAAGAGGCGGAAGAAACAGACGGATCCAGTTTGAGACGCGCAGTGATACGAGACAAAAAGAAAATGAACGACGCGAATAGTTCATTGAGATGATGTGGGCAAGTAAAATATTTAACGAAAGAAACGGAAGGCATCAACAGTAGAATTGGATGGTCGGTTCGAAGCGAACGCACTGATGGGAAGGCGCGTGTTGCAGGGCGATCCGCGCGTTGCAGCATCGGCATCGGACGAGCTGGCAGTTGTGCGAACTCTGCACCGCCCGCATGTTCTCGCGGGCGACGTCGATCGTCCCGTCCACACTCGGAGTGTTCAGCGTCTTCGGCTGGTGAATGTGGAATCGGACTGCCAGCGTTTTCGCTAATCGCGTCCAGTCTAAAAGAAACTTCATGAATCACTTAAAATATCTCTTATTCATCAACTCAATCTTTTCTTTTTTCAAAATCGAACAACATTTGGCAAAAGCAAAGCAGGCCCCTTTCCCTCTTTCCTTTTTCATTTCCCTTGCCAGTTTTCATCTATTTTCTTCCGTTTCTCGAACCCACCGCCATAACATTTCTCTTTGTGCTCTTCAATGATCGAGTCGTCGTATTGCTCTCCGCAAACAAAACAAATTCGGAGTCCGTCTGCAAGCAGTCCGTGAATGGCCGAGGAACTTCATTGAAGGGGGACCAATTTGTGTTCGGGAGTGAAAAGGCAAATAAACCTACTATTCTCGTGAGAATATCTGGAAAGCGAACGGGTTCGCGGACGTTCCGTCACCATTTCGGACGGACGAATCTTCTTCCTCTTCCCCGACTTTGACCTCCCTCTCTTCTGGCTATTCTGAAACTATTCAATTGTTTTGGAAGTAGGAACTCTTCCGACTCACCTGCATTTTGCGTTGCTCTTGCTCCATGATTTTGCGCATAGACTCAACACAATTCTTCTCATGAATCAAAAGCGAATGTTTGGAATAAAGACGTTGGCAGTGAGAACATTCTAGGAAAGTGGGCATGTTTGGAAAACGAATCGAGAGAGACAAAAAGGAAAGGCGCCGGAGGGCAGGGCCTAATTTTTCATGAATTTCTGAGTGAATGGATGTTCGATAAAAGGGGCGAGAGAGTGGGCGAGACAAGGAGAGAAAGAGCCGAGCCGTTGCTCCTCGAGCTCACGCGTTACTATGATACTGGAAAAGAGGGAGAGAAACAGAGAAACGTGGCGGAATGATAATCATTCGAGGGGTACAATGGGTGGCAGATTGAAGATTAAGCATGAAAAGGAAAAAAAAAAGAGAAAGATGCTAAAAGATGAATCAGTCGGAAGGTGTCGGAACCATAAAGTGACATGACTATCAGTCTGCTTCTCTCTCTTTCTGTGTACTTTGCTATTTGTCTGTCATTTCCACGATACTGATACTGATAAGCAATCAGTCATTTCATCAGCCAATTCTGCCGTGTCTTCATCTTTTTCACCTACGAAATGGCCAAAAGAGTATGCGTGATTGGTGCCGGAGCGGCAGGTTTAGTGGCTGCAAAACACGCCGTTAGAGAAGGACATCAGGTGAGAAATACCCTCTAATTATGTGCCCTCGAACCCGCTGTTCTGCAGGTTGACGTCTTCGAACAGACTGATAAAGTCGGCGGGACGTGGGTGTACTCGGAGGAGACGGGATGCCATTCGAGTATGTACAAAGTTATGAAGTGAGTGTGAACGGACGAAGTCACGGAAAGAACGAAGAGTTTCAGAACGAACCTTCCGAAGGAGGCAATGCTCTTTCAGGATTTGCCTTTCCGAGAGGATCTTCCTTCTTTTATGAGTCACGAAGATGTTCTCGAGTACTTGGACGAATACGCAAAGGATCTTCCTATTCAGTTCAACGCCAATGTGATACAAGTGAAAAGAACGGAAGGTGCATGGAAGGTTTGTCCGAAAGATAACAAAATTGATGGTCAAAGTATTCTTTGCTCAGGTTGTATTGGAGTCGAATTCTACGAAGACATTCTATATTTACGACGCTGTTTTTGTGTGCAACGGACACTTTTTCGCGCCTTTGAATCCGTACAACGGCTCGCCGTTCCGCGGGACACTTCTGCACAGTCACGACTATCGAAAAGCGGACAATTATTCTGGGAAGAGGGTTTTGATTGTCGGAGCAGGTCCGTCCGGCATCGATATCACTCTGCAGGTGGCGCAGACGGCCGCTCATGTGAGTGTGAAATCAAAACAGAAGAAGCCGAGAAAACAAGTTGCAGGTGACTTTGATAAGCAAGAAGGCGACGTACCCGGTACTTCCGAGCACTGTGCTTCAAGTCGCGACTCACGTGAAAAGTGTGGACGTGAGCGGAGTGACGACAAGCGAAGGAGATCACTTTGAGGCGGATGTCATAATTGTATGCACGGGATACGTTTTCAAGGTGAATGTCGCCAACGGGAGTAATCGGGGTGTATTGTTGAGCCAATACTGAGAAGGTTTTCGAATTTCATTTGCTGTTGCAGTTCCCGTTTCTGGATTCCTCGCTTGTGCAACTCAAACACAACGATCTGATGGTTTCTCCGCTTTACGAGCATCTCTGCCATGTCGAATATCCCTCCTCGCTCTTCTTTATCGGTATTCCTCGACGATCAAGTCGCCGTCACTTCTCTCTCGTTTGCAGGACTTCCATTGGGAACAATTACCTTTCCGTTGTTCGAAGTGCAAGTTAAATACGCGCTGTCTCTGATCGCCGGAAAGGGAAAACTGCCGACCGACGGAGAGATTCGCAACTTTGAAGATGCACGTCTTCAAGGCCTCCAGAATCCAGCCGCATTCCACGTTCTGATCGACGAACAGTGGGAGTACATGAGGAAACTCGCGAAGATGGGCGGTTTCTGTGAATGGAATTATATGGAGACCATTCGCAAACTGTACTGCTACATCATGACGGAACGGAGGAAAAACGTCATTGGCTATAAATCGGTGAACTTTGAACTAAGCCCAGACTCTTCTGATTTCCAAGTGATTGCTCTATAAAACTATGAATGAACTGTTTACCTTTTCTCCTCTTTTTCGTTTATATTTCGCAGTCGATCGTGCCGTTCGTGCGGTCCACGTCACTGGCGGATCAGCGAGATTTCGGAAGATTCGCATCGAGATTCACCGGCTAGTTTGTTGGGACAAAGAGGCGCGCAAATCGTCACAATATATCTGTCTTGAAGGTCACTCCGATTCGAGAATTTGCCTATACTTCTGCGCCACTCTTGTTTATCCGAGCATAGCACCAAGGTCTTTGGATTATCGGGAAGAGGAGGGCTATTGAACGGAAAGCTGTCGTCGGGCGAATGTACTTGAGAATAAGACGCTTCCCTTCTTCTTTCTGTTCTGATCTCGATGACAATGACATCAGACTCTATCCGATTGAGGGAGAGAGAGAGAGAGGGAGAAGCTTCATTTCGCAACATGATATCATCACGAGACTACAGTCGGATCGATCTGATCCGATGAAGCCCCGCGGCGTCACCTGACCGCAGCCGCCTTCGGATCTCGCCGAATGCCATTTCGGAACCAACAAACTAGGGGTCAGTGGTGTGAAGAAGATGTTATCTGCGGATGGATGCGCGTCTTGCCGGGCACCGATCCGACGCAGGTGTTTTCCGACGATGCCATCCTTTGCACTTACAGTAGTCCTTCGTTTCAAATGAAAGGATGAGGGACCATCTGCATGTCAAACGAAATGAATTGCCAGTTTGAATTGCCGTCGCTCCGGCGTCCACCGGAAGAAGTTACTTTTCGAATCGCATTTGGCAGAGACACATTGATATCGTCCGCACGTTTCTGATCTCTGTAGTTTGATGCACTTTGAAGGAGCAAAGTTCGGAAGGGATTTATTTTGGATAATCACGATTAGGAAGGGATAACAAAGAGATATCATTGGAAACTGCAGGAGGTTACTTTCCGTTTTCCCTCTGCAGATCTAGATTGAGAGTGATCCTTCGGAACCTTGAATGGAAGTATGGTTACCATCAGAGTCTGGAACTTCTGAATCTTCTGGAGGGATGATAAATGGTCTAAACTAATGTTCTCCAACTCGGTCCCGTTTTTCTGTAGTCTTCTGATGCAGCTACCGTAATCCGGGTAATTGTTATTTATTTATTTATTTATTTATTTATTTATTTACGCCATGTTGTGAGCGTGAAACGAGAAATAACACAATACAAATCAAGTACTAGTGAAATGAAATAAGGAGATGTACCGAGTTGAGGGATAAGTGAAATCGCGATGATTAGTGATCAGTCGGGTGTTGGTATTGTGGCGAGTCATCCCGAGTTATTCCATCGTTCGTCACAGACACACATCTTCTTCATCTTTTTCTCCGTTTTTGCGGCGTCTTCGTCCCGATGCGATATGGGAGGGCGCCGTCGTCGGCGGGATCATCGAGAGAGCGGAGAGATAGAGATGGGTGGGACGTGCGAGAGTTTGGGATGCGCAGACGCACGGTTCGATCCTACCGGCGACGCTACTGACCGGCCGGGGGTCACTTGCGTTCGGACGACGACATGCGAGGTAGGTCATCTCACGTCTCTCGCGGGAGAGATGCAAAAACGCGGGAAGGGCATGGCCCGGCGGCCGGACCCGCTAACCCGGTCACCCCGTTTTCGGCAATCCCTACCCAGTTCAGTCAGTGGTCAGCAGTCAGCACCAGCCCCGTTGCAGAGTCCGTCCCGACCCTAACCAGTCCAGTCCCCTGTCCGTCGGAATGCCATCCTTTGTGTTATCTCACGTTCCCTTGTTTCTATCTTTATCAACGTCTTGTGTGTTTCTCTCAAAATGCCTATATTTCACGGTCACTCTGCCATTACCCACCGACCACCCCTGCTACCGTAATACTTGAACATGTCCTTTTGAAGAAGAAGAAGAAGAAGAAGAAGAAGAAGAAGAGAAAGAAGAAGAGGTGAACTGCGAAGAACTTCGACGACGGTGACGAAGGCAAGCCTGACTTTGCGAACTTTTTGTCAAATGCTTGGCTTTAAGATTTATAAAGTTTTCCAAAGTGAGCATGACGTCCTCTGTCAAGTCTTGCTTTTTTGTACGTTTTTTTCTGTTTATGATCCCCTCGTACTGTAGAAACCTCAAAAACTTTCAATAGAGCTCAGCTACCGTATCCTCCGATTATATTGTCGAGCACCTTCCCTTTCCAACCGAATCTCATTCCTCATTTCTCGTTCGATCATCATCCAAAAGTCGATCGGACCGTCGTTTTATTGCGCGCGAGTCAGTCAGCACCAGCGGCAGTTATAATAAGTATTAATGGTATCTTCTTCTTCCTCCTCGTCACCGGGTTATTATTCCAATTAAGTTTGTGTGTCTGTCTGACCTTGAGCCGTACGTGCCAACAGACAGCTTCTCCCTCCCTTTCTCTCTTTCTCTTTCCCTCTCTCTCTGCCTCCCAGTTCGCTTTTATGGTTACCTCCCACGATGAACTTATCAGTGAGGGCGGAGGCTACTCTGTGTGGCCACCACCGTGCCACCGCAAACCGGTTGGGCTACCAGACAGTGGCCAGTCGGTACCAGGTGCATCATCCAGCGTCTCCTCGCTTCGATGGTCTTCAATGCAACACCGTCCCGGCAAACAAGAAGAAGGGAGCAAAGGTGGCCGGTATTCTGAAACGGGAGCACGGCCCTGCCTCGCCCCGGACACCCAGAAGAGTTGGAAAGACTGTGGAAAGGGTCAGTGGCCCGTCCGGCACTCCAGTTTCGACAAATGTCGCCAACGCTTCTCTTGTGAGTTTGCCTGCCTTCTTGTTTTGGGGCACCGGAACAGTGGGCCATGCCCGGCCATGGCCGGACACCGGACGCGCGCCCTGGGGCCGGGTCAGCGGGTGATCGTGGCAGCGGACCATCCACGTGGCAGCCAAGATTTCTCACATAAATCGCCGTTTTTCGCAGCTAACAGTTTTTTTCAATTATGTTCTTTTTTACCATCCTAGCCCATCTCCGACGCGTCCATTCTCCTCTGCGGTGGGCCTCCGAACTGTACCATCACGTACTTGGTGTGTGTGCGTCTCCGTCTCTTTGTCGTTTCGCATGATCAGCGGAAAGTACAATTTGCGAAATTGCAACCCGTCGGTCTCTTTCTCTCTATTCTGCCTCACACAGCGACGGCGACGACGGTCGCCTCCGCCGGGCCCCTGTCACCTCCTGGCGGGAGGCATACCGTACCGTTCGCGCGCAATACACCGTGCACAGGTACCGAGGTCACTTCTCGAGATGAAGAAAGAGCGGAGACACACACAATCTTCTTCTACGTCTTCTTTTCCCTTCCTCGCGCAGACACCGTCTCTTCTTCTTCAAAACACTGTAATTGTTATGAGAGGAGCGGCCGAGTGGAGGGGATAAAGTTGAGTGAAAGAAGGAAGGCGTCGGGAGAGGGTATGAGGAAGGAATTCTGCCGGATGGTAACAAATTAGGAGACAAGGGAGGGACCCTAAGAGAATATGCATGTACCGGAGACTCTGATCGGTCTGAGATTTTTTTTCGGAACCTACCCATTATCTGCTCAAGCGATGTTGTAAATTCGGAAGTTCTTCGATAAGATCGTTCGTTTTCTGTCACTTTTTGCAAAAATAAAATAAATTCGGGAGCTGACGAATTGTGGGTTACTGTAGTGGGGTTTGTCTGCAAGGAACAATGCACAAACTAGGTCGCGAACCGTATTTTCAAATTTATTGTCAGCTCCCGCAAATTTATTTTATTTTTATCAGCTCATCTAATAATTTTTTTAAAGTCAATTCACGTCAGATTCCACGTTTGAAACAGATAAAATTATGTCCAGCGCGTAGAAATTGTTATCATTTCTACTTCTATACGATATAGGTTAGTCGGTTTCGAGCGGTCCACCGCGTTTTACTTTTACGCAACTCGCCGTCGGACATTACTAAAAAAAAATACTGCGCATAACAAATCGATTGAATCGTTTGTCTTAATTATATCGTACCGATTAACTCTTCAGCTGGTCACGTTCGCTGGAGCAAGCTCACCGTTTTCCAATGAACACCGCTGAGCAGAAACCAGTGCATACCACCACCCCGCCGCCTCTCTTGGCCCCCGCTTCTGTCGAGTCTTCGGATGGAAAAAGCAAGGAGAACCAACATTCGGAACGCGACGTGAAACCGATGATCGTTCGTCCGCACATGATGAAGTCGGAGCCCGATTTCTGCTACACCGATTTCAAATCTATGCCTGGCGGTTTGATGGTCACCGGTGGAGATCTGCCGACGAACGCATTCGCCAAGCTGCTCACTTGCGTCATCGATCCGAATCAAGTAGCGGGAATGTTGCCTCCGAATTACCATTCGGCTGACCATGTGTCCAAACCGCTTCTGGGTATGCTTGTACTTTGTGTTTTCTGTGTTCTCTCTGTGTGTAGCATGTCTGGCTCTCGTTTACTTTTTCAGCTTATCTTCCAGCTGACTGGCTGGCCAAATGACTGACCTATCCCCCAAATTCTGATTTCTCCCGTTCCCGCAACAGCTAATCTTTCCTGATTTCAGTTTCAGCGCAGATAGAAGTGATACCATGCAAAGTATGCGGTGACAAGTCGTCCGGAGTGCACTATGGAGTCATCACTTGTGAAGGCTGCAAGGTAACGCCCATTGTTTTCTGCTCTATTAACCAATCAAAAGTGCTTCAGGGATTCTTCCGACGCAGTCAATCATCTATTGTCAACTACCAATGCCCACGACAGAAGAACTGCGTAGTCGACCGGTAATTGTTTTCAGAAAGTGTTCGACTTCTGACTATTTTTACAGAGTCAATCGAAATCGCTGCCAGTACTGTCGTCTCAAGAAGTGCATAGAGTTGGGGATGTCCCGCGATGCCGTGAAATTCGGTCGAATGTCGAAAAAACAGCGAGAGAAAGTGGAGGACGAGGTACGTTGTCTCGTTTGTGTTTGCATGTGCACAAGTTGTCGCTGCTTCGCATGGATCCTGTCTAACTGCATGAGTGGTGGTACGGCGCGTCTGACCTTGGATTTGCGATGGTCTGACGCCGCTCGCACCGAATACTAACAATTGTTGAATAACCCCCTCCTCCCCGGGATTTCAAACTAACCCATTGTCCGTTTTGTGTTTGTGTGTATTTGTATAAACGGCATCTAACACGAACACTAACGCTAATTTTAGCCTTGTGACGAACTGACAAGCGGAGGATTCAATCAGAAACCGTGTAAAAAGGTTCGCAGTTATTCAGTTTCACTGTCTAAGTTTGGGTACCCATTCAATAGTGACAATGGGAAAATCGGGATTTGGTGGAGGGGGCACAGTAAAATACAATAACATAAGGAGAAATCGGAGAAGAATTGGGCACAGAGATTATTATAATCCAGAATCAACTTTATCACCTCTTAATAATACTCATCACTTGTTCTTCTTTGATGGATCCGAAACGAAAGTATGATCTAAATGAATGATTTCAGGTGCGCATGCACAAACAGCTCGCTGAGGCCAGTGGACTTGGGTATCAAGCTATTTACGGAGACTACTCCCCGCCTCCTTCGCATCCCAGCTACTGGTAGACATTTGTCTTCCGCCTCACTTCAATCGTTTCATTTTCAGTTTTGATCAAGGGATGTACGGACACTACGCCTCTCCAACGGGCACTTCCACCCCGGTTAACGGATATCCGATCGCAGTGGCTGCTGCTCCGGTCACTCCCATGTCCCAGAACATGTACGGAGCAACGCCTTCTTCTGCCAATGGAGGACAGTACGTCGCTCACCAGGGTACGTTCCTTCAGCCTCTCTTTCCGTCTAACTCGCCTCTTTCAGCATCCGGTGGCAGTTTCCCATCGCCGCAGGTCCCTGAGGAAGACGTAGTGGGACGAGTCATCTCTTCGTTCGACGCTCAGCACTGCAGTTATCGTTCGTCGAATGCCGTGTGCAACGTGGATCCGGAGGACATTCCTCGTTTGAGTCGGGCCGGTGGATGGGAATTGTTCGCAAGGGAACTCAATCCGCTCATCCAAACTATCATCGAGTTTGCGAAATGTGTTGACGGATTCATGCATCTTCCGCAAGACGTGCAGATACAGTTGCTGAAAAGCAGCGTATTCGAACTGTCACTAATCTTTGCGGCGATGTACTACAACATGGATACGCACACGCTTTGCGGAGAACACAACATTCCGTTCTCCCACATTATTGCAGATGACATTGCGGAGGTTTGCTCCTTTTTTTTTCTTTCTTCACATTCAGATCAGTTCATTTTCAGATGCAACTGATAAATGACGTGCACACGACTCTCCACGAGATCGTCGCTCTTCAACCGAGTCCTTCTGAACTTGCTCTCATGGCCGCAGGGCTTCTTCTCGAGCACGCCGCCAGTCCAACTTCGATAGGAATCGCTGAAATGTCAGTCGGCGCGACTGTGGATATTCTGAAGAATGCACTCCATCAGAGTGTCGGTTCGAGGCTCGGATGCATGGATACGACCGCTCTACGAGTTCAAGACATTGAGTCCAGAATCCGACAGACTGCCCGATTGCACCAGGATGTAAGTAATTCTCTCTCCCTTCATTTTACTTAGCAACGCATTCCAGGCACTCCAAAACTTCCGCCAATCGGATCCGGCTGCTTCGGAACGTCTTCCCGCCCTCTACAAAGAGTTGTTCACTGCGGATCGACCCTAATCGATCGTCTCGTAGTTGAACTTCCCCATCTAACACCAATCCTCCATGCATCTCGACTTCTCCGGTTATTTGTATAATAAGAGTAGACCAAAGCGTTTTGATAACGGCCTTCCTCTTTGTCTGTGATCCTGCACCCCAGTCAATTTTTGTTTTATCTGAAAATTAATAGAATATAATAGTACTCGTCGGTTCCCACCTTCCCCAACTGCCCCTGTAATAATTATTCTTCTCTTATAGTAATAATTAATTGCCCCTCCCCTTATGTGCCCTTCCCCGTTTCACTCATGTACCATGTACGTTTGTGCAAGCAGCACCCAATTCGGTTTTTGGAAAGAGAAGAGCTCGTAATAAAGCGTCGAGTGTTCTCTTCTTCAAACTGCCATCCTCTTGTCTTATTGCCCTCTTCAGGTATCAGTTTGTCCTGAGCAATTCTCTTGTTTTGTGTTCATTCTATACTCTTTTCCTGTTCAACGGGTCCTTCACACCATTCCACTCCATATTCTTTTTGCATTTCTAGGCGCCGAGTTTCTATGTGCCCCGTTTGCGTTTCCAACTCGTTTTCTTTATCCAGTGTCTGTGCTTTACACGTTTCGCTGTCCGTGCAAACTGCGTCCATTTCTCTTTCTTGTCACATTTCGCTTTCATTGTTCGAGACGCAATCTGAAACACAGTTTTATCCCATTCTAATTTATCAGAGACATCAGCCCATCAATACAGTTTAATTTATTACATCCATTCTCGGTTCCCAACAAATCTTTCCTCTGTTAAATATAATCTCTTTTTCTCCCTCTCAGTGAATGAAATTTTTAATTTTCCAACAGATGCGCAAAATGTATGATTGATCAAACAAATTTCGTTCGAAACGGAGTCGATACTTGAATCGATGGGTTGTGCTGTAGCAAACGCGCTCCAGCGAACAGCAATTCAAAAACCCATCTGGCCGGCCAGCGGAACGTGTCATCCATTCCATCGATTTGTGTATTTTACACACAAGAGCTTTATTTGTTTCCTGTCCAAAAAGAAAAATGCCAGACGACGAACCAAGACGGTCAATGGTTGGAGCGCCACCGTCCACTAGAAGAGGACGTAAGTTGAACTACAAACCGAACGGTTATTTAGAAATAAGAAATGAATATAGTTGTTGTTTCATACTGATTTATATACCTTTAGAAAACTATCTGTAATCAAAAAGTATGAATTACATTTTACGGTTTTCTAAAATCTGTTTTTGCTTCAGGCGGAGGGGCAACTCCTGCGTCGGCCACGCCTGTCACTCCGAGAACATCTGCTCGCGCCTCGAAGCGAGTCAAGAAAGAAGAGCCGGAAGAAGAGGAATACAAGGACGATAACAGCGATGCTGAGAAAAGCGAAGAGGAAGAGTCGGAAGATTCTGGAGACGACGTCACTCCATCCCGGAAGAATGGCGGAGGTGCCGGTGGTGGTCGGAAGAGAAAGCGGGCTCCATTGACTGATTATCATTTGAAGAAGAAGAAGATTCTGGCACGGAAGGCACAGAGAGAAGCCGAGCGAGAGAGGGAAAAAGAACTGGGAGTAGAGGAGGAGGAGGTGGAAAAGGAACCGACTCCACCGCCCGCACGGAAGCCACCATCCTTCTCAAACTTTTCGCCGATTCAGCTGATGCAGGATCATATTCTTCGGAAACTCATCGACAAGGATCCAGAACAATATTTCGCATATCCGGTAACTCCTGCGATGGCCCCAGACTACAAGGACATTATAAAGGAGCCGATGGACCTGCAAACTGTCCGGTAGGCCTAAAGAACTCAAACTTGCACAAGATTCATTGTGTTTCAGGGAAAAGATTGAAGATAATAAGTACCCATCACTGCCGGCGATGAAGCAGGATTGCCAGCTGATTGTGGCCAACGCCCTGTTGTACAATCAACCGAACACAGTTTTCTATCTTGCTGCCAATCGACTTTCCCATCTCATCAATTACTATTTCGGAGAGCAATACCTTCGTTTCCTCTTCCACAACCTTCCATTTGCCAACCAAATTCCGTTCGAACTCGTTGGGATCACTCCACTGGCTCCACTTCCGCACGAACGTCACGGTCACGTCAACAGCCGCAAAAATCTTGTAAAAGATGATATGACCTCGGACGACTGCTTAAAAAATGCGGATGCCAAAGTACGGGACAGACTTTCGGCTCGACTCCCTAATACCAATGACAACAGAAAGAAAGGAAAGCTAGGATTTTTGTCAGAAAGAAACGGAACTGTCGTATTGAACGTGGTCGCTGGCTATTCGGAAGACAAAATCACGGAGAACGACCCTCCGAGAAGAGTGACGATCGGAGACATAGTTGGGCCGTTGGAAGAAGGAACTACTGGCATGATTCAGATGGCCGACCATCGGTTGTACTCCCAAGCACCGATGAACTATCTGAACTACGGACCGTACTCTTCGTTCGCCCCGATGTACGACTCCACCTGGTCAACTATGACGAAAGAGGACACTGACCTTTTCCTTCGAACTTATGGAGATAAATCGAATGCCACAGACGTCATTACGATGCGTCGCTTTGTATCCGGATGCGAGGATTTCTCAGAGGTAACCACGAAATGGTAAAGTCACACTATGATGAATATTTCAGATGGTCGAAAAGTTCCTGGATACAATGACAGATGGGGAACACTCGAGAGCTATGAAGGAACTGGAAAAGAACAACAGCGGAGAAGCGAATGACGAGAAGCCGGAACCTGATGAGCTGAAGGTGAGTGTGCTTGCCAATCACGAATGGCATCAGGTGTTGTATCATTATTACTATTCTTATGATTTATGTGATATGATCAGTTCCTAGCCTTTACCCTCTTTCAACTAACTCTTCTTTTCGTCCGCATTCGAGATAGGCGTTCCAGAATGACTCTCTTCTTTCTCTGCTTGATGATGTGACCTCCATCAACAATCTTGGCATCGAAACTGGGTTCCTGCATGACTACCGTCAACAAGTGCTTGTCCACAAAGTGGTTGGTTTTTGTGTTCATTCGAAATTAGTTGCTGGTTCATTTTATGTGTCAATTTCATAATCTTTCAGCCGTCTGAAAATGTACCAGAGTACATGGTCGGAATGGAGCATATGGATGTTCAGGTAAATAAGGCAACTTGCGATCGGAAACTTGATCTAATCTTTTTCAGCAACAACTTGATCATATCGGGCAAGAAATAAAGGACCTTGCGCATCTCCAAGAGACTCGCCTTTGTCAGCCACCGCCAACGATGCTCATGACCGTCCAAGAACCGGGACCGGTTGAGCAGAAGCTCGCCGAGAGTGTCCAACAGCACCTGGCCCACCAGCTCGCTACGCACACTGCTCCAGAAGCGTTCGTCAACGATACGGTGATCCACGACGCAATGGGGGTCGACGTGGACGACGATCTGTTCAGCGAGTTCTTCGTCACTCAGTAAACGGAAGACATGTTTAAAAGCATGATAATCGACAATCAACTTCATAATGGTCTCCCCTCCTGTCCATCAAAACTTTTAATATTAATTTGAGACATATTTGTAATGTTCAGTTCTCATTTTCATTACTTTGGTATTCAAACAATAAATACATTTAACACACGCTCTCGTTTCATACTTGTTCTTCCTTCGCGATGGAATGGCGAGATTGCATCAAACAGGATCCGCACCGTTTCTGTGTCTCCGTCTCGTTTCTCACCGAGATCGGACGACGTCGTCGGATACTCAAGGCACTTCTGCGTCTCTCTTCTTTCCGATTCTATGTGGAACTTATTGATTGCCCTGTGGTAAGTTGGATAATCGGGGGAATCCCTCGGATGATCGTCCACTTCCAGCGGCCTCTTCTTACTCGCCAACTGCTGCTCTCCAGATGTCAAATTCGAGAAAGACCATCACAGAAGGTGGGCGGAGTCACTGGCTCATTTCCAGATTGATCCGTTGATTGCAGAAAAGAGTTGGAGGACAAATTCGTCAGTAATTTAGCAGAACTCAAAAACCACGAAGAAATTCTGCTGAAAGCAGTCGAAGCGATGAAAAATGCGAATGAAAAGAAGGAAGAGGGAGAAATAGACTATATGAAGAGGATTGCCGAGATCGAGAAGGAACTGAAGGCGACAAAAGAGGATCACGCGAGACTACTGTAAGAACGAGAAAAGACTCCAGGAAGAACTGAGAATGTATTCAGAGAGAAACACGATAACTACATGCGAGGCTTCGAACGGCCGAGAACGTGGTCGGAAACGATCAGCAAGTACACCGGCGACGCGTTCGGACGTCTTCTGTTCAACGGCCTCTGGGGAGCCATCGTCGTCCTTCTTCCCCTCCTGATTCGCCCGTTCCAGAGGAGATGGCTGACGGCGTTGCGAGGCGGAGACGGTCCGACAATTGAAGAGGTTTCTGGTACGTGCATGGCTTGAGAATGGCTTCCGAAGAGTTTAGAATGGGAGGGAAAGGGACGAATAGACTTAGATATATTGCAGAGAATGATGAGGATGGCGTGAGGATTTCGAACCAAGAAGTGAAGCAGATCCTGGACGCGGAGAGAAAGAGGAAGAAAGCATTGAAAGCAGAGTAGAGGGACACGCAGAATCTAGGCCGTTCTTTGACAATTGACACTAATACGACTATTTTATTGTATGAAAAGTTTCATGAAAGTTAAGCAATTACTCGTCGAATCTCTCCACTTTTCTTGGCTCGTTTCGTTCGGCTCTCTTTTCGTGGGAAGCGAAAACGAACGGAGAATTGGTCGGAAGCGGCACGAACCGCCCCGATCCGGGCACAGTCTGCAGCTTCCCGTGCGCCCACACAATTCTTCCTCGCGAGATTGTCGTCTCGGCCACTCCGTGACACTTGATCCCCTCGAATATATTGAAGTCAAGATTCTGAAACTGAACACTTTTATGCGGATTCACTCGGAACTGACGTGATGATGAGTCTCTTTTGAGATGGTTCTGATCACGTTCGGATTGAAAACGACAATATCGGCATCGGATCCGACGGCGATTCTCCCTTTCTTCGGATAAATATTGAAGATCTTGGCGGCAGTGGCACTTGTGATCGACACGTATCTCATCGGGTCGATGATTCCAGAATGCACTCCCTTTTCCCAAACAACTGACATTCTGTCCTCGACCCCATTGATTCCATTCGGGATCTTTGTAAAGTTACCCCTGAAATGAAGTCAATTACAAAACTCGCCTCACTTTCATTTCCAACTCACTTTCCCAATGACTTTTGTCTACAATCATAGGTGCAATTGTCAGTTCCTGTCAAGTGAAGCTCTCCTCTGAAAACAACACTTTCTCTTTGCTCATTTTCTGGAACACTCACGCCGCGAGAAGTTTCATCAGAAGCTCCGGAGTCGTCGGATCTCTGCTCAACGGCGGGGACATCACGTAACGGGCGGCATGCAGCCAGTCCTTGTCGTAATAGTGAGATCCATCCAGTGCCAGTCCGGCGGCGATCGGCTCTCCGAACACAATTGCTCCCTGTGCTCGGTGGTGGGCGATGGCGGCGGCGGCGCCTCTCGTCATCACGTGCACCACGTACAACGGACAGTTGGCCTGCGAGGCGAGAACACAAGCACGGTTTGTGGCTTCCGCCTCAATCTGAATTGCATTCCAAGTGTTTTCTCTCTATCATTTTCCAATTCAAATACTTCTTCCGGCCGGCTTTGAGTGTGTCCCTCTGGTCCCGTGACTCCTTTCGCCAGCAGATCCACTTCCTTCTCCTTGATCACACTTCCATTTTCTGCGTGCACTCGAGCAAGCGCCCGCAGCTTCGCGCACTCTTGCATTCCTCTGTACAGTTCGTCGTCGTGCACCATCAGAGTTCCTTCGTAGGCCATGTAGAATTTGAATGAGTTGATACCTGTTCGGCAGAAATGGATAATAATAATACAACAGCAAAAGTCAACTAGGATACCGTAATCCTTGCTGGTTATGATTGTCATTTGTTCGGCTGTCTCGGGTCTCCACTTGGTGATCGCAACAGAAAGAGCATAGTCGCAGCAGACCTTTGGATCCGCCCACCCCCTCCATTTGTGGTATCCGGCCACGAGAGACTCTCCGTTCCGGTGGTCCGGCACACAAAAGTCGATGATCATGGTTGTTCCGCCGGCGACTGCGGCTTCCGTTCCTTTCAGAAAGTCGTCCTTCGTCACTTCTCCCATAAAAGGCATCTGCATGTGAGTGTGCGGATTTATTCCACCGGGAATCACGAGACGATCCGTCGCATCAATCACCTCCATTTCGGGAAGAGCATTGATCGAAGGAGCCACTTCGCTGGAATACAGAAATAGAGGAAACAAGCCAGACCCGAGTTACACAATGATTCCGTTCTTGGCCAGAACATCAGCCTTGAACATTCCATCTTCGTTCACAACAGTTCCGTTTTTGATGAGAAGTGGTGGAGACATTTTCAGCAGATTAATCTGGAAGAGAACACCAGTTGGAGAGAAGACGAAACGAGGAAGTTGGGTAAGAATGATGGAGAAACAAGATGGGAAATCAAAAGATAGACCGCTGATATGATAAGGAGAGACAGCATGTTCCGAGTGTAGGCGCACCGGGAACGAATTGATATCAACTGTCGAACTTCTGCAACGACAGACCGGCAAATGGGCGGAGAGGGGGAAGTGATCTCTGGAAGTGACCTCGTGGTTATGGGATTTCACACAAATTTGTCTCTCCAGAAAGTTTATTTCGACACTAAATAACTGAGATTCCTTTCGCCTACTTGACCTCCTCCTTCTTCTCCTCCTCCTTCTTGCCATCCGATTCTTCGGCAATCTTCTTCAACTGCTCCGGCGTCATATCGGCACAGTTCTCGTAGCCATCATCCTCCTGAAATTGTCCATTCCTTCAGTGATCTCTGATTTTTCCCCACCTTCTTCTCGTCCTTCTTTTCCTCTTTTTTCTCCTTTTTCTCCTCTTTCTTCGACTTTTCCTTCTTCGATTTCACCTCCTCTTTTTTCGATTTCTCCTTCGGCAGAGCATCTGCAATCTTGGAAGGTTCAGGAGCAGCAGGCGGAGCTTCAGCTGGCGTCGCCGGAAGCTGAACGGACGCAACGGGCGGCTTCGCAGCTTCAACTCCGGTCGCCGGTTCCTTGCTCGCTTCCTTGCTCTTCGACTTGGCTTTCTTTCCGCACAAGACGAGAACGAAGAGAAATGCGCAGCTGATCAGACTGAGAATTTGGAAAAGAAGAAAGTAATGGTCATTCGATTGGAACTGTCGCTGAAAAAGAGCATCGGTGGTGCATTGTTTCGGAGGGGGAAAACTCACATTCATTCTGAAATCCTGTTCAATTGAATGGAACCTTTTATAGAACCCGTTTATACGAAATGAATGGAATAAACAAGATGTGAACAAAACCACGTGGAAGGGAATTAATCCAAAATATTGTGTGTCTGGTAAAATTCAAGAAAAGGGGAACTTGAACGGTTCAGTTCAACAATCGCCCCCCGCCAGTGCAAAAAAAGGGGGGGGGCTATTCTTTAAGAACCTGGTATTCTTAAAATAAACTTAAAATAAAGTTTAATAATAGCCCCCCGCTCCATTTAAAGAAGAGGTTGATTCAGATATGGAGAGAGCTAATTTTGATATAAGAGGGAAAGGGTCTTTCTGAAATGAGAACTGTGTTTTCTGAATTTCAGGCAAAACACATCGAAAACGGGTGAACACATGATCATAGCGACGAAAAAGTCGACAAAAACAACTTGTTTTCGTATTTTACCGCCCAAATTATGGTACATTGTTCCGATGTATCCGAGATGACGCGCTAATGGGGGGCTTTCCTTTTTAACATCTCTGCATTTAATTTGACGACACATTGGGGGGCTTTCCTGTCTTCCTAACTCGGTGGGGACTCAGCGCGCGGGATGGGTTTCTGATTCAAGTACTTTACTTGACTTTTTTTGAATTTACCCTGTCTGTCTCTATAAATTCAACTCCTAACAACACGTGTCTTTTCCAGAGCACAATAATTTATTCTTCTCGTCATCATTCTCAATTCTCTTTTTCAGCCTTCTCTCCCACATTTAAGTTCTCCTTGATCTCCTGAACTGGTTTGACGAGCATGAACGAAGCAACCTGAAAAGAGCACATTCCCGCAGAGTCCTTGGCTCGTTTCTCACCATATCCTTGTCAACGTTCAGCATAGAAGCGATATTGTTGGTCTGAGCACAGTAGAATGGCGCTGAGAAAATTGTGACGAGTTGTTTGTCAGCGAAGAATTCGTATCCATCCTGCACAACCTGATGAGCTCGGACGATCAGATCCAGCTGGAAGTGCTTGCAGAAGTCGTCGACAGCCTTCGCACCGAAGATCTTTCCAGCGCCACGCGGCGAGTCCTTGTAAAAGTCGATCTCGGGTTCCGGGTCCGCCCACGTCAAATCAGCAATGATTCCGACATCCGGAGTATCGAGCGGACGTTTGAGAGCATCGAGCTGTCTGATATCGTAGAGTTCCTCCGAAATACCACCGTGCATGCACATGATTCTTTTGTTGACGAACGCAGTCAACGGCATCGTGTTGAACGCCAACTGAAACACTTCGTAGATTCGCTCACTGTAGCGACGGGAGCACTCTCCGAAGAATCCGTAGGATCGATTGACGGGGCGAGACTCGTGGTTTCCGCGGAGCAGAGTGACCCTTTCCGGCCAGCGGAGGTGCATTGCGAAGAGCATGAGGACGACTTCGATCGAGTACGGCCCGCGGTCAACGTAATCGCCGAGGAACAGGTAGTTCTTGGGTCCGACTTGACGGTCAGTTCCCGATCCGAGGGTCGCCGGGAGTGTCACTTTCACGTCCTTCTTCCCCTTCGTCAGCAGGTTCCGGCACATTTCCTTCGCTTCTTCCTCGCTAAACGGCCATCCATTCATGTCGAACATCATCTTCAGATCCTCGAATTGTCCGTGAATGTCGCCCACAATTGTGACTGGAACTTCGACCTGAAGAGAGGAACCTTTTCTATTCGAAAGCTCAATTCGCTGCTCACATGTCTGTAGACTGGCTGCGACCAGAATATCTCTCTCGCTCGCAAGCACAGTTCGTAGATCTCGTATCTTTTGAGCAAATCCTGACAATTGACAGGCGACCAGATGTGGAAGTAGCGAAAAATGATCGATTCGAGCCATTTGTGCAGCTGAAACTCCCCGTCTTTCCGATCCTTGCGATCGCTCACCTTCTTCTCTTCCTCGGGCGTCCCCGGTTTCATGCGAGCCTCGAATTCAATTCCGCTCATAGTTTTCTTATTGCAAAATAAATACTTTTCTCTCTGCACAATACCGTTTTCATTTTTTTCCCCCAGCTGAGTTCACGTCATAGGCAGAGTGCCGAAACGGCATGTTGTTGCACTTTTTCAATAGAAACTCTACTCTATTTTGAGAGAGAAATGGAAATGGGTGTACAAGAAATGCAAAGCAAAAGATTCGGAAAGAGTCAGTTTGTCCGCACATTCTCCACCTCCGCCGGCCTTCTCGCACTTCTCCACGGCCGTGTCGTACTCCTTCGAGAACTTGGCGAATTCTTTCTTCGGCACCACGTACTTTTTCAGCATAAAGTACTCCAGAATGCACCGATGCACGTAGAAGTACTGCATTTCCCTCTGAATCGATTTGAAACGTTCCTCGCGAAGTTTGGTGAGAAGACGGGGAACTCCGATGAAATCGGCGAGGCGGAGGGACTGCAACTTGGGACCAATGCGCCATTTCATTTAAAAAAACTCACTTCCAGAATGATCAGAATGAGCACCAGCGTGCCCGTTCTTCCGTCCCCGGCCGAGCAGTGGACCACAATCGGCTTCGCACTGTTCTTGAAAGTGCTGAGCAGACGTGCTGAGCAGACCTTCTCGACGAGCTCACAGAGCATCACAATGTATTCGAGGCCCTGAATTGAAACAGTGAGAAGAGATGGAGAATGCCTGGTCGTACGGAGACAATGACCATTTTCCAGAACTTCCCAATGGTCCCGACAAGAGGCGCTTGCGTGAAAATGAAGTGACGCGGATTGGGGCCCGAGCTGACGAGGTTCTCGTGCAAGAAGAACCAGAGCTCTGTCCATTATCGCATCGTTTGCGGAATCGCGGTACTCTTTTTTCAGGCCCTCCTCTACTCCGTTCGCCAGAACTAGACGGATCCACAGATTGATGGCTTCCGCTTTCTTTCTGAACAAATTTATTGGAAATCTTCCAGAACGGACCGATTCCCCACCTCTTCTACAGGCACACTGTCCATCGACACTTCATCTTTCTCTCTACTCTGCTTGTCTTTCTTGATCGGAACACCCAAGGATTCCGCAGGAGGCATCGGCGGCTGATTGGTCACTGCGGCCATCTGTGCCACCTGATATTGAGCAGGAGCGGCTGCCTGGCTCTGCTGGAGGCCCACCGGAATCTGGCCGTACTGAGCCATCGGCTGTTGCTGGGAAGGCGGAGGTGGAAGCATCGCCGGCGGCAGCATCATCGTCGCGGGCTCCTTCGGCTTCTGCACTTGTCCACTCTGCATTTGCGTCGGAGCAACGGGAGCGCGCTTCTGGTTGGCGGGCGGAAGATCGGGAGCGTCTAGCTCGATAGATTGCATGACACTCGCATCCTTTTTGGCCTTAAGAAAGCTGTTGTCGGGGGAAGCCACCAGATTCTGAAGAATAGGAACTTTGCTAGAGTGATAGAGTCTCTTTTCACTCACCGTCTGACTCGGACGCTTTCTAGCCGTCCCTAATCTTTTTTCGAATTTGGGCTTGGACTCGCTCCTGGAACAATCGAACTTTGAAGATCACGGTAGTTTTCGGTGGCATTTTGTATGATCGGAGAGAATTCTGAAGAGAATGACGAAAGAAACATCGAGAATGATCATGGCCGAGTCGGGAAAGGTTACGATAACGTGAGAAAAACAACAACTTTTGCACTAAAATGATTGGAAAGAGATCAATCATTTATTCATCGTCGAAAGCGCCGTCGTCACTGGAAGAGGTTCCGGCCGCGTGACTCTTCGTCACCACGGGCTTCAGATCGTCGAAATCCTCGGCGTCCGAAGTAATTTTCATCTCGGTGGAAGCCGTCGAAATGCTGATCGCACTCTCGCTCGCATCGCTCGTCTTCGGGGTAACCGGCCGTTTTCCTTTACGAACGTCCGACGACAGAATGCTCGGAGTCGTCATTTTCCGAAGAACGAGGAAGTGCATGTTGCTAGCCTCCTGCAAAGGAATTGGATCGTTAAGGGGGTTTGAGGGCATGGCACTAACTCTTCCGATCTCAACCACGTCCGGTGCCATTTTGATCTTCTTGCTCTCATCAAAAGTGACCGAATCGATAAACTTCTGGTACTCTTTTGCTTGATCCAAAGAGACCGGTCTCTCGACCAAAAATGAGACCTTATGTCCCGTCGCCAGTTTTCCGAGGTGCTCGCGAATGAAGTTATCCGGCGATTCGTTGATCGGAATCGCTTGTCCGTTCAGGTCGAGAATGACGTCGCCGCGGTCGAAGTACGTGGCACAGATGGTGTTCGAATCGACTTTCGTGATGAACGCACGCTCTCTTTTGATGAGAAGCTTGAGTCCGATAGCCGTGGTGAACATGTTAGCCGGCTGAAAAAGAGCCATGAGATGGGTTTACGATGAAATGAATACGAACCCTTTCAATGTCGAGAATGAAGCAGGCGTGTCCCCGTCGGATTCCGTTTCCAGATCGGATCATGCGTTCTTTCGTCACCGGCACCGCCCCTTTTCTTCTCATCAGCTCAACCGTGCACCTCTCTCCACTGAGCAACTCCTGCAGACATCTGGCTCTGTCCGATCTGTGATTGACCTTTGTGAGAATGTCGCCCATGATCAATCCGTTGAAGAACGAATTTACGGAAATGAAGGAGACGACGAGGTCCTCCTCCACTCGGATCACTTCGTTCGGTGGTTTTCCGCGGTCCAGATCGGACACTTTGAAAGATACGAAGACCCGATTCGTGGGCACTCCGGACGGAATCGGCGTCAGCCAGATGTTTGGCTTCGCTTTCGTATTCATCTCAAATGATTCCGAGTCTGTGTGACATTTTGACAAGAAACGAACCTTGAGTCTTTTGATCTCTTCTACGCCAAAACTGTGAAATAGTCAGGAAGAAGCGATGAATTCACGGGAACGTGTAAACGGAAAAATTAATACTTTTACTGTTCTCTTTCATTTCTGAAGGTTTTGAACATGTTTTTTGTTTTCAACAATGAAACGAGTCAGTTTCTGAGTGTACTGCTTACTTTTCTGGTGAGTATCTTCTTCTTTCCAGACACAGATTCCTTTCGAATCTCTTTTAGACTTGCGTCCTATTCGGAGGTTGCGCCAAAAAATCGCGGCGAACAATTGAGAAGCCAGTGGAAGAGCCGCACGTTTCGGAGCCGCCCGCCTACGATGAAACGCAGGAGAACCTGCAGACGGCCGAGATGAAAGAGGACGATTTCGCGAACGTCCGACTTCTGACGCCGATGCTTCCGGGCGGGTGCAACGATGAGAACGCGGCGAAGGAGGCGGCGAGCCGGCACAAATCCAATCAATACTTTCCGAATCTCGAGGTTCAGTCCAGGAAGATTGTGAACGATACGACCCCGGAGGAGCTGAGGAGGATGGTGGACGAGTTGCCGCCGCATCCGCCGCAGAGAATCAGATCGGATTCAAAGGAACCGAGTCTCGAGGACAGGATTGCCAAGTGGAAGGAGTAGGGATCTCGGCGGATTTGACAATAAAACTTTATATTTGTTGTTTTAGTGTCCACGTGGCTTTCCATGACGTAGGAATCGTGTACATGGTGAGAAGTGTGGATGCGTGCCGATCGAAGGACGACGGACCGGGAGATACAATCGACAGTCCGAGCAGAGGGGAGGAGGAAGAGGAGAAGGTGATCGGGGAGAAATGCACTGCGCTGATCTCATTTTGCAGATCAACTCGGAATTGCCAATGTCAGAGAACAAGAACGAGAGCAATGTTCGGAGCACTCCGAAAGTGGAGAATAAAGAGAAGCCGGCGGTATCGGCACACTCATCGAAGAATCAAGTGAAAGAGCCCAAGTTGGCGGCCACCCAAGAGGAAACCGTCAACGAAGGGAAGACGCCGAAAGTCATGAAGGTTCCATCTGTTCGTCAGGCGGAATCGATCAAGTCTGTGAACCTTTGATTTGAATAAACTTACTTGAAACACTTTACAGTTGAACAAAATATTTAGATTCTGAAGAATTGAAAATCCATGCACAAAAATGGAAGGGTAATTAAATTAAATCATTACGGCCAAAGGACAGGATCGGCAACAGAACGCTGAGCGTATCCTTCCAAAAGGCCAATGAATCGATCCAACACACTATTTGACTCGTCGAGATACGAGACGTCGCGGGCGAGGAACACGTGCTTGGTCATGTGGGGACGAGGATCATTTTGAGAAGGAGGGATCAATAGACGGACTGAAACGACTTTTACAATTAATGCGATTAGGCGATTGTAACTCATAATAATAATTTTCACGTTAAAAACGTAAATAAATAATAATAATAATAACTTACGATCATCACAGTCGATGAAAATGGGTACGTCTTCGCGGAGGCAGAGTTTGAAGTTGGTCGTTTCTTTCACATGCCATTTCTTGTCGGCTCCTGTGAAACAACAGATGTTTGCAAAAGTACACTAATCGAAAAACGTACTGTTGTTATTGAGTTGAGTGGAAATTCCATGCATTGAGAGCTGCAGACACATGGCCGGCGTTTCGCAGTGCCTGACGAAATGAGCATATGGGGTTGAGTAGTTCAAAAAACGATTCTTACTGTCTATGAATGCGGTACAGGGAACTGGTAAGGACCATGTCACGGCCGCCCGAGTCCAGGAAACGAACGTCGGCAAAATCGGCGCAATTGAGGATGAGCACTCGTTGCCATTCTCCCGTGTACATGGCCTTCTCCTCATTCACCGCACAAACGGCGAACACCTCCACTCCCTCTTCTCTCATTCTTTTGCTGAAATCAAACGGGTTTCAATGCTTTTTGACAATGATTTCTTTACATTTCTTCGCTTCTCAACGGTTTCCTATTTTTGGGCTTCGAATAAAAAGTGTCGAGAATTTCGGCGAACGCCAAAAGTTTGCTGTTACCGTGCATCATCCAATCCACCTTATTCACCTCCCTCAAATCTTTGTTCTGATCCCATTCAACAATATCATCGACATCGCCTTTTCCTGTTCTGAAAAACACTCTCATACGATTAACTCTACGCATTCCTCGCATACTTGTGAATCGGACGGGCGTACCATTCGTACGGATTTTTCGTGCACCGTCCTTCCACAGCCAACATTATCCGTGGTTTTCTGTTTCTCTCTCCTACCTTCTCAGGGAATCGGAAGCTGCAAAGCAAGGTAATTTCCTCCGTTCGATAAACTGTTTCTTACTCTGTTTTCAACTCTGCGAGCGTACGCATCCGAACTTGATTCTGTCTCGGATCCCAGTCACTGTGCTCCATATTCGGACTCATCGAGTCTTTCGAGAACAGCTCCTTTTCTTGATCCGTTTCTAGGACATCTTTGTGCTTCCAGTCCTCAGGGAATATCTTGTGATAGTCCATCTGAGCGAGCACATCTTCATCGTCCGTCCCGAAGAATTCATGAACTGCAGAGTCGAAAATGGGCATGCTGATGACTGTTGTTGGTGCATTTTCGAGCAAAATACTGGAGATAGACATCCATTTAGGCTCTTTGTACATGATTATTTCAGATTGGTGCAAAGTGTCATCCGGGTCGACGATTCCTTGCAGATGAACCACGTTTGGTCTTGCATAATCGTTGAAAACCACACTCGACAAAATTACGTCCACCTTGAGCAGACGGAACTCTCGCAGGATTTTTCTGAGCTCATCGCATGCTTCTGGAGACCAGACTGCAGCTGTCTGCAAAGAACATTTATCGTCGAATTTCAGAGATCACTCACTTCAGATGTATTACTAAGAGCCGGGTAAATACCGCACATGGAGATCTGAATGGCTTGCCAGGGATAGAACATCCAGTGCTCGTCAAGTTTGCAGAGACATTCTCTGTTGACGAGCGCAAGGGACGCGTCGTCGATGAAAAACACTCTGGCCACTTTGCCATTTTGACAGACCTCCGTGATTCTGCAACGTCTGAAGGAACGCTCCTCGTTTGGGGCCAAAACGTAGTCTCCAACTTTCATTTCGGTGATCGATTCGAGTGGTAGCCTGAAAAGTTGAGCTTGAATCAGCCTAAAGTTGATTGAATAAACTCACGGCTCTCTGAATGTGAGGGTTTTGTCTGTGATGTGATTCTGAAGGCGAACCCAAATAGATGAGGGAGAATCTGCACGCAGAAGTTCCACATTGGCTGAGCGAGTAAGAACGATGCGGTTAATCTAAAAATGAGCTGATGATTTCGGTGCTCCATTCAGCCTGAAAGTTAAAGCTTACTCTGGCTGTCTTACTGATTTCATCGATTCCATTCAGATGCATCTTCGGATTTTCGGTCGCCCCTTTCCGTTCGGCAATCGGCTCCTCCGGCGGTGGGAACACTTCATCAGACAGACGAATTCCGACCGAAATCATCCTTCTGAAATATTAAAAGATGCAGGTGTATAGAGAAAGTAGACGAAAGAACATTAACCGAACGGTTGCTTATTGTAAAATTTCGCAATTGTGCTACTGTTGAAAAATAATAAGTTCGACATTCGAATCAGAGTTGGCAGCGAGCCAAGGACACGCCCCCCAAACAGCGTGCGGCAGTTGCAGTGAAAACTGTTTGAAGGGCGTGTCCTTGGCTCGCTGCCAACTCCGATTCGAATGTCGAACCTTTTTTTCAACAGTATATTAATTTATTTATGGGTTTTTTATCTGCGAAGCTTGTAAACACTGTGTTTGTGAAGATTGAAGACAACTCGCATGCGACTTTTCCAATATTTCCAAAAAGCTGCTTAGACTACGGTTTCCTTAAAGGCGCAGCATTCACATTACCAGCGGGTCTCGCCACGAATGGAATTTTTTTGGTAAATTTTTTTACAGAATATACTCATTTACTTTTTTCCAATAAGCGCAGCTGCGCATAAATGCAATTTGCTTCGTTTTTTTTTCAGTTAAAAATACGACTTCCGCCCAGAATTATTCGATTTTGTCTTCTTTGCGCCATTTCTCTTCCAGTTGCTGGCGCATTTCTTGACGTTTGCAGCGAGTTTTCGAAAATTTAATTCGGCAGAAAAAAAAGAGAATCCTGAACACAAGCTCGAATATTTGTGTTTTATACCGCTTGAAATTGCTCCATTATCGATGTTTACTTTGTTTTCTAAATTTCCAGTGTATCGATCGATAAAGCGCGTCATTGATTTCTCGGTTTCAGCCTGTTGCCATGACACCGAGAATTTCGCTTTTTTCATTGCAGTCTCAATTTCGAATAAAATTTATTTGCTGCCTCAAAATCTTTTGGAAAATTTCGAATTGAAAAGTCGAATTGCCATCGCAAGTGCTTGTGTGTGTACTAGCTCCTAATATTCGCTCAAATGCAAGATAATATTTAGTCCTCCTCGATGCTCGATTCTCTCTTTCTTCCAATCTATATTTAAGATGTCTCTCTTTTGTGCACCTTCTTCTCCAACACGTCTGCTGCTGCGGCGTCCACCCGGTTTCAGCTCGAACTTTGTTCTCGCTTGCGGCTTGCGCAGCGGGGGTTGAAAGTGTGCATCAATCAGGGCGGTGAACGAAGAATTCTCAGTTTGAACGTTTCAGATAAGTGATGGATAATCGAATGGAAGAAGACGGAGAGTTAAAGTCGGATGTGGAGACGTCGTCGGATGAAAAAGCAACGGATTCTGAAACGGACAAACGGAAAAGGACCGACTCGGAACTATCGTTGAAAGGTGGGGTGAGAAGAAGAGAAAGGTGTTTAAATGGAGTTGGTTTCAGACAAGAAAAAGAAGCACAAAAAGGAGAAGAAACACAAGAAAGAGAAAAAACATAAGAAAGAGAAGAAACACAAAAGAGAGAAGGAGAGAATTGAAGATGAACCACCGACGAAGAAAAGAGTCGTTGATGAGGGAACGTTGGGAAACGGGAAAACAAGAAGTGGAAGCTCGGAGAGAAAGGAAAGAAAAGAACGAAGCAGAAGTCGAGATAAGAAGGAAAGATCGAGAAGTCCGCAAAAAAGGGAACGGTCGAGAAGTGCTGAAAGAAGAGATCGAGAGCTGAGAGAACGGAGAGAAGCAGAGAAAAGAGAACGGTCTCGGAGCAGAGAAAGAAGGGAAGCGCAGAGAAGAAGAGACGTCGAGCATAGGAGAGATAATCGGACAGCGGATCGAGGAAGACGGTGAGAGCGGTATCAATTAAATTAATTGAATCAATCTTCTTTGCTTCCAGAGATAAAACACCGGAAAGAATTCGTACAACTCGAGACGACCGTCGGGAAGTCAGGAGGGACGACAGGTATTCGGGTCGGAACAGATCAAAAGACAGAAGAAGCCCGGAAAGAAGACGTGACTCGGATAAGCGAAGCGAAAGGAAGAAAGAGAATACGAACGACGTCGAATGGAACCTCGATTCCGATTCGGAAGGCGAGCAGAGAAAGATTGAGGAGAGCAGAAAGCGACGAATGCAGATTATGAAAAACTTGGAGGGAAGCACTGGAGAGAATGTAAATATCCAGATGAATGGCGGCGTTCAATCCTGTTCCTTCCAGAGTCCGAGAGTAAGCAGCAGTCCGCGAAGTGAAGTGGCGAATAGGGGAGACAAGAAAACTGACAATACTGAGGATAGCAGTTCCGATTCTGGAGACGAGGAAGATCGGCAATTGGCAGAGGCTAGAGAACTCATCAAAGCGGTTTGAGCTGCAAACATGAACAGAAATACGGAATTCATTTCAGACTCGTTTTGGAAGTGAGCACGGGAGTGGAACATCGACTCCAGTTAGTTTCCAGTCCGACAACGACACTCCGACAGATTTCTTCACTGGACTTCGTGACAAAATGGTACATATCAAGGATGCGGATGAGAAGAATGTAGACGAAGAACTGAATCGAGTGAAAGAAGAAGAGCACAAAGAGGATTGGCAGACGAAGCTAAATGAAAAGTTGAAGGCAGAAGAGGAGGCGAAGGCGAAAGCTGAAGCTGAGGCAAAAAAGAAGGACGAGGAGAAGAAGGACGATACGGGATTCGATATGTTCGCTGATAACGAGGAACTACCACAGGACAGCACGACCATCGACGGGCACAAAGGAGCAGTTCATGATACTCTGAAAGACAATTGGGACGACGTCGAAGGATATTATCGAGTTCGAATCGGAGAACTTCTTGATACTCGCTATCGTGTCGTCGGATTCACCGGAGCTGGAGTATTTGGAAATGTGTGCAGATGCACCGATCAAACTAAGAACAACACGGTCGCCGTGAAGATCATCAGAAACAACGAAATCATGTACAAAACAGGACTGCGAGAGCTGGAAGTTCTTCGGAAATTGAACGAAGCCGACAAGGAGGACAAGTACCATTGTCTCCGTCTGTTCCGCACCTTCAAACATCACAACCATCTCTGTCTTGTCTTCGAGAATTTGAGCATGAATCTTCGCGAGTTGCTCAGAAAGTACGGTCAAAAAGACGGTCTGCATCTAAAGGCCGTTCGCAGTTACGCACAGCAGCTTCTTCTCGCTCTCCGTCTTATGAAGAAACTTGAGTTCGTTCACGCCGATATCAAACCGGATAATATTCTGGTGAACGAATCGAAATTGACCCTGAAGCTGTGTGATTTCGGATCAGCCGGACGAGTGAACGAGCAGGAACTGGCTCCGTATCTCGTTTCCCGGTTCTATCGTGCTCCCGAAATCAGTGAGTCATAGATATTCTTATTTGTTCATCACTTCATTTTCAGTGCTTGGCGTTCGACACGACTACGCAATCGATTTGTGGTCTGTGGCAGTCACCTTGTACGAAGTTTACACTGGAAAGATCATGTTCCCGGGACGCTCGAACAACCACATGCTGAAATTATTCACAGATGTGAAGGGAAAATATCCGAACAGATTGGTCAGAAAGTCGCAATTCAAGGATCAGCACTTTGACGCGAACTGCAATCTTTTGTACCACGAGGTCGACAAAGTGACCCAAAGAGACAAGGTCAGTCGGGATTCCTCCACATTGTACATATCCACGTTTGCAGATATCTGTTCTCGCCAACTTGAAACCAACTCGCGATTTGGAGACAGAATTGATCGCCGGACAACGTTTAACCCGTGAGCAAATGGAGCAGGTGAGTAAGCCATTTGGAGTAGTGGGTAACCACTCCGTCCGCCTCTCAACGCAAAACGGTTCGATTCCGCTCCTTGTTCCTCGCCGCTTTGTAAACTTTCTGAAGCGGAGATTTTATGAGAGCGCATATAAAGAAACGGTCATTAGCGGTGCTCATCTTCGGTTAATTTTCACGATATGGCTGATTGGGTTCTGACCACAATTGACTCTTTTTTCAGGTTCAATCGTTCCGCAGTCTCATGGACGGAATGCTCGCCCTCGATCCCAGCAAGAGAATCACCTGCAACGAAGCTCTCAAACATCCATTCTTCACTCTTCACATCAAATAATCTAAATTCGTCGTTTTTTTTTAAGATCTCCATCTTTTCCGTCTTGTGGTACATTCATCCGATTGTAAGAGTAAATCTTACATTTCACATTCTTGATCGATTTATATTTGTTTAAAAGAATGAATAGTGAACCTGCTATTCTGCAGATAAATCTAAAAGAGTTAGCAGTTGAGGTGCTGAATTTGAAGCTCGTCTCCCTTGGTGACGTGCGAATTGTAGAATCGGTTTCCGCAGTATCCGCAAGCGTGCACTCCTGGCTTATCCTTTAAAAAGCGAACGTTAATAGAAGATCAACGTCAAAGATCTCACCAGATTGATGTAGACTTTCGGGTGTCCGAGAGCCGGATGTCCTCCATCGCAGAAAATGACTCTCTTATCTCCGCAGTCCTCTGGCGGACGTTGGTCGATCAAATGCATCGCCACGTTCGGATTGACGGACTTTGCGGAAGTATCGAAGCGTTGGAGACGGTAATCCGCCTGGTCCCAGGCCTGAAATGGAAAAAAAAGATAAACACAACAAATAGAAGAGTGTGCTTACTTGGCCGGTGTGAGTCACTTTGTCGAATTGCGCGTTCTTTTGGGTGATCTGATTTGAAGCTGGCGGCTTGACAGTGACTGTCGAGGCGGTCCGAGCAGCCAGAGATCCGCGCGAAACGGATTGTTGCAGAAGACGGTTCATCCCTGAAATTGCTGAACAATTGATAAGGGAAGGAATGACAAAGCGATCAAAATTGATTTTTCAAAAATAAAGTTCAACAATTTCTGAGAAAAGCTTTGAACAGGCTGGAATTAAAGCTCCAATCTCACGTGCAGGGCAACACTCACTCTGCAATTGTCCGTCGTCGATGAGCTTGCGTACAAAACACCGAGGTCTAGCCGCGCACCGTAGTTAAACATTTTAAAAACTTTTCAGAATGTTTTTCAGATGGTTCTTGCTTTTTAGAACTATCACAATTTAGAATGAACAGTTGTTAAGCATATTTATGTTAAAAATCGTTATTAGTCAACTCAAATTTACGAATTATTAAAGCAAAAACCAAGAAAGGGTTCTGTCTGCGAACACCGAACCTGACGACAATTTCGCGTTATTGCACAATCTGATTTAGTTGGCGTTTCATCAGATTTTTGTCTTTTTTTTCAGTTTCACCGTTGCATAAATTACCGACCAGCGCACTGAAAATTACTCATTCACAAAGCGAGTAACTTCTTGTTGTTTCCCTTGAAATCGCTGTTCTCTGTCGTTTTTCATGATTAGGCCTATTCTTTTCAGATACATTTGAATGTTTAAATTTTTCAGGTAATCATGTCGAAGCTCTACATCGATGTCGATGCTGGATCTGACCAGAACTCTGGGACGGAAGAGCAACCGTTGGCCTCTCTTGTACAGGTAACACAAACAAACGTTATCGGAATTACCGCTCAAATACAAGACTTCGAACCTGGGCCCGCTGTGCGGGCCGGACTAGCTCCCGGTAGCGGCTTCGTCGCTTTATTCCTTCGCAAAACCGTTCGAAAGTTCACGTGTTCATTTCTCAATTTCTCCGTCACAGCTATTTTCGTTTTAGAACTGAAAACGTGTGCGGACAAACTAAGAAATAAACAGAGGGACAGACTCCTCAAGACTTTTATTAATAAGAATGATGATGATGATGATTACTTACAGGCGATGGTTTTGTCTAAGAATTCGGGAGAGTTTCTGATAAAAAAGAAAAACGAGGACAGTGAAATCTGGGAGCCAGCTGCGAAAGCAGCCATCAAGAAGGCCGTCAAGAAGTACGAGGCTGAACTGAAAAAGCTGGAAAAGGCTGCCGAGCGGGAGAAAGAAGCCGAAGATCTGCAGCACGCTGCTCTTGAAGAGGCTCGAAAGATCACTTTCACTCTCGACAAGTCTCTTCCAGAAGCGAAAGTGATTAAGATTGGAGAGTCGAAAGAACACCGTGACCAGAGAGTCACCATAAAGGCCTGGGTGCATCGCCTGCGCAGACAAGGAAAGTCTCTGATGTTCCTGGTTCTCCGAGATGGATACGGATTCATCCAGTGCGTTCTCAACGATAAGTTGGTAAGCAGAAATCTGACCTCGACATTTGTTTTGAAAAAAAAAATATTTTTCAGTGCCAGAGCTATGATGCTGTCACTCTATCGACCGAGACGTCCGTTCAAGTTTACGGTGTCATCAAGGCGGTACGTGAACATCACCGGAAAGAGTACGCAAAGTTATAATTCAGTTGCCAGACGGAAAGTCTGCTCCAGATGGCCACGAGCTCACTGTCGATTATTGGGAGGTTATCGGAAAAGCGCCGGCTGGAGGAATTGAGAACGTGCTTAACGAGAAGGCCGGACCCGAAGTCATGCTGGACAACCGCCATTTGGTCATCCGTGGAGAGAACGCCTCCAGAATTCTCCGAATCCGTGCTGCTGCCACTCGTGCAATGCGAGAGCACTTCTACGCCGCCGGCTACACCGAAGTCACCCCGCCGACGCTGGTTCAGACGCAAGTGGAAGGAGGATCCACTCTTTTCGGGCTTGATTACTACGGAGAGCCAGCCTATCTGACTCAGTCCTCTCAACTCTATCTGGAAACTTGCAACGCCGCTCTAGGAGACGTTTACTGCATTGCGCAGTCCTACAGAGCCGAGAAGTCGCGAACGCGCCGCCATCTTGCGGAATATCAGCACGTCGAGGCCGAGTGCGCATTCATCACTTTCGAGCAGCTTATGGATCGTATTGAAGCTCTCGTCTGCGACACAGTCGACCGTTTGCTTGCTGACCCGGTGACGAAATCGCTGATTGAGTTCGTCAACCCAGTACGTTCTTTGTTCTGCCATCTCATTCCCAAATTTTTTTTTCAGGGATACAAGGCGCCATCACGTCCATTCAAGAGAATGGCCTACAAGGACGCTATTTCTTGGCTCCAAGAGCACGATGTTCGTAACGAGAACGGAGACAAGTTCGTGTACGGAGAGGACATTGCGGAGGCCGCGGAGAGAAAGATGACCGACACGATCGGAGTGGTAGGCACGAACATCCCCCGGACGATCCTATTATTTTGTTTCAGCCTATTCTTCTGAACCGCTTCCCAGCTGGAATCAAGGCTTTCTACATGCCACGCTGTGGTGAAGACAACGAGTTGACCGAATCCGTGGACCTTCTGATGCCAGGGGTTGGAGAGATTGTCGGAGGATCCATGCGTATCTGGAAGGAGGATCAGATGCTGGCCGCATTCGGAAAGGCCGGAATCGACCCGAAAAACTACTTCTGGTACATGGATCAGCGGAAATACGGAAGTGTGCCACACGGAGGATATGGCCTCGGACTCGAGCGGTTCATCTGCTGGCTGACCAACACTAACCACATCCGCGACGTCTGCTTGTACCCAAGATTCGTCGGCAGATGTGCCCCATAAACCTATCCGACATTCATTCCCACAAAATCGTTTTCCATTTTCTATCATTTATCGCTTTGTCCCTGTCGTTGCTACCACCGATTGCACCGCTTTATCTCTTCATCGGTTTGTTTTTGTGTCGTTTGTTGATAATATTATAATGCCTTATCATAAAAGATTTGTGGGAAAAGCGACACGAAAATCGAATCTAATTGGTGCCCGTTTTTGTCTCCAAAATATTGGCCTAAAGTCTGGGCGCTCGGGCGGGGCAGCAAAAAGCCTAGAGGTTGGTTGTTGGTTTATACATAAATAACTGTGTACGATTCATTTGACATTGTGACTGCAGCAACGACGGGTGAAAATAGAACGAGTTGGAGCCCGCTGAACCAGTCGGAGCCCCCGCGCCGGCGGCTGTTTGCTCAGCATCGTTGACTCGTCTGAGTACACACTCCGGGGGCGCCTTGTGTGCTCTTTTGAACCGGGCGACCTGCCACCGGAAGACGCCAGAAATTTCCTTATGGCTCCGAGAGCCGCTTTACGAAGAAGAAAAAAGGAGAGGCGTAGACGAGAGGGTACGCGACGGCGCTCTGCTTTTCGTTTCGAGACCATTTCCCGCCGCTCGCCGTTTTTATCTTCCCATCAAACAATCACGTGCGTTCTTTTTCAACGAAATACTTTCGTGACGAGACCCGCTCTGATCGGAAACATGACCTCTCTCGATCTTTAGCTGCGAAATGTACCCGAGAAAAAGAGAATAGAATAACTCATCAGAATACCAGTTCTGCCCCCGTTCTCCCATCTGAAAACGAGCGTCTGGTTCCGTCAGTGTTTGCCCCCTCCGACGAATGGAAATCGAAGGTGTGGCGGGGCAGCAGCAGCCGCCGATGACAGTGTCAACGATCGGAAAGAAGGGAAAGAGAGCGAGTTTTTTCATGTCGCGATTGCATCGATCCATCGCTCTCTTTCTCTTTCTCTCTTCCGAATCGATTCACTTTCCAATCCAACAAATGATGTGATCACGTTAAAAACAGGAAACGTCGATGTCTGAATCCCAACGTACCCTTCACTTTTCACCCCGAGAATTATTTTTTTCTGAAACTCTGCATTCCAGAGCCCAAACAGAAAAATTCTGGTTATGAAACGGAGAGAAAAACTTGAAAAATATTTAGTAAAGCACTATCTTCTCTCCCGGTCGGGCGGTCGGCTGCCTTGGTTAAAAACAAAAATAGTACACGTCGTCGTCTTCGCCCGAGGACCAATTTTGTTTACTGACTGGGTCCTGTTTTTCGACGACCGCTAAGTAGTTGGTAGTCCCTGCGTTGTCCCCGTCCGTCCTCATTTCCTGTCCAACTTCCCCTCTTCCCATTTTTTTTCGAATTTCTTCCAGCGGCAGCAGGTGCAACATTCTCATTTTTCCTTCCGTGTACCTGTTTCCCAGTCGTCTCGCGCAGTTGTTTGGTACTTCCAGAAACCTTCCGAAACCCTTTCAACGTCATTTCACTTGGTGTTTGGCTTCGGATTACGAAACCCCCTAACGGTTGCGATACAGCGCGGTCTGAGACAATAAAAAAGTCTCGCTAAGCTATTGACTTGCAAGTTCGAGCCTTGAAGAATCGATGGGAACGGGGAGAACGTTTTGAGCGAAGAAGAAGAAGAGTTAATTGGTCGGGTTATTATCGGATGGGAACTGATGGCCTTGGCTCGTCGCGAAAAAGCTAATAGGAGAGCGGTTCGGCCCGGCGCGGTGATCAACACCGCCGATAAATAACCTCGTCCAATCCGACTTGTCCTTCTTCCGCCTCGCTCTTTCTTTTTTCCTTCTCTTCTCCTCATCGGATCTCGTTTTCTCGTTGCTTCTTCTCTGCGTTCGAATATTTGCTTGCCTCTCGTGTTCGGATAACAAGCAGCACTGTGCGAATATTCGGGACGCTCCCCTCCGTACCTGTCCTACGTTGTGTCGAACCTCTTCAAAGGTCGACGTTTATTTGTGTGTGTGTTCGTCGGTTTCCTCCCCCAATCGATTCAATCGATTCCTTTGACTTCTTTTTCTCGAAGCATAAATTTTTACATACTGTTGAAAAAAAAAAGTTTCGACATTGGAATCGAAGCTGGCAGCGTGCCAAGGCCCGGCCTCCCAAACGCATATGCTGCGCGCGATTGTTGCAGCATTGCCGCACGCTTTATTATGCTTCGTTTTTGTCTTTATTTTTCGGCTAAAAATCAGCAGAAACTTCGGTTTTTCCCATTTTTTACCCGTATTTATTCATTTCGATCGTCTTTTGCTATAAAAGATCAACATTGAAAACAGATTTATCGACTTTTAGCTTGAATTTTCGAACATTTCTCGATTTCTGTTTTTCTCCTTTCGATTTCGATGAATTTTAGAATTTTCAGGTTTTTCACCCTCGGAGAAGTCGAACAGGCAACAAAAGGGCATGGATTTCTTATTTTCGTGTTAGTTTTTGACATAACAATAATTTTCTCTCCGACCAGCGTTTACAGACTCCACTCCTCCGCCGTCTTCTCCACTCCGCCGTCAGCACACAACGGAATACAAAATGCTGTCGTGTTAGCTTGAAGAAGAACGAAAATTATTTCTCTCCGACCGTATTTTCAGAGTCCGTGGACGCTTCAATCCGGAAAAAAGGAGAAGAAAATAGAATATCACTGATAATAAAATTCTTACACTTGTCTTGTCATTTAATTTATTGGAAAACGTAATAAATACATCTAAAATAATTGTTATTAGTGCCAATTCATCCAGCCCGCTGCAGCAGGAGATGCTTCTTCACCTTTCCCTTGTGTGCTGACGGCGGAGTGGAGAAGACGGCGGAGAAGACGGCGGAGGAGTGGAGTCTGTAAACGCTGATCGGAGAGAAAATTATTGTTACGTCAAAAATTAACACGAAAAGAAGAAATCCATGCCCTTTTGTTGCTTTTTCGACTTTTCCGTAGGTGGAAATCCTGAAAATTCTCAAATTCAACGAAATCGAAAGGAGAAAAACACAAAATCAAGAAATGTTCGAAAATTCAAGCTAAAAATCGATAAATCTGTTTTCAAAGTTGATTTTTTATAGCAAAAGACGATTGAAATGAATAAATACGGGTAAAAAAAGGGAAAAACCGAAGTTTCTTCTGATTTTTAGCCGAAAAATAAAGACAAAAACGAAGCATAATAAAGCGTGCGGCAATGCTGCAACAATCGCGCGCAGCATATGCGTTTGGGAGGCCGGGCCTTGGCACGCTGCCAGCTTCGATTCCAATGTCGAAACTTTTTTTTTTCAACAGTATTCGAGCGCGCCCGCCGGTTTAAAGGCGCATACGCTTTTACAATCGACTGGTCCTGTGGCGGCGGCAGAACAGATTTCCTCCGCTTTCATTCTCCTTCCCCTCTTTCCTCAATTTCTTCAATGTTTAAATTGTCTGAAATTTGGCAAAAAAACAATACGTATTTTGTATATTTGTTTTTCGGGTGAAAAAGCTAATTATGGCACTACCTCCTTCAAGAAAAATAGGTTCTTCTCGAAAGTTGTCCGCGTTGGCAAGACGTCGTTGTCTAGCCCATTGTTTCGTTTTTCGTGCTTCCTTCCCGCTGTTTTTCCCTCTTTTCTCGGAAACTAATCTCGTTCCAGATCTCTAGAAAACCGAAAAAATTTGATAACACACTTCTGACGTCATTTTTACGAAAATTCAGCTCTGTTTTTTTTTTAGATTTTCCTATATCCATTACTCATTATCAAAGAATTTCTGATGATGAATCAGGCGATGTGTTTTTGAGCACGCAGTTGTCTCCTTCTCAGAAAGTCGAGGAGGCTGAAACGCAGCTGAAAACGAGCGAGCTTATGAGTCAGTTTCTGCGAAATGACGAGTACATGCTCGAGAGTAGTGAGAGGGGGTGGAGAGCCCACAGAAATTGTTTTCGACTCACTTCCTTTGCCACTGGTGAGCGAAAACAGGATATCGAACGCTGTGCTGCTCAAAACAAGTATCTGTTGTTCGTCGCCTAATCAATAGGTCAGAAATGGGAACCACGCTCACTCTGGGGGATTTCCCTATCAAAAGCGTCTTCGCTTTTCCAAATTTCTTGTCTCAGTGGTTCCAACATGTTGCTTCGTCCCGAGTGGCCCGTTTTTCTTTTCCGCTTTCTCATACATTCATCGATTCGCATTTGGATCTTTTTTATACTTGACTCACTTCTTTCGACATCACATTTTTCTTCTTTCTCAGTGTAAGTGACATCTTCTCATCACTATCCATTTGTCATTTTCACTCTGAAGACAAATATAAAACGAACCATGATCGACTGCGAACAAAATAGAACATGTGAAAGTAAAAGTCAGCTGACAAGGGAGAGATAGGGACATAATAGATTGGGCGCCGGTGCTGTGTTGAGCCGAGCCAGAGACACCTTTTCTCTCGGTCAAACTCAGTATTTCGTGAACAGTGTCTTCTGGTCGTCGGCCCGACCCACACTTCGTTGCCCGTTTGTTCAGCAGAGCGGCGCGTTGCGGCCGCGTCGCGTACACAAATTGTCATCGTGTGATGTCGGTCGATAGCAGGGGGTGGTGGTGCCTGGCTGGGCCTTGCGAGTCAGTCTCAACCACATCGACCAGTCGCTTTGGTGACTCCCCCTTTCCTCGTTTGGACCCTCCACGTGTACCCTGCGCACAATGGCTCAAACCAGCCAGCTTCACAACCTTTGGCTTTTTCTTTTTAAAAAAACTAAAATTGCTTTAAACCTGCTTTGAAAAAAATAAAATTAAGTTTTAAATTAAATTGTCAGATTCTAGCGTTAAGCTTGTATTAAATTTGCGTTTCGTCAGTTTTTCAACTAGTTGACGCAAAAACTGAGCTTATTTATTATGAAATCAAAAAGACATGATCAAATAATCTTTAACAAAAAAAACGAGCATGATTCATATTTTCCACTTCCACGAAATTCGTTTCCACAAGGATGGGTTTCATTAAGTGTCGAATCTGCAATGATTGAAGAAATCCAATAGTCTGAACTGCTTTCATATTCAATGTGCATCAAACCTATTCAAGGATGTTTTCTATCTGTTCGGTGATGTAATTGAATTTTTCTGAGCTGCCACTTGTGAACTTGTTCTTCTTTTATTTTTCTTTTCGTTGTTCCCATTCTTTATTGATTCGAAGACGTGTTTATGAGCGTCGGAGAAAGAATTATTGCAGGCCAGAAAGAGAGAATAGGCGAATAGTCACCGCTCTGAGATAGTTTCGTAGTTCTCACAATTTGCAGTTCGAATTGGCAAGTGGCAACTATTTCGAAATCGATTAGACCATTCGAGAAACTCTTGTCGCGGCGCTTCCTCTCGCTACTCTCTTTCTTCGCTGTGACGTGGTTTTGTTTGGCTTGTAACCTTGCGTGAAGTTCTTTCTCTGTTCGATATTTGAACCGATTCTTTCGAAGAAGAAACTTAGTTCCTTTCCCCTGTTTTGTGTCGTACTTCCTCCTTTCCGGCCTCATTTGCCTTGCAATGTACTATAAGGTCGGGGGGTGCGTCGCATGCAAGGCGATCTGCGTGAACTTTTGGGCGGCTGAAAGACGGAAAAGTGCACGACGCGGGCGATAGATGCACTCTGTGTTAGTCACTAGTCCACGCCCTGTTTTCAGCCAGTCGGCCATACGTCTTTCATTTATGCTCTTCTTGTCAAACCTCATTTCTATTCTTCATCCCCACTACGAACAGTAGAGAAAATTCTTGTTCTTAATGCAAAGGTTGATCCCTCCTCATAATTATCTCTGAATTTGAAATTATTCTTCTCTGGGAATTGTTCGCTTCCTATCTCCACCCACAACTGTCATTCCCGTATTATATTCGTATCGTTCGTCATCACGAAGCGCTCGTTATCGTCCCAGTTTGGTATCTTATCACTTATCAGACCATCAAACTCAAGTACCAAACGAGTGGGTGTCTTCTTCCCCGTAATCAAAACACATGTTGTTTGGGTTGGGGCTCAGTCAATTTCAGGTGCTCTGTCAAAAAGTAGAAATTTCAGTAGTACTATTGGAGATGTAAATTTGTCTAGTGTGGCCTACGATGCACCGAGGGGAAACGAGAGACGCCGCTCGATCATGCGCTAGGGCGGCGGCAGTGTACGGAGATGAGGCAGCTGTCTGGTTGCGAGATGCACGCCTTTGGGCCGCACGCTCTTGTTGCGTCGTCGTCACGTGATACAACGCATGTAGACTGTCAGTCCCTTGTTGCCTCGTTACCGTTTTTCTCATCCGATTTTTCAACCACGTCAGGTTCTTCCCCCGTTCGGCTGTTTTCACATGATTCAAACAGTTCGCTGCCGGCTACCCTTTGCCTCGCCAACAATTGAAATCTACTCCCATTGGAAAACGAAAGTTTTCTTTGTCTTCTTCACGTCTAGCTTTCAACTTTGCCGGCGGTGTCAGCGATTACACAATCCCACGTGTCCTGGGTCTCCTGGCTCCTAGTTGGCTGAGGAATTCGTTTTCAATTAGTTAGAACGTATAATTATTTAGTGCATCACAGAATAGGACAAAAGTATGGTGAACGAAATATTCGTTTGAGGAAAAGAAGAATGAGATCGATCGATTTCCACGGAATGAATCGAAGCCGAGATATTCTTGAAGCGCTTATATATTTTTTTTTGCGTGGATGAATCATTTTTGCGGAAGAAAAGTGCTTTCCCTGAAAGGACGCCAAGTGCGCGACGTGAAGAAGAAGTACTGGGAAGAAGGGAAAAGAGGGGAAAAGAGGTCTTTCCCTCTCTTTCCTTCTCCCCCGTGGCAGTTTGTGTATGTGAGCGAGAGCGCGGGGCAGAGAGAAAGTCTATCGCTTTTTCGCGTGACGTGCGCCCTTCGCTCTAGTCAGTTCAGTCAGTCACTTTTGTCGAATGCCCCTCTCCTCTCCTCTCACTGGTGGTTCTTTACTGCATTTCACCTTGTGACCTGCCCCCTTCGTGTTCGGTCATATGAGAGTTGCTTCTCGGCGGCGGTGGCGGCTGCGGCGTTGTCCTTTCTCTTCGACCCGAGTACTTTATCTCTTTACAACGTTTTCACTTTTAGTTCCCGTGGCAGCAGCGTCATGCCACGGTTTTTCAAAAAGCCGATAACAATCTCCCCTCATTCAAATCTCCTGAAATCAATTTTATTTCACATTCGAATACACTAACTCACCTCTCCAACTCCCAACCTTATGTTCAAAAGTGAGTGGAGGCAGCCATTGAAATTGCAATTGATGTTACAATTATTGCATCACTTCTGCGTCTTAGTTTTAGGCAAAGCATATAACGAGAGAACCCAGTTTTCAATCGCTTTTTTCACCTGTCCGGAGACGTCGGAATCAATGAGCGCGTGATTTAACCAATACTACCGTCCAATAGCCTTCCTCGTATTTCGTGAAGGAAGTGCTTCTAAAATCTGTTTCCACCTCTAGGAGCCTCGCTTTTGTTGATGTGAATAGCAAGACAGACAAGGAAGCTCTGTTAGAAGCGATGAGTGTGTACGTGTTCGTAATCTAGCCCTTCTTGGAGGATCACATGATGACGTCTTCCGTGTCCCCCCTCATCGCCATATATTTTTCGTTTCTTTGTTGAATCGATTGTTTTCTCGGCGTCGCCGCCGACAGTGTTGTACTTTGACGCGTAGCGATCGACTCTTATCTTTTTTCGAATTATGTTCTCAACAAAAATATACATTCTTCAGGGCGTCGCTCAGGTCAACCAATGGAGAACGAACAACAGCAAGCTCAGACTGCTCCTGCCTGCCGTGCTGGATGCGGATTCTTCGGAGCATCCGCCACGGAAGGTTACTGCTCACAGTGCTTCAAGAACACGCTGAAACGCCAACAGGATGCAGTCAGACTCACTTCTCCTGGTGAGTTATATATTCAGTTTTAAAAAAATTTAAAAGGAAAAGCTATAAATACACCCGTTCTTGGTGATTTTCGCTTGGGCATCTTTTTGTTGCTCGCATCAACATGTCGGCGATCGGATAGTTGCGTCCTTTGTTAAATGAAGGCGACATAAAATCGATGGTATTGTAAAAAGACGAGTTTGAGAAAGTATAGTGGCGCCATCGCTGACCATTACGAAATGACGGTGTTGTAAGGCACGGACCGAGTTGACGGGAACACGAACATTATGTGCGGAAAAGGGGGCATAGTGTGTGCTGACGAAGGACGATGGTTGGGCTTAGGCTAATAACAAGTGGTTCCCAGCTTTCTGCCGCGTCTTTTGTTGCCATTTTCAATACGGAAAAGCGGTGAAATTTTGGGCATATTTCGATGGGAAAGGAGGGGATGATGATGATTGAATTATTTTGGGAATTTCTCAGCTGAATTTCTCAGCTGAATCATTTTCTCTTCCTCCCTCTCAAGACATCTTTAGTTTTCCCGGTCTCGGATCCGAATTCTATCAATGCTATCCGTAGAGAGGGAATTTTAGATATTTTGGCTTGTAATCCACTGCAAAACCTCCATCGCGTCTGTCTCTTTCTTGTCGGAAGTTTTGCATATCTTATTGAAAACTCCTTCATGACTAATTCGTGACAAAGTTGTCCATTATTCATGTGTTGAGCCATGCGGATATCGATCTTTAGGGTTCGTTTAGCGGAGTCCCACTCTAAGCATGACGTTTTAACTTTCACTGCTGATTCGATTGAACCTGACAACGTCATTTCTCCGGCAAATATATGACCAATCGCGTTATCAGCTAGTCTCATGACTTGGCAGCGAGGTCTGCTGGGGTGATGTGGACACGTGAAATTTCTCCGAATGATTTAATTGGATTTCAGTTGTCTCTCCTTCATCAATGGCTGCTACATCTTCCGCCCTGAAATCAGAATCTCCGAGTGTCGACATTTGTGCGAAGGCAGCCGTCAGTGAATCCGATGCTGCGGTAAAGCTTGAGTGTGAGGAGATCGCCAACATTTGCGATGGAATTAGCGATGATTCCGTGACGTAAGTTCTAATACTTTGAAGATGTTACAATCCTAAAATCGTACATTTTTCAGGGTTCCTGAGAGCACCGCGCCGACGACACTCGTTGCAGACGCCCCTGCCCCGGTGAAAAAAGCGAATAGATGCCATATGTGTAAAAAACGGGTCGGACTTACTGGTGAGTAGTTTTTCTCTTCCTATACAACAACAAACAAGAAAGATGATTAATTAACGTTTGTATTTATTTGCTTCGTAATATATTCAATGAACTTCTTCTGACATTTCAATTTATTTACTGGCAGTTCGAACAAGATGTAATTTCCAGGTTTCTCGTGCAGATGTGGAGGAATGTACTGCGGAGAGCATCGCTATGACAAGGCGCACGACTGTCAATTCGACTACAAGACGATGGAGCGTGAAGCCATCAGAAAGAATAATCCTGTCGTCGTGTCGGATAAAGTCCAGAGAATTTAAACATTGCCTGCTTCTTCTCGGTGTTGTGCGCGAGCATGATTCAATCTTCCCGCTCTTTTCCTGATAACATCTTTGCAACTAGTCAGAGGCGCTGTGTTCTTCCTAACACCGAACATTTGTCATTTTATTCGAATTATGTTTCCCCTCTTTTATTGTCACATTTCATAGACTATTCAACCACACCATTCTCCTCCTCATTACATGCACCTTTTTCTTCCTGTTCCCCTCATGCTGTATGTGGGCCGTCCGTTCTCAGTCCCGCGAGTTCTGGACGGTCTCGAATCCCATTGTACACACCACGTTTCGACTTGAACCAACTCGTAGTGTATTTGTGAGCAAATCTTGCAAAAATTTGCTCATTTGACTTATTCTGTCTGTTAATTGTCTTGGACTCTTGTGTACGTGTTTTTCAGTCAAACTGGAAAATGTGTACAACGGCCCTAGTGTATATTTCCTGCTTTCCTTCTCTTTCCTCTCCTACTCCGATTCAAAATAATGCTCGTTTTTGTAACTTTTCAAACAAACTACATAAACGTTTTGGTGACGATTGTTCGGTGCAGGTGAGGGAACATTCTCCTCTCCTCTCTTTTCCTCTCTATCCAATTTTTATTAGTATCATGCTATTCAAATCACGAACCCCCGCAAAACTAGGAATTTTTCAAATTTGGCGCTTCTCAATGTACATAGTGGGAGAGCTTATGCAATGAGTTGGTATTTGTGTCTTCTTCCCCCGCACTTTCTTTTCTTCCTTTCTTTCTTTTTCTTCCGAATAAAGTGTGCGTACTTGAAGTTCTGAATAATAACAGCGTGAGAACATGAACGAAAAGAGGGAATCGAACAGGCCAATACGTAAATGGAAAAGGAAGTCATTTTATTTTTTTAGTCAATCAAGAAAGTCTGGAAAGTAAGCGAGAGAGAGAACGGAAGCGGAGTGAATTGACTTCAGAATTGCAGATGTCTGCAAGTGACTCATCGACGAAGGACTCATCCACGACGGATTCATCCGAGAAGAGCGACTGGTTCCACGGGATTCTGCAGAGACAGGACGCCGAAGAACTGCTACAGAAGCAGGGAAACTTTCTGTTGAGGGCCTCGGAAGTAAACGGTGAGCACGGCAACGGAAAGAAAGCGATAACGGAGAGATTCAGGCAGAATGGCGCTGATTCTGTCGGTGAGAAACGACGGAAAACTGCTGAATTTCCCGCTTTTCTCGGACGGAAACGGCAGTTTTTGGTTCGAGGGACACCGCGAGAAAAGCGTGGACCGGCTCGTCCAGTGGCACATGTGAGCACGTCTTCCGAACTGAGATCAGATGAGATTCAGCGCGTCGAGCACTCCGATCACTCGTTCCTCGGGCGCCAAACTCAAGTGTTCGGTCGGAAAACCCGATTGGGCCATCGACCACGAGGCCGTCATTTTTGTGAAGAAACTCGGAGAAGGCGCATTCGGAGAAGTGCTGTCCGCAGATTGCGATGCTCGCGAAACAATCGGTCCGTGTTCAGGTTTCACTGGCCGAGTGCAAGATCGGAGGACAGAAGGTGGAGGTGGCGGTGAAGACGATGCGGACTCAGATGACGAGGGAGACGCGCGCGGCGTTCATGAAAGAGGCGCGGCTCATGCGAAAATACCGCCACCCGCACATCGTTCGCATCATCGGTTTGTTCGGATAAACCGATTGTAGCAGTAGTTTTGAAGATGTTGAAGTTCGCGCGTCCGTTTGTTTATTGTTTAAAGCGGCGAAATGATATAAACACGGGACCGGGTCATGTGGGAAGCGAAAGTGTAATTTAAAAGGGAAATGGAAGGAAATGGAAGAGTAGGAGGAGGAGAAATGAGTCCGTGACAGGCTTCCGAAGGGGACTAGACCATTCAGGATTCACGTTTGATAAAGAAATCAAGGCCTGTGGATATTATGAATCAAAAGAGACAGAACAGAATAAGTAGTGCCGAACTTTTCTAATAACTTGAAATGTAGTCAAACGCCTTTTCCATAAGAACTCATATGAGCACAGATACTTCAGGATGCTTCGATTAGTCTCGTACCCAGCAAAGTTGAGCGGAAGAACTCAACGGAAGAACACGAAAGAATTTTTATATTTTTTAGAAATTTTTTTCATGGAATGTGTTCAACTGACGAAATTTATAGCAAAGTGAACTCTGCTCATAGAAAAATAATTGTAATGTTAACTTTTCATACAAAAAAGTTATTCGAGTTGTTCCGTGAAAATGTCCTTCCGTCTTCCGTTAGCCCTTTTTTCACGGAACAACTCGAATAACTTTTTTGTATGAAAAGCTAAATTTACAATTATTTTTCTATGAGTAGAGTTCACTTTGCTATACATTTCGCCAGTTGATCACATTCATGAAAAAGTTTTCTAAACAAGATAAAAATTCTTCCGTGTTCTTCCGTTGTTCTTCCGCTCAACTCTGGTACCCAGTCAACAGTGGTACCCAAATAGGATATTTGGTCCGGCTCCGTGAGACCTGGTTCTGAACACAGGCTTCAAACCGAAGTTTTAGTACCCCTCGTTCATACACTACCATTATTATCCAAAATCGAAATAATGAGTAAAATACAAAGGAAAGACTTTCGCTGTCGTGTGCATAAGGTGCCGAAAGATTTTGCTTTCGATTTTTGATGGTATCGTCATTTGTTTTAAATGGGTTAAATGAGAAGTAGAGTATTTGAGTATTTGATAACTTTCTTGTTTCCCCATGAATCCTGAATGTCCTGGTCTTGCACACAAGTATTGGAAAAACGAATACACTGCAGAAAGATAACACCAATGTACGCGTACGTTTAGAATGCTTATTTTCAGGGCTCGCCGTGCACGCGCATCCACTTCTGATCGTCATGGAAATGTGTCCACGTAAGCCACGTTAGCCCCCGAAATCACCGCGGAATTCTCTTCAGACGGCTCCCTTTTGTCGCATCTCCGCCAGCACAAAAACAGAATTTCTCAATCGGAACGGCTCCGTTTCTGCATCGAATCGGCCGACGGACTCGCCTATCTCGAGAAGAAACAGTGTCTGCATCGAGACATCGCCGCCAGAAACTGTCTTCTTTCCCTCACCGACGTGAGCTATTTTCCCCATGTTTTTCAATTGAATCCGTTCCGCTTCTGCAGCAAATCAAAATCTCGGACTTTGGACTTTCGGATGACAAGCGCACTGAAATGTTCGATGATACGCTCGGAAAAGTTCCTGTCAAATGGCTGGCCCCGGAAGTGATGCAGGACAAATTGTACTCGTTGAAGAGTGATGTTTGGGCTTACGGTCTGTGAAGCCGAGAGGAAAAGACGAAGGAACGGAGAGTTTCAGGAGTGCTGATGTGGGAGATTTATGCGGACGGAATGGACCCTTATCCGGGAATGACCAACCTACAGACGAGGGCCAAAATCTTCTGTAACGACTACAGAATGACGTTCCCAGATGTGAGCCCTAGTCGCCAACTTTTTCCGACCTGGAACACTTCCAGATTACTCCTCGAACGGTCTCCGAAGTTGCTTTCAAAATGTGCTGGGCGAAGCTGCCGGAGAATCGTGCAACGATGGACTCGATCCTTCGCAAACTGCGCGACTTCTCGCTGACGCTGTCCGATTTGAGCAGCAGTTCGAAACGGAATGAACCGAAACAATAAACACTGATTCGCTGCCTATTCTTACTTCTAATGTTCGTATTGTTTGCATTCCGCAGTAAGTACTAATTCGATTAGTTGCCTCTCTCTCTCTCTCCTTTTTCTTCGCAATGGTTTGTTGGCAATGCCCGCGGACTAAGTGGAAACAAACCATTCGAAGATGGCGGGGCAGAAGAAGAAACTGCGGTAATTTTTTGAATGGATGATAACAGACAATGGAAGGAGAGGGATCGAATGTTCGCAATGTACCCTCAAAAAGATAGAAAGACTATTGAGGCATTTAAAAGTGAATGCGCTCTGTTGCAATTGTGATCTCCAACACGGCGACAATTAAAAACGGAAATGTATTCCAGAATTCATATGAAAAGTAAAAATTCGGTGAAATGCCCTGATAGTAGAGAGAAAGTATTCGATCCGCAGTTCAGCTCTGAACTTAATCAGTTGAGCTTGCGGTCGAGATGGTGAGACAAGCCGTTCCCTTTGTTTCCTTTGCAGAAACCGCAGCCACCTCCTCTCGTCCCTCTCGCCAATTCCAGTATTGAGATAGTTCCACTTCTTCTTCGTCTTCTTCTCCTTCTCCTTTGCGGCTTCTTCTTCTGTTTCGAATGATAGATTCTTCGATACACTTTCACACTTTTTACACTCACTCTCACCACGTCGCCCGCCCTCCCTCCCCCGCCTCACCTCGCTGTTATTATTCGGTATTATTTAGTTGCGCCCTTCCATCGCCTTCTGCCATCCTTCCTCCTCTTCCTTTTCTTCTTCTTCTTCTTCTTCTTCTTCTTCTTCTCCAGTCGCTGATATCGTCGTCCGCCCCTTTGGCAGTCAGTTGGTTGCCGCGCCAAACGTCTTCGGCCACACCGAAAGATGTTCGTGTGGGCCTTCTACCTACTCGCGAGTCTCGTCCTTTGGTAAGCCTTCTGGAGCCTGTCCCATTTTCTTTCGGAGCCCTTCCCGCCATTTGATCTCGGTGTTTTGCGTGTCTTGAACAGGTTTTCTCCCTCCCTCACTTCTGAAACCCACTTCCTCTTTCGCTTTTCAACCTATAAATCACAAGAATCATGGAATGGCTACCCCTTTTGCCTTCGTTCGGAGTGTTCACGAATCGATTAAATGACATAATTCGGCTAATCCAGTCGTTGTTCACTGATTATGATAGTAATAGGCTGGCCGTCTCATTCCCTCCCCCTCTGATAACCACTTTTTGTTTGCCTTTTGGGTGAGAGAAGGGGAGGGACGCGTAAACGGTACGCGATTCGAATGCCCTTGTGTCTGAGGGGGGAGGGAAAGTATTTTGTAATCTTGTGCTGAAACAATAGGCGAGCAAACATCACCCGACTGCAGGGCGGACAAAGTGAGCGGTGGAGCACGCACTCCCTACTTCGACCTGACCGTCTACAGTGATTGGCCGCAGTTCGAGGACTACGTCAAGGGAGTCGCCCACGACAATCCGTCGTTCGTGCAGTTGAAGACGATCGGACGGACGCGGGAGGGCCGTCCGCTGCTCGGAGTCCGCATCGGAAAGCCGGCTCCGGCGGGAAAAAGGAAGATCGCCGTGTGGCTGGACGGAGGCAATCACGCGAGGGAATGGCCGGCCTTCCACGTGGCAGTCTACTTCATCGAGAAGGTGAGAGAGGGAGAGAAGGAGAGAAAGAGACGGAAGTGGTGGCAGACGGGGATTACACACTCGTCTCGTTTCGATTCATTTCAGCTGGTCAACGGCTACCTCATCGACGCTAAGATCACGAAATACGTGGAAACACTCGACATCTACGTGTTCCCGGTCCTCAATCCGGACGGATTCGTCTACTCGCGAACATCTTCCAGAGCTATGGTCAGTTGAGGACACTGAGGAATGGATGGCGAAACGGATAACCTTTCAGATCAGACAATGGCGGAAGAACCGTGCGCCGGAGAACTGCACGGGGACGGGGCCGTTCCAGACGGACATCTGTTGCGAGGGCGTTGATTTGAACCGCAACTACGACATCGGGTTCTCGCAAGAGAGCTATCCGTTCAACAATCCGTGTTCCGACGAGTTCCAGGGACCGCATCCGTTCTCAGAGCCCGAGTCCAGGTACAGTGATCCTTCCGTTCTCGTCCAAATGAGTCCGTTCCTCTGCAGGGCCGTCCGTGACTTTGTCATGTCTTCCGAACTCTACGGCCGTCTGTATGCGCTCATTTCGATGCACACCCACGGACAACTCTGGATCCTTCCCTACAATTATCACAAGAGAACGTACCCGCAGGACATTAAAGAATTGGTGAGGAATTCAGAAAAAGCGAGAGGGCCTGGGACGTACTTATTTTGCAGGAAGCACTTGCGAACAAGGCCGCCGACCGGGTTTTCGCGTACCGGGAGACCAAGTACAGAGTGGGAACGGCGGCCGATATGCTCGGAACGGCGACGGGCGGAGCGACCGACTGGATCAAAAAGAACACGCCGACCAAGTACGTGTACGTGCTGGAGCTGCCGCCCGACATGAAAAGTAGGCCGAGCTGGGAGGCCACCTCAATCACACTCGTTTTCAGCCTGGTTCGCTTTCCAAGTGAAACCGCACTGGCTCATTCCGATCGGAAAGGAAACGTGGCTCGGAATCGAAGTGATCTTCGACCAAGTCATCGAAGAGACCAAGAACTTCCAGCCGACAGAAGCGACCGCTAATTCCACGGCAGACATCAGATCTCCACGGTTCAGACAGCTATAAGCAGACACGAGTCTTGATGGGACTTGATGCGGGTTCTCATTTGTTTTTGTTAGATGTCTTTCGATAAACAGTTATAATAACAACACAATGATAACATGCGAGAGGGAAAGATCAAGAAGAGCGAGAAGAAGGAGTGGTTGGCTTGTCGTTGACCACCTCGATTTCGGCGGCCACTTCGGGAATTCCGTGAGAACGAGTGCGGAGCGGATCGAGGAATAGCTGCATTCCGGACCTGACGTCCGGCGGAAAGTCTTGCTCGCAGAAACGGTAGTCTCCCATCTGACACTCGCTGAAGATGCCCGCCAGAATAGCCTTATCTTTATCCGAAATCGTCGAGGCTTCGTCTTCGATCATGTCCAGCACTTTCACGACAATTGAAGACTCTGAAAAACAAATTACAGTCATTTTTTAGTTATTTGAACAAAACCAAGTTCATTTAGGGCCGGAAGATCCTCTTGGATCGAAGTACACGCTTGCATAAACTGATAAATGACGGGCCAGCGGATATCTTGGATGTCAATTTCAGTGGCTCTCGATGTTTCTATGTCAGTCACTTTCAAGTCCTTTTCGATTGTGGCTTTAGCCGACAATTCTCTGAACACGCTCTGTGAAAGACAATTTGAATGTTAACGTTATATAGTTTTCTTTCATACCTCCAAAGTCTCTCGCATCGGGTTTCTGGTTTTGTTAATCGACTGCTGATGATGATCCAGAATTTTGCACATCACGCTGCTCCAGTCCTCATTTACATCCGTGTCAGTTTCGATCGCAGAAACGATAGAGCGGTGTCCAGTCTCAGCCCACTTTCTATGATAAAACTCCGGAAGGATTACCTCCTTGTGCTCTTTGACCATCTCGCGAATTTCATCAATTTTCGCCCTTCAGTTGAAGCCTGCTTTTACTATTGTCAATTGATAAACTCACTTTATTTCTTCCTCTGATCTTGTCTTTACAACGTTTTTGAAAATGTAATTGATTGATCCTTTGCCCGTTCCGTACTTGTGAACTCCGTAGAACAGCGATTTCAGCTCTTCGCTCGTCCAGTTTCCACCGTTGTAACTGCGTCCTTCTCCAAGAATCTGTAATGAGATAAAGAAGGATGAAATTGCAGAAGGCCCAAAATTACTCTGTCGAGTGGGGACGGCTCATCAATTTGCGTATAACCATCTACAATGTCGAAATCGTTGGAACTCGAAGTGCCAGGTGCTGAAAAAAATTTTACAGACTTACAAAAACTGAGAAAGCAAACCAGAACTGCTACTAGGCTGCGGTGAACCTTTTCTTGGCATGATTACCTGAAAAAATTATTCAGAAGCAGGTAAGGCAAAAACAAAGTATTTTTTACAGAAAAAAAATCAAATTTCGGTTTTGGAGGCATTTGTGCTAAACAACGCGCACCGGCGTCAAAAGTGGAGTGTCGTTCGAGCCAGTTGTCTCTTTTTTTCTATTTAAATTTTGAGGCCATGCCAAAACAGCGGAATTCACGAAAACCGCGGATGCCAAAACCGCGGAAGCCAAAACCGCGGAAAAAAATGCCAAAACCGCGGAACCGTGCAGGCGCAATACTTGACGCGCATTTTCAGATTTCGGCGTTTATTGAATAGAAGGAATTGAAAATTTAATAGCATCAAACAAAGTAATGAAGTTTGGAAAATCTGAAAAAAAATTAGAAATGAGAGTTATATTTAAAATTATTTTGACAGATATCATCAGCATATTTCTATTGTCTGCAATTCCACGGCGAAAAGCTCGTGGTGCCTGCCGGGTTTTCACATTTAGTTGGGACTTGCAGAATATTTTTTTAAATCTTTTTTTTTCACGGTCTCCAGAGGAGGCTACCCCGAGCCAGAACTGTCTCGAATCAACACAACTTTTCGTAACAAAAACCACATGCAGATAGCTTCTGATTTAGGACGGTTCCGATTCAAACAGTTCTGGCTAGGGGTAGCCACCTCCAGAGCTGACAATATAGGCGTGGCTTCCGCCAAGTATTTCGTTTTTTCGTCTTCCCCGCCTGAAAACCACACTCCTTATCAGTGTTGAGCGGAATTCCGTCTGCCGTCTTCCGTCTTCCGTCTTCCGTGGTTTTTTTTGTTCCGTCTTCCGTCTGCCATCTTCCGTGAGAAAAGTTTTCTTCCGTCTTCCGTCTGCCGTCTTCCGTAGAAGAATGTTTCTTCCGTCTGCCGTCTGCCGTCTTCCGGGATTTTTTTTTCTTACCGTAAAAGAGTAATAGCTTTTCAAGAGCCATTTACTAGTCCCGACGAACGCGAATTTCCACGGGCAGTACCCAGATCCAAAAGTTTTGTTGCATTAGTTATTTTTTTCAAAAAAAAAACCGGAAAAAAGGCTCTGAATTGACGATTTTTTGTTCCGTATTCCGTCTGCCGTCTTCCGGGAAAAAAGTTTTCTTCCGTCTTCCGTCTGCCATCTTCCGTGAGAAAAATTTTCTTCCGTCTTCCGTTTTCCGTTTTCCGTAAGAAAAATTTTCTTCCGTCTGCCGTCTGCCGTCTTCCGTATTTCAAAATTCCACTTCCGCTCAACTCTGCTCCTTATATTGCTCATTCCTGACCGTTTTCACACAAAACTGGTTTTGAGAATGATAAATCGCATAAATACAAAGCAAACATCTTGAGCGATCGAACAGCAAAAATTACAGAAAAAAAACTGCAAGTAACGCATTTTTGGGGGGAAACTTCAAACGGATTAATCTCAATCGACCAAACGAAAAGGTGATGACTTTTTTAAACCCAAAACTGCTTTTTTTCTTTACTGCTGCCTTTTTTTTATACGTCAAAATAAATGTTTAAAGTTATTTTCTGCAAATTGTCATGTTTGATGCTATTAAATTTTCAATTCCTTCTATTCAATAAACGCCGAAATCTGAAAATGCGCGTCAAGTATTGCGCCTGCACGGTTCCGCGGTTTTGGCATTTTTTTCCGCGGTTTTGGCTTCCGCGGTTTTGGCATCCGCGGTTTTCGTGAATTCCGCTGTTTTGGCATGGCCTCTAAATTTTTGGCTTCTGGCTTCTTAATTCATTCTCGTTTTTTCAAGGTAGAACCAGAATGCAGTTGGCACTGAGACTTCTCCGACCAGCGGCGAATCAGAACATCCGGTCGCCGAAGCTTTGGCAGGACCCAGTGCTCGGTTACTTCGAGACTCACGGTGAGCAGTTTTTTCTATCGATTTCTCCCAAAATCTCATCTTATATTAATATTTCGTTTACAGGAAAGACTGAATTCCTGCCGGGACACGAATACAATCTGACTGACGATGAAAAGAAGGCCGTTCTGTGGAGGTGAGCTATATTCGCAGATTTTTTCTTCGGAGTCCAGTAGTTTTTTTCAGATACCGCGTGAAGGAGATTCTGAAGAAGGAGTATCTCCGTCGTGAGTTTGATCCGCACAGCTTCAAGTACAAGGAGGGGGTGACGATGGATCCGGCCATGTTCCGCTGGTATTCTGCTGATATGACTCAAGCGGAGTTCTTCCGTTTCACTCCACGCTCCGTCTTCTTGTATGTCGGAACCGTCTTCGCGCTTTTCTACATCTACACTCGTCTCATGTTCGTGCCAATGGTTAGTTCATCGAAGCGTTTATTTCGTTCTATTCGCATGTCCTATTTCCAGGACAAGTCGAACGAGGCGTGCCTCGACGGACAGCTTCTCTGGTGGGACCGTCAACAGGGTAGAACTTTGCAAACTGGAGGATCCGGACTCTTCGCCCCGACCATCGGAATCGACTTCTAAACGCACCAGCTCGAAAATTGATTATGCGAACTTTTCTGGTTTTTTTTGTAGCTCCAATGTTTATGTTTTAGTTGCGTAAAGTAAAAGTGAGTTTATTCTGTTCGACTCGTAACATATTAAAAGAAAGATGCCACGCGTATTGAAGGACATCACAGAAAGAAAAAAAGGTGAATGTGTGCCTGGCTTTCGGGGAGAGTTCAGTGGAGAATTTGTGCTGCTTCTGCAAAAGCTTGGAGAAGAAACCGTAAAAAGGAATGTGAAAGGGATAAAGGGGGGAAGGGGGATGGAGGATATGTTAATAGTAGGCCGGTGATCGCATAACGTCCAGTTCCTTCTTGTGATTCTGACGGCGGATCACAAGAGCCGTAGAGACGACGGTTAGTGAAACGACGGTGATAAGAAGAAGCGGAAGGACGGGAAGAAGAAGACGTGGCACGCAGAACGGAGAAGGTGCGAGGAGGCCACGGTCAGCCGGATCAAGGACAAGAAGTTCGGAAGTGGCTACGTCAATCTGGACAATCAAAATTCTATTGCGTCTTTCGTTTGTTCGCTCACCTCGTAATCATTCTTCTCCATCCCAGACTCCCTTTTCGTTCTGTTCCCCCCTGAAGCCTCGCTCTCCAATCTCTTGGCTCCACAACTCGGCGGCTGAAAATGTATTCGATTGCACTTCCCATTCCCCTCCTTTTCGAGTTCTCACTGTCACTTCCTGGCACATTCCCATTTGTTTCTGGCACAATCTGATCTGACATGTGAAGTACAACTGATTGGAGTCCGCGTACTTGAACACTTGGCTCGACGCGTGCGCTCTCATCAGGGAAGCATCGTAGGAGAGCTCGCTGAGCAGGAACGGATCAGTTGCGCAGCCATCAAAATCAACGACGGCATGATCTTCTCCGTCCCCGTCCGTCACAAAACACTTTTTGACGAGCATCCCCATGTCGGCGGGAGTGCATTCCCACACGTGGAATACGGTATCGCCGACGTTCGCATAAGTGAGGGTCGGGCCATTGGGACCATCCCGACGGACGGAATACTCGCACTTTGGCATGGACATACTGTCGGACAGCTCCGTAGTCGGAATCATACTGTAATCGGTTCCTAAGACGAGAACTGACAGAAGAGGTTTCTCACCTGACGTCGATGTTCTGAGTGACAATCTCATCAGGCTCCATGTAGAAGCATTTCACGTGAAACGCGCGATCGTTTTTCGTGATGAAGCCAGCCGGATGGAACGAAACGATGACGGTGACCATGAAATTGACGCCGCGAGGGTTCGCCTGAACAAGAAATCCGAATTCGTCGCCTTCTCTCCGCTTCATTTACCGATCGCAGTCGTTGCATTCCGCACTTCCCGAGCGGCAAAGAGTACGAATTGGTTCCGTTGTTCGCGTAACTCTGTCTGCACGATTTGTCCTTTGCCCTTCCCTTCACAAATATGTTGCCACGGAACGGTTTCGAGGTGACAATGTCGAGTGCAAGATCGTTTTCGGCACAGATTACCTTCGGCGTGCCTACAAATGAGCCTCGTTTTTCTCGTCCGTCTCCGAACCCCATTATGTTGGCGGTCATTCGGCGCGACACCCAGGCTCAGGCACTCATTTATCTCATAATTGCTTGTAGAAAACACACAAAACCACCCACGGATTATCGCACGCTTTTTCTCGTCTCCAACAGGCGAACGGATAAAAGCGAACGAACTCTTCGATGCGCCTCAACATAATTATCTGCTTGCCAGCAGTTTCGAGGAAAAAGTGCGAGAATGAGGTCAGTTCGATGAGGCAAGAGCGAAGAATTCGAGGGGGAGTTCGAAGGAGAATAGCAAAGTGTAAAGAACAGTTTTCATGAGAACGGTCTCGAGAGGATCCCGATCTTACAAGTGTGGTTGAATGTGCAAACTAGGTTGAAAGTTTTTGGGAACTCAAGATTCAAAAGTTTTCAGCTCTTTTCCCATGAAAAAGACTATGAGGACTGTGAGAATTCCGACTCACCAATAATGGAATTGTCGATGTAGTTGACCACTTTAGACTCGGCAGCCGCTTGCTCCAGCAGTGAGCACAATACGAAAACGCCTAACCTGAGCAGCATGTTCTGAAAAACGGAAGAAGTTGAAGGAGCGGAGTGTCCGACGCGCTCGTACTAAATTAAATGCTCTTCTCTCCCACCACTCGGACACGGACCGACAAAAAGTGGGCGGAGCGACGGTAACTAGTACGGACGGGCGGGTCGAATACACGCTATTGTGCGGGCAATCCCGACGAAGAAAGAGGAAGATGAAGAGGGAAAAAGAGTGGAGGACATGATCGCTTCTCAATTAAGCTCGTGTTTTTGAGATGGACGGCCGATGTGGCCCCCTTCTTTCTCGGAGAAGAACTACATATTATTCGGGAAGAGTTTCTGGGTAAAGGTCAAACCGAACGAGAAGTAAGATGGCGCCGGCGAACAATCGGAGACGTTGGGAAACACGAGGAAAGGCGCTGCATAGGGTGAAAATGGATAATTACACGGACGAGACTCGGACTCGGGAATAGGTCAATTGAGATGGAAATGCTGGCGCGACGCCTGCTGGCAGACGGATCGGACGGCTCGTCAAATGACAGGCAGAAGAGGAAACTGAGGAAGATTAAGAAGACATCTGCGGGAAAAGGAAGGAAACGAAAACGAACAGCTCGTAATGGACAGAATGATCGACAGGTTCGGAACATCGGAAGGAAAAGTGAATTTCAGCTCAGAATTTTGCAATCGCGCTCTACTTTTCGTGCACATTCCGGTATTGCAGTAGAGCGACATTGCAAGAAACTTGCGGGACTGTTAACTCTCTGTACCTCTTCAGTATTATCGCACATCTCCACCCCCTGCCACGTCATCTGAATAGTGGAGTGCGGAGCCCGTAAACTGTCGGTTGCTCATCTGGAGGTCCTTATATAAACAGACCGTCCATTCACCCAACCGTTCTTCCGAGAACACATACTAAAATTGGAACAATACAGAGAAGATTAGCATGGCCCCTGCGCAAGGATGACACGCAAATTCGTGAAGCGTTCCAAATTTTTTGCCCAATTTCAGTGCATTCAACTTCTGAACTCCTACTCCCGATGCCTCTCCGATCTTTCGGTCGATCAAACATCTGACGTCGGCTGTGTCACGCACACACACACACTTTCGTTGCGTAATTACCGCCGCGTGTTCTTCTGACACTCGGAAATGGAGCAACAACCTCGTTTTCGCTTCCTCCAGTTGTCCTTTTCGGAGAGGAGTAGGTCAAATGGTTCAGGCACGCGAACCACTAATAATTGAGTAGAAATGCGAGAAAGTGACACTAAAGGACTCGGAAGGGAAGTTATGCAACCGGTGCCCCCCCTTTCCCCTTTCCCCACGTCACGTTCCCTATTCAGATGAAGCAAATAAAAACTTTCACGTCTTCTACTTCTTCCCGTGCTCTCCTTATTTCTATTTGTTCGCTTCAGAATCTGCGCAGTAACTATGCAGAAATCCAGGCAGAATAAACAGTGTTTTGAGGTCAGCGACAACAACAAAAAACGGACGTTTGAACGTTTCTGAATGAAGAGGAGAATTGAGTGATTTAGAGGGTTAACGAATAAATACTTTATTTGAAAGAGAGAGAGAGAGAGAGCGAGCATTAGAGCGCTCCTTGCGACATGGACATGAGATCCGAGTTCATATTCTCTGACATCATCATCTGAAAACGAAACGTTTGAGTGGGCCTTTGATTCGATCCGCAACTTACACTCTTTGACGGATTGTGCACCTTCACTTCCGGCTTGATTTCATAATCACAATCAGAAGGAGCTTCTGAAACAATTCAACAGTTTGAATCAAATCACTAGACGAGTTGGTTACCGAGTACGATCCGCTGATCACTGCCGTAATATGCGAACACGACGACCGCGAGGACGAGTGCCTGAGCGATGGCGGCTCCAATGAGCATGAATCCGAAGCTGCCCTTCGTCGCACTTTTCGAGCCTTCTAGCACTTTTCTGTCGTTCTCCTGACCAATGGTATCTCTTTTGGATCTGGTCCCATTAGGTTTCGCCCTGGGAACGACTTCAGGAAAGGAAAGACTCAGCCAATTGGTTACTTTGAACAGTCCGTTGAGCGAATCGCCAGTCTTTCTGAATCAAGGATCATGACCGAAAAAACGATTTGACTCACATGACTCCGGCCTTTTCCCCTCCTGAAATAGTGTTGCGATGCTTCCACGGAGTCTCCGGAAGACAGCAAACGATCGCTTTTCTGTTCGTGTACGGCACTGGGACATGCATCGTCTCGCATCCTTTCGGACATCTCCATGCCTCTTTTGACACGTCACCGGCCACAGAAACGTAATGGGGCTGTTGGAACGTCGTCAGGGATCCGTATTTGCACGGAATGAAGTGAGGCTGATAGATTGAGGCTGAGAGGGGGCGATTAGAAAGTGTGACTGCTTGGGACCGCACTCAAGTAGACCACGTCCGGTGTGTTGGCAAAAACGACGACGGGAAGAGGCAAGACGAAGGAAAGAACCAATTGGAAAACAAGATTCATACTTTTTCTCGAAAACCGTTTTGAAATAAGGTTTTTTTCGCAAATTATGGACCTTCCGAGTTCACGTGAAAAAGTTTTATGGTCAAGTTCAATTCATGCTAGAATGGTATCATCTCTGGTCACATCCTTCCCATCTTCCGCATTCCCTTTCACCGTTCCTAAATTCAAAACTTTTTCCCCCCTTTCATTCTTCCCTTTTTCCCGTACTTAATGAAGTGGCCACGGGTCCCTCCGATCCCAGATCCGTCAGATTTCCCATCGTTGAAATTGTCGTCACATTCTGATGAATGATTTCGCTCTTTTCCTTCGTCACCGTCAACGCTTTCCTCTCGGCCTCCGGTTTCTTTCCTAGGTTTTCAGTTAACATCAACTCGATGTCCTTCAGTTGCTGGGTGCTGTTTGTGATCAGATCGCAACGATAAATGTCTCCTGAATGTGAAATTTTTTAGAAAAGGGAGTCGGAGATACTACTTCACACTTACCACAAGAGCACGTCGACATCAGAAAGATTAAGAGAAACGGAATGATGTAAAGAGACACGATTAGCCAGGAATAAATGTGATTCTGAGACGGAGGAGCATCGGCGGTGCGGTCTTTCACACTCCACGACAGCCGTTCTCTGCCCATTTTGTCGATTGGCAAACCGTACGACGCAGTGAAGGCGACTGTATTTTCGACGTTTTCGCGGAAGGATTTGAGCGAACACATGGCAGCACTGAAAAAGAGAGCGTAATTCTTTGGCCAGGCACATCTGATGATCACGTCATTTGGATCGAGCTGCAGGATTTGTGAGTGATGTCCGAAACGTTTCTCTGGTCAACGGCGTCTTGAAATGACAACTGAAACATTTGAAATTCTTAGTTCGACGCCTTCTTACACGACGTCACTCACAAACGCTTTCCATGAGATCAACAAATCGTTTTCTTTTTGGATGTCACTTTGAAAGCAATCGTCTTTCCGGCAGAAAACGGTCGAGTAAAGTTTGGTCGGAGAAGTGCATTCCACGTTGACAGTTTTGTCTTCAGATGAAATCCGAGTGCTTTTCAGGCGGCCCACACACGTTTGTCCATCCAGTTCATAGACGTAGGCTTTTGCCTGTTTCCCTGTAATTTCACGTTTTCTTTATGCCCTGATCGGCTTCTGAACCTTCCCGAAGTTTTGAGAATCCCTTCAGAAGACAGCCAACTTTCAGAATGTTCTTGGACATTTTGTGATCCGTGCTCCCGCCCACTCGACTCCTCCGATCCCTTTTCCACTGATAAACCGATTCGGCCATCGCGCGATAGTCATAACATGAAGCATGGAAGCTTTTATCGCAAAAACATGATACCAGGGAGGAGTTGTCGAAAACGGGTTGAATGTAACACTGAGGAGTTCTGATGCTCTCCTGGGTCATCTTTTTGAAGATTTTCTGCATCGGAGCCGTGGAACTGATCGCGGAGGCTTCATGAACACGGATGGAACACCTGGTTTCATCGAACGAGAACGTCGTGACACAGTCCTGAGCCTCCCTTTGTATTCTATTCTTTAAGTGTAACGACTACCGTACTCCTGTTGCATGTGGATGAGATCTGCGCAAAGACAGTGTTCAGAAAGCAAGAGTAGATGATGAGCAATTGAAGTGAATGAATCATCGGAGACAATGCGCGAAATGAATTTTATTTCTCGTTTCCCACAATCAATATGCCCAAGTTCAAAGTTTACGTGAAATCTAAACTCAGCTGCAAGGTTCGCGTTACCGAAGTCAACGTGAAGTGCGGTAGAGCGCGGTTGTGCATCAACTTCTGAAATACTGCAGCTTCTCGACACTTTTTCCGTTCCTGTCTTCAAATATTGATAATCATCGTTTCGGTAATCATCGTGTCAATTAAAAAATACATTGGTTAGTGGGGTGGCAAGAAACATCAACATGTGACACTCCTCGGCGCGATGATTGAAATCTGCAACGAGAAGAGAGCGGGAGAGGGAAAAGGCCTTCGAAGCGAAAGGAAAGGCCTGACAGATTTGCGGAGATATTACACAACACAGACGATACTACAGTAAGGCGGAGGCATCGTTCGGAGGACGGAGACGCAGGTCGGCGACGGCCAGGCGCACCTCCTCCATTCCCCCTTCGCCCCCCTTCTTCCATTCTCCTCTTCGTCCCGTCCGCCGGCTGTCTTCCCTTCATTCGCATCGAGTAATGTTGGTGTCTCCGACGGCTACTGCAAATTCTGTCGAACAGCAAACTATTCACGATCTGCGGTGAGTGCCATCGCACACCATCTTCCTCTTATTCCAATGATGCCTTCGGTTGACCTCGGTCCGGAAGATTCTCAAAGAATAATGATATCATTCCCTTCCGGAATCATGATTATCATTCGTTTCCAGATCGATTCTCCCGCAGATTGAGCCTCTGAACGATGGTTACGTGCTGCGTTGGCTGCGTGCCAAGAACGGACGGTTCGACGAGACGGCAGAAAGTTTGAGAAAGCACGTGGTGTTTCGTAACGCGTGGCACCTGGATACCATCGATCAGTGGACGCCGCCAGAAGTGAGTGGGCGAGAAAAGTGGGGGGAAATCAATGAGGAATCGGGAAGGATTGGAAGGCAAGTCGGCGGGGAGAAAGCCTCTGGTTAATCATAGATCACAGACCACTCGCGACGAAATGGAACGAGACGAATCTGTTTGTTTTTGCAGTGTCTCGAGAAGTATTGTGGATACGGACTGCTTGGAGACACCGAGGGACGTCCCATTCTGATGTCCCTTCTCGGAAACGTCGACGTCGAGGGACTGCTCAGATCGGTGGCTTCGCTCGATTACATCAAGTTCTCGTTGGCTGCTATCGAGAAGGGAATGAAATTGTGCGAGGAAAAGGCGAAAGAGGTCAGTGGAGAACGGCGAGAAAGTGTGTGTTCTGAACGGGAACCATTGCAGTCCGGCCGTCCATTCGAACAAATGACTCTCGTCTTCGACCTCGAACACATTTCATCCGCGCATTTCTCCTGCAAACAGTTTGCTTCCTCGTTCACGACTCTCGTCAGTCTCTTCCAGGATCACTATCCACTGGTTCTTCGGAAGATTCTCATCATAAGGTACGCTACAAAACATTGAAATGGCCAATTTCAAAATTCAGAGCTCCTGAAATGGCTCGGATCGCGTACGCGTCAATCACGGCAATCCTTCAAGATCCGATCACTCGTCTCGTGGAAATGCCCTCTGAAGTTGGTCCCTCTTGACATCCGTTCAAACGTCGTTCCGTTTTGCAGCTCGATTGGAAGTGGTCGCTCGCTCAGATCGTCAATCTGGATGCGTGGCCAATGTACTGGGGCGGCAACCTCGTGGAAAACGGCGATCCAAAGTGTCCGTCCCGCATAAAATACGGCGGAGGACCAGTCGACGAGAGCTACTTCGTGGATCCGAAAAAGGCGATGGCCGACTACGATCAATTGACGACCGTTTACGCGGGAGACAAACATCTCATTCAGATCAAAGTGAAACGTCCGAGTCGGATAAGGTGAGGTGCCGGAAGTGCGGCGAGCGATGACGTGGAACACTTTCAGCTGGCAGTACATGACCGACGAAGACGACATCGGATTCGAGATTCGCTACGATAAAACGTGTGCGTGCGACAAATTGACCGACATGGAAACTGTCTATCCGTACATTCGTCTCGAGTGCACAAATGTTCCGATCAGTGGACATCTCGATGCTGCCAGTCCCGGAAATTGTGAGTCAAACGGTCCTTATCCATTTCATTGCGCACTTTTTCAGATGTTCTGGAATTCGACAACTACTACTCGTGGTTCTCGGCCAAACAACTCCGTTATAATATCGAGATCGAGGAGCTCTGAGAAGAGGAAAATCGTGTTGATAATAATAATGTATTATTGATTGCAAAAACTACAGTTGTGCCGATGTGTACTTTTTAATTTATAAAAAGGAAATGTAGAATTTCTAATTTTAAATCGCAAACAACCCTGCACGCTTCCTAAGACGCTTTCCATTTCAATCACTAAATGTAGAGAAAACCAACTTTACGTGTTCAGTAGTAGTCTCTAAAAGTGTAAATTCAGATGTGGTTCGACCTCTCTCAAGATCTTAAGGACGAGAAAGGTTTTGTGTAAATCATTCCCAAAGTATCTAGACGATCAAATCGAACTGGACAGAAAAGTGATAGCGACAGAGATCACTTTTGATCGTCTCGTAAAAACCCATTAACCTCCGTCCTGTGAAAGATTCACTTCTTGCATTGCAATAACGTCGGATAAAAACCGCTCTAAACTAGTCTGAGAAGTGTGTTTGGCGTAGTTTCCAGACCAATGTCCAAGAGATTGTGATAATCTAGCTGAACTTCAGCATCAACTCATGTAAGACCGGAAATTACAGATTATATCAAGCTTCGCCTTCAGCTCAACAGATCGAAAATACACATAAAAATCTGAATACCAGGAGTACCTGGAATACCGAGCAAGCGAAGCCCCTGCCCGATTTTTCGCCGCCCGTGGGTCAAAAGAGGGTCTCATTTGGGCCAAACGCTCATGCCGCAAGATGTACCCAACTCATCCCCTTATTTTACCCACTCCGGTTTGCATGTGTTAGCCAGGCCCTTGCGCAAAGACGCGATTTCGTGAATCGTTCCAAATTTTTGACCAATTTCAGTAGATTCAATTTCCGCACTCTTAATTTCGATGTCTCTCCGATTCTTCGATCGATCAAACATCAGACGTCGGCACTTTCGTTGTTGCACAGCGCCGATATCCATCTTCTGAATCGCCGAAGAAGGACGAATTACGACAAAACTGATTGACACCATTTTTTGCAATACTTGCTCTGATCTAAAATTTTCTAACTTTATTATTACGGATCACTTGGAGCATAAAATCTAGTAATTGGATCATAGTGTTACGAACAACGAAATTTTTAGTTTTTGAAACCCGGTACTGAAAAGAAACACAATGGAAAAATGAACAAATATATGGTAGGCATCTATATAGTTCGGAGGGGAGTTTTTAACCGAACGACAAATTCACAATCTATCAACACGGGCAAAGAAAGGCGGAAGCAGGAAAGAAAGAAGAAGAGAACACTGAGGAAATGGGCGATGGCGAGAGAAATGGCTAGAAATGATGAAGGTGTGACCCGTGGCTGAGTGAGGACCTCCTGACTAGTGGCGACGGTGCTTCTCCTGGAAAATAGATGATATCACAGGTCGAAACGATTGCCACGGTACCTTCTGACGGTCTCGGTGGTGGTCCTTGCTACTCCCCTCACCGTGATCCGTTTTCCGTTTCTCGCCCCTGTTCTTCTCTTTCTGATGCTCTCTTTCCTTATTATCCTTCGTTTCCCTCGGCTTCTCTTCTTTGCTTTTGTAATGATGATGGTGGTGATGGTGGTGGTTTTTGTGTTTATCCGAAGTCAAACTCCGATACCGATCGGCCAGCTCGGCAGGCTCTCGCAGAGTGAACTTGCACAGGAAGATCCACAGATAATTGTACCACTTTCGGATGTTGGTTTTCGGCTTTCGTTTCAAAAGAGTTTCCAGATTGGTGAGGAATGAATCGCCGAGCCGAATGAGATATTTCGCTTCGTCCGCTTGATTCTTCGACTCTTGCGCTTCTTTCAACTTCTTCATGTACTTGTGCACTGGCATGCAGAGCTTGACACATTCTGAAAAGAGAATGCGTTCGAGGAGAATTTCGAAAGTCTGTTATTTACCCAGGAACGGTTTCGCACTGCTGTCCTCGAGAGCACCACCGTACAGTGACTTGTCGATGGTGAGAAGAGCCAGCTGATCCTTCAGACTTCTGTTTTTCTCTTCCTTCTTCTCCTTCTTCTCCTTCTTCTCTTTCTTCTTGTCCCCTTCATTGCTCACGTTATTGCTCTGCTTCTTTTTCTGTAATTATTCATTATTTGTTTCCACTTCCTTTTCTTTCAGCTTACCTTCTCTGGCACTACTGGCGTCGACTCTTCTGCCTTTCTTTTCTTTTCTTTCTTATCCGAAGTCACCGTCTTTTTATCTTTTTTCATCAGTCGCAGCAGATAGTCAACTCTTTGTTGAAGATGTTTCCCTTGTGGCTTTTTCGTTTTATCCTTTATAAAGATTTTGTCTGCCAATCCGAGCGTCGGATCCATCTTAATCGCCTCCCAACTACCGTATCCGTACTTCCACACTCCCCAGAGCAGTGCTCCGTCGTCAGCCCATTTCCAGTCCACGTCCCATCCTTTCTGCGGTTTCGCATTTGACGGCGGTTTAAACGACGTTTTCTTCTCCTGTGTTTTGAGTGCTTCGTGCAGTGGTGCCAGCTCCGCGTGACTCCGTTCAATCTGCTTCAGATTCACATCGCAATTAGCAAATTTGAATTTTCTGTCCGCATCCTGAACGCAATCTTATTTTTCTCTTTCTGAAGCTTCGAACTGACCTTTTTGTCACTGCCGGTACCATTCTTCTCAGCGGCTTCAAACTCTTCGATCGCTTTTTTGCACGACTCGCTCAGGCTCTCCACCAACTTCTTCATTTCCTCAGTGCTGTGCTCTTCGAGTTCCGCATCTTGAGCAATTTCCTCGAGCCTGTAAAAACAAATGAGAAAGTGGGTGTGGAAACGATGGAAAGCGAGAGAGGAAGGATGCGAAGGCACGGGCGCCCGGCACACAAACCGAGCACAAAGGTCAACAAAAAGAGAGATTCAAGATCTCGACAGGTACCTTTCGAGCGGCATTGCGAACTTCCGGAACGCTTTGATAGCTCGTTTGATTTCAGGAATCGAAAAGTTGCCGATCGCCTTTTTCTTCTTCTTTTTGTCGCCTTCGTCGTCGTCATCGTCTTCTTCGTCGTCTCCGTCTGCGATCAATTGCGGCATCGGCTTGGCTCTTTGCCTCGGCGCCAGATTCATTTCAGCCAACTCTTTCATCCGTTCCTCCTCCAGAATCCGATTTCTGTCTTCCTCCGGGATGATGCCCGCCCATTCGTCTGTCGCTGCCGCAATGTCCTTCTCTTCGTCGATGGCGAACGTGGCATACTTGAATGAGCTGAGCAGTTCGTTTTCTTTCAGCATATCGTCCTCCGCCTCTCGGGTCTCCGCACCCATCAGAATCCGATCGATGTCCACTTCCGGGTCCTGCTCTTCGCCTTCTTTCTCTTTGAACAGCTCAGCCGCTCCAAACTTGAGAATAGCGCTCAATTCTTGTTTGTCGAACGGAACGCTTCCACTGGCGGTCGCATTCTTCGACAATACCGTCTTTCCGGTGGTGTCCATCCGCTGAATGACCAAATGATCCAGCACGAGCTTTCGTTTCGCCCTCTCCACAATCTCCTCCTCGACGGATCCTTTCGTCACCAATCGGTAGATGTTCACCGTTTTTGTCTGTCCGATTCTGTGCGCTCGGGACATTGCCTGCAAGTCATTCTGCGGATTCCAATCCGAATCGAAGATGATCACCTGCAAAGATTTGAATGAAATGGGAGTTGGGATAGCCCAAAACTGACAGTGTCGGCAGTTGCCAAATTGATTCCTAATCCACCGGCTCTTGTCGATAAAAGGAATGCGAAATCGTTGGAACCGGGTGCGTTATAGTGGTCGAGAGCCTGCTTCCTCAAGTCCGCCCGCATGGATCCGTCGAGTCTTTGGGAAGGGAAGCGACGCAATTGAAGGTACTCTTGAAGGATGTCGAGCATCATGACCATCTGGGAGAAGATCAGCACTCGATGACCCTTATCTCGCAGTCGGCAGAGCAGTTTATCCAGAAGTATCAACTTTCCGGAGGACTTCAGAAGCTGCTGCAGTCTTCCGTGGGCGTCGTCGTGCACGTGATCGTATTGGCGAACTAGAGACGCGTGATTGCAGCACTTTTTCAGTTCCATCACCAGGTTAACGAATCCATTGATCGATCCTTTGACGCCTTTCGACAATTCTCGGTAGTTTTTTGTCAAGATCCACTTGTAGAATTGCTTCTGATGGGCGGTCATATCCACGCGAAGGATCTGTTCGGTCTTTGGCGGCAACGACTTCTCGACGTCCTTTTTGACTCGTCTCAACAGGAACGGCTCCAGTTTCTTGTGCAAAGCGGATATTCCCTTGTGGTTCGACTCGTTGTGTGCCGTCTCGAACTCTTCCCAATTGTCGAACTTCTCAGGCATGATAAAGTGGAGAAGAGCCCACAATTCTTTGAGCGAATTCTGAAGGGGAGTTCCGGTGATGAGCAGTTTGTGGTTGAATCGGAACTGGATCAGACATTTGTACAGGAGCGAGTCGTCGTTTTTGAGACGGTGCGCTTCGTCCACGAGAAGGGCGGCCCACTCGACAGACGAAAGGAATGCCTTGTCCTTCAGAAGGATCTCATACGTCGTCAGAATCGCGTTGATCTTCATTTTCTTTGTTCCACCGACGAACCATTCGTATTGTCGAATCTAAAAACAAACGTTTTGACAAATGAGCGAACTACTAACCGCTTACCATGTCTCTGGACACGACGTCTCCCATATAAACGACTAAATTCATGTCAGGAGCCCATTGAGCAAACTCTTTCTGCCACGCGGCCATAGTCGAAAGGGGAACAACGACGAGATAGGGACCAGCAAGATCGTAGCGATGAAAAAGGGACGCGAGGAGGGAAATCGACTGAATCGTCTTTCCGAGGCCCATCTCGTCGGCCAGAATCGAGCTGTTTCCTTTGCACCACGCGTAGACCATCCAATTGAGGCCCTCGAGTTGATAGTCCCTCAGCTCATGGGTCGACTCTCCGTCCGTCTTCAGGAAGTCCGGCATCGTGTCCAACTTCTCAAATTTGGGGCGCTTCCGGAGAACAACCGCGTTTTTGTTCGGTGATTTCTGATTCTCGATCCTCCGGTAATAGGCTTTTATCTGCTCGGGCGCCACCATTTTCTCGTCTTCCCATGTGCAGTCCGAGTACGGAAGACCGTTCCATTTGACGAGGAACTCGGTGGCCAGGGATCCGTCGGCCGCCCGATCTCTGGAAGTCTGATGCGAGACCACCCTCTCCACGATCTTGTATTCCTCGCAGAGCTCTTCGGCCATTTGTTGTTCGCACTCGTAGAACTCAATGTACTCCTTGTCGGCTGACCGCTTCCACATTTCCACTTCTTTTTGCTTTTTCACGTAGTTCTGCAATTTTTTTATTCCTTTCGCATTCATTATTGCCAATGAGTGTTCGGATTCCCAAGTGTTGTGCAAGTGACTCCATCCCGTCCATTTCACGAGGAACTGCTGCTCCGTTTTGTCGCCCGCCTGCTCGTTCGGATCGCCCTTCTCGTTGATATTGTAGCACGTAGTGCCTGATCCGGTGGCTCCCGGAAGTCCGAACCTCCATTTAATAATCTGAAATTGGGGGAGTTCATAAAAGTACGTTTCCGGGCGATTTCCTACTCTTTCCACGTTTTCAGTGATAACGGGAGGTCCTTCAACTGGAACTGCCGGTTCTTCGTCCCATTCGAGAACGTCATCGTCATCGATCTAAACTTTTTTCTAATGAAACAATTTAATAATTTCAATTCTAACGTCGTCATCCGAATTTTTTTCCGTATAATCGACGTTTCCCTTTGTCGACTTCCTTCTTACTGCCGCTTGGACCGCTTTTTTCGTCTGCTTCGGCGGCGGATTGCTCTTCCTTTTCGGCTTCTTCCGACCCTCCCATTCATCGTCGGACGACTCGGTCTCTTCCGTCTCTTCGGAAACGGATTCGTCCTGCCGCTTCGAGCGCTTCGATCGTCGCAGGTAGTTCTCATCTTCTAGTAACTGAAAAGGCTATTTGTGAGTAGGAATTCCAAAATCCCGACTACTTTTCTCGTCTTGTCATCCATCCCTCGACTGTTATTCTTCTTCTTTGCCGGCTTTTCTTCTGGCTCGGGACTCGATGAATTCCCGCTCGCTTCCTCGCTCTCGTCGTTGTTATCCGACGAACTTTTGGCCGAATTCCCCTCTGAAAGCTTTTTTTATTTTATATACAGTAACCCGTTTTCTGTATTTCTTCCTCTTTCTTCATTTTCTTCCAAATTTGCTGAAGAATGCGTACCTCTGGCACCTTCAAAATCGCTTTCGTCCTTCTCTTCCTCGTTGTCATCACTAGATCCTCCGCTACTGTTTCCTTCTCGGATCACTGGTTTCTTTTCCGACGTCACCGGCTCGTCTGGATGCTCTTCTGCTTCTGCATCACTCCCGGATGAGGATTCTGACACATTCCACATAATCCTAAAATTGTTTGCGATTTATTTTGTTTTCGACTGAAGTTTCCATCATATATAAAAAAAGGGCATCAAAGGCAATTGACAACTTCGCGGTACCGAAAAATTCGAAATTAAATGGAAATCGGTTATTTTTTGTTGAAATATTGTTCATTTTGAATTCATACGCTATAAACACAAATAAGTCAATTGTAATCTCCAAAAAACCTCGAAAAACGCTTATTAATTGGCCGAAAACTTAATTTTTATTTTAAAAATCGATAAAAAATTTGCCTGGGTTCCTAATCGATTTTTTCGATTACTAATATAAAATACAGAATGATATCTATTGAAAACAGTTTAAAATAGTCTGTTTGAGCCATCTGGACCGTTTTGAGAACGGATTTAAAACCAGGTTCCATGTAAAAACTCCCGAGAAAGTGACTCATTTTCGGTAGCCATTTTCCTATCGATTTCTTGAGATTTTCAGATAATTTAAAGATGGAAAAGGTAGTAAATGAGCTGAAGAATGTTCAGAAACCATCAAAATTCGAAATAAAGTGCGATTGAACCGAGAAAGAACGCCCGAAAGAGATGCGCTCTCCGGAAAGACGAGAATCGTCTCACCTCGCAACCGCGACGCGACCGCTCGCGATCAAAAGTGCTCGTTACCCTCGCCGCCAATTCAAAACTTTCCTCACTGATCACAAACGCTCCCATTGGCCTGTTGTAGTGGTGTATTCGAACAGAAATCAGTCGAGTTTAGGTGGCCAAAGGTTTATTAGGCGAATGCCGTGATTAGCGCACGATCGAAGGCACCAAACGGTCCTTTTTTACATCATAAAACAAGAAAGAAACCGTCAAACAACCGTCAAGTTGAAAAATGTTCGAGTGGAGACCCTAATCGAAGCAGGAAACAAGTACAAATAAATAAATTACAAAAAGAACAATGATCGTAAAACTTTGCTATGTAAATTTAATTAAATTACAATTCGGTCTTCTTCTTCTTCTTTCCGTCACGAGCGTATCCCTTGAGTCCATCAGTGGAGTGTTTGGCGATGAAGTTTATGAAGTCCTTAACTTCGCGTCCGGCGTTGTATGGGATCGGGCTGCTCTTTGAGTTCTTCGGGAGCCAGAAGAGGGTTGGGAATCTGAAATTTAAAAGATGAGGACATTCGTACAACTTGAATCATGAAACTGACCCTCTGACTTCGAAAAGTGGTGGCACATCGTTGGCGGTGGCGTCCATCTTGGCAATGATCACGTCTTCATTGTTGAGCTGAAAATAAACAAGTTCTCATCAGATATCAGAATGATAAAAGAAATTAAAATGTCGATGAAAAGAAGTTCAAACAGTTGGATAGTTTTCTAAAACTAAGTGTGTTTTCTTACCTTCTCGGCGAGCTCGTCGTACTTTGGAGCCAAAGACTTGCAGTGTCCGCACCATGGAGCGTAGAACTCGATGAGAACGTCCTTGTCAGAGTCGAGGATGAGTTCCTTGAAGTTCTTTCCGACTGCGACCTTGACGTCTCCTTGCTCGTCTGGGATTGGCTCAGACTTCATGTATGGCTCGGCGTTTCCAGCGAGCACCTCATCCACGAATTGTTGAAGGTTTTCGACGCTGAAATATACAATTTTGATAAAAGAAGAAAGAGTTGCAACAACATTATCAAGCAGTGGCTTAACCACAATCAGACCATTGCTAAACTATGCAAGACACACCTGAACTCTTGGTCCATTGGGAACTTTCCTTCGTTGGTGAGAACGGCAACAACTGGCTTGTCAGAATCCTTACGTTCGCCAAGTCCGTTCTGCTCGATCTCTTGCGTGAACTCTTCCTTGTTCGAAACGGCGAATTGAACCTTTCTCTTGTAGTTCTGCGCAACCTTGAGCACACGGTTACGCCAGTAGTTGGATCCTTTCGGGTCCTTGACGTAATCGACATTGAAGTAAACAACAACGATTGGCTTCTGTTCGAATTGGAACAAGTTTCCCTGAGTACGAATTCCAGCAAGTCCGACTCTGAAACTCATCATAATAGAAATTTTACGAACGAACACACTAACGTTTCGTGAACAAGGAAGTTCTTGATCTTATCAGTATCGTAGTTTCCGTCGTATTTGAATTCGTTCGCGTCGAACTTGTTGTGGAGCTTCTTCGGGACAAAGACAACAACGTCGCTGAAACGAATGTGTGTAATTTGAATAACATAAACAGTCATACTCAGTGTATCCGGCCTTCTTGAGAACGTCCTTGCTAGAAGTGTGGGCGAAGGAGAAACGATCACGCTCAGTATCAGCAACCTTGAGGAAAGAGTCCTTGAGCTTGCTCTCGCTCTCGAAGAATCCAATAACAACATTCTCATCTCCCCCGGTGAACTTCTCGAAATCAGCCACAGTCTTCAGTTCTCTTGAGGAAGGTCCAGACTGTCCACGCATGAACTTGACGATTCCATCACCATCACGTGGTCCATCGTAGTCTTGGGCTGGAACTCCGTTACGGAAGATCTTCAGAGTTGGGAATCCCTTAACTCCGAACTTGTCGCAGACGGTCTTCTCAGTGGTACAATCGACCTGAAAAGCACCTTAATTAACAAGTGGGAACAGAAGAAAAATTCCACGTCATAGCAAAAAGTGGGAGGCGCCTTTGAAAATTGACATAACGTGTTGACTCTATCAATCTTCCCGAAATAAGTTAGACTGGACGGAGAAAGAAGAAAAGGTTATGATATCAGTAAACTTTCGCTAATTAAACTTGTTAAAGGGTAATGAAACGTATGATTGCTGAAAATTTATGGAACCCGCTTACTAAAGTAATCCGACCGTGGCTATTAAATTTGGGAATGAGCTCAGAACTGAAGTGGAGTGCGGAATTCGAACTTCAGATGAACGCTACAACGCTTTGTTTGGTGGTAAAGTTCTTACTATCTATTTCACGCCGTAAATACTGCCCCGAGGACAGTTATGAAATAGTTCCAAAACAGCCCCTCTTTAAAGTACTCGGCGAGACTTACATATTATAGTGCAAGCCGCAAGAATCTCAGGGCAGTTTTTCGGTCACGGAAAAATACGGGATCAGTCTCCAAGTGAATAACAGCATACAAGTTTTTCAACTGAACACATAATAGCCCCGCAAAAAGGTGGAAGGTCTCACTCTCTCTCTCTTCCTCTCGGGGTCTCGGCCGCTGTGAAAAACTTCGGCCATGTCATTTTGTGTGTTTTTTTTCAATTTTCCGAGGAGTAAAACAATAAAACCTCGGCCGTTGGCCGAGTCTAGCGGAGCGGGATTGCCACCTTTTTGCATGGCTAACGGGGATAATATGCTGTATGGGCCAATAGGCAATGTAGATCAAAATTTTTCGATTTCGCTGCAAATGCTTTAACAGGCGCAGTGTGGTAAAATGCAACTTTTCGAACGAAACTTTCAATGCGGCGCGGAAATCCGTAAGCATTAAGATTGCGAATGCGATAAATAACGAAGTCTCTCAACATAATATGCACGCTGTGGTATGGCTGTATGTTTCCAATCAATACAAAAATATCTAACTCGTCATATCCAGGGCTGGACAGGTCCTTCTATGAGAGCTGCTCGAAAACGCTAAAAAATTTACACACGCAGAATCGAAAAACCAAAATTCCTAAAAATGTTTACAGCTGACCGGGCTAACCAGGCCGGTACAAACTTGATCTTCGGTGACAAATCTCACAAAAACTACATAGGACTAGAAAAATCGGTCACTCAGTACTCAAGATCTATATTGAAACGCAACTCGCGTTTACACAATTGAACATAATCGACTTCGAAATAGGCTGGTCGAACAGGCGATTTCAGGCGCCTGTTCTCTCAACGCAGGGACGCAGCGGCGCGTTGAAAAAACAGGCGCCTGTTCGACCAGCCTACTTCGAAATTAATTTGACACCATATTTGATCTCAAGCGTGTCGATCTGAGACCACGTAAAACCTAAACATATATTGCACTTTTCTAAACGCACTTTGGGGCTGCAATCGTCATGTGTTATCCACGTCGTTCTCTAGCGCCGCCGTTGACAAAATTAATTGAATGAGAAGAGCCGTGATGTTTTTGTCCGCTATATGAGCCTTATCTCCGCTGGTCGTTTATAACCCGTGATCTTCCGTCGGAACGAAGACGGCAAACAATGGAGCGATACGTGGGAAAGTATACTCTTTTGTACTCGACGCATAAGAGTCACAAACGGAGTCTACACTCGGTATGAATAAACTATTAATATTGTTTCCACAAGATTTTCAAAAACTGGGCCCGCTGATGCTCGGACCGCGTAGCGGGCCCAGTTTTGGCCTCGCCGCTTGTTTGTTTCTCTTAATTGTTTGAAAATTCACGTGTTCATTTCCGTTTTCAAGTTTTCAGTAGGCTGGTCGAACAGGCGCCTATTTTTTCAACGGGCCGCCGCGTCCCTGCGTTGAGAAAACAGGCGCAGGCGCCTGAAATCGCCTGTTCGACCAGCCTACTTTTCAGAAATGAAATGATTTTAGAAATGAACGTGGGGATGGACAGAGAAATAAACAAACAAACAGAGGGACAAACCCATGATGAGTTATATTAATAAGAATGATGATGATATGAATCTAATGTCTAAATGAGCACAATGACACAAAGGACCGTATTGTTAGAACCAACAAAAGATGTTGCTCTGTATTTTATCAGCCGTTCTCATATTTACGTCTGCGATACGAACAGTGCGAATCGAATAATGCTGGCTGTACAAACAGGCTTACCTTGATGAGAGCAACTGGTGGGTCGTTGGCAGCGAGTTTTGGGGCAGCCTTCTCGTACTCCGGAGCCATACGCTTGCAGTGTCCGCACCATGGAGCGTAGAACTTCACGAGCGCAAGGTCGTGCGTCTGTATGAGATCTTCGAAATTTCCATCAGTATACTCGAGAACGGCTCCGCTGGCACTGGCAAGAGCCAGGAACGCAGCCAACAACGCTGTTTGAACCCAAACCATTACCTGCAAGCAAAAATAAATGAAGCAGAGGCTAAAAATTGAAAAAAGCAACAGAACGAAAGATGGTGTCTATTGGAACGCTATCAAAAGGAGCAGATCACACAAAAAAGCGTGACAACGTGCGATAGGAGCAGTGTGCCAATCAAAAAGAACCGACCGCGTTCGCGGCCCAAATTGAGTGCCGTTACTCGCGCGACGTGTTTTCGTGGCGAGATATCGGCGCCATGAAAATAAATGCTCCTTTGAACAAAATCATCATTTTTTCTTTCACGTTTTTACGTTTTCTCTTTCTGGACTTTTGTGAGCACAAATGCAGATTTTAGTACGAAAACGGAAAGAAATAAAGGCTGGGGATTTTTTTTCAGCCTTAAGACATTAGGCTAAAGCAAGAAAATGTCGATCGGATTACACGAGACCTCTCTATTATGAACAAGAACTGCAAGGTGATTATGCAGTCAGTCAGGCTCCGGATGTGACGTCCCTAATAAAATGACTAAATATGGCGAGCAGAAGCGAGAAAAAGGGACTCTCGAGGTGCTTCTCCACGTGGCATTTGTGTGTGTACATCGCGGATTGGTGAGAATAGAGCCAAAAACACGTCGTCCACTGGCTAGTGCACGCGTGTTGTTTGCCGATTGGCCACGGAACCGGCTGGCTCCGCCCATCGGGTCTCGCAACGAAGAGACGTTCACGGAGGCCGATTTACGGCGGCCAACTGATGATCGATCGAGAATTTTATTTGATAAAACCGCGCTCTGATAACGGAACACACTGGAAACGTCGAAACCGATTGGAATCGCTGGCTGCCTTTCCGATATTTCGTCCGAATTAGTTTCAGCTCGATTCAGATGCCATCTAGAGCATGGATTACATAAAGTTGTCATGGAAACCGTCTTGTTCTCCGTTAAGTCCTTTGGGAATTCTCTGTGTTTTGCCGAAGAACACGCAAAACTTGTTGAAACATTGTAGACCTCGTATTTTCGAAGCTTTCCTTGTCAAATTAGTCGTTGATTGCGAAAGAGTCGAGAACCTTCTCGATTTTTCTACGTGACGTTTCCATTTCTCCGTCTCTTCCTAAATACTTCTCTCCTTCTTTCGATTCTTTCAATTTCTTCATATTTTCAATTGACACTCATTTCAGATGGCCGCGGATGGTTCTATCATCAAAATTACGGCAAAAACGCCAAGTAGCAAGTATGAAGTTGAGCTTTCTCCAGATTCCACAGTTTCGCAAGTTTGTCCGCTTCATATCGATTGAAATGCAATGATTATTTTCAGCTGAAGAATGCACTTGTCGGAAAGGTACCAAATGCCACAAAAGAGCAATTATGCATAATCTACACCGGAAAGATTCTGAAGGACGAAGAAACGCTCGCCCAACACAGTCAGTTTCAAGTTTTCCACGCTCGTTCTTCAATTCGATCATTTATAGAAATCACCGATGGCCACACTGTTCACTTGGTAGTTAGGGATAAGAATAGATCGGCCGCATCTACCGCTCAGACCGCCACCCCGGCCGTCTCGACTGCTCAGGCCGCCACTCCGAATGTGTCTCAGACAACCAACACATCTACTCCGAATCCAACTCCGAATGCATTCAATCCGTTTGGGATTGGTATGGGAGCGTCGCCGGCCGACATTATGAACAATCCAGACGCAATGCGTACGATGATGGACAATCCGATCACTCAGTCCCTTTTGAACAATCCCGAGTTCATGCGCACGATCATCTCGTCGAACCCTCAGTTCCAGAATTTGATCGAGGTAAAACAGCATTTCAAACCTTTTCACGTCTGTATAAGTTGTATAACACATTTTTATTTTCAGAGAAACCCCGAAGTGGGACATATTCTCAGTGACCCGAATATCATGCGCCAGACGATGGAGATGATCCGCAATCCGAACATGTTTCAGGAAATGATGCGCAATCACGATCAGGCAATTAGAAACCTCCAGGTACTAGTGTCATATCTACATTGGAATTCTTGAGCAACATATTTTCAGGGAATTCCGGGAGGAGAGGCCGCTCTCGAAAGACTTTACAACGACGTCCAGGAGCCGTTGCTGAACAGCGCTACGAATTCGCTCAGCGGAAATCCGTTTGCTTCCCTCAGAAGCGAACAGCCCAACCGTGCGTTTATGGCGTTCACTGCTACGTCATACCGTATTTTTCAGAGCCGCGAGTTGATCGTGCCGGCCAAGAAAACAACGAGGCTCTTCCGAATCCATGGGCTAGCAACAGCCAAGCAGCCGGAGCCGACAACACTCGCAGCACCGATTTTGGAAGTTTGTCGTACGTCAATAACCCAAAAACGAATATTCACATTCCAGACATGAATCCATCGCCAATGAATTCCATGATGGAGCAGATGATGTCGGACCCGAGCATCACGGCGAGCATGTTCAATCCGGAGGTGATGAACGCGATCCGTCAGAGCATTGCCAGCAATCCGAGTATGCTGGAATCAATCATCGGTCAAATGCCGGCAGGAGCCCCGGGAATGGCGGAAGGACTCCGCAACCGTCTGCCTGAAATGCTCGGCATGGTAGAGTCGTGTATTAAGAGCAGAAAAACACCAGTGAACCGTTTTAGATGTCTTCTCCAATGGCACAGGAAGCTTTCAGGAACCCACGGGTTCTTGAAGCTTTCCAGCAGATTCAATCCGGATTTGCCACGTTGGGAAGAGTGGCTCCGGAGTTTATGCAGTAAAAATGACATCTAAGTTACCTAGAATACCCGTAAATTTCCAGACAACTTTTGCAAGGCAATGTTTTCCCAGGAATGCCTGGCTTCCCTGTTGTTGGTGCTCCAGCCGCTGAAGGAGCTCAGCAACCTCCAGGGTCAGTTTCAAACTTTGCATTCTGAAATAAACCCTCTTTCTTGTTTCAGATCAGACATGCCAGGCCTGGCCGCGTTGATAAACTCTTTGAATTTGGGAGGAAATGTGGTAAGACATCGTTTGGCTTATCGGTGACTGATCAGAAAGACGACGTGATGTTCTAAAATTTGCTGTCGGAAGTATTCAAACTTCAAAAGTTCAGCATCGTCTTCGCTTCTATCGTGGCTCTAGAACTCCCTTTTTGCACGTCGTGAGACAGACTTGTTTGATACTAATTTCTGTTAGAATCATTCCGATGTGTCAAGAGAGGCCCCTCCATCTCAAATATCAAAGTTTTGTTTAAATTGAGAAGCTGATGAGCTTGATGCTGTCATGAGAGCGGCGGCGGCGGAAACGCGGAAGGAAAGACACAAGAAGTCATCGTGTCTGTTCTGAATAATGTAACAAGACGAGTAGAAGTCAGTCGGCGGCGTCTTGTTTGACATTCTATGGATAAATGTTAGATAATGAGTATAAAGTGACGACGACGACAGAGCAGAGGACTGATGACGGGCGCAAATCCTTCCGTTTGCCCACAAAATGCAATTATCATATCGAATTTCATTTCGTTTCTTAAATTGTGATGCATGTGCGCATGATCAACACGTTTTCATATATATTTGATACTTTTGGAGAAATGTGGGAGAGTCCCTGAGAACAATAGCATTCGAGCCTAGTCTATAATGGGACATGGAAAAAAGAACACTGTATCATTGTGCGTCGGTCCCTCGGCGGTTCATCCATTTTTGATGTTTGTTAGTCGAAACAATTTTGTCCGCAACAAAGGCAATAATTTCTCTCTTTTTCGTCGTCTTATGCGTCGGATGTGAAGGGGCGGCAATTCGTCGTCGCTCATCTTATCCATTCGAATAGATCAGATTTTTCAATTTTGCGCTTCGACATTGCACTGCTCACGCACACATCGCACAACACATTGTTGGCACATACATGTTATATGCCGTTTTCCATTTTCGATTAATTTTGCTCAATGCCAAAACGTGTATGGATGTGTCTGTGTGTGTGTGTGCGGCGCACATAAAATGATATTAGTAGGGCACACATAAAACGGTGATCGAAAAGACATGTCTGATGACATCACGCCGACGGAAACACGGGACAGGATACTGTAGTTACGGGCAAAGGGAAGGTCCCTCAGAATCTGTTCTTCTTTCTCAGCACAATTGTTAAAAGCACATGTTTTGTGCATATTTGGGATGCGCGACGACGTATTTGCACATTCTGCGGATCGGATGTCACTATAATCTCATCTTGTAAGCGGTTACGCTGCTATCAAATTTATCCCGTATGTTTCGAACAATTGCCCCCTCTTTCCATCTCCAGCACGGGTCTCCGTTTTGTCTCATTAGAGGATTGTTTTGACGACATTTGCTGAGATCATACGAACGATGTGTCCCGGAAGGTTATGTAATGGAATAGTGCGCGAGGAGAAAGCCTTGATGAGCAGATAACCCCCTTCTCTTGTGCACAAAGTGTTCTCATTCATTCAACAATTGTTAATCGTATGGCCGCCGTGCCACACATACGTATTTCATAATAGGCAGCTGGTGGCGGGACGTCTTCTTCCGGCCGCGTTTCCCGCCTTTTTTGTGGATGAGCCGATGCAAATGATATTCAAAGTGATTAGTGGGACTATTAAGAGCCGACGGATGGGATGATCTGGTCGCGAAAGCACTTAGGTTTTGAATGGACATGCAATTGGCTCTTTCTCTCGCCGGCAGCTGGTTCTGGGAAGGGAGAAGCTTGTCTGAATTGCAGACACCTGTAGTAGTTGGTTTCTGATCCTTTGTGTCGATCCCTCCCCGACTGTCCCTCGCGCACATTGTATTTTTTCGCTCAATCCGAAACAGAGGCCAATCATCTTCTCATTAATTAGTATGTTGATGGAATTGTAGGGACATGTGTGGAGAGGGAAGGCGCGTTGTATCACTTAATGCATGTTGTCGAACTCGTCAAAGTATGGTGTAATGCATAAATCGAATGAACGTGGCGGGGCGAGACGGTGGACCTCTCTCAAGGCACATGGGAAGAAGAGTGCCCAAAAACACATATGACGCGACGATTCGCTCCAACTGGCATCCTGTGTCCGTTATTATTTGGCAGAGCACTCGCGCACTCATTTGTTCCGAAACATGACAAGCACAATGCGTTTCAGAAGATAAACATCGGCACGCTGACTCGTAATATGTAATGAGCAATTAAGCAGAAATAGTGGCCATGCACACGCGTGTTGTATGCCCATGTTTTCAAAATTGCCTATTCTCAGAGGAAATGTTAATTTGTGTGTATGTGCCCGGCCGACCGCTCCGCCGCGCAGCTTTTCAATCAAGTGCTCGTCTCCGTTGGACCATATTTTTTGTTTCTTGGGAATAGATTTCGGAATGATTGCTTGCCAAATGGAAAGATGGATTCGAAATTGAGTCGGCCGCATTCCTACAGCCAGTCACAATAATTGGGTTTCGAAGAGGCCACCAAGTTTTAAAAACGAAATCCCGATTTTCCTTTGGGACATGTTTCGCGGAATGGGCTCTAACATAGGAATGGAAACGATCAGGTATCATGAGACGATCCCTAGTTCTCTTAAGATAAAACACTAAATTTACATTGTGGCGGCGGCGATTTGTGTGTCAATCTTCAATATTGAGACAGCCGCACGGACTCTTTGAGTGATTAGTGCTAGTAACCGAAATATGAAGAAGAAGAAGAAGAAAGAGCCGAATCGCTATCTCTCAGGTGTCGAGTTGTGGCGGTGGCCTCCACAAAAAGGTGACCAACTGTTGCTGCTCGCGTGCTCTTTTGTTGTGAATACACGTCGCAATCATCAAATGACACATTAATCATATCTTGGGGAATGGGTCGGTCGATAAAAGAGACGGATAGAAACTTTTATCCCTCACCGAAGCCGCCGTTCAACTATGATTGATCGAAGGCCTCCACCAACGTGAGATATTTTCAGCCGGCTGCCGCCCCCGCCGCCAGTCCGGAACAGACGTACGCGTCGCAACTCGAACAACTGCAGTCGATGGGCTTCTCGAACCGCGCAGCTAACCTGGCAGGTACGTATCATCGAATGATTTGTGTTTCGCAACATTTTGGATTTACAGCCCTCACCGCGTCGTTCGGAGATCTGAACGCGGCTGTCGAACGTCTCCTCAACTCGCCGCAGTAATCGCCTTCTTCGCCAGGTTCCCCCACGCCGATTCCTTCCCGTTTCTTTATCATTTTCATGTAATCTTACTTTGGTCTGTGATCTTGCTTCTCGTCCTCTAAAAGGTTACGCCCCCACCCGTTCCTCTTCTTAAATTCTTTGTTTTTATTTGGTAGTGCTGCAATTAATGCAACATTTTCTTTTCTACTTCCTCCAACATCACACACTTGTGTATAAGTATAAGTATGAATTTTTAGTATTTTAAATAAACTCGAGCTTGTATTTCACAAATTGTCCATGACGGTCCCGAAAGGGGGCGGAGCCTGAGCCAGAGATGGGCTCGCGGGCTCAGCGGAGAATCAATCTGCTAATTCATTGTCCTCGCATGTCATCTGTTAGATTACCCCCCTTTCAAGTTCTTCCCTGCCATTCCCACCACTTTCCACTACGTTCCCATGTGGATGTTGGCAGAACGAAAGTGTCGGAGGATCATAAAATTTGAATCGACTCGATTGATAAATACCCCAATGTTTCATTGGATGCGCGAGTCGCCGAGGACGCCGAGGGCCGCTTCTCAAAAGCAATAATTCACAAAAACGACCGTTCTTTCTCTCTTTCGTTGCGACGGTGTAAACTGCCACCGAAGAACAGGGTCTCCGGCCCGCTTCGGCCCAATATTTACGAGCACGACAACTGCGAAAAGGCGAGAGAGTCCCGGAAGGGAAGGCGAGAAGAAGGCGCAGAAGGGATGTGCTCGACGCTTTTTTGATTGACGGCAACTGCTAATATTGAATAATAGATAATATACAGGGCAGGAAGGGTCTTGTGACATGAGGGCTCGCTCTGAGCAACGAAAACTAGACGGGCGAGCATTATTCATGAGACAATATGCCGCGTACAAGTGGATAATAACACCGTTTGAACGGAAAACCACCGAGATTCGAGTTGAGAGTTTCCCGGAGAAACGTTGAGGTCTCTGGGAGGTTTTTAGGACACAACAACAAAGTTTGGCCTGAAAATTCCCAAACGATCTGACATTTTGAGCCTTTTTTATTAGAAAAGACTGTAAATTCTGAAAAAATCGGGGTGATACAGTAGACTATGCTGAATCGGAGCTTGTTTTTAAAAGCGGAGAAGTAGTGTCAACTGCTTTTAGAGGAATTTTCAAAGTTATTTCCGAGTATCCATTTTTGTGCCAGATGTTTTCACTTTTAAAATTCATATAAAATTAGGTGACACTACTTAGCAGCTTTTGAGAAAAAGCTCCGATTCAACATAGTCCGCGACGTATCACCGTGATTTTATTCAGAGTTTTTCTAATTCTCACCAGAAGAAGAAGAACCTAGTTAGACAAACAGATTCAGGTTGGAACTAAACTTCATACCTTCCTTTTTCACTTTCAAAAGTGTCAGGAAAACCCAAGGAAACAGTAATCCAGTAACTGTCCTCAGCTCTAACTCATCACAAGAGCCAGCCCTCTTCCCTTTTTTGGTTGTTTTCAATCGCCGAATAGTTCCTCCCTCATCTTCCTCCCATTTTCCCAGTTATTCCTTTGCCTTCTTCTTCTTCTTCTTCTTCTTCTTCTCCTTCTTCTCCTCACTTATACTCATTTCCGTTTTGCTCTTCTCCTCCGCCCCATCCTATTCTCCGCTTCTTCCACACACTGATTCTCGCTGATTCGCAAATCGCAAAACGTTTTTAATTAAATTTGAAAGGAAATTGCGACGATTCCATTCGTAACACTTTCCATGCGCGCGCGCCGACTTGCTCCTACGGTAGTTATGACGGCGGCTCCGCCCACTTCTTCGAAGCTTCCACAATTATTATTGGTCGGCATAAAGAGGGCGGGGCGGGCGACGGCTTCGTGCTCCCTCCCGACTGAGCACACTCTCTGCCGCGGCCTCAGAAGCCACGATTATTAGCTTTTCTTCGGAGCACAAGAAAGAGAAAAGAGAGCTTCTTCGGTTCCAGCCTCATTTCTGACTTTTCCATTTCCATTGCTCCCAGAGCCGGGCAGGCTTTTCGGTTTTCTTAACTTTTGACCCATTTACAATAACCCGATCGGACGCAAACTTTGCAGGATGCTCGGGCTTCGATAGAAGTATCTTGGGCCCAAGTTTCAGACCGATCGGATTACTTTCTCTGGAGTTACGTGGATGGGAAGCCGGAAAATCCTTTTGCTCGGCCCTGATTGCTCGGAAAGTGCAAAGTTAACCGAGGTTCAAAAACTGGGGCAGCAATTGCGCTCTATTGAAAATTCAAAGTTTGAATAGAGCGCACTCCACTTCCTTTTCTTCTCCCGCGAATATTGTGGAAACACAGTTGTAACACAAGTGTGATTGGTGGTCCGAGGTGAGCTCGGATACAATTGTAAATCATCGGCGGACCCTTTACGCTTGCTCTCCAATACGACTCATCCTAATTGAAATCTGTCATTTTGTACTGGTAGGTGTACCCATCCTCCCTTTCTCTCCCTCTCTTCCTTCGCTTGGTCTAATCCAATAACATACTTCCTGGCCCATCTTGCCAAATAATGAATGTGTCCATCTCCTGACTCCTTATTATTTTTGTATCCTCTCCATAAGTTCCTGCTCCGAATACTAATTCCTCTTATCCGCCGTTATGAATTCCAATTTGGGTCTCACCCATCTCATACGTTTTCACACTCTTTCTCCTCTTTCGACGCCTCGTTTCGCGAAAAAGGCGACAAAATATTGAAAAACGGGAATGAAGAGCCGAAGAAGGGATGGGGGGGGCACGCGCGCGCGAATTCATATCAAATGAATTTAGCCTCTTCCATACAGTAGTCTGTCCCGGGCAGCGGCTCGTTTCCGCCGCTGGCTCAATGAGATCCCATAATTGGCACGTTCTTTAAATGATTGCGAATATTTCATGGGATTTGGAAATTGGCGGGTTCCTCGGCAGTGGGCGGGGAGCCGGCGCCTTCCCCTTCAGCTGCTGCGCTCGTCCGGAGCCGCTTATTCAAATGTTTGGCTCGGCGTGCCTAATCTGGCCAAATTGACTGCAAGGGAGGCGGCAAGCAGAAAGCGTCGCGAGGCATAAAGTTACCATAATCGGATGGATGGGCGGCTCTTTCTCCCTTGCTCCGCCGAGCTTTTCAGTCTCCGCAGATGGAGAGACACAGAGAAACAAATTGAAAAAAAAGCAGAGTTCGGATGGGGGGAGAAAGGGAAAAGAATGGAAAATGGGAGCGAATAGAAATTGAAGATGTGCCCCATATAGGCAACGGAGACACCCTGGGGAATTCGAATCTCGATTCATATTAAAGGCACACTATGGATAAACACATTTGTGAAAGTATGTCCATACATAGATTGAGTGGATTTACTACACCGCTCTGGGATAGGCTTGGTTACAAAGCGCCATGAGATCTATTAGATTTGCTAGATGAATGAAGTTGGGCCAGGGATACTGTAGATGTGCCAAACTAAAAGTGCAATTTCGAAACAGTTTTGCCTCCTCGCAGCCGAGTGTCCGCTACTATCCATTCACAAAGTTCATCATGAGACTGTCTTTGTCTTCCGCCTTCGATAGACCTCGAAAGTGTCGCTTTCTCAGAAGAGGTCTTCTTGATTTATGACGTGGCAACAGGTTCCCCACGTACTCGCCGCGCCGCTCTCCGAGGTGGCAACGAGAAGACAAAGTGCCCGTCGCCTTCTCCTCAAAAATGGCTGAACCGTCTTATTCGGTGCCCCGCTCTCTAATCTTCTCCGCCTCGAAACCCGCTTTGCAACATAATTACGCGTGTCGTCCGGCGCCCCTCCTCGTCCCTCCGTTCTACAGTAATATATGCAAAATGTGTGCGTTTGTGTCTCCGCCCCCACTGATCCGCACACTATTTCGCCGGAATTTTTAATCGTTTGAAATGGACGACGATGCGCCGAAAGTAGGTGGTAGGAGGAGCGAGCGACAGGGGTGCACAAAAGAGAAAGAGAGACCCCCGGCGCCCGGCGAACAAATGTCCGATTACTGTGAGACTGACGAGATAGCGGGCGAGACGAAGCGACGCAGACTTGCCGTCTTTGTCTTGCACCACCGAATTGTTAATGATTTTTTTGACATAACATATATGAGGTTGGCGTGTGCCGCCGCACGATTTGTGAGAATGGACTGAGCGATTCGGGCAATTGGGTAATGGGCGAGAGGAAATATTGGAGGCATTATGGGGCTGGAGAGGAGCAGGAAACCCCTGAATGAGGAGGACGTTCCCGGAGAGCAGGAAGTGGCAGATGATGAGGGAGAGAATGGGACAATCGGATGGGAATGATAAGGCAGGAAACGACAGATTCGGTTAGTTCGGGCGAACGCCTAATTCGAGTTGCGGCTTTCCAATTCTGACCGTATTTCACAATATCCCAAATCGTAAACGGTAAAATAGATTATTCACTTGAGATCATTCGACATTCCAAGGTTTATTCCCATCAAAACATGTTCTCTTCTCTTCTTCTCATTTTTCATTCATCTCTTTTGCAACAATTAATACTGTCCGATTGCTCGATTTCTCAAATCCTCATCAAAAATGCCACGTCATGGCGGCCGTCTGCCGCTCGGCGCCAAGCCAAACAAACCATCTGTTGATCCCTCGGTATCCCCCTCAAATGACCGCCCCCTCCCGATGCGAGCTTTCCATTCCCATTCCAACTTTGAGCTCGTCGCACAAATTTAGGCAAAGCACTTTTCTACCACATACACAGAAGAAAAAGGAGAAGGAGAAGAAGAAGAAGAAGAAGGAGAAGAAGCAGGGAATTTGATCCTGTCATGTTCTTCTTTCGACTCGTTACCGAAAAGCAAACGCATCGTGGCGCGGCGGCCGAATAAAGGCGAAAAACGAAATGTCAATATTGTGATGATTTATGAGGAGAGGAGGAGCAGCAGGACGAAGATGATTACTCGTCGCCCCTGTACATAGTTACCTCCGCTCTCCGTCTCTGTCTCTCGCGGCTTTTCCCATCTTCCGCAATCCTACCCCCAATTTCATATTTGTTCTTTCTTTCCCGACACCACTCCCGCGACAAACTTTTTTCGTGTCGTGTAAGCCGTGGCGAATTCGAAGGAGCCAGTGTCCTCGGCGCCTCCTCTCCGCCATGTCATCTTCCCGTTCCATTTGGGCAAATTGCTCGGGGACCTCTCGGCTCCGCCGCCGCATTCATCACAATCGAACCAAATCATAAAATTGCAACACAAACAGCCGCCCCTAGCCGCTGTCCCCGGCTCATCATCGAGAGCTCCACAGTAGTAATTCATTTCTCCGCTCCGGCTCCGGCTCCCCCTCCCGGTCTTCTGCTTCTTGTCTCCTCCCATCGCTCACTATCTCAAATGGGCAATTCAAAACGGGGGCGGAGCCTCCAGAACGTCTCTCTGCGTTTCGCCTCGTGTCTCGGCGCGTCTGAAACGCCTGGGGCCAGAGGAGGCGAAGGCGAAGAAGAGGCGGAGTCCGGGACAATTCGAAGACGTCGGTCTCCCGCGGCGGTCGCCTCGTCCCTTTGCAACAACTCATATTTTACCAGATCATATCTCGTCCCTGGGCGCCCGGTACCTGGTGCGAATCGCTCTGCCCTGGGCGACAATTATCATCAAATTCGTCTCGAATCACGGAGACGTCGCCAGCCCTTCGCCCCCCGACGTCTCCATGCTGTTGGGCCTGCTTGCTGTTCATTAATTCAATTAGTGTTTTATCAATCATTCACCAAATCATGCAAGTAATTCACTCACTCCGTTTTGAGTTTTCTTCATCATTTTCTCATCTTCTTCTTCTTCTTCTTCTTCTTTCTTCCACTTGCCAATGACTCACTCTCTCTTTACTTCCCGGGGATCCGGGAGCGGCTGCCACGTCGCCGTCGCTTTTGCCGCATCTTCAACCGCATCTCGCACTCTTTCTGTCCGATCCGATCTTTTGTGTGAATTGCAACAGCACCGTATCCTCGAAGCGTTGCCCTGTCATCCGATTCCATCTGTCCGTCATCACCCGCTCCCCTCCACCTGATCATTTTTTGAGATATCTGTCCCTTGGCGCCCCGTTTCCTCAAGTTCTCCCTCCGTTGATTCATGTCACGAACGGACCGCCAGTCTGGCCGTGGAGGTCTATCGGTGGGAGGAGCATCATCGCACCGCTAATATAAATTTTGATAATAGCCTTGTTTTCGCCGGCCCTCTCCCCTGTCCCTTCTCATCTTTCTAATATAAATCGTTTTGTGTGTGTGTGTGCTGTTTTGCCCGTCCACTACTCTTCTGCCGTCCTCCGTCCCTCATATTCGCTTCCAGTCACTTTCTTCTCTTCCAGACCGATGAATGAGCTGCTCGCCGAGATAGCCGCGGTCTCCTCGCGCCGAAAACAGTCGAAGCCGCGTCGAATGTCTGGCGGTAAGTTCGTGTGAATTCGATCGAATCGACGAATTCGAAGAGGGGCGAAAGTAGTTGTTGTACCTCAATTTTGAGGCCAGTCAGTCCTCGGGCGGGTGTTTAATAAAAAGACAAAAAGAAACACCGCTTGTGTTGTCGAGATAGCACGCTGATTGGCGATACGCCGCGCCGACCTTGAGAGACCCCAGTTCGAAACATGAACTAAGTATGACGAGGTAGAGGAAGAAGTTGAGGAAGCGGGTCTTCCCTCCCGCGCAGTCTTTTTCGGATGTTACAATCCGTCGTTTTGGGCCGATTGATAACACAACGGCGTCTCTCTCTCTCTCCCGTTCCTTCTCTCTCTTTCTCTCTCTCTCTCTCACTCACTCACTCGGTTCCTCCCTTCTGAATTCCTCTTCCGATTCGACCCTTCATAACCCTTCAGTCTACCGTAGTAGCTCCTCCCGACACGCTTATTATTATTGCCTCGGACGGGACGCCGCAAGCTCCGCCCCGTCACTTTTCTATCCAATCATAAGCGGCCGCCTGATGAGGAGTGGACGGAGAGGTAGAGGCGCAGAGAGACGAGACGGATGTGCAGTAGCAGTGAGTGGAGCACAACGCTCCGAGGGAGGAGCACGCCTTCATGGAATTTGTGAGCGAGAGCCACAGCAATCAATTTGAAGAGTTGAGACAAGACGAGCGGGGGCAATCTGAAATGAGCGCGGCATATGGAAACACTAATTGCTTATAATCTGGGTCTGATGAACGGAGCATTCGGATCAGTGGTGTGCTCCAGAAGTAAACAGAGAGCAGCACCTTCGTCCCGATCTATCCACAAATCATTTTTTGTCACGAACAAGTGTCCAACGGATCTTGAGACTTCTTCTCATCTCTGCTTCTCTTTCGTTTTCATCATCCGTCCCCATTCGCTCTACCTCATCATTCTGAGCCGTGTCTGAAACCTGAAAGTCGTCCTTTCCTATCAGTTACAAAGTCAGGAATGTGTTTTGGAATTTGGCAACATAGAGTGTCAAGTCGTTTCTGCGAGCCAACATAAAATCGAATTTATGATCGAACACAGAGCAGAGGAGAGATGAGCAGGCAGGAAGAAGGAGAAGAAGAAGACGTTGTTGTTGCGAATCAGAATCCGCACTCGAAACTCGATCATTTATTATAGTGTTTTTGTGTAATGCGAGAGAGCGCTGGGAGCCCGGAGAGGACCGCACGCAATATGAATTGGTTGGACGATGGCGACGAAAATTGAAACATTATGTGTGTGTGTGTGTGTGTGTGCGGGAGATCTCGCGCGTATCATCTCATATATTTTATGGATTTTGAGCCGTGGGAGAGCACACAAAAAAGCGAGAGCATTGATGGGTCGCGGCTCGCGAGAATCCCATTAACAGGAGGACGGGGTTTATGGGCGCATGCGACCATTGAGTGAGATATCAAAGCAACTGACGGCTCGGCGGATGATAACTATGAGATTACCTTCAGTTGAGATATAATAAAACGAGATGACGGGAGGAAATGAGTTGGAGAGCATAGGAATCTCTTATTGACAGCTAGGGAGGATTACGGTAGACGTGGGTGGAACGAAAAAGAACACAATTTTATGATTTCAATATTTACGTGCTGAAAGTAAAGTACAACTTTCCCGTTAGTACTTGATGTTTGACAACAACATCACCCTCCTCTTCTAGATATTTTTCCCATAGCCTTCACATTTCGAATTAATTTCGTTCAAATACCTATTTACCCATTTCGATTCTTCCCAACGCGTTATCATATTTACAGTACCCGCCGACACATCAGCCCATCAACTCGAATTAGTTGTAATATGCGGAAAAGTTAATCAAATCATGCCCTTTTTTTTCTCAATAATCAATCGGGTCGCTGCTGCAATCTTTCCTTTCGCGACGATTTTTCCGTTTAACCCAGGCCAAGCCCGTCTTTTCGTAATGTTTAATAGAGCGTACTTAACCTTTCCCCCTCTCTGTACCTCTAATTTTGGCTAATTCTCGCTTCTTTTTTTTTTTGAAACTCTTCTTCAATCGAATCGTGTTTCCCGTCCTTCCCTCGATGCTTTCGAAGTCATTTTCGATGATGAACTGGGCAGATACCGAACGGATCGGGGGAGGGAGGGACCGCCCGAGTTTTACGAGTTTCCCTTTACTGTTGCCGTTTTTACGAGTTCTCGATTCTTCTGTCGTCGTCTTTAATTGGTTCCCTACCGCTCACATTTGGTCCGTTTGCTCGGCCCGCTTCTCCTCGTCGCTCCCGTCCACCAATCAATCATAACTCTCCGTCATAAGCCACGCCCCCTTGGCGTCCAATCCGCTCCTCCGTTCCGCCCGTTCCATCCTTTCTTCAAATACGGTAATATGATGTCGCTTCCGGATCGATGCGCGTGCGAAGCGTCTTCTTCTTCAAAAAAGGTCGAAATTATAAATGTTGCGATTTGGCACGGAGACAGGTTCCGAACCCATAAAGCCGGCGGCGTCTCCGCTTCGCCACGGGCCCTCTCCGACACATTAATGGTTAGAGTCTCTGGCGAAGCGCACGCTATTTCCGCCCCACGGACGGCTTCGACGATGACTTTTTGTGTGACAAAAAGTTAACGAGCAACCGATGTCAAACTGTGTTTGTTGCCTCTCCGCCTCTGTGTTGCGATTTTTACGAGCGTTTCGTTTCCCCCCTCCGCGATCTGCGACGACGACGACGACGATCGGGATGATGAAGAAGAAGGCGCCGCGCTCAGCGCACGAGGGAGAAGATCGTGCATAATTTTAGCCGCGCCATTGACCGATTTGGTACACATTAAATTACATAGCAAAAGTTAAATGGCGAAAATAGAAGAAGAGACAGAGGAGGAGGAGTAGAAGTAGGTGGATGCCACGTCACGAGGGGTCGACAATGAACATCAAAAAAGGGGGCGGAGCTTCGTGTTCATTAACTTTGATACTCGCACGCATCATTTCACGAACTTCAGAAGGTGACACACTGATGTCGCCCATCGACTTGTCGACGAAGAGTTTCGACGAAAACTGCGAGCGAGCAGCGGTCGCCATGGAGGACCGGTCCAACATGCTCGCCAACTTTCCGGTTCCTTTCACGAGTCCACAACAGGTAACAAACATCCCTAATATAGATAAGATAACACGTGTTCATAGTGCATTCCTGTCGACTATTTACAGTCCCTGAAAGCATCGGTTTGAATGTGTTTATTATTGCAGTTTCTCTCGTTATGTGCTCAACTGGGCAATTCGTCGAGTCGCAACGTGTCCTCCACAGCCTCCTCGACGTCTTCATGTCCAATCCAATCGTGCTCCCAGGTTCGTTCCTCTAATAACATACTTCCATTTCGCCCCCCAAATGACCTCTCTCCTCTCTGTCTTACCGTACCCTTTTGTGCCAGCCATAACTTTAATGGTATTATTTGGCAGCCGACCCGTGGCGACTGTTTCATTCGCCCCTTTTGACAAAGGAAGGCGCCCCTGGTCTCTGTCTCCCAAAAACGAGATGTTGCGACGACAAAAACCAATAAAAATGAAATTACTGTATGTATTCGATGTCGCGCAAAGGCCCATAATTTTCGGTATGAAAGGATGGAAAGAAGAGGTCGAAATGGGCGAATGTTGCCGAATCAGAGCGAAAAAAAACGAGAAGAGGTCGTGGAATAATCACGGGGACTTTCAGAGTTTCTCGTCGCCCGCCGCATTGACGTGGCATGTGTTGGATGCTCACGAGGACGAGCAAGAGATGTTCTCGTGTGACGCCTGCTCGGTCACGTTCTCCACTGGACAGGATGTAAGCGGAGGCTCTGGGAAGAGCTAGATCCAAACTGTCAACTTTCAGATCCGAGAGCACAAGTGTGCGAAGAGCCAGTCGACGGCACGGAGTAATTCGGTCCCTCCGGCTACAGTACCCTCTTCTGCCTGCTTTCTTTCAACGCCTTCTACTCCTTGTCCTCAGTTTTCGATCAATGATTCCATTGGAACTTCATCTGGACACCGGGAAGAAGAGGAAGAAGAAGAAGAGATGGAAGATGGAGCCAACCAGACCAACCAGATCTTTGGGCATCTACTTCAGAAAGCTGAGGGAGCACGAATGTCTGCTCTGTTCCATAACTCTCTTCCACAGTTTGCATCATTCCCAAACATTCCACCACCTTGTAAGACACAATCGAATGTTTCTCAGAGCCTTACAATACTTATTTGCAGTTTTATTGCGACAACCGTTCGACCCGCGAGCTGATGTGTTCGGTGCGGGAAGGCATGACAACGACGACGACTGGGAGGCTCTGATGGAAATCTCCACGAGCGACGAAAGCGAGAAAATCAGGGCGCTCGTGGGAGACAAGGCGATTCCGACGACGGATCCGAATCAGTGCATCCTTTGCCGACGGGTACTCTCGTGCAAGTCCGCCCTCCAGATGCACTACAGAACACACACGGGAGAGCGGCCATTCAAGTGCAAGATCTGTCAGAGGGCGTTCACGACGAAAGGGAATCTGAAGACGCACATGGGGGTGCATCGTTCGAAGCATTCCTTCCGCGGCCTCCCGATTTCTCTTCCGCCACAACTCGCCGCTCACCAACTGCCGCCACGTCTTCATCTTCCGAATCCGCCCACTTCCGCCGCTGCCGCCGTGGCCGCGGTCGCCCAGATCCAGGCCAGTCAGCAGTGTCCCATATGTCAGCAGCGGTTTATGAATTCCCCCGAGCTGGCGGCTCACATTTCCGAACATCGCAACTCGCTGACTCAGCCGCCACGTGTCATGCCCACTCCGCCAGTCGCCGCTCGTGTGCAGTAAGTTTCCGTCGATCAAATCTTGCTTTCATTTCCTGTTCTCTGCAGAAATTTCCCATTTGTCCCTTTCTTCACACCGCCGTCGCTCAATGCCACCGACATGTCTACGCAGTTCAATCTGGCTAACATTCTTTCGGCACAACTGAAGAAAGAGTCGCCGCCGTCTGACACGACGATTGAGTATGCAAACGCTTGTTTACTCGGTGTAATGTGCTTTTTCTTCCAGACAGAAATCAATCACTCGGGACGATCCACCCAAAATGGCCTCCTTGTCTCCGTCGAACAGCAGCGAGAGTTCCTCTTCAGTTCGTCAGGATTCCGAGTCGAATGACCTCGAGGAGAAGCTGAAAAAGCTCGACGAGCCGCCAGTTCTGGAGCAGCAAGCTCCAGCTCACTCGAATGCGAAAAACGAGAATCCTCTTCTCGCGATGCAGAAGATGTGGGCGGAGACCGAACCGCCACCGCCACGTCAGATGCCGGTGCTCTCGAAACATCAGTGCGGCGTGTGCTTCAAGCATTTCAGCTCCAGCTCTGCCCTTCAGATCCACATGCGCACACACACCGGTGAGTCTTCAAATGAGATTTCGTTTCCTTTATTCCCTCACCATCACAACAACATTTTCGTCCTTGGCAACCTGTTTCCGTTCAGGCGACAAGCCGTTCAAGTGTGAAATGTGTGGCCGTGCGTTCACGACTCGCGGCAATCTGAAAGTGCACATGGGCACGCACTCGTGGCAGCAGAGCCCTTCGCGTCGCGGTAAGTGCGCAGCTGCCCCCCGCATTCCACTCGCCCATCTCAAATACAGACGCTTCAGGCCGCCGCATCTTCGACGTGGCATCCGGAACCGAGAGAACGGTGCACTCGAGCCCCGCCCTTCCGTCATCTGCTCCGACACCTTCTCCTCTGGCTCTGCTCGCTCCCCACGGACTTTCCGGCCTCGAGATGATGATGATGTTGTGGCGAACAGTGTGTACCGTCTGTCAGCAAGTTTGTCAGTCTCCAAACGAGTTGGAGCAGCATCTGAAAGAGCACCTCAACACTGGCTCGGTGCCCACCCCTCTCGCTTCCGCCACCACTCCCCCACCCTCTTAGCATTTCTGTGTGACCCCGTTGCCTCCGTTTCCTAATCCTGATTCCTCCTGTAAACACTTTCCTAACATGCTTCTCTCTTTCTTTCTATCTGTCTCTTTCTCTCTAAGTATGGTTGAATTGGGCTAGTCGCTTTAATTGTGCATCACATCCGGTTGCTCCCCCAATGGTCTCGTCCTCCCTTTCCCCTCCGCAGAAAATTCGATTCTTCCGTCCCAGTTATCTCTTTTCCGCATGGTGCTTCTCTTCCACTTCCACTTCCACTCGATTCTGCCCTTCCAAATGCTACGTCTGCTTCCCTTTTCATCCCGATTTCAAATTAGATTTCACTCTTTTCCTTAATGCAACCTCCATTTTTATCCACTTCTTGTTGTGATACTATTTATATTTCTCTCTTTTGGTAATCACTTCTCAAACCCATTTTGTATGCACTTGTCAATAAATTTTCAATTTCCAAACTACCGTATTCGCTGGTGTGTATTCTGAAGTCACAAAGAATGTCGTCTTCTTCTTCTTATTCGTCGACACTGACACTGAAACTTTATGACTAATAAAATTCACTTTTAAATTCTCTCCAGATCTTATCAATGCTGAGATCTGAATGATTCATAAAAACGAAGCGAAAATAGAAGAGTTACTTACCGTTGATTACTGCAAAATTGCGATGATGTCGGGTTGGCGGCCACTTTGATCTGAAATAAATGGGCGAAGAAAACCATCAAGCGACCAGCGATTGTTGTTGCAAAGCAAAATCTTTCGAAACTTTGCAAATGCTGAATCGGAAGGGACTATTTCTGAGGCGACAAAAGACAAAGGTCTGTTCGATAACAGCCCGAAGTCTCCGTGGCTGCGCGAGCCACTTCCCATTCCCGGCTGGGTGGACCGGGGGACAAGGGGGAACGAACTCCACACCTCTCGGCTGTCAGCTGCTGGCAGACCAACTGAGCCACCGCCCCTGACTTTTGAGCGAGCCCTTCCGAGTGAGGCATCACAAAGTTCGATCGGAAGCGATTTTTAATGCGAGACAGTTTATTAAAAAAAAAGAAATATGAATCACAATGAATGGCAACAAAGAAATGCACTTCATGCACTTCTCAACGGCTGTTGGACTGTTTCCTGACTTCCACCCAGAATTTGTCCGCTTTATTCTTCTTCCTGCTCAGCCATTTTCCATTCTTCTCGCTCTCCCACTGAAACGTATCAATATTCAATCAACTAGATTCCTCTTCTTCTCCTGCTCACCTTTTTGTACAGAATCTGCTTCATCAGCTGGTAGTGTCCTGCTCTCTTCTTCGCTCTCGAGTACTTCAGAACGTGCTTGTCGGCCACTGTCAACCGTAAATACGCGTTGAACACCTCCTCCTTGCACACACTCGATCCAACGTTATCCTCGATTATTTTGCCGTTCTCTCCGATTACATCGAGCCCGCTGAGTCCTTGGAACCACACGGTAGTACGGTCATTTCGCAGTTCTGGAGCCGTTCCAGCCACTTCTTCGAATGTGAGTTCTCGATCTTTTATATCCAAACTGTCGAATAGGAGCCTCCAAATGTCGTCTGGAGAGATCGGAGAGGGCGTTCCGTAGACGACTTTCGAGATGAAGACGGGAGCCATCACGTTGGAAAGGAGCGCTCCCTGCACTCCGAGCGCATTCCAACGACGCATTTTGTTCATAATGCAGTGGTTCGTGTCATGCCTAAAACTATTGTGCTTCCTTTCGTTTTGTGTTTTCTGCTCTCACGTCTTCAACGCCTCGATGCCCATGACGACGTTCTCGCAGACGTGCGAATGAGTCGAGTACAAAAACAGTTGACACATGGCACGCATTTGTAGTTCTCCCTCTTCATTTACCGTAAGTACCGTGTCGTCCACGTTGATTTCCCTTTTCTTCGCTTCATTTATCAGATACCTTAAAAGCCCCCTTCTGGCCAGAACAATCGGGTGTTTATGGAGGATCTGATCTTTCGTCTTCGGACTTTTCAGCTTCTTCACATCCACTTCTTCAGCAGGACTGCTCGCGAAAGAGACCATCTGCAGCTCTCCTCCGTAGTTGAGAATGAATCTGAAGTATTCAATAAAGACTGCAGCCTATTTCTTCCGGAAACGTACGCTGCGAACGGACGAGGGTCTTCGTGAAACTTTTCGCATTTTTTCGCGTATTCACGGGTTGCAAACTGGTCAATCTCAACGCCACTGAACGTTCGAATACGATTGAAGACATTCAGAAAACCGCCAACTCCCCCACTGGGTTTTGAAGAGAATGTCATCTGAAATGAAAGAGAGGTTTAGAATATTCCGATGTCTCAAAGTTCGGAGCACTTGAGAATGCTTTTAATAACGAAACGGAGTAATGTTTCCACTTCTCGGCCACTAATCCTCTTGGAATTCGTGACGGCCTTTACAATGTTCTTTGATCGCTATTTTAGCCACTTCAGCTTGAGCAGAGAATACTTAACTTGGAATAAGGATATACTGGAATTCTAATACAACCATTGGAGTATTGTGTAAATCAGTTTTTTTCGAGAAGTCAATTTTTCTACCCTATAAACATCTGTGATCTGTGGTCAAGTGTGCCTTTCGGAACAAGGCCTGCATGGATCGAAAGGTCTTAGCGAGAAGATTCCGAACGTGTTCTTCATCTGAAATTCTATTTCTGATAAATTTGCTTGTCCTAAAATCATGTTTCAGATGAGTTCTTCTCGAGTTTCAGAGATCGGGAGCAAAATTGGAGAACACGTACGGAATCCTCTCGTTAAAATCTTCCGATTCACGTTCGTATCGTTTCAATAAAGGAACGTTCTGGAAAGATTCTCTAGTCAAACAGCGCAAGAAAAGGTTTTTGAAAGGAATGAGAAACGAAAAGGGGGATAATCCGCCAGTCAGGGACAGAGAGAAAAAGAGAGGCAATGACATGATAATGCTGAAAAGCGAAAGGGGGAAAGAAAGAGAGCGTCGGTCGCCTTGGAAACTCGAGTAAACTCGTGATGCTCTTTTGAGAGTGCGGAGTAGTGAGTGCACTAGGTTATATGCTTTATTCGAAAGAACAGAAAAAGAAACCCGAGCAAGGAAAAGAGTTCAGAAGTGAAATAAACGGAAACACCCGAAAACTCCGCATTTACGGATGATGGCGAACACTTGTTGGGCGGCGGAAAAACTAAGAAAATCGGTCCAATCGTAGCTCTTCATAAGGGCAATCTTCTCCGTTTTGCACACTTCGCAAAAATTACAATTCAGGTAGCAGTCGACGTGCGATTCGAATGCTTCTTTTTGAATTTGAGCACAACTTGTGGAGAACTGGAACACGGAACGAATAAAAGACAAGCAGCTGAGAAACTAACTTACTTGAGAAATATTAAGGATGGCAGAGACAAGACAACGCGTGGAACAATCGACAAATTGACGTCCTGCCGGGGTGAACTGCTTTTGAATGCCTGAAAGATTATAATAGAAGCAGATTCGCATTTGGTGTCTGACTTTCATTTGTGAATACTAGGCAGTTTCTGAGCCCATAGTTCAGCGGGTATCCACGTGGACCACACTTGAATTTCTGCTCAACTAACTCATACTGCTCACAGATTTGCGGGCCAATTGAGCCAAATGTGAATGGAATCTGAAGTTATTAGCTTCCAGAAGGTGAAAAGAACGGAGGGACCGACCAATGCGCAGACAATGAGCGGAAGCGACGGAAAACTCGCGGAAAACGCTTTCATTCTGCAGCCGAGACACGGAAAGATAAGGCGACGAAATGAGAGCGTGAGAAGGGCGCGATCTAATTGTGGTCTGTGCTTAGTTTGCGTTAGCGAGAGACCGACTGATCGCTGGCCGTTCTGATTTGACTTCAGGTTTTTGAGAGCAACAGGTGGAAAATAAACGGTCAGACAGAGAAGACAAATAAGAGTCAGATAACGTCATAGACATGTACGGACCAGTACGTTGTAGTTTTTGTGTGTGTTACGTGGTAAAGTCTATTCTTACGCTAATTACGTAGATAATTGCAGACACGTGCTTGTAATTTTCAACGTTTTGCTCAAAATACCGAATTACCGAAATACCGAAAATCTGGGAACTCGATCGCAATCTAATTAGAAAACTTTGCAATCTAATACGAACTCGTTTGAAATAGAATTTGCTTCAATTAGAGTGCAATCACTGCAATTTTTTAATTAGATTGCAATGTTTTCTAATTAGATTGCAATGTTTTCTTATTCAATTCAGGAAAAAAATATTGTAATCTATCTAATACGATTTTACTGGAACTTCAAATAAATCTGATTAGATTGCGAAATAGAGTTTTTTCCATAGTTGCCACGGGCCGGGCCGGGCCGGGCCGGGCCAGGGCCAAAATTTCCAAAACTCCGGCCCGGCCCGGCCCGTCGGCCCAGCCCGGCCCGGCCCGACCCGGCCCGGCCCGGTCGGCCCGGTTCAAAAAGCGGGAATTCAAAATTTGAATTATTGATCGCATGAAGCCATTTTTTGTAGAATTAGGGGTTTTTTGCAAGCATCGAACATTGAAAAACAAATGTATTTCTCATAAAAAAATTCATAATAGCAAAAAAACAAAGAAGAAACACTAAAACTTTAGTTCAAAAAAATTTTTTTGTAATAACGAAAAATTTCCGCGAAAATTTGAATTCCCGCCTTTTTGAACCGGGCCGACCGGGCCGGGCCGGGCCGGCACTTCACCGACCCGGCCCGGCCCGAGCCGGCACTTTACCCGGCCCGGCCCGGCCCGGGCCGACCCGGGCCGGCCCGCATGGCCGGCCCGAAATCTGGCAAGTCTGGTTTTTTCTTATTAGATTACAAACTCTTTTAATTAGATTGCAATCGAATTTCCAGAGAAACAACTCATTGGCTGTACTTTCGGAATAGACGAAAAAAACAATAATAATGAATGAAATTGAGCTCACTTTCACTGAGCATTTGGAAAAACCGCATACAGTGTTATCCGACGATTTCAGACTGCAGCCGTTTCTTTACATCGTCCATCGTCAATCTTTCCGTTTCAATCAGCACCACCTTGCTCCTCGACTTGGCTCCCTGAAACATCATTTCAATGATCATCGGAGGAAGTTCACGTGCATTTCTGCACAGACACCGAAAGACGGCCTGTTCTCAATTGTTTACAAGCCCCGCCGATTCTGCAGAGTACAGCAGTTTTCGATTACATCTTCTTCTCGTTCTTTCTCTTTCATTTTACCTTGTCAAACTGAATCTCGTTCTTTCGGAGTCCCAAAGCACTCATCAGATACGAAATTAGTTCCTCGTTGGCAGCTCCTTCCCTTGGCGCCGCTCCAATTGCAACATCCACTTCCGATTCTCCGATTGCTGAACCCATCTCGTAAACATAACTTTTCCTGATCAGTGATTCGCTTACCTACGACGCAACTTTTCTTGGCGCCCGGTTTTGCGTGAATCCGCAGTCCGATTCGGCCTTCACTGTCCGCGAAAATCGCTGACTCCGCCGCTTTTTTATCGTTGTCTTTCATAGGAACGCCTTTATTGACTGCCACTTTCTTACAAGATAATCGGTTATTCTCGAATTTTCTTTGCCGAAAACGCTTACCTCTTTTTTCGGTTTCACCATTTTCTGTTTGAGACACGCCGCTGTAATTCGGAAGACTCCGGTTCGCATAGAATCTGCAAAACAGAAAAATCCTTGCGTCGGCGGTGAAGTGTACGAAAAACAGAGTGATCGTTCTGCGTACTTTGCGTCAGTTTGTTTGTCTGCGTCTTGCGAGTAAGGGATATAAAACTGGGTGAAAACATTTAGGCTACGTTCATTAGATTAGAAATTTCATCATTTAATGCAAAAATAGAAAACAAGATAGTGTTGAATATTTATAAAATGCGCATTCTTCATGAGCATTCAATTGCCTTAGCATCCTAAATTTATTTCAGAGTCTCAATTCAGACTCAAATATTTTTCCATTGCTGATTACGGTAGTTGTTCAAAGGCGCACGGCAAAAAGTTTCCCAAATTGGCGCGAGTTTTTAAAAAATCGCGCCACTTTTGATCATTCTGCTCGCAAACAACCAAAAGAACGTTCTCTCGTTTTGATGTTTCCACGGCTGACGCTGCAATTTTCTCGAATTTTCCGTTATCAGCACGTCTTTTCTCCCGCAAATTTCGTCAGCGAGACTGGAAAATTAGGAAATTTGACACAGAACAAAGTCTGTACCCCGTTTTCTAAACTTTAACTCGTCTCTTCCTGATTTACACTAACTGATCTTCCGCTACGCCGTAGTGTTGTAGCGTAAACCCTCGTTTTCCTCATTCCACTTATTGCGAAACTGAGTCGCGCCACCATCAGAAGGGGACAAAGTCCGTTCACTGAGAGATACATATAATAGCTGACCAGTTCGCGATCTTCTTATCTTTTCTCTCCCGTCTTCTCGTTTTTCTCGAACGTTCCTCGAGTGATCACTATTTTATCAGACATTTGCAGCAGACAGAAATGACCGAAGTCGAGCAGCCAGCCCAGGCTGAGGACCAGCAACAGCAGGCTCAGACCTACTACGATCAGATCGTCGCTAACGGCTACGTTCAGTCGGTAAAACCTTCCCTTTCCCTCTTTTTCCATTAACCTAGTGAACCTTCAGGCCATCAGCGCCTATTTGAAGACGAAAGATCTTCATCCAGTCATCAACTCGACGCTGAGCGCCGCTGAAGGGAAAGCACTGGACGTGAAAAACTACGCTGCTCAGAAGGCCTACGACGGATACAATTCGTACTATGTGAAACCAAAGAACACTGCTTATGAAGCGGTTTCTTACGGAACCCAGAAGGCCAAAGATGCCGTCGAAACAGGAAAGAACGCGGCGATCGTCGGAGGAACGTTCGGAATCGGAACCGCCGTCGTCTTCACTCAGTTCTCTCTGGCCATCACGGCTGGAGGAGCTTCTCTTGTTCTTGAGGGAGTCGACAGAACCAAAAAGATCGGAACCAGCGCCATTACTACGATCCGTGACGCCGAACAAGCCGTCGAGCACAGAATCATTTCTGCAGTTCAGCAGGCACAAAGAATCGCAATGGTGCCGGTTGAGAAGATTGCCGAGAACACCAACGCTCTTCTCGATATTCTGGATGGAGCCGTTCAGAAGGGACTGAAAGTGGAAGTGCCGCCGGCAGTTAACATGACAATCCCGCAAAGAATCAAGAGCCTGGCATCTCTGATCGTTCAAGGTGTCAACAACAAGGTGATTCAGAAGAATGCATTGTTAAAGAATCCTCTAGCTCTTTAAGGCGCACGATCACTTCATCGATCCAGTGAACGAGAGAATCCGTGGATATCTCGAGCAGCTCAGCAAATCCATCGCTCTGGTGGGTACTTTTCGCCGAGGCTCTCAGCAAAGTTTCTCTTTTAGATCGACGTAATCCGTGAGAAAAAGGAATGGGTACTCGAGAAGACGAGCGAATTGTCGACTTCAGTTTACGACTTCAAAAAGACACTCGAGGACGAGGCTCAGCAGTACAAAGTTGCCCCGGAAGAGATGCTGATGAAGCACATTCAGTCGAGTTCAGCGCAGCTTGCCACACAGCTTCAGACGTTGCGTGAAAAGGGACAAAATGTGAGTGACTGGCTGTCGGACTGACAAGTTAATCCCATTTGATTCTGTAGGTGTTCGGGGATGGAACCAAAATCGACGCTACCATCGACTACTTGGAGAAGCTGAAGACCAGTTTTGCCGAGGCTGAAGACGTTTACAAAGTTCGGGATGAGGTGAGCCAGGAAAGGTTCGAATTGTTTTCCAACTCTTCGAAATTGCAGGTTCTGGGCGAGGCACGCCAACGACTCGCCGATCTCGGAACGTGGTCGTCCAATCTTCTGGTTCGTCAAAGCGAAAATACTCCTGAACCTGAACAGTAACTTTCCCGTTCCCGAACCCATTCACACTGAAATGTATTCCATTCCTGTCGAATAACTGGCACATCACTCACTCCCTTCTTGTTTGTTTTGCCAGACCTTTGCCCCCCCCCCCCCTCACATTTTTGATATAGAAAGCGAGTGATAGCTGAGGCAATGATGGCGTCTGCTGTCAGCCACGCTATTCAATCTTCTTTTTTTCTTTTTGTTTTCCTCTCCATTACACCACCTCGACTTGACCTGTTCTACTCCTTCATCAGCCCGCTCATTCGTGCCTTGTCGCATGGGGAATGTCCGTGCGGATGTTGTCTATATTTTGTCAGATGTACGACTACCTTCTCAGAACATTTTCAGTAAGAATTTCCCTTGATCCTAAATGTATCTAACCGTACGTGTATCCTCTCATTTATCCACGACCATTATAGTCCACCACCTCCACCACGGCCCGGAAATAAAGACACAGTGCGGTTTTGCAGATTCTGTCCGCCGAATGGCAGTTTGAGCCGGAAGATCTGCTCATCGAAGAGCTGTACTTTGAAGCGCCGCCCGTCCACCGCATTCAGTCGATAAATAGGAATCGTGCTTAATTAAAACGTCGTGTAAATAAACGGAAAAGACTCGAAAGGGTGTGAGCCGAAGTTTGGAAAGAAAACACATGTAACATGTCTCGAGTGCAAGCGAGCCTGTTGATTTTGATCTTGATTTCACCCGGCGCGTGGCCTTTGCGCTCTCCTATCACTAATCGGGAAACGAAAGAAAATTCGAAAAAATCGGATCGGAAATGTCTCTGATTTTGTGTTGTGGTCGGCTAGTTGCGAGGTTCCGGTTGAGCAACTGTCAACAAGCGGTACTTTGGGAGATCGGCACTACTCGAATACACTTGAACCGGCCGACCGATTACTCGCTCTGGGAAACGATTACACGTGGAAAGAAGCGTGATGAGTGCAGACACAAACAAACCGTTTCAGAGAGTTCGAAGCGATCATTGGACGAAGCAAGGGAGACAAGAGTTTACAGTATAATCTGGGCGGGAAATGTGAGCCCAGGCGAGTACACAGAGAGAAAGAAGAACCGCAATGGCTCCCGGCGTGTCATTGTTCCCGATTGTTTTGTGTCGGAGCAACTTGTCAAGTATCCTCCCCTCCTCCTCGGCCCGTTGTCTCCGTCGCCGACTCTCTTTCCCTCCCATCCGTTCTCTTTATCACTTGGTGTTTCTTTTCGTCGTCTTCGTCGTCGCCGGGAAAGAAAAAGAACAACTGTGATTGATTGCGCATCGGATTAATGGCAACACGCGGCAGAATTTGATGAATCGGGAGGCGCCGAAGACGCAAACAGGTGCACCTCCCCTTCGGCTCCGCTGAGCACATGTGTTCTTGCTTCTTTCACTTTTTCCTAATCTTATTCTTTCAAATGTCAGCATCATCGCCGTCCTCACTTCCTTTCCGCTCTTCCGAAGCCCATTTGCTCGGTGAGTCCCTCTCAACTGCTTCGCCCGCAAAGCCAACTAACGCACCCGCTGTCTCCGATTCAATTGAGTCCCGAAATGGCGACGAAAACATAATTCGTTGTTTTGTTTATAATAATCCGCGTGCAATACAGTGGGGTTCCCCGGGCGCTCCTTCCCATCTGCTCTCACTCACTCAATTATGGGGAGCCGCTTTTCTTCTTCCGCCTGCTCCAATTAATCAGTCGGCGTCTCGCGCAGTGAAATGACGAAGCGGCGAACGAAAGAGCGAGGGGAGGAGGGCATATTTCGAGTGTTGACCGCAAAGTGAAATCCGTCTGTGTCTCCGCTTCTCGCCGCGCGTTCTTCTTGTCTCCGGGCATCGGCCTCGAGGGGTCACCCAGTGGCTAACTTATCTCCCCAACTACTACATTCTACACCCGCACCCTCCGCGCCTTCACTAATCTTCGACATGTAGCATGTATTTGCATCGGAAGTCCCGAACTTCTCCCCTTCTTGCCTAACGCGATTTCGACGCTTTCTCGGTAGTGTAAATGTCTCTCCCCTCTTACCCTCCGCCCTTCTTCATCTCAATCGTCGTCACTTACAATCTCACACTTCTTCATCTTAATTCCACATAAAACGTCCGTTTGTTTCGTCCAGTTTCGCTAATGTTCTCACCGGAATCTTCTGAAATCGGAGATTCCACCAGTTGGCCGCCAAGGGTGTAAAGTTATCAGGCGTCGGAAGAGGAGGGGAGGCGAAGGGACGCGCGTGAGGCATACGCATAAATATTTATACTAACACGAGCTGATTCAATCTTTTCGAAGTGTGAATGTATGTAACTGAGAGTATCAGATGTCCTACTGTTCTCCGGACTCACAGGGCACTAATCGGTTATCTCTCAATCGCATCTTGTCCATTTTCCATAACAGTCTACTGTCTATCCCTCCAAAACCAAAAGTACAGTTATTACGGAAATTGCGGATTCCGCGAATCTCTGGCTGCTTGCACCTGACATCCATCATTTGCCTCCTTTCCTTTTACACATATTTCTCTCATTTTCTGATTCAATTTCAGCAGTTTGCTCAAAAGGACCTTCCAATTCTCCAATTCTCCTGCTGCGCCCTTTTTTTGCCCCCGCGTAATATTGGAAATTGGAAAGTAGATTCTATTGTGAAAGCATTCTTTTGCGTCCTTCCATTTCTCCCAACAATGGCCTCTATTTCTCTTTTTTCCACTTTCCTCTTACACAGGAAAAACGGGAACAGCGAAGAATCACTGAAGGATTAGACACGCTAACCACTGAGCGTGGAACAATCGGTTACTGAACTCCCGTTTCGCCGATTACTGATTCCTCACTGATTCCTCACTGCCCAGCGTTCGCTTCCCGCTCTTCCCCTCCGTTCACTGATCCGTCGCTGATTCCTCACTTCCCCGCGTTCGCTTCCCGCTCTTCCCGTTCACTTCGCTCATTGTTTCCCGTTTTACTCGAGTCTTTGCCTTTTTTCACTTGGACTAAGGGGGAAGAGTATTTCGATGTGATGGTTCAAATAAAAATTATCGGAAAATTGAGAACAAGTCCAAGTAGTCAAAGGACACGAATGATATCGCAGTGTTTTGCCTTTGCAGTCAGCAAAAAGTCACCCAGTTGAATTTATATGCATTTTCGCTCCAAGTTAAAAAATTTACAAACAAACTGTTCGTCGCTTTCTTCTTTACACACTTTAAGTGTGCCTTACCGAAATTTTTTTACCGAAAGAAGTGAATTTCGGTAAATTTTCAGTAAAAACGTTTTTACCGAGCTCGTTCTTTTTTTGACAAGGGAAGTGACTGATGTGACCAATTTAGAACATTCTGAACAACATCCCAAACATCAGGAACACGCTGAACAGTCGCCTCAATGTTCCGTTCTCAAAATTGAAAATTGTTTCGAAAAAGTACCCATTTACCGATAAAATTTACCGAAACTTTTACCGATAAAATTTACCGAAACTTTTACCGAAATAGTTTCGGTAAATTTACCGGTAAATTTATCGGTAAATTTTATCGGTAAAAGTTTCGGTAAATTGTTTCGAAAATTTACCGAAACTCTTTCGGTAAAAAAAAAGTTTTACCGAAAATTTACCGAAAATTTACCGACAATTTACCGAAATTTTTACCGGTAAATTTACCGAAACCCTTTCGGTAAGGCACACTGCACACTTATGGGGTTATTCAGGCTGTGAAAAAAAGATTGTTTTTCCGTTTTTTTCGTTTTTTTACGTCAAAAAAAATATAATTCAGCGATGTAAAAAAACGGAAAACAAACAGACGCTGAATAGCCCCATTACATGAAAAATTGAACAAAGTGCAAAAAAATCGACGAACAGTTCGAGTGAAGAAATTTTTAAACTTCGAAGGCAAAACTTTGCGACAGCGGAAAAAAATCTCAGAGTAACACAGAAAAAAATCATAATTACAAAAAAAGCAAGTTACCGCTTCCAACATGATACTTATAAATGCTAACAAGGGCATATTGTCAGGACTTGTAAATTTTTAGAGTGTGGGCAAGACGGCAACACTAGACTAATCCTAGAGTGATCCCGTTTCAAGAGTGATCCTACACTAACTTCTCAGTGATCCCGTTCTGTTCAGTAGCTCCTCACTAATCTTTCGCTCATCGCGTTTCACTCATGCTTCGCTAATTCCTCACTGCGCTCCTCAGTAATCGGACAGTGATTCCTCACTGCTTAGCGTCCCCTTCAGTGGCTGTTTACTGGCCGATTACTGATTTCTGGCTAATCAGCGTCTACTCGGTGATCGCTCGGTAATTCCCGAGTGTTGCCGTTTTTCCTGTGATTCTCTTTTTCCGCTCTTCTTCTCTATCTTTTATCACTGTTTTCGGTAGATTTAATTTGATTTTAACCTCTGTGTTTCTTGTCAATTTCACGGCCGTAATTTGAATAATGTGTGCGGTTTACCAACCAGTCTCTCCTTTTCCGTCCTTCATTTCACTTGTCCGTCTGTTGTTCGTCGCGGCCTTTCCCACACTCTGTTGCTGTGTTTCTAGACTTCATGGCCCATAAGGAACAACTCTTTTCAACTGTTTTGTGTTCTTTTTGCCCTGAACCACATGTCCATTGTTATCACCTTTGTAAATAGTGAATTACGAAAGAGCAGAACTAATTTTGTTGCGAAATTCAGATTTCTGACAAGCCCAGGTGGAAATTCTATTCAAATCATCGGAGCTCCCAACTAGGAAATGTGATTCATCTCTACAGATTTCCTATTGTGGATTCATGTTGTTTTTCTTTCTCTTCTCACAACAGCAGTCACCTCTGTCTTCCAATTCGTTTTCTGTATTCTTCGCTGTACACCTTTCCTACTTTTCCAGATATGCAATGATAGTGGAGTGCGACGAGTGTGGGAAGCAGGTGGACGTGTCTCAGACGTCGCTCTCCAAACCTTCGTCTTCTTCCCATTCGGCCGAGCACATCGTCGAGCTCTGGTGGTGCAGAGACTGCATTTCGACAGTTTGCAAGTGAGTTTATGCTAATGTATTCATATTACATACCGGTCAATGACATGATATTTTCAAAAGAAGAAATAGAGATAGACAGAGAGGGGAAAAGTGAAATTGGTGCCAAATGAGAGAAGAGAGCTAGAGCTAGACGAGCGTCTCGGGGGTGGAGGCGTTGGCGGACATGATGAGGCAGGAGACCCAGTAGATGATATTGAAGGCGAGGAAGGCGAGCGGAACGACGAAGCGCGCGTAGAAATCGATCTTTGCGGGAAGGTAGTCGGGTTTGGTAAAGTAACGACGGAGACGGTCGCGGAAGGTTTCACGCGCTTCGAACTGAAATGAGTGCAGTATGGAATAGTGGGGACTGATGACGTCCTACCGTATGACAGGTGCATGGCGGCTGATACACTTCCGCGTCCACCATTTCCAACTTTTCCCGTCTCTTCTGCGCTTTCCGCGCCGCCTTTTCGCGTGCTCTGTCGTTCTGATGGGCACTGTCCTGATAGCTGACGAACGCGTATTCCAGTAATGCCCCGAACACGAATGTCTGACAAGCTGCAGCAGAGGGATTTCCGGGTGTTTTTGATGTTATGTGATTTACACTCACCTCCCAGCCATACATCGACAACTTTTACATAACTGACGGGCGGCAACTTCGCATTGATAGCCGACTGCTGTAACCAAGAGAGAGGAACTTCCGTGCCCGTTCTGTTTCCCCCACTTACCATCGTCGTCATGGTGAGCAGAGTGGTGACTCCCAGAGCGACTCTTCCGGCCGTCGAATGCAGGTCAATCCAGAATGACACCCAGGAGACGATGACGATCATCGTGGTGGGGGCGTACAATTGGACGAGGTAGTAGCTGAACTGTCTCTTGAGAAGCAACTGCATCCGGAGACATCCGTACGAGCCTGGACTGATTTAAATGTTTCACATATTGCAACATCCTGCACGTCGTTTGTCTGTTGTTCCCACCGCGGATTTGCAAACAGCTCAAAACATTTTCCCATCATTCTCGCCCGCCGTTTCCGCCATCGCCACACATCAAGCCCGGCCCAAAGTGCAAGTAAATCTGTTGACAGACTCTCGAAGTGCCCCCCCTCCCTCTTTCTGTCTTTTGCAAGACTCACCCGTGTTCGTATGGCTCGTGCAATCCGCGTTCGTCGTGATGTTCTCCAGCACAAAGTTGGGAAGGTCCGAGCCGACGCCGGATTTCAACTGAACGGGAGTCAGCGGATCCCACTCGTACATGATGTCATTCATTGTGTGCGCGTAACTGACGAGGTCAAAATTGCACGATTGATAGTCGAGAGGATAGAGCTGAAGACGCATCGGACAGGAGCTCGTCAGACTGATCCGGGAACTGTAGAGAATCTGAGAAAGGAACTAGGGCAAGGAACGGAAGCAAAGAGGGCAGCTCACTTTTCCATCCGGGTAGATCCTCAGGAACATGTTCTCCATGTCAATCAAGTGTCTGTGAGCTGCCTTTTCAGTCTACAAGCTTGAAACCTTTATCAGAATCTCTAAAGTCGGTTACCGGGAAGAAAGTATCTGGGATCCATAGACTCTTTTTGACGTGTGGCACTGTGAGGAACGCGGGCGGATTGTAGAATCCCAGATGTTCGTAGGCTAATCTCGGATCCACCCATTGTTCCCGGAAAGTCAACTGAATTGAATATTCCTGAAAGTGAACCCAGTTCGGCGGAAAGAAGTCTGAAAATGGACTCACCATATTAACTACATCAATTTTCGATAACATCCTAATCATAATGTTGACCCGCACGTTGACTGCCCCGTCCGTCGACGTGTTCGCCGGCGGAGGACGGACCCGCATGTCGTAGTTCTTGAGCAGTGCGTTCAGAATCTCCTGCTCGGATCGCATACTGTATTCGCCGGCGACGACGGACATCAAAAGCAGGAGACATTGGGGGAAGCGAAGGGAATACGGAATCATAATTGCATTATTGGACACTGAAACCATGGTGACTGACGAGCAGAAAACAAAGCGAAAAAGACGATGGTATGTAGAAAGGGAAGGAGGAATCGGCGGGAAATTGAAGAAGAAGTGATAAGGAGGAAGAGTGGGAATGGGCAAGACTTAGAAGACGTGATACCGGTGAAGGAATGAACTTTTAATTGGCGAGAGAGAAAGGACTAATTCTGACGGTGGCCGACGCTGTGCAAACTGAGATGACGAAAGGTGCGCACCGCCCGGAAACAGAAGTGGAAAGTGGGTCCGTGGAAAATCGGGCGTGCCGAAATGCGAGCCGTATCCGATTTCCTTTTGCTTTGGTGTTGGACGAAAAATAAGATTTATGGAATTACATTTTTGGTAGTTGTCGCCTCTTCTTCCTCCTCCTCTTCTTCTTCGTCTTCTGTCTGTCAACGACGACGACGACGACGACGATGCCGCCGTCAACAGTCACTTTCTCATTTGAAAACGAGGATTGAAAGTGACAAGAGAGGGAGAGAGAGAGAGAGAGAGAGAGAGAGAGAGAGAGAGACCGGAAAGTGTCAGTTCGGCAATGATATCGGCGAGACACTGATGAGTAGGAGCAGCGACAGAAGATATATTTACATAACACTCGTTTGAGGTGTGTCTCCCGGGGGCGCTCGATACAAGTAGGCACGAAGCTCTGTGCCTGCGAGCGCACTGTGCTCTCGCTTTCCCCCCACCCGAACACAGCTGTTTTCGATAATTGGAAGACGAAGATGCCATTCGGCCTGGGGGTGACAAGTATAATAGAGAACGGGAGGTACGAGTGTTCGCCTTTTTATTATTATGAAAGCTAGTTCCCGTTGTTTTTTCTGTTGAGGAACATTGCGTGCAATTCGCGAGAAGAGCCGTGATTTTTTAGTCGAGATGAGAACAGAGAAAGCACAATAGAAGTTGGTATAAAAGCTCAAAAAGCAAAGATAATGAAATGAAGAAAAGGGGAACAAAGAGAGAGAGAGAGAGAGAGAGAGATGTACTTGTATTCGGAAGAGAATGTTCAGCAGGAGGGAGTCCTCGTTTTGCAGGTGAAAGAGTCGGATCCTCCCGAATAGCCGGCCGGTCCCGCCGGTCACTTGTGAGACGAGACCAGCGTGCGATTGACAGGTTCTCGCGTGAATAATATATAAATCATCATACGCTTTCCGTTTAATGGCTATCGTGTTTTTCATTATTTGCCCCCAAAAATTTCAATTCCAATTAAATACAACGATATGTTGCGAGAAATGGGAAGAAGAAGAAGAAGGAGAAGAAGAAGATGGAAGATGAGTGAATGATGAAAACGGGAAGATTCGGAGGGCACACACACGTGGAAGCAATAAAAGAGCGTTTGAGTCTTTTGGCCACTTCATGCGGCAATGAGTACGTCGTCGAACGAAGAAGGAAAAGAAGAAGAAGAAGAAGATGCGAACGAAAAGGAAATGACACGTCACTATGGCAGCCTGATTGACGGAAAATCGTGTACTTTTGCTCGTCCTCGTGTCAATTAGCTACAGTAGTCCTTGAATGAATGACGTGGAGAAAGCCGTTTAATTCGGGTCTAGGGTTTTGTCGTCGTTGTCGTAGTCCTTAGCTCGCAGATTCCGCGAGGTCCTACCCTACAATACATAATTCATTTACTTGCCAAGTATGCGCCGCCTCTCTTCAGAAGCCTGAAGACGTCCGCAAATCCGTAATCCCTTTCGCGCGAGAAGAGAAGCGAAAAGTTGTGTGTGCATAATTAGAAAAACGGATTGGCAAAAGCGGCGGAAAGACGGGAGAGGACGGACTCATAAAAATAGGCTTGAATTGGGTGGGAAGGAGACGGAGAAAAGTCATTAGAAAGCTGCGTCTAAAAAGGGATTTGCAGACAATGTCATCTGCTGAAAGGACACAGTGAGCACCGCAGCAACGAGTGGAAAGAGCAGGAAGTACTGAGGTAAGCAGGCTCTGCGTCCCTTTTGTTTCTTCGAGCTTCACTGAGCCCATACGAGCCACCCTCGCCTAATTTTCGAGTTTTTACCCTACCTCCTCCATTGTTTTCTTTTCTTTTTCAATGGACGCTTTTTCATTCCAGGAGCTGCGTGCAGGCGCTCGAAGGAAGATGCTCGCGACGGAGCGAAGTTGCACATCAGCACAAAATGGCCGTAAAACAGTTGGTCGCCAAGATAGAGGTAATCCTTTTGAACGAACTCTCCGGCTACGTGGAACGACGGAACGAGCCGGACCGCCGGTTGATCTCCCGACTAAACCGCGAGTTGATCAACATCGATACGAAGGACGAGAGACCGTCCATCTATCACGTGCCTTCGCCATCTCGGCCCGCCTGGAAGACGTGGAATCTTGATGTGGCAGATCCGTCAAAGTGAGAAACTGAATAGACGGACATTCAAAACAAACAGAGTTATTTCAGAATGCAAAAGGTGCTGGATATGACAGCAGATATAATGCGATTGCCCCGTCATTCCGTTCACGATTCGGACGTTCCCGAGATGAGGAATGCGACAGACTGGGACGCCCGTCTCATGAGTCTCTTCATATGCGAGAACATCGGAATAGTTCCGGTGCAAGTGAACGAGTGAGTCCCTCCTCTTCCACTTTTCTCAGTTCTGTTGTCTCTGCAGTGCCCGTAGCGATGCGATGTCCGTGACGGAAGAACGGAGACGTGGCTGCAGTGTCGACTCTTCGGTCTCTCGCTTCGTGAGGGAAGGTCCCTACGTGAGCTCGTTCCGCGAGAAGAGCATCCCTCTGGAAGAGGCTCCGCGCCTCGGATCCGTTTCCTCGGGCAGCATTTGCACAGTGGACACCCGGCCGACGAACGTCTCCTCGCTGCCTCCACTCACCGACTACAATTCGAGCATTCTCGTGAGACACCCAATTGATGTTTCTCTCTTTTCATCCGATGTTCAGAGTTCTTCAATCACGCCCGTTCCCCGAGAAGAAGACGAATTGTCGTTCTGCTTCGGAAAAAGTTATCTGACTCGTCCGATTTGTGTCGAGGCATTCAGTACGCAAACAAGGCCAAACAAATTAGCAGTGACTGATAGTTGTGGAGGTAATCGGAAAAGACGATACGACCTCGAGACTCGTGATGTTCAGGGGTCTACATCACAAACTCGCGCGGCGAAATCGAGCAGAACATTCTGATAAAGAACTCGTCGGCGAGCAGTGTCTGCGTGGACGAGAAGAACGAACTAATGTACGTGAGTGTGATGCAGTCGAAGGGAAGATCGATCCACGTGTTCGACGTGGCGTCGAATTGTCGGAAAGTGGAAGTGATTGCGTGTCCGAGGGATCCGAAGATTGAGATGAGCAGGACGAGGTGGATTACGGTAGGGCCCAGAGGACACCTGTTCATGACCAGTGGCGACAATGTGAAGAGCGCTTTGTGGACGTACATTAGGAGCAAGAAGGTGAGCATTGAGCATCGGAATAGAAAAACAAATTACTTTTGAAGGCATGGAAACTGCTGAAAGAATCGAGAAAGTCCAGGTATCAATACCTGACAGTGGCAGAAGATCAGGCCGAGTACAAGTGAGCATCCATTCCCTCCCTAATCTTTACATTTGCCCAATTCTCAGAGCTGTCGTTCTTCTGACCTGTGATGCGGCCAACAACCGTCTCCTTCTTTTTGTGGTCGATCATTCGATGAGTCTGATCAATGAGTACGATCTGAGCAAAACCTACAGACTCAACGAACACATTCATTCGCCCGCCTCCGCCATTGTCGATAAAGTAAGAATCAAAAACTAGCGAAACTTATCATCATCATTCTTATTTAATAAAAAGCTAACGGAGTCTGTCCATTTCTTTCTTTCTTTCTTTCTTTGTCCGGCAACTTTTTCAGTTCTAAAACGGAAAAAGCTGTAACAGAGAAATTAAGAAATGGACACGTGAACTTTTGAACGGGATAGTTCCGAGAAAAAACAAGCGACGAAGCCACTTCCGAGCGGCCTAGGTTCCAAAAGTCTTGTACTTTATGCAATTTCAGAACGGAAATCTTCTGATTCTCGACTACGCAAGCGGCAAACTGTGGATTCTGCTCTCCGGGGTGAAAGGAGTCCGCCGACTAAAACAAGTGCCTCTGCCGGAGATCGTGCGCCCTCAAGAAGCTCTCGGAATCTGTGCCAAGGTAGGATTACCCATCATATTTTCTCATTTTTCATGTTGTCTTCCAGGGCGATGTCATTTATTTGGCACTCTTCAATCGCCGTGAAATCCTTTGCACACGATACCTTGACGAAGGAGTTTTCAAGCCGCCGGCGGCGGTCACTTCTTCACCAATCCAGCAAAGACGGAGCACCAGTCTCCCGAGAAGTTAAAAATCGTCTCTGTCTTGTAGAGCTTTTATGCACGAGCTTATAGGCATCATATTGTTTGTCTGAACGGGGAACATTTCATTTTCCAACTGTCTTTTTTACTAATCTTTTTTGTGCCTTCATTTTTTAATTTATGCAATAAAAATGTCAGATTTTTGCCAAACAATGTATTTCAAAAGACGTTTCAGAAAGATGTGATATGGTCATCACAGTAGTTGGAACAAGGCCGGGCCAGGCGCATCGGTTTTGGCCACGCCATTTTAGCAATTTTGTTGCACGCGTTTTCCTCTTCCTTCATATTTTTTTTGCATATTTTTTTTGAGGTCTAACTTCCGGGCCGACCGGGCCGGGCCGGGCCGGGATTTGGCAAGTCTGCTAAAATGACTCTTATGCGGAACCTTATGGGGTTAATTTTTTTTTTACTTCGCGGACTAGAAATTCGGCCAGATTGCGAACAGAGCGCCCTTTCTATTCGGTGCCCCTATAATATTACTTACAAGTTGTTTTGCTGTTTTGGCCCCTTTAAACTCTGCAATTTCACAGCAGAATTTCAGCATCTAATGTTGTGTGTGAAATTTACCCAAGTAAAGTTTTTTCTCGAAATGACACAAAATTCTGCATAAAACAAAGCATGGCTACACACGACTGTGTCTCGTGAGCTCTCAAAAATTCAAAACTGGAATGAAAACTTCGAAAATGTGCTTCGTGCAACTTTTGTATTCCAAAATCGTGAAATTTGTACCCTTAAATCATAAAAGTTGTACCCCTTAATCAATGCCTACTGAATCGGTAAATTTTTGTACCCCAGAATCGAAAATTTTGTATCCTCGACTTTTTGTACCCCAAAACCATGAAAGTTGTACCCCAAAACCATTTGTACCCTGTTGTACCCCCTAATTTTTGTACCCTCCGAATTAAATGCCGTGCAAAACGCTTCTAGAAATCGAGTTTCAAGTTGTTTAAGTATCCAGACATACAAAAGCAAGAGCGCTCTATTGCGAATAAAAGATTTGATCTCCAGACCGGCGCTAGAAGATTCATAAATTTCACAAACAGTTCTTCCAGCATTTGTATGACCACCGTGTGTGAAAGTGTGTACTTGGGGGGCAAAAGGGCAAGAAAGTGATGGCGCCATTGGCCAGGAAGCACAAAACAAACACTTGTTCTGTCCAACCGCTTCCTCTTTTTTCTCCCATCCGCCACTGCTGACCCGCCTCTTTTTTTCTCTCTCTCTCTCTATCACTTATTCTCTTTCTTCTCGTGCCTTTTCTCTTCAGTTCTTACATTCTCAAATGTTTTTCTTTATTTTCAGGATGACTCCTCCTCCTCCTCCTCCCCCTCACAATCCGAATCAACGTGTACCGTGAGTAACCGCTTCCGATTGTTTCGATGTTTGAATCTAGCCGAGTTTAGAACGCACATCCGCGTGATAACGAGACATTGGATCGAGGGGAACTGGAGATGCAACCGGGCCAACTACCCGCATCACTTCACCCTCGACATGCTCCGCGATCATCTTTCCGAGCACAATACGCACGGTGACGGACCGAATCTGCTGTTGCTCTGCGCGACAGCGGACGGCGAGAAAGAGAGCACGCTTCTGGAATTGGCGGTCGACGGGCAAGTCGAGGTCGAGTTGGTGTACCTTCCGAAAATGAGATACGAGGAGAAGGCGTGGATCGCGACGATCGAGCAACGAGAGACGATTCTGGAGATTAAGAGGAACGTGGCCGAGACGCAGAACAAGACGGAGGCGACGAGGGAGTCGTACGTGCCGTGCAGGAAAGAGTTTTTGGAAATTGCCTCCGTTAGTTCTCGAATATTATAGTTCTCCTAGTTCTCGAACTTTAACTACTTTCAGTTTTGGCCAATCTTCCCGTTCAACAAAAAGTTGAGCCAGTGGGCGCAGAAACTCGACGTCGACGAAAAAGATTTTAAAGAGATGAACCTCTTCCAAATCGCTCATCTTGTCATCAGTACGGACAGGAAAAGCAAGCAGAAGACTCGAGTGAGTTCATTTTTCGCCTTTTTTTTTACCGAGTATCAAAGTTTGAAGTTTGCAGGCAGGATCCCTGTGGAAAGAGCTTGTGGAGCTTGTGAAAGCAAAAGATGCTGCACAAACGAAAGAGTTTATCGCGAAGAACTGGCAGATGAAGATCGGAAACTATACGAGCCAATACGTGGTGAATGCGCCGGAAGTTCGGGCGGATCACAAACTTCTGTGGACCGGCCTGCCGCAGGGACCGAACAACAAAATGAACAGTCTCGTTGCGATTAACGCCGTCCACGAGTACCGAATGCTCGCCGTCCTCCTCAAAACGCCTCCGCAATGCTTCCTCGAACCGTACTACGAGGCGAAAACGTCTCCACCGCCGGGAACAAGGATCTCCTACCGGCACTACTGTCTGCTCCATTCGCGATGGGCTTGCGACAGTCTCGGAGGCCGAATCAATGAATTGAGTGCGGCGGAACAGCAAAAGTTGTTCGACATAAGCTTGAAAATGGATTTCTCGCCAGATGCTAAGTTCGAAGAATGATTCGGTTCTTTCACGTGATAAACTGCCCTTTTCCCCATTGACATAATGTTCTCCATCTCCACTTTCCCACCATTTCTTTCTAATTCGTCGTGTCGAAAAATCCGAAATGAATCCGATGAATCACTGGAATCCGGGTTGGCAATTCGCAATGAATGCTCAGCAAAGAGCACACGCCGGAGGGAACCGAGCTCTTCAGCCGGCGGCTCCGGCTCCGGCTCCTCCTGCTCCGCTGGTCCCACAGTTGCCGGCTAGACAGCCAATCGGACAAGGAAGACGAGTGGCTGTGGCCCAGCAGCAACAGAATGCGGTCCCGAATCCGAATCCGAATCCGAACAGACGGAATAACAGAAATCAGAACAATCCGGTTCGCAGAGAGCATCAGCAAGTTCGTCAGGAACGTCATCTGGTAGGACAGTCTGAAAATCAATGAGCCAATATAATAGGTTTCAGAGTAGAGATGACGTGGAGAGACTTCAGACGATTTCCAGAAAGAACCAGCAGACGCGCACCGCTTTAGAGTACGATAGCCGAGAAGATCAGTGCTGGACGGACCTGATGAGTGAGTGCCCATCCCAAGTGAGAAGGATTATGGTAGTTTGCAGACACCCTCAACACCCAAAGCCATCAGTTCACTCCGAGCACTCCCAACGGCGGCCCTGACGCCTTGATTCCGAACGATCAGGAGATTTGCTCCAGTTTAAGAACTGAGAACCAGTACGAGACGATTCTGAAAACCCGCGAGCTGCTTGTGAACTTTGGAGCCACCGAGTACGACTTGTCGAGAGCTTTAAACAGTCTGGAGATGCACATGAGAACGAACGCGTGCGAGTTCAATGAGATTGAGGACGTCTCCAGTGATCTGATGCGGACCGCCGGCAAACTGAGCCACGAGATCGAGGAGCTCGAGCAGATTCTGCGTCGAATTGACAATATCAAACTGCAATGACTTTTTGTGCAAATGAAGACGGGCTCTTTGAAAGTTTCATAATGTTTATTAGGAAAAGGCTGTAGAAATACATTAAAAAGTTGAAGTCGGATTGAGAGAAGTTGGCACGGAGAACTGAAGGAATGCTTAAAGATACTGTACGGTTATTTGACAAATGAATGGAGTAATGAAGAGTTCTGTACTTACAGGAAATGGGAAATTATCATATTAGTCGCCGACGACATCGATCTCTTCCTCTTTATTTTGGAACATCGGACTAGCTGCCAGAAGCGCAAAGAACTGGGCCGGCTGGAAGAATGCGAGATATTGGAGTATCTTGGCATATTCGAAAAGAAGTGGCGGCCATTGGGGAGAGAGAGACGGAGCGGGAGGGACGGAAGCGGCCGGAGCAGGAGAAACAGTTGCACGCGAGCGGAGGAAGTTGCAGATGATCTCGAGAGTCACAAGGTTCTCCAACTTGTTTCTGAAATGCGAGATAATGTTCGAAATGGGCCTTGAGTTCCTTAACCCTTACCTCTGCTCACTGGTTCCCAGTTCGTTTTCTATGATGAACGACTTGAGAACGTCCATCGCGGCCTTCTCCTTGTCCCGTCGAATCTGCTCCTTCTCGGCCGCCAATCTTCCCTTCCGTTCTCTGCGGACTGGTCCTGGCGCGGAGGCGGTGCATGGATGTTCCGGCAAGATCGGAGCAAACTCCTGGCCAGTGATCGCTTCGACCGCTTTGAACAGGGTTTTTTCCTTGCTGAAACGAACAAATATTATCAATGTTGCAATAGCAGATTATAAAACTTACGAGAGGCTCGGCTGCACTTTTAGAAGCGAGCGGAGATCGATGAATAGAGCGTCTCTATCCTGCCGCTGCTTCTTCTCCTTTCTGGACTTCGCAGAGGAGCTGTAGGCAGTCGGAGCAGCCATTCCAGGCACCTTTTACGACGAGATCAGAATAGGAATGACTGTTGTCGTTCGGGTTCGGACGGCTCGACAAATGGGCGAAGTCTCTTGGAGAAAGTATACATTTCCCACGATTCCGATTTTCCCATGGACAGCAATATACCCGACTGTCTTCACGTTCCAGACGACCACCGTGGGTCCCTCTCCGTTCGAGCCGTGGGAGAGAGAGGACCGCCCCTCTGGGAAGAGTGATCCTCGTGCGGCCTTTTGTGAACGGCGCGATCACAGACGACACGTGCTTTTTGACCGTCAGAAGCATGTAGACACTTTCGACGTGCTCCCACAGCAAAGAGCCTGCGTTCAGCTCCTCTCTTCTCTTCAGAAGCACCCGCATCGTGTAGATGACGAGCGCGTCGAGCTGTTTGTAAAGCAACTGAGCGAAGCCGTCCAAAAACGACGTGCTGAACGAATTCAGGATTGCATTGATTGCCGCTTTCACAATTTGCGAATCCGACGGATCGTGCGCTTCGATCGTTTTGAGCAGCATCAAATAGCGAAAGTTTGCGAATTCTTTCGGTTTGAACTTGCGAATATATCCGAGAATCGTGTTCCACATACGGACGCCTTGGTCTCCTTCGACGAATGCCAAATTTCGCACGAAAATGCTGAAGGTTTAATAGTGTATTTCCTGTGAATACTCACTCACGTTTCGCGGGAATCGAGTTCTTGTCCGTCACTGACTGTTTTCGTAGTCACAATATGCGCCAAATCGGCGAGATGAAGGAGCATCCACGACTTGGCAAACACGAATTGCCGATTCTCCGGCCGCAGATTTATAAAATGCGTGCATTTCGACGCAAACGGCCAGAATCTTCGAAGTCCTTGATTGCTAACGAATTGGCCGGCTTCAAAGATGTTCGGCAGCGATTTCATTTCGAAAATGCTGTCGACGAGCGGAAGGAGCACGTCGAAATAGTGCGGCAACTCTTCTTTCGCATATCTGCCGACCGCCGCGTCCAATTTCTCGAATCCGGCCGCTTTTATCATTCCGCCGTCGCGCCACTCCATCAGCGTTCGGAAGAGGCGCGGCACGATGCTCTGCAGCAACTGCATGATCGTCAACAATCGTTTTATCTCCGGCTCCGTCCGGCTCGTCGGCGGCATTATCGTTTTCAGAAAGTGCGAACATCGATGGAAAATGGCGTTGGCCTGAAGTCCCAGATAGTCCACTCGGTCAAAGTGCATCTTGCGTAGAGATTCGACGGCAGAATCGATTATCCGCGTGTCGTGAGTGACTTGCGACAGACTCAGCACGGCCATCGCACTGAAATTCATTCTGAAAACGAAAAGGAAACATTTCTGGAATCTTCTGCCGTTCTGAACTGACTCTGTGCCGCAGGAGAGTCGCAATTGGCCGTGCCAGTTTTCGACGATTGTGTAGGTGATGTCGAGCACGTGCAAAAAGAGCCATCGCGAGAATCCGTTCCCGCTCGCGCTCCGGTAGCTGTCGGATCCCGGGATAATTCCGAATCACCTCCACGTTTCGTTCCATGATTTTCTGCGTCAAATGCATGAGCAAAAAGTGCCGATCGGGCTCGGACGCACTCGTTTTCACCGCGTCCATCACGCTGCGAATCTCGCTCGGCCCCTCCTCCGCATCGACGAAACCGCTCATTCTGAATAGCAGAAAAGTGTAAAAGCGGGACAAGGCGACAATATTTCAGGTGATCAGACCTTCCTAGGCGGAAAGATGGAGGCACTATAAGTCATAGATGTTTATAATTGGTTGCATTATTTAATAGTTGTATTACAAGGGTACAAGAGCGGGTACAAGGCAAATTCAAGAATAAATTAGATTATTAAAAATAGCAAAAACTGGTTACACTTTTGTTGGTGGAAGGTTAAAATTGATCGCAGGGAGAAGAGAATTACTCAGACTCAGAAAGAAGCCTCCTCTTGCAGAAGCACCTGTTGTCGGAGCTTCTCGAGCTCCTGCGACACCTTCTGGATCTCGTCGTCCTTCTCGTCCAATTGCTGGTACAGCTTTACCCGCTCCTCCTCGTACTTCTTCTTCTCCTCGTCCGTGATCGGTCCGTTGCCGGAGATGAGCATCGGCGGTGCGGGCGCGATCGATCTTTCCATAAGTGGAGTGGAACCGCCCGACACTTCCGAGACTGCCATCTGCGCCGTCTCCGACAGGTTGATCCATTCCAATTCGGACACTGATTCGCCGGCTCTCCAGCGGGAGAGTTCCAGGGCGGCTGCTTGGAGAAGGGTTGACAGGCGGGTCACCTAAAATCATTCATTTTACACAAAATCACTTGAAAAAATTTTCTTGTCCAAAAGGGCAATTACACCAAAAAGCGTACCTTCTCGCGCTCCTTCTCGTATCGGCGCTTCCACTCCTCGGCCGTCAGCTCCTCGTTCACCTGCACCACATTCTTGATCGTCTTGGCTCTCTGTCCGAACAGCAGCGTCGACTTGGTCTCCGCCTCGTTGAAGTGCGACGGCGACGCGCAAATTATGACCGTAGTCCGCGAGTTTCCTTCGAGCGACTCTTGCAGAATGCGCGTCAGTTTCGAGTCACGGTACGGCACGTGCGACTTGGTTCCTTCGGCCAGCGCCGAGATGACGATTCCGAGCGCCGTCAGCGACTTGTTAATGTTTTTGGCCTCCTCTAGCACGGTTCCCTGCGCGCCCGTCTTGCTCACTTTCTCCGATCCGGCCAAATCGACGAAGTACAACTTGCCCGTCAACTGCTTTTTCGTCGTCTGATGCTCCTGTTTGACGGTGATCAGGAAGACCGAGTGCGAGCGGGAGGAGTGCTTGTTCATGTCTGCAAATTTGCAATTTTCTCTGGTTCCTAATGTTTTCATGGCTTTCCACAACTGGAAATTTCGGAACAGTTTGATAGTGAAATTACTGAAAATCGAGCATTTTCAGGTCCGTGCTCATATCTCAACTAATTCCGCCCGTTTTCAGTTTAAAATGCACACCAAATCTGCAACTCCCACGTTTTTCTTGGAAAAACATAGCAATATCGAATTTCCCGCCTCTTTTTCAGTTTAGGAGACTAGAATTGTTGAGGGGCACATACTGGTGACGGCGACCATCCGGTTCGACTTTCCGTCCTCGATCGCCTGCAGCACTTCGTCGGGACTGCCGACGAATCGCTCGGTGGCGCCCTTCACGTACGGAACGCGCATTTTGTCCTCGTGAATCGACAAATTCACTTTTTCCGGGTCCAACAGATCGCGAATCTTCTCGTTGTAAATCTCGTAGTAGGAGACTTTGATGTGGAACTGTAGGTCCTGGTCCATGTTGTAGATGTGGTTGAAGATGTCGGCGACGATGCGCGGGATGATGCCCGAAAGGTTGCCGTCGCCGATGACTCCCTCCATCGTGTGCGTCTTTCCGGACGACGTCTGACCGTAGGCGAACACGGTGCCGTTGTAGCCGGACAAAACATCCTGCACGATGTGATAGGCGGCCCATTTGTAAACTTGCTCTTGTGTCGTGTTCGGTTTGAACACTTTGTCGAACACGCACACTTTTCCCTGCAAAAATTTGGATTTTCACGAGAAGAACTTCAAAATCCGCCCCACTATTGTACTTTTCCCAGGCCGATTTGTTCGTGTAACGCGAGAATTGACACACCTGTGCACGTCTGAAACATTCAATTGTTATGGTTCTTATTCTGCTTGCAAACTCACAAAGTGCTCGGCGGAATGCGCCTCCCTCCTACTCTATCAGATCCTAATGACTGACACTTCGAAAAGTGGCAGTCACTGCTTGCATCAAGAGTGGGAAGTTTCTTGACTTTTCTTCGCCCTGTTCTTCGTCATCATCTCCTTGCCCTCCTGCTGCTTGTCGTCGGCCTCTCTCTGAATGCGCGAGTTCTCTTCGCGGATGATCTCCTCGTTCTCGCGCATCGTCTGCAGTGCCTCCTCTTGCAGAAGCACCTGTTGTCGGAGCTTCTCGAGCTCCTGCGACACCTTCTGGATCTCGTCGTCCTTCTCGTCCAATTGCTGGTACAGCTTTACCCGCTCCTCCTCGTACAGGCCGATTTGTGCGTGTAACGCGAGAATTGACACACCTGTGCACGTCTGAAACATTCAATTGTTATGGTTCTTATTCTGCTTGCAAACTCACAAAGTGCTCGGCGGAATGCGCCTCCCTCCTACTCTATCAGATCCTAATGACTGACACTTCGAAAAGTGGCAGTCACTGCTTGCATCAAGAGTGGGAAGTTTCTTGACTTTTCTTCGCCCTGTTCTTCGTCATCATCTCCTTGCCCTCCTGCTGCTTGTCGTCGGCCTCTCTCTGAATGCGCGAGTTCTCTTCGCGGATGATCTCCTCGTTCTCGCGCATCGTCTGCAGTGCCTCCTCTTGCAGAAGCACCTGTTGTCGGAGCTTCTCGAGCTCCTGCGACACCTTCTGGATCTCGTCGTCCTTCTCGTCCAATTGCTGGTACAGCTTTACCCGCTCCTCCTCGTACAGGCCGATTTGTGCGTGTAACGCGAGAATTGACACACCTGTGCACGTCTGAAACATTCAATTGTTATGGTTCTTATTCTGCTTGCAAACTCACAAAGTGCTCGGCGGAATGCGCCTCCCTCCTACTCTATCAGATCCTAATGACTGACACTTCGAAAAGTGGCAGTCACTGCTTGCATCAAGAGTGGGAAGTTTCTTGACTTTTCTTCGCCCTGTTCTTCGTCATCATCTCCTTGCCCTCCTGCTGCTTGTCGTCGGCCTCTCTCTGAATGCGCGAGTTCTCTTCGCGGATGATCTCCTCGTTCTCGCGCATCGTCTGCAGTGCCTCCTCTTGCAGAAGCACCTGTTGTCGGAGCTTCTCGAGCTCCTGCGACACCTTCTGGATCTCGTCGTCCTTCTCGTCCAATTGCTGGTACAGCTTTACCCGCTCCTCCTCGTACAGGCCGATTTGTGCGTGTAACGCGAGAATTGACACACCTGTGCACGTCTGAAACATTCAATTGTTATGGTTCTTATTCTGCTTGCAAACTCACAAAGTGCTCGGCGGAATGCGCCTCCCTCCTACTCTATCAGATCCTAATGACTGACACTTCGAAAAGTGGCAGTCACTGCTTGCATCAAGAGTGGGAAGTTTCTTGACTTTTCTTCGCCCTGTTCTTCGTCATCATCTCCTTGCCCTCCTGCTGCTTGTCGTCGGCCTCTCTCTGAATGCGCGAGTTCTCTTCGCGGATGATCTCCTCGTTCTCGCGCATCGTCTGCAGTGCCTCCTCTTGCAGAAGCACCTGTTGTCGGAGCTTCTCGAGCTCCTGCGACACCTTCTGGATCTCGTCGTCCTTCTCGTCCAATTGCTGGTACAGCTTTACCCGCTCCTCCTCGTACAGGCCGATTTGTGCGTGTAACGCGAGAATTGACACACCTGTGCACGTCTGAAACATTCAATTGTTATGGTTCTTATTCTGCTTGCAAACTCACAAAGTGCTCGGCGGAATGCGCCTCCCTCCTACTCTATCAGATCCTAATGACTGACACTTCGAAAAGTGGCAGTCACTGCTACATCAAGAGTGGGAAGTTTCTTGACTTTTTCTTCGCCCTGTTCTTCGTCATCATCTCCTTGCCCTCCTGCTGCTTGTCGTCGGCCTCTCTCTGAATGCGCGAGTTCTCTTCGCGGATGATCTCCTCGTTCTCGCGCATCGTCTGCAGTGCCTCCTCTTGCAGAAGCACCTGTTGTCGGAGCTTCTCGAGCTCCTGCGACACCTTCTGGATCTCGTCGTCCTTCTCGTCCAATTGCTGGTACAGCTTTACCCGCTCCTCCTCGTACAGGCCGATTTGTGCGTGTAACGCGAGAATTGACACACCTGTGCACGTCTGAAACATTCAATTGTTATGGTTCTTATTCTGCTTGCAAACTCACAAAGTGCTCGGCGGAATGCGCCTCCCTCCTACTCTATCAGATCCTAATGACTGACACTTCGAAAAGTGGCAGTCACTGCTTGCATCAAGAGTGGGAAGTTTCTTGACTTTTCTTCGCCCTGTTCTTCGTCATCATCTCCTTGCCCTCCTGCTGCTTGTCGTCGGCCTCTCTCTGAATGCGCGAGTTCTCTTCGCGGATGATCTCCTCGTTCTCGCGCATCGTCTGCAGTGCCTCCTCTTGCAGAAGCACCTGTTGTCGGAGCTTCTCGAGCTCCTGCGACACCTTCTGGATCTCGTCGTCCTTCTCGTCCAATTGCTGGTACAGCTTTACCCGCTCCTCCTCGTACAGGCCGATTTGTGCGTGTAACGCGAGAATTGACACACCTGTGCACGTCTGAAACATTCAATTGTTATGGTTCTTATTCTGCTTGCAAACTCACAAAGTGCTCGGCGGAATGCGCCTCCCTCCTACTCTATCAGATCCTAATGACTGACACTTCGAAAAGTGGCAGTCACTGCTACATCAAGAGTGGGAAGTTTCTTGACTTTTTCTTCGCCCTGTTCTTCGTCATCATCTCCTTGCCCTCCTGCTGCTTGTCGTCGGCCTCTCTCTGAATGCGCGAGTTCTCTTCGCGGATGATCTCCTCGTTCTCGCGCATCGTCTGCAGTGCCTCCTCTTGCAGAAGCACCTGTTGTCGGAGCTTCTCGAGCTCCTGCGACACCTTCTGGATCTCGTCGTCCTTCTCGTCCAATTGCTGGTACAGCTTTACCCGCTCCTCCTCGTACAGGCCGATTTGTGCGTGTAACGCGAGAATTGACACACCTGTGCACGTCTGAAACATTCAATTGTTATGGTTCTTATTCTGCTTGCAAACTCACAAAGTGCTCGGCGGAATGCGCCTCCCTCCTACTCTATCAGATCCTAATGACTGACACTTCGAAAAGTGGCAGTCACTGCTACATCAAGAGTGGGAAGTTTCTTGACTTTTCTTCGCCCTGTTCTTCGTCATCATCTCCTTGCCCTCCTGCTGCTTGTCGTCGGCCTCTCTCTGAATGCGCGAGTTCTCTTCGCGGATGATCTCCTCGTTCTCGCGCATCGTCTGCAGTGCCTCCTCTTGCAGAAGCACCTGTTGTCGGAGCTTCTCGAGCTCCTGCGACACCTTCTGGATCTCGTCGTCCTTCTCGTCCAATTGCTGGTACAGCTTTACCCGCTCCTCCTCGTACAGGCCGATTTGTGCGTGTAACGCGAGAATTGACACACCTGTGCACGTCTGAAACATTCAATTGTTATGGTTCTTATTCTGCTTGCAAACTCACAAAGTGCTCGGCGGAATGCGCCTCCCTCCTACTCTATCAGATCCTAATGACTGACACTTCGAAAAGTGGCAGTCACTGCTACATCAAGAGTGGGAAGTTTCTTGACTTTTTCTTCGCCCTGTTCTTCGTCATCATCTCCTTGCCCTCCTGCTGCTTGTCGTCGGCCTCTCTCTGAATGCGCGAGTTCTCTTCGCGGATGATCTCCTCGTTCTCGCGCATCGTCTGCAGTGCCTCCTCTTGCAGAAGCACCTGTTGTCGGAGCTTCTCGAGCTCCTGCGACACCTTCTGGATCTCGTCGTCCTTCTCGTCCAATTGCTGGTACAGCTTTACCCGCTCCTCCTCGTACAGGCCGATTTGTGCGTGTAACGCGAGAATTGACACACCTGTGCACGTCTGAAACATTCAATTGTTATGGTTCTTATTCTGCTTGCAAACTCACAAAGTGCTCGGCGGAATGCGCCTCCCTCCTACTCTATCAGATCCTAATGACTGACACTTCGAAAAGTGGCAGTCACTGCTACATCAAGAGTGGGAAGTTTCTTGACTTTTTCTTCGCCCTGTTCTTCGTCATCATCTCCTTGCCCTCCTGCTGCTTGTCGTCGGCCTCTCTCTGAATGCGCGAGTTCTCTTCGCGGATGATCTCCTCGTTCTCGCGCATCGTCTGCAGTGCCTCCTCTTGCAGAAGCACCTGTTGTCGGAGCTTCTCGAGCTCCTGCGACACCTTCTGGATCTCGTCGTCCTTCTCGTCCAATTGCTGGTACAGCTTTACCCGCTCCTCCTCGTACAGGCCGATTTGTGCGTGTAACGCGAGAATTGACACACCTGTGCACGTCTGAAACATTCAATTGTTATGGTTCTTATTCTGCTTGCAAACTCACAAAGTGCTCGGCGGAATGCGCCTCCCTCCTACTCTATCAGATCCTAATGACTGACACTTCGAAAAGTGGCAGTCACTGCTACATCAAGAGTGGGAAGTTTCTTGACTTTTCTTCGCCCTGTTCTTCGTCATCATCTCCTTGCCCTCCTGCTGCTTGTCGTCGGCCTCTCTCTGAATGCGCGAGTTCTCTTCGCGGATGATCTCCTCGTTCTCGCGCATCGTCTGCAGTGCCTCCTCTTGCAGAAGCACCTGTTGTCGGAGCTTCTCGAGCTCCTGCGACACCTTCTGGATCTCGTCGTCCTTCTCGTCCAATTGCTGGTACAGCTTTACCCGCTCCTCCTCGTACAGGCCGATTTGTGCGTGTAACGCGAGAATTGACACACCTGTGCACGTCTGAAACATTCAATTGTTATGGTTCTTATTCTGCTTGCAAACTCACAAAGTGCTCGGCGGAATGCGCCTCCCTCCTACTCTATCAGATCCTAATGACTGACACTTCGAAAAGTGGCAGTCACTGCTTCATCAAGAGTGGGAAGTTTCTTGACTTTTTCTTCGCCCTGTTCTTCGTCATCATCTCCTTGCCCTCCTGCTGCTTGTCGTCGGCCTCTCTCTGAATGCGCGAGTTCTCTTCGCGGATGATCTCCTCGTTCTCGCGCATCGTCTGCAGTGCCTCCTCTTGCAGAAGCACCTGTTGTCGGAGCTTCTCGAGCTCCTGCGACACCTTCTGGATCTCGTCGTCCTTCTCGTCCAATTGCTGGTACAGCTTTACCCGCTCCTCCTCGTACAGGCCGATTTGTGCGTGTAACGCGAGAATTGACACACCTGTGCACGTCTGAAACATTCAATTGTTATGGTTCTTATTCTGCTTGCAAACTCACAAAGTGCTCGGCGGAATGCGCCTCCCTCCTACTCTATCAGATCCTAATGACTGACACTTCGAAAAGTGGCAGTCACTGCTACATCAAGAGTGGGAAGTTTCTTGACTTTTCTTCGCCCTGTTCTTCGTCATCATCTCCTTGCCCTCCTGCTGCTTGTCGTCGGCCTCTCTCTGAATGCGCGAGTTCTCTTCGCGGATGATCTCCTCGTTCTCGCGCATCGTCTGCAGTGCCTCCTCTTGCAGAAGCACCTGTTGTCGGAGCTTCTCGAGCTCCTGCGACACCTTCTGGATCTCGTCGTCCTTCTCGTCCAATTGCTGGTACAGCTTTACCCGCTCCTCCTCGTACAGGCCGATTTGTGCGTGTAACGCGAGAATTGACACACCTGTGCACGTCTGAAACATTCAATTGTTATGGTTCTTATTCTGCTTGCAAACTCACAAAGTGCTCGGCGGAATGCGCCTCCCTCCTACTCTATCAGATCCTAATGACTGACACTTCGAAAAGTGGCAGTCACTGCTTCATCAAGAGTGGGAAGTTTCTTGACTTTTTCTTCGCCCTGTTCTTCGTCATCATCTCCTTGCCCTCCTGCTGCTTGTCGTCGGCCTCTCTCTGAATGCGCGAGTTCTCTTCGCGGATGATCTCCTCGTTCTCGCGCATCGTCTGCAGTGCCTCCTCTTGCAGAAGCACCTGTTGTCGGAGCTTCTCGAGCTCCTGCGACACCTTCTGGATCTCGTCGTCCTTCTCGTCCAATTGCTGGTACAGCTTTACCCGCTCCTCCTCGTACAGGCCGATTTGTGCGTGTAACGCGAGAATTGACACACCTGTGCACGTCTGAAACATTCAATTGTTATGGTTCTTATTCTGCTTGCAAACTCACAAAGTGCTCGGCGGAATGCGCCTCCCTCCTACTCTATCAGATCCTAATGACTGACACTTCGAAAAGTGGCAGTCACTGCTTGCATCAAGAGTGGGAAGTTTCTTGACTTTTCTTCGCCCTGTTCTTCGTCATCATCTCCTTGCCCTCCTGCTGCTTGTCGTCGGCCTCTCTCTGAATGCGCGAGTTCTCTTCGCGGATGATCTCCTCGTTCTCGCGCATCGTCTGCAGTGCCTCCTCTTGCAGAAGCACCTGTTGTCGGAGCTTCTCGAGCTCCTGCGACACCTTCTGGATCTCGTCGTCCTTCTCGTCCAATTGCTGGTACAGCTTTACCCGCTCCTCCTCGTACAGGCCGATTTGTGCGTGTAACGCGAGAATTGACACACCTGTGCACGTCTGAAACATTCAATTGTTATGGTTCTTATTCTGCTTGCAAACTCACAAAGTGCTCGGCGGAATGCGCCTCCCTCCTACTCTATCAGATCCTAATGACTGACACTTCGAAAAGTGGCAGTCACTGCTACATCAAGAGTGGGAAGTTTCTTGACTTTTTCTTCGCCCTGTTCTTCGTCATCATCTCCTTGCCCTCCTGCTGCTTGTCGTCGGCCTCTCTCTGAATGCGCGAGTTCTCTTCGCGGATGATCTCCTCGTTCTCGCGCATCGTCTGCAGTGCCTCCTCTTGCAGAAGCACCTGTTGTCGGAGCTTCTCGAGCTCCTGCGACACCTTCTGGATCTCGTCGTCCTTCTCGTCCAATTGCTGGTACAGCTTTTACCCGCTCCTCCTCGTACAGGCCGATTTGTGCGTGTAACGCGAGAATTGACACACCTGTGCACGTCTGAAACATTCAATTGTTATGGTTCTTATTCTGCTTGCAAACTCACAAAGTGCTCGGCGGAATGCGCCTCCCTCCTACTCTATCAGATCCTAATGACTGACACTTCGAAAAGTGGCAGTCACTGCTTGCATCAAGAGTGGGAAGTTTCTTGACTTTTCTTCGCCCTGTTCTTCGTCATCATCTCCTTGCCCTCCTGCTGCTTGTCGTCGGCCTCTCTCTGAATGCGCGAGTTCTCTTCGCAGATGATCTCCTCGTTCTCGCGCATCGTCTGCAGTGCCTCCTCTTGCAGAAGCACCTGTTGTCGGAGCTTCTCGAGCTCCTGCGACACCTTCTGGATCTCGTCGTCCTTCTCGTCCAATTGCTGGTACAGCTTTACCCGCTCCTCCTCGTACAGGCCGATTTGTGCGTGTAACGCGAGAATTGACACACCTGTGCACGTCTGAAACATTCAATTCTTATGGTTCTTATTCTGCTTGCAAACTCACAAAGTGCTTGGCGGAATGCGCCTCCCTCCTACTCTATCAGATCCTAATGACTGACACTTCGAAAAGTGGCAGTCACTGCTTGCATCAAGAGTGGGAAGTTTCTTGACTTTTCTTCGCCCTGTTCTTCGTCATCATCTCCTTGCCCTCCTGCTGCTTGTCGTCGGCCTCTCTCTGAATGCGCGAGTTCTCTTCGCGGATGATCTCCTCGTTCTCGCGCATCGTCTGCAGTGCCTCCTCTTGCAGAAGCACCTGTTGTCGGAGCTTCTCGAGCTCCTGCGACACCTTCTGGATCTCGTCGTCCTTCTCGTCCAATTGCTGGTACAGCTTTACCCGCTCCTCCTCGTACAGGCCGATTTGTGCGTGTAACGCGAGAATTGACACACCTGTGCACGTCTGAAACATTCAATTGTTATGGTTCTTATTCTGCTTGCAAACTCACAAAGTGCTCGGCGAAATGCGCCTCCCTCCTACTCTATCAGATCCTAATGACTGACACTTCGAAAAGTGGCAGTCACTGCTTGCATCAAGAGTGGGAAGTTTCTTGACTATTCCTCGCCTTCCGAAGATCCTTGTGGGTTCTCGTGTCCGACGTAGCGAGAGAAGAGAGAGAGAGAGTTTAAGTAGGGTGTGGCAGTTTCTTCTACTAACTAAAATTCTAACATGTAAGTCATATGCGCGCAAGAGGTTAACCCCAAAGAGTGCCCGTCTCTGTCTGCCCACATCCCTCTCATCTCAGGCTTCCTTCAAGAAGTTATCGTTAGGGTCACTTGAAGGGATCTGATCCGTAAGGACCGTGCAACTCCGCATCAAGTACCCACGGTCCGCAGAGCCGCCGCCCCGTAGAGAAGGGGGTCAACCACGCCACGTGTAAGGTGGGGGCGGTGATTTTTCCTCCGTGACAGGGCAAATCACGTCACGAAGGTCACCGCTGTGGCCCTACTCAGAGAAGGACGTACAGACGGATACTCCCGAGGAATACACCTCTTCTAAGCTATTGTAGTCACATAAAAAGTTCTATTAATTCGAAAAGACACCACTGGTAGGCAAGATTTTGTTTAAAATTGATCGCAGGGAGAAGAGAATTACTCAGAAATGTACGCAATTTTTACTGTTTGCCACACCCTACACTATGCCCAACTCATTGAGCACCGATCTGAACGACAAAAAGTGAGCATTTGTTCCGGTTTTCACAAAATACATAGGAATAACAGGACGGTTTGTTTCTACTACATATAGAGGCATCCGAGAGTTCAGCGCAGTTTTTTCAGAAACTCTCCCAAATGTGATATCCTGTGAGCATTTAGAAGCAAAAATGAAATTAATGCAACTTTTTGTCGGATAAGAAAGGAACTTTACAGAGATCACAGCTGAAATAGCTTCGGAATAGAGTGCACTTCACTTCCGTATGGACTTGACATATGAAAGAGAAAATGAAGTAACGGAGAGAAAGGGGAGAAAGAACAAGTGGAAAAATATCGGATCGATATCGATTAGCAGAGGGTCTGGAAAGTCCGCCCGCCCAAAACAGAACGAGACGATCCGACCGTCCGCCAAGTCGGTATGTCCGAATGAATGGCTATTCTTTCCCACAGGGGGCCCTTTTTATACTTACTCCTCACATATCGAGTAGATCAAATGGCCCTTTCTCTCCATTTCTGTGTGTAGTCTGTTAGGATTATGAATGTGTAGTCTGTTAGGATTATGAGTGTGTAGTCTGTTAGGTCTACTCGATATGTGAGGTGCGTCACGGATGGATGAACTGCTCTGTCTCTCGATAGACCGATTTTATAGGCTATTAGGAATTTTTTAAGAGCAAGAACGTTAATCTTGGTCTAGTCGCAAATCACATTTATCCGTTTAAAGGTTTTTTTGTTAAAACTGCGTGAATTTCAGTTGCTTTTCGGTAGTTTTCGCGGTTCGAGCGCTCAAAATTCTTGTATTTACGTGATTTATCATTCTCAAAACCAATTCTGTCTGAAAACAATCAAGAAAGCGCAAAATGAGAAGTGCGGTTTTAAGGCAACGATCGGCGGCGAAGGCGAAAAAGCAAAGTCCGCGAAAAATGCGCCAAAACGTCATTAATTCTGAGAATTAGTGTGTTTTCATGTCGAACAATCACTTTTCATTGCCTTTGACCACAAAAATCAGAGAAAACTTGCTCAATTCATGAAAACGCCATTTGGCCGAGGCCACGCCCATATTGTCAGCTCTGGAGACCGTGAGATAAATTTTACGAGGAAATTGACTCACATTTCGGTCGTCAACGTGTTAGTTGGCTGTAGTTATCAAGTATTTGATGAAAATTGATGACGTTTGAACGGATTTTCTGGAAAAAATTAACAAATGCAAATAGAATTGTGAATTTGCGCTGAAAAAGTGTTCAATAAGTTTGCAATTGCCAGCTTCTACAGTTGGTCTTTTTAAAGGCGCATTTCCAAAGAGTTGTTGTCTATCTCGAATCTCTTTCAATTCAATCGCATTAGTTTCAAAAGTAACTTTCGTTTTTTTCGGTTTCCTTATAATTTTTCATGTTCTTTTTGCGTTGCGGTGCCATGAGCTTTCAACGTGAGAATGCGATGAGTACGGAGTCTGACTCATAAAACATTCATTAAACGATAAAACTTTCAAAAATCAATATATTCCAGAATGATTAATAAATAGCGAGGCGAATCCTCTCATTGGAGGAGCATTTTGACACCTGACCTCTGGGTTGGGTGGATGCTCCGCATGATCGCATCGAAGTTGGCCGCGAACTTGTCCTTGATGTCCTTCACGGACAGCCTCTCGAGGACTGAACCGTCTCTCGTCACCAGTAGATGTTTGTGGCAGACGGTGACGGAGCAGTTTCGGTCGTGACGGTACATCGTCCTGAAGTTGCTGGCGGCGGCGTGCAGAAATGCGTCCCTGGTCCGCGACTCCTTTGTGTCGTGGAGCTCGACAATGACGTACTGCTGCAAAGCTTCGTGGTCAAAAAAACTGACATTCTCTTTTCGAGAAATAAACAAACCTCTACGTTATTGCCGTACTCCAGCTGATTGAAGCTGTCCAGGTGTTCTGCGACGGCCCGCCCGATCTTCTCCGCCACTGCTTTCGGAACCTCCACGATGGTCCAGAAGATTGGAGAGATCGGGTGTTGCCGTCCCCGCGAGGCGTTCGGGAACGTTGCCGCGTCCCAATCCAAATCGATTCTATAAACAATGAGTGTTTAGTCGGTTTTTGGCGCTTGAAATCATGAAATCTTACCCAAGTCGGCCCAGTATGTCGCCGATTCGTGCTCGGAACTCGTCGTCCGACGGATCGATTTGGAACTCAAGGTTCCCGAACACGATCTGCTGCCGACCGGGCGCTGGCGCTGAGCATCGGGTTCTCTTCTAAAAAAAACAAAAATTTCAGCTCGAAATACCGGTATCGGCATTGCTTACCCTCTTCCGGTTCGTCCTGTTCAGGACTCCGACATTGAGCGGAGTCGGTCGAACAAGATCACTGGTGACGAATACCTGGTGCCGAGCATCGAGTTCCTCCTCCCTGACGGCCGCGGCCCTCTCCCGATCGACTCGCTCGTTCCGTTCGGCCGCCAGGGCCTCCAATCTCTCCTCGAGCGCCCGCTGCCTCTGTCGCAGCTCGTTCTCCGTGGCGGCTCTTTCGGCGGCCGCCTCCCTTTCCTCTTCTCTCTGGGCCTCGACGGTCCGCTCGAGGTAGGCACGGGCCACCTGCAAAAGAACGTAAAATTCACATTAACTTGTCTCTAAACAGTTTCTTTTTCATCTCGTTCTCTCCAAAAATGCATAACGTTTTTTTGCTTGTTCCTACAAAATCTCTATTTTTCAGGCACTCACGTCGGAAGGGCAACTGAGCCCGTGCTGCCGTGTGAGACCGTGCATCACGCGGTGGAGTTGATGAAAACCGCCGCGCCGCCCGTTCTCCCTCGTCATGAACTCCACTATGAACGAGTGGAGAACGGCGGCGGTCTCCCTGGTGCTCCAGCATGTGCGCCACGATCCCTCCGGTTCGTCGACGATCCGAGCGGAGCAGCACCCGCACTGCCACTCCTGCTCCTTGAACGTCGACTCCTGCAAAGCGATCGGTCAGTCGTAAGTCTCTTTTTCACGGTGCCGCACCAAATGGGAAACTATCGGAACAGAGTTCCAGTTCGATAGACTCTTTTTGGGGTGGCATCTTTCTGGCCCGCCCCAGCTTGACAGTATTCCATCTTCAGACGTCCGTTTTACATGAGACTGTCCGAGTCTCACATAAAACGGTCCGGCGGAGCTGGAGTACGACCCTCTTGTTTGGTCGGACCGTCTTCCGGCCTCAGAAGTCTGTTTGATTAGAGCTTTGAGCAAAATGTTCCTTGTTCCACTGTGCAGCAGATCAAAGGGACTTCTTTGTACCGAAAGCGTTACTTTTTTTTTAAATATTTTTCTTTCAAGAAACTCACCAGCACGTCAGCGCGTCGCCCCTCCACCGTCGCCTCCGCCTCCTCTCGCGTACCTTGGCGCTCCGTCGCCTCCTCCGGCCTTTGCGGCCACCGCCGGTCCTCGTATCCGTGCGGCTCCAAAGGGTTCTCCTGGAGCTCGAAAGTGCGCTCCAGAAGACTAGGGCGCCGGCCGCGATGCGCCACCCTTCTCAATAGCCCGTTTGCCTCGGCGGCAATTCTCAACAGAATTGTGAGCAAGACGTTCATTTCTCGAGCTTTGCCTGGAAAAAAACACGTTTGGATGCGGTATTTCAGTTTCAATTTCACAATGTTCGCAAAAAAGCACAAACAACAGGTTTTAGAATATCAATCAATAATTTTCCATTGACTAAACGGTAGATCAAGTTTGTGGCGCTGTTCTCTTCCCGCATTATTTTCCTCTTTAAGATGTCGGTCTACTGACGGACGGAGGAATAGGTGATTCACATTCCCCAGTATTGTGAGTCCCTTTCCTTTTGTTTACAGTCTGCGACGTCTCCGCTTTTAGTTCCGATTTCTCTATTTTCTCAAAATAGGATTATGCAGGTACATTGACCAGCAGATATTGTGAAATTGCTCAAAAACTTTCAGAAGAGCAAGAAGAGCATCGTAAGGGATGGTAATAATACTGAAAGTTTCACAATATTCTTCAAGTACTGCACACGGCCCCCGGCAATTCATACTGGTAAAATCCCCGCCCTGGTATCGACTTTAACTACACTAACCTGAAAGTGGGAATTCTACTTCACCGACCAATATGGTTAACGTTAACGGCAGAAGACAACGAATACTGACAGATTTAGTGAAAATTCCAACGCTACAATTGACTTTTTGAGAAATGAGTTTATTGAGTTGGGTTCATCATGCGTTCCTCTATTGGGGACTACTAAAATGCAGACTTGCAACGGGCTGGCCGGGCCGGGCCAAAATTGGAAATTTTTCCGGCCCGGGAGGATGCACCTAAAAAAATTCAAAGCGAACTAGAACTTCGAAACGAACATAATTTTTATAGACTTAAAATTTTTATAGACTT